TTAAAAAGTATAGTCTTTCTTACTTATTCTATAAATGTTTATTATATTTATTAATTAGTAATTATACTATTACTAGTAGTATTATTACTTATACTATAGTTATTTACTTTTATATATTTCCCTAGCTCTATAGTAGATTAGGTACTAGTTATATTTATATATAGTCTATTAGATATTTAAGTACTATAGGTTTTAGTAGTCTAGGTAGTACTTCTAAGAATAATCTAGGTCCTTATTATAGAAATCTTAGTTAGAGTCTTATTATATATATCTATAATCTACCTATTATCTATCTTCTTTTATAATAATTTCTAATCGGCGTTGGTTATAAGCTTCTAGTGGTATAGAGAATAGTAGTAAGATTATTATAAATAATAATAATATATCTCCTTTTTATAGTTAGATTAGTAGTTTATCTAAGTATTCCTATATATTTATTCTATTAGTAAAGATTACTTCTTTACCTTTAAACTATAGGTAAGGTATTAGTGTTTATTTAACTTCCTTATCCTTTTCTTTAGATTATTTTTCCTCTATATCCTTATAGAGTTATAAATTAGTTAATAGTTCTAATCTAGATTTATTATTAAGTATAAGGTTATTAATAGTATTTATAATAGTCTATTCTTTATCCTTAATCTCCTTTATTAGGGTGGTAAGTATATTTAACTATCTAATAACCCTATCCTTAGATCTATAGTTTCTAGTAATATAGCCTAGTCTACTATATATAAAATATATATAAGTCTTAGTCCCCTATTATTAGGTTCTATCTAAGATATACGTATTAGGCTTATAAAAGCCTAATTCTTTTCCTCTTTCTTTACCTAAGTAGTTAAACTAGATATCTTCTATTAGCTAGTATCTATAGGAGTCTTATAATACGCGTTAAGGTCCTTTTAGTAGTACCCTATAGACTATAGGTACTAGTTATCTAAAACTAATATTCCTTAGGTTATATTAAAATTCCTATTATAGTATAAACTATTCTCTATTAATCCTAATTAATTTATTATATAATTTATTAAGGGTTCTAATAATTCCTCTACTACATAGAAGTTCTTCTTATAGAGGTTTCTTAAGACTTTATTTATATATTATTATTAATAACTTATTATTCTAGTTAAGTTATATAGCGTTCTTACAGAACTCTACTATATATTTAGCTACTAATTATTATTATAGGATAGTTTAGATATTTTATACTATAATAGGTACCTTATTAGTAATTCTAAATATCTATTTAAGGTGTTTCTTAAAGTTAGTATAATTTTTAATAATATTAACTACGTTTATATAGTTATCTATATATTCCTTATCTTTATTATTATAGTCTATTTCTAGATACTTAGTTATATAGGGTTAAATCTATTCTCTAGTATTACCTTATATATAGGTAGCTATAAAAATAACCTTCTATTTATCTTTAGGTTATTTATTAAGTTTAAAGAAATAGAGGTCTAACTAAAGAAGCTAAATATTAGTATACTTTTAGTTACTATAATATAAATTAGGTTTATATACCTTACTCTTAGAGTTACTTATTAGAGTAATAGCATTATCTAAAGCTATAGAAGAAGTAGGAGTTCTTATAGTTATATTAAGGGTATTTAAGATATTAAATCTAGAGAGGGTAGCTAATCCTAAATAGGTTAAGGTTAGTTCTTAGGTAAGACTTACTAAGGAAAGGAGAAAGGGGTCTTATTAATATAGAAGTATCTTATAAAGTATAATAAGTTAATAAGGGAGGCCTAAGTAAATCTAAATAATAGATTAAAACTTAGGTTAAATATAAGTATAGAGGTTTATTCTTATACTCTTATATAAGAATTCTACTTAGCTACTATCTAAGTAACTTAGCGTATCTTTATTTTATTATAACCCTAGTTATTATATCTTCTACCTTTATAAGCGCCTATATCTCCCTATTATTACCTAGTTCGTAATAGTTATTTAGAGCCTCTAAGTAGCTAAGTAGGATCCCTATATAGGAGTATAAGTATAAAGACTTTGTACTTATATTTAACCTAAGTTTTAATCTATTATTTAGATTTACTTAGGCCTCCCTTATTAACTTATTATACTTTATAAGATACTTTTATATTAATAAAACCCCTTCTCCTTCCCTTAGTAAGTCTTACCTAAGAACTAACCTTAACCTATTTAGGATTAGCTACCCTTTATAGATTTAATAAAGAGAAACTAAGCTCTAAAAGTATTTCTTTATACCCTAGCACTTTACTAGTAGTAATTTCCTCTATTACTTTATAAGCTTAAGCCTTATAATAAAATCTCTTACCTATAAATATGCCTTAAATTAATAGGTAAATTAGATCTAATTCCCTATAGTTCTAATATTATATTAATAGCTTAAATAACTCTCTTATACTTAATAAAAAGGTAACTACCCTATAGCGCTATTATATAAGCTATATATATAAAATCTACGCTAGTAAATAGGCATAAGTTATAAATTTAAATTAAGTAATTATAGAATTATTAATTAGTTAGCCTAATAAGTAACTATAAACGTAATCTAATATAATATAGATATAGAACTATCTATAAATTTAGAAGGGGGGTAGTATAATACTATAGTTAAATATTTAAGCTCTAGCTATAATAAGTTAGTAACCTTAACTACTCTTACTAACTATACTCTAATTTAGACCCTTATTAGATTCTATATAGTAATAGCTATTACTTATCTAATTTAGACCTATATTAGATCTATTAAACTAAGCTATCTATATATATACCTTTTAGACCTACCTTAAGTAGTTAGTATAATAGAGATAAGCTAAAGACCTATTATAAACTAGATAATAGTAGGGAAGTTTAGGCGCTTATAAAGGTAGAAGATATAATAACTAGGGTTATAATAAGATAAAGATATACTAAGTTACTTAGATAGTAGTTATATAACTTACTTAGCTACTTAGGGTTCCTAAATAGCTAAGTAGCTAAGAGCTATTACGTAACCTACTTAGTTATTTAGGGCTCCTAAGTAACTAAGCAAGATCCCTATATAAGAATATAAGAATAAACCTTTATACTTATATTTAACCTAAGTTTTAATCTATTATTTAGATTTATTTAGGCCTCCTTATTAATTTATTACACTTTGTAAGATACTTCTATATTAATAAGAACCCCTTTTTCCTCCCCTTAGTAAGTCTTACCTAAGAACTAACCTTAACCTATTTAGGACTAGCTACCCTTTCTAGATTTAATAAGACCTTAGTAGTTTATTATAGTATATAGATATAGAATAAAAAGGCTAGAGACTTCTAAGTAGTTTAGTAGCTTTTCTATATTCTTTTATACTAGACCTATTAGCACTTAATTAATCTAGGCTTTTATTCTTATATATATACACTTCTATATACCTCTAATAGAATACCTATCCTAAATAGACTTTTAAATAACTAGTATTAATATAGAGATATTATTAGTCTATCTAGAAAAATTAAGTTACTATTAGAAAATGCTAGGTATACTATAAGAATATTAAGGAGGTATATTAGTATTTAATTTACTACTAGTTAGTGCTGCGTTAGTATAGAAAAGGTATAAAAAGGAATAAAAAAAGTATAAAAAGGAATAGAAGGTTCTCTCTTATTATAAGTATTCTATATAGTCCTATAGGCCTAGATCTAGGTCTAGACCCACTTATAAAGTTACCCTATATTAAGTATAAGTACTAAATACCTTATATAAAGGCTACTATTAAATAGGTACTTAGAGACCTTAACACTAAATCTAGTATTATAAGAATTAAGGGAATATATAGTAAATAGCTCTATTATTAGATTTATAAGAGAAATAGGTATATAAGTAATAGATCTTCTACTTTTAGAATCTAATACTTAGTAGAGCACTATACCATGTACGGCTACTTTGCCACCTGCAGCTAAGGACCCCTGACGGCCGGTAATTGAAAAACTCTACGGTAGTACCATTGCAATTTAGGTCGATTTGTAATTTCCAGAAGGGCATCGGGAAACATGGAGAGCTGCTGATTGGTGCGGTATTTTGGGTTCCAAGCCATTCAGCTGGCCAATGGCATCGCGGTGTAAGCTTCCGTCAAGCGAGGGCTCCATTGCTCCTTCGCGGTAGGGTTCGGCAAGCAACGTTAATCGCATCGCTACACTTCATCCTGAGTTACATTGAGAGCTAATTCCCCGGGCTTTTTCGTGTCGAGAGAGGCTATCAAAGCCGTTGGTGGGTTCCAGGTGATTGGCAAGAGAACCGTTTGATGACTAACCAGTGATGACGCAGATCGACCAACCAAACTTGCGCGACTTGAACCTCTTCCTCCATCACGCGAGCCTTTGCAATCCGAGGGTCCACACATGGACACAGCTCGAAGACTGCGATCATCATGTGATGCTTGCGGAGCTGCTAAAACCAAGTGTGATCGAACGCAACCACAATGTGCTCGTTGCGTTTCGATGAACCTAGCTTGCATATATGGGCCTTCGAAGCAGCTTGGGAAGCGCCCACGAAGAAGACTTGATATAGGCTCGAGGTTTTCTGACCGTGGCGAGGCGCCTACTCACACTAACGGCGCCTATCGAAGCCCTGATATAGAAGGTCTCGCCGCGCAACATAGTGGCTCTAATAGTACCTTCGATCCTGTGCTTGACATCACCCAAGATATTCAACTACCTTTGCCATCCGAACCATCCATCGCCTGGCATCCCTTTGATGGTGAACTATGGAATGACCGACACAGATGCTACCACGAGTCAAACGAGGCCATCCAATTACTCTCGATTCCAGAACGCTTGTTCCCAAATGACGCACCGATCGTCCTGGACGTATCTCAAATTCTTCACGCGAATAGACGGGTAGTCGAGTCCCTACACCGTCTTGTCAATTGCAGTTGCGCGAAGACTAGAGGTCACCAGGCAATGCTGTACGCATCCCTGATCTCTCGTGCCTTATGGTGGTATCGTGAAGCTGCTGGCGATGCGGTGTACAAAGCTGCTGATGCCATGGGCGTGCCAACACCTAACACATCGTCTGAAAGCTCGGTACGTAGCGTTCCAACTACTGACACGGTAATGGGAGGATTGTATACACAGCAAACGCGTTTTGTAGGGACAGCGAGGTTTCGAAGACTGAACAGTGCTGACCCCTTACTCGTATAACCAGACACCACCGCCAGGCAACCTCGCTTACACCGATAGGTGCGTCAGAATCAAGTCGTCGTCGGTCACGGTGGGCGGCTTTGACATCGATGATCCAAGGATGCAACGAGCCTTTCAGAATCAATTAATTCGGCACGAAGTCATGAAGGTAGGAGATTTGGTTGAGAAATACGCTGCATTAGCCGCCGATGATAAGGTGCAAGATAGCGACAAGATTCTGTTTTCGACGTTAGGCACGTGGTTGAGGGCCGATCTCGCAAAAGCCATTGCAGCTGTTGCGGACGTGAGTAACCGTCCAGATGACAACTGATCATTTCGATTACCTGCAAAAACAGGGAGTTCGCCTGTAGTCGGCCTCTCAGTTGCGTATTCCCCGACAGACAGACCAATCCAATACCAGTCTCCAACATCCACGCCATTCCATCCCACCAATCGCCACGTACAGAGAATATGAGCTCCACAAGGCGAGTGGAGGTCACCTGATTCCTTGTCCATCTATAAACTACGGATCAGTTCTTCATCAGCCACTTCTGCATTTCGATCGCGATCCTTTCTGGTTGATCAATCATTACCAAATGACCAGCATCCGGCACAACAACGAACTCCTTGAACGAATCTTTGAGCATGGCGGCTAAGCTCTCCAACTTCTCCCTTGGTATCCACTGATCCTGCTCGCCCCATATGATCTTCACTGGACATTCGACATGCTTGTAGAGATCCTGATCAAGCATCTCCGCAACGTCCGCGTCGTTTGCTTGCACAATCTGTCTTATAAAACTTTTTTGTTTCGCATCAGCAACGGAAGAGTCTTTATCGACCCAAGGTTCCGCGAGAATATCCTCCCATACACGGCTGAATTCTTTTGGTGCATGCGAATCGCTACGGATTACCGCTCGTACAACCGCTTCAAAGACATTGACAGGGAGCTGGAGGAATGTTTTGGCTTCGGAACGAGCCAGCTTGTAGAAGCCATCGCCCCAGGGAAGAACAGTATTTGTGTCGAGGAGTAAGAGGCTGCGATATTTGCAGCCATGGAGTAGACCTGCTCGTAGTGCAACTGCGCCGGCGATGTCGTGCGCAACTAAGGCTGGACTTTGTAGAATATCGCTTTGATTGAGTCGGAGATGTTTGAACAAATCAGCCAGGACAGAAGCCTGTGTTCGCACCGACGTATCTAAATCTATCAGTACATTGTCTCGCTATTCTTCTCAATACATTTCTTACCGCCAACTAACAATTCGCCGGATTGTGCAGCGCCCTTGTCATTGAAGTCTTGCGACTGCCCGTAGCCTGCTAAATCATATAACACTATACGGTAGCCATTTCCGCTCATGAGTGCACTCGCAAGCGGGTTGAAAACGGCAGAAGACCATGGTGTTCCATGAACAAACACAACTGTTTGTTCGTGCTTCTTCTCTCCACCGAAAACGCCGTATTTGATGGTCCAGCCATTGGACGAAAAGTGCTGGGAAAGCTTTAGATTCCGTGTCATCGTTGAACAAGTAGCAGATTTTGCGATCGATTATAGAAGGTTTACTGCTGTATTCATATACAATGATTACTGGTACCAATGCAGATGCCGAGCAATGGCACTCGATGACGCACGTTGCCGCTTGCTCTGGAAGTCACGAATCAGAAACCGCGCTGTGAAGAACATCGAGCACAAGAACATCGAGCACAAGAACATCGAGCACAAGAACATCGAGCACAAGAACATCGAGCACAAGAACATCGAGCACAAGAACATCGAGCACAAGAACATCGAGCACCCCGCCATATGATACTCTTTGCCCTTAGATCGAAAATCGATTTCTATCACATTCACGAAACCTCTACACATTGGCAGTGGTATTGTCTACACGATCGTCGTTTTCGCACCATGACATGTGCAGCAGCGAGTTCCTGTGGTCTCTCTGGTTCACCCTTGTACTGCATCCCACTTGGAGTCTGGCAGAGGCATTACACGGAGCGAATGACCTGTATACACTTGGAACATGGAGCGCATATGTATTCGTAGTGACTCTTCATAACTGTAGTCGCTTGATTGCTTTTGCGTAGCCCTTCGGAGCTTGAGCTCAACAACGAACCGTACGGTCACGGGAATAGAACGATTTGAGCATCTGCGTCTCCACTTGCATGTTGACATCAGTTCGATTTCCCGAGGTGCACACTATGCTCCTGGACAAGTTCTGAGTCCAAATGCCGCGCCACCTTGTGAAGACAAGATGAGTCGAGTTGTGTCATTCTTTAGCCCCACGACGCTAGGCTAGGTACAACTATCGGTCGATCCACGCAGGTTGCCTCTCTTAATAGCAGCTCCGCTCTACCGCGCACTGAACGTACTGGAAGTTGAGTGATTGAAGTAGTGAGTGCTTTGTGAGTGATGGCTATCCTCTCCATGGAATGCCTGGTAATTAGTATATCCTCTTCTTGTACCCTTTATAAGACGATCGACTCTTTCAATGCTAAACGCAACGACAGCTTCAACGTCAAAAACCGGCATTGGTGTATACACCGCTGATGCCGGCTTGATGTAGACGCATTCTGGAACAAAATAGTAGGTGACCCGACATCTCTAGAGGAGGTTCTTTCGTACAATGTTGATGGAGCTTCCAGCCGTAGCTTGACGAACTACTTCCTCTGCCCAGGGAAGAACAACCCGCGCTCCGAGCGCTGTTACAAGATACTCTTTTCGCTCTGGGCCGCTGACGGCGGACAGACAAGCACAGATGGAATGTGTGATGATAGCCCCCTGCTCCAAGGAGTGCCGCATATGGGCTAGACTTTCTTAGTGCCTGCGATTGTCTAGGACGGTGCAAGGATTGAGTCCGATGGAACTGGTCGAATGCTCACTGACTACATCATTAAGGGTTCAGCTATGACCATGATTATGAGCCTGATTGATAATGAAGTAGGTTGGGACGGTCCGCATTATTGCATCGACCACATCTGCGCAAGTGAGTATATGGTAGGCTCTCAGCTGATCAACGGGTTTACCACCTGGGACGGTCCGAAAGCTTTCAGCTAGGTGTCTCTTCGGCCCTCTATTGACAATGAGGAGACATCGGAAGAAGACGAGGTTAGGTATATCGCGGAAGGGGTTTTGAGCCGCAGTGTTTGGGTTAAGTTGGCTCATGGTCTTATCATCAAGGTTCTTGGACAAACGTCCGGGTCGCTTCGGAGGGCGAAGGCTGGGATGATACATCTGGGACACATGCGCATTGGTTGAGGCATGGTACTATGTATTGGGGTCCTAAAAGTTGCCGCAGAGATAGGAGTGGAAGATTAAGAACCGTTCAAGCGCGGACCACTATTGCAGGAGCGCTGAAGAGTAATTCTACCACAGGCATTTGGCCTTGCATATATTATGCCCACACACTGTGAACCTCATAGGACTAATACGCTGCATGTCTTGGTCGCGGGCAATGTCACGGCTAACCATGTCAGATTCCTTTTACAAGGCTATATGCGCTTCAAAAAACGGATTCTTAGCTTCAAGGGCTCTAGGAATGTGGTTTCAAGTCTGTTTCAATTGAGTTTGCGAACCAACTAAACTTGCGTTACCGGCATTAGCCTTGCTTCACGTAATACACCCAGCGACTCCTCAATGTGCACAATCACGGACATTTCTCACTCGCCACGTTCCAGTGCTTTTTTACCCAGTCCGTCATGATGTTCGTGAAGCTCTTGCCATCGGCGTACGAATGCGTATCATACGTAGTATAGCTCTCTCCGAGATACTCCAGTCCGAGCAATATCCATTTCTGGAGGAATTCATTGTACATAACGTCTACAACTTCAGGCGTCTCCTCATCTTCGATATTGAAACCGATGCTGGCTTGCACACAGTTCGGCACCTTGTAGAAGGGGATGACTGAATGGATCGTATCGTCCCCATCCTTGCCAGCATCATCGTTCGTAGTGTAGCCCGGAAATAGCTCGTCTTCGTCGCCTTCTAATAGCGGGGTTTGATAATCGTGACCGACATAAACGTGCAGCTCCTGCGGCTGGCTAGCAATATATAGCTCAGGTCTGTACTGCGCAGCGACATGCTCCGGCGGCTGCAGGTACGTAGCACTCTGTCTCATAGCGTCTAGGATTGGACCCTCATTATTCAAAAGCTTGATGAGCCGGCTGGCAGCTTTGTAGGGCACGTCCTTGATATACCGTACTGAACTTGTAAACGGAGAAACAAGAAACTTGGTGTCCTTTGTGAAAGGCCCCTTGAAGATGTCGAAACGAATTCCGCCCGTATTGATGATTACTATGGCTTGCTTGGCCTCATCCGAAGGCTTCATAGACTGTGGAAGGACTTGTGTGTCCAGCCATGTGAAGATGCTCTCTTTGTGGGGATATGGGCGGCGCGAAACCCACAAGTCCCGTGGTGCACACCCGTAGCGTTCGCCTAAACCTAGTGACTTCCTCGCGTCGCTGATAGCAGATGTGACGTGTAGTCCATGCTTGGTCGGGAATGTGGTACTGTTTTTCTTGGTGTGATGGTGCATAGAGAATAGATTGTTGTCAATGTATCTTCGAGAGAACGACAACCTTGCTTTCTGCTGCTGCGCTGGTATCCTGTCGGAACCGCCAGTACGGAGTCCATTGATGGACATGAAGCCTATCGTCTCCATGTACCGACCACTCTCTAAGGCAACGGATGTCGAATCGAAGATCTTGTAGTCTCTAATGTGAGAATGCCCACCGAAGAACTGGATAGGAGTATCCCATTGTGCGGATCGAATTGTTTTATAGAGTAGAGCATACTCGGTGGAGCGGATGTCGACATGACCGTATACAAGGACTAGATCGATGTCTTTGTCTTTCAGCGCGTCTTTGAACCAGGCTTCCTTCACGGTCTGTTCAACAGGGACTACAAAAGTGTTGTTGTCGTTACCAGTAAAGTCGAAGATAAAACCAAATGCTAGGATCCGAATGCCTTGATTTTTCGTTTTGAATTTCTTATACCGTGGTGCAAGCGGTTGACGCTGCCCGTTGTTGGGATTGACGATATCCAGATTGGAGGCCAGATAGTTGCCTTTAAAGTCTGGAACAGTATGGAAGAATTCGCCTTCTGCGGTTTCTGCCTTGTAAAGCTCGTGGTTGCCCGAGCAAATCAGATCGATGCTTTGCTCCTTGGCAATTTCGTAAGTAAATTTACCACGGGGTTTGGAAGAGTCATAGATGGCGTTTCCCTCTACCCGATCGCCAGTGTCAACAACAAGCAAGTCGGAGCCATCAGCGTCTGCCTGGTCGCGTAAGTGTTTGGCAAATGATATGTAATCGCCCCAATCAGCGGAAAAAGACGCTTCCTGAGTGTGTCCACCCCACCAGCCTGCAGAAAGCTTAGTTGAGCCCACAGCAATTCGCGTAACGGTGCGCACCAACCGTGTATGTCAGTGGTATGCAAGAAATTCAACTGAGCCCATGGGAGGTCGCGTAACGGTGCAGCTATTGGCGCAGGCGCTGAAGGCTGGGCTGCAATACTACCGTGGAGGAGAAGGAAGGGCACGAGTAGGTTTCGAGTCATGTTGGAGGCACTTCGGTACATAGGTGCCCAGGTGGTCGTACGAACACGTGATGGAGGCTGAACCTTGGAAGGTTTCCGATGGTCAGGGCCGCTGACGGCACAGCGCAGGGTGGAGTGCTTCACCGACGTAAAGCACAACAACACAGAGACGAAGCTGGTGAAAGGTACCGCTTCACCGGCTGATGGGTTTGGTGAATGAGACTTGCAACGGTCTGGTGACTCGAGCCTGGTGAGCACCTGTTTGGACGCGATGCCTGGATGCCAAGCAATATTAGGCGGCCGGGGTCCAAGGCCCCTGCCCTTGTCGCCTGTCGCCTGATAGAGTGCTTAGCGTACAAATGAATCGCGTTCCTGAGCTTTTTTCGGACCACAACACGCGCAACCCAGCCTCCTCCATCAGCTCTCCTTCTCCCAACCGCCGTCGGGACTCACTTTCACGACGCACACAATGCCTCCTCGCGCCAAGTCCCGCGCGGCCACCGCACAGCCCGCTGAACAGGAAGCCACGCCGACTGTCAATGGCACCAGTACGTCATGCGCGCAACCGACTACCACTCACTTTTCGCAACACTTGCTAATCCGTACCAACACAGAGAGCACGCGTGCGCAAAGGAGCGTACCGCGAGCAGCCAACGGCGTAGCCGAGGAGCTGAAGAGCATACCTCGTAAGCTTGACGCGTTGCCACCTTTACCTTTGTCCGCTAATCGCCCGCAAGCTGCCAAAGCCCGTGCGAAGAAGGAAGCTACGCCTGCAGTCGTGCCCAAGGCCGCTCCAAAGCGCAAGAAGGAAGCCGAAATTGCATCCGAAGCAGAGGCCGACGAGCCTGCGCCCAAACGCAAGAAGGACCATGGCAGCGAAGCCGCAGCAGATCTGCACGGCGACGTCGACAGGGAGCCCAAAGTGAAGAAGGCGAAGACCACAAAGGCTCCGACGCCAAAGCGCGACCTGCCAAAGGGACCGCGACGCCCCAAAGGCAAGAAAATCGAGGTCAACCCGCTCCGTTACACCGAGCCGCTCAAGGTCTTCGTCTTTGGAGAAGGAGGTCAAGGCGAGTTGGGCCTGGGCGCGACTAAGAAGGCTATAGACGTTAAACGCCCGCGATGGAACGAGACATTGAGCAATCAGGATATTGTCAGGATTGCCACCGGTGGAATGCATGTGGTGGCCCTGACCAAGGACAACAAGATACTGACATGGGGAGTGAACGATAACGGTGCATTGGGACGCGAGACTTCTGATGGAGAGCAGCTGAAGGACATGAAAGAAGGCGACGACGAAGAGTCCGATTCTGACGACGATGAGACCGGCGGTCTGAATCCGCTTGAGGCTACCCCGACGGCTGTTAGCGCAGATCATTTCCCTGAGGATACTGTCTTCGTCGACATTGCCGCCGGTGATAGCTGCTCGTTCGCGTTGACCACCGAGGGCGCCGTGTATGGCTGGGGCACCTTCCGCAAGAACGAGGGCATTCTTGGGTTCGCAAGGAACAACGAGACTGCGAATACGCCGGTATATCTTGACACTATCACCAAAGTCACCCACCTCGCCTGTGGTACGAACCACGTGCTAGCTCTTACCAAAGACCGACATGTCTTTGCATGGGGTAACGGGCAACAAAATCAGCTTGGGCGTCGTGTGACCGAGCGCAACCTCAACGAAGCCTTGACACCAAGTCGCCTCGGTTTCCATGATACTGGTTTCAAAAGACCCAGCCAGCGGATTGCGAAGATCGCTTGCGGTGACTATCACGGCCTTGCAATTGCTGAGGACGGACACATTTGGTCATGGGGTGCGAACAACTACTGCGAGACTGGCCACGGGGACAACGCTGGAGAAGACAATGCCAGTATCCTCACACCTCGCATCGTTTCTAGCTTGGAGGGCAAAGGTGTGACGATTGTTGAGGGCGGGTCTCACCACAACATCGCAATCACCCAAAGCGGAGAGGTGCTTGTCTGGGGCCGCTGCGATGGGTCACAAACCGGCATCTCCACGGCCCAACTGGAGGCTATCGACGATGAAGAAAGGGTTCTTAAATCGGAGAACGGCAAGCCCAAGATCCTTCTCGAGCCTACTCCCGTTCCTGGCCTGAGCAACATTGTGACGGGTACATGTGGGCCTGAGCACACTATTGTCATCAATAAAGACGGCAGGGCGTACTCGTGGGGTTTCTCCGCAAACTACCAGACTGGACAAGGCACTGATGACGACATCGAGACTCCAACTCTCATCGATAATACCGCTGTGAGGGATGTCAAGCTTGTCTGGGCTGGAGCTGGTGGCCAGTACTCTGCTCTGGCCAGCAAGCGAGATTAAACCTCCAATTGCCTTTCTGTTCCTTCATTGCTACCGTTTTGTATTGAAGCAGTACATGTTTATCTCTTTCTTGAAGGCATAAACTGGCGTTCTTGGGTTTTCGTCGAGCAGGTAGTCTGTGTAGCGTGTCTACTTCGGTGGATCTCATTCTTCCAGCCGCGATGGATGGTGGAAATCTGTAGGGATATAGTAGAGCGTGTGTTTGGATGTGCACGATGGGTGCTGGGATGAGTTGGTCCCAATGGAAGTCTTTGTGGTATGCGACGGGCTATGAACCGTGTTTGTAATAGCTTATTGCATTGCATGCTTTCCCTCTGTAGGACTTTCTCTCATCGCTAGAACGTTACGTGAGTTGCACATATGCCTCCCTTTCAAGCTCTTTCATGGCATTAATGTAGCCCGCGCGACTGGCACCCATTAACGGTGCGTTTAGGTAACCCACATATTACATGACGGTTAGCAGGCGGCAGCAGCTACGTTCTCAAGCTCCCTCACATCGAGACCATCTCGTGAAACACTTATTTGAATGACCAACGGTTGAGTATGCCATCCTCTTTTCCTCGTGGCAAGCTCGCGCCATAGCTCCCATTGTCCAGAGACAACCCACCCGAACCGTTGAGCGCAAATAGCGGACTGAGGATACAACAGGCTCATTTGAGTAAGTGCGACCTCCCTTCTATCCGATATTCCACCAATTTTAGCCCAACGTTCAAGGGCTCCTTCGTAAAGTATCGCAAACATACCTTCGAGTGAACGTGTGTGATCTGTTTGGTCGGCAACCCTATCTGCCTCATGACGATAGAAGTGAGGCCATGACTGATGACAGCGTCTGTTGAAAGAAGGCATAAGCAAAGTATAACGATAATCGGAAGTGACGTCAATAGGAAACTATTCTCTTATGGGTCATCAATACCGTAACGTAGGAGACCCCGATCCAATTTAAATCGTAGAGTAGCTTTGGTACATCAACCACGTTGGAGAACCATTGAGTCAGATACGCTGGACGTGCTTCACGAACTGGTAGATGCAACGGAAGAGATAGACGAGGTTGTGGAGTTCCATCTAAAGAGTGTGTTGGCAATCTTGGATGTCGCGTCTGAGCTAGGCACACGACATACCGCTATAGGGCTTTTTACGGCTGAGTATGGAAGTACCGCAAGCGCTTTCCTGCTTCTGAAGGTACGCGCCTAGTATAAAAGATTATGCGGCAACGAAGAATTATTGATGAATGCATCGCGCCGTGGGAAGACCGAGAATATGGTAATAATTCACGCCTTCCTGCAGGGTGTCGGCCGCAGCACTGGGTCCGCCTTGTGCTACCTTGTTCATATATAATATACTCCCGAGGAGACTAGAATCCATCCCCGAGTGGACGCGGTGTGCGGTCTGGTAGACGTTTGGAGGGTGGATGATGCGCGAAGCGCAATGACTACCTAGGTATGTTTATGTTCTCTATGAGACATTTAGGCGTAGTGTTTGACTGCCACCTGAAAGGTTAGTGGTATGCCAGACTTAAAAAGGTCATTTCTATAAATGTACAGCTGGAAAAGAACACGAATAAGTTTTCTCTTATTGTTGGAGACCCCACATGGATCGCGGAAGAGTATCACCTCGGCGTAGTTAAGGGCAATAACCGACCCATGAAAGCATATAGCCGACTTACCTTAGTTAACTAGGCTCGATTAGGAATTTGTGCCTCAAGCTTCTTGAATTGTACAATTCGAGGCTTGATGAGAAGCTCTGTATGAGGAAACGATAGTCACTATGTGATAGACTTTGTTTATTGATGGTTGGCGAACGAAAACACCTAGGTTACGGCACTCCAGCAATGGTACAGATGCTCTGGAGATTATGCGCTACTTCGGCCGGTGATGATACACTGTGACAGAAGTGAATTCATTACATGCAATGACATTGGCTGGGAGCTAGTATGGCAGCCTTGCAGCTTTGAAGGAACAGCGATCATTGAAGGTTGTCGTGAGAGGTTTGGAATGCATGTAGGCCGCCACTAGATTCAGTGCATTTCTTAGGGTCAGTGTGGAGGTCATGCAGATCATGTTCATCACAACCACCTCCTGCGCAGACGGTACTCCTGTTGAGCACCATCAGTGACGACCATATTGCGAGGCTCTTCGTATTGTTCATGGCCATCAAAAGAGTCTCTGCAAGTCAACTTGCATTGTGATTATAAATACGCTCGACAGCACAGATCTAGGCCTCTCCTGCCCTGAGACTGCCCGATACGCTAATGCCCCAGCAACAGCATCTAGTCACGCGGCACCCATAATCAGTCGTTCTTTGAACGGTGATGATTAGCAACTAGATCCAATGTTCTCTTGTGAGCAGTCCTAAACTCAGATTCCCCGGAGGTCCAGCCTTCCCAACAACCCATGGCTTCCACGGACCTTCTCCGACCAAGCCACCTAACCATGCCATGTGCCTTCAAACTCGCTAACGCCATGCACGAAACCGCCCGGAACTTCCAGAGGCGGGAATTCGAGTAGCCAATTCGTTCCTAGTCTCACCACGGGTGGCGTGCGGGGATGGTTCACGGACCCCGCATGGTCGTAGTGTGGGCGCGGGGTGTATCTATGACGCTAGATGGTCGGATAGCTGTCAACAGCTTCCCAATGTATCAACGGCTGGCTTGTTCCCGGGCAGCTTCCGCATACGCGTCTGTGGAGGAGGGCGTGCGGGCAAAAGGGCCCGGGGTGCAGGCGGGGAAGATCGCCGTGCCTTTGAAGATCTTAGTGAGAGAACATAGGAGCTGATTGGTACGAAGAGATTCTCGTTTGGAATTTGTGGTGGACTAGATTGCAGTGCACAGGTAGTCATGTCGGGGGAGGGGACGTAAACTTGGTACATATAGCCAAATCGCCATTTCTAAGTACACTGGTAATCGTGCTGCCAACAGGACTGCAGCAGTTCGAATGTCACGGACACCTTCCTGGGTATCGCAATGGTGATCAAAACGAACATTAGCACGGGCAGGCATGAGCCCGCAGGATCGACCGACAGTTACCAGGACAACCTTGAGACGGATGTTCTGATTGTGGGCGCTGGTTTCGGTGGCATCTATTTAATGCACAAGCTTCGTCAACAGGGCTTCAACTGCAAGATCTACGAGGCTGGTAAGGATTTGGGCGGGATCTGGTACTGGAACTGCTATCCAGGTGCCCGAGTTGACTCTCAGGTACCAGTTTATGAGTACTCATTCCCCGAGATCTGGAAGGTGAGAGACCCAGCTACTTAGTCATGTATCAGCTAATTGAGAAACAAATGTAGGACTGGACATGGTCAACGCGATACCCCGGATGGGAGGAGCTTCGAGAGTACTTCGACCATGTAGAAAAGAAGTTGGATATTAAGAAGGATGTGGCTTTCGAGACTACTGTCACTGGTGCCCAATTCGACAAACCATCAGGCAAGTGGGTGATCGAAACGGAGGATGGCCGAACCGCGCGAGCTCGATATTTTTTGCTAGCAACAGGCTTCGCCGCGAAACGACACTTCCCAGACTGGAAGGGTGTGAGTGACTACAAGGGAATCATTCATCACTCTTCATTCTGGCCGGAGGAGGGCGTCGACGTCAAGGGAAAGCGTATCGCAGTGATCGGAACTGGCTCAACTGGGATCCAGCTAGCTCAAGATACTGCGAACCAAGGCGCCAAAGTCACCGTGTTCCAGCGGACGCCGAATCTGTGTCTTCCGATGCAACAGAGACCGCTCACCAGAGAAGAACAAGAAGAGGCAAAGGCGAAGTACCCGAGCCTCTATGAGTATCGACGTACCACCTTTGCTGGTTTCTTGTATGATTTTGTCCAGAAGAACACCTTTGACGATAGCGAGGATGAACGCGAGGCGTTCTACGAGAAGATGTATGAGAACGGTGGTTTCGAATTTTGGTTGGCCAATTACAAAGACCTGTTGTTCGACGAGAAGGCCAACAGAGCAGCCTATGACTTCTGGGCCAAGAAGGCGCGGGCTCGTATCACTGACCCAAGAAAGAGGGACATCATGGCACCTCTCGAGCCGCCGCACGCATTCGGGACAAAACGACCATCTCTGGAGCAGAACTTCTATGAGATGATCGACAACCCAGAGAATGATGTGGTCGATGTTAAAAAGACTCCAATCAAGGAATTCACCGAGACCGGCATCGCAACAGAGGATGGAACCCATCGCGAGTTCGACATTATTGCTCTGGCCACTGGCTTTGACTCGGTAACGGGTGGGATGAAGAATATGGGGTTAAGGTCAGTCTCCCGGATTTATAGTGGAGGTGTTGTTCCAGTAAATTGCACGAAAAGCCTCCTGTTCGTGTATGCAAGACACGAAAAAAGAGTCTTCACTTTGCTTCACTGAGACTTGAGAGCGAATGTACCGTCCCCACGTCTCTTGAAACATACACTGACTTTGTACCTTCGGGTTCGGCAGGAACGTTGATGGAGTACCACTGTCCGAACTCTGGAAGACAGGAACGTGGTCGTACTTGGGCATGTCGTGTGCTGGTTTCCCGTGAGTTTTCATGTTGCTCCACGATAAGGCCGTGGCTGATATTTGCAGCAACATGTTCTTCTTGTACGGCGCTCAGGGACCGACAGCCTTCAGCAACGGCCCTACGTGCGTCGAATGCCAGGGAGATTGGATCGTCGATGCCATGACCAAATTGAAGAAAGACGGTATCAAGTACTGCGACGCTACCAACGAAGCTACGGAGATCTGGCGGCAGAAAGTGACGGAATTGTCGGACAAGACGTTATTCCCAGGAACTTCGTCTTGGTACATGGGCGCTAATGTACCAGGCAAGCCTCGGGAGCAGTTGAATTACGCTGGCGGATTCCCGCTGTACGAGAAGGAGTGTCGGGAAGCGTTGGACAACGGGTTCCAGGGCTTCGTGACGGCGTAGGAGCTGTAATGAGTGCTCGCTTCAGCAATTGTATCTGCTTGTATATAATCACAATTGTATTTATTCACCCACGCTGGAATCGTAAGAGTGTCCAGGCGCCGTTAATTGATCGAGCGTGGCAGTAGTGTATAGTATGGTGAACGTGCAATGGCGTTGCCTAGTGTGGTCTAGGGTGCTTCCCGTATCGTGACGTCGGCGCCGTCGGGACCGCGGCTTGCCTGTGATGGAGACGCGAAGCCCTCGTCCTCGCCCAGAAAGCCCATGGCCATTGTCCGTATCTGTCGTATACCCTCGCTAGTACCATGAGGACGGCCTTCTGGCTTGGTCGCCGTTGTCTTCATCAAAGGATCCGGCAAAGCGCACCATTTGCGACACGTGCCTCGACGCGCCGCTTCACCCCCGACGCCGCGTCCTTCGTTCGCAGACGCATTGCAAACCCTCGATTTCCGTGCAAAACGATACTATGGTCAGGAGCAGGCGCAGCAGCAGCAGGCGGCGCGGTCCTCAGCCCTCTCGCATTCGTCAAAATAAGCAACGATGAAACGGATATCGGAGACAAAACACATGAAGAGGCCATGTTGGAAGCATCGAGGAAAGAACTCAAAGAGCAGGTGCCAAAGGCCATCAAGAACTCGAAGAAGTACCGAAGGGGCATATACCTCTTCGTCGATCTATACATCATCGAGCCCATCTGTACCGGCCTCCGATTCTTGCACCTTGTCGTCATCTTCGTCCCCGTAATCATCACCATACCTGCGATATGGCTCGGTCAGAGGCAGCCGGGAAGTGATAATGAGAGAAGCGGCACGCTGTGGTGGTATAGCTTCTTGGTCATAAGTATGGAACGGGCGGGTGCCGCCTTCATCAAAGTACGTTTCGCCGTCCTTTCCTGCTTTCTGGAGCTGACTCTATAGCTTGGGCAATGGGCCGCCTCCCGATCCGATATCTTTCCCACGGAGATGTGCAAGACCATGTCTACACTTCACTCCCACGCTCCGGCGCACTCGCTTGAGATGACGAAGAAGACCGTAGAGGAAGCGTTCGACGGCCGCCGATTCGAAGAGATCTTCGACGAGTTTGACGAGGTTCCGCTGGGAGTGGGCGCTATTGCACAGGTGTACAAGGCCAAACTGAAGCCAGATCTCGCCACGTTGCAGCAAAATACTGACGAAGAGCCTCCAAACCTACGCCAGCGGATAAGGAAGAACGTGGATCTCGCACTCAAGGACATACCGCACAGGGTGCCCTCGAGCCATGTCGCAGTCAAAGTGCTACACCCCAACGTAGAGCGTGTTGTGCGTAGAGACTTGCGCATCATGGGTTTCTTTGCTGCTATCATCAATGCTATACCGACTATGGAGTGGCTATCTTTCCCTGACGAGGTTGAGCAGTTTGGTGAGATGATGAGGCTACAGCTTGATTTGCGCATTGAAGCTGCCAATCTAACTATGTTCCGTCAATATTTCAAGGAGCGCAACACCGCCTGGTTCCCGTATCCTTATACAGAATATACAACGCGCAATGTTCTAGTTGAGGAGTTTGCCCAAGGCATTCCACTGGAAGATTTTCTACGAAATGGCGGAGGCCCGTTCCAAGAGGATATTGCGAACGAAGGCCTTAATGCCTTCCTGACCATGGTACTAATCGACAATTTCATTCATGCTGATCTACACCCTGGAAATATCATGGTCCGCTTCTATCAGCCACAACAATGTGACGTGGGACTCTTCACGCGCAAAGAAGACCGTACAACTGGCCCGAAGGACTCGCCAGATGTGACCGAGGAGGTGCTCCGAAGACTCCGACCATATAAAAACAAACCTCAAGAATGGAACAAGCGTCTTCAAGAGATTGATGACGAGGGCTACCGACCCCAGATTATCTTCATTGATACTGGTTTAGTTACTGAGCTCAACGCGATCAACCGAACCAACTTCATAGATCTCTTCAAAGCGGTAGCTGAATTTGATGGCTATAAGGCTGGGCATCTCATGGTTGAGAGGTGCAGACAACCCGAGGCGGTTATCGATTCTGAAGTGTTCGCACTGCGCATGCAACACCTAGTTCTCGGCGTCAAGAGCCGGACGTTTGCTCTGGGCAACATCAAGATTGGTGATATCCTGAACGAAGTCTTATCAATGGTCCGCGGTCACCATGTTCGCTTGGAGGGCGACTTTGTCAATGTCGTGCTCAGCATACTGTTACTGGAAGGCATTGGTAGGAGCCTCAATCCAAATCTAGATCTCTTTGCAGGGTATGTATTGATGTGGCAGCTTGCGTAAATTCTCTTGCTGATCAAAGCGTAGGGCACTTCCTATCCTGCGCCAGTTGGGTGCTCAGAGTGGCTCTGCCATGGTACGCGGCGGCGACTTCTCGATGCTTAGAGTCTGGGTGGGACTAGAAGCTCGCAGCTTCCTCCAAGCGTCTGTGGAATCAGTAAGCTAAACCTGCTCCACGTGTTGCCGCTTGTTGTGTTATTGACAGTTTTCTAGGTTGAGAAATGCGTAAAATATGATCAACTATCACCTAATCTTTAGGTACCCAAGAGACATTCAACGGGAGAGCTCTAGCAACGTCTCACTTCAATCACTAATCACCCGTTACAAGCACTGGGGTTTTTGACGGTTGCGTTACTGCGTCACATGAATGCAGCCTCCACATACAATGACGATTCGAATTACCGAGCAATTCCAGGCTACCGAATAGGCCTCTAACATAACGGGCTATCTGCTTCGAATTACCAAGTTTCTTGTTGTTGCGAGTGAGCAAATAGTGCACAGAAGCTGCGGTGTCGCTGCAGCGACCTCCTACGAAAGCAGCGAGGCAGACAATGCCTGCCTGCATCGCAAATAGACATCACGGGTCAGTCTCTCTGATCATTACCATACCGTCGCATGTACATGCAAGAGGCATTAGACGTTTTTAGTTATGGAAATAATTAATGATCCGTTCCTTAAGCGGGCAAGCGGACGCAGGGCAAGGATACACCAGCTACGTCATAGTTAGTGCCCATCAGCTATGTAGTGCGAGCAACAGCAACACCTCACACTGCCACAGTGCTCTCGTCCCTACCCTGTTTTTCACCCGCGTCACCTCTTTTACTATATCCTCTAGCTCTGCCAACCTGCATCATCTACACTGATCACTTCAAGAGCAGGACCAACTGTTCGATCCTTCATTCACCATGGAACCCGCAGCAGCAGGCGCTCTCGACGCAGCCGAGAACCTTCTCTACGGTGCAGCAGCTTTGGTCAAGGGGATAACCACCCGACCTCATCTTCTAAAAGCGAACCTCACTCGCATTGATTCTGTACCACTCCCTCGATCACACCACACTCTCTCTGTCGTTAAAGGTCGCGCATACATCTTCGGAGGCGAGGTAGCACCTGGCGAACTCGCGGATACTGACATACACGTCGTAATTCTACCTTCTTCTGGCGTTCTAGAAGCAGACTACACTACCATAAAAGCACGACCTGAGACCTCAGGCGGAGATGTTCCTGCCCCACGCAAGGGACACTCGAGCGTGGTGATAGGAGATAGTATATATATCTTCGGTGGCGAAGGTGTACAGGAGGAGAAGGGCAGGGTCTGGGTCTTCCAAACCTCACGTTTAACTTGGTCGTACCTTGACCCATCGCCAGATGCAGCAGTGCCGGCCCACCGTACAGGTCACGCAGCTGCAGCAAGTGAACTGCCCGCTCCGAAAGATATAGTCTACCAAGAGAAGGCACCGCAGCAGCCTACAGATCCAGCAAAAGTGGTGCCAGAACCCGCTGAAGAGGATACCTGGGGCACCATCTTCGTGATCGGTGGAAGAGACACAGCAACGGGGGAACTAGCTGGTGATGCGCTGGCCTTTGATGTGCGCACGCGAACGTGGTCGAACTTGCCCATACCAGACGGGCCACCCGAGGGAGCCAGTCTCGCGCTCGTCGGCAACAGTCTGTACCTTCTAGGTGGGAAGGCGTCCACCGAGAGGGGAGGAAGTGCGATAGCGACTACACAGGTCCTCGATGTATCGTTTGTGTGGCAGCATGCCGAGGACGGGACTACACCGCTCGCCAGCGGCTGGACCTGGCATTCTCTCTCTGCGCCATCAGCGGCGGATGGGTCAACAAGTCTCGCTCCTTCACCAAGGTTCGCTGCGGGGCTAGAAGGCGTGACAACGGGGCAAGGAAGACACTACCTTCTGCTCTTTGGAGGCTCTTCGCCCGCGCCGGATAACAACATCACACTCCTCGATGATATCTGGGCGTTCCAGCTGCCGTCTGAGCGGGCTAGTGCGGCGATTGCCAAGGATTCGGCACGAGCGGGTTTGAAGAGGGAGATGTACGATGCTCATTGGGCGGAGGTGGGGTGCAAGTACACGGATACGAGGGGCGAGGAGGTAGACCAGGAAAATAACAGCGGCATAAAGGGGTTTGGATCGAGGGGTGGTTTTGCGGCAGCGAAAGGAACCGAGGTTGATGGCGCCAGCGTCGTGGTTTGGGATGGGGTGGATGGTGAAGGAAGGATCTTAAGTGACGGCTGGCTGGTCACTGCGGAGAGGTAGTTTGAGTAGCAAATTGCGTTCTGGAGATAATGTCTGGCGATGTAGTAGTTGTTGAGCGAAACCAAAGAATACCACTAGAACAAGGACTTCCCGCAGAGAGTTGACAATGCTTGTATGAAGTCCAAAATGTGTTCGAGTTGATAAGCTCTTCAGATCGGTATCTTAAGAATCCCCGCGAGGCATGACTCCCAATAACGCCGTACATGCAAATTGTAAACGCCATATCCCAGTTTCCTGCCTTGCCTCGCGCATATTCCTCCAGCGAGGTGTCAAAGTTCCCCATTTTCATACCCGTCTCGATGCTGCCTTGGCTTGTTCCCGTTCACTCGCGTTATATCTAGCAATTGTTAGTTCCTGACCAGAACATAGCAATCGAGGGGTAGCGATGAGCAAAGCTCAACCGGCGCGCTCCAACCCCTGCTTCTTGTGGAATTCGCGGCGCCACTCCATGACGGCTTGTGAGTTGACGTACTTGAGCAGTTTCTCAATAAGGTCGACGTGGGTAAGAATCATTCGGCGGCAGCAGTAGCGTCGAAGCTCCAAAGCGTCGATGGCCTCCCTGCATGTATCGCGTGGTTAGCATGCGGGTGTCAGGCATGAATCGGGGAGGTGCGGGTGGCGCATACACATCGGACATGCCAGAGTCAAGCTTCTCGAGGTAAGACTCCCATAGATCGCCGACCACCTGGTTATTGTTAGTTGTAGACCTTTGAGCGGGGCGAAGGCCGCGGGACGGTACCTTTCCGCAACTGAAGCAGCGGATGGGGATGATCATTATGAGAGTACGGAAGTGTTTTCTTGGAAATACGAAGTGTTGCTGCGCTGGCAGAACAGAGGGTTGAGGTGCTGTTGGATGCCTCTGTGAGTGCAATTGTGGAGCATGCCTCTTTCGCGTTGCGCGGTCAAAGAAATTCGACGAGGCCGCGGTAGAGCCAAGAGAAGTTTAGTTGCCCTAGCGCCGAGCTTGGGCCAACTCCGCCGAAAAATATGTCGAACTTTTGGCGGCTGCGTGCGCAAAGATAACAACGTTCGTGCTCTTCTCGATTTATAATTGCGCTCGAAAAGGAGGGAGTGAATATGGCCGATGTCAATGGCACCCCGCAGCTGAAGCGAAGAAGAGAAAGCACGGAGGCGCAAAGGAAGAAGGCGAAGACGGGCAAGAGCAAATCGGCCGCTGGTGGAGAATCCGCACCCTCGAAGACAAAGAGTGCCTCGCCCGAAGTCAAATCGACACCAAAACCTACCGTGACACCAGAAGCGAAGGCGACCCAAAAAAAACAGCCACCACCGCACAGTGCGCAGACCTATGGAACCTCCGCAGGCCCCGCCACAAGCACGCCGTCAAGCTCCCGGAAGAAGGACAAATCGATATCAAAGACTCAGAATAAGGATATGCTCGCTGAGCACAAGGAAGATGCCATTGTAGCGGTTGCAGGAATGCAGAAACAGGTAGAGAACAAGAGGGAGAGAAACCCTGATCCTTGGTCAATTTCGGCTCCCCAAGGCGGATGGTTCCTGCCTCAAGATCCTGTATTCTCCCCCGACGAGAAGTATCTGCTCTTGGGCAAGCTGAAAGCCTTGGACGTATACGCAGCCGATACCTCGTTACTTGTCCGATCGTTGCCTCTGGGCGCCTCCAGCGTGGCCCTGGCCTATGCCATCTCACCAACGAATCCCGACCTCGTGTATGTGGCTGACTCGGCTGGGATAATCTCTCTCTGGAACTGGACAGACGGCTCTAAGCTCGGTCGCTGGGGCATTGGATTGAACGTACAACACCTAGTCGTTGTCGAGCAACCAATCACTTCACGGGATCTGGTATTTACACATGAGGCGGATAGTAAACACATCGTTAACGTGCATGCTCTGTACACAGGGGAGGAAGCCTCCAAGACGGAAGTCAAGCAGATACTGAGGACTAGCCGTCCCATTACTGAGATGCAGGTCTTTTTGCAAGGGAAGCTTGTCGTCCTGAGTACACCAAACTCCATGATAGTCGGAAAGCGAAGGAAATTCAAGCAGACGGCTTTACAGGATTTCGAGTACACGTGGCGCGAATTTGAAATGTCCAAGCGCATCACTACTTTTAATGCGTTTGTTCAAACGTCTGGTGGGAAGGACCAGGCATTGGAGGATGCCAGAGATCATCTCAATCTCGCGGTGGGAGATGAGGAAGGCGTGATTTACCTATTCGAGGATGTTATTTCGAGATTAGTCGCCGTTGAGAAGAGTCAGAAAGACGTTTCAGACAAGAAGGTCGGACCAGAGAGTTTGACCCCTAAGCGATTACATTGGCATAGGACTGCCGTGAGATCACTCAAGTATTCGCTAGATGGTGAATTGCATCTTCCTTCAACACGACCCTTGAAACTGACTATTACAGGCAATTACTTGGTCTCTGGAGGCGACGAAACTGTCCTCACCATTTGGCAGCTAGCGACCGGAAAGCAACAGCATCTTCCGCATTTGACTGCGGCAATAGAAAGCATCGCAATTTCTCCATCTGGTGCTTCCTATGGAGTGACACTGGCAAACAACTCTGTCATTGTGTTGTCAACTTCAGAACTCAAGGCCAAAACCAACATAGTCGGCATTCAGACCCGCAGGATCAGTGCCGGCAAACTACACCGTCTCTCCAATCCCCATTTCTCCCCCAAATATCTCACTTTGGTACCTATGGACGTTGATCCGAACAACAACAAACACATTACTTTCGTCACGCCTTCATCGCAGCCTCGACACGGAGGCGCATCTAGATCAGAACCATATATTCAGACATTCGACCTTGCCAATCAGCGACCGATCGCACGGCAACCTTTGACTCGAAACAATGCAACTGACCCGAACATGGGCCCGGAAGGCCGCCCGATTTTGGAACCGAGCGTCAATCTGCTACGCATTAGCCACGATGGTGCTTGGCTTGCTACTGTTGACGATTGGGTGCCTCCAGCCGCAGATCTGTCATACATTGAAGAAGGCATATCAGCATTCAATGCAGAGGAACGAACACTACGTCGAGAGGTGTACTTGAAGATTTGGAGACGCGACGAACAGAACGCACAGTGGTCGCTTGACGCACGCATTGACGCTCCTCACTTCATTGAAGGGATATCTGCACATGCCCGCGTATTCGACCTAGCTGCCGACCCTTCTGGCGCTGGATTTGCTACGGTTGGCGAAGATCGCGTCGTGCGCATATGGAGACCAAAGACGCGGTTGCGGGATGGCGTCATCGTGCGCGGCGCAGATCGACTGCGTGGTCTTGTCAACTGGTCCCTAGATCATGCGATAAAGCTCGCTGACAAGCTTGAAGTTGGTGAAGCCCGCGAAGTGTCACAAAGCACCATTCCTCGTACATCTCGACTGGCATTTTCTGCAGACGGATCCGTCCTCGCTGCTGGTCTATCGTGGGCAACTGACGAAGATCCGGGTGTAGTCCACATTATCGATACCAACGACGGGAGCATTCGACGCTCTATAACTGAGATCGATATAACCGCCCTTTCTGGGGTGGCTATCTTGGGACGTCATTTGATATTGCTCGGTAACACAGTTGTTGTCTGGGACATGATCATGGATCAGCTTGTTTACTCCATTCCAAACAAGACTCCCGGGGTCAGGATCGCCACGCATAGTCAACTTTTGTCCCTTGCCACGAATGAGGGAGACAGTACCTTCGCTGTGTCAACACCTCGGCTTCAAAAGAAGGAACCGGAAGATGAGCGCTTTACCAAGATTGCAACCAAGATCACAGTGTACAGCCCTGAGTTCTATGAGCCAATTTGGTCCTGCACCATACCAGAAGCTCTTGTTCTAGGACTGGTGGCAGCGAAGGGAAGTCGTGGTTTTATTGCGCTCGACACATCATCGAACATTCGACTTATAACTCCCACGGTCGGTACTCTACAGCTTCCTAGCCCTCCGCTGGAGTTCACTTCTGAGACTACCGAAGAAATGGAAGTCGATCAAGATGACGCGGAAGACGTCGATAAGACAGCGCTGCAAAACCTGCACCTGTCCGCAAGCGAGGAGCTGTTGCAAGCTTCAGAGAATGACAAGCCTGTTGTCAGACCGGAACAACTACAGCAGATATTTGACAGTGGGCCCTCGCATGCACTACCGCCTGTCCGAGATCTCTTCGATGCCGTGGTCGGTCTGTATGGGAGGAAGTTGCGAGTAGCTGCAGCTGGTGCGGCGTGATGGCAACGGTTCAAGGCTTCGGATGAGCCAGTGATTACCATGTAATGAACAAATTCCCGCTTCATGCTTGCCTACTTGTGATGTATCCTTTCACCGCGTTGCCTATCCTTGGGCAACCTAAGCTACGAAACAGACTTAACGACCTGAATCATCCTCGGATCCTGTATTGTCCTAGATGCGGCTGTTGTGAGTTATGACTAAGATATTCGTTTGTCGAGTGGTGCTGGAAGCCTTTTGCAGCCCTATTCCTGCCGGAGATTTGGCGATTCCGCCTACGGACTCGCAGCTTGGCATCCTTCGTAACGTGCGTACTGCAGCTGAATGCGGAGCGACAATGTGTTCTACTCTGAAGGGTGGCGTCCCTCGCCTACTCGCTAGAGCACCATGCCCAACATGTGGTTGTTCAAGGAGACGGTTGCCGATTGGGCGACCCTGGGCGATCTCTTCAACACCACCTGCACGTCTACCTTCCAAAACGTTCCAGTAGTCCCGGTGTCTCCAGAAGCGGCGCGCTTTGATCTTCCTTGGATTATGTTTATCGGCACGTTGGACACGATGCCGAAATCAGCATTTGTACCGCCAAGGGAGCACTTCAATGCCGGACGCCGCTACAGCGTAGCCTTGAAACAACGGCCAGGATGAGGTACACCAGAACAGCCACAGCGCCAGCGTCTCGCAGCGCCTGCGCCACGTTCTTGATGGTGCGGCGGCGTTGCTATTGGTCCGTTACGTGGACAGGAAGACGGCTAGGATAATGCCACGGGGCTCACGGACTTCGGACTGGTTGGCTGTCTTTCAGGCGAAACGCGACTTGAGCCTGATCAGGCATGTGAGCGAAACGACAACACCAACCGTCGCGCCCGCGTGCCTGCAAACCCCTGCGCATAGCTATTTCGGAGGGACTGGCTGGTGAAAGGTGGGTGGGTGCAAGCGAATTGGGTGGGTGAGGCGCTCGGTACGGCAATCAAATGTCTTGTGGTGGAGTGGCAGCCGGGTCTGGCGCACGGGCGACATGTGGAAGGGCTACTGCGGCGGAAAGGCTTTTGGGTATATACGTGGAAGATCTCCGTGTGCATGAGGGTGGCACATTCACTTCGAGCTTCACTTCTTCAAACTTGCTAGGCGAAGTTTCTTTCCAGAAAGTTGTCATCATGGGTTACGGTACGACATCACTCAACACCAGCACTAGGGCAGAAATTCGAGTACACTGAGTGACCCCGAGAGGCACACTACGCAACTCGATTGCGTTCACACGCTCCTGTCCTGTCGCGGTAAACCGGCCGATAGACGAGCAATGAGAACTGATTCCAAGACAGGTGGTTTCCTTACACTGCTCAATGGCTCTCCAAACGACTGGACGGTGAGCAGCCAACACTCCTATCAAATGGATCAGTGGGACTGGCCCACGGTCAAAGCTGGCACCGCTGCGCAGGTATACGTGGAGTGGGGTCAGAAAGGCAATCAGAAAGACGATGGAGGCGAGGCCTACTACAGCATTGATGGTACATCGGACACGTTCCAGGTCATCGGAAAGAAACCAGACGACTTCCACCTTACTATCAATCTGGATAACATGGCAACCAAGCAAAGTCCAAAGGGGTCGAGCGTTGATCTGGGTTTCCGTCACGACCATGCAGTGGACTTCATCGTAAGCACGGATGAGCTTGGTGATTGGTGGTCAAATGCAGGGGATCTCACCGACTGGATGCAACAAAGTCTTGGGACCCTTGGGAACAGGACGCTGAAGCAAATCTGCATGCCGGGTTCGCACGACGCTGGCATGAGCTCGTTCGATGCAGGCACTATCGGCGCCCACTGGACCAACAGCCAGACTCAGCTCCTCAACTTCTACGACCAGCTCGTGGCTGGATCGCGATACTTTGACTTGCGGCCTGTAATATCTGGTGGAGAATTCAAAGCAGGGCACTATTCCGAGCTCGAGGACATCTGGCTGGGCGGTAACGGAGAAAAGATCTCAGACATCATTAACCAAGTCAACGACTTCACGGCAAAGTACAAGGAACTTGTCATCATCAATTTGAGTCACACACTTGACACGGACAACGACTACAAGGACCTTTCTCAAGATCAATGGAACCAGCTTTTCGACCAACTCAAGGCAGTCAACAACCGCTTCACCGCCGATAACCCCGGAGATCACGACTTCAGCGGCGACAGCCTCGGGACCTTCATCACTGATCGCGCCTCCGTGTTTATCTTCGCGCAGTTGCCTGACGGCATCTTGCTCGGTGACTACACAAACCAAGGCTTCTTCAGCCAGAACAACTTCCCAATCTTCGACTCGTATGCGAACTCTAACGACGCCGATAAGATGAAGAACGACCAGCTCGACAAGCTCAAGGCGGAGCGCAACCTTGTTGCAGATGACGCGCAGCGCAAAGACAAGTTCCACATCTTCTCCTGGACGCTCACACAGCAGGCCGAGGATGTGCTCAATTTTGACAAGGCGATCATGAACTTGGCGGTGTCGGTCTACGACCCATTGTTTGTCGATGCATTCAACGCGTTCACTCCCGAGAGCTTCCCTAACGTGCTGTACGTGGATGCGGTTGGCGTGCGCGACAAGCCTGCAAACTTCCCCTATGACAAGCCAGATGACGTGGGCAGAAACTACGATATCATTAGCTTAGCGATTGCGATCAACAATGCGAAAGCTGGGAAGAATGTGTACATCACGGGCTAGGTACGATATCGATTGGGAGGAGTTGAGTGCTATCGGCCTGCAATCGCCTGTCTTGGATGACATAGAAGGCTCAGACTTTTGGCGGCGCACGAAAGGTGACACGATGGTTCGTTTCGTTTGTACATATCACTGTTCTGTTATGGATACCCTTATAAAGTTTTCTCGGCCGATCTCACCCATCGTCATGAAACGTACGACTGACATGCGACAGCCCTGAAAGTACCCAGAGCAGATACATTGTCATAGCATAGCAGTGCAAACACAATGTCCTCGCGGGCGCAGGGCCCAGCAAGGAGGCCCAGGTTTAGCTGGGAACAAGTCGGGTGCTCGCTCGATGTCACCTTCCCCTGGGAGCAGTCGCTGTGATGGCATGTGCAGTTCCGATGTCTCCTGCAGTGCTCCAGATGACGGCGCCGCGTGAATATCAGCATGCATCTCTTCGTCGTTACACGACCTGGGACGTTGCCGGGATGCGTGGGGACCCATGGTTGACGCTTCTGCGCCAAGGGCAATGGACGAGTCGGTGTGGACGCATACGCAGCACTGCGTACATGCTCTCTCCGAGTTGACATGGTCAGGGGACGGCGGGAGGACAAACCTTCACACTCGGCGTCGGATGGTCGAATGCAGAGGGACAAGGAGCATGGGTTGGCAGGGACTAGACTCGCTTCTTCTTACGCCGAGCCGGCGAATTAGACGAGGAGAAGGAGGGATGAGACGACGCCTTACTCTTCGCATCGAGGGGCAAGTATTGATTTTGGGGCATGCGCGATCAAAGTGTGTGGTGGCCTCGGGAACGGCAGGGAAAGACGAGCGCATGCTTGGGTGCAAAGAATGGTCGTACGTTGTGAGCACGTGGCTTGCGTTGCAGCCTCGTCAACGTCCGCGTCTCGCTTCCGGCTTCGTCCTCCCCCATCCATCCTTCGTGCCGCGGCCGATAGCCGTTGCAAGGCTTCACGCACGTCGGCTTATCTCATGGTCGATTCTTCCGCATCCCTTTTCTTCTGACCCTCATTACATCCACGCCAGGTTTCGGCCCACTGCCAACATGCCCAGAGCAGCGGCGCCTACCCGCAGCTGGCCTTCACCCATGGTACAGCTGCAGCGCGCCCGATGCTTCCCACAATGAACGGGTGCAAATCTGCAACCCAGCTCCACGTCTTGGTGCCACGTCGACCACGCTCCCCAATGTTACACCTGCAATGTGCAATCATCCTGCAGCCCCACGGCACGCTAGCCATCCAACTTCGAAAATCTTTCGTCCGGCAGACTCAACACAAGCTGCGGTGCGAGGGAACGGCACTGCCGACTTCCATGCTGAGTGCTCGTTCAGGGCCCGCTGGATCCATCGTTGTTTCGTGCGACCCATGTGGAATAACCCTGGACGATGCGACGGATCAAGTGCGAAACATGAACACATCAACGGCACTGGAAACCTGAAGAGAATCACCAAAGCTAGGCTAGAGTGCTTTTGATACAGTGACAGCTCATCATCAATGTTTCGACGTCCCTCGCTCCTAGACTCTCCTGCCTCTTGACAAGAAGTTGCTCCATACCAAGCCCATTAGTGGTTCTGAATCGATATTGGCCAAGAGCCAGGTTCCTGCATTGACTTCGAGAAGACGGATGCTTGTCGTAGCACAGCGGCACCCCTCCAATCCATGCCAGGCGTCTACGAAACCGATCCCGACACGAGGGGAAACACGCACAAAGGGTTTGGCGTCAAAGGCCCCACGCCCAAAAAAAGTACTTCAGACTAAAGTTAGCGGTCTCGGCAGGAGGGCTGTTGTCGCGCCGTCTCGACTTGACCTGCAGAACCGAGTCAAACATGGGTAGCGAGGAGGCTAGCTCTTGCCTGCAGTCGATCATCCAGCCTGGATTCCACATAAAGATGGCAAGGCCCTGCCGCCCTATCTTGTCCTTCTCTTCTTTAACCTCTTGCTCGGTCTGGTCTAATCCTGTGTAGCACCTTCTCCTTCAGAACCAAGAAAGGTCGTTCGGTGTGTAGTCAACACTACCACCAGTCACTCGCTTCACCTTTCTTTTCTATTCTCGCGTAGGGAATTATATTCCTTAATATTAATACCAATATCAAATTCAACCACCTATCAATATGCGTTTCCCCACAGCTATTGCTGCCGTAGCCGCGGTCGCTCCCATTATCAGCGCCCACGATGGTCCGGGCATCCCAAACATTGGCGGATTGAATATGAGAGATCTGAAGGCCCGGAACCTGATGGACAACATAAGGGCTCGTACTGCGGAACTTACCAAGGATGCTTTATTTGATAAACACGTACTTAAACCTCGTCAAGGGGGCACTGATGGACAGTGTGGTGCGGGCTTCGGATCTTGCGATGCAGGCTACTGCTGCAGCGACTCAGGATGTAAGTTCATTCTGTATTTCCACCACCAAAGGCCTAGCAAAAGCATTGACAGGTCGTGTGGGACTAATATACTGTTGGTCACGATCTTTCGCACCAAATGTACATGGTCACAACCCAGATCAAAGATCGGGTATCTATTGACCAAAGCCATGTTGTAAACTCTTTCATCTTGCAGACACTAACTAGATCCAGGGTGCGGTAACACTGGCGACTACTGCTACTCGCCTGGCTGTAACTATCAGTATGGCCCTGGATGCCCCGAGAACACAACCCCGGCCGGGGCTGACACGTCTTCCGTGAGCCGAACGAAATTGGGATCTGTAGAGTATGGTGGTGGTGGAATCTACCAGTGCACAGTTCCGGGCACTGTTGCATTGACTTTCGACGACGGACCGTTTGATAACTACACCGATCATGTGCTGGATCTTTTCGAGCAATACAACGCCAAGGGCACATTCTTCATCACGGGCAACAATATCAACAAGGGCGAGATTGATACCACCGCCAGTCACTCTGCCACAATCAAGCGCATGGCCAGCGAGGGTCACCAGATTGCGTCCCACACTTGGACACACTTGGACCTGAGCGCCGTTTCCGAAACGGACCGCAAGGCGCAAATGGTCAAGAACGAAATGGCCCTGCGCAACATTCTCGGGTATTTCCCAACATACATGCGCCCGCCTTACAGCAGCTGCACCGCAGAGTCCGGTTGCGAACAGACTATGTCTGATCTCGGCTACCACGTCGTTTACTTCAACGTCGACACGGACGACTACAACCAGCTCGAAGCTACCCAAATCCAGAACGCTAAGAACTATTTCAGGGGCAATATCACTGCAAATGGTGCCACCCCAGCGAACAACGAGTGGTTGGCCATTGCTCATGACATCCACCCGCAGACAGCTTACAACTTGACCGAGTACATGCTGTCTACTCTAACCACTCTTGGCTACAAGGCCGTCACAGTCGGCGAATGCCTTGGTGACGATGCTGCCAACTGGTATCGGGCCAACCCTGGCACCACCACCCAGACGTAAGGAACAACTTTTTTATGACTATGGGGATTCGATTTCGATACCGATGGGACGTCCACTGATTTTGTTTGTTTGTTTTCAGGTCGTCTGCTGCTACTGCGTCTGCCACATCCACCAAGAGGGTCTCCACTGATGGAACATGCGCTGGGACCTCTGGCTTCACGTGCCAGGGCTCCACATTCGGTAACTGCTGCTCTCAGTATGGATGGTGTGGATCTACCACCGATCACTGCTCCACCGCGTGCCAGTCTGCTTTCGGCACATGCGGAACTAGTAGCACTGCTCCAGCAACCAAAGCTGCCACCTCGACGAAGGCTGCTACGAGTACCAAGGCTGCGTCCACGAGCACCAAGGCTGCGTCCACGAGCACCAAGGCCGCTACTCCCTCGTCTACCGCCAAGGTCTCAACTGATGGATCATGCGCTGGAACCACGGGCTTCACCTGCAAAGGCTCGTCGTTCGGCAACTGCTGCTCACAGTATGGGTGGTGCGGTTCTACGACCGACTACTGCGGGACTGGGTGCAACAAGTCGTTCGGTACCTGCTCGTAGAAGGACAATGAGGATGGGCTCTGCTGAGAGATTGGTGCATACGACGGCATTTAGGATGATACCCGCAGATTACTTGGGGATGATTGTGCATAGCGAGGGCGGGCGACGGGCGTTCATTGACGCGTTGTGCGAGCTTTCTAGCACTGCATTTGCATCATAACGAATACCACACCGAGTTGCATGTGCGTGATAGAACGAGTCTGCCAGGAACTTTTGCAAAGCGCATCTCATGTAGGATGGATTAGTCCTGCACATGTGATCCGACCGGAAGCGCATTGTATCAGATCAGACGAGCATGCAGTTCTTCGTCGTAGGGCCAAGGATTGTGACGTGCTCGAGTGATCCAATGCACCTGCTGAACCCTTCCAAAGTTCGCTCTCCGATTGCTTATGTCTTGCATGACGCCCGGAAATGGCGCCCCGTAGTTTCACGGTAGACGCCAGGTACGCAGCATATCGATCAGGTGACAGTCCGCGACTTCGAAGACAGCGGAAGCTGCGTTGGAGGTGATGGCACGCTGTCGAAACAAGATGCGGTCGTCAGCGAGACGGCGTCAACAGGCGTAGGACGTGTGCAGTGTGGAGAATCTGGGGAGGCTGACGGCTGGGGAGGGCCTAGCGCGGATTCACATGCGCCGGCAGCCAAGATGCCAGAATCTAATTTTACCGGATAGATCAGCTTCCCTGTGGCCTGAAGTCTTTCACCGAACAACGAGCTCCAGCAACACCACACACCCCGAGAACACTTACAGCCAGGACAGCTACCTGGCACTAGTCATAGACACCACCCAACGACCAAACACTGCCATCTATGGGCTCTGCCATCAACAACGCGACCGCCTTTCTTGCCCTCCGCGACTGCACCCTGGCTGCAACCGCGACCCCGAACTCTGCACGCCCCTATAGACTGTCCCAGACCGACGCGAGCTTTGCCGCCCTGCTGGGGCAACTACTGGCAGGCGGTCCGCCTTGATCACTGGGCGGACGGTAAACCACACTGAAGAGCTATTTGTTGGGACTTGCAGGTGCGCGCGTTTTCGCGGCTACCGTGGAAGAGCGTTCGCTGACGCGCAGGGAATAGACACAAGTCCAAATTCATTTGCACACGTAGGACAAGTTCACGTGTAGCCACATAGCCTGGTCACATGGCACTGTTCACCTTTGACGATGAAGCCCACCTAGCGGGGAACACGAAGAGCGACTCGCTTGCAGCACGCAAGGAGCCCGCGCAACTCCCAGACATCGACGAGCGCATGCATGTCGACGTGCCTGTTACGCAGACCCATGTGGGCACTCCGCCCATCGCTATTGCGTCCCCGATTCCGCGGCGGCTTGTGCAGCCAAACGCCGAGGCGAAGCAGCCAGCGCATACCGACAAGCTGGACTTCGATACCGTCATGAAGAAGGCGCAGAAGAACAGGAGAAAGAAGAAGAAGGCTTCCAAGGCTGCGCCCGCCGCATCCACGGTTCGTGGTTTCGAGACGCCTGCTGCGTCCGGCGGGGAAGAGTCGGACTTTTCTATCGCGACCACTCCTCGTTTTGGGCCTTCCTGGTCTGCATACCCAAGTGTTACGAGCAGTCCCGCCCTCCGGCCAACCTCCGCAGCTGGAGTTATTGGCAATCTCAGGCAGCAGCTCGAGGCCTTGAACATCGGCCCGCGTGTCGATTCTCCTCAAAAGCAGTGCGGCTGCGGTCCTGGCCAGCTCCGATCTGGCCTGTCCAGCAACGCCAGTGTGTCTAACTTCAGCGACAGTGACCGCACGGAGATGGAGAGTTATGAGCTTGACCTCAACGAGGATTTTGTCAGCCCTGATGTCCGCTCAAAGCCTTCGACTATGGTTACAAGCAGTCTTGCGCGTAAGATGACGGCAGAAGACTTCGACACGCTTACATGCCTAGGAAAAGGAAGTTTTGGCACCGTCCTCCTTGTTAAGCAGCGTGCGACAGGTCGCCTTTACGCACAGAAGCAGTTCAAGAAGGCCTCCATCACCGTTCGCAAGAAGCTCATCGAGCAAACGAAAACCGAGCGCTCTATACTGGAGAGCGTCAACCGCCATCCGTTCATTGTCAACCTGTATTATGCATTCCAGGACCACGAGAAGCTCTATCTAATCCTCGAGTACGCGCAGGGTGGCGAGCTCTTCCACCATCTTGCGCAAGAGCGTATGTTCAACGAGGACACTGCGGCCTTCTACATGGGCGAGATGGTGCTTGCTCTTGACTATCTTCACCGCTCTGTCGGCATCGTCTATCGCGACCTGAAGCCTGAGAACTGCCTTCTCGACGCCGAAGGCCACTTACTGCTCACCGACTTCGGGCTCAGCAAAGTCGCTGTGGATGACCAAACCTGCAACTCCATCGCTGGAACCATCGACTTCATGGCCCCAGAAGTCATCCAAGGGAATGACTATGGCATGGCTGTAGACTGGTGGTCTCTTGGTGCTCTTGGGTACGACTTGCTCACTGGCTCGCCTCCTTTTGAGGGCAACAACCATGCCAAGATTCAACAAAATATCCTGCATAAGAAGCTTACGATGCCTTATTATCTTTCGCAAGATGCTAAGGATTTACTGACACGCTTCCTGCGCAAAGAGCCCAAAAAGCGTCTTGGCTACAACATGCCTAAGGATATGAATACCATCCGTGCACACCGCTTCTTCCGCAAGCTCGACTGGAAGAAGCTCCAGGCCAGAGAGCTGGAGCCGCCGATCATCCCGCTCATCACGGACCCAGAGTTGGCGGAGAACTTCAGCGACGAATTCACGAGTGCGGCGCTGTCGAACGTCATAAGCAGGAAAAACGAGCACGATGATCTGGAGGACGAGTACTCGGCTATGGAGAAGGACCCATTCGGCGGGTTCAGCTTCGTTGCCAGCCAAAGTCTGTTAGATGAACCCGTTTTTGGGTACTAAGAAGAGAGGGTGATGCTAACGGGGAAACTGGAGGAACTGGTTCTTTGTTGAATACATCTTCCGAGGCTGGTATTTCTTATTATCATTTTGGTCTATGGGTGCAGTGCGGGTTATTTCACTGTTTTGCGGCCATTTACGTGGACTTCTGCATGCAAGCCATGGTGATCAATACTCGTCTGCCGTGCGTCCTGGGTACCGTTGCAAAGCACAGGCTTTTCATACTATCAATTCTATGTTATTTCGATGACTCCCCCCTCCATATCTAGATATCCACGTTACCCGCGTACCATGCATAGTCCCTATCCCGGGGTCATGTCAGTAGCGCGCTTTGTTCACGCAGAAACGAGAAGCAGACAGATGCGACAAGAGACGTTCTTTCCTGGCTCACAACCATAGTTATAGCAGCGCATTGAGTACGATCTCAACTAGCACATCCAGCTTACTCGCACTCCGCATTTCTTTCGCTCCTCACCCGCGCGTTCCCAGAACTCAAGCCCCTCATTCGTCAAGCGGCTTTCCTCCTCATCGGACCCCTTACCCCCCGGCTAACGTGCGATGCTTCCTCTCAGCGGCCTTCTGCTGCCGCCCGGCAACCCAGACAACATATGCTACCGAATGGCAATTGGTACTCATCGTTCCCCTTTAGAAGATGCAGAAGAAGCTAATTGCACGAAGGGGCACCCTCCTGACGGATCGTGAACGACAGCACGAAGGCTCTCGATAAGGAGTTCGGCCTTCGCAAGCTTCGAGCCTAGGTTTATGAGCATGCAGGCTTGGATGTTGAAAAGGATGGCTTTCTCATCCACCTCTCTATAAACGCAGACTTCCCTATGGGATCGGGCTCGGCCGGGATGCGTCGCAATCATCTCGACTCGGGCGTTCTCCAAAAGTACAACAACAAAGCTTATGGCCAAGATCGCTTCCGGGATGGGACTGATGCCACCAAGTATACTCTTCTATGCGCCTGTCTTCTCAAGCTTCGTTGTATCACGCCTCAGCCCATGCTCTCAAAGCTAAAGTCACTCATCTCTCTTCTATACCAGGCCTTTGTCCAGAAGCGTCAGCCCGGTTGCCACATCGCGAAAATGACACCTTTCACTAGGAAGTAATTGTTGACCGCGATCGAGAGAAGACAGCCTGGCCGCCCATACTCGTACGGCAACAAACCTATGTTCGAGACATGGTTACCAACGCAATATTGGACCTGGCACCAGTTTACACAACCACGCTCAAAGATCTCGGTCCTACAAAGGTCGTTGAGGTCACTGAGAAGGGCCAGACGCGTTTCAGCGAAAGCTACCGTGATTTTGGTCTTCGAGCATGCTACCCATACCACGTCTGTCTGCTCTGTAGTGTGTATGTACAAAGTTTCAGAGACTGAAGTCTTGTCGCTACAAATGCGAACTTTCAATGCAGCACCCAGCCGTTGTTTACACGAAACAGTCATTAGTGATATTGATTGAGCAGATGCATTGGTGGACAAGAACGTGACTTGATATGATGCCGCACGGTTAAGCCTACTATATCATCTATTCTTCACCTATCATCTGCCATTTCTCGGAGATGCATATTACCACCAGTGCAGCATAACCCATTATACCATCAACTAGCGCAAACAACATGTAGACCAACCGAAAGCAGATTCTGGTGTTTTCCTTTTGACGGAGTTTCGATTCCAAGCTGCGGATGGATAGGGGATGCAAAAGACATGTAAACGCAACCGAGTAAAGGATGATCTCGAATCATACGCAACGGGGAGCTTGTGTTGGTATCAGTACTGACTCCCTTGAAAGCCAGGTTCGTAGTGACCTTCGGTAATATCTACAATATGGTCGAACTAATGCATGAGACAACGAGGTATCTCTCGTCCTGTCAGCAACACCATGGCATAGTGAATCGCAGCAAACGTACCATCTTCGCTTTTGACGCCTTCGAGATGCCCTCGTAACTCCAATGGCTTGCTGAGGCCTACTCGTATCGCCCCGGGATTTTAATAAGAGCACTCATCAATCCATTTATTTCCCACCGATGCTGAAACCCCTCGTCATGTAGTCCTTACTATTCGCTAGATCCGCTTTCTGATTCCCCTTCGAGAACAAACTTTTCACGTTATCGTTTTGATCCAGTTTCCGCCTCTTGTTCCTCTCTTCTTGCTCCTCAAGCACCTTCTTCGTAAGATACGCTGTGCTAGCATTCTTGATGCCATTGTCCGAGTTTCTCTTCTTCTTTTCGGAACTCGTCTCGACTTTCTTATCCTCTTCCAGGGTGCCGGCTTTCGCGTCGCCAGACAACGCTTCACCGTTCGTCACTTCTGCGTTCTTCTTGCGCTTCTTGCTGCCGGGCGCTTTCTTCAGTGCGTGAGTTAGATTCTTCTCCTTTAAGGTCTTAATACGAATATTCAATCGTGCAATATCTGCTGGAGCGGTAGGAAGGATGGGTATAACGTCGTTCTCAGCGTATGCTTCGTTGCACTGTTCCACATTAGCTTCTCAACACCGGATTAGATCAGGAGAAGACTGCAGCGTACCTGTACACAACTCCTTTCCTGCACCTCACGCACCACGCTCCCCGCAAACGCATGCCCACACGGCACCACATAAACCGCCTTCGCTTGCGGCCCCATACGCTCCTTGGTAACAGGACACACCCACTTCTCTTTCCTCCCCGCACCCTTGTCTTCTTCACCATCGACCTCGAACTTCACCTCGACCACATCTTTCAGTCCCTTGACTCTCCCACCAAGCACCTTCTCGCCCTCGACCTTCTCCACGTTGCCGTCCTCCGCAAGCAAAAACTCCAAGATGCTGTCTTTGTTGTAGAGCGTACCGAGACAGTCTGAGACGACGGGTGCAGAGAGCGGCTTCGAGGATAGGGGACAATGATTCCAGGCGTGTTCTTGCGACTCGGCGCGCGCTTCTTTAATTTGGGACGCGGTCGGGGCTTTGGCAGCTTCTTTTACGAGTTCGCGGCGTTTGGGGATGCTACCACCGTCGTTACCCATGATGAGCGACTTGCTGTAAACTTGTGAGAGCGGTTATGGGGTTTGGTGATTATGCAAGCAGAGGCGTGGACGGCGGCGATAAGGTAGAGAAAGTGCACGGGCCAATGGTTCAGTGGACCAAGACGAAGAACACACTAACGATTGGCCCTAACGCAACGCAACAATACCTAGGTAACGCTCTACTACAATAATTAATATTTTTAAATTGTACGCTACACTATAACCCCTATATAGGAATAGTTATAAACATTGAGGGTCATAGTTGTGGTATTGCAGTATCGACTTAGTGCGGACCAACGTTGAACCTTTGGAAAGCGCCTTCAAACGTTATTATCACCTTCATGTTACTTGACACCGAGAAGACTAGAAAACATGGTATTCTTTATTTCAGAATGCAGTAGATGCCAAGTTACTGATCTATGCTATGGTACAACAGTCATGCAGATGATATGATACAAACCGTGGAAAGCAGCGCTTTGTCCCTAAGCCTGCTCGCAATATAGAACTCCATTTTTTTCGACACGGAGTGATCCCTCACTAAACTTTAGCTACGCAGAGTGCGGATCGCGAGTCATCCACTCCAACGGTGTATGTGCCTCCGTAGAGGTAGACGCCCATTGCTTCCTCTCCTCTAAAGGCGCTGCTCTGCTCGCTCGCCATCTGACACTGGGCCTCGACGAACTTGGTTTGTCTCTTCTCTTTTCAGTCCCAACATTGCCCTCTTCCTTTGTATCCTCACGGTCACCTTGGGGATCACCATTCTGTTTAGTTCCACTTTTCGTAGACGCTCTGAAGATGAGTCTCTGGAGCAAGGCTGACATCCTCGCCCTCTCAGCCTTGAACGAGGCTTTCTGTTCTTCCGGTATCAAGTTGGAAAGGAGAAGCCTGTCGAAGACGGCGTAGATCTTGCGAAGAGCTGCAATAGTGTCCTCCCTCGCCTCTGCACTCAACGCTCTGGTGCCTGCGACACTTCGCCCACCGTACGTTTTCTCTGTGCCTACACTGAGCTGGATTCTGAGGCTCTTGACAACGGGCTGGAGATATGTCAGCGCTTCCACGAGGTCCTCACCCTTGGCAAGAGGGAAGGTAACGGCAAGCTCGGCGTATTTGAAGCTTGTCTTTGCATCCGCATCCGGCAGAGTTTGCATCATGAGTTGGAGGATCTGGCTCGCATTCTTGAGCGAGTTATGGTTGTTCTTGTCGCGCACACATGTGCTCATCGCTATCCTGAACGTCCCTGGTTTAAACACCAACAGCTTGGCAAAATAATCATCGTGCAGCATTCGCACTACTGTGCTTGATGCGCGATTTGTACGCAGAAGGCGTAGGCGTTGATGCAGATTATTGTTGTCAGGCACGATAGCATAAGTACCAGGATCCGTCAGCACGTCCCAGTATTCGTCGGCAGCTTTCGGAGCTACTATCTTTTGGCACGCTTCAAGGACCATTGACAAAGTGTCGTTCGACGGAGTTGCGTACGTAAGTGACCTTGACCTTTTACCATCCTCGCCTTCGGTGAGCGCAAGGAACTCAACTCCACGCCTAGGAGCACCGTCCGGACTTAGGTGTTCGTCGTCAAACTTGTATTCTTGCGGTGTATTGGGCGCCCGTATCCGTGGTAGGGCCTCTCGTGCTATAGACCCCAACCGGGGCACAAGCCGCGGTATGTCCATAGTCTGATCGACAAGTGAAAGCACGTCGTCCCAATCGCGTGGCCTGCTTCCAACGAGAAGTAACCTTCCCATCGCGCATACTAGGTCTTCCTCAATGACTAGATCTGCATTTTTCCACTTGCCAACAACATCTTCCCACATCCGCCTGCCTTCTACCACCCCTCGTTCTCGTCTGTGAGCAAGTTCGTTTTCGCCTTCCCCGAGCGGCGCATCTACCAGCAAGCTCTGTCGTATTGCATTCAGTATGATGGTGAAAGTCCTTGCATCAGCGGCGCCTGGCCCGCTTTCTGGGATCTTCGCGGCAAAACCCCAAAGAGCATCCATATCGAGTGCTCGCGCACAGACGTTGAGGACGGCGTTCGTATGTATGATGGATGGCTGGACCCTGGAGTTCGGCGCAGACATGGAATGGTAAACGGCGATGGCTTTGCTTGCAACGCCCGACTGGTGTGCATTGTTCGACAAGCCTCGAAGGACGATGGTGTAGGTATACGAGTCTGGAAATTGTGCGCGTTTCTTCATCTGCAACATGTGAGCAGTTGTTCGAGCCATGCCGCTTCTGACCTACGTCGTTGTACACCTTCATAGCTTCCGAAACGCTCGTTTTCATGAGGTGGTCGATGATGTGGTTCCAGCTGACGATGACTTGCATCGAGTGACTAGCCATGCGAACCAGCTGCATCATCTCCTTCGTCTTGCCCTTGGCCAACTCCTGCTTTACGAACGCTGCAACTTCTAGCGGGTCGTGCAGATGCTGCAACTCCCTCCTCCGCCTGTCCCATTCTGCTGGAGGGATTCGAGGATCGCGTTTGCCCAACCACATCTCCCCGCTCGCGACTTCTTTCATCATCTGCTCTCTATCCACCGGGCGTCGCAGCGCTTGATCCTGGCGCCGTCGGAGGTTTTTCGCTGCCGGCGACCTTTCCCACGCATCTCGCCTATGCGGCGGATCTCGGTATGGCCTGTCCGTTGGTCGCGCGTTCGAGCGCTCCGGAGAGCGGGTTGTTGCATTGCGGCGGTCCTGCGTCGAGGAGCTCGCGGACCTCTGCTGGGTCGCGATGAGCACGGCGGGACTATGACGGCGGAGGCGGTGGGTCTGCACAGGCGACGTGTCGAGTGCTCGTATGCATCGCGAGAGGCAGGCTCGACAGTTGAGCATGGATGCGCGAGCTGTGTGCTGATTCGAGTTGGGTACAGGAGCAGCAGAAAAGCTGCACCACGCAGGACCCTTGGACGTGTCGGCCCGCACGTTGTTCCGAGGCACGGCCGTTCCCGTGACCGAAGTGGAGCCGTGGACGCCGGCGCCGAACATGGACGTCCACGTCAGCCGGCGCGGTCGCACACCAGCGTGAAGCAGCGTGAGGCAGCGCGAAGCACGGCAGGCCATGCTTCTGACGGCGGCTGCGCGCTTGTGCTGCCGCAGGGATGGCGTCGGACCCCACCCCGACCAGCTTCGGCAGCGGCGGCCCCTTCGCATTCGCAGGCCCGAGTCGGCCATGAGGCTCCGGGCTGCTCTATCCGGGCTGCTGGGAAACATGGGGAACAGCCATCAGCGCTGGCGGTCGGCCCAGCTAGCGCAAGACATGCGTCCGAATGCCCATTCTACTCGCGGCTTAGACCACGTTCCTTCGGGCGACGTGGCGGGACGAAGTGCCTTGTTGCCCGTCTGTACTACGCAGAGCCGCGACGCTGGTAACGAGGCGCATGTAATTGTCTGGCGTCTTGGGCGACGCCCGGTGCGAGCAACGCCGGCGATCCTGCTGCCGCCATTGCTGAGTAGCGCCCGTCGCACGGCTGCAGAGGACGACGTTGTCGTGTGCGAGTGCCCGGTGTCTGCGCGACCCCAAGCGATGAGCGGCGTTATCGTCGCAGCAGGCTTCCCATGTGGCTCTGCGAACGGTGTGATTCCAAGTGCCGTCTGAAGCTCGTCCTCTGCGTGTCCCGACGGGCTGCTCTGCACGGGACCGCGTCCTCCTGCTGTGCAACCACGCCTGCATGTTAGCTGCCGCCCGTCATATGGCGCCGCTCTGCCTGTCATCCAACGCCCGACTCCCCAAGACGCAAAAAGCAAAGGCCCGGACTTGCCCATGGCGACTTCGGATCATGGGCCGCTAAAGGCCATCCCGCATCATCCTACCCACATGTTAGTTTCAACGTCGATTCCACATCTTGCCAGCTCCACATCCGTACGCAGCATTCATGGTCGCTTTCGGCATTCGAGCTGTCCAGACCCAGCCAACTCTTTGTTGCTCCGGCAGCTCCGGCAGCTCCGGCCCTGATGGCAATGCAACCCAATGCGGCCTCGGATACGCGCGGACATGTGCTGTCCACGTCTTGCCGCAACATTTGCATAGAGGCAATCAAGCGAGCATCAAAGCAAGCTCGGGTCGCCGCATGACCCAGTCTTCATGCAAGGACCTGAGTCGGTCGCGCAGACGTTTGGAGCCTTTGGTTGCGCTCATTGCGGAGCGAATGGTCGCCCCTCCACCGCTTCTTCGTCACACATGCTTCCTGCATGCCGACCGCTATCTCCGCCAGCTGCTCAGTCTGGTGTCCCCTCGTCGTGCGTCATGGAAAACCAATCAATCCCACATCAGATCTCTCATTGGCTTCTTCCACCGAAGAACTTTGCATGTACCTTGGATCACGCAGGCTGCACATCGCTGTCCGCACAAGAGTGGCACCACTTGGTTGTTCCCGATACTGCAGTCAATCATTGGCCCTGTGCGAGGTATTGCACACGAAGCTGGCATGCCACAGCGTCAACGTCATCCATTGAATCGCCTTCTTGCCATTGTACTTCCATCTCGGTGCTCGAGGACGAGATGTCGCCGACGCCCTCCATGCCTTCCCTCTATACGAGCTCGAGTCACGCAGATACTCACTGCTTGGCTTCTTGTCGGTATGCAGGCCTTGATGGCGCCTTTCGTATACAGTCTACATTGTCTGCAGGTTCGTGTCCGACGTAGCAACACACGCACATCAATTTATCCAGATAGCCGAGCACGGGCAGCATCTCATCTCTTCCTTCGACACAGATGCCACATGGGCGTCCCTTAGACCCAAAGTTGTGATCCCTCAAACAATTGACGTTGACTCCTGCTTCGTTTCGTGTGCAGCATAGGATCGTCATGTCCCTGAACACTCAAGGCCACCCTCTCCTCACATACTCGACCTGCATCCACCCAGGTTGAGGGGAGCGATGCGCCACATCATGTGGGTCGGCAAGGAAACGAGCTGCTTGAGGTAATCAGACACTCCGCCGTTGTTCGTTCCACGTCGCGCCTCTTGTAACCCTGAGTCCTGCATGCAATACAAGCCGCACGACCCCCGCCCTACGGTTAGTCAAGTTCTCAGTGCTCAAATGTGTTCTGTGTACTGGGGATGCATATTGCGTGGACAGCTAGATAGTGGTACAGAAGTAGAGCAAGACAAGCAGAAAATGAGAGTGATATGCTCTACTGTTCGGCTCCTTCCGTTCTCGAGAAACGCTGCACCATCCCTCGGCCGGCTCACCGCTCCTGACCTCCTCAAACCCGCCCACCGTGTGATGCTTTGCAGCTAACTATCAATTGAGCACAAGAATAACATTTGCGAAAGGGGGAAAGGGGGTACAATTGTTTCAAAGCGCCATACCGCATGCATGTGTCTAGGCCCGGAAGAAGAGAAATTGCAAACCAATTTTTCGGCCTCATCAAACAGGTGGACCTCAGAGCCACAATTACACATACGCCTCCACGTAACTCTATCTTCTGAGCAACCCCAATTTTCCCATGTAGACCACGTGAGAGGTAAGCTGTCGTATCGCCCAGGGGAATCTCGATTGTGGGAGTCGTTGACTGCCGATTCCGTAAACACCGTGAAGAGACATACAGCCACCACCCGTTGAAAATGCAGTCGAAACAGAGCTAAAAGATGCTACACCGTCCCATGCATCCTTGACAGGTTATGCAGACTCCCTCCAAGATATTGAATGTGTTAAGAGCTGCAGGAAACAAGACGAGGAGAAGAGATATGCTTGATGCGGTGAGTATTGGAAGTTGTTCGAAAACCCATCATCCGCTGCTGAAACGTCGGTCCGAGACCGATGCAGAAATGCATTGTTTCAAGCTTAATGGCCTTGCTGGTACATTTGCGGGTTCGAGCCGTAAGGCGACTGCGGGTAACTGCTGCTGTTACTATTCGGACTGTTGAAGGCATTGCTGGAGGGGGTGGAATACTGAGCCATGCCCTCTGCTAGCCCTGGGCTCTGCGTCCCATACTGCGGCCCAGATGAGTTGCCAGAGGCAGCAGGCTGGTAGCCGATGGGAGGAAGTTGGGGATGTCCTGGCGCTTGTCCAGGAACACCGACTGCTTGACGCATTTGACCATAGACAGGTGCCTCGGCACCGTTCTCGTGGCCACGGTTCTGATCAGCAGCTCGTGCCCGCTCCTCATCAGCCTTTCGCTGTGCTTCCTCCTCCTTCTTTTTAGCCTTCCACTCCTTTCGGATTTCTTTGAACTCTGTTATGATCATGTTAGTGACCTATAGTACGCATGTTAAGAGACATGCCAAGCTAGCAAGGCAAGGGTTGTAAGTGACTAGCTTCGGGCGTTTGAGGCTATCCCGTTGTAGCGGAACACCATCAAAGTAAGCGGCGCACCAACACCGATCATGGATGCTAGGCTAGCGCGCAATTTTGGCGGATCGAGACTAAAACATGGGGATATAAACGTACCTTCAGGAGTCCGCTTTGCGCCATGCGATTGCATCGTGACGTGCGCGTTTAGATGGTTAAGAGTGCCGTAAGCCTTTTCACACCCGTTCCAACCGCACTTGTACATGCGCTCAATCTCCTCATACCTTCGACGGGGCCGCTTATGTTGCTGCGCGCCCGGAATCGGGACGAAGGAGTATACGGTGGACAACGGATGACCGCCCTGCGCAGTTGTCAGCGACGCGTCTCATACGTCGCGCTACATTGGCGCACATGGCTGCAAAAAAAAGGACGCGTTAAGCGCGCAAGGAAAGATACCTACATTCGGAGGGCGTTGTACGGGAGACACCATAGCAGGGGCAGGCGGTCCCGAAGTGGAGGGGTACCCGTACGGCATCTGATGCTGAGGATGTTGCCCAGCCCATTCAGGTCGCTGAGCATACATGGGTGTGGCGGGATGCCCCGGATAATGCTGCATGTCGTGGTGGGGGGTGTACGGCGAGTACTGTTGGTGTTGAGGGTACGTCGGGCTCGTCGCTGCGGCAATTGATGGATCTATAGGAACATCCGAGTCAGACTTGAGTTGTTGCGCTTGATGGTCATTGTTCTGGCCATCTTGTAGAGGCATTGACGGACTTTGTGGTTGGGCCATACCGCCAGCTGGTGCACCTTGAGCGCCTGGCTGGTACGAACGTTGAATGTACTCGGGAAACGAACCCGATCGAGCAGACGAGGGGTTGATGGCGTACTCGGAGGAGGGAGTGGCCGACGAGGAGAAGTTGGAGGCTCGCGGGTCCTGTCCTTGAGGATATTGCGCAGCAGATGCTTGATCTGCGTTGGAGTCCTCAGAAGTCGGTTCAGGAAAAGATGGGTAGGGCGAGTTCAAACCTGTCTGCGAATATTCGGGTTGTCTTCCGTCCATAGACTGTAATGCGAGGTCGTTTGAGCAGTTGCACCTCAGCTTACGGGGGCTTAGGTTGGCTGCGCGCTGTAGAGGAAGAGGAAAGGCCGCCAGATAAGACGGTTTGGCAAGCGTCGTCGGATGATTTGCCGCGGACGCTTGCAAGACAGGCAGCTAAGACGGAGACAGAAGACGAACGGGGCCAGGGTGGTGCACAGCCAGAGAACCGGAGAAGGTCGAGGCAGGAGGTCGCGGTAGCGTGGACCTTAAACGCGGGTGATGTGCAGACGGTCTGTTTTCCAGTGTGGCCTGGTGGAGGGACAGGGCGTTCGGCAGATTTGCGCCGTCGAGATAACGCACAGAAGACGCAAGCTCGAGGCCAACCGGACAGGGGCGGGTCTGGCTAGCGGGTTGCGAGGTTTTGAATCGCGGAGGGCCTCGCGCAGACCAGCGTGAGGTGCAACAAGCGGTAGCACGAGTAGTGTGCTAGCTGGTAGTGGGAGAGCGCTGGAATGGCTGGGGGGCAAGGGAGCGATTTGGGGCGCGCGCGGTGCTGCAGCTCGGGCTAGGCACTCGTCTCTGGGGCGGTGGCGTGTGCGCAAGGAAATAAAGTGGCGCCAATGGGGCCTCGAGGAGGACAGCCGCTTGCCCAGGCGGCCTTAGTCGAGACGATGAAGTAATGGCAGCGCGGGCGGCCTGCCTGACGTCGACAAAGTAAAGGGCCGGGGGGTCTGCGATCGGTTGGGCCGAGCCCGTGCTGATGGACGCGCTGTGGCCGGGGGGCGCGCTAGGCCGGGGGGCTAGCTGTGGCGGGTATGGCGGATGAGGCAGCACCGGCGGTTGTGGTGGAGCGCGACCTTGGCCGGCGATGTCGTGGTGAGGAGTGGGCGCCGCTAACAGCCGCAAGCAAGCCTGGTGACGGCGACTGTCGGGGAGGGCTCTGAGTGCTGCGCGCAGAGCCAGCGCAGTCGGGCCGTCGTCGGTCGAGGGATGCGCTCCACTCGCAGAGGCCCAGCTGCCGAGCGATCAGCCTGTCGTCCGGCCGCTTTTCCGTGCGGGCTCCACTGCTCGCCCAAGTTGCTCTTCTGCTGCTGCGCGGGACGTGGCCGCGGCAACTGCCACGATGGAGCTGACCGAGGGCTGCAAGCGTGCTAGTCGCGCCGGGGCGGGCAGAGCGTCGCGACGAGGGCCGCGTCGGTGTCTGGGGGCAGCCTCGCGGGGGTCGCACGTGTAGCACCGGCGGCGATGCTGGTGCTGGCGCGGAGCTGGTGCTGGCGCTGTGCGGGACTGGCTAGCAGAGGCACTACCTTCGAGATGCTGGGGGCTTGGAGTTGAGATTCGCGACGCAGCCTAGGGCGGAGATGGCAAAGCGTCGAGTGGCGAGGGGAGCGAGAGGCCGCTAGAGGCCCTCCGGCCTTTTTCAACGCCTGCTGACTCAGCCCGCGCGCCTCTGGCTTGTTTACTTCACCACCACGCCCACCACGCCGGACAGGCCACGACGCGCCTGATCCTCGCGTGCCGTGCATCGGCCAGGGCCTGCGGAGAGACACCGCTGCCCACCGTGAGGCTGAGATTAGCCTGCCGCTAGATTCTCCCAGCGCAGTGGCCGTTGGCGCCCATCTAGCAGCGCGACGCCGTAGATATCTGCCTGCCCCAGATGCTCTCTCCTCCCCTCACCACGGCGCAACAGCATCGCGAGCCCGTCGACCGCAGCCCGTCGCGCGCGAGCCCTGGGCCGAGGCGCGCTGCCCGACCGCCTGCGGGCCAATATTGGAAAAACGGCACACCGACGCAAGCGGCAGTGAACTGTGCGTGCTGCGAGAATGCGAACGCGGCGTCAGTGGCCGGGGCGACAACGGCGAGCAGTGTCCGCAAGTGGAGCCGCTCAACCGTCTCTCTATTCATCGCCATCGACTCGACTCGACGACCCCCCTCAACATGCTCCGCCCTCCGCCATCTCGCGTCTGTGTCTTCGTCGCTTTCGAAGCCTTCACCGCCTGCTCTGGCACGTCCACGGTGCGCAGCCGCCGATGAGTCGCTCTCTGACACGGCGCTGCAGACGACGTGACGGACTGGGCCGCCCTCGTCGCGCTGCATGCGCGGGGACCCACCGGGAAGCTCTCGCCAAAACTGACCTTCCCGGGTTCGCGCAAATTTCCGCATCGACCTTTCGGTTGCTGGACGCGCGATGCTCTCAGACGATGCCGTAGTATGATATCAACACGGCCTCAGCAGAGCCAGACGAGATCCAGCGACCCTGTTTCGACGTGTGCCCCGCCAACGCGCTGCAGTGCTACCGTTGCTTTTCCATCCTGGAACGACACGAGGAGGTGCAATGCGAAACGCGTCTCGATGCCGTCAAAAGCGGGGCTCTATCCTCGTGTTCCCTCATGCCGCATGCGCCTTTCTTGACGTGAACGGAACAGTCCGTCTTTCAACGCCCCTCGACGTATGATTTGTTGGAAGTCGCCGCAGCTCACATCCGATCATTCCGGCGGACGTCTTCCAGCTGCGTTGATTGCTGCCCACAGAACCGCGGCTCGTCCATGTACAGCGAGACATGGATCTTTTGCGAGAGCATAACAAATACCTCTTTCAACTGTGGGCGTCATCATGTCGTCCCGTGTGCTGCGAATGCCGCGTCTCGGCACCAATCGCCCGGCCATTTCCCTATCGTACATTCCTGTCGTACAGAGACAGTTGGCCTTGGGTCAAAGATGCAGATTGAGTCTGTATTCGCGCTGGCTGCACTGTGGCCGAAACCCAGACCTAACGCCGTCCGGCGTAGAGGCGGATTGTTTCACAAAACCTTAACCCAACCTCCACGACCTTTGCTTATTACCAGGCGGGCGTAAGCTAAATTACCGCATCTTTTGTATGATTGGACAATTCATTTGCAAACTTGATCTGTCTCCAGGATGAGCATCAAGGCGACGCTATTTCTATGACGCGTTGCGCCGTCGAGCGGGACAGGGCCAACGCAGTCCTCGTATATGCACAGCAAACATGGGCAGGTAAACCGTTGCGACTTTACGCGCGACGGACATGAGCAACTGCCATTGTAGTTGCAAGCAACCGTCAAAGGTTACGCGACTCACTGCGCGTCCAAATCACCGCACGCGAGGGAGCTCAGACTCAGGTTCTGATTCCTGGCGCCAGCATGGCACGCATCAAGCCAGCGATTGCGCGTCCAGATCAACTCATTCCAAGACATGACCTCGTGATCTGTTCCCAACCTGGATACCTCGCCTACTCTCACATCGGCTAAAACGCGCATGCTTCTGCACAGGGCTTGCTCAGGGACGAGTCCGGCGAGCCTTTTTAGGTCGCGGTTGGCTTGTGCAGGGGAGCCCTGGCCCCAAGCATCAAGTGGGCCCTGCGGCTTCGGTCTCATTAGGGATTTATTTGACCGAGACCCTCACGTGGCAATACAAATCCCGGATGGGGACTCATGCAACCGGGATGGGCAAATGTGTCCTTGCTTATGTGCATGCAGTAGGTCCATGCTCGACACCCAAGCAAAGATCCGGAGATCCGGATTCGTCTGCCGTGCTACGATACGCTGCGCACGAAGATCCAATCTCGAGGCGTTGAGTCTCCTCACCACGTCACCGTTTTCTCTCTGCGAATATCTTCGGAAGCGCCAAGATCCGATGAGCAATTCCCAGCCTCCGGTAATCGATCTTCACTCGTGGTGCTGAGCCCATGTGGCAATCACGCGAGGCTTGGATCCTGCGAGGCGTGTCCTCCAATCGCATCCCACCGCTGACGACGACCATCTGCACGAGCGGTCCTCCAAACCCAGCGCCATCTTCACCTGAAAAATGAAATTGCCATTTTTCCTCCACTAGAAGCCGCCTAGAAGCCTGAGGCAATACATGTTTGGACATCATACGTGACAGGGCATGTCTTAATTGCGCTTCACCGCTACCTGCAGCTCGAGCCGAGCGTGCGTGCTTCAACTTCCGCGGAATTGATGTGAGATTGTGACGATTGAGCATAGCCGCGCTAAGGACCATCACGCGACTGCGAGGATTCAGGAGCGACCTTCATAACATGGGCATGTGTTGTTGACCCGAACCTTGACGCGTAACAGGGCGCGTACGTGCAGCGTGCCTCCGCTTACTCTCATCGGCTCCCTCGATCCAACGCTCGTGCAGATTACATGATCTCATCTGAGCACCGTCAATGTTATAATCGCAGAAGCGCGCTTTACCTGGATGCGTCTGGACTTCGTTCTTGACACACTGAACGCCTGACGTGCGCATTGCGAAGGTCTAATCACAGTACTCGCGTGCAATTGAAGGCGTCTGGATCCAGCGAAGCAAACATGTGCACTCCAGCGACCTTCCAATCTATTTCGCTGTAGCTCGATCGCTTGTTGTGACCATCTGGGCAAGAATATCCTGAGTCGACTGCGAGAAGATGCCAACCCTGAATATTTGGTACACTAGTCTTTTCCAAACTCCCCACTTGTGTTCTTCAGACGCCTCCTCGTGATGAGACATTTCCTCATTACATCTGCCCTGCTCGTCTCCTCTCATACGTGGGAACGTGCCAAGTCTACTGACCGAGCCACAGAACGGCCGTAGAATCGCCGAGAGGGGCCCAGGATCGCATCCCTACTCTTCCACTAATGCAGCTCGCGCTAAGGTTGTTCTTCCATTATTTCGATGACATTGTGCTCTTGCGGAGATATGCGACAGGGTTGCGCAATTCTCCTTCAGCCCTTACCCGTTGACCGAGCGAGTCATACCGCGAAGCCCACGTCGGCATGCACATGCTGGGACGCGTCACATCATCCGATGGGTTTTGTCCCGGCCCTTCTTCATGATGCCCTCAAAAGTGACGACGTTGGAACAAAGTTTTGACGCAGCGTAGCGCGAGATCTCGTAACATCTGTAGTCTTTCTGCTCCCGTAGTCTACACCTTGCGACCGGTCGAACACCGCTCGCGGCAACCTATCGTGCTCCCGTCAGGTCCGCGGGCGACCGTCTCATGATCCGACCCCGATCCGACAAAGCTTGACTTTTTAGCTTCTCACCGAGGTTTCGACCGGCGGCGGGTGCCCTGACAAAACGATCGAAACTCACTCTGTTTTAGCGCGAACTCAGTATTTGATGCTTTGCTCCACACCACGCTTACCCTCGGCTAATTATCCCTTAGCCTTTTGAATTCGTACGCTCCACTTGCTTGCAAATTCCTACCCCAAGGTTGGCCAGCATCTGTGGAATCGATAATCTGGACATCGATGGTACGCTAACAAACCCGAATGCGAGTACTGCGCAAACATCTCGATCCAAGTCAATCGAAATCAGCTGTGCGCCATGATTCCATGACATGAAGGACCCACACATCGTGTATCATGTAGAACGGGCAAAACAACTCTGTATGTCCATATGATGAAGGGCGAAATTGGCCGTGTGCTCGTGCACTGCAGGCGCTGATAAAAAGAGACCTATCAATGGCGCCAAAGCCCGATCTCCGGTCTCCTATGATGAAATGTCAGCCAAGCACCGTAAAATCGATGAACTAGAAATGCCCAGTCACGTGCTGGCAATTGCAATGATAGTGGCCTACATCGTTCCAGGTGATGTATGCTTTCGCGGTGAGTCTCAAGTGAATGTATCAGCGGAACAATCTATCTGCGCCCTTTGATGTAGCAGTCACTCCGGCGTACGCCACGCCTTGTACTCGAAAAATGACAGGACTTCAAGTTTTGAATGTGTACCTACGACTCACGCACGGTAGACTGCGTTCCACCTAGATGTTAGCGCTTTCATATCATATTACCATTTCAGCGTTCTGCACCCCGACCTTGCTACAACAGGGCCGACCACGGATACAATCGTCTTTAATTCTTGTTCTTTGACAAGAAGAGTGTTCTTCTATCATTCGTGTAGGCTAATCGTTGACTAAATCTAGGCGTCGCTGATGGTACTAACATCCTGTCATGCAGAATCCCACAAGCAATTGCGGTACCATGCCGCCGTCACCCAGTAAACCCCATACTCCTCATCCCGTGATCCGAAACTTCGGGTTCGCTTCAGGTGATAATGAGTGTTTGCGGCTCGCATCGTTGCGGGTCCGTCCCATCTATCATCTGCGGATCTTCCGGCTCGCACCACTGGTACTTCCCTCTCGCTTCCGCTGTACTCCATTCTCTTAATATTTTTGCAGACTTCAGAAGCCGTGGTTCCAAGTCATTGCCAATAGATTGGCTTGCCGCTGGATTAAAATCAGGGATAGTCACCAGACATTCACCCCATCTCTAGATCAATCTACCTGAAAACAACCAGACAGCGGCACCAATCACGAGACTATGGCGTGGGCTATGACGCCTAGCTGGCATTCAACGTACCCCAAGAAGACTCCTATACAGTTGGTGCTCTGTTGGCAATATCCAACACCCAACAGTTACCACAAGCGTATTTTATGATTCAAGACTTTGTAGGTTGCACTACGAATAGAAGATGTCGCTACAGATCAATGAATCCACCCTTCGCCAGTGGGTTAGACATGAGTACTGCGAGCTTTGTTCTACAATGTAATTGGTTGCAGTGTACGCTCGGAAACAATGGTCTTCAAGTACAAGAAGGATTGTACATGCTAATACAACAGGACTGTAATGCATTTAGGATAAAATGAAATACTGAGAAGCTCATCAAGATTTATGGAAGTGTACAATTCATGTGTTGATCATTGCATCAAAAGAACCCAAGCGGGGATGGATAAGCACGAGCACAAGAACAACGAGTCAAGGTCAGAGGAAGCAAGTACCAGCGCGGAAAGAAGGGCGAACCGAAAGGAAGCAGAGTTTGATCGTGGGAGGAAGAGGCGTACATGACTATGAAGCGAAGAAGTGAAGAACATCGAAGATGGAGCGTATCTTAGAAATGCGGCAAAGATGAGCCTGAACACATATTTTATGCCAGGTTTGATCAACATCCTCTTCCATCGTTAGTCTGTCACACCTTGCCCACTGTACGGTAAGCGCTCATCACGCATGCTTGCAATGACGGATATCTCAGATCTAAGGACTTGGTGGAAGCAATAGTAATACGAAGGTATAGTCTCGCTTGCTGAGATTCAGAATTTGCGGCCGCATGCGATATCAGCATAGTACTTTCTTTGGAACAGCCTAGCATACGTATATCAAGCATTCAATCACAAAAGAATGAGTGAAGCTTTCACTGTAACCCTGCTAACGATTGGCTGCAAATGGAGCTATTGTAGCCACATGATGTGGCGTGATGCTTCGCTGGAAGCCATGGTGATCAGAAGCTGTGTAAGGCGACATATGCTCACTTCCGAATGAACGAGAGTGTGCTACTGCTTGACAGGAAGGTCCAGTGCAGTGAACAATGATCACCAAAGAAAGAGCCTTGGCTATGAGGCTAGGTGGTAACTCTCTAGAATGCTCTATAGCTTTGTTAGCAACGCTTTGGATTGATCGTGGTAGATAGAATTAACCTGCGTTTGTTTTTACGTATTAAACAGATCGCGCGGAAGAGAGGGTCCAATAGAGTCCAAAACGACGCATGGCTTGTGAATTGAATCGAGCCAAGAGCAGTGTATTAGGGCATCCCGCTCGTGCCAAATTCGCGCCAGGAAGGTCCTGGTCGCCTTTTGCACGACTGGCGTAAGTTGATCGACGTGTTCGTTCACATTCAGAAGCACCTTCTCTCTTTCAGCGGTATCTCGAACTTCTACCGCCGCAATAATGAATGGCAGGGCAACAAAGCGGACCGGGTGTCCTGATATCTGCTGAGCTAATTCAAGTTCCATCATGACTTCGTGTGACCAGATGTCTGCCTGCCCGTCGTCATGTCCGAAAGTGTGCTGTAAACGATGTATCATCAGAAGAGCCGCTAATCGATACACCCTAGCTTGTGCAAGCAGTTGAACAACTTCAGTCGTACTGTATTCGCGAAGAAATCCCTCTGGCTGAGCCGGCTGCCACTTCTCCACATGCGCTCGGATCTCTCCGAGCCGCAGCTGAAGATCGACTGCATGTGTTGCGCCGGTGCTATTAGCGAGCGAGTGGCTAACGGAGCAGAGATCGTAGTAATACGGTAGCAAAGGTAGACAGAGACCAAGATGGCGATCGACGACTCCGGGAGCTCGTGGCTGGATCCTTAGAGTCGGCGTCCGACGGTAGACGATGCACTCCATGGTCTCGAGCAGCACCAGGACACTTATTCGGGGCTCCATTTCCGGAACCACAGCGGCAGCTTCAATATATGGTCTCGCGATGCTGAGGCAGTAGTGGCAGATGTCGGACACACCCACGCCAATCGCCCCATATACGGATAAAGCCAAGGCAAACCCTAGCGTCAGACATAGCTCCGCGTCTTTTGGGTTGGCGATAGGGAGGCTACGTAAAGCTGCCATAGCTGAAGTTGCGTAGCGGAGTTTTGAGGCATCGTCTGCTTCCGGGTTACCACCGGGTTGAAGTGACCTCAAAACACACGCGTAGGCGAGATAGGCGTCCTTGAGAATGGGCCAAGCGGCCGGTAATGGGCCTGCAAACGACTCCTGCTCTGCGTACTGGAAACGTGGACTGACGACGGGATACTGGGGTTGGGAATCGACGAAAAGGAATCCCAGCAGCTCTTTCTCTTCTGGACTCAAGTCAGGGGTGTCTCTAACCCATGAACCAACAAAGCCTACAGACTGGGTATGAAATCTGGACCGGCTCGACATCTTTTGGGCGATTGATAGACTGCGATGATTTGCTCGCCGACCGACGGGCCGCACTGGACGGACAGTCAAACACACCTGGCCTAGTCGTTCACATCTTTCACATGAAGCGATTTCTGACGCACGCTCACAGCGTTCTTTGAGCCGATAGCATCGATCGCACGCTGTATTGGTGCCACGTATCCGATTAGTGGGAAATGCCATTTCATTCCCAATTATCTGGCGGCACGTAAGGCAAACTACTTCTTTACACCGGAAGTTACGACTCGTCTGACATGCCAGCCAATGCAACACGAGACGGCCCTAGACGATTGGAGAAGTTTGGGAACAAAGTTGGAAGTCCACAGCGTTGAGTGTGAGATACCTCGAGACGTCGTTGAAGCAGGTAAGCAGGTTACTAGCCGGGCTAGGGCAGAGGTGGGCCGGTGCGACCCACCTATCGATGGAATCCGAGGCTTGTCAGTAAACGACAAAACCACCTCTGAAAACAAGCATTATAGTCGCAATAGCAGAAACGTATTAAAGAATATATGCTAGGAGGTTCTGTGGACAGTACTAGCTTCTCACCCCTAAATCAGCCTCCACGACAGCCGAGCTAGCTTGGAGTTCTCGGAACCGGAACCGGAACCGGAGGGTTTTGAGCAACACCTCTGTCAATGTCTGCGCAGCGTTATACATTGTGCGATCTAAACATGGATTGTTACTTGCTGAAGTATAAGTACGGCCAACACGTATGCCGTGACAAAGATCACAGAGACCGGATCATCACTGTGCATTCCCACGATGCCAGCTGTTGGCAGGAACTACCACACTATTGCTGCTGAGAAGCAACGCCAACGTCAGAGCAAGGTTCCCAAGGAGTGGCTTCTCTCTGAAACTTATCATGGCATTACCAACTTGATGGAAGTCCCGTTGACTTGCGGGATTCTGAGCGAAGAGGAGCGTCTAATCACCTCCAATCATGACGCCACGTCCCTGTTGGAGAAGCTAAAAAGCGGTTCTTGGTCTGCAGAACAGGTCACGATTGCTTTTTGCAAACGAGCTGCCATTGCTCATCAGCTGGTCCGTATAACTATTCAACCCCAATCTCCACATGATATGCGATTCACGAGCTCACTGGCGCTAGACCAATTGCCTGACGGAGATCTTTTTCGATGAAGCGATGAAGCGAGCTCGTGGACTTGACCGTGAGCGACAAGCCGATCCCACAAAACCCATTCGTCCGTTGCACGGTCTTCCTGTGTCTCTCAAGGATAGCTTTCAGGTGTCAGGTTATGACACGTCAACAGGTTTGGCATGCTTCGTTGACGAACGCGCCGAAGAAGATAGTGCTACTGCAGCAATGCTACTTGATCTGGGGGCAGTACTGTATTGCAAGACTAATGTCCCACAATCGATTATGACTGCTGACAGCGATAACAACGTGTTCGGCAGGACATTGAATCCTCGCAATACTGCTTTGACGGCTGGTGGGAGCACCGGTGGTGAAGGAGCCCTGATTGCTCTCCGAGGCAGCGTGCTTGGCGTCGGTACTGACATTGCCGGAAGCATTCGGGTTCCTTCAGTCTGTAACGGCCTCTACGGTTTCAGGCCAAGCGTGGGTATAGGTTCGTGAGTTCAATTACGTATGGACGCTGAGAATCGCTGATGTCGAGCAACAGTGCCGCACGGCGGCGTGAGGGACCTAACTCTGCCAGGGACTGATGGGGTGCGCTCAACGGTTGGGCCCCTGGCAACTTCCCTTCGAGATGTAGCTTTGTTTTTAAAGACTACAATGGAGGCAAAGACTTGGCAGTACGACAGCACTGTAATATCGGTACCGTGGACGAACCTGGCACCCGAGGAGAGAGTTCGCATTGGCGTTGTCTTTGATGATGGCATTTATACCCCTTCACCTCCAGTCCGGCGTGGCCTGAAGAAAGCTTATGATCTTCTGCAACCGTGCAGCAAAGTCGAGCTTGTTCCTCTTACTTTGCCAAATGTTCAAAGGCACTACATCGATCTACTGAAGTATTTTACATTGGATGGTGCGAAGGTAGGTCCTTCGGTACACCTATTCCAGAAGTACCTATGATATATATGCTAATTCTAAACTCACGCTAGAACTATTTTGAGCTTTTCGCTCGCACAGGCGAGCCGGAGGTGCCCTCCCTTAAAGCCATTGGCCTCTCGTCTATGAAGAGCACTGACCTGCTCGGTTTCTTCGATCTCAATGTACGTCGTCAAGCTGCAGCACGAGACTACCAACGATTGTTCCACAGCAACGGTATCGATGCGATACTGATGCCGCCCGCGCCGCACACAGCCTTGCCTCCCGATCAATGGACCTCGGCCACGTACACTGGCTTGTGGAATTACCTTGACTATCCGGCCATTGTCATTCCTGTCGATATGGTTCGCCCGTCCGATGTGGCCGACGATATTAGCAATGCGAAATACGGTGCTGAAGATTCCCGCTTGTACAGGCTCTGTACGCAATCACGCCTTCCTCGAAACTCCCGTATAGAGACTGACTTGTATAGATACTGGACCCAAGCTTTATAAGGACGCTCCTATCTGCGTGCAGTTGGTTGGGTACCGCTATGCGGATGAAGCGCTGATGCATACAGCGTCCTTAGTGAATTCGATTGTCAATGGTCTGGAGTAAATGATGTATGTGTGCGTCGCCACCGATGCATGAGTAACAATTGGAAAACCACCACGATCATCATAGTTAGTATCGCTTTTGCCACCGCCGCCGCTCGCCCTTCAATCTAAATAATTGCCTTACGGCTACCTGAAAAGATGACGCACTGTGTTGAGAACGTGGCTCTCCCTCTCTCCCTCTCCATACCGAATGGGGATGATGTTGCGACTGCTATGTGCTTATGTTTCTATGATGTAGCCTTGCAATACTCGCGTGGACTCTAAGATGTGCAGTGACGAAAGCGCTGCTGGTGGAGTGTTTTTTTGAATTGTACAAAGGAGTTTTCCGCGACCGCTTCAGGTCCGAAGTCGCTATCGTTGCCCTTCGCTGGCCCTTTACAACGCCATGACTTGCGCCTCCAAAAGTGCGAATATAGTGACGCACCGGACAAAAGGTTACCAGAATGCATAACATTAGGACATGTTTGCGGCTTTCCGAGGATATCGCGCCTGCAATGTAACAGTATGCGACAGTGCCATAAAGGATGTTTGGACCGCTTGATAAAGATCGTTGAAGCCTGGGCGATCCTGATACTCGTGTCCATGCCTGTTAGGTAATTAGGTACCTAGGTGTCCATTGTGGGAGCGATGATAAAATCCAATGTACAGGCATTGAATGCGCAGAACCATCTTTATCTAGACGAAGCTAGTGATTGCAAGAACTCGGGATGTCAACATTGGGTAGGCCTTGGAACAACGTGGACACCTGGGCACCTGCACTTCCACCTGGCCACCTGCAGGTGATATCAGCAGCACGTGATCTCGAAATGATAGGCCAATCAGAGCTCACCTCCTCTACTGCTCATGTACTCTTACGATCGTGGCATCACTTAGGCATCTTCTGGAATCCTACTAAATATCAGACGAGGATGCTTGCCCCACACGTCACCGCCAGCCACCGATTTGTTCCGCTGTGATAGTCTTTTAGCTTGGTCCTGGCGCGCTTGAACCATGATACAAGGCGGAAGCGAGGATCATCGCTTCACCACCACATCACGTCCAGGTTCACGACGCGCCACGAGTGCCACTCATCGCTCGTAAATGACACGCCTATATCGGGCCATGCGCTTTTGATCACCGTTCGGAGCACGATTGCACATTGAAGCCAGGACTGCGCGCGTTGCATGCCTCACTGCAGAAGACAAACAGGGCGCCGCTCTAATACCCCACGCTATTGTGCATCTCACGCTGGATCTGTCCTTGGTGACCAGTTGCCGGACAGCAAGACCGTCAGACTCAACGGCCCATCGACCTACGCCTACGTAAGCTCGGCTTGATTTCCAGTGCCAGCACGCTTGCTCTGGCGAACAGTCCTTTCGCAGCTGAGCTCTCGTCGAAGCGTGGGCAAGTCGCACCTACTTTTCGTCTCGCACGGAAACGAGATCCGAAGTCTCGAAACGTTCATCATGGTTGGCAAGAAGTCCGGCAGAGCCCAACTTAGGGAGGAGGGTATGCACAATCGACATACATCTGTGAACGGTGCTGACAGACGTTTGCAGGCCTCGCACGGACAGACAATAATCTCGAGCAGACGACATGGCCGGTAGTCAGCATGATCAATCAGAAGAATTACTACACCGAGTTCCTCAAGCGCGACGAGCAATACCTCGCGGTCCGATACCCCCAGGAAGAAGAGCGCGCTCGTATGGTCAGAGAAGCCCGCGACAAGGATCGCGCGTTAGCAAAAGGAGTGTCCGCAGCGGAAGCTACAGAGGAAGCAGGCGACGAAGCTGGACTATCATATTCGAGAGATGATCCATCGAAACTGATTGTGCTGCACGTCGGTAGCCAAAATCTTAGAATCGGCCTTGGCTCTGACGCGCTCCCAAAATCTATACCCATGGTCATAGCACGGAGGTGGAAAGAGAGTGAGTCGGAGGAGAACCACGGCGAACCTAGGCCAAAGAGGTTGAAGGTCGAAGGCGCTATTCCTGCAGATGCACTCCCTGAGAAGTGGTTTGGAGAGGACTTTGCGGACCAGTACATGGCTATGTCCTCAGAGCTTAGAACGAGGATGCGATCGAACAAGCGGCGAGTGCTGCCAAATTCGAAGGACCTCGTCACCAATTTCAACCGGCGCACTCCGCCCGATATTATCAGCGAGCACAACGATATTGATAGGATAGACTGGACAGAGCTTCCAAGCGACCCGAGCAAAGCACCGGAATACTTCACTGGACGAGCAGCGTTGCGAATACCGGAAAACTCAAATCCTCGTTACAAACTCTTCTGGCCGATACAGAATGGAACTTTTAACGAAGTCGACTACACTGGCCGAAACCAGATCTATCATGATCTTTCAAAGATAGTCGAAGATGCTTTCAGATCGCAGCTTGGCATTACGAGGCTCAAGGATCTCGCGAACTACAAATGTGTCTTTATCATACCGGACCTCTACGAGCGCGTTTATGTGACGATGATGCTGGACATCCTGATGCGCGATCTAGGTGTTGGCAAGGTTTCTTTACAACAAGAGAGTCTTTCCGCGACGTTTGGTGCCGGTTATGGAATTGCTTGTGTTGTGGACATTGGGGCGCAGAAGTCGTCGATATGCTGCGTTGACGAGGGCCTTTGCATTGAAGAATCGCGCGTCAACTTGAAAATGGGAGGCGCAGATGTGACGGAGACTTTCATTAAGATGATGCTTTATGGCCATTTTCCCTATTCGGACATGAACCTCAAGAGAAGGTATGATTTCTTGCTTGCCGAAGAACTAAAGCAAAAATTCTGCTCGATGGATGAGGATTCGGTAACTGTGAAGACATGGGACTTTCATCTTCGAGCCTCGGGTCAGGACACGAGGAAATACACGTTCAAGACATACGACGAGACAATGCTGTCTGTCATGGTGGGTAGACAATATCCTTACTGTATGCTTCGCTTCCTAACGTTGCATAGGGCCTCTTCAAACCTTCAATTTTCGACCATTCGATGAAGCTAGAAGGTCGTAGAAAGGTTATTCCGCGATCAGTTGATCTTTACGATGGCTCTCCGAACGACCCTATCTCCCAAGCTCAGAACGCAGTGCTCGAGGCGACAACTGGAAAATCAATCAATGGGGCGCAGGAGTCAGGCGGTACGCCAGCCGTAGCCTCTACTCCGCAGCGGCCAGGGCAACTGAATCCGCTGAATCGGCTGAACGACAATGAGACACCGCGGTCGTCTGTAGCTGGTTCTCCGGCACCAGAAGGCACAAGCACACCCAATCCCGAGCGTGACACACCTATGGGCGACGGCGAACAAGCGCTCATTTTCCGGGACCCTGTGCTCGAAAAGACCAAAATCGCCGAGGAACGCGATAGAACGCTTCCGATGGTACCGCTAGACCAAGCCATCCTGGAGTCGGTCACCCAAGGCGCCCGAGGCGATGAACGCAAGCTGCGCGACTTCTTGGGTGGAATAATGCTTGTTGGTGGTGCTAGCAAGACGCCTGGTCTCCGCGAGTTCCTGGAGACCAGACTTCGAGAGCAGAGACCCTTCTATGGGAAGGAAATTTTGGTTGGCCCGCCTCCTAGGGAGTTTGACCCCCAAGTGGTGATTTGGAAGGGTGGCAGCGTATTCGGAAGGCTGAGCCCTGCGGGCAATGACAGCTGGATCAGCAAGGCGGAATACGACATGTTGGGAAGCCGGCTGCTGAACAACAAGTGCATGTTCGCTTGGTAGTGGATGTTACAAGGGGTTCACGATTAGAGGAGGGACCATATAGTTGGCGTTTGGGCGCGGTATACTGAATATCTTCTAAGTGCAGAACCATGACCACAATTTTGCTATCAGCACCATGGTCCTTGACCGTCGTGCGATGGGGTCGTCGACAGCAAGACCTGCCGAGTCGAGACCAGGTCGCAACCCCTTTCCCCTGGCGATCGAATTTGGAGCCGCGCAGCTGTTGCCACGGCACAGCGCCGGGTCGCGTGTGATGGAAGCACGCGAATGGCGATGTTCGCACGGCAGAAGTGCATCCAGCGCTCGATCAATGGGCCCACGGTGACGCGACACATGGCTGATGTGCCTTGTCGACGGTGCACGTCCGGGAAAGGTGCAGCCGGTACAAAAAAATCGCCCCACGCAGGCGAAGGCGGTGAGGCGGCAGGGCAGAGCGAAGAGCGAACCGTGATTGGGCGGGGCCTGCATCCTCTCTTTCGGCCCGGAAACGTCCCTGAGCAGCGCGGCGAAAGTGGCTCGATCGGCCAACAACAGCTTTAAACCAGACCCGCCCTTTGCCTCTGCCCTCTCCCACCTGCACTGCACCTGGACGCACTCAATCCAACACCGTCCCCGCAGGCCTGCCTTCGCTTTCTTGTCCCCCATAGTTGCAGTCTTGGTGCTGCAGTCATTCCTTCGAGCAGCGCGCCACAATGTGCGTAAAACTATGCGCCTCCTATCGCGGGCTTGCAACATGCTAACACGCCCAGGAATTCGACCACGGTTCTGTCCCCCATGGCGCAGGACACGTACTGGGGCTCCTTCGAAGAGATCTCAAAGTACAATGTCTCGCTGAACTACGCCGAGCGCATGTGGCTGGCCTGGTATACATACATGCAGAACGATGTTCTCGCCACAGGCATTATGTCCTTCGTCATGCACGAGGCCGTCTACTTCGGCCGCTCGCTGCCCTGGATCATAATCGACATGATCCCTTGGTTCAGGAGATACAAGATCCAACAGGTATGCTCTCTGTGCTGGACTGACACCGAGTAAACTCTGATAAATCTACAGAACAAAATCCCTACCGCATGGGAACAGTGGCAGTGTGCCCTCCTCGTCCTCTTTTCGCACTTCACCGTCGAGCTCCCCCAGATATGGTTCTTCCACCCCATGTGCCAATTCTTTGGCCTCAGCACGACCGTCCCATTTCCGAGCATCTACAAGATGGCCTTCCAGATCGCTGTTTTCTTCGTCCTCGAGGATACCTGGCACTACTGGACCCACCGCGCCATGCACTACGGTTTCCTCTACAAAAACATCCACAAGATCCACCATCAGTACTCGGCTCCCTTCGGTCTTGCTGCTGAGTACGCCTCTCCTATCGAGGTCATGGTCCTCGGTTTCGGCACGGTCAGCTCGCCTATCCTTTGGTGCGCTATTACGGGTGACCTGCACATCCTGACCATGTACATGTGGATTATGCTGCGTCTATTCCAGGCTATCGATGCGCACAGCGGATACGAATTTCCATGGAGTCTGCACCATTTCCTTCCCTTCTGGGCCGGTGCCGAGCACCATGATGTGCACCACGAGCGCTTCATCGGTAACTACTCGAGCAGCTTCAGGTGGTGGGACTACTGCCTAGACACCGAGGCTGGCCCCGAGGCCTCCAAGAGGAGGAGGGAGAAGAAGCTGGCGGCGTTGAAAAAGGGCCAGTAAATTGGATGTACCGCTCAGGCAAGCTTCGTATTGCATTCATTCAATGAGCTGCCAAACCGTCTTGCGGAGGCACTTTTGTGTTTGGGACTTGGAGTTGCATTAGAATGGTCACGCAGTCAATGTCGGCTGCGAGCAGCTGTAAATATACTCTTGGTAATGGAAGGTGGGAGAGAAAGGTAGACTTGGAGAGAGCTTCATATATCAATACTTAATGCATGTTACGCTCGCTTTGCAACACATTTTGCCTGAAGCTGTGGAACGCTGTTACAGCTAGTTGTTCGGTGCTTTCACATTAACCTTTTCTATAACACGCGTCCGTGCGGTCTTGGCGTGAGCACCCATTCTACATCGTTCTTTCAGCAGATCGGCTTCGTACAACCCACACCTTTCCCCTGATCACTCCTCTTGCGGCACCATGTCCAGACCGCAAACTTACCAGCAAGATTATATTGCGCGCATACGATTCTCCAACGCGCTGCCACCGCCGCCATGCCCCCCGAAGCTTCTCGACATACCCAACACGGGTCTTTCAAGCGGACAGTACACATCGGCAGCTTTTGCGTCAAGGTTGGCCAGAGAACAGCCACTGAACATTGAGGCGGATGCAGAACTTGGCATGCCTATAGACCTAGTCGGTATTCCAGGAGTGTTCGACGGCGACGAATCTGGTATGCTACCTTGCCTTTGCGCCGGGGCTTCTTACTGACGTACTATCTAGCTATCCAGGCGCTGCCTCACCCATCACAATTACATCCCGCTGACCGTGCGCTGATGCGACCTCCCAATGCGCTAGGCAAGTCAACAGCGAGCGCCTCAAATGCTTCGTTCTTGCGCCGCACTGAATACATTACGTCGAGTACAGCCGGCAGTAAATCCACTTTCGAGTCGAGTACCTCATCGAACACGATGCGATTGCGGAAGAAGCGCGCGCGCGGAAATGTCTCGGAAGACGACCCCATTTATATCACTCGCAACATTTTGAAAGGCTTCAATCTCGCATACCCAGAAGATGCCTACACAGGGCCGGATACGACTGAAAACTTGCGCCCGGCAGACATCGATGTGGAGGCCAAACGCGCGTGGAAGAATCCCAAGCACCCTCGCAACGACAAGCTGGAACTCGTTGGTTCATACCCACTGCTCCCAGATTGGGATGCTATCCCGGATACCGGCAGCTATGCCATTTTCAAGTTTGGCGCTGCGCCTATCAAGGACCCCTCTAACCCCTCCACATACGACCCACGTCTCGATGTTTCTATCCTTCGCCTGGCCGGTGAGACGATCGAAGATCGCGGGAAACACATGCAAGAGCAAGAGGTGTGGAAACAGGACCCTTCGCTACCTACGCCTCTCCCTTGGTTCCACTATGAGTTCTTCCTGCCTACCGACCGTGAGAGGGTGGCGGGCATCAAGCGCAATTTCACGACGAACGACCCCGACTCGTCGGATCTGCCTTTTGAAGAGACGGTTGATGATGAAGGGCGTCCTAGGAAATACTTCAGATATGAGAACATCCGGACGTATGAGACCTACAGTCAGGTCAGCAACCTTAACGACCGTTTTGGCGATACCGTTGCGCTCGCGCTGCACGACCCCGATATCCATACCGAAGAGAAGTTGCGCGATACCAAATTACAAAAGGCGGCGTATTTCTATCCCATTGGGCAGAAATCACAGATCAGAGCGCGGAGACCTGGTCGTGTCCAGATGGTGGAGGAATTCCCAAAGATAGATTACCTGGACGCTTCCGGTCGGGCGCCTGACGAGGAGGAGGTCACCAAGCGGGAGGAGGAGCACAGACGGTATGATCCGGACGCAGCCTGAAGAGATTCAGCATTCCGGTGGTATTTGTCGTTCGCAAGCTTTTTCCAGGAAATTGGGTTCATAGTTCAAGCGCGGCGTTGATGGGGGGATTGCATATGGGCCTACCAGAATTAGCTTTCAGCTTGGAGGGAAAGTGATCTGGACATCAAGCATGATGTAGCATGTAAGATATCAATTAGCACTTGGACCCCTTCTATCTGTGATTATACTAAAATATCACTCATTGTCCGAGTAGTGCGATATTATCTCATCAATTTGCGATTTCATGCATGGGTATCTCTGTCTATGTTGAATCATCCTCACCAACGCCATCTATATGCCTCACGACGCCTCCTCGGTCCTCTGCGGCGCCCACCCTTTCAGCCATCCTCTCGCTTTATCTAGGTCGCCGCCCTCTGCTTCCAACGCAGCAACGCACCACTCCATGCTATATCCGCCCTTGCCTTCAAGTCCCTTCTCTGCGCTGAGCATCTCTGACAACGCTCGCCTCCGCTGGCTAGCCTCATCCGTACAGAAGTGCAGCGGCGTCTCGTGACCGTGCCCATCCATGCCCTCCAGGAACGGCTTCACCAGCGGAATAGCATCCTTTGTCGGGACCGCCTTGTCAATACCAGAAGCGTTCTTGCGCCCTGTACGGCAAAACTTGTTCTTGCACCATGCCTTACCACAGCCTGTAAGAAGCTGCGACAAGTACCGGCGCTCGATGCGACGGCGGAGCGCTTTACCCTCAGGATCATGCAGTGATACATATAGGGGACCGAAACATACACTGCACAGGCCGATCTCATTGCCTGGACCTTGGCCTTTTCGAGTGCCTGCCCGTGTATCGCCAAGTTTACTCGCACCATCTTGTGTCCGGCCGCAATTTATGTTGCGGCAAAGTCGGGGCGTATAGCGAGACAGGCGCTCGAGGTCGTGGTGCTTAAGGTGCGTGTCCATGTCCCTGAAGCGGACGATTCTGCTACAAAGGTGACACTCTGTTGTTCGACCTCCGTCTGCAAGCTCATGGGGTGTGAGGCCTGAGAGGAGCAATTCGGGGTTGGGAGGTCCTGTCGGATCACCTTCTTGCGGGACTTGCAGGTGGCAGAAGCGACACAGGATCAGCTTCCCTGGACATTCTGTCACCCTATGTGAGGCAAGGGTTGGTATGGAAGGGAAATCCATGTTGCAAGATGGACACACTTGTGATGTGTGGTAGAGTGCCTCATGCTTGCTGCGGGAGATGGATGTGTCACCCGTGAAGGTATCGTGCGGGCAGTGCCAATGGTCCTTGAGTGTTTCAGAGCGCTTCTGAAAGACCTGACCACAGCCTTGTGGACATAAGATGTTGTTACGAAGGCAGAAATTCTCGTGGAGGAAAAGCGAGGATTTGGGAACCCATTGGTGGCAGTTCGTACATTGCACTTCGTCTGGACGGTGCTCAGCAGCGCTCGTGTTTTCCGACACGAGGCCTGATTGAGCATCGTAGATGGACACTTTGAGCTGGTACTGCTTTGGTGTAGCTGTGGATTCGTTTGAAGGGAAGGCGCGGACCGATACGTATATCGCTTCTGCATCTTCGAGCTCTACGTTTGTTGGCTGCAAACAGATACGTTTCGGATATTTACTTGAGTAATCGGCGAATACGTGTTCGTCTTCTCGAGGTCGTACTCGTTGCCGAGAAGAGTAAGGGCTCACAAAGAGGTCTATCTCATCCTCTTCATCAACCCCACTCAGTGATATGTCGAGGCCCTGAGTGCGGTCCCAAGACGAGAGCACGTAATCCACATATCCGCCATCTAGTATTTGGCCCTCCTGTGCCTTGAAGATGTCGATCTCGCCGCCAGCTGAACTACCTTCTGCGGTACCTGGTGCTTTCTGTCTCTTGGCCATGATTTTCTTCAGCGTCTCGCGTGCCTGCTCTTCATTAAGCGCTTCAATGTCGACCTCCAGGTCTGTGTCCACCACACATATGCCGTCTCCTTCCGGCTTAAAACCATCGACGAGAAATCGGAATTCTTCCCGCTTGCCATTCGAAGCTCGTCCACCATATGCGATAAGCACCTCCCCGTTCGTGAGGGTGGTGAAATTCGATCGCAAGTGCTCCTCAAGCAGCGACTTCCAATCCTCAGGGTCGTATCCTGCCTCGAGCGGTCTCAGCTTCACGAATGTGCCCTTGGGTAGTTGTTTTGCGTGGACGGTTATCTGTACCGAGTCCGAGGGTGCGCCGTTGACACCGAGTTGTTCTACACCGTTGACCATTTCCGCATCACCATCTGGGCTGGCCTTTCTCGACGACTCGGTGGAATCTGCGTCCAAGCCCAGAGCCTCCCGTAAAAACCCACTGAGCACTATTTCACTTTCTTCTGCCGAGAATTCTCGGATGCCCGCATACACTACCCTTCGATTGCTCGGGTTCACGAGGCGAAACGTAAGCGGGTGTGGTAGTCGTTGGTGGCGGTCCTGGAACTGTGACCGTGCCTGTCGTTCGGCGGCGAACGTGTATGGGTTGTAGGGATCGAAGGCGGTCATGTGTGGTAGATTCGAGTCGGTAGTTATGAGAGGGGCTGCGGCGAGCAGTTGTTCGAGGGCGGAAGGCGGTAGTAGCATCTTGTCGCCGGGCAGCTGCGCGGACCGCGACGGGTGTGCGACGGTGAGCTGCGCGGACCAGGTCAACTCGGGGATCTCTGGCTCTGTCTCCATGCTTGCAGTCGGGAGAGGGACGAGCTGTGACCGAGCAAATAGAAAGAAAAGCAGGCGGCGACGACGCGAAAATAAGTCTGTTAGTGAGCGGTGCTGCTGACAGACACGGGTCAACGTCACTTCTACTCGCTTCTGGAAGAAGTGCGGCTCTCATCGAACAGCAAGCCCCGCGACCAAAGTCATGGCTATTTGTCGACGCTGGACGCCTCTGCAGACACGCCCGGGACACTGCATGGCCGCCGTGGCGACGATGCGACGATGCGACGATGCGACGGCGGGCGTGGAGCATGCTGCACCTCGTACTGCATGTGCGTAACGCTTGGTAATTGTGATGACTAAGAAACGGACGCCTCAAGGCTCGTAGCGCTTCCCCACGCCGGCGATAGCAACAGCGCCCGCCTCGCCTGTCCGCTTGTGTCCCGTTGGCGTTTGTGTCCCGTTGGCGTTTGAGCGCTTCGACGGCGGGTGTTTTGGGAGGCATTGAAACATTCACGGCTTCTCAGACACTTGGCTGTGCCTTAGCACTACCAAGCGGCGGAATGCGTGTAGAGATGCGCTTGGCCCAGGCTTGGACCCTGATGGCCTCGTGAGATCGGCGCTGGGATGATGCGGCAATGCCCACGCTCCCACGACCAACAGTAACTCTCGACGTCTCAATACGCCGCCGGGCATCTCCACGAGAGACACTCCACCCTGAACAGCGATCTTGACCGCTGGGCACGGCTGTCGCAATAAAGCTCGGTGAGTCCTCTACCTTTCCACACCTACAGCTTTCCTATCATCCACCGTCCGCTCCCCGTTGCGCCGCCACTAGCATGGGTCCTCTCACCGTCGACAACTCCCTTCCTTATCGACTGGCCGACCTCCTCTCCATCTCCCTGGTTCTCCGACAGACGGCCCCCTACCTGCCGGTGTCTTCGGTATTTGCTCTAGCCGCAACCTCCAAAGCGCTCCACCACATTGTGCATCATAGTCCCGACGTCTTCCGCTACCTTGATCTTTCCACCGTCAAATCAGCAATTGTCCCCTATGAGCCGCTCGACTCCGGGGGCATCAGCTGGCGCGCCCAACGCATGGACGAGTCGTTGACAGAGGATGAGTTCTATTCAGGCCCAGTCCGGGGCATTTTCGCCAAACTGCAGCGGCGGCGTACACTACAGAACGTGCAGACATTGGTACTGGATGGCTTAAGCGTCCCTGCAGACCTCGTCCGAGAGATTATCGCTGAAGACGCATTCAATGTTCGCATCCTATCCATCCGGGAGACTAAGCACTTGAACGAGCGCAAGCTGCAACAGGTGTTGCGCTACGCCGTGCGACCGGGCAGACCTGTGGGTACACCCAAGATCAAAGGCATCTACTTTTTTGGCCAGCGCGAGACCGTCCAGGAAGCGCCAAGACAGAAGTCTACAACCAAAAAGTCCAGATCGCCTTCACCTAAAGGCGTCATGTCGTCTCAAGGAGCTCAGATCGGTGCGGAATGGAATCACAAATCTTCAGAAGCACTCAGCGCTGCATTGGCACAATCTCCGGATAAATGGTACCAATGCTCCGGGAGAATGATGCCAAAGCGAGCTTCTCTCGAATGGGCCGAAACCCTCAAGGCGTGCGAAGGCATCATCGCTTTTGACGTAGTTCTCTGCAGAGGTCCACGTCATGATCCGGCTAGAGCTTTCGTCAGCAACAGTGATAGCGAGGCATCAGGGCTACCTCACCCGGCTTCGTATCTCAGCCCTACCATCGCGACCATTGCCCTGGGATCGAAGGGCTGCGACACATGCCACTCGTGCCCGGAAAGACCAGCCGTATTTGGACAATCATCGAGCTCCGAATTTCCATTGCTGAGTCCTATACCTCTTCATTCTAGCTCTCTGCGAGCAGCGCAAATGCCACATACAATCGACGGTTCCAATCTACCGCCTCTGTTTGTACGCTGTGAAGACTGTCTCAAGGGCCGCTGGTGCGAGCGTTGCCACAAATGGTGGGATGAAGACTGCTACACTGTTTCTGCTGTTGCCCAACGCACCGAGCTACAGCAGACCGAATTCATGCAGGATGCCGCAACCGACGGGACCGCGCACATGCTTCCCAAGCAATCCATCAAGGTACATATGGGTCTCTGCGTTAACAGCTGCCTGATCGGTGAGATGATGGCCGGCGCGGGCAGCAACGGCATGTGGGGATGATTTGACGAACAATACAAGCCGTCGACGTGCTAGTTATGGTCTTTCCTGGAGGTTGAGGTCGTTGGATTCAGGACACCAGCTCCACAGCTGGCTTGACGGAGCCTGACTGACTTCAACATCGAATACCACCACTGGAAACCAGACCTGGCGCGTCGAGGTATGTGCTCAATGACTGTCCAGAAAGTATGCTGACAATTGATGTGCAGATCATCGGCGTAAGAAGAGACTGCTTTGGTTGTGGCCATACTGTATGCTCTTTGTCCGTCATTAACTTATTGTGACGTGCTGATGGTGTATCTAGTGCATTACTTGTAAGGAGCTATTCATCCGTGCCTGCACAATTTGCCGCAGCGAATATTGTATAGAAGATAACGACGCGTCTTCGGCCACCAAGGTATGACTCAACAAGCCTTTCTGCACGTCTCAGGGATTACTAAAGCCGTACGCAGTGCGACTGGTGTAATTACACATCAAGAAGAACAGTCGAGATGTACTAGGCTTGGCCGTGGAACCGGCCGGAACCTCTTCAACACCGTCCAGTTCCCTTTTGGGTAGCTTTGCTCAGCGACTTTCTCCGCCGTCTAAGCGTAGCTCTGGCGTTTTGGTGATTTGGGCGGCTTCATGATGGAATTTTTTGTTGAGCGATGTCGGATTCCGTGTAGAGACTTTACTCACAGCGTTGCTGAAATAAGATACCCCTCCAAATATCTCTCAAGATGGCATCTACATTGTACGAAACGGGCTACTCTCTTTCGGCAGTCCAGAGCAGACTGCCACATTTGGTTGTCCTAATTTTCCCATATACTGTGAACAAACCATGACGAGCGAGGTCTCCTTGTAAATTTAGCCACGCACAAACGCGTTGGTGAAGTATATCATGGGTAGGCCGAGGGACTACGCCCGTGCGGGCGTTGTATCACGTGACATACATGCTGGGGCGCAGATCAGCAATGGTGAGCTCCGAAGCGATACCGAATAAACACTTGGTCGCTTCTTTTACACCAACAATTCCAGGACCTCGTCCACCGAAACACGCGCAGACCGGCCTCACGGTTCCCAATTACTCCGCCCAATTGCACCGTTTTTCATAATATCTTCCGAGCCAACTGGCCTCTCTCCGCCCCACGTTCGCTACTACACTCGCGCAGCTACGTAATACGGCCCGCCCATAATTAGGCACCTGTGGCCACCTCTCTACCTCCTTACCTACCTATCACCTACCGTCTTACCGGACACAAACCAGTACGGGCGCGATGGCCCAGTACGGCTACGGACAAAGCCCGCCCTACGGCCAACAAAACCCACAAAACCTCCAATTCTACTCGTCCTCGTTTTCGAACCAACCTGTCTCTGGGCATTCCACACCGTTCCAAGCGAATTACGGAGCTCCTCAAGCGCCGGCATATCCAACACAATATGGTGCAGGGTTCAGCGCACCGGGCGTGAGCGGGCAGATGGGCGTCGGATCTTCTGGACTGCGGACGGGATGGTTGGCTGCATTTGGCACAGAGGGATATGACGGTGAGCCGCCGCTGTTGGAAGAGCTAGGCGTGAACTTCGGACACATCAAGATGAAGACGCTGGCGGTCTTGAATCCTTTTGGCAGGATCGACCAGCATATCATGGACGATAGCGATATTGCTGGGCCTATACTGTTCTTCTTCGTTTTCGGGACGAGTTTGCTGTTGAGTGGGAAGCTGCATTTTGGGGTACATTTACGGTACGATGTGCTGTGAGTTTGGGTATGGTTGATGCTGACGATCGGGCAGGACTCGCGGTTCTGGGAACCATACTACTCCACACCATACTCTCCCTCATGTCCCCACCCCTCTCCGCTGCCGAAGTAGTAGCGAACCAGGACCATGGCCAGCGTGGAAGCTCACACTTCTCCTCCTCCCTCACCTACCCTCGCTCTGCCTCAGTGCTGGGATACTGTCTGTTGCCGCTGGTCCTCGTTGCAATACTGGGCATTGCCGTACCCCTCGATGGTTTCTTCGGTTATCTGCTCACTAGTATGGCAATAGTTTGGTGTGCATACTCGTCTAGCTCTATGTTCACGATAGTTGGTACGCAAACACAAGCCAAGGAAGGCTCCTTTTGATAGCTAATACGTCGTAGGACGCATGACTTCGATGAGAGGCTTGGTGGCGTATCCCATGGTACTGTTCTATGGGAGCTTCGGTATCATGGCGATTTTCAGCTCGAGGGGGTACGGGGACGCTAGCGAAGGTTGCAACTCCGGCTGCGTAGAGGCTAAAGCAACCAAAGGATGATCAAGGAATCGATTGGCGCGGAGCACGCGTATGGGAGCGCTACACTCTACACTCCCCTTTGAGGATGATACCATTCAGCTAATTCTGAATATGCACAAGCATGACGACGGGTAGAGAAAGAAAACGTGCAACAAAGCTACACCTTCTCCGCGTTGGTGAGCTCCATTCCCCTTCTTCGATGCTTGTCTGCTTTTCACAGGCCACTCAACACCATGGAGCACATTTGGATATGAGAGACTACCATGTGACTTCGTATTCGTCCTATTGATAGTATGTCCAACTATCAGAACTAAAAGTGACACCCTGTATCAGATCTTGCATCCAGCAGCGTTTGTTTTCTGTATCTTGTGGATTTGAGCGTGTCCTTTCTGAGTGTAGGATCTTGGGCGGGAGTCAAACGAGCAATGGTGCATTTACCAAGTGTACCTACCTCTGACTCGAGCACATCTATGAGCCTTGAAGTTCATACGATGACCCGTTACTTGGCCGTACGTCTGGATCGTCCTTTTGTTTGAGAACATATATATACACAGTATGAAAGCAGTACATGTCTATGTGTTGGTTGTATCTACGTATGAGAAGGTACAGACGAAGGTTCGGGAAGTCCGCTTTCTGAATGGGCTTCAATTCGGGGGCTATAGAGCGGAGATATTGTATACTATGTGGGCTCACTTGATGCATGCCTGTCTTCTTTACGTTTGTAAGCTCACCTAGATTGCTATCGAGTTTGGCGAACGGCATCTACCCATTGCGCGCGCAAGGTACCCTACCAATCTTGTTTCATGCTTAGCCGTTGTCTCTTACCGTAGATTTTCACAACCGGCCGACTATTCGTATTGTTCCACCCCTGCCCAACCATCAAACCAACAGGATGCATGGTCATGATTACTACTCTCCACTCTGGCATGCCTCAAATCTCCGATTTGTCGCCCTCGCAGATCGCGTGGGCGTGATGCCAGGCGCGTCGCCATGCCGCGGCCGATGCTCGCACGCGCTCCAATCTCAACTTCGCCTCCACAATTTTGGAATATGTCATTGCCATTCATTGTCGCTCATCACAAGGAAAACTTCCTCCGCTTCCGCCCGGTGATGACAAAGCCGGTGACTTCCGTGGAAGCGGGACGTAGAACAGGTGGCTTGATCTAGTCATCCGAGAGACCAAAGCGCCGCGTCGCATGCCTCAGAGACGATCGCACGATCTCGAACGCAGCAAGACGATACCACACGCTATACGAGACGTGAAGGGAACAGTGAAAGTTGAGTAAGCACAAGCTAACTGCATTAGGCTGTCATGGTGAAAGGCGGCCACTGGTGAGTCATTTTAACGACACAGTCGGGTAAGGTGTACGTCCTCGGCGACAACTATTAGGTAAGACGCAATGTCGCTTCTCCCAGCGACTAGGCCTGAAATATATTCGTAGATACCTTTGCATAATGAACGACGGACGAACGAGGGTGAATTTGCGCACAGGCTGAGTAAGACTGCACAGGTGGCAAGTCTCTCGGTACAAAGTGGATGCGCGGTTTCTGCCAAGCAAAAGAAAGACAATCTTTATCTAGTTACGACATAGAAAAGACTCTTTCCTTCGCTTAGCTAAGACATGAGGAAATGTACTATCCCTACTTCTTTGAAACATACACTGACTTTGTACCTTCGGGTTTGGCTGTAGTCGGGTTTTAATTTGGGCATTGGCATGGAGGTGGAGATCGTGTGAGGTGTAAGACTGCTGTAAGAGATGTGCATGTTGGCGATCAGGACGACGGTATTGGGGGTCTCCCGCACGAAGTGCGATGTGATCAAGAGGACGTTTTGTTGGATTACCCTCTGTGGTTGAAGTTGCGAAGAATTGTCTAGCTCTACTGTCCAGGTGTTTGTCTCTTCTGTTCTTGTTCGTTGCATCCCCCCGAAGGCGATACCTGTAAAGTGAACGCATCGATGCCGACCTCTATGACGTCGATTGTCGGTCCATGCATGCAGTTGCAGGCGAATGTGCGTTTGAGAAAGACTGTGCGATGTTGAAGCACTGCGTTCTGCCACTTGAGTATTGATAACTCGTAAGAAGACAGGACGCATACTGCCCTCGGTCATGAGGATGACTCAACTCTTAGTGATAACAATATGGGAGCTATTTTTGGAAGTTGTGGTGCTGTCTATACGTACGTTAAGAGGTCGAATTCATTGGAGGATCCGCAGCCTATCCGGTAAAATGTGATCACGAAATCAAGGGTGAAACTTTTGTATGTGCGCTAGAGTTGAGTGATAGTCGGTCCTTCGCAGCGTTCTCGCATATTTTCAAGGATGTTTATGGCGCGGATACGGCGCACCAGGTGAACGCACTCGTTCCACTCTTCACAGACCGTGCAGAGTCAGCAGTGCACGTATAAGTGAACTTGATCGCAAGAATAGAGGCCAAAGCTGAGAACATAGATAATAACTCGAAGACGGGTATCCTCTCTATACCAAGCGGCAAAGATACCGGGTAGCAGCGGACTCAAGAAGCTCCAAGGGCCAAAGCCAAAGGTGATAGTCGTGCTTACTCGCATAGTTGCGGCCGCAGCCGCTTTCCTGCCTTGCGCTGGACGTCACTGACGGGGTAATGTATGGCCGAGCACATGCAGTATTATTGCATCCACTCCGTACACAAGACCTCGCCCTTGGCTTGCGTGTTCTAGAAAGAATGCCATGCGTATGGTCGCCTTGTACTCACAACGTGCGTACTCCTTAGTTTTTTAGACCAATCATGTCAGCTGTCCGGTCACAGAATTCGGCCATCTCGACATCTTTGATGCTGAGCCCTTCTGGCTTATGCGTAGTCCACTCGATGGTCACTTCGGAGTACAGATTATGCCACGACGGGTGGTGTCGCTTGGACTTTGCCTCATCCGCAACGATGGACATGAAGCGCCACGCCGAAGCAAAGCCGGGGAATGTAAATTGACGCGAGATGCCTTTGCTCGATGGCGACAGCTTCCAGTTTGAGAGTTTTGCCAGACGCTGAAGTAGGTCGGATGGCTGGCCCGCGGAGAAGATGACTCCGGCGAATTGATTGCTTGCAGCATTTGGTGCGTCTGAAGACGATGGAGAGCGGGAAGTTGTGAGAAAGCGAGCGGCACATAGCACCCCATGGTGGGGATGGCACGCATGGACAGGCGCGCGCGGATGCACATGGATCGGTCCCATTCGATATTGGAGTCGGCGCTTCAAGACTGCACACGGCCCGGCGCGCAAGACGCGTCCACAGACCCTTGGCGGACATGTCAGAGGAACGTTGGGTTCTGAGGTAATCGTGGAGGTGCATGACGGGCTTGTCCACCCACTTTTGGTGAGACGTACGGAGGTGATGGTGCCAACATGCTGACCTTTAGTCACGGGTCGTTGCGTGTAATGCTGCTCGAAATAACAGCGAGCAGGCAATCAACGTCGTTACGATTGCTCGTGGCAAGCGGGATGCAGCACGCGTGCGGGGGCCAAAATGAAGATGTACTGTGTGAGCGGCCCCAGAGAAGGCAGATGCCGTGCTAGCAAGGGGCGAGAGAGGATGAAGGTGGGTGGATGTGGATGCAAGAAGCTGCAGGGCGAAGGGTCGAAGTCCGCCTGCGAATCAGCGTGCTAGCAGTCTACCGGTAGTCTCGCCCTTGCCCCGCGAAGCACCGTCACGACCAAGTTGTCACAGAGACGTTTGCGTGGCGACGGGTACGGAGTTTTCTCTGTGCTCGCGTGCAGCGACGACAAAGGGCTCACGAGGACTGCTGGCTGGTGCTGTTCACGTTCAAGGTGCATGTTCCGCGTGGACAGACGCTGGAGATGGCGAGACAGAAACGGGGGAACACAGGCAACACAATGCGAGCGAAGAACAGCCATCTCAAGTGCACTCGGGCTCATGAATCTGCGGCGGCGGTCCTGTAGCATGCGTGTGAGCGCTCAGCGACGAAGTCGCCAAGCCCAGGGAGACGGATACGATCAATGTCCGGTGCATTGGTCAGCAGTGGCACAACGGTTGGGCCATGTCGTACTGATTGTGCAAATGGCAGCCTCTCGGTGGGCTGCTTCCAGATGGAGTAATGGAGCGATGACTGCAAGCAACGGCCATTCAGCGCGTGCGGGCTGGGTCGTGTCTGTTGCGGCGTGGGTGGCTACCTGGGTAGGTGCCCCGGCCTACCTCCGAAAGGCCGACACGATACAAAAGGCCGTCCTGCCTCGCCCTTAATCATCAATCTTGACTAAGCTCCCCCCAGCCAACTGCATCATCGCGAGTGAGTTGCCCAGCGCGCCCGCCATCCACGTCTGTGACCATGGCCGTCGAGCCCGCTGCAGTCGCGGGCCGCTCCTGCCTCTCGCACTGCCCGCACCTGCCTGCGCACAGTCACAGGAACAAAGGCAAGAGCTAACCGCCGCCAGCGTGCCTGCCCGCGCCGTCGCCCGTCGCGACTTCCTCCACCGCCCGGGCCCTCGCACCCAGCAATCGACTTGCGCCATTGTCCCGCTCTCAGTTGGCCTCACGCAGCCGCTTTCCACGTCACCATTGATGCCGCCCACCCTGCCCACGCTCTATCCAAGCATCCGCACATACGACATGCAAAACCCCGTCGCCCACGTACGTCTCGCTCTCACATAAGCATGCCCGTGGACGTGTGCTAACCGCTGCAGGACCAGAAGGCGCCTACCATTGAGATGAGTGAGTGGGCTCTTCCCCTTTCGGCCATCCAGACGGGAAGCTGGCAATGCGCGATTACTAACGCGCTTGCGGGACAGGCTTAAGAGAGCATCTGCTTGCTGCTGGCGCCGGCCAGCCCAGTGCGCCTCAACCCATGCAGCAACATCCCCACAGCAGCCCCCAGCAGCACGCCATTGACCCCGCCATCGCCGGCCAGCAGTACCAGATGAGCCAGGGCGAGAGCCCCCATATGGGCGACCAGGGCCAGGGCAATGCGAAAGGCCGTCGTGAGCTGAGCACCTCAAAGCGTGCTGCCCAGAATCGCGCTGCCCAGGTCTGCAATGCCACCTCCCCCTTGTCGAGCTACACTGACCCGACCAGCGTGCCTTCCGCCAGCGCAAAGAAGAGTACATCAAGCAGCTCAAAGACCAGGTCAAAGAGTTCGAGCAGCTATGCGAGCTTTACAAGACCCTCCAGACAGAGAACTACCAGCTCCGCGACTACATCATCAACCTGCAGTCCCGACTCCTCGAGACCCAGGGCGAGGTACCTCCGGCTCCGGCCGGCGTCGATCTTTCGCGTCACGGCGAAGCTCCCAATCCCAATCTGAATCAAGCCTCGACGCAGCCCCAGCCCGACCAGCAAGTGCAACCACAGCAAAATGCGAACAATAACAGTAACAATGGTGGTCTCTCAGATAGGCAGATTGGCGAGCTCCAGATGGCCGCTCAAGCAGCCGCCGCTGCGCAGCATGGCGGTCCGTCTTTAAGTAATGGCAAGCATCTCAACGATGGCTCGACTTTCTCAGGGGACTATGCGGACAAGCGCCAGAAGACCGGAGACTCTCCCGCTTCAGGTCAGCATTTCCAGTCACCGTATCCCAATCCTTACGCTTAGATGCAGCAGGAGTCACCGATCCAAACGGCTTATAGCAAAATGCCCACCAAGTTCTCTACAATCGGTAGGCTACATGGACTACTACGGGGATTTGAAGATGCTAAAGATCGTCCATTCTCCCCTATGTTGTTTCCATGCTTTGCTTATCCACGACTTTATGCATATCGCAGCCCACGGCTGCCGGTAACGGTAATTGTTTTAACGGCGTTATACGGCCAAACGCTTATGTTATACCATATTTCTTGCCTCTAGTCTTATACTGGGCGGAAACGGGGAGGAATGACTGGGGTGTTATTGTTTAGATGCGTTGGTGAAGACGCAAGGAAGATTCTCCCGCGCCTACATGTTTGATTTACCATGATCTCATACATTTGTATGTCTACGGTTGTTGCAATACAGAACACAAGGCGGTTACTCTCCGATTTGACGTTGCGGCCAACGCTCGTATGAGAGGGCGCTAGCTATCCCAACGGTACCAATTGGGTCATCCATAATGCTTACTAGGCGATATCAGGGGCAACTGATTGCCAGTGACACGGGTACGACGTTTCAAGATTTGAATCGATTGGATTTGCGCTTTCGAGCCAATGCAGCTGAGTCGTTCGCGAACAAGAGCGACGTACGAGCGTGTCGGTAGAGACATAGACGGCGTTGAACAGCCACATACTCGCTGTCGATAATCAGCATCAATCATATATTATCGCGGGAGGCATTCAATGTTCTTTTCCGGCCTTCGAGGCGCCACCAAGGTTCCGTTCAGAATATTGGTCATTACTAATCATCAAATACCTAAGCACCTAGGCATTCCGCTCATCACGTGAACGTTGGAGTTTACTTATCCGGTGTTTACCACCTCTTTCTACAGAAGGAGTCGACCTAATTACTATTTGTGATCGTTTGGTAAATCAAGTAAACACAGGCCGTCAACACCGAAAGGTGCTTGGTCTGGCATCAGCTGCGGTTTAAAGCGTCCGAACGAACCGCTCCGCCAACACCTATCTTCTCCTGTCCTGCGCGAGTATAGGACGTGTAAGGGCAGGGCGACAATCAATCAGAGCGAGGGGCAATGTACCACTTACATGGACCTTTTGTGTATAAGTATCCTCAGCTCCAGCATGGGATTACTTCTCCAGCGCCAATATGATTGCTTGGACACCGAGCAAAAAGCTCGATCGCATAGCAAGAGTGTCAGGTAGAGGGAATTGCTGCGAGCAAATTACCAAAGTATTATGATCGGGGAGAGTGCTAAAAAGGAAATTGGTAGAAAAACAAAGAGTAATAGCATTTGGATGAAGCCTGCGGAATATATTTGTTGTCCCGCCAAGAGATGCGTTTGCTGGACCTAAATTGAATCTGAAGTATGTCAGTAAGTTGAGAGTATGAGTGAAGGGTGCGCAGCCGTGTACGACATGTGCCTTGCTCAACAGTGTTCACGGCCTGCCACAGTGAACAGACTTTCCACTTTTAGTACACCACGCCAACGGTCTTGCAATCTTCGACTCAAATTCTTCAAAATTATCAAGGCAATATCTGCCACTGAAGGTTTTCCACAGCAAGCTCGAGCTTCTTTCGAAAATTCATGGAGGCGGTCGATATCCCAGTTCAGGAAACGCGCGGGAACTGTAATCAAGGCGAAGCCTAACCTTAGCGATACTATATTTCCTCGCTACTCGCAAGTCTATAATTACATTATTGTAGGCTGTACCACGGACGTTTGGGATGAGGCTGATACCGCAAGACTGTTGAAAACGTGCTGAAAGAAGCCAACAAACGCTCTAATACAATGGATAAATTCGAAGAAAAAGAAAAAGGTTTAGAGGCGCCACGTCGGAGTCTTACTATTTGGCGGAGGACTAGCAGATGGTGGCAGACGACAACATAGACTTGGACATGGTCGACGAGGGTCTTGCGGACCAGGGACACGATGCTTACGAAAAAGATGACGAGATCGGAGAAGGAGAGTTAATCGGCATTGACGGACTATCGGTGATTTGCGAGAAGAATGTGCCACCTCACACGGCGCTTGAATCATAAGTTCAAGTACTTTCGAGCAATACAATTACTATAACGAGTAAGGTAATGATCTGCCCGTGTCGAGAGGTGGGAAGAAGAAGAAAACTGCCGGAAAGAAGCACGTCACGAGCAGGAGGAAGCCTAACCCGAGAAGCGACCAGAAGAAGACGAGCAGCGGAAAACAGTGCCGGCTGAAGCGGAAGCCGTTGATCTGGTACTACCACTGCAAAACGAGCACAGGATATGACGCTACTGACTGTTGATGAGCAAGGTGCTATAATATATCAGAGGAGATCTCACGAAACCACAGACATCACAGTGAAGAAAGACATGCAGTGAAGACATCCATAGCATTCCAAATGCGCTCCATTCCTTTTCAATCATACGCAGGCATAGAGGAAGGCCACAGGCCTGCCTAGGGTACAGATTTGCCGTGAAGAGGCAAACTTGACTCACTGACGGTGAGAATCCTAACGTCGATTAGCCCTGTTCGCATGAGAGCTCACACCAAGAGCTGTAGTGCCCGGTCAAGTTGCCTGGTGCGACAAAAGACATTACACTATGCCGACCTCCGACCCAGCACTGTAGGAACACTCACAGATTGCACCCAAGAGATCAGATCTCATCAGAAAACACGCCAGTATTGACCTTTTCAGTCTCGAGTCGGCTGATTTCAGCCCGCTCGAGCTTAGAAGCAACCCGGCTGCGAAGGACGTACCAGCAAGTGGCGCCAATACCGACAACAAGAACCAGGAAGAGAAGGCACATTAGCCAGTGAAAGGCCACCGGGTGGTGCTTGTACGCCTTAGCAAAAGCATCCTTCATGACTATTCCGAGGCAAGATTAGTAAAGGACATATAGAATGAGAGGTTGGTGAGGGCTTGCAGACCTTCAGCCCGCTTCGGATGGCACTCGAAGATGGTGGGGCAACTTCCAGGCTTCCAGGGCTCAGTCGGCGGCGGTGGTGGCGGTTGGGTGAAGTGGTTAGGTGGCGGTGGTTTGGCGACGCGGTTGCCCATGTTGACGGAAATCAAGGCGAGCGTGAGTGTGAGAAACGATGTAGATCGTCGCACAGGATGCTTTCAAGGGTTCGAGGTTGGTTTGAGTGTAGAGGAAGATGGAGTAGAAGCGAAGAACGATTTGTGCACGCAGACAGGCTATTGTTGGGAGCGATTGCAAACGAAGGCAGGCGCACACAATCGCTCCGTCAAACAGCCTAATGGCAAGAAATGCTTACTTCGAGCTATGTTGTAGGTTCACGGTGAAGCGCAGGCATGCGAATGCGGGCGATGCGTTTGTGGACGATGCTTCGTGGGAGCCTTCGTTTGCACCAAGCGTCTGTTGTGTGAATGGCATCGATTGACTGAACAGTTACTTCCGGTCGTTTGGAGCGATGGGCGTTAATACGAGTTTGACAGACACTGGTAGCTCTCAAGAAGCCGACACTTCCACTCTCCTCCATCACATCGTTGCCCTCGACAATTGCGTACAACTGCGTTCGATGTCTTCAAGTGAGAGAACCTGCGATGCTCGTTTCCTTTGGAGGATAGCCGTCTAGAAGCGGTCAACGTCACATAATTGCGAGTGACTCGATCGGGGAAACGTGAGCCAATCATTCCGTCAATAGAGTGGCTATCTTACAGTGTCTTGTCCTGTCAGAGAATGGCGATCCGCCTGGTGCAAGGCTGTGCACGTATCGACACCTCACGAGGATGCCATGCCATATGGTTGCACCGCAGTGACCAGTGACTATGAGACATACACAATGCATCCTCACCGTACACTAAAGGGGATATTTCAGGACCATGACATGCCCATATAACCTCAGATCCACGCTATACCTACTATGGTACTCTAGTAACGAGCGACAATTTGCGAGCAATGGCTGACCAAGATAAGGATAGAGTTGACTCAATATCTGGACCAAACAACCAAGGTCTGAGTCAAATTTCACTCGCACAGAGACGCCGTGGCCAACCCGCTAAACAGAAACAGAAACAGAAAGAAAAATCCATTTCCGTTCTCTTGCCTTGTGCTCACTGTACCTGCAACCGCACTCGTACTACCGCAAAGACAGACCGCCATGCAATTGATCATTTCGTCGTGTCACATGTGTCTCAACACAAGCGCTGAGATCAAGGGATGGGCGCCAAAACCTTGAAACATCATGTCTATCTCGCCTTCTTCACCTCCGTCGCCCATCCCTCAATGCCTTCCCCTTTGCTGCCCACCGTGATGTCCAAGCTGACGTTCTCCATCCCCTTCGTATCCTTCAGGAACGCGTGTCCTGCCATCCCTCCCGCGTTCGCCCGATCCACAGGCAACAGCTCCAACATTGGCAGCAAAAAGTCTGCAATTCTCTTGCTCTCCTCACTCGAGAAATGGTATTTCTCGTGAAGCACGTCGGGCAAAGCCCAGTGGCGTAATCGGTGGATGTTGCGCAGCTCCCCCTTTCTATTGAAAATTTCTTGCGACCACTTTCCCGACATGCAGAGGGACTTGGGGAAAGCGCCGAGGAGCTCAATGATCTGTGCGATGTGATCGTCATCTTTGCCATATTTCGTGCCAGATTGCGGATCGAACAGGTAGTCACCGGTTATGAGCTCGAAGACCTGATGACTGTTATTCTGCGTTCAAGTGGGTTTTGACATGAGTTGATCATACCATAGCAGCCATACTCCACACATCAGTGCTAGCACCCCACTTTCCACCTAAGATAACCTCCGGAGACCTGTATTGCCGGGTCTGGATGTCGTTGGTGAAGTGGTGCCCGACCCAGCACGCGTTACCAAGATCTGCAATCTTGACGGAGATGGTCTCGAAAGAGACGTCTTCGGCTATTTTCTCGGCCGATGTTTCGTTCTTAGAGGAACTGCCGCTCGATTTGTCCAGGCTGATACCCGACACTTCCTTCGTCAGGAGATCACTAAACGATTCGTCAGCTAGCATATGTGAACAAGGACAGGAGGCTTACGCAGTCTTCTCCCGCTGTTTCTGTACATCTTCTTCGCTTGCTGGTGGCTTGAGACCGAGCCTTTCTGACATGGACAGAGTGGACGAGGGTGATGACGTGCCTAAAGCACCACTCGTTACATTGCCGTCTTGCGAAGGCGGGGCCAGCCCAGTTGCAGGTGACTCACTACCGGTGTTCTCGCTCACAATCTTATTAAGACTCTGTGCGCTGCCGGGAAAGTTGGCCAGATCGGAATGACTGAAGCTAGCATTGAGAGGACTGGGGAGTGGCTGGCTGCCTGTAATGAGCGTTCTACGTCTCCGCCGGCCATTCGGATTACTCCGTTCGATGTCCTTCTTAGGGTCATCCTTGACATATGTCTTTACGATCTGCTCGACGTCGCCAATCTCAATGAGTACGTTCTCGGGTTTCAGGTCAGTGTGGATGATGCCACACTCGCGGTGTAGGTAGTCGAGGCCCAGCAATACTTGTTTCGTGATTTGTTTGACGAGTGGCATGGGTATGCCGCGGTGATTCCAGCGCTTTATGAGACCAAGCAGATTCTCTCCCAGTACCTCAAACACCATGCACACGTGCACGCCATTGGGGCCTTTGTGGTTGAACGAGTCGAGGAGGCTGACTACATGGGCGCGGCCGGGGTGGTCCTTGTTCGCGTCGACAACCTTCTTCAAAAGCTTGATTTCGTCGAGAGCAGTCTCGGTATAATGCGCGGCGGAGCGGACAACCTTGAGGGCAACGTGCTTGCCCGTGGTGTTGTCGCGAGAGAGCCACACGGTGGAGAAGTGACCCCACCCCAGCTTGCGCACGATTGTGTACTTGCCGTCCTTGTACTCTTCGCCGACCTGGACCGGGTGGTAGCCGCCCTTGCAGTAGTCCTCGCTATCCTCCTCGTCGGCCGTGTTCTCGGCCTCGTCGACCGACGACGAGGAGCTCGAAGGCGAGTGGCTCAATTGGCTCGCGTACATTTTGTGGTGGGACAGTGGGGAAGCGGTGGTGGGCTGCTGGACACTGGGGTGCGAGAGTCAGCAAAAATTCACAAGAAGCGTGCGAGGGGGCGCGCGACGGCGGGCAAGGTGCAGGCGACAGGGAAGGGGCGCGGTGGACAGGGCGAGAATACGCACTTGTAGTGAAAGGAGCCTGAGGCCTCGTCCTGTTGATGGGCTTCAGACGTGGTGATGATGGGCTTGAGGTCGGCTTTTCGGCGCTTCTTGCCTCCATTCCCGTTCGCGGCCTGCGCGACCTGCTTCGCCTTGTTGATGGCAGCCTTCTTGATGTCGGCACCGTTCATCATGTCTCTCCCCGCCGCAAGCGCCAAACAGGGTGGTCCGCGCTGCTTCTGGGGCGCCGAGGGTGGTGCGATGCGGGTTGGCGTGCGAAGGCGGGCTCAGTTCATCTACGGTGCGCGGCTCTCGGGGGGTTCTGTGGTGTGTCGGGCAGGCCAGCGCGCGCAGCAGGCGTCGTGCCGGGTGCTGCACTTGCAATTGCTGGGGAGAGATATGGGCTTCTAGCGCTCGTTTGTCGGCCAATCTTGGGCCGCACACCCCTGGCAGCGAAGATGGCGGGGTCTTCGTGCTGCGCTCGCGGATCGTCTGCGCGTGGGCGGAGGGCGACCGAGGGAAGGCGTCGACGTTGCGAGCGAGGGCGAGGAGCGGCGTCTGGAGTGCAGGTCAGAGGCTCGCATCCGGCGGCGATGCAATGGCACCAAAGGCTGCTAGCTCGCTGGCTCGGGGCGGTAAAGCTGGCCAGCAATGATGCAACCACGCGCTTTGAGACACGCCTGTTTTCCGGGCCACCCAACCTCGACTCGCCGCGGGGCCGCCCGCCACAGTTGCGCTGTGAACTTCACGTATGACTTGCATGGCCATCCATTGAATGCATGCCCGAGTGCATCCGCCTGAGCCTTTGCCTTCGCCTGGGCCGTGGCCAGGTCTGGTGGCTATTTCCGACTACCTCCCCCACGCCCAGTCCGTTCTACAGTACAGAAGATGCTTGCGGACTTGCGCTATCCGCAGCGGAGAGACCCATATGCCATATCCGACTTTCACTTGCTAATCCTACACAACCACCCGTCGCTATGCAAAACAACCAAACAATGGGAGGCGCCAAAATCATGTCATGCACATGGTGGAACATCACCCATGTTGCACAACTCGCGCCCTGAGACGTCCTACTACTTTGCGGAGATTGCCGCAGTCCACCGCTGTTCATCTTTCCTGCGGCTTGTCAGTAATAGGAACTACTATCTCAACATGTCGCTTACTTGTCAAAGTGCAGGAGCATCCCCAGCACGGGAATGAGCTGCTGCTGGTACTTCTTGTCCTTCTGCTCCAAGAACTGCAACAGCACGTTTTTCAGATAGACGTAGTCCACGGCTCCGTCGCCAGCCTGCGCAGTGGGCGCTCCGCCCTTGGGCGTTGGAGATGCGATGCGTGATCTTGATGATTCGAGCGAAGACCTCGATGACTGCACGTTTGATTCTGGTGCACGCATCTTCAATGCTCTGAGCTCATCTGACATGCTCTTGCTCGACTTCTGCAGCTTCTCGAGTCGGTTCTGCGTCTCATCAAACGCACGTCGCAGCTCGACCTTCTCCTTCTCCAGGTCACGCGCCTGCTTCTCGCTCTCGTCCAGAGCATCGCGCAACTGGCTGAGTGCCGCACGTACCTCGGCAGCTTCGTCGTTGGCTTGTGTTGCTCGTCGTTCAAAGTCCTCTTTTTGGCGTCTGAGCTCTTTTTCGGATGAAGCCAGGTCTTCCTTGTCTTCTTGGGCCCGTATGACTGCACGCTCTGCATCACGGACTTTCTGTTTGAGCTCTTCCAGCTCACGGGCACGTCGTCGACCAAATGAGCTAGCTTGCTCTTCAGCTCTTTCTCTCTCTTCAATCGCAATGTCAAGGCGATCTTGCATCTCCCTGATGCGCGCATCGGCTCGACCCTGCGCATCTGCAAGAAGCCTCCTCATGGTTTCAGCTTCACGGCTGCGTTCGCTGAGCAATCGGTGTGCGTCCGCAAGCTCTTCCTCTAGGCTTTCGCTTCTAGCGCGTACCTCCTTCATCTGCGTGCCTATTTCCAAACTTTGATCTTGCATGCTATTCATGAGGTCCTGTGCGCTTGCATACTGAGCAGACTTGAGCTGAATCTCATCGTGCAGACCGCCGGCTTCGCGCTGCAGTTTCTCGACCTGCTGCTCCAGGTCTCGAAGTGTTGCGCGGGACTTCTTAAGGTCTTCTTGCGCCTTGGTGAGCTCCTTGGTGAGTCTCTCACGGTTTTCGATGGCGTCGTTACGATCGCTCTCGGACTTCTGAAGGTCACGTTGGATCTTCCGGTTGGTTTCCTCCAGCGCAAGCCTCTGTGTTGTTTCTTGTCTGACCTTGTCGTTCAGGGTTTTGATGTCACCATCCTTGTCAGAGACTCGAGTTCGATAAGCCACGATCTCGGATTTGAGGTCTTTTTCACGGCTCTCCAGACGACGCATTTCCGATGATTTGATGGAAAGCTCTTCCTTGGCGCTTCGCAATTCAGTAACCTCCTTGCGCAACGACGTAAGTTCCGGCTGAGCTTTCTGCAAGACATCTCTCATGTCCGTAAGTTCCTTAAATCTTGAAGCAGCGAGCTGTTCCGCCACAGATAGATCAGTCTGCAAAGAATTAGCCTTGGCTTTGAGCTCCTCGAACTCTACCGCCAAAGCCTTCTTTTCTTGCTCCGAACTCTCTTGGGCAGATGTGCCAGTGCGTAGCTCTGCGATCTCCTTCTCTAATTTTGCAAGGTTCTCCATTAGAGCCGTCTTCTCCGCCTGTAATTGCTTTACCTGGTCCTTCGCCTCCGTGTGCTCCGAGCCAAAGTCAAGCAGATCCTGCCTCCTTGGATCGAAATTAGTGATTGCATTAGGCTTTTGAGAGGACTGGACTTACAGAGTCTCGATCTCCTCTCGCATTGCTTCTTCGTCCTTTAGTTTCTTTTTCAAGTTGTCAATGGAATTGCCCTTTTCCGTGACCTCGGTCTCCAGACGCTCGATCGCAGCAATCTTTGCTTCCAAGTCTGACCTGAGCTGTGAGACGGTCTTCTGTGCGTCTTCCAACTGGGACGGGAGAACCTCAGCAGCACTAGGACTCAAAAGTCCATTAGAGTCGTCAGCCTCGCTTGGTGTCTTCTCCAAGGGAGCCCCATTGGCAGCCTTCCCACCCTTCTTCTTCTTCTTGTTCTTCTTTTTGGAGGAAGTCCCGGCGTCCGTAACAGGTGTGGGTACTGGCGTAGATGCCTCAGCCTCGTTCACGGACTTCTGACTCGAAGCAGCTGCAAGATCTTTGTAAGCCTGCTCCAGTTCGCTTTGCGTCTTGTCACGTTCCGATTCTGCGTCTTTCAACTGGTCGCGCAAGTTGTTTACCAAACCATTGAGCGTCTCGTTGCGCTTCTCTGTCTTGGATTGAGTATCACGGAGGTTCACAATTTCACCTTCCAGATGCTCCACTTGCTTCCTCAAGGCATCTGAATGATAACTCTCCACGAGCTCTTCTCCCCGGGTGGAATGTAGCTCTTCAAGCTCTTTTGATGCCGCGTCCAGCTTTGCATGGAGATCCGCAAGGGTCTTCTCTTGCGCGCTATAGCCATCTTTCTGCTTTCCAAGATCTTGTTCGGCATTTTGAAGCTTGCTCTGAAGGTCGTCGATCGTCGAATCAAGCTCTTTCTGGCGCTCGGCGGTCTCCTTTTGCGCGCGCGTGTACTGATCCTTGAAGGTGATCAAATCGTTTGTTGTGGTCTCGAGGTTCTTCATGAATGATTCTGCCGACTCCTGTGCTACAGATAGCTCCTTCTTCAGCGATTGATTCTCTTCATCAAGCTTTTCGGCCTTCTCTTCACTTTCCTTTAGCTGCGATTGCAGTCGCGGCAGCTCGCTATCATAGGAAAAGAATTCATCGTTGTCCTCCGTCGCTTCGGTCCTTTTGGAGGATTTGGATGAGGATGACGGAGCAACGGATTGTGTCTGGACGGTCGAATCGTCTTTCAGTGTTTCGTTCGATTCAATCTGCGCCTGTAACTTCCCTGCTTCTTCAGATGCTTCCTTCGCCTCCTTTTCCGCTTCTTCCAGCTTCTTGTTCATTTCGTCCCGCTCTTTGGAAACCCTCTTAAGCTCTTCCATGAGCATGTCGCTTTTGACGTTTAGCTGGCCGAGATATGTTACAAATTCCGCAGGTTCGCTGATCGACGTCAACGGGGTATTCTCGCGGAGAGAAGCTTCGAAGGATTCGATGAGGCTAACCCGGGCGTGGGCAATGCGATAGGAGCGAAGCAACTCTACATGGTGGTTAGATGCGACAAGCTGAGCAAACGATTCCACTGACCAGAATACTTTGGCTCGAGCTTGTCAAGTTTCCTCAGCCGAGCTCTTGTTTCCGGCGCTATCTCAGGTGTTGGTAGTGCCTTTTCTTCCGCAGCTTCGGCCTCTCCATCCTCCTCCTCCTTCTCTTTGTCCTCACTTGCTCCTGCTGTTTCTCCACCCTCTGCTTTCTCCTTCGGGCGCGGAGTCCCTATTCTACTCGGCTGCTCATCGTCTTCGCCTATGACAAATTCCGGATCGAACTCTGAGGGATCGGGACCTTTCCCTGTGGGCGCTGCCTTGTCGCCATCCTTTCCTTTGAGTGGGCGCTTCGACGGCGAAAGATTGCGCGAATTCGACCGCTTCGAAGTGGAGCCTGACCGTGACCGCGATGCCTGGGCAGAAGCCCGCTGCTTTGCTTGCTCTTCAGCAATTCGGGCATCGAGTGCACCTTTGATGCGCTGGGAGTCTACGGTTAGTTGTGATCGCGAAACTACAAGAACACCAATACCTGAAAGCCTTGGAACATGTTCGCAATAGATTATGAGGTCGGAGATAGAAGAGATCGGGTCTAATATCTATGGGATTGCCATGATCCAAGTGTCCACTGCACGGCCAAAGTGTACCGCGTGTGAGACGTACGTACGTCTGGGGCTGCAGGGGTCTCCACGCTAGCCACTGCTTCGGTTAAGTCGGATCCATGGTGTCGCCAAAATTAATCTTTCGCGAGACGCTCTTCTTGCAACCCCGCAACAGATACATCATGGCATCGGCGTCTGTACAGATTAACCTGCCTCTGCCAGTCCTGCCTGCGGGTTGGACCGCGGAGAAAGACTTCAAGCCTATCGGGCACCTCAGCCATGCGACTGACCGCAACATCGAGCCTGTCGGCCCCCATTTCCTCGCCCACGCGCGCAGGGTACGTCTTACTTTGAGCAATCCTGAACAAAACTAATTGCTGTGCACTTGTAGAAGCGACACAAGCGCACCTTCTCCGAGGACGACCGCATCCAGGCTCAGGCGAACGTGAAGAAGATCGAGGATGATGATGAGGGCGAGATCAGCGAACCTGAGGACCCACTGATGCTGCAGCGCGAGGCTAAGGACTGGAAGGGCCAGGACCACTACGCTGTTCTTGGGATCACGAGGTACCGATGGCGCGCCACCGAAGATCAGATCAAGCGTGCCCACCGCAAGAAGGTCCTCAAGCACCACCCCGACAAGAAGGCCGCCAAGGGTGGGACCGAGGACGATCAATTCTTCAAGTGTATTCAGAAGGCTACTGAAGTTCTTCTCGACCCCGTCAAGAGGAAACAGTTTGACTCTGTTGACGAGGCGGCGGACGTTGAGCCACCCACGAAGTCGGAGACGAAAAAGGGTAATTTCTACAAGCTCTGGGGCAAGGTCTTTGATGCAGAAGGCCGTTTCTCGAACAAGCAGCCTGTGCCGAAGCTTGGTAACGAGAAGAGCAACAAAGAGGATGTTGAGAACTTCTACAACTTCTGGTACAACTTCGACAGTTGGCGAACCTTTGAGTACCTCGACGAGGACGTTCCTGATGACAACGAGAACCGAGATCAGAAGCGCCACGTTGAGCGCAAGAACCAGAACGCTAGGCGCAAGAAGAAGACTGAGGACACTGCGCGCTTGAGGAAGCTTGTTGACGACTGTTTGGCCCTCGACGAGCGCATTAAGCTCTTCCGCCAGCAGGAGAACGCTCACAAGAACAAGCGTCGTCTTGAAAAGGAGGCGGAGCAGAAGCGCATCGCTGAGGATGCTGCCAAGGCCAAAGAAGAGGAGGCTAAACTCCAGGCTGAGAAGGAGGCCGCTGAGAAGGCACAGAAGGCTGAGGGCAAGAAGGCTAAGGAGGCTGCCAAGAACGCGGCGAAGAAGAACAAGCGTGTCATTCGCGGCGCTGTCAAGGATGCCAACTACTTCCATGGAGCTGGAGATGCCCCGGCCTCACAGATCGACAGCGCGCTCAACGATGTTGATGCCCTCATTACCAAGCTTGACAACGAAGAGATTGCCGCGCTGACGGCCAAACTGAACGGGGCGAAGGGTGCCGATGCGATCAAGCAAGTCTACCAGGACGAGGTCAAGCAGTTGATAGGCGCTGGCAAGTTGAAGGAGGGAGAGCTCAAGTCTCTATCGTAGTGGAGGACATGGGCGCGATTCGTTGGTTCAGTTAGTTAGGTTCTAGTAGAAGCCATTGCACTCTCAAAGACGGTTACTGGTGCCTCATTGTACGCTGCCAAGCCCTGAACGTGTATTCTGGAGTGTCAACAAGCACCCAAGTAGTGCATGGGATGGCTGTCGTGCTGCAGTTTGACACAATGACGTGTCTGGTTGCTGACGACCACCACCTCACCTGCATGTCGTCTTGCAGCGCCATCCATGTCTCCACGCTTGCCCAGCATCGATGCCGTCCGTTTGGAGCTCTCGGCGCGGCAGGCGTGCTGGGCGCGACATGGAACAAATAAGCTGGGAACAGCGCCTAGACGGAGCCTCGATCCATAACAATCCCCAAGCGCCGTCGGACCACCAACTTCCTCAGCGTCACTTTCCGTCGCCAATCGCACGATCCCCGCGCCCGCTTAAACGCCCCGCGCCAAGCCGAAGCACAGCAGCATCGTCACTTGTCGGAGCGCACGATTGCACGCAAGGATTCCGGCCGGCGTGGTCTGGCATACGCCTTTGCGACCTGATCTGATCAAATACCAGGATGAGCGGCGTGTCCCCCACGTCGCAATCGCGGAATGCCTCTCCAGCGCCTCCCCGACCTCGAAGCTCGACGCCGGGCCAGACGGTGAGCCCACGGCTGCCGCCCATGGCAGCAGCAGGCTCGGAGGACCCCTCACGCCGCCCATCGATTTCATTCAAGGCGCATGCCAGCAGGTCGCACCCCAGAGGCAGCCCGCGCCGTGGCCAGCCTAGACGCCGCATATCGTCACCTCCTCCTCCCCCGTAAGTATTGGCTCGCTACCACTCCTCGTGCAGACCGCCCCAGCATAAGAGCACGTTCCTGCACCTGGCTTCGCCATTCGCTGTTATCGTCATTCCTTCCCTCACCTTCAATGACCGACGACCATGGCGGAGTATGCCCCACCGCTTGCGGGCAGCTCTAGGGGAGAGCACTAGGCTTGGGAGCCTCTTATGTTCCTCATAGTTGCTTCTGTTGACGGGACATTCTACTGACAAATACCCAGTGTATTCCAACCCCGCGTGTCCTTCGATACATTCGACAAACCGGCCGACTTCATTGAAGAGACCTCATTCACGCTTATAGCCAAGCACAAGGACTACGAGTACACTAAACGCTCACGAACGTTTCTGTGCGGCTGCGATGACAACGACTATTCGGATTATGCGCTGCAATGGCTAATAGACGAGTTGGTGGACGACGGTGACGAGGTCGTGTGCTTGAGGGTGGTGGAAAAAGACGACACCATAGCCAGCGACAGAAGCGTCGAAAAGGGTCGCTACCGTGCGGAGGCAGAGGCTTTGATGAAGTCTGTGCAGGCGAAGAACCACGAGAACAAAGCTATCAATTTGGTTCTGGAGTTTGCGATGGGCAAGGTGAATACTGTTATTGACGACATGGTGAGTCAAGATACGGTGCGTCGATGGCGCGAGACTGATTGCATTTAGATCAATCTGTATGAGCCAGCAATTCTCGTAGTCGGCACCAGAGGCCGGAGTCTAGGTGGTTTCCAGGGTCTGCTCCCCGGATCAGTGTCCAAGTACTGCCTTCAGCACTCACCTGTGCCCGTTATTGTTGTGCGTCCTTCGTCGAAGCGTAACAAGGCACGGAATAAACGTGCTCTAGACCCGAACAGACACTCCTACAAGGATCTGTTGGAAAAGAGTGGCCACCTGATCGACACCGATGCTCGTAGCTTCAATGTAGACGACTCACGGCAGGCGTCCGAAGACGAGGCCGCCGCTGTAGCCGCGGCGATTGGATATAGACCGTTAGGAGGAAGTCCCTTGGTGCAATCCCAGACAGTTCCTGTGAACTTGGACCGAACCATCGCAGACCAAGACCTGAAGAGCCCCGGCGTTGTCATGAAGAGCCCGGAGCTGCAAAATCTCGAAAGTCCCGAGATATCAGATTCGAGCATTAGCGATGATGAAGATGATGGTGGCGTACCTACCGCTGCTCTAGGTCTAGGCGTAGATGTTGAGAGAGAGGCTGGGGAAGCGCAGAGCGCGAGGTCTGCCGAAGAGGTTCAGAGGGCAGTGCCCGAGATCAAAGAAACGGAGCTCAGCGAGGTGGACCCCAACTGGAACGAGGCAGTTGCCACATAACCGAAATATGAGGAGACAGAGGAGCCATCCAAGGCAGAGGAGCTATCCAAGGCAGAGGAGCTATCCAAAGCCGCTCAGTCCACCCAACATTAGCAATCATTCTAGGGCGTCCTATTGCTGCATCACAAAACCCACAGATCCAGTCATGCCCCGTTACGAGCTCCTCATGCACGCGAGGTTATCAATCAAACGGAGCCATGAATAATGCATTTCAGGGAATCGAATAGATAGCATAAACAAGTCTGCCCATACCAGGCAAAGTCTCACCTTCGTATAGGTGATCGTACCATACTAGCAAGACCTATGCACACTCATCTTGCTTGTTTCGAATAACAGTCTATACTAAGTAGGCAGAGTACTATATTTCCTGGATTAGTTGACCGACCCATAGTACGTCACTATTCGTATCTTTTCAGTTCTCAGGCTTGTTCGATAGTGATACAAGATGTGATTGCTGCGGGGCATCCTATAGTGCCCTGCCTGGGGATCTGACTGTCACTTGGTCTCGTGAACTGTTTCATGGGTGCCGTGTCTAGGGGAGCCCTAGGGAGATCTGCTCTAGGGCATGGATGACGGAACAGCGTGGGGTGCGCTTGGCAACGTAATGATAACCCGAAACACGTTCCGCGCGTTCCTTCTGACAGTCCCGACGTTGGATAGATGTGCTTGGTTGTTGGCTTGTGGAAACACTGTCATGAACCATCGAATCAGCCCACATGGTGAATTCATCGAGCGCACGCGCAGCCTTCCAACGACGACGTAGCGGCAGTGACGCAACTGCCTACACAACAGCCACATACACCTGATGCTCCCGCTCGACGACGACGACTGCGATGCCTGCAGCCCCGACTGGGTGAAGAAACGAAGCCCATCCGCTATGGCCGTTTCCGCGCTGCCATTCGTGGCGACCTTTTTTATTGTCGCCGTGGCCGTGTCGCATAAGCTCTTCCCGCTGCTATCTGGCCATGCGCCTCTGAAGACCCACCACGATGCGCAACTACCAGGCTTCGCATGGCGCGAGAAGACGTTGATATCTAAGAAACTGCGCATAACAGCGCGTACGGTTGCCAGCGCGACTTTCTCTACGAATATTGCGCTATCGGCCGTGCTCGTCGAGCTTATCCTTTGCGAGATCTCGAACACCGTCAATCGCGCAACGCGAACGCTGGCGCTCAAGGTCACGCTGCCGTCGCTATTGTTTTTGATCATCGTCCTTACACCGGCGTTAATTATACACTCAGTGGTTTCGGGACGCAAGTTGAGCGGGTCACAGAGAGGTCAGCGTCAGCTGGCATGGCTCTTGGACATTGCGGGTCTGGCGGCATGGCTTGCGGGATTTTGGTACCTGGGCAGAGGGTTGCTGGGAACGTTTTTGCACGAGGAGTCATACATCCATGAACATACTTTCAGTGAAGGTTGTCTAGAAAGAATTGGCGTTATTGGCATAAGTTTGATGGCGTCGCTGGCTGGCTTCGCTGCTGTGAGTTCGCTCTGGCAGACATTTGGTGTAAAGTACCGCCTGGTATGTAATCTTCGCGAAGGCACCGGACAAGTCGTGGGGAACTGACTGCTACCGATAGGTCACCGAGTCAGATGTCGCTCGTAAACAAGCCGGACTTGATGCTACAAATGATATGCTTTTAACGAAGGAAAGTCGACTTCGCGCTGTACAGCGAAAACTCTCAGACACACCCAAAGAAGGGTTCGTCACCCGTATGGTGGGCAGCCTTCGCGGGAACCCTGAGATTATAGAACGAAACACATTGCAGCTCGAAATCCAAGGCCTCGAAACGATGCGCAACACACTTCAAAACTCCTTGTCTATCCTACAGAACCGGCGACAGTCTCAAATCCGCTCACACACCGTTCATGGACGCTTGTTAAACCTCGTCTCGCTGATTTTCTCCGTCTATTGCTTCTACAGAATCACAGCGACGACATTCACGACTCTAAGACGCTTCTCATCACCAAACACAAGCTTCTCAAACACCGACCCGATCAACAACTTCCTCGCGATATTAGCCAAGCATTGGGATCCCGCAATAGACCGCGTGGCCTGGAGTCGCACTATATCCTTCTTGCTTTCCGGCATCATGCTCCTCGCATCCTTCAACAGCGTCGTACAGACTTTCTTCCTTTTCGCGCGCGTACTCCCCGGTGTTCTTCATCACGCCCAAGCCAACTTTGCTTTACTGATTTCGCAAATTGCCGCTACCTATGTGATCAGCTCCGCGCTCCTGTTGCGAAGTAATTTGCCCGTGGAAATGAAGAGCGCTATCTCGGAAGCGCTAGGTGCGCCGCTAGAGCCAGCATTTACAGAGAGGTGGTTTGAGGGGTGGTTCTTGTTGGCGAGTGCGTCCACGGCAGTAGGGCTCTGGGCCGGGAAACGATTAAAGGGACAGGGGTGGGACGACGAAGAAGATCTTGGTGAAGGAGATTTGGAGATGGGCAAATTGAATTGATGTGAGGCTTGGCTTCTGAATTCTTTGCGTATATCCAGTGGAACAGGTATTGCTACTTCATTCGTTTCCGGCCCATGCGTGACATTGTGCTCCCATTGCGTTTGCCGCAGAGAAGGTCTTCCTGGGAAAGGCTCGATTGAGTGCAACTGGTAACCAGTATCTGAGGCAATCGGTATGTGAAGCAGACGCCGGCCAGATAGAGTCTCAATGTACATTATCAGCTGCTATATTTGGACTTTCTACCCCCAAGCCACAAGCCCCACTGCTTGATTTGATGCGTACGACATACGTATATACCGGAGCGGCTTTTCTGTTCTATCAGCATGAGGCCGCTGCTCGTCAGCGCATATTAATGAAGGTTGACGTAGACGGAGCCCGATTTGAGATTGGCCGGGCGCCAAGACTGTTTGTACCATGACGTATGCCGTGGGGCAGCAATGGATGAAAAGCGCGGGGCTCGCGCGTGGTCTGCAAGCTTCATTGACTTCTGAACGACTCTTCAAAACATCTCGAACCTTCAAATACCATCAAAGCTTGTAAGTCTGCCAGAATTGCCAAAAGACCCATCAGAAGACGTATATCGTTATGCACAAATGTGATGTCCATGTAGCTAACGAGCTCTTACAGTCCCCCGACAAAACTTCATAAACAGTATGAACTTCGGTCTGAATCTAGCACATGTAGCTCTCTAACGGTGAAGTAGAATAAAATGTCCGCTCCCAACGCTGGCCGCCAGTCCCCCGAGCCGGAGAAGCAGACCGGTGCTCAGCAGCAAGACGTTCCCGCCTCCAACATCAACGATCAAGGCGCGGCTCCCTCGCAGGGCACCAAGCAAGCGAACGAGGACCAGAAGGCCGGACTCAGCTCAAACCCGACGCACCCGCTGGAGAAGCACGCTGACGAGACGACGAGCAAGAAATGAGGGGTTGATGACTGAGTAGGGAGATGGTGGGAATGATATCATAAAGCCACTCACGCATAATGAGTGAGCGAGATAGACGAGAGCTGCAACTGCGAATTGGAAAGGCTCGCACAGAGGCAGCGATAGCCTCGAGATGAAATGTTATGATTGACGTCATTGCCACTATTCTTTTGGTGTGCAGGAGTTGTGATACAATCTGCTGTTGAACCGTCTCGGAAGAGTGTGCATGTGAGGATTTTTCGTGATGGAATGAGCGCTCTATGTTTGATGGTGATGTAGTTGATGCACGGTCTCGTCTTGAGGTTTCTGAATCTGACCCCTTGATGCGCATGGACTCTTTCGCGCATTTCCACGGTGCAGACCAGAGTATCATTCGAAACCCGTAAAGAATAATTCCAACATCTCAAAACCATCAAAACCACATTACTTTCGGACCCTCATCTAGGCAATCGAGTTGATGTCGTTCGAGGTGGCCAGGCGCTCGGCCAATTCCGCCCAAACCAAGTTCTCTGCCCCTGGTACCAAACCCCACATAGACTGCTCCAGTGCCACACAATCTGTCGGCCACTATCGACTAGGGACGCAGATACTGATACCAGATAGCTTGGACCAGAAGAAGCTTACCGCAAATCGTTGAGGATATATTTGGTAGTGTACAAATCTTTTCATCAGATCAGACAACGGGGCTTGTGGTTTAGGGGTATAATGTTCGCTTCGCATAATCCAAATGTGCTTGCGAAAGGTCCTGGGTTCGATTCCCAGCAAGTCCAAACCTTTTTTGCCATGTGGTTGAGTCTTGACTTGGCCTTCTTTTCGCATCCTGCGGTGACACGAACGGAGGGTATCACGCTGCCACTGTAGACTTTTTACACATACCGACAGTGCCGAATTGGTATGAGGCAATGGAAGACTGAGGTACTATCTAATTGTTTCTATAAGTCTGCCGCCTGCGTTCAGCTCATATTGTAGATACTACATAGGTACTATTCTAGGCTAATTCAAATTCCGGCAAGTCATTGTGTGTGCACTGTGGAGCTTTGGTCACGTTTCGTAGCTGCGGCCCTCGGAGCGCACGATTTTTGAGGGACGTACAGGATGTAGACGCGTTGGCTTGGATCCCTGTAGCGTAAATCCTGCGCCTTCTTAGCAGATATCGTTGACTTGCAACACAAATTACCTATTATCAGGGGAGCAAGCGAAAGAGAGCGCTACAGGGATTCATACCGACGCGCCTACCTGCTGTATTAGCTGTCATATCTATGTATTGCTAGGAATTTGAAATCTTTCCTTATTGTCTTAACAAATGAAGTGAGGGTTGCTGTCACACACAAAATGGGAGCGTCGAAACTTCAGACCTAACTAGAAATTTCGTAAGGCGTCTAAACAGTCAAATTTATCACATTTTGAGCCTTTAATTGGCCGATAAAACGTGACGTTGGCTGTACACGGGCATCAAGTAGGCCCGCCACAATAGGCCTGCCTCCCTAACAGTACACTTAAGCCACGTCTTGAAAGATCCCCAGGGCCTCGTCGTTCCAACTCAAGAATTTCCCACTCAAATCCTTTCCCCCAGCCACCGCAAGCTTCGCAATAACATGCCCCGGCTGCTCCGGCTTTAGTAAACCCCCATTCGTCTTAAGTCCAGCGAACTTTGCGGCATCTTCAACGCTCATGGTCTTGTTGTGCAGCTCTCTGATTTCTCGCTGCATCTCAGTGTCGACAACGCCCGGGCGAATAGATATCGTCGTGACGTCGGGTTCTTCAACCGCGAGTGTCAGGGCAAGATGATTGAGCACTGCTTTGCCCGCACCATAGGCGCCCCAACCTTGGTAAGCGCTCACAGCGGCTCCGCTGGATGTGAGGATGATGCGGCCTTGAGTTCTGCGAAGTGAGGGCAGAGCAGCTTGGATCTATACCACAACGCACAAGTCAGCCATCGGACGTGATACTCCACCATTCGCGCAACCACACTTACTAGAGTAATTGCACTGAAAACGTTGATATCGAATGCTTTGCTCCACTCTTGAGCATTTGAGTCTGCGATTTTCTTCACAGGATCTAGCGATCCATGGTTGACTATGAGTCCGTCGAGTCGACCGAATCGGTCATGCGCGACTTGAACCGCTTGGTCGGCGATAGCGAGGTCGGAAAGGTCACCGGCGACAACTTCGACTTTGTCGGCGCCGTACTGGTCGCGAAGCTGGGTGAGGGCAGATGCAGTGCGGGACACGAGAACAAGCTTGTGCGAGTGGGAGAGGAGGTGATGGGCTGCTGCTAGGCCGATGCCTTGAAAAATGTTAGCATGTTGGTCTTACAGAGCCTAGTCAGGGATCTATCTGAGTGTTCTACAGAAGGATGTTAACATGACAACGTGCCAGAGATACCTGAACGTCGACAATAGCGGGGTAGGAACAGCCTCGAAAGTGGAAAATTAGCGTTGTCTTACCCCTCGAAGCGCCTGTTAATATGATGACCATTTCTTCAGATTCTGACATGATGGCAAATTTGGAGTTGTTGTAGGACGTGAAACGCTGTTGTACAAGATTGTATGGCGCCGACATCATTGCGTGCCTGCCGCAATGAGCCCCACTAGCATTCGGTTCAGGTATCCGCCTCCTACGCGTCTATACATCCCTGACCGACAAACGAAGTTCAATTCATAGCTCGACGAGAGAAGATAGCGAAACGAATGATGTTGTCTATCGGGCGCAAATGGTAAAAATCGAGAAAGTGAGCTTCGCCATGTTCGACGAAGGCTCGGTGGCATCTGGTGAATTATCTACTTTTGAGACCGAAACGCACGCACAGGACTTGTTCGCCAAATAATGCATACTTGTGCTCTGAGCACGTGTATTGATCTCCTTGCAAGTGCGCTATAGACAATCGATATCTGAAGTGGCATATTGCTGTTTGGATGATGAGAATGAGCAGATTCGCTCCGGACACAGACTGGAATCTATGCGCCTGACTCCATAACTCCTAACATAATGCCTCGATCCAACATAGTTCCTCAATTCCTCAGTGCTCGGAGGCGCTCGTTCAGGCCTTGCTCCTCTTGTTCGGTGGGACCGGTCTTGATCGTCTTCGCCGGCGTGGCCTCCTCCAGATCTGCTGAAAGTTCAACGCCGACCTTATCCGCAGCTTGGGCCATCAAACGATCAACGTCATCCTGGGGTGTTCCAACTGCAGTCGCTGAGGAGGTAGCTTCGCGTGTAAATTCATCTACAACATCGAGGTCGTTGAAGTTCTTCTCAAATCCGTCCATGACAGCCGTTATCTATTACCCAACGTTAGGGCAATCGTCCTCAAGGGGGGGAACGCTACAACGTGGTAGCATGCCAAGAGTTCACGTACCCTTTCCAGATTCATCGACTTCATCGCTACATCCATGCTCTTCACCACCTTTTGCATGTTGCCGGTGACCTGGCGCATTGTGACTGCCGTCTGTACCCGACCGGCGACTGCATCGACACGCGAGGCAAGTTGTAGGAGGTTCAGCTTCTCGTTCTGCTTACGGACGGCATTCTGGGCGTAAATGCGTGCGATGTCGTGATGGCCTTGCTTCATGGCCTGTCAAACATGTTAGCAGGCTGCCCGCTGGTAAGCGCTGGTTAGAGTGACCTTCTCGACCTTCGCTTTCTCGGTTTGTTCATCTTTCCCAGCCTTGAGCGCCTGTCGGTTCAGCGACTTCGCCGTGAACTAGTGGGCGTTAGTGGGCAACGGGAAAGGGCAGGTTCGGATCCGTACCTTCAAGTTGAAGAGGGCAGCCTCAAGACCAGACATATCGGAGGCGGTCTGACTGCGGCTAGGGTTCTCTGCGATAAGTTCGGCGGGTGCAGCGTGGGTGCGGTCGCGAACGCGGACGTCGTGGATGCGGCTGATCCCCGGCATCGAGACATGGTGGGGTCAGCACGAAACAACGTCATTCGCAGAGGGACTTGGCGTGGGACATCACGCGAGGGGGGGGGGGGGGGGCACATTCGCCCAACACGCGTTCGCACTAGGTTCGTGATAGCGATAACAGACGATGCGCATGCATTGTGCTTTCACCGATCACAGTGATGACTTCATAGCCCATAATAGCGGGGAAGCTATATGCCGGTTCACTGGTAATGCGTGATGCCGAGACATTGCAATAGGTGGGGTTCTTTTCCATTCGAAACGAAATTCAGATATAGGTATCATGCCATGCTTGTGCAAACGCCTGCCGTTACCACTGTGGTGGTTCCCCCCAACTCCGAAAGAAGCGACCCGTGAATCCCTACCATAACAGCTTCAAGAGGTTGGCTCCGAGTTGAACTTGTTTGTCGCGTTGCGGAATAATTCCTCTTGCGCCCGAATGAGTTCTTCTTCTGTCATGCCGCTCTGTTCGATCTTCGTCTGTTTCTTCTCGCGATTCTGCAGTATGTCAGCAACACGGTCAGGGTGGCCTATAGTTCAGCGACAGAGCATCTGCAGGCCATTGTGTGTATCATGAATCCGGAGCAACTGGGCCCGTCCACTGTCTCGAGAAAACTGCTCTCGTGCTGTGCGCGCGCGTACCTGTTGCTGCTTCTTGTAGTCCGCCGCGACCTCCAAGATAGCTGGGACGTAATCGTGGAAATCCAACTCTTCCAGCGCCTGCTTCACATGCTCGCATGCTATCGTCTTCTTTGCATCCTTTTCCGCGATCTCGTTGGCCTCGGAGGATATGAGCGTGATGAACTCGACACAGCATTCGATGAGCAGGTCGCGCGAGTCTTTCGCGAAGGTCATGCCCGGCTCGGACTGCAGGATCTCAGTCACAATCTTCTGCACAGTTGCTGCACGCTGTTAGCTGTCGCAGAAGATTGCGAAGATTGGCTGGGGCGCGCGCACCCTTGGGCAGCGACAGGTCATCGTTGCCACCGAACTCGCGATCTGACATGTTGCTGCTGTGGTGGATTGTGTATTGTGTGGATGTTGCCTGGGAGGCGTGGAAAACGACACTGGTGTATGCAGGGCGACGGCAGCGCTTAAGCGGATTTACACTTGGCCCGCCATCCGTCGAAGCGCGCGGCAGATGTCCGCTGCCCAGCGCGGTGCGTACATGGTTCACAGAAGGTCCCGTCCGGACTATGGGTCACTCAAGTGCTGTCACCTGGGCCCGGCATGCGATGGTTTGAGTGAGTCTGGGACTCGAGCGTCTGCGCAGTCTCGCGCACTTCCACTTTGGGCGGATGCATGGCAGCTGTCGGGTGCTGATCATACGAGCGACTCTGGCGCTTTTGGCGGACTGCAAAGGCACCAGGTTAGGCGCTGCAGGTGGAACCAAGCTCCCTAGATATGCATCGATTTGTGGATAAGCTGCCGAATCAATTGCGTGCAGCAACTCGACCGGAGCAGAACGGCAGCCCGCTCCTTTGCCGCCCCCTGCGCCTTGTGGAGCGCTCTTGTTTGATTTGGAGAGGACGCGAAACGCTAGGGCGTGGTAGAGTAATACGAGCAGGCAATGCGGCACGCCGAAGTGAGGCCTTGGATGTGTGATTTGCGTGCGACAGCAAGCGGCTCCGTAGACGTCAGCGAGCAGGCCCTCTTGGCGCTCGACAAGGGAAACAGGAATCCGGGAGCCCTACCGGAGCGCGGTCCATCGGTGTGCAGATGACGATGAGGCGGTGAAAATCCGGAGGGCAAAGGCAGCGTGTTTCATCGCTTGAGGCGGCGTACAGGCATGCGCACTGCAGTCAAAAGAAAGGCGGCTGCTGGCCGAGCAGAGCAGCGTATCATCTCCGCAGCCCTTCCCGGTGCAGACGAAGCCATCTCGAGCAGACGCTACAACCCCTACCCTCGATTCCACAATTGTCCTGCCCTTCATCACCCAACTGTGCACGCTCCAGGTACCATTGCACACTACCACCACCCCCCAGGTACCGGCCTCACCGCCGTGGACCCTTTCCTCCTTGATTGATCGATTGGGCCTCGGATTGCCTGCTGGCACCACGCGGCGCCCCTAGCAAGGCCCGATAGAAGCGCATCAGAGTTTTTCGATTCTGTGCACCGGCCTGTTTTTGGTTAAAAGCCGCCCAGACAGCCAGACAGGTCGGGTTGATTATTATGACGCGTGAACGCCGTGAGCCCGCAACCCAGCACAGCCAGCGCAGCTCGCCGCTCTCCACGTCGCCGCCCATCACAATATCCACCGCCTCCTTCGCAGCAATCCCGCCATCGTCCAGCGGTGCCGATGGGAATGCACCTACTCGTCCAGCTCTAGTCTCACGTGCAACTGGCATCCCCGTACCGCCTTCACCCACCCGCCCACGACCCCGCCGCCGCTCGGTGCACAACTCCAAGTCTGCCTCCGCCGTCCCGACCCTCTCCAGGTACGTTGTGTCACGCCAGAGTAGCCTTTTGTGCCGCCCGCCGTTCGTGTACTGAAGCCTCTGTCCAGCTTCGCCATCCCTCGCGCCCTCCCCACGTACTGGTTGCCGACCATGACCTCGACCGGCGGCACAAACTCCCAGACGGCTGCCGATCTGCTGCGGCAGGTTGCGATGCAGAGGTAAGCAGGCCGCTTGTGACTTTGCGAGCCGTCTCAGCGCGCGTGTGCCCAACCCAAATAGCGAGAGGTGCGGCGTCGCTTAGGCTCATGCCATGCCGGCCCTCGAGGCTACGCGCCCGCTTCCTACCACACGCCCGCAGCCGCACATGTGCACCTACATCGCTCGTCCACCATGACATCGTCGAGTGCGTTTCTAACGCCCAACTACAGGATGAGCAATGACGACGACCATGACCAGATAGGCTCCAACAGCTCCACGCCACCGGGCGCCTCGACCCCGCGTCCCGATCCGACCGATAAGCGACTGCCAGGTATCCTGCACAGTTACTTTGGCCAGGTTCGTGATTCTTTGATACCCCGTCGGAAGTCTTCTGCGGTCAACCCCTCCCCCGCATCTGCACCTCAAACCGAAGAGCCGTCATCGAAAGAGAAGGATTCCGATGCTAGCCGTCTGCGTTCGAACACACTGCCCAGCCCCACGCCCAGTGCTTCTTCTACTTCCCGACATCCCTCAACCTCTCAGTTGAACGATGGAGAAACGGAGAAGCTAACAGAAGGCGCTTATGCGCCGCTGCATAACCAGGCCACGCCTCCTCAGACACCCCGCACACGCTCGCAGGAAGGCAAGCGGCCTACCTCGAGTCTGTCTCAGACCACGCTCGCGTCAAACGCAAAGGCGAAGGAGAAGGAGAAGGAGAAGGAGAAAGAGAGCCGAGAGCGAGGACCCGGTGATGTTGGCCCACCGAAGGGCAAGCTGTCCCTTGCCATCTCAGAAGGAAGGGATCTTCGACCCAGCGTCGACCCGTATGTTGTGTGTCAGTTCCAATGGGCTGAATACATCTCGGATGGTCCGCGGAACGATGCAGCCAAAGACAAGCGGCACCCGCTCGCTATTCAGCGAACTGACAGTGAGACTGGGAAGCCAATGGCGATCCCAATGCGAAGTCGGCAGAGCAGCAACAACGGCACCAGCTCAGACCCACGTGAGAATGGCTCATTGAAGGACGTCACTAACCCAAAGTGGGAGCACGAGGCGATCTTGTAGGTGCAGTTACTGCGTGTGTCGTATCAATCAATTAATTCTGTGTAGCGATGTCGTTGGGGACCACTCGGAAATTGACATTTCCGTGTACGACCGCAGTAATGGCGAGGCCTTCCTTGGCCATGTCCGCTTTTGTCCCAACTTAGTAGAATACGAAAAGCCTTACGATGGATGGTTTACTCTTGAACCGCGAGACGGCGAGGAAGACTACGTATCCGGAGAGATCCATCTTCGAATCAATTTCCAGAAGACTGACAAGAAGCACTACGGTCCCGAGGATTTTGAAATCTTGAAGCTCATCGGGAAGGGTACGTTCGGCCAGGTCTTCCAAGTACGCAAGCGGGACACTCGACGGATATACGCCATGAAGGTGCTTTCCAAGAAGGTCATCGTGCAGAAGAAAGAGGTGGCTCATACGCTTGGCGAACGCAACATCTTGGTACGAACAGCAATGGCCGACTCTCCATTCATCGTTGGCTTGAAGTTTTCTTTCCAGACCCCTTCCGACCTTTACTTGGTAACAGACTACATGTCTGGCGGTGAGCTCTTCTGGCATCTTCAGCGTGAAGGTCGTTTCCAGGAAGGCCGTGCCAAGTTTTACATCGCCGAGCTCATCCTCGCTCTGCAGCATTTGCACGAGCACAACATTGTTTATCGCGATCTGAAGCCAGAAAACATCCTTTTGGACGCCAAGGGCCACATTGCGCTTTGTGACTTCGGTCTTTCAAAGGCAAACTTGACTGAGAATGCCACCACGAACACGTTCTGCGGTACTACCGAATACCTGGCGCCCGAGGTGCTTCTCGACGAACATGGCTACACCAAGATGGTGGACTTCTGGTCTCTAGGTGTGCTTGTCTTCGAGATGTGCTGCGGTTGGAGTCCATTTTACGCGGAAGACACCCAGCAAATGTACAAGAACATCGCATTCGGAAAAGTACGATTCCCACGAGACGCCCTCAGCACCGAGGGACGTAACTTTGTGAAGGGCCTACTCAACCGAAACCCGAAGCACAGACTTGGTGCCACGCGCGATGCTGAGGAGTTGAAGGCACACCCTTTCTTTGCGGACATCGATTGGGATGCTTTGTCCAAGAAGAATGTCGTACCGCCATTCAAGCCTAAGTTGAAGTCAGAGCTGGACGTCTCGAACTTCGATCCTGAGTTCACGAACGCACTGAACGGAAACGGATCTCTGAACGCGCGTGCGGCTGCCTTGGCCTCGGGTGTCAACCCTGCATCGACGCCGCTGTCGCCGACAATGCAAGCCAACTTTGCAGGCTTCACATTCGTCGACGAAAGCACCATGGATCAACAATTCGCCCACAAGCACCGGGAGCACGAGCCTGAGCGTATGGACGAAGACGACAAGGATGACATCAACTGGGACAAGCCCGCAGGACGGGGCGACCGCATGAGCGGCGTCATCCCTAGTAACGATCACGACATATTCCATCACGGAAACTTCGACGTCTAATGAATCTCACTCATTAATCCAACAGCGTTTCTCTATATCCTCGATTTGTTCATCACTTCTGTACCTCGAGGTACTCACACTAAAAGTGTTTTTCAAGTCCACTTGTGGCTGCAACCAGTGTTATGAAACCTTACCCATGGGCAATACCAATTGCCCAACTTTTTGAGGCTTGATCTAGATACCCTGCATGTCGGCCTGCATGAGGTTCCAGATTGACACGCCTTCCCGACAGTTCGAAAGAGGCTGTACGATTTGCTACGCATGGATCTACGCATCTATTGCCATAGATGCGGATACGCCACGCTATTCTTATAGCTGGTCTCTTCTTCTCGGCCAAGCATTTATGCTTGGATCACTCTTTCGGGCCGCGGCATACCATCTAGTTTATTCGGAACGGACGTCACTATCGATTTCCACGCACACACCCTGGAGTTAATTGTGGTTCCATGAAGCATTGCGTGGGTGATTATGCGGAGCATTCTGAACTTTCATCAACATTCATAGGTTTTGGGTTCGGCCAGGCTTTCCTCCATATCTTAGTCGCTACAAATTCACAGTACGCAAGTTGAGCATAGTGTTACCTGCAAACGCACATCGTTTCTGTCTCGTGGGGGTAGTTGATGAAGCCGTTTGGCGTGAATTGTACATATCAAGCGGAAATCGATCATCATGATTTTATTGAAACAACTGTTTGACCCACCTATACGATCCTGTTTGTTCGTAGTTACTGTTGTTGAGCTTCTTCGTTCCCAGCGGCCGACACTAAAAACTGAACTGGTTCTCGGCCAACATGGGAGACAGCTATACAGAGAGTATCGACTCACAGATAAAAAACACATACTATGGCGTAAGGCACCTCACCTTACGTGAATGTATACGTATAGCTAGCCTGAATCTCGATACGGGAGGTGAATATTTAAGGAGTTTACGCTGAGTAGTTCAGTTCTTTGTGTCGGCCACTGTGATTCACCATAAGGATGTTGCAATCACATCATGACTCTTGCGCAAGAAAACAACAGCGGCCCTTAACATGCATCTTTCCTATACGATCCGATATCGCTCTTTCTTGGCTGAGATTGTACAAGGTACGGGTTGCACTAGCTCTTTGCACGCTAGGCTAGGGTTGACGATGCGGGTACGATTCGACCTCGGCAAAAACCGATGAGCTAGGACTTATTGCCGCCCCGCGTAAGAGGCTATACAGCTATCCGTCACCTTGTCGACTCTCTCTTCGCTGAAGGTGCATGACATTCGACTTCTCTAGACTCATATACAATACTCGTTGAACAAGTGATAATGGGCGAACGAGGACCAGGTGTAGGATTTGAGTTCCCGACCTTCGAGGTCGCATGGAAGAAGAGAGATCTACTCCTCTTCGCGGCTAGCATTGGTGCAACATACCCCGACGAGCTGCATTTCCTCTATGTAAGTACGGTGGCTCCTAGTTACGCTTCACAGGGAGATAACTTCTTATCATTCTGTTTCAGTTCGACCTGCTTCTGCGACCGATCTCATTGCTCACAATTACATAGGAACTTAATCCTAACTTCGCTGCATTTCCGACCTACCCGATCATCCTCCCGTTCAAGCACACCGACTCCGAAGTTATTGACTTCTATGCGCGCTCGGACAGTACGCCTATCGCAGGCGTACCTAAATTCGACACAAAGCATGTGCTCGATGGTGAGCGTAAGCTCCAATTCCTGAAGCCCATTCCAGTGACCAGTGAGGGCCGCAAGTTCGAGGTCAGGAGCAAAGTTTTAGGCGTATACGATAAGGGAAAGCCGGGCACCGTGGTGGAGACGGAGAAGGTGCTTGTGGACGCACAGTCCGGCGAGGTGTATACCAGAGAAGTCGGTAGTGGATTCTACGTCGGACAGGGTGGCTGGGGGGGACCCAAGGGTAAGTCGGAAGCATTCCCATGGCTCTCCAAATCGAAAAGAGGAATGACTAACAGCGCGACCAGGACCGAAGTCCGTGAACTTTCCCCCGCCAGCGAACACCCCACCCACCGCAACTCGCATCACACAAACCACGCTCGAAACTGCACTCCTCTACCGCCTCAACGGCGACTACAACCCTCTCCATGCGACCCCCGAGCCAGGCTTAAAAATGGGCTTCGGCGGACCAATCATTCATGGTCTCTTCAGCTGGAATATGGCGTCGCATGCTATCTTGCAGCAGTTTGGCAAGTCAAAGCCCGAGCATCTGAAGGAGTTCCAAGCGCGGTTCGCAGCGCCGGTCAAGCCAGGGGACAAGCTAATCACGGAAATGTGGCAGACCGGTGAGAAGGAGGGTGGGTTTGAGGAGATTAGGTTTATTGTCAGAGTTGAGGGAGGCAAGACTGTCTTGACGAACGGAAGGGCGCTGGTGAAGGTTGCGGAAGTGAAGGCTAAATTATAGATGTGTGTTGATTGAAGAGCGAACGTCATTTTGGAACGGAGTTTGAGTGGGGATCTAGTATCTCGTTGCACTTGACAGGTCCGATTGCGCTGTCCTTTCAGATTCGCTCACAGTAATCGACGCACCGTACAGCTTAATAAAGTAACGTGAGAGGTGTCACCACCAGACTAAGTGCACATCAACGTAACCTAGGTCAGTGGTAGATAGTTGTGGGTCACTGTCTGTTCGTCGGAGGAGAGGCTCTGCTCCGCATCTCATCTGATAAGATCACTGCCGTCTCATTCCTCCTAGTTGGGCTCATCACGTGCCTTGGTCTTGGCTCAGCTCTGTGAAACACCAAGACCGCCTGGTGCCAACCGCGGGAAAACGGCATCGCTTGCAACGCTCCTCAAGGGCACCTTGCTGACCTCCCTGTTGAAATCTATACGTTTCAGCTAAGTGGCTCTTGAAACGATTCTCGATGCCTTGTCTGCAGCCTCGCGTTACAGTCTAACCTCGCGCATGCCCTACGTTGCCGTTACTTCAACCTGACAGCATGTCTGTGCTGTGCAGCAGACACTTCACCACACTATAACATGGATTCGCGCCTGGCTCTTTTGCGAGGCGTATTATTATGGCTGCATTGGTTCCTACTAATCAGCTTTGGTGCAGCATACAAACCCCTCTCTGACAGCTTCCTCCGCGCAATACCTTCGCCCGGCAGCGAGTTCGATACTGACAATGCCACTGGTATCCTCGCGCCGCTGTTAATACCCCGAGTCCCCGGCACTCCTGGCCAGGTCTTTGCGCAGCGCCACCTAGTCGATTATTTTCAGCGCGAGCTACCGGAATGGACTATTACCTGGCAGAATAGCACACAGAAGACACCCACGTCCAAGGGCGCCAAGCTCCCTTTCGCGAATCTCATCATCAGGCGCGAGCCGCCATGGGTTCAGCCTGGGCAGGCGAACTTTCTTACGCTTGTCGCGCACTATGACAGCAAACTAAAGCCAGATGGATTCATTGGCGCCACGGACAGTGCGGCGCCGTGCGCAATGATTATGTGGGCTGCGAAGGTTGTGGATGGATATGCACAGCAGATGTACGAGGAGATGTCCGCGTTAGGAGAGGGTGGGGACGGGGACGTGGACATGGACATGGGAATCCAGATCCTGCTCTTGGATGGCGAGGAAGCATTTGAGACATGGACAGACACGGATTCACTGTATGGCTCAAGGTGCGTATCCACACTACCCCTTACGATGAAGACGGAGGACTCACATTGCTGACACCCGATCATAGATCCTTGTCCAATTTCTGGGTGAACAGCCCAAACCCACCCTCTCAAAAGTTCTACAAATACAAAACCCCCCTCTCGCAAATATCCCTCTTCATGCTCCTCGACCTCCTCGGCTCCTCCGAACCTAGTGTCCCCTCCTACTACACAACCACGCACTGGGCCTACCGCGCCTTCTCAGACGTCGAATCGCGCATGCGCTCCCTCAACCTTCTCGAATCCTCCCCCCCTTCACCTTTCTTACCGGACGTGAACAAAACAATGGCATTTGGTGGGATCTCGGATGATCACTTGCCTTTCATATGGAGGGGCGTAGAGACACTACATGTGATTCCGCAGCCGTTTCCGAGGGTTTGGCATAAGAGTGAGGATGACGGAGCGCATTTGGACATGGAGGTCGTGAGAGATTGGGCACGTATTGTGGCAGGCTTCATGTTAGAATGGTTGGATATGATGGAGGTTTGGACCGGGGATGAGTCGGAGGTAGGTTCGACACGAGCGATTCACGATGGACGGTGATAAAGCTACCATTTTTGGGGGGGAACAGTCAACAATACAACGTCGACTTTCATGTCAATATGAACATCGCCTATACAATACGTGGTCACATCTTTGGATATTCATCGTTTCCCAAGTCTCCCCGGGATATACTATCGAATAGCCGACTTCCGCGAAGCTCCAACGCGAAGAAAGCTTGAAGCCGAAATTCATGTTGACACGAGAGCCAGTAACACAGTTTCAGTCTGAGCGGAGTTACAAGGCGTATTGTGACTAGCATGTGCTTTAGTGACGGTGAGCTCGTGCGTTACGCCAGGGGACGGTTGAGTTATGCTGAACGTTTTGAACTGTAGTTGGGCAGTAGCGCGAAGATTACCCCTCATCTGTTTCGCCTCATTTGAATCCCGAGGCTTCTCTGTGTATTCCACTAACACGCGCTTTCGTACTAATCGTGTGAGCTCAGGTCGGATCGGCCTTAAAGCTAGCACCACTTCGAGGGTGCTCCTCAAAGTATTCGTCCGAACCAGATTCGCCTTCGTATTTTAGCTTCGCAGACTACCAGGCCCCATCCTCTATAGACCGATTAAAATTCCCAAGAGCTTCCAAGGGGAAAAACTTTCCTCTTGAATTGCGACAACGCCCATTCAGCGTATTACGGGGAAACGCGACCGCCACACCGAGCTAGGTTGTGAAAAATGGTGGAATCATACGGTTGTATATGCTCTGCGCGTCGACACTGGGGATTGCTGGACGGCGGATACAATGTGATTCAATAAACATGAAGGTTGCAGTACAAAAAGGACCGGGTAATTCGACGCTTCTGCAGGACTCGGTCTAATCTTTTTGCATTTGGGAAATCGCAAAAGAAGAGGGTTGCAAGTGGGAATGCCAACACGAATGCGTTCGCACGTATATGGGAGTGATATGTCGGCATGCTTGAGGCGCAAAACGTCCGGTAGTCACTGACTGTACGCGTTGATCTAGGTCGTAGAGCTGATTGCTCGCTGTACGAAGCCGGCAAAACGTATACCTGCATGGACTTTGTGATCTATGCTGCAACGTAGGCGGATATGGCTGATGCTGCGCGAATACAGTCGGGTGGAAAAGGTAAGAACCAACAAGCTGGAGCTGGAGCTAGAATCATTCCACTGATGGCACAGAACCATCCTACAACGCACCAAGCTCACCGATGACAACGTCTCATCAGCAATTTCCCCAGCCGACAGCCACACCACCTGTCAACTACGGAACACCCTCGCCTGGCCCAGGCCCTTTATATGGCTATCATCAGCAGCAGAACATAGCACCCATACTTGTCGCTTCTTCGCCACCGCAACAATACGAGCAACCCTACGTTGCGTATCAGCACCCTAGACCGCCAAGTCCGAGTTATGGAGGGCCGACAGAAGCTCGCATATGGGGACGCGCGTCAGCATGTAGCCAGTGGTTTGCCAAGCGAAATGCCTGCTGTGTACAGTCCGCATCCACAGAAACTCTCCTGAGGCACATGGGGTGATTGAAAAACAAGACTTCCCTCCACATACGCGTTCTTCTCTTATTTTACCCCTAGACGTATAATGCAAAGCTGAACTGTAGATAGACTAGCTAACCACGCGTCCGGGTACCGGAAGAGGGAGGCAGTCTGAAGTACGAGCGTCCAGAGAAGAAATGACAGACGCGTTTGGAAAGTAAAGCAAGAATGGAACACGGGTATATTCAGATTGATCCTGATACGATGGAGGGATATCGACTGGTGGGTGCACAGGTCGCGGCCTAGGCGGAATTTCTCTGCCATTGCGGATGTCCTTGCAGACGGAGCATCTTCAGTCCTCGCTCACTATCATGCATTCTTCTCTTGTCGTTGTTCTGTGTTCCTTTCTTAGGGCCCTTTCTCTCTGTCCTTTCTTGACATCATATTGTTGCTCTTCTGCTCTGGTCCGCTAATGCAGGGTTATGGACTTGCGGGAGCACCTTCAGACAACATCTGTCACGCTCACACCATCTTCACCACCACTTCTGACGGCGTTTCTGGGTCTTTCAGCAAAGCTTGTCAGGTTTGACTCATGTCTTACCTCCTGCAAGGTCTGCCAATACATTACCATCTTCAGCTATCAAACCAGCATCTTCAAGTTGGTCAGCGAGAGTTCAAGTTGCAATCAGATGTTCGAAAAGAGGTACATACTCGCAAACTTGATCTTGTACGAGCTCCCTTCCTTGTGAGCAGTGACAGGGTGCACCGGTAGTTTGTCACCCTCAGCACCGATCTTGAACCACCGCACAGGTTTGGGGAGAAAGCTCCTGTCTTCTCTAGTTGCTCGTGCGAGAAGCCGGTCACCGGACTGGAGCCTTCCGTCCTTCAACGTGAAGACGGCAGCATCGGGCCCGGTAGTCGCCTGCAAGCGATCTTCGGCGTCAGGTTCAGCTTTGGCAATAGGTGTGCCGTTGACTTGGATGGTAAAGGAATCGCTCAGAGTGTCCATCGAGTCCGTGAAAGCAAGTGAAGCAACGAAAGTAGCAGGAGAGATGCGTATGTCCAACGGTCGATATGAGGCCGCGCGTTCCTCTGTGGGCCAATGCTGGCCTCGTGGGAGCTAGGGTGTGAAGAGCAGGTGAAAGGCTGGATTGGCTTGGTAAGAAGGCGGAAGTAGTCGCCAGTGCAACAACACCGCACCACACGTGCTGGCAAGGTCGTGACAACCTCGGAGCGTCCCGGACAAGGCCGGCCTGGCACCGTAGGAACACGCTGCACTTGTTCACCTGCCTACGGTAAGCTAGCTCACTCGCTTAGCTAGCCAGGAGATCATGGTTGCGGGGGCCCTGTGAAGGACTAAGCCCAAGGCGGCACGCAAATACACCAGCCCCACGAATCACAACTGGGAGCATAGCGGTGGTGTGCGCCTTAATATACGTTGTGTACGCATCCCTGAGCCTTCTTGCAGATCGTCATGCCAGGACCCGGGCTACGCTCGATCCAAGACGTTTCAAAAGCTTATGACTTGTGCTCATCTTTACGCGGCGTTGCGAGTCGTCCTCGTGCTCCGCCATACGCGCCCACTCTTCACGGCTGCTTCCATGTATGCGCCACGCACGGCTCCAAGTATCTAAACTGTCGAGGAGAACCAACCTTGCCATGTCCATGACCACCGGCGCTGGGATCGGAGGTGGTGCCCAGGGGCAAGATAAGCCCTGGACAAGCTTCCTGTTTAGAAACACCCGCCAGGTACCAAGCGCCGGCAACGCACAGCAGATAGCAAATCGACTCCACCACGACTGCTGTACATCCCGACCACACATGACCTAGAGTCGACCACATACGGAAGGCCAGTAGCCAGCGCAGTCTTGGCAGTCTTGGATCCTTCATAACGATAGGCGCGCATTGTCGTGGCTCGAGATTTCGACATCAAGCCATGGCCGGTAAAATGTATAAGTATGTCGTGACCGACTCATCTGTGGAACCCATCCGCTCGCTGCACCTTCACTTCTACACCTGCTACTCCTCGTCAGACCCCAGTCCCGGGACTCTAGTCAAGTCAAGCCTTCAAGATGGCCATCAAGTCACTACTGACCGCCGCCCTTGTGGCCCCCGCTGCCGTCTTCGGCGCTGCCATTCCCCCGACTGAGGCCGGTACTTCGAGCATTCTGATCGTCGGTGGAGAGGCTGCTTCTGCAGGCGACTTTCCCTTCATCGTCTCCCTGCAAGTTAGCGGCTCCCACTTCTGCGGTGGTTCCCTCGTCAATGCGAACACTGTCGTCACTGCCGGTCATTGCGGTGTTGCCTACTCTGCCTCCCGCGTGTCCGTCCGCGCTGGATCATTGGTATGTTACTCCAAGCTATAAGCTCGCAAATATGAACAGGGGTTGACAGTCTCGCAGAACAGGAACTCTGGGGGCACCCTCGTCAGTGTTTCGTCCATCAAGACGTACTCTGGATTCAACTCAAACACCCTTGATGGCGATGTCTCTATCATCAAGCTCGCGACGTCCATCCCGACGAGCTCCACCATCGGTTACGCCACCCTTGCCGCGTCTGGCTCTGACCCCGCTGCTGGAACTACCCTCACCGTTGCTGGATGGTAAGTCGAGTCTCGTTCTCGTTGCTCACTCGTCATCCGAGTAGTGCTAATTCGCGACCAGGGGAACCACTTCCGAGGGCGGCTCCACGCTCCCCACTGCTCTCCGCAAGGTTAGCGTTCCGGTCGTTGCTCGTTCAACCTGCGCTTCGCAATACCAGTCCATTGACCCCAGCTACTCCATCACAACCAACATGTTCTGTGCTGGTCTGACCGCTGGTGGCAAGGACTCTTGCCAGGGTGACTCTGGTGGTCCCATCGTCGACTCCTCGAAGACCCTTGTCGGTCTTGTTTCTTGGGGCGAGGGTTGCGCTGAGCCCAACGCTCCTGGCGTGTACACTCGCGTTGGCTCTTCCGTCATCAGATCTTTCATCACCTCCAACTCGTAGATATAGCACCTGAAGATGGTCGACACTTGGCTGGTTGTTGAAAGCTTGGGAGCATCTAATTGAGCGTTCTGCATTGGGGCTGGTAGAGAGATTGAGTGGCAGAGTATCAATTCTATATCTATGATCTATGAGGACGTAGTCTAAATACAGTTGTAAAAAAAGCTTCTGCCAATCTGCCGAGATCGATGACAAGAGAATCTTCGATATCCGTAGACCTGGCACAATCGAGGCCTGGATCGGTCTGCTGCCCCAATCTCAAGCTGGAATAGCCTAAAATGCGTGGTATCGGATGTATATGTATCATCCCTGAACATACATGGCTAGGTACATGAAAGTAACCGAGAAGCAGATACAGTACCGGTTCAGTTTCTGTGCCTTGGATGTCGTATGTTTACTGCGTTAAACTGAGCTAAGAACAGATGCAAGTCTATTAACCTGGGTGCTTTCGATTCAGATGATGCCTGTATGTTATATTGGCTGATTGACAGTGATGCATAGTTATATTTTATTAGAGCTGTGGATTAAGTATAATCTCCACTTCAGTATGGTAGACTTTCTTAAATACCGGCTGAGCTACTGAGATTAGACCTATTTGGAAACAGTAAAAAAAGTGTCTAAGATAGATGTAGGGGAAGATGCGTGTTGACTAATTGATTAGTTAATTAGTGGGCGCTGTGTATTAAATTGATAAGCTCTACGGTACCCTTCCCATAGAGATAGTACCTAGGCACTTTTGCCTGTTAGTAAACGGTATTAGAGAGAGTATAGTAAGTGGATTTAAGTAGAAAAGTGGTAATTAATGAGTTTCGATCGCTAGCATTTGGTTAGAGTAAACTACGTCGTATTAATTGCGGATCACCAAGGCCTATTTTTCCAGAATCATTACTAAAAGTGAACGCGGCGTAGTAACTCTAGAAAGCCCAAGCATTCGCAAATTTCCTTAGTCTTTGCCGAGCATAAGCCAACGTGTAGGCGACGCGCTGCGCGGTGAAAAATGGCCATCTGGGATGGGGACTACTCACTTCGTTGCCGCGGGCGCGTGCAGAACCTCCACTTGCCTGAGCGTAAACAAACGAATTTTCGAATATATCATGTATGTAACGTTTAGTACTTTAGTACATAGTACAGAAAGTAGATGTACATAGTACAGTACGAAGTAGACTGCACGCGTGCGTGATGAATGTATTCAAATGCTTCGGCCTGGGAACATCTTGAGGCATACATAAGCTCATGCATCAACCTGAAGCACTGCAAGACTGGTATATATTTGTTAAGGCCAATCCCTAGCTCTTCTCCACGACTACCGCATCTTTCTTTGCTGGTCTCTCACCAAAGATATCGCTCCCTACCCTTACTTCATTACTGCCCATCGCAATTGCACCCTCGAAATCTGCACTCATCCCCATGCTTAGCTCCATCTTCTCTTTCTCCCAGTCCAAACCCTCAGCGACCTTATCCCTGACGTCTCTCAGGGTCACAAAGTCTTCGTTCTTAGTCTCCGGCGTAGTAGCCTTGCTCCTCGCGATCGCACCAATAGTCATCAGGCCCGTGAAGCGCAAATTTGGGCACTGCTCGACGATGTGTTTTGCCAATGCGAGCGCGTCATCAGGTTCAACTCCAGACTTGGACTCCTCGCCGCTAGTGTTGACCTGTACCATGACCCGCAGCGGTTCAACTCCAGCATCGCTTTCGACCAGCGCCTTGCGGCCCTTCTCCAGCTGATCGCACTTCTTCGCAGTATCTACGCTGCTTACGCACCACAAATTCGGTATTTGCTCCGCTAATTGCTTGCACTTGTTGGATTGCAGACCGCCGATAAAGTGCCATCGTATTGAGCGCGGAAGCAGCTTCGCCTTCTCTAGTAGCTCTTGGACGTAGTTTTCGCCAAAGTGGTAATGTATAGGCTGAGGCTGCTGGTGTAATGCGAGGATGTCGGTCGCGGGTTTAAGTTTAGAGACGGCTATCAGGCGGATCTAGAGCTATTAGATGGGTCAAGGCGGGGCGGAGGGGTAGCTACGGACCTTTTTGGAGCTTTTGTTGGCAGCATTGATGCGGGAAGATATACTGGCGAGGTTCACGGCAAGCTGTTTTGCTCGCTGTGGATTGATCTGCATCTCGTCGGCCATTGTCGAGAGATGAGGTGTAACGGACGCGGAAAGTCGATGATGATTCGTTGGTGCCACTTCAGCCCTACGAAATCCACCACCGTTCCCGCCCCTCGGCCCTTGGCAGTACTTCACCCCTTCACCATCAACTCGGCCCTTGGCAATGCCACATAGCACTCACCATCTTTGACGCGGAGATCACAAAACATAGCATTGTAAGACAAAGAAATTGACGGTATTATTAAGGCAATGCTTCCATGGCATTTCTCGTGCTACCCAGTATAGCAAAGGCCATTTTGCATCTTCAGAGGTATTCTTACGAAGAGGCCTTGTGGAAATCATCACCAGGCCTCTCATGCTTACTATCGTCGACTGCATAAATCCCGGTAATTTCTCTTCTAGGGCGACGTCCTTGTCATAGTACGTTCTCAAATTTCCTGTCAGCAGCCCACCATGGTCAACGCAGAATGCATGGAGTGTGAAGTCGCACTGTTGCTCTGAAATATAGGAATACCCGCGAAGATGACAAGGGCTTAGGGACCTGCAATGTTCATAGCAACGCGACGGACTTGAGGACCCTACACGCTTGACCACCAGTGACCAGTTGGACGCGCCGTCGCTTCGAATTACAGCGAGTGTGGAACATGTATGACATAGTCCCAGATTCGGCGCGAACGAACGAGCAGAAGCTCACGAAGACAGAGCACGGCAATTGCGGCAAGACATGGAATAACTGGTGGCTATGTATGTATAAGTGTTGGTTGTTTTCATCCCAAGTCACATGAGCAAACCCAAACAGCAAAGACGATAGAGTATAAGTAGGGCTCCTCATTCCATAGAGAACCATCATCCGATTTCCTATCACTGATTCTAGCCAAGAATAAGCTGCATAACAAGGCGCAAACCAACACACTCCGCATCACACATGGCATTATCGAGGCACAATCGAATGGTCTCAAGTGCAAGCTGAGGTTCTGCATACTAAGTGAGCGAAGTCATGGAAGAACCGGTGATGTTACTTTTGCGGACATCACTGAATCCATTGGTCGATGAGGAGCATGTAAAGATCTCTGGATGCCTTCTATTCAATATTGTTAGGAGAACCTGGTTCTAAACCCTAGCCTTCAAAGTCATGACGCTGTTGTGTAAGCTGCCTCCGGCACGATACTTTAGTGCTTAAAACCGCATGGTAGTTGCACCACGATTCGTATAATAGTTGCGGATTGTCTACTTCGAGCACCTAAATTGATCGTGCACGTTCAATGCTATGCCACCGTATTATAAATTCCGGCTTACTGGGCTAGTCGCCGGATCAGCCACGTGGCAATAGTTTGAGTCATATTCCTTCCAACGCGATCATGCTATCTTGGCTTTCAACAAGATGGGCAATCTCTTCTCAGAGCTGGAGTAAACTGCTGTATTCCTCTCTAAGAACCTCCAGCCCAAGATGAAGACACTTGGCCTCCTCGGAGGCATGAGCTGGCAGTCCACGGTCACATACTACCAAGAGATCAACCGTCGCATTCGAGAAGTCAAAGGCGGCCTGCACTCAGCTCCCTTACTAATGTATTCCTTCGACTTCGAAGAAATCGCTGAGCTCCAACACGCTGGAGAATGGAACAAAGCCGGCGCGCTTCTGAACGAAGCGGCCACACGACTTATGCTTGCCGGTGCCGACGGCATTGTGCTATGCACCAATACCATGCATTTTGTGTCCCATGGTATCGAGGGAGAGACGAAACTTCCCCTTCTGCACATCGCCGATTTCACGGCGGAGCGCATATCGAAAGCCGGATTCAAAAGAGTTGGCCTCTTGGGTACAAGGTTCACGATGGAGAAGGACTTTTACAAGACGCGGCTGGCCGAGAAATTTGGATTGGAGGTCGTTGTACCAGATGAACAGAACCGCGAAGCCATACACAACGTAATATATACCGAACTGGTGAATGGGATCATCAACAACTCGTCGCGGGAGATCTATCGACGAGTCATCGCAAAGCTGGCGACTGCTGGGGCGGAATGCCTAATCCTCGGTTGCACTGAGATAGGGCTCTTGATTGATGAGGCGAGCAGTGAGTTACCAATTTTTGATACCACGAGAATCCATGCTACCGCCGCTGCGGATTGGGCAATGGAAAAGAAGACGTAATAAGAAGAGAGAGAGCAGAGAGATTCAGGAAGAAGTCACAGCAAGGCTACTTACATGAACCCTCTCGTGTCGATATGAAGATTGCGAGGAGAATTAATTAGTGAAACTTCTAAAGTTGGTTCGTGGATGATGCATCCTAAATTGGGTTGACTACCAATCCATTTTCAAAGCTGCGAATTGGAAGTGTATGGCCGACGTGCATGTGAATGCGAGAGCCATCCTCGGCAACAAGAAACGTCGGACACTCCTTGATGGCATGCATGTGTCAGCTGTGTCCAGAGCAATACGCTATTAGGACTCGAAGGTCTGTAGTCGACCTCTGTCTTGTATATCCTGGAGTAGCACAGCGAGACTGTAGTCGATAAATAAGTCCGCCTGCTCTTACCGCCAGAATTATATACTCTCGGTGTCTTCGTGTTGTTGGCAGCCGATGCAGTCGACTCCTCTGATATATCATCATGAAATCTTCAGATTTCCGTTTGTGTGCCCGCTTGCATCGTCCTCATGGCTGGCCGGTGATACAGGTCCTGTATGAGCTCCGTGCCATGTTGTTACCGCTGTTTTTCGTAGGAACGATACTTCTGGTAAGGTTTCTGATGTGCAACGTGTAATACCTAAGCGAGGTTCTTGTTGTTGGCTTGTGCCGAAGTTCCAAGTAGTAACTGATAGATTAAGTGTAATGCACCGTGATGGCGGGTCCAACCGAACCGCGGCTTAACATCTCCACCCACTAATTCTTCGATCGCTCACAACCCACGATGCGACAAACTTCCGACCGACAACTTGACACACGAGAGAGTCGGTCGCACAGAAAGTCGCCCTCTGGCGGGCGTCACCAGAAGCATCACCATCATTCCCGACATCCACGCTCGCAATCTCCACAACGCGATGACGACCACCGCAAGCGACACCGCTCGCGCTCGCCTCCACCTCGCCCGTTGACGCTACCGTATCACGCGCAAGAACTATCGAAACGGAATTTAGAAGAATACAAGCCACTATTTCAGTCGTACCTGGACATACAGAAACAGATCAATCTCGATGACCTAGACGAACGTGAAGCGAGAGGCCGCTGGAAGAGCTTTGTAGGGCGGTGGTAAGCTACATGATGCTATGTTGCACCCCATTACAAATTGCTAAGATGTCTCAGGAACCGTGGGGAACTCTCGCGTAGCTGGTACGATCCATCGATGCTGAAATCAGCACAAGAGACTGCGCATACTTTACAGTCAACAGGAGGCAAGCGCCGCGCATCACCCGAGTACTCTTCAAGAGCTCCACAGGCTCATAGCGACGACGACGACGATGACTTTGGTCCGGCGCCACCGCCGGGCGGTCGCTCGCGACACACAGGCCATGGGCCAACAGTACCTGGATTCGATGATCTAGGCCTAAGAAATGAGCTACGAGATGAGGATCGCGTGCGTGATCAAGCAAACTACGTTGACGACATTCGTTACGAACGCAAGCTGGACCGCAAAACGCAGAAGGAACGGCTGGATGAGCTGGTGCCTCGCGCAGACCCAGGATCAAGAGAACGGCAGCTGGAGAAGAAACGCGAGACTACTAGTACCCTAACAGAATTCCGCGATGCCAAAGAAAGCGGCGATGTAGAGGTCAGGGACGCTGATCTGATGGGCGATGACGGCGTAGACGTGTACAAGAAGCAGAAAAAGGAGGTAGAGCGTCAGAAGAACGAACGTGAGATCCGGAAAGAGGAGATCATGCGCGCGAGGGCTGCTGAGCGAGAGGAGCGGCTTGCAGATCGTAGGGCGAAAGAAGCACAAACGATGGACTTTCTGAAGCAGATTGCGAAAGAGAGATTCGGTTAAGCCATTCGACTACCAAGAGAAGTAGCTATCAGGCAACCCGGAGCCGTAGATGTATCAGGACAAGGATCTCGGTTGGACCGCAAGCTTCCATGATGACCTCCCGCCAACCGCACTATCAGAATAGGTATTCAAAACGCCAGTGATGCCCGTTGACTCCGTGTATTCCTTCGATATGCCGCGAATTACCCACTCTTACACTGCTACTACTCGTCATCCGTAATCGAGGTCGCAAGGGGTCCGAAGAATGGGATCTCATAACGATCGAGTGTCGATGCTATGGGACGGTCAATATCTTTCTCGTGAAGGAGTAAATATACGTACCGTCCTGGTATGCATGCATAGTGAGAAAGCCAATGAGACCCAAGTCTCCGATTAGCAAGAACCAAGATATTATGCTTGACCAAGAGAAGATGATGTGAATGACGAAGACGAAGGCGAATAGTAAGCTTGATTGCCATGCGTGAAATCTGCACCATGATCAATACCGCTCCTTTGTCGCTAACCCGCCAACATCTTGCGATGCAAAGCCCATCTCCCATGACCCTCATTATAAAGGCAGGTTGTATAGTACTCACCTCACATAGTCGCTCCGATGCTCAAATATCAACAGTGCCACAGGCCCCGCAGGAGGAAGTAGCAAGTATGCCAGACACGCCGCATAGTCCATTCTTAACCCAATGCTTGTAGAGAACATGTCGACATCTTCTCTGGGGCCTCCCAGGGACGCATTCCACGGCACGCGCTCCGGCTGCTCCTCCACATCATCGCCGCCAAAATAATCACTCTGCTGGTATGACTGGCTTGTGGGTGAGGTTACGGCGGCGGTGCCGATGTTGCGCGTGCGATCAAGCGAGGTACGTGGAGAGGCGATGGGCGGGCTGAGAGCGCGTGCAGTCTCGGGAATATCTTGATAGGGCGCAAAGTCTGCCATGATGTGTGTGTATCGGGGTGCTGCGCTTGGTGATCTGGGGACTGCATGCGTTGACCCGCGCGGTGCTGGTGCCTGTCAGGTGCATAGGGCTGAGCTCGGGAAGCTTGGGCGGTCCCTGCAAAAGGCGTCATCGGCGAAAGGGCCATCCTCTGCCACCATGGCCTCAATAAATGCCGGGTTAACTTGATATCCGAAATTCCATCAGGACGGTGTCTCGAACCATGAACTACGCTAGAATTAGATGTGGTTGGTACGGGCCAGTCCCAGGAATAATCGCCCGAGTAAAGGCTGCTCGATGTCGACCACTGAGGGCAACCCAAACATCTGGTAGTCTCCTCTCTCGATACATCAAAGGCATCAGTTGGAATGGGTTCCTATGGTCTATCTCGAAAAGAGTTTGTACAAGCTATAAAGTCGACATGTACGTAGTATGGGTGCACCCAAGGTCCACACGTTGGATTAGCCCATTTGACCTCGGGAAACCATACGTAGGTACCACTCTCGCCCTACAGGAAGCGCTGTAGAAATGCTTCAACTTTCCCATGCTTGCCGTGGGCCATTTTGAGCTCGGAAATATGGTTCGCAAGAAACCGTCTGCTGCGTTGGTCGCCTAGACCAACCGCAAGCGCTAAGATGAATGGTACGAATCGTCTGTCACGGTCTCACGAGACTCGAACGCGTTCAAGTGTCGCCATCGGAAACCGCCGGGCCGAGCTCACGGCCAAGATGGTCTGGAGACACATGCGCAGGGCTTCTGCCAGTATTCACAGCACATAACACGTAGCACAGGCGCGGTCTCCTCAAGAGCTTGAACCATTCGTCCACGTCAACCCAACCATTCCGCACCAACCTCGATTGGTCCTCCCCAACACCGCACTCTCGCCGTCAATTTTCAACGCTTGCATTGTACATTGTTCACACTGAACTGCGCCTAGAAATTCGGAATGTGCATCGCGATTGTCACGACTGAGCACCCCCAGTACCCGTTGATCATCCTCAACAACCGAGATGTGACTACGCACCCGCAGCAATTGCCGAACGATTGTTAAGACCTACTCTAGGAATATCTCCATCGCCCTACACAAGAGGCAGATTTCTGGCCTGCACCAGCTGCCCAAGTGTTGGGCGGCTACGACTTACATCGACCAGCACACGGAACGTGGCTAGGAATAACGCGCCAAGGCCGCATCGCAGTCCTTACCAACTATCGAGAAGAGAACGAAGCTCTTGTTCAGGGCGCTCGGAGCCGAGGTCTCATCCCTAATGCCTGGTTGAAGTCGGATCCCAAAGCACAAGAATCGACAGAGCAGTTCGAAAAACGCATGATCGAGGAAGACGGCGTCAAGGGAGTTGGAGGCTTCAGTTTGTTGTATGGCTTCGCGCAGGACGTTGTGAAGGGAACAGGAAAGGGTCTGGGTATCATCTCCAATCGTACTCCTGACGTCCATGGGGTGATCCACCTGGCGAGCCAGCCGGGAGAGACGCACGCGCTCAGTAACGCAGCGTACGGCGACCGGACCTGGCCGAAAGTTGTCAACGGCGAGAAGTGGACGAACGAAGCCATCGCTAAGAGCAGCGAATCAGGAGAAACGCGCGAACAACTGGTCGAACGGTTACTGGACGTGCTAAGCGCCGACACAATGCCTAAGCAAAAAGAAAACGAGGAATGGGATATGTACATGAACCAATTACGCCACACTATCTTCGTTCCTTCGATTGGGAGGGACGACCTGGAAGAGCTGAAGATGCCGGCTCATGAAATTGGTGATACGGTCAAGCAGAAGGCTGCTCATGCTACTGATGGGGTGTACGGGACGCAGAAGAACATCATCATATTGGTGGACAAGCAAGGGAAGGTATTCTTCTTCGAGCGGACGTTGTACGATAGAGACGCAAAGCCTATAGAGAAAGGGAAGGGTGATCGAAGGTTTGAGTTCGAGATTGAAGGCTGGTGACTGCACGATCACAAATTACTTTAGGTCTATTTATCTGGTGTAGCTATCCTGTGGAGTAAAGTTGCGTGCATGCTCGTGGTCGCTTGGCGGTGAACGAGCGATGCGGTGACGTCTTCCGCGTCCGATTCGGCAAACCATCAACACCTGTGCTTCAGCGCAAGTCGAGGAGCACGCACCAACGTCCTTTGGCCATGATGTCAACCTGGTAGCCTCTCCATACTTTTGCTTCCTCTCCTCTCTGTGCTCTACGGCTCTCCGCAGGCGCCGCCATGGCCTCACTCCCACCCCAGCAGCAGCAGCGCAGGGCTTCGCCGCCTACAGAACCGGCCAGCCCAGAGCAGAGCCACGCAGCCCGAACGAATAGCTTCTCTGCCGCGTCGGTTGACTCGCAGACCCTCCTGCTCAATTTCCCACCCACCGAATCCGTGAAATCTGCCGAGGCAGCGCAGCAGAACGTGCCAGCGCAGACGGAAGCGCAACCTATCGAAGACAACGAGCCGCGCCGGTGTTGGATTTGCTTCAACGATGAGACAGAGGATGATGAAACAACTTCGGAGTGGCGATCGCCATGTCCTTGCGTTCTAGTCGCGCATGAAAGATGCCTTTTGGATTGGGTAGCGGATATGGAAGCACCAAACTCACGTCGGCGCGCGGGAAGGACTGCAGGGAAGATACTGTGCCCGCAGTGCAAGTCCGAGATACGGTTAGAGCGACCACGGAGTCTTGCTGTGGAGACTGTTCGCACTGTTGAGAGGCTCACCAAGTTGATGGTGCTTCCTGGAATATTCTTTGTTGTTGGAACTGCAACTTACACTACCCTGCGCTGGATCGGAACTGATACTGTGTACAAGATCTTTGGAATAGGAGATGCTCGCAGGATCCTACAACCACTGTACACCCAACCGGATCCCACCACCAACTCAGTTACCATGCACATGCTCAACCACTTGCGCAACAACTGGCAGCTTGATCTCGGCCTGCCGGCCATACCTACCATACTTATTCTGAGCAGGACAAGAATTGCAGATTCTTTCCTGCCGTTCCTCCCTCTTGTATTTTTCGCCAGTGGAGGAGGCGTACAACACGACGCCTTACTGCAGTTCACATGGCCGCCGAGTGCTGCCTTCACTGTTGCCGCCCTACCCTACATGCGGAGCATCTACAACTCGTACTACGATCGGTTCTGGTTACGGCACGAGCGGCACTGGCTGAAGGAGGTCCAGCCAAGAGCTGATGCGGAAGCTGAAATCGATGCGGACGGACAAGGTGGTGAGGACGATGCGGAAGCCATGCTCAACGCTATAGTAGAGGAAGATGGAGGAGACGAGGATGGTGAAAACGTTGTCGAGCTGGAGGTAGATGTCGATTTGCTCTTCGACTGGCACGGCGGCGGTCCGGCAGAAAATAACAACGCCCCAGAAAACCCGCCCGTTCCTATTGCCCGTGGGCCGGGGGCGCCACCTCTCGAAGCCCCGCCAGTCGACGATGACGCTCCGGCAGCAGCTGAGGCCATCCAGGACGGCGATGCTGCGCCCGCACCAAACGTACCACAACAGCCCGCCCAACCCCGCCGTCAGCGTGTCCGCCGCGAAGGAAACATCGGCTTCGCTACCGCAAGCATAGCGGATTCAATTTTAGGCGCTCTCATCTTTCCCACGATCGCGGCAGCTATGGGAGAAGTATTGAAAGTTGCCCTCCCCAAGTCATGGGTAACACCACCTATCTCAGGTAAGCCAACCGGCTTCCTGCAGAACAAGTGGGCCAGAAGCATAGTTGGTGGATGCTTGTTTGTCGGCTTGAAGGATGCTGTGCTTCTCTATGTGCGTTGGAAGATGGCGCAGACCCATCGACAGCGCAGAGTGGTAGACTACGACGGTAGTAAGGGCAAGAGGAAGACCAAGTCCACGTAGGCCCGTGGCTCGACATATGTGCATAAAGGCTGGTTGATGAGATTTGACGGATCGGGTTTGGTAGCATTAGCATTGCGCGGACGGTATTGGAGTCATCCTACAGGGCCATGAAGCGCGTCAAGAGTCTACATCTCAATGATAGACATCGCAGCACAAAAAACGTACTGTCGTGAAAGAGTTCTCCCATTAGGATGTATGACTTGTCATGTTGAGTCTTTGAACACGCTGGACCATACATGTCGTGTGAACCGCAAAAGGAAAAGCTACAAAGTCCTAGCCCGGCCCCGTTCTTGGCCGCTACTCGTACCAGGGCAAGTCTCGGCAGCGCCAGAAAATAGCCCAAAAAGAAGCGAATCCGCTGTTTGGCGGTACTGGGAATCGAACTGTTACTACAGTCAGTACACTTGCTTGCGTTGAAATCCTCTTACGAGAGGGCCAACCTACCCCAGGCTGGCGCGGTATTTGAACCACAACGCGACGTCATACCACTAGACCATACCACCGTGGTATTTGATTGATGTAAATGTTGACAGAATTCAAAAATATATACCAGTGATTAAACGGTGGGGCCAGATAAGTCGGGCTTGTTGAGAAAAGAACGAAGGCAAGTAAGTCGATCGCGCGAAAAAGGCGGGTCTGTGCGGCGGGGTGGCGGGGTTCGATCGCCACGTCTGTGTGGTCTCAACCGTCTAGCGACCTTTCTGCGGGACCCACCTTTGCCAGTGCGCTTCTGTACGACAGTAGTCAGACCAGCGGTTTTGAGGGGCGGAACGACAATTGAGCAAAAAACAAACAAACAGCTGCGGCCTTCTCTTCACCGTTTCTGTCTGTGTGAAGTTCGCAGAACGGTCGCAAAACCTGCTCTAGATGTGATAAGACCTCACACTAGTGCACATCAATGGATAGAGGTATGTTACTGCGAGCACTCTGATAGATACGCGTTGACAAAGCAATCAGAGAACCGACGGCGCAGTTCCGGACGACGCGTGTCATATAACTATAAGGATGCCTTCAGAAACCTCGAACTTTCGGGCTCTGAGTCAGAAGCAGAAGAGCAAGACGCTGGTGAAGTTGAAGAGCCAGACGAATTCGTGCCGCCCGCCGAAGAGGACGACGATCCAGATGAGTTCGTAGCAGATGAGGAAGCGGAAGAAGAAGAGACGAAAGAGGATGAAGAAGACCATCCATCAGGCAAGGACTTTGGAAATGTCCTGCGCGGAGATTCCAGCATCCTCGAGCCTAATGTCGCTCTCGGTAGTGCCCCTACTGCACCCATCCGATCAGCGAAAACAGGATCTCTACGCACCACCGGCTTATCAGGTGTCCGCTGTGTCGGTACCCCGGGCGTTGCGGGCGCGCGATATATTCCCATAGGCGCTAAAGCTGTCGGTGCACCGACTACAACTACGCGCCAGAGGGCTGTAGGAGAATGGCGCGAGGGAGGTCAAGAGAGTCGATTGAAAAACCTATTCGGGCCTACGAGTGAAGATCTGCGTCCCGTCTTCGAGACCAAGAAGAGATGGCTCTCTCAAGAGACATTACCGAGTCGATCGTTCAAGCATTTAGCGTCATCACCATTTGTCGCGGAAGAAGCTAGAGCAAAAGACACCAAAGGCTTACGCCAATGGTACGCCGGGTTTGGACGAGCCGCCTTCGCTCATGGCCAGCAAACCGGGCGAAAGACTGAAAAAGAGGCACAGGATTACTTGGTGAATCCTGGACCGGATTCTCTAGATCTACTAATGGGCAGCCTAGATAATCAGCGCGTAATTTCGATCGAGAAGGGTCAATACATGAGCGCCGCAACTCCATTTGCACCGGATAACAAGCGGAAGGGTTGGGTCTTCCACCTAGGTTCACGGGTACAAGACGCAGAATGGGCTCCAAACGAGCACGGATCTACGCAATATCTTGCGGTTATTGTCGATCAGGACGATACGGCCTCAAAGAAGCACAAACATCTGGGGAATCCAAAAGCACCTGCTTTCACGGCAACGCACTCTTTCCCCGCGTCAATACAGATCTGGGCATTTGATTCGACTAAAACGGGAAGCCTGGATCCAAAAAAAGAACCGCGGCTCGCCCTTGTCATCTGCACAGACTGGGGAGCCCCTAAAACAATCAAGTGGTGGACCATAGGCGCTCAAGACTCTCTTGAACAAGACCAGGACTGCCCTGTCCACCTTGGGTTGCTCGCTGGTATCTGGTCTGACGGGATGGTCAGGGTACTTGACGTCTCACTAGAGCAGTCCATGGAGAACCCCTCGGCGACTCAGTATTTGCACTACAAGAAGGCCGCCCTCGAGCTTGCCTTTAATGGCCCATGTTCCACAGACAAGGCTGGGAAGCCAGTAGAAAAATTGAGTACACTGCCAACCTGCTTATGTTGGCTCTCACCTACTACGTTCGCAGTCGGAACCGCGTCCGGCAATGTTATGATATGGTCGCTCACCCAGCCAGGAATGTTCCCTTCGTCGGACACGCCAGACACCGAAAGTCATCATCCTCAGCCCTGGTTGCACAAACAGCTCGCAGACACCTACATCATCACTATCTCTTCCGGCTACCCTTCTCACCCACAATTCCTCTCTCTAACAACGGCCGACGGCTTCGCGCGCCTCATCGACCTGCGTGCTCCCGTCGCAGACGCTATATCATCCCCTCGCGGCCGCATGCTGGTACATTCTCAATCCTGGCACGAACACACACAGTCCTTCGTCATGGTCGACGAGTATTATATGCTCAAGCACAGCACGCTGCGACGCTACCACCAGGCTATCTATACGTTCAGGACGGATAGCACGCTTACGGCGGTTGCGACGAGCCCAGTTCATCCAGCTGTCTTGATCGGGACCTCGGACGGGAGTGTGGCGGCGACGAATGGTCTGTGTAAGATTCTGAACGCCAAGGAAATTCCCTGGAGCCAGATGTGGTTCAAGCATGAGTGGAGGAAGCCGATGAGAGAGTTGGGGAGGGACGCTGCTGCTGATCTTGCCGTGCCATCAGATAAACGGGGTGGAGGCGAGGGACCTTCTCCCGCTGATCCTGTCATGCTATCGCGACCACTCACGCGCATCACTGAGGGTTATAAGCCCGTGCAAACAAGTATGCAGTACCCAGACTCGACAAAACGGCACAAGGACGGCGCAAGATTCATTACCATATTCGAGGAGAATTCTGCTGCGACGAGGGTAGCGTGGAATCCAAACCTGAGGTATGGGACATGGGCTGTTGCGGGGATGCAAAGCGGGATGATGAGGGTCGAAGATTTGGGTGTCTAGGCTACGAGAGAACGCCAACGGAGCCTTGATTTCAAGAGGTTGTGTGATTTGAAGGATAGGATATCATGGCCAATGAATCTGGAAGAGAACTAAAATTGTTAATGATATCACAACGAGGCTCGAAAGATACTGTCTTGCCTGCATGAGTACATTAGGCCTCAATTCCCAGAGAGCCACTATTTGCCTATTAAACAGGAGCTGGTACTCGGGCTCGGGTCCCAGAGACGCGCTCTTCGCGCAAACAAGCTGCGCATCTCCTACCCAACCTTACGTAACTTATCAACGCCATACTTCACGGAGCCGACGCAGTACGAACTATCACCGACTGCCGGCCGGCCTGTGCGACATTACGGATCCGAGACAGTCGGACCCAAGACTTGGGCGTCAGATCGCTGTCAATACGTGGTGCCGGTATATGGGTCGCGCCTACAGCGGAAAAGTCGAACAAGATGGCCTGGCCGTTGATTCGATGTGCAGATCCATCGGGCTGTGCTGTCGTGCAACCTTGGTGGTGACCAAGACTGCGAGGGGGGTAGTTTCTGTGTATGGCGAGTGTCTTGTTGTAGTCGGGATGCCGAAGATGCTTGGCTGGGCTACATGTCCGATGCTACAGTAGTTCGTAGGTGATTGGTAAAGTCGGTGACAAGTACTGATGCGGAGATCGAATGCGAGGAGCTATGGGCGGAGAGGGCTGAAGGCGTTGGTGCCTAAGACAAGACTTCTATGTTTCATCTGGTCTGGAGAAAGCTGAGCAGTCTCAGATATGCCGGTATAGTCAATTGACATCTTGGCTACCTGAACCAATGTGTGTGGGTCGCATTGATGTTTCGCATGCGTTTTCTTGTTGTTGATATCGTGTAGCAACTGCTATGATGCTACCAAGCGGAACGATGAACCAGACGCCAAGTCTACCAAGCCTCACCAAGCTGCGGAAACTTGCTCCCAGCTGAGAGCGGGATCGGGGTCAAGGGTTAGTGCGTTATGCCTAGAGATGAGCAGCTTGGTAGTGTTCCTTAATAGCATTGATGAAGACCAACAGGGATCTCGTAGTGACGCTGAGCGTACAGTTGCAACAAGCTTACAACTTGTTCGAGAACCAGACAAATACTAAATGGCTGACCACTGTGCCTAGTCCGGCTGCAGGTATATAGATTCCAAGAAATCTTCTCGTGAGCGTAAGTGCGGTGATATTCCGCATCCACCCAGGTCTATTATGCAGTGTCATTGCAGCGTTGTCCATGTTTGATGAACCTGGCAATCGGCAAAAGCTGCCAGCATATAGGGCGTAGAGGGTCAATCCACGCGAGCCAGGATGCAATTGAATCTCTGTGGTGACACTTGGTCTCATACACAATAGAGGCTGGAATGCTGTGAATTCGTACGGTGTCCGGTCAAGGCCCACTTCGAAGCATGAAGTGATTACGATAGTGCTTGCTGGAGACTGTGTGAATAAATGGACCATGAAGCCTCCGAGGGCCCCATCATTTACCCTCACGTGAACCAAAGAGGAGCCGAAGAAGAGGGTGTCGTGACCGTAGGGTTGGAACCACCGTTGTCTTGTCAAAAGTCTTGGTCTTCAGGACGCGGCATGGTGAGACATTATTTCCCCAGAGCTGGAGTTGTCTTGGCATTAGGGGCCCTCGCGTGATGGTTTGTGTCGCGTTCATGAGACGGCGTGACAGCGCGCGTGGACTCGTGTGTTGATACCGCGGGCGGGGTCGCAAGCTCAGGGCCAAGGATAGCCAAGTCGGCGCCAAGGGCATGGGGAGGGGCGGAATCGAATGGCGGACGGCGCCGCGACCAGGGTGCATGATGGCGTTGGGGCTGTGCTGTCATTTTGAGACTGTTGTTTGCGGCCGCGACATTCTGTCTGTGTGTCTCAACTTCTCCTTTTCGCGTCAGCCCGCACGGGTGATGGGCTGGATCGGTGATGCACCGTTGACATGGAAGCAGTCAGCTTGGCGGACGCTGGTGCAGAATGGGTCGACAAGGCCGGTGTTGATTTCAAAAACAGGCCTAGTCCTTGCTTTTGCTGATATGCGACCAACGAAAGGATGTGACGGATTGGGATGTTTCGCAGGGACGATGCGCCTCTCACCGCACTGGCAACCGGACGCCTCTCGCTGCGCGTCCAGCAAAACGAGCCCACAACGACCCCAGCACGCTAAGGTTTGATGGCCCACGTCCGTGTAGCCTGAGATCAGAAGGATGCCCGCTTCCTGGACCATTGTGTTGGGGCGGCAGAGGCGACGAGCCACGACGTGTCACCCTTCGTTGCGCCGCACAAGCAATACAGCGCGTTATCGTGCCGTGTCTCGCAGAAGACGGCCGTGGGCGGATGGGCGTGAGCAGCGGCATGGGGTGTCGAGGGCATGGCTTCTGGACGGCGTGCAGGATTCAGCCGCGCCGTGTTCCCCTGCCACGCTCGACGACGACGCCTGGTCATGTTGGGCTCATGCGAGGCCTCGGGCCATGGCGACAAGCCGGGACGGCGGGAAGAAGGTCGTCCTGACTCGGTGCGTGGTGCGCGGTGCGCGGGACGGGTGTTGGTGACTGCTCTGGCCCTTCTCGAAGCATTTGCAGGACAGGACTCGTGGCTCCTGTTGCACAGACTCACCGCAACCTGGGAGCGGCCGTTTGGCAGCCAATTGCGCCTCCACGTTTCGAGCGCCGCAGACGTCCTGGGGTGCGGTGAGATTGGCAGTGCTGGCGGGCGTTGCGAGAGCCCAACGCACTGGTAGCAGATCTGCCGGGGCCCGTCGCCAACTGTCGCTAGCTCCTTTTCCGCGTGCTCGTCGTCCCGCAGGTGAATGTAGCCTGCTCGCGGAAACGCCAAAGACCTCCTGGCGACAATCTCCACCCGAGCTAGGGGTCTTTCCATGTGTGCTCACTCAAGCCTCCGCCCAGCAGCCCCAACGCCATGGGACACTTAAAGCGGGCTCCGCCGCCATTGCTTCACCCTACGCCGCCCGCTGCACGTAGACAGGGCTGACCACCCGTCTGTATCTTCCTGCTACTGCCTCCATTCCTCCATCGTCCTCATCTGCGTCATTCCTCTGCCTCCAAGGGGGATCATCGCCCGTCGACCTATCGCCACCGCCGCCTTCATCGCCATACCGTTACACCGTCTGCCAGACCGTGTGATTCGTACCCCATCCATCTCCACTACAAAGCTCGTCGACACCGTGGCCGCCACGTACAGTCATCGCTCCCAAAACACCCATCGCCCTACCACCACAGCCAGCGTTGCGCAGCTCCATTCGCTCTTCACCACGTCCCCTCTGAAACTCAACAGCCTGCCCAAAGGCAGGGTCCTCCCCACCCGGACCTATCTCGACATCACTTGAAGCCCTTTGCAACATCATGTGCATTGCCGAACTCAACGTTTCACTCATGCCTTGCCGGCACCGCTGGTACCACCTGTCACGCCCCTGCAGCCCGTCCACCAACCTCTCCAACTGCGACAAGAAGCTTGGTCTGGCAGGATGGGAGATCAAGTGCGACTTCTGTCCCTATTGTTCAGCATGGAATCTTTCCGACTCTGAATACCGCCTTGTCGGCAATGATCGAGCTCCTGCTGTCGGAGGTCTGTCCCGCACGCCATCCCTCAGCCTGAATACCGCGCGCCGTGAGTCCCGTCGCGGCAGCCTGTCCAGGACCGACAGCAGCAACAGCATCGCAATGCTGGCACAGGAGAAGAACCGCGCGCTCAACGCTCGTGTGGACGCATACCTGAGGGTCACTACAGAGCCGCCCCTTCCATCGCCATATCCGGCTCCGCTGCGCGAAGTGAACGAGGACGATAGCGTAGCCCTGTCCAGCAGTCCCAGTGACACTTCCAGCGAAGGACCAGAGAGCGTGCGCCACTCGTCTACCTCAACTCAAGGCGACTCGGTAAGCATTCTCAAGAGAATGCGTTACAAGTCGAAGAGGCTGTCCATGAGCATCTTCAAATGATCACACAAACACCATTACGATCCGGCCTTGCCTCAGGTTACTTTACACAGCCCCCCAATCACTGACGCTTGGGGTCTGAACAAACGTTCGTGAAATGGTTTTAGCGTACGACTTCGGGTTCCAGGCTATTCGCCGGCCTCTACGGTACGCGTTCCGCGACCCACCGCTTAATGAAACGGGCCGATATCTTTACTCAACATCAGGCGTCAGGTCACTCCATCCCAACTCGACGGCGCCTAAAACGACTCCACTCTTCCTTCCATGTTTGTCTTCTACACTATTGATTTAATCGGATCTACCGGGTCTCATTGTTTCTCTTTACAGATACCCAGAGTGCGCTCAAACACATCCGAGCGCGATCGAGTCACGGTCTTGTCGATCGCTTTCCATGATCGCAGGGGTCTACGATATCGGCGTTATTTAGAACAGGATGTATTGGGAACGGTACACAAGGTGGCCTTGCTCTCATAAGGAGTTGTTCAGGCTGTGCGTGATCGTCCTCCAGGTTAAGCACGTCGGCGCTTGAACAAATGATACTCTTTCGATGAAAGCAATGTCGGACAGACATGTCATATCGTATCATGTATAGGGGTTTCATGCCTTCGTCGCTATTAGCGCTCTTTCTCGGTAGCTCCAATGCAATAAGCTTACAGTTCGCAATCGTAGCTTGTTACTCTCAAGTACATGTGGTTTTGACCACTCCTGGTCCCCAGGTCTAATCGTGTTTGGCGAACAAGTTTTACCCTCGGCGATTATACTGACATAGTGTTACTGGGCACTAGAAGTTGCGACGAGGCACTGTAACGTATGTAGCCCGTCGCTATCCATCATGTCAAGCTGCATTGCAGTGTGGTCCATAACGTGACGAGCACGTTGACTGCAGCGAAGCCTGTCTGGAAGAAGGACTTTGAAGAGGAGAGACGCTTTCGGGTGAAGATGCTCAGGTATTGCAAGCTTATCTGACTACTATGAAAGTAAGGTTCTTCGTGATATGCAACGTGTCTCCAGAACTGTTGTATTATGGATCGTAAACTCAATCTCCAATTTTGTCATTCAACTGTGTTGAGCGCTGGAAAATTCGGTCTATTATAGAGGTCGTAACCGGGCATCATGTCCAAATGCTCAACACATGGATGGAAGTAGTGCAAAACCACTGCCTATTCCACCTAACGGATAAGTCTGAGCACCCGTAACAGGTCACCGGTGACACCCATGGCTGTAACGTCACCACCAGCACCAGCACCTTGGATGATTAGCGGGTTGTCACCGTATCGTTTGGTGTAGAAAGCGATGATGTTGTCGCTGCCCTTCAGCGCAGCGATAGGGTGGCTCTTGTCGAACTTCTCAAGTCCCACCTTAACATCGCCCTTCTGCACGTCTATACTACCAACAAATCGGACTACCTTATCCTCCTTCTCGGCGTCGGCCTTGAGCTGGTCCATCTGGCCGTCGAAATCGGGCAGGCGGGACAAAAACTCGTCACCCGAAGAGGCGGACTCTAGCTCCTCAGGTATGAGGGACTGTACGGGGAAGGAGGTTGGTGACTCGACTTTCAGACCAGCGATACGTGCCTACAATAATCTTAGGTTAGCATAGGTAGACACGACGAGGCTTACGAAGACCACGTACCAAAATGGTAAGCTTGCGAGCAACATCCAGACCGTTCAGGTCGTCTCGCGGATCTGGCTCCGTGTAGCCCAGCTTCTTTGCCTTCTTCACCTCAGCAGAGAACTTGCCTCCGCCCCCATCAGTCGGCTGGAAGGAATTGAAGAGGAAGCTCATCGTGCCACTGAAGACACCCTCGATCTTGCGGATCTCATCACCCGTCCTTATAAGGTCCTTCAGAGTGACGATGACAGGAAGTCCAGCACCAACGGAGGACTCGTGGAACACATAGCCTCCAGCTCCAAGGCCATTGGCGCCAGTGCCGTTGGAAGCTACATGGAAGATGTCCTCCCAGAGCTTGTATGGGCCTGAGAAGGCCTTTTTGTTGGGCGTCACGATCGAGATGCCCTTCTTCAGGAACAGAGGGTATGAGTCGGCCACCTCCTGGTTCGACGTGTTTTCGACGAGGACGACCTTGCCCGGGGCTTTGACGAGGTAGTCGGCGAGCTGTGGGGGAGGTAGCGGTGCGGTAGAGGAAGCCGTCAGCTCGGACTCCCAGCTCGAGAGCTGTTGGGATTTGTAGTCGGCGTGGAGAAGAGCCTTCTTGGATGTGCTTAGGTATATGAGGGAGAGGTATGTGGGAGCGCTGGGTGATTGCGAGAGAGATTGTGCGAGGGCTGAAAGCTGGCTCAGGAAGCACTTTCCGACGCCTCCGGCACCTGTCGATGGTCAATATTCTGTTCAATAACATGATCCATCAGGAGAGAAAGCTACCAATGACTGCGACGAAGACCTGGCGTGGGAGGGGCATGATTGCGTGTTTTGATTGATGTGAAGATGCGGATGGGCCGTGTTCGTTGATGTAGGAGTAGTTGAGAGCAATGCACTCGTACAGAGGATCAATTGGGATTTTACCGTATACGGTGACAAGAAACATTCACCCCGCTCTGCACTCGTGTGTTTGCGGTCCCGCCCCACCAACACCGAAGCTATCCTAGCTTCCGGTTCCCGACATCGCCCACCAAGGATCTTCAGCCCTGCAGATAGCGCTACGGCATCCCAAACCGACCTGGGCTCACGGACATCGTTGCTGTTCACGCGATCTAATGCTGTCGTCAAGAAGCCCGCCTTTTGCGAACTCAGCACGCGTGACTGAGTGAGAGCTACCACGCCCGCTTTCTGAGCCTGCCGAGGTGACGACCAACAACGCCAACTTTTACTTACCAACACCAACATCAGTCATCACCCCAGCCGCCACGTACCCTTCACCGACCATGTCGCACATGTCCAAGAAAGATGCGCATCTCTACAACCAAGAACGTCCTGCGCCTCGCACAAAAGGCAATCCAATCTCCTCCGCCAGCTCTATAGCCTTCTCGTCCACGCTCTCCGACCTTATACAATCAGCCTCTACAGACGCCAGCAAGCCCACCACCGGCCGCGCACGAATTGCCAAAGAAGACATCTTCAAATCGCACAACAAGGGCGTCAAGAAGCGCGCGGCGAAAGATCTGGAAGACTCTCAGTTCACGCAGAAGCACCGCAAACTCACAAGCGACGAGAGAGCAGAGGATGAGGCACACTGGAAGCGCGCAAAGCGGCGCATGGAGGAGAAGGCACGACTGTATAACGCGCTGAAGCGGGGCGACATAGAAGATGTGGATGATAGGTATGGCGTGGACTTTGATGCCAAGTGGGCGGAGAAGCAGGAGCAGGGAGAGGCGAACTCGGACTCTTCAAGTTCCGAGTCCGAGGTGCCAGACGAGGAGCTTGTAGAGTATCAGGATGAATTTGGCCGGACACGGAAGGGCACTCGGGCAGAGTTCGCACGGGAAGAACGTAGGAAACGCACGCTTGCGGCCGATGAATCGGATCGTTTCACTGCGCGACCTAGCATGCCTACAAATATCATCTACGGAGACACGGTGCAGAGCGACGCCTTCAATCCGGACGAATGCATCGCGCAACAAATGGCCGATCTTGCTGCAAAACGCGACAAGGAACTTACACCGCCTCCAGACGAGCACTTTGATGGGCGCAAGGAAGCACGACAACGTGGCACAGGCTTCATGCACTTCTCGAAGGACGAAGAGGAGAGGAAGCAGCAGATGTCGAATTTGGAGAAGGAGAGGCAAGAGACGGAAAAGGCACGCCGTGAGCGCAAAGAGCAGATTGAAAAGAGGAAGGAGATGATCAAGGAAAAGAAGCGTGCGATACAGGAGAAGAGGGCCAAGGGGCAGGCTGATCGGTTTTTGAATGAGCTGGGAGCTGAGTTGTTTGGCGAGAAAAGGGAATAGGGGAGGACAGCACATGAGGAAAGACGCTATGATACCCAATCAATATGTATAATGACACTCTTTCGAATCCTGGCCATAGCCTTTTGATGGAATTCATACATCACTTGCACGCTGTTATCCAGAGTATTGTCTGCCGCAACAAGTGTAGATGTACAGGATGGGGGGTCCAAGTGGGTGTAGGCCGGTGGAAGAAAGCAACGTACAGAGAGAATGGGAGACAGCAAGGTGAAAGGTGAACCAACGCTTCTCGATCCTCGTAAATAAAATGCGAGCAGAACTGGTTCAATTAGACGGCTTGCCAGTTGGCGGTCTGGCAGGGTCGTGTTACAATAGTGGATGTCCCTGCACCCAGCACAGCGCTGCTGAGCGTTCTGCTCCTGGCAAGCGGCGAACAGTGGTGGAGGTGGAGCATTGTGAGGGAGCAGGGAGTGATTTAGGTCCTTGCTGAAACGCTCTAAAGCCCACGGATCTCCTGTAGAAGAGGTGGATAAGCTGTTGTGAGATGAATTTACAACCTCATATGCAGCGGCACCTCAACTCGTCCGGGCCCAGACTACGTTCGCGCGCTGCTGTTCTCTCAGTGCTCCACTTGCCCGAAGTACATATAGCTTTTTCACAAGAATTAGTAACTGATCGACTGCATAGATGATTTGAATCTAATAAAATGAAAAGAGAATTGACTTTTGCAAAGCAGAGATCATAGACCTGGAGGCAACGCGGGGTTTTGAGGCAAAACTCATGCACCGCTCAGGCACACATGAGCTAGATTGCTACAAACGCTGAGTGCAAAGACATGCAGACAGGGGAGGGACGTTTTCTGCCCAGGGTGTCCAACCAGAGAGTCTGACACTTGAGGTTGATAGGCCGACTTGCTCCCTTTGAACCGGTTCGTCGAGTGACGAGGGACTTCGAAACCATAATGACCGAGATATTGGGTTAACGCAAGTATGATTTGTCATGCAAGCGCATTTTTTCACATTCCTTAGACGTGGATCGACCACAACGTACTGATGCGAATGTCGGCTTCGATGTCCCCTTCTTCTTCGTCAATCTGACCTCGCCCCATCAACCATAACCTCCCTTACCCACTCCGCAAAACCCAGCTCCACACTCTTACTAAAAGCAATCCAAAAAGCCATCATTTCACTCACTGCCCCAGGACAATGCTCAACCAAAGCCTCAACCTTCACCTCCCTCAAACCCTTGACCTCAAACAGCTGCTCTACCCACGTCAAGTCCGCGCCGCCCACACTACTCCCCCAATCCTTCTTCATCCTTTGCATCAACGCAAGTGCCTCTTTCGAAATAGGCGCTACACCGTCCCAACCATGCTCGCCAGGCTTTCCTGCGACGATGGATAGGCTCAGTCCGGACAGGCAGAGGTTTCGGGAGAGGTAAGTGCAAAGCGCCGCCCATTCGAGGCGGTCGAATTCCTTGGTGTAGGGGAGGCCTTTCTTGGTGAGCGAAATGTGCCTCACATAACCTCTAGATAGCGGCGTCAGATCGGAGAAGAAAGGCACGGCTGCTTCGATGCTGGTGTGGAAGCTGAACGTGTAGTTTGAATAAAGCACTTTTGCGGCCTCGGTGTGGATCTGGTGGTTCAGGGATAAGAGAGACGGCACTGATTGGCGAAGATGTGCGGTATATGGTGATAGCAGGACGCGGTATGTTGTGGGTGTCGTGGTGGTGAGGAAGGGGCCTGACGCTCCTGTTATTATGCCTTTGTTTTGCGAGAAATGCAAATCAACAACGCGCGCAAAGACAGTGCTGTACAGGGAGCTTACCAGTGCGGACGTGGTATGTGGAGCGATGTCTCCAGCCGCGAGAGCTCTGTACGCCGGCATATGGGTCGATGGTTCGGACGGCGAGAGTGAATGGCGTGTCGTTGGTGTCGTTGGAGTGGTAGGTATGGAAGTCCGGGAGGAGGTTGGCGACTGAAGTGGAGTGTGAGGATGAGGGCGTTTTGGACGGAAACAGTAGCGCTTCGTATATCATTAGGCGGATCTCAAACGGAAGGCGAAGCAGCGGTGAAGTCGGTTCGGCCATCTTTTCGTCGTTACGGCACCGTCTTCTGCGAATTGTTTTTCTGGGAATGAAGACAGGACGAAGAAGCGTTGTTAGTGGTCGAGTATGTTGTTCTTATACTTGGTCAGCCACGGCGTCCATCCAGGTGCTCCTTGCTCACATGGATACGTCTAAGCTCAACGCGTCGCTTCCTACACCAATGTACATATGTCTGATGTAGCTTTGCCCTCGCCACACGAAACCCAAATACTGCAATTGACGCTGAAAAAGGCCCAAACATAGCAAACTTTGGCCGCGACCGGGTCACCGATCTTTAAGAACCCCCATCTGCGCCTTTCCACATGCAGGGCCGTCATGGTGCGATCAGCTTAATCTTTTTGTCAATGCCCCGAGCCGCACCGACACCGATTGCCCAATCCCCAAGCAGCCCAGCTCCGATGTGCGACATGCAGTAGCGGCGCCGTTGGACGCCGCTTTGCGTGGATGATGTGGATCTAGCCGGCATGTACGATCCGCCAAACACTGCGCCAGGGAAGTCTGGCGGTCAGAACGCTGCTAGACCGGCTTGTGAAAAGTGCGTTGTTCAACGTTTGCTTAGACTCCGAGGAGTGCAAGCATCATCCAAAAGGCATTCGCGGCTGCTTGTACTCGAATTCTGAGCGCCGAGTCCGTATCATACTCAAGCAAGCATTGACTATCAACCCGCCATGTTAGCAGGATAACTCACACATGCACGCGAATAGTAAACATCTCACTGCGGTCTCATCCGAGTTCAGCGCCACCCGCAGGTTCTACCAGGAACAGCCATCCCACCCGCATCCAAACCCTAAATATCCCTGCGCACATCATCTTGGGGCGATTTCCGCTCGTATGACAATAGCCTCACCGGAGATATCTCGCACTAGGCTTGCGACGAGTCTTGCGTCGGATCAAGTACGCCTTTCGACCTTGAGCAACACACTTCGACGTGGCTCCGTAGAAGCACACCCGGGGAACCCCTGATATACATCGAGTACGCGGGAGATGGCTATGACCAATGAGAGCAACGTCACCATCGTCGTGGTACTGATATCCATACAGCGCGGCGGTGAGCATGGTGTGTTGTCAAAATCAACGTTGTACCTTCCACACGCACGCATGGCAGCATTTGCTGAGTCACGATCCGTTTCACCACATGTTGTCAGACAATGGTGCTCTCCCGTTCCCGCACTTTCACATTTCACTACACCGTCCCATCCCGCCCACTTTCGCCAGTTGCCATTGTGCAAACTCCGTTATCCCCATCCTAAACTAGACGAATGTTTAGACATTCCCCAACCTCGCCCTGTAAACCAAAACCAAGAAACAGAACAAGTTTTTTGCATCGATGCTTGTAAAGTGACCCACCCTTGCTCAAGACGCAAACAGGCAAAACGCCATTCTGATCCGATCCAGAAGTGAGAGGATGCAAGAGCAAAGCCAGATTCCAGAGAAAAAAACATGAACAAGTCCCCGTCATAATACAAGTGAGGCCACTTTGAGCCGTTAATCAATCAGACATGCAGACACAGTGAGGAGAGGAGTCGGAAAAGAAGAGATAGAAAGGGAAAAGGCAACACTGCTTGGTAACCTTCTCCACGTCTAGCCACGACGTCGTGTGCTAAAGCGCAGCTAGAACGCCATCCTCCAATTTCAACTCAAGACAAGGTCCGTAACGGGACCTCTAGTGTTGTTGATAGTTCGTGCCCCAGCCGCCGCGGTTGTACGACCCATAGCCACCAAATCCACCGTATTGCCCAAAGTTGTTTTGATGGCTACCGGCGCCCTGGTGCCCCAATCCACCAAGACCGCCGTACTGATTACCCTGACCGCCCTGCAGCTGGTTAAGGTGGCCCGGGTAGCCACCGAACCCCTGTTGCTGGGGAAGTCCGCTCTGGCTGCCCTGGCTTTGAGGGTTGTTCGTGGCGGACCCGGGGCGACCGGGTTGTGCCCCGAGGGCAGAAGGGCTAGGTCCGCCGCTTTTGCTGTCACCGAATGGCTTGAGAGAGTCTTCATTGGGGCCTTGCTGACCGATCTGTTGTTGGCCGTAGGAGCTTTGGCCTCCGTAACCACCCTGAGGCTGGCGATATGAATCCGGAATGCCGCCAAAAGCGCTAGAACCAGCCGTGGCATTGTGCTGATTCTGTCCAGCACCTGACACAGACCTGCCGTAGTCTCCCAGCCCTCCTCCTAGCCCAGAGTCGCGGCCGTGGATAGAGGAGCCACCGAAAGCGCCAACATTAGCTGGAGAAGACGAGTGTTGATCGAAGGAACCCTGGGGAGGCATTCCACCGTAGTGATGCGATTGACCATACATGCTCTTTCCGAAGTTTGCGTACCCACCTTGACCGTAGCCGCCATATTGGCTGGCGTAGTTGGCGTAGTATGGGTTCGATGCATAGTACGGATGAGTGTAAGGATAGCTGCCCGCGTGTCCCGGCTGACCATGGGGTTGCTGCATGTGCTGACCCTGCTGCTGCGACGTAGGGCCGCTTGGGTGCTGACCGCCCAACGCCGGGTTGGGGGTGTTGTGGCCGCTATTCTGTGCCTCGTTGTATCGAGACTGCGACTGCTGTTGAGATTGACTCTGAGAGAAGGCTGAATCGGTAGGACCCGCACCGAATGCACTGCCAGTACGCTGTTGAGCAACGCCAGCTTCTTGCTGGCTTGGGGTTCCCTGTTGAGCATAGCTGCCGTAATATTGCTGGTATGCGGCAGAGCGTTGTTGTTCGGAGGTGGGGTATTGAGACCCAAAGACCTCCGGGGCAGATGAGAACCCACCAATCTGAGTCTGAGATGGCTGCTGCTGAGCCTGTTGTTGACCGGAGTAGTCGTACTGGCTGGACTGCGGCGCTTGCTGCCCGAATGGACCATAGGGCTTCTGCGGGGGTGCCGCGGTCTCCGCCTGCCCATAGCGACCGAACTGGTTGTAAGGCTGCTGGCTTTGCGAGCCTTGGTTCTGCATTGCCTGGGATGCGAGAGGGTTTGATGGGGATTGTTGCGACAGCGGCTGCTGAGGCACAGGAGGCAAACCAGGAGCCTGCTTGGGTGTAGGGATCGACTCTTGAGGCTGCGAGTCGGCGGCGGACGCTTGACGTGGAGCAGGAGGAAGAGCTGCCCTTGGTTGCGCAACCGGCGAATGTTGTGGCGGCTGAGTCCGTGTCTCCGCATCTTCCCTATCTTCATCGACATCGAGGTCCTCGGCAGGATCGCCATTCAAGCCCAAGCTGCCGAATTGGACTGCTGCCTGATTCACCGCGTGGTTTCCAGGCATAACAACCGCCTCTTGCTGTTCCAAAAGCCTCCGCTGGAAACTAGTGCTGCGATGCGCACCCGAAGTGGCTTTCAGTGCAGTCGTTTGGTATCCCCCAATGCCGGGACGACCAATAGGTGCTTGGCCGCCTGCGCTCAAGGGGGTTGCGACACTTGCAAGACTTCCAATATCCTTCGAGCTAGCAACCGTGCTGGCGACAGTCTCTGTGGGCGGACCGTGCGTATCATCGGGCAGATGTTCGATATTGTCTTTGGTCAGCTCATCCTTTGATGGAGTGAGGGTAAGCTCGGGTCCAGCCTCGTTATCGGGTGTCAGTTTCGACATCTCTTCGGCAGTAATCGGCGGCTCGTTAGTAACTTCGTCCGCAACTGGAGGTGGGGGCAATTCGGCTGCTTCGACCGTTTGTTCCTGTGCGACTTCAGGTACCTCTGCAGGGGCGGGTGCGGGCTCTTCTGGGGGCGGCGCTGGCTTCGCGACTGGCTTCGGAACCGCAGGCTTCGGAACTGTAGCGAACATGCTGGCCCACGTCTTCGCGGCGGGGGTTGCGGGGGCTGCAGTCTTGGACGTATGTGTCTTCGTAGTAGGAGCCTCGGTGGCTTTGAACTGTGCATCTTCTTTTGCTTCCGTGGCAGCGGGCACATCCCAAGCGTTCGACTCAGTAGTAGGGACTGAAGTCGCTCCAGCTGCTCCACCGGTGCGTGTTCCATTAGAAGCTGCTCCACCACGGCCACGGAACCCTCCTCGACCACGGTCTGTGCCGCGTCCTCGACCACGAATGCTATCGCCTCCGCGAGCTCGACCACTACCTCCGCGAATAGTCGAGCCACTTTCGTTTGTGGCAGTCGTATCCTTCACCTTGGAGCGAGATCGGTCGTTGGCCTTCTTGACCTCAGCGAATTGGGAGACATGTCCTGGCAGGATGATCAGCAAACTTCGTTAGGCGCATGAAAACTGTTGCACGCCACGCGCAGTAGAGAGCATACGCGTCGGGGGCAACTTTGGGCACTCACCCTCGGTGATCTTCTCGATGGTCGAGGCAAGGTCGCCATCAGATTCTTCTAAAGCTAGGACCAGATCTACATCAGCCCAGTCGGGGAAGAGTTCTTTCAGGGTGGTCAATTGCGATGAATATCGCTTCTTGAGCTCGCCCAGCTGACCCTGGTCTGCCGATGTGTCGATGGCGCCGTCGCCGTTTGTCTGTTTGTTTGATCGCGGTCCTCGCGAGGCATGGCCTCCTCTACCGCCGCGAGCGGAACTCCTGCCGCGCGCAGGTCTAGACTGTACGTCAGACATATGGTGTCGTGATGTGTGTGGAAGTATGCGGGCGAAATGGAGCTCCTTGGTGGTGGGGATGATGTAGTTAGAAGGGGAGGTGCGGTCGGGGCTAAAAGAAGTAACAAGCTTGGCTTGGCGGGCAGGCAGGCAGGCGCTGGGGGTCTAGCGCTGGGTCGAGCACTGGAGGTTACGAGCGAGGTGATTGCATGTGAGGTGAAGCGGTTGCGAGGATGGACTCAGGCGCGCGCGCTGGCTGTGCGCAGCTGTTTCCGTTTCCAAGGCTGGTTGGGCTGAGCCATCACGTGCCTCTGGCAATCCTCTGTGCATGTGGGAACTATGCCGCGGCTCCACCCAAAGTCAGCCAGTGCAGGTCGTCATCACGCCTCACCTCACCGGACGCCGCTGCCCACCGTCTCCGTCGCCGTCACCGCCCACAGCCACGTCGACCGGCTGCCTCGAGTACCTCCTCGCCCACCATGCAGGCAGCCGCAGCCCGACGTGCCTTCAGTTCGCTCGCGTCCAAAATACACCCTCAGCTGCCTCTTACCCCGCGGGAAAGCCAACAGCTGCTCACGCTTCTCACTACCTCTTTCAGATCTCATCTTGACCGCGAGTACCCGACCGGACCGTCAGAAGCGCCTCCTCCGAGCACCACGACTCAGATTGTCAAAGTAGAACAGCGCAGGCGCGTCCCATCTTCCTACGATTCGGCTTCCGAGCACATAGACTCCATCCTCTCCAACCCTCTTTTTGCGAGGAGGCCCCACCGGAGAGGATCCGACTCGGCTGCAGCAGATGCTCTAAAAGACCCTCTCGCCTGGTTCCTAGATCAGGCGGCTATTGGCACAGCCGACATTTCGAAGGCCATCTTATGTCTAGATGTACTGCAAAGATCTCAGAACAAGAGCAATGGGCGAAGAAGTTCATTATCCAACAATGATACAAGACCGGCGTCGATGATTGCAGAATGGCTACGCACAAGTGGCGAGGAGACATCGAAAGACTTCTTGGTCAGCTCACCCACTATGAATGGTGCCCCCAGGAGAAGCCTTGTCAACAGACTCGTCCCGTTGTTACTTGCCGAGGGCAACCACGCTCCCTTATGGCGTTGGTACACCTATGAGCCCGAGGAGGGCGGCGTTCCAAACAAAGCTCAGATCACACCATTTAAAGGTCAACTGCTAAAGGAGATGATCAACGCGGCGCGAACTCGAGATGAAGCCTTCACAATCTTCCTGCAAGCATACCGAATGACAAAGACTGATGAACGCAATGCGGACGTCAAGAGCCTTCAAGTCGCAGGAGCCCGACTTGTGAATATGGTAGTTGCAAGCTCCCAGGTTCCATGCACCCCCGAACTCTACGAGCAATTCGCACTTTCCACCCACGGATGGCTATTTACTTGGAAGCCTGTTGTCCAAGCTATGCTCTGTTTATGCCATCCTACGCAGGCTGATCCAGAACCCGGACTCAAACTTATCAAGAACCCGGATAGCATCATTGGACCTACCCTTTTGAAGCAAAGTAGACAAAAGTTCCTTGTGCGGATGTGCCTGGGGGTCGCACAGCAATTGATCAAGGCGGAGAGGTTTGCGGACGCGCAGATTGCTATGCAGTTTACCAAGGAGCATTTTGCAGACTTGGTGATGGTCAAGTACCACTCCAGTTCCCATCATGCCATCAACCAAAAGGTCTCAGACCAGAAGAGAATCCGTGAAGAGAAAAGGAACATCGCTTTGCTGGAACGTCTCGTGGTTACATGAAGCATCACGTACGACCTCCTACATTGGCTAGGCGAGAGTGATAGAAGGATCATTTCAAGAAGTCGGCAACATGTCGTAACCCTCGATAGACATCACGCATGGATCATACCTGGGCCCTAGCCTTGTGGAAGGCTCAATGAAGTGGATCATGGTCGGATGACAATCGACAGAACCCACCCTCTGAAGCTTTGAGGCTCATTGGGTCAGTGACACACAATCAACGTTCGTCGAAGATGCCGTCATCGTAGTTCGGAATGTTGATTCCCTACTAGCTCAGCGGAACTTGTAGTACAGCGCAGCCGAGCAGAAAAGAGGAAGTAAATCTCTGTGGTCACAAAGAGTGCTTAGCCATCGCAGCGGCTTTGAATGCCTTTGGCCATCGTAACGTCCAATATTTCTAAGTAGAACTATTACAAGTGACTTAGTCGCGAATTAAGTTAGAACTTAATGTAGGGATTTGTACAGTGTTCGATCTGGTGAATAGGAATGATCGGGTCCGCGGAAGTCAAACAAGATACGCTGGGCGGACAGCGTACTGCAGCAACTACTCAGCTCAACGATAAAATCAAACGTGTACCATAGCTTACGTGAATTACTCGGTCGACTTGTACAGAGAAACATTGCTACCAAATAATAGCATATATACGACGCTCGGGATGCGCACGTCCAGGGCAAACGTGCAAAGAACTGAAGTTGAAGAGGTAATTGAATGCTTTTGGTATCAAGTCTATATGGGAATCGTCTTATCTATGTAGCAGCGGCTGTTCATATGTCCAGGCAAGCTATGCAACAAGGAATATAAGGAGATCGTAGGAGAAAAACCCAAACGCCTAAATATGCTCTCGGCAACCCGACTCAGCACTTGAGCCGTCCACCGTTTACTCAATAGCCGAGACCCCATTGCCGTGAAGCACGGGGTTAATCGACTCGTCAAACTGGAATCTGAACTCCTCACCCAACTCCTTCTTGATGGCTGTCTGCACGGCCTCTTGCACGTTCTTGAAGACGCCGAAGGAGGCCGGGTTCTCTTTGTCGTTGCCCTCGCCCTGGTACACACCGGTGCGGACGAGGCACGTGTTCCAGCCGTACATGTTGCCGCCGATGATGTCGGAGGCGGGATTATCGCCGATCATGTAGACGTTCTTGGGCAGTTTCTCCTCGTTGTGGATGGTGTCCATCCACGAGGTGATGACCTCATCGGCGTACTTGTAGGTGGCAAGCTCGGGCTTGCCGTAGACGACACGCTCGAGATCGACGCCGGTGAGGGCCTTGTACATGGCCTCCAGACCGATGCGGAAGGCACCTTGCGACATGCGAGGGAAAGGGTGCTCGGTAGGGCAGAGCAAGTCACCTTGGGAGAAATAGATGGGGATGCGCTGGGAGACGGGGTCCTTGGCACGGGTGCCGAAGCGACCGTCCTCAGACTGCAGAAGATCCATGATGATCTGCATGTCGGTAGCGTAATCACGGCTGTCGGAGAAGACCATGATGGCGTCGATGTTGGTCTTGTTGAAGTCACGGGGACGGCTGGTCTTGCGCTCCTCCTCAGTGAAGACTCGGTAGGGGGCGATGGTTGGATCCCAGGCGATAATGTCGTTGGGAACAACGATATCTTGGAAGCCGTACTCCTCGGCGACTTCGCGGCACTTGTAGCCTTCACCACCGACGACAAGGACGGTCTTGTAGTACTCGGCCAAGGCACGCATGGGCGTGTGCGACTGGATAAACTGCTCGGTGGAGATGGGGTTGTGAAGGATCTTGCTGAGTTGAGCAACACGCTGGGTCTCGATCTTTCCGGAGCCGTTGGTGAGGAAGATGTGGGGGATCTTGATGCCGAGCTCGTTATCGCCGTTGAGGATCTCAAGGACACGCTTGCCCTCTGGGATCAAACGGTCACCGTGAACGAGCACACCGTCAATGTCGAACACGAATGCCATGTCCTTGGCAGCCTTGACCTTCTCGCCGCTCAAGTCTTGGACTTGAGCAGCCAAGATGTCTCGTGTAGGCTGGATCGGGGGCATTCCAGGGCGTGTGGGCTTTCCGCCCTCGGCATAGTGCACGCTGGAGAGCCGTGACTGACGCTTTGAGCGAGGGATGGGAAGAGAAGCACCGAAAGAGTTTCTTGATCCGCGACGATCCCTCATACTGGGCGACAGTGACAGATTGTGCATGTAGGCGGAGGCATCGGAGATTGAGGAACGGGTTGCAGGGACTTCGATTGAGGTATGTCCCTGGCCGTTGGCATCAGCGGGAATGCTGAGCGTCTCCTGATAAGAGCCATTGGTAGTTCCATTGGCACTGCCGTTGGTCTTGACGGGAGCAACAGGCGTGTTCACGCCAAAGTCAGAGTCGTCGAAAGCAGGCATGATGGTAGTCTTGATAAGTTTGAGCAGTGGTGAAAAGAACGAAGGGGTATAATATGAAGTGCTGAAGGGTCTGTGAAGCTGAGAGAGTCGTGGAGGTGGGGATGTAGGTGAAGGATGAGAAGGCGTAGAGTGCGGAGGGACGGGGTATATATCTGATGTCAGTGAGCATCTGAGAAGTCTGGTCAAAGTCTTCGCTTGTTCTTTTCTTCGGCCGCAGCCCTACCCGTACCCTCCCGATAAGCTCCATAGCTCATGTGCTGAAACCTCTGCTGGGTTCCACCGTGGTACTCCACAGACAAAGCATCATGACGCACGTCGTCGCCTTGACCGGAACCACTGTTTGGTCCCAACGGTGCTCGGTTGCCGCATTCGAAAGACCCTTATCGCGGTGGGTTGGGCGCTAGACCAGCGAATCCATCTGGCGAGTTTCGTCACGGCCGAAAAGCGGGTAAAAATGGGTGCTGGTTCTGAACGTGGCAGATTCACTCGCCACACGGTTGAGATCCGATCCACAGCTGCCATGACCGCATGCAGCTGCTCTCCACCACCCCTCCACCTCACCGCTATGCGTACCGTATCTATCCCGTACGCATCCCGCGCCTACCCCGTATTCACATGAAGTCGGTCGCCAGGCGCGCCTGCAGCGCAGACGACGAGCTGTAGACAAAGCCTGCAGGCGCAGACGGCGCCCGCTGCATGTGCGTGCATCTCGGCGCCTCAAGCGAAGAGCCTCATCGTGAAGCGCTTTTGATTGGCTGCGAGCCTCGAAAAAGTGGGCATGGGAATGCCAGCGGGCAGGGTGCGCGATGCCTGCGCTCGACGTCGTTCGCCGAGTGTTCGGCCGCTCTTCCACGAGGCCCGCTTCGTAGCGACTCCGAAGAAGAGCCTGGCGGCGTGGAAATGTCCAATTCGAAAGGGTTTTCCTCGAGCGCGCGAATCGGCGGCTCGCCGGGCGCACCTGTGCTGGCTTGTGCTGGCCTGATAGCGACAAAGGGTCCACCGAGTCTCCGCCGCATGATGTAATGTCTGATCAGAAGAATGCGCCAGCATGAAACTGTTGGATGAAGATTTATGGAGATGGTGAGGGTTGGCGCAGCAGAAGATGGGTACTGGGACGAGGACTGTTCGGAGCCGGCCGTGGAAAGAGTGCGGTGAGCCCGGATGGTCGCATGGCGTAGAAGCATCGATAATTTTCTGTTGGAGCCATGGCTCAGGGTATATGTGCCTTCGCGTCGACCCCGCGCTGCTGCCTTAGACCTCATTATCACACCTGAATACCGTTAGCTTGAGCAGCATCTCAGCCTCATACAGCACCTCACCTTGTTTCAGATCACTGCACCATCACAATGGCACCCCTCGCAAACACAAAGACGTACAAGCTCAACAATGGCGTCACCATCCCCGCAGTCGGTTTCGGCACCTTTGCCAACGAAGGAGCCACGGGAGAAACGTACAAGGCCGTCACGCACGCCTTGAACACGGGCTACCGACACCTCGACTGCGCCTGGTTCTACCAGAACGAGGCGGAAGTGGGAGATGCAGTACGCGACTTTCTCGAGTCGAACCCCTCGGTCAAGCGCTCCGATCTCTTCATATGCACAAAGGTGTGGCCCCACCTTATGGAACCTGACCAGATCAAGTGGAGCTTCAACAACTCCTTGGAGAAGCTGAAGATGGACTACATCGACTTGTTCCTGCTGCACTGGCCATTTGCGGCAGAGGCCAACGAGAACCGCATGCCCAAGATTGGCGCTGACGGCAAATACATCATCAAGAAGGCATTGACTGAGAACTTGGAACCTTCGTGGCGGGCTGTCGAGGACATCAACCGCTCAGGCAAGGCCAAGGCAGTCGGTTGCTCAAACTGGACCATCGAGGGTCTCAAGAAGCTTCTTTCATACGCCCAAATCAAGCCTGCCGTCAACCAAATCGAATGCCACCCCTTCCTTCCCAACGACGACCTGGTGCAGTTCTGCTTCAACAACAATATACTGCCTGAGGCATACTCGCCTCTCGGAAGCCAGAACCAGGTACCCACTACCGGCGAGACTGTACGAGAGAACAAGACGTTGAACGAGGTCGCTAAGAGGAGCGGCCACGATCTTGCACAGGTGTTGCTTGCCTGGGGTCTGAGGAGGGGTTACGTCGTCCTTCCGAAGAGCTCTACTCCCAAGCGCATTGAGAGCAACTGGCTCATTCCCGAGCTGAGCGATGAGGACTTTGACGCCGTGCAGAGCGTCGCCAAAGGACGCCACACGCGCTTCGTCAACATGAAGGACACATTTGGCCACAACGTCTGGCCGGAGGAGGAGTAACGATCCAACGACGACTTCGTCGATGTACAGTACTGATGGTGGATACAGCACTTTGGCCGGTCGGAGCAGGCTCCTTATGCAAGGGAAGCTGTAAAAGTGTGCTTTAGCGTTTCTAGATTCTCTGTTGTCCTTTTCGTAGCGATACCAAGAGAGATATGAAGCATCCAATATATGAGATGGCGCAATTTCAGCTTGTCCATGGGCACGTGAACGAGCCGCCTTCAGCCCGTTGGCGGAGACGACATGTCTCCGCCAGACCACCACTACCCTGCAGAGAGGTACCGATGCACATTATGCGGTGTCACCTACAGTGTTCGACGGCCAGCGCCTACACTGCCGCGGCAGGAAGTTTGACGCTGTGTAACGCAGGCATGTTGGGACGGTTGCACTAGCGCGGGTCACCCTGGACCGGGTGAAAGCGAAGGACAACGGCTGTGTTCGACGGCTTTGCGAGTTGCCATTTTGAGAAGTTACCGCTCCGCAGTGTCTTTCGTTGTTACAGAGGGTCTGAGATGCACGTCCGCTTCACAACATTATTTCGGGCAAATGTTACCATCTCGTACAAAGTCTATCCATCATCTCCTTGTTTGGCGTCGGCCCGAATGCACGTGTTCCTTCAACCGAACTGTGACATCCCATGCGCCACCGTCAGGTCATCATGAATGGGGCTGTTCCTTCGGTCCCATACAGATCAATGCTATCCCTCTGGTGAGTACCAATTTGCGCTCTTTGATTCGCCCTCGATAGTTCGTTCAATGGTCTCACTCCTGCACGAGTTGCTTATGGCCACTGCAGTATGGCTCATACAATGAATTGGTAGAACAGAACGTTCATACAGACGCAGTAGTGGGGCGTATTTTTACTTAGGTGAGCTCTGTAGTCTGGGGGCAGGATAGTTGTAAGGGTGCTCAGTACGAACGAGATGATGGTTGTAAGGGTGCTCAGTACGAACGAGATGATGGTTGTAAGGGTGCTCAGTACGAACGAGATGATGGTTGCACGGGTGCTCAGTACGAACGAGATGATAGTTGCACGGGTGCTCAGTACGAACGAGTAGCGCAAAGGCAACCTGGAGATCTGGTGATGGCCCTCGCGAGACTGGCGGTGGCGCACTGTTGCCGGGAGACAACGACAGCGTGGGTGAGAGGGCCGGTCGGATGTCGGAACATACTGCAACCTCATGTCTCCCACGCCTGAGGTGTTGACGCCGGATCGAACGCGCAGCCGGAACGTGGGGTCGTCGAGAGCGTCGCATTGGCCTTGTCGCATCGCCCGCTCCGTGTGCTGGGAGCTCTTGGTTGCGTCCGACAAGACAGCAGAGCAGGCTTGGACATGGAGGAACGTGTTTTGCGGCGCTTGGCCAGGTGGAGGTGGTGTGAGGTGGTGAGCCAAAAGGACGGCCCGCGTACGAGAGGATGCCCCGCCGCCGGCGCTGCAGTCAAGTGGACCGGGGAGCTTTGTTTTTCGCGACTCCCACGTCATGGCAAGCGTTCCAGAGGTACCTTATCGCAGCAAAATCTTACTCCATTCCTATTACCTGGTTGTATGCGTGACTTTCTGCGCCTCTCTCCTCACGCGCTCGCCATCACCTGTACAAGATTCATCGCCATAAAGCCTTGCTCAGCTTCGCGTCCCTCGACAAGCCGCGAAAGACCGCTTAGAGCTCACCGCCAGCACTCCGTCTTCACCCTATTCGCTGCAGACAACCTCCTCAGTACGTACATAAACGACCATTGGCCCTGCAAAATTGCATATGGTGAAATACTCACAAGCCTACAGGCAACCAACAATCCCCCAGCTGATCGGGAACCGACTCTGGCAGCTGCACCCCGCAGCCCTTCCTCAATTCACCCTCCAGCCCTTTCTGCATCACACCGCAACACACAACATGGCACCCACAGACATCCCACCGCCTCTAGAGGGCAAGAAGAGGAGAATTGGCGTCATGACATCTGGAGGCGACGCCCCGGGAATGAATGGAAGTGTCCGAGCCGTCGTTCGCATGGCACTGCACAGCAACTGCGAAGCATACGCCATCTACGAGGGCTACGATGGCCTGGTCAAGGGAGGCGACATGATCAAGGAGATGAAGTGGGAAGATGTGAGGGGCTTTTTGTCCGAGGGCGGCACACTTATTGGCACAGTATGTTACCATGGCAAGCTGCACATCTGCGGGCACTGACGCTTTTCATAGGCGCGATGCATGGAGTTCATGCAACGGGACGGCCGAAGAACAGCGGCCAAGAACATGATCCTCAAGGGCATCGACGCCCTGGTAATCTGCGGTGGTGACGGCAGTCTTACGGGAGCAGACAGGTTCCGCGACGAATGGCCTAGCCTACTGGAAGAGCTGGTCAAAGAGAAGGAGCTCACCGCTGAGCAGGTCGCCCCGTTCAAGCACCTCAACATCGTCGGACTCGTCGGCTCCATCGACAACGACCTTAGCATGACGGACGCCACTATCGGCTGCTACAGCTCACTCGCCAGGATTTGTGAAGCGATTGATTCCGTGGACACAACAGCAACGAGTCACCAGCGCGCCTTCGTTGTGGAGACCATGGGAAGGCATTGCGGATGGCTCACGCTCATGGCTGGTGTGGCCACAGGGAGCGACTTCATATTCATTCCAGAGCAGCCTGCGAAGGAGGGCTGGGAAGGCAACATGCTCAACATAATCAGGAAGCACCGTCAAATGGGTAAGAGGAAGACTATCGTCATCGTGGCCGAGGGCGCTATCGACGAAAAATTGAACAAGATCACACCGCACCAGATCAAGGAGATCCTCTCCGAAGCTGGTCTGGATACCCGAGTCACCACTCTTGGACACGTGCAGCGCGGTGGGCAGCCTGCGGCATACGACAGAATGCTTTCAACGCTGCAGGGTGTCGAGGCAGTAAAGGCCGTTCTCGAGGCAACTCCTGAGACACCCTCACCTGTCATCTGCATGATCGAGAACAAGATCGTGCGCCGTCCGCTGCTCGAGGCAGTTGCCCAAACAAAGAAAGTTGCGGAAGCCATCGAAAAGAAGGACTTCAGGACGGCAATGGAACTGCGCGATGCTGAGTTTGCTGAGTACTTTAAGTCGTACAAGATCACAACAGCAACAGAGCAACCAGAGCTTCTGCTACCAAAAGAGAAGCGGATGCGTGTTGGCATAATTCACGTTGGAGCTCCTGCCGGCGGTATGAACGCGGCAACACGTGCTGCTGTTGCTTACTGTTTGGCACGCGGACACACACCCGTTGCCCTCCACAATGGATTCCCTGGGCTCATTCGACACCACTCAGATAAACCCCTCGGCGCAGTGCGAGACATTAGCTGGCTCGATGCTGAAAGCTGGGCCAACAAGGGTGGTTCCGAAATTGGTACGAACCGTGGCCTTCCATCCGAAGATCTCGAGACCGTGTCGTATGTGTTCAAGGAGTACAAGATTCAGGCTCTGTTCGTTGTAGGTGGTTTCGAAGCCTTCACTGCGGTCAGCGAACTGCGCAAGGGCAGGGAGCATTACAAGTCGTTCAAGATCCCCATGGTCATCCTCCCCGCTACCATCTCCAACAACGTCCCCGGAACAGAATACTCCATCGGCTCAGATACGTGCTTGAACGCACTTATCCAATACTGCGACGCCTGCCGCCAATCTGCGTCAGCCTCACGCCGCCGTGTCTTCGTCATTGAAACCCAGGGCGGTGAATCTGGTTACATCGCCACCATCGCGGGTCTCTCCATCGGCGCCTTCGCCGTCTACACCCCTGAAGACGGTATTTCGCTCAAGATGCTCGATCACGACATCGACTCCCTGCGCGAGACGTTCCTGAAAGACAAGGGACAGAATCGTGCAGGCAAAATCGTCCTCGTCAACGAAAAGGCGTCCAAGACCTACTCTGTGCAGATCATCGCCGACATGATTGCTGAGGCGGGTAAGGGCAAGTTCGAGAGCAGACATGGTGTCCCTGGACATTTCCAGCAGGGGACCACGCCGAGTCCGATGGACCGTGTCAGAGCGGTCAGGTTTGCGTTCAGGAGCCTGGAGCACATTGAGCAGTATGCTGGTATGGATCCGGATGATATCGACGATGACCCGATGAGCACGGCTGTCATTGGAATCAAGGGCGCAAAGGTTCTGTTTTCACCCATGGAGGCTATCGAGAAGAAGGTATGTTTCTTGTCCCGACTCAGTTTTTATGTTTGAACATGTGCTAATGAATCACAGGAGACTGACTGGCACCGACGAAGGCCTAAAAAGGAATTCTGGATGGATCTTAAGGAGTATGTGGACATCCTCAGTGGACGTCCATCACAGAACAAGGCGAAGCAGTAGAAATGCTCGTTTTGAACAATAGACGATGGCATGCACCTCTTTTCGGTGGATTTCTTGGACGAGACATTACGGATTGGACGAAGGTTTTCGATGAACTTGAACTTTTCAAAATACCTGGAGAAATGACACTTCTGTATCGATGAGGGAACGTCCGTGTATACTGGTTAGCGGCACTTCATAGAAAGCCCTGAACGAGTAAGACGTGCAAAATGAATTTCAATGCCACCATTATGTGACGAATCGAAGTGCAAGAAGAGGTATCATTCGCAGCAACAAACCGCTCAGCCAAACCCCAACCGAGTCATCCAGAACATCAACAGAGGCGTCTCCAGTGCAACGAACGCCGTCGTAACCATCATTACCCAATGTAACATTAGCAATCATCAAGTGTCGGAGGAGGGATCTGAGCAGTCTACGCCACGTCAGCATCGTCGACGTCGCGTAGCTGATCCTCTTCTTCACAGCTCCTCTCTACCTCGTCACTGACGAACTCCTCGTACTCCTCCAAAGACTTCTGGATGTGCAGCTTGAAGCGCACAATGTCGTCGAGCATGCGTTCGATTTCCGTGTGGAGCTCCTCGCGTAATGTATTGGCGCGAAGTTGGAGTTGCTCGTACCTCAATATTCTGTTAGCAAGGGTTCCTCCATGGAGTGAAAAGGGACTTACTCAATATTGACAGCCATTTCCTTCTGTACCATCAACTGCACGCTCTCGCCGAGCCCGCTCCGCATCCTTCCAAGCTCCTTCTCCATCTTCTCAATTTGCGCGTCAGACGCTATCTTCTGCGTATTCGTGATCTCGCGTAGCTTCTCGAGCTCCTCTTCTGCCTGCGCAACGCGGTGTCCCAGCGCCTCGACCTCGGCCTGCTTATCATCGATGGCTTCTTTGACCTTGTCTAGCATGTCGTGGTTGCTCATATCGGCTTCGAGCGCAGCATTTCGGCGTTCAGCAATCTCCTTACGAAGGCCAAGGATGTTGGACTTAACGGTGCCACGTAGGTCTAGGTTGAGTAGGTGGTGTGGTGAGTACCCCGTGCCACTGTCTGCGAGCAGACGATCCGAAGCTTCTCGCGCTGAGGAACCCATTTGACTACCCGAAAAGTTTGGCCCGTCGTTGATGGTGAGGACGAGCTCATATTCAAGGCCTTTGGCGTTCGCAGCTGTGGATGGTATGACACCAATCTGGTAGCCTATGTTGTTAAAGCGCTCAATTGTGTGTTCAAGCTCGTCTAGTTTACGAGAAGCAGCGAGTTCCTTCTCTACAACGCGCTTCTTGGATTCTTCGACGCGGGCGGAGGCAGTCTGAAGAGAAACATCGAGACGTTCTTTTTCGGAAGACATGCGATCGATGTCTGTGATGTTCATCCCGCGGCCGTCAATGACGGCTTGCAATTCCTGTCGCTCTTGCTCTGACGCCGCAAGTTCGGCTTCGATCTTGTCCATCTCTTGTTGGAGGAGGGTGCTCCGGTCAGTGTACTTCTGAACGCGTTGGCCGAGAGAGTTGTTGTAAGCTTCGAACTTCGTGCGATCGTCCTCAAGAGTCTTGATCTGGCCTGTCAACTCTTGGATACGAGGTCCAGCCTCGGACAGCTTGTCTATTTGATCCTGTAGCGTCTTGTGCTCTGCTTCCAACAGCTTGACCTCCTCTATATGCTGGGCATTGGCCTCGTCGAACTTGCGAGCCATGGACTGAATGTGCGGTTCGATGATCTTGCGCTGTGCCTCCTCTTCATCTTCGCCTTCATCGACATCATCCGCAGAAAGCCATGTGGCATAGGCGTCTGATAAGAAATCGAATATAATTCGGTCTCCTGAGACATCATGGCCAGCTGCGAAACATGCGTCGTCGTAGGAGCCTTGCTCGTACGCGTTGATCATCTTAGATAGCTGCATTATCCAGTGGAGCAGCCCCAGAAATGTCGGCCAGTTGTTACCGCCAACAGCTGCGAGTTGTGACTTCATGATCGATTTTTCGTATGGGTAGCGCAACTGCTTGAGAAGCACGGGAACCTCTTGGTCGATGGATTTTTGAAAGCGGTATGAGGGGTCAATGCGATGGTAGAGCCATTGGAACATGCTGACGAAGTCTTTCTGTGTCGGCGAAGACATGCACTTTGGAGACAGCACATGCTTGGACTCCATCTCGAAGTTGTTCTGTGTAAGATAGTCCAGCAACTCGTTGGCCAGCTGTTGCCGAGTGCTAGCATCCTTTAATCGTCGCGGATCATTTGGGACGCCAGCTGGTTGTGGTGCGGTCTGGAAGAACGACTGCTTAACGCCGCTCTGCCCGGGAATCTGGGAGTTTCGCGACTTAAAAACACTACTTCTTCGTTGCGACTCTTGTTGGAAGTTTGGGGCAGGTGCTGGTGTCGCCTGAAATAGGGAAGCGCGAGGCGCGAAGCTCTTTCTGGCTCCCGTGCTGCTCGCGCTGAACATGTTGCTTGTAGAATTACGATGAGCTGACTGGAGGCCCTGCTCAGCGAGATTTGTACCGGACGAGGAGCGCTGGAAAATAGGCTGGCTTGGGCGGCCCGGGGCGAGCGACATTCTGGAGCCGGACTGCGATCGAGCGTGGTTCGCTGTGAAAGGCACGGCGGCCTGCTGCATTCCGTGGACGGAACTCGATCGCTTCATGGCGGACGACGGCATGGGAATCGACGTCATGTTGTTGTTCACGGGCGCCAGAGTCTGCGCGCATTGTTAGGCAGAGTTCTGCATGTTGCGACAGGGTGGTCGCGAGGGGCTTTACCTGGCGGCGGACGGAGAAAAGGCCCGGTTCCTGGGCCATGGCAATGAGTGTCGCAATCGAGTTTTAGGTCAAAAAGCGCAAAGTCACTGGTATCCAAGCAGAGTATGCAATCGGATAGTGTTGCAGCTGTAAGAGTTGGTGGTGGTGGTGGTAGTGGTGTGTTGTCTAGGCAGGGTCTTGTTTGTTGTTGTGGCCGAATCCGTCTTAGAGCTGTCTGGCAACGAGCGCCGCCACCTGCACTTCCCTGATTGGACACGATATCTTCGCTATTGATGTTGATGCTCGGCCATGTTAGTCCTGGTGCCAGTGTGAGAAAATTGTAACAATCCCGTTAGAGAAGAACGGCAGAAGAAACACTTGGTTCAACAAAAGAAAAACTGGTTTTAGATTTAGCTGACTCTCGGAAGCGTCTCCTGCAGAGAAAGAAGGTAGATGGAATGCTGCAGCGTACTGCAAAAAGTGGGGGTAGAAATTATGCTCCAAGTCTTCTGTCCTTCCCCAGTCTCTCCTTTGCTCTCCAGGGTCTTCAGAAGACACGCCTGCCTCCGCTGTGTTTCCATCACATCACCCACCAACATCCTGCTTTTTCCTCCGACTGGGGGTATCGTGTGCAATGCAAGCAAAAAAAAAGGAATATCCACAGGTTGGACTAACGCCCAACCATGTCAAGCGTATCTACCAAAAGAATCGACAAGCGTCATTAAACTCGGTCCGTCAGAATCCATCATAAACGTGTACCCATCCTTTCATATTCCCCCCATTGGTCTTAGTTTATGCCCTTGAACATGTCGTCTGCTCCCAAATCTGAACTGACGCCAAAGGTTTTGAGCTCTGGTAACGCTGGGGGTGGCGGGCCCTTCTTCGCTGGTGGCGACTTGGTGCCGTTCGCTTGGTAGTTTGAGCTGCTCTCTTTACCTTCTGGTAGGGATCCGATGATGAAGGAGCTCTGCCTCTTGCTCTTGCCGAACCAACTACCGCTCTTCTTCCTTGACAGGCTTGGCTGGCTGCCAATTGTAGCCGGCGAGCCCGGTCTCTCCGCCTTCAGGCTGTCGTGTGACGAGAGCGGGCGCAGCCCTAGGAACTTGCGAACCGAAGAAGGGCGCCTGTTCGACGGGCTCGAAGGCGACATGGTGCTCGAGGCATCATTGGTCGCAGTCTGGTGGAGGTCCGGCTCTGTTGTCGATTCGGAGGACTCCTTGGTGGGCGGAGTCGCTTCGTGGTGAGGGAAGACGGCAGACTTCGGGGTGGGATGCGACGAAAGGGGGCCCTTTCCAGGCGTGGGTGGGCGCGGAGTATCCGGGGGGGTGTCGGCTGGTGCAGGAATCGAGGTGCCCTCGGTGAGCGAGAAGTCGATGGGCGTGAGGGTGAGGGGCTGGTATTTCTTCCCGGCCATGGTGGATGGTAGAGACGGTGACGATCAATTGGCGGGAGCTGAAGATTTGAGAAAGCGTGATGGCTTGCAGCGGGAGCGGGAGAGAACGTGGGACGGGACCTTGCACAGCTGTAGGGCCGAGAAGCTCTCAGGAGTGAGTCGTGCGCTGCGATGTCCGGACGAAGCAGGGCGCCAGATGATCTTCGACGGCGGAGACACAATTGCTGCACCTGGTGTGACGCGTGTTCGCGCAGCCAACGAGTGGTAGAAAAGAGCGTCGACGCCGCAAAGCAACGGTCCGAGTGCGCAAACGGTCTTGCTTCCTTTCCTCGCTGCGGACGAGGTGCGCCGCAACGCGTGCCCAGGCGCGGACCCTGGAGCATGGCAACCGGCTAGTTGAAGCTCTGCACCCAATCGGGGCCATGCAATGAAGAAAGCCACACACTTCCGCGGACGGCATCGGTCAACCTCGATGGACTTCTTTTATTGCACACGCACGCCGCAGATTGCATGGTAGGGTTCGCATTGCGCAATTACAGGAGAAGGATGCCTTTTTTTGCCTTTCCCCCCAACCTACAGTATTGGGTCAGAAGTCTGAGTACTATCGGCCTTCGCATTGCCTATACTGGGGCAACACCCGTCTCTAACTTTTGATGTAGCGCCGCAGGGGACGTCACCCATCGACCGTGAGGAACGGAGTCAAACGAAATAGTCCATGTCCATCCAGGCGCAGAGCATCAGTTCGAGATCATCCGCTCAAAGGTCCAGGCTACGGGATATCCGCGGTAATGGCTTGTCATAAAGGAAGTAATGCATCCTAGCGTTCAACCAGGTCAACATGCTTGTACCAATCTTGCGTTCCTAAGTGCTGGTCAGCTGTATGTTCTGGCGGCGCAAGTCTACTAAGAGCATACTTCAGATCTCCTAGGCATCACTGTGTATGCTAAACACATTCATCAAGGTTCAGTCCCGCTCGTATCTTTTTCTTCCGGTTCGGTACCGCTGTTCACAGTCCTGGAAGAAGTAACACTGGAGGACGCCATCGAGGTCTCCACAGTCGGCTCGTCCAGGTTGCTCGTTGCCCCAGAAACCGTAGCACCAGCAGTCTGCATCGAAACAGATTGTTTTATCGGGGAATCCGTCCGGGACCGGATACGTCTCCGGCCGGTTGGGCCACATTGGCTGGGGGGCACCGGTAACGGAGACATTGTTCGTGACGGTGGCGGCATCTCTTGTCGTTGTAGCCTTCAAAGTATGCTGTTGTGGCCACGGAGCAGCAGATGGACGCGAAGGCGGAGGCGGTCGCGGTTGCCATAGTGCAGGTGCAGGACCAGGTTTCCCATCCTGCCACGTTCTCTCCACAGAAGCCTCAGTACAAGTCTCGAACACGATGTCCACCCCAAGAGGACACGAGAAGCTTGGCTCGCCCTTGTAACCTCCCGGAATCAAGTACGTCTTCTTGTCACAATTACCCCCTAGCCTGCAGTATGCGTCCTCACAGTGGAAGCCAAACCCTCTGTCCCCTACGATGTACATGTTTACACCACCATGTGCGAACGGGCAGTAAGAAGGGTCCTGGGGACCAACACCCCTTCCACAGTTGATGATACTGGAATCGTAAAAGGTCTTTCCCTGGTTTCGATCCAGGGTATATTCCGCTTGTAGAATGCCCGCGGGCGCCCTAGTGTAGTAGGGTACGTCTCGGTACTTGAGGCTGATACCGCCATCCTTGTGCCATACCATGGTGTGGACGTGTTCGCCTCGGGCAGGCACAACTGTGAAGGCATCATCGCGCTCCGGTGTGAGAGGAGGGATGACCCAGAAGTAAAGATCGTAGTCGCAACGGTTCTTCCAGATGATAGTGTTCGCGGCGAATACGTGTTGAGCTGGAAGTAAAAAGAGGAGAACCCCGAGGAAGAACGAGAAGCGAGACATGGTGATAGTGATACGCCGAGCGATGTACTTAACGGCAACGTTGATGAAGGTAGGCTTAGTTGCAACTTTAGTTGCTCTGTGGGGCTGGTTATGTTTGCTCGTCTCAGAGGGCCATGCTGATGTGGGATTGTCGTGTCAGGCGGTGATAGCTGATAGATGAGAAGCGGGGGAAGGGAATCAGGGAATGCGAGAACAAAGGTGGGACGGGGAAGGAGCACTTCTCTCGGGGCATGACTGCCTACAGTATCTTTCTGGTTGCCAGATGGATCGGTTCTCGCCGTGCCACGGTAACGCTTATTAGATAGCCAGATGTCAGGAAATTGTCCCATGGATCTGCTCTCCCGCGACTGAAGTGTGGCAACATTCCAGGAACGGGCACCCCGAAACCTTGAGTTACAGGCTTGACATCACTGCGGTATTAGAAGTGATACATGCTGCTGAAGAAGATATCGAAGGACGAACCGGGTTTTTTTTATTGTAGATAAATGACATTAGCTTCACTGGAGCGATAATGGAAGCTCCCAAGTGTTGATCGATCATGAAAAGACACCTCCTGCGATGTCTGCAAGCCCTCATCCACCGTGGAACGCAATGGACGATCGATAATCTGCGCACCACAGCGTTGCGGCAGCTGGCTGAACGCGCAACACCAATTGTAAATTAACAGCTGTTGTACCGTCAGGATGAAGTGCTTAGGCTGACCCGCAAATATGGCTTGGTCAGCTAAGTCGGACAATGTCATTGTGTCTGCGGACGGAAACATGGCAACTGCCTTTCAACGATATGATGCAGTGGGCAGCTACAGACAAGCTTCTCCACAGGCCGGGAGGCACAACCCTCGTCTCTCAACAAGCCGGAGATCACAACCCTCATGTCTCTCAACAAACCCACTTGAACCCAACAACCATGACTGTAAGGTTGCAACATGTCCTTCGTGAACGAACCAAGTGCATTTGGACGATTGTCTGCTTGTGAGCAAGTCATGCTGCTCCGTTATCCTCTCACATTTCAAGCCATGAGCGTCACTGCAACGAGTACGAACAGATCGTCGAAATAAGCACCATACTCTTTTTCTGTGTTGTTTTTTTTTCGTCTGCCTGTGTGACATGAGTTTATATTACAAACCGGGCATCTGAAATGTACCGCATATTGTGCGGGGGGTATCGAGGAGAGCAATTTAGAAAGGAAGCAAAGTTGAAAGCCGTAATCATGACCCTCATTGAAGCAGTCCCCGTGTCAACGCCATCGCCCATGCAATAAAAGGATCAGAAATCAGTGGAAACGATCGAGAGCAATCTAAGCCGTGGAAACTTCTTCATCCCCTGTATCGCTTCAACCATACCAGCCCGTCAACCACCTAAGCGACAGGCACCCGGGACTTGTCTCCTCCCTTCTCAATCCAGGCTGGCTCCACGATGTCGTCCAGGCGCGCGTACATAAGCTTGTAGGCGGTGCGGATAGTGCCGTCAGAGACGTCCACAACCGCACCGATTTCTTTGGGACTCTTCGGGCTGCCCATCAAGTGCGACACAAGGAAGAGGACAGCACCTGTGATTGACAGGGGAGAGCGTCCAGCAGCCACACCTAGAGTATTGACTTTGACAGCGCAGTCCTTCGCTATCATCTCCAATTTTCCAATGTTGAGGCGTGAGCAGGCGCGGCCAATAAGCTCGGAGGCCGTCGTGGCTTTGGTGAGGTTGAAGTTGCCAGCGTTGATCACGGCACCACTGCCAGCTGCCTTGGGGCCATCTTGCTCCTTTTTCTTCTTGTTGATGTAGGCCTCAAGTACTTTGAACGTCCGACCAATCTCCTTCTTGGAGACCCGGGTGAGCTTGTAGATTTCACGGAACGAGCGGCCGTAGCCGTGCTGACGACATGCAATGAAGATGCAACCTGCTATGACGGCCTCCTGCGACTTGCCCTTGAACAGCTTCCCATCGTCTGTCATCTTATAAAGCAGCTTCGCCGACTCTGCGATCACCTTGTTCATGGAGTGCTGCTCGCAGAGCTGGCTGATCGAGGCATATGCGGCCGACAGGGACTTGTTGGTCTTGTCCGCGTTGGACTTATTCTGGGTGCGGGAAAGTTCACGATGACGATTGCTTGCATCGCCGAATGCGATCTCGGTATGCAGCTGAGACCCATGAAGCAGGGGGTTGGCCGCGTCTCCGATGCGCGACGGATCATCGTTGCCCTGGTCATCGTTGGAGAAAGTACGCCACTCGGAGCGGAAGTCCAGGTTCCTCTCTGATAACACCCGGCCGCAGTCGCCACACACCGTATCACCGCGGGAGAAGTTCTCGACAAGGTTCGGCGGGACCTCACGACAGTCGGGGCAGATGAGGAGGACATTCAGATCCTCGCGCCACTCCTCTTGCTTCGCAGCCGGCGCTGTCTCTTCCCACACCTCGCCAGGCGATAGCTGGCGACCGTTCGGGGCGAATGCAGGAGCGAGCGACATGTTCGTATGATAGTAGAGTCGGCCTTTGTATTGTCTATCTGAAGGAGCACAGAGTACCCAGTTTCGGCACGACCTTCCTGTACGAGCGAGCGGCTGCTGCAGACGTTCGGCGATTGGGGGGGAGGTGGCGGCAGCGTGGATGGTTTGTGACGGGAGGGAGTTGTAAGAGAGGGATTATGAGACAGGCGCGGTCGAGGCTGACTAAGAGGCACGTGAGCGGAGGTTGCGCTTGCCGTATCGGGACGAGCGGCTTTGTTCCCTGAGACTGCAGTTAAGCAAAACCTCATCTCACTGAAGCTATCACTTAACACCCCCCACATCCGCCATCATGCTTGCGCAATCCATCAGGGCTTCGGTGCGTGCGACTAGCTTTCCAATTGATTATCTCTACTGACCCAATGCAGCGCCAGACGGTCGCCCGCGTCGCCCGCCAGCAACCTGCCTTGATCGCTCGCCGCACCTTCATCGCCCCGACGGCCGTACGACAAGGTACCTCATCTTCAGCAGTATGCGAATGGACTGTACTAATGCAATTGGCGTTTCTTAGCCGATCTTGTCCAGGATCTGTATCTCCGCGAGCTTAAGAGCTACAAGGCTCCTCAAGTCAAGGCATCCGACGCCGAAGGCCACGTCCAGAAGTTCACCCTCCCCAAGGCCCCACCCTCTCCCGAAGAGAGCGACCTCGCAAGCGACTTGAAGGCGTACGAGACGCAGCAGGTGGAGCTCGAGGGCTCGACTTCGTCGGAATCTGGTGCGGCACCCGTTGAGGAGGACTGGTTCGAGGAGGAGGCAGAGGAGGCGCCTGCTGCTCATTAGAGTACTGTCAAGTAGGATACAAGGTGTACAAAATAATTGGGTGTGTCATTATCGGGCAACATAGCTGCATCCAGAAAGCGTCGACGTACCATTCCACGTCCTGATTCCGCCTCCCCGGGGCCCGCCTTCTATCACGTGATTTTGATCATCCACTCCCCAATGTTTCCACTTGACCCTCCATGCTCGAGGATTGTACTTGCTTCCATGAGGCCCACGTTTACGGTTCGCGCGCATACTGTGGTGAGCTCACATGGACTACTCGTTACATGGTAGTCCGCTCTGGAGGCGTGATGGTTTGCCACTGCAGCTAAGAATAGAAACAATTGTGAGCTCATGGATGCGGCCAATGAATGTCTGATCGGAGTATATGCAAGACTATGTACTGGTGGCAACAATGGTACTTGCGAAGTTCCAGCATGTTACACTGCAGGTAGTCATGCCCCGTCGATGTACTCGTCAAATGTTGGCCACCACCCACATCATGCGGCCATCTTGCGCCTGCTATCCGCTGCCCTGGGATGATGAGTAGTCACGGGCACTATTGTGTCGGTTGCAGCATCACTCCATGGCCCCATGAGGTTGTGCTACAAGAAGCGGCGAGACCCACGCCGAGCCCAAGTGGCCGCTGTTGTACGAGGAGGCTGAGGCTGTGATGCACTGACTGTTCTACCCACATGGTAGACGGAGGAGGGGCGTCTGGTGTAGCCCTCGCAGGCGGCGCTACAGAGCCAATGGGCACGGCAACGAAGTGTGGCGGGACTGCGGCCGACGCGCTGTGGAGTTGACAGGCCCGTTCTGCTCGCACGTCAGAAAGATTATACTGGCACCACTATTGCTGGGTCTCAAACACGTTCGAAATTAACTGGGTGAAAAGGCCGGCGCCGGGCGCACTCACCATCCAGGTTTAAGTCCGCTAAACGCGAAGAGCATATCGCACGACCCACGTTCTCTTTATTGGAAGCGGGCGATACTGATGTCACGCGCTGCGCTCTTGTGCGAATACAGACTGCAGGCAGCAGGCCGGAAAGCTGCGCATGATTGCATCTGGACACGCGATAACAGAAAAGCCCCGAACGGCATGCAGATTTGCGGCAGCCGGCAGGAGCGCAACCTGAATCTTGATCGCCGCGAGGCGAAGCCATCCGAGATCAAACCTGCTCGCCATCCTTGCTAGCTCGCGGCGCTGCCTTTGCATGGTCTAATTTACCGAAATCAGCATCAACGCTCCATCGCAAAGCCTCCGCAGCTTTTAGTGCTCGCAGTCGGTGTCTCAATCCACAGCTCCTGTCGGTCGCTACCTCACTGTCCACCACGCTCGTTGCCTCAGCTCGTCTCCTTCCTCTCGATCCGCTGCACCACCCGCCCATTTCCGCTCCGGAGCCTCAGTCTGCCTGGACGCCCCGCTGACGTCTCCGTCCCAGCCCTTCGTACCGCACAGAGGCTGCGAACGACCAAACTCAGCATCCTGAGCCCACCTGTGGCCCACCACCGAGATCAAGAGTCATTCGTTGCGAAACATGAGCCCTTAGAGAGCTCCCTGTCAACACCACGAGCAAGCTCGTGGGGAAGCGAGTCGAAGATTCTCCCAATCCACCCACCATGCACGCTGTTGCCTCAGTCCAGCGCGGCCACGATCTGCTCTCCAACGCACTCCGAGGCCGTAACCGGGCTGTTTCAGAAGCCCTCCCCCCTCCGGCCGAACGCCAGCCGGAGAAGCCGCAGCTGCCGAAAGCTGCCAGCTACACCTACTTCCCACGCGTGAAGGACCTGGATGACCCGCAGCTGTTGGAACTGAAGGGGACAATCTCGGAAGAAGAATTGAGGCCTGGCATCAGCCCAGATGAATCGTACACATCGTCGGATGGCTCGAGCCCTGACGAGGAGGGGCCGCAGGAGCGGATGCCCGAGATGCCGCAGCTGAGGCCCAGCAATTCGCGCCGGTCGTCGATATTCCTGCCTTTCTCAAGCAAGAGTCGTGAGCCCTCACGAGAGCGCAAAACCGAGCGCACCCGCAGCGACAGCCTGAAGCGATCGGAGAGTTCGAGTGGACTATCGCCAGTCCGATCACTAACGCGGTTGCGGCGGAAGAGCTTTGTCGGATCGAGGTCTTCATCTCCTACTAAGGAGTCTGGCAGTCCCAAGAAAGAGAGTGAGTCGCGCAAAAGTTCGTCGAGTGTTGAGGCCAATAAGCGGAAAGGGCTAGCAGTCAACGCCAGCATTCCTGAGGAGTCCAAATTAACCCGAGAGGCGAGCGATAGCCCTACGATGTACAAGAATCGTGTTCTCACCAAGAAGAACAAGCGGCTCAGCGGCTTCTTCACTGCCTCATCTACAGAATCCTTTCTACCGCCTGTTCCTCCGCTTCCGAAATCCTTCTCTACAGACAAGCTACCTTCCTATGTACGATCCCCAACCAGTCCGACCCACATTCCTCCTTTACCGCAGAGCATTGCTCCAGACAAGCTTAAAGGTCCCAAGACGGAGCCACGCAAGAAGGACGAGCTCTGGACGGTGTTCCGGACGCTCGAGGCGGACCTCCGCAAGTTCCAGCACAAATCCATTGCCTTCAAGGCCAATGTCGTGCGCACTGCGCTGCTGCCGTTCCTCCGCACCTACGCCACGCATACTTCGAACAACAAACTTCGCCCAGAAGATCTGGATCGACGCGCCAATATCTTGAATGGATGGTGGACAGCGCTTTTGGAGCTTCTCTCAGGGCGCAACAATCAGTCCATATCTGGGACCGATCGGCCTGCAATCTTGGAGGGCATCGCTGGCATAATGGAGAGATCAGAATGGAGACTGTCGCCGTCGCCATTCTGTGCCCTTGCCGACCGAATTGAAACAGCGTCTACCACTACTACAAAGTCCGCAGGATCCGCTTCATCTTCATCCTCTGACTTTCTCACTGAATCGGTCTATCACAATGTTCGCAACATCTTCACACAAAACCTACTTTCGCAAATGGCTTTTGTGATTGATAAGATGGCACTTCGAAACGCAGCTGCCAGCTTGGTGACCTTTTGCGGAAAGACGTGCGCATATGCCTTCTGCTTCTGTCCTGGAATCGCGGACATAATGGTGCGTCTGTGGACCCCTTCACATGAAACGATGAAGCGGGTTTTGGAAGAGTCAGGTATCACACGGCTTGACAGACTTGACGACATCTCGGAGCACATTATTTCCGCCTTCCCACCGACGCTCCATTCGTTGAAGTTCAAGACTTTGACCACTCTGGCTCGGTCCCTACGTCGTTCGTCAGCTATGCCTCTCGGTGTTGCCAATTTAGATTGGTACGGTGCTTGGGTAAAACGTTGGTCAGGCGCAGAGAGTGATTTGTTTTACGTCTTCGTCAAGCATTACCACATACTCATCTCTGAGTTCCTCCCAAATACATCGACAAGCATACAGCGCCTGTGCGCTCCGGGTATGATCATGGTTCATAGCCAGATCCTGGTGAACCTGGATGCAACAATCAACCGTCATACTACTCAGCACCAGCCCGAGGAAACGACGAACAACTCATCTCCCATCACCTTCGACGATGTCCTAGGTGATCCGGATGCTTCTGCCTCGACTGTGCCCATCCCTCCAGCGAACGCCACTCGACAAATGGCCGAGAATCGTCTTATCATGTTGCTGCGTGATTTCCTTTCTGAAAGAAATTCTCATATTGCTTCCGCTAGGCAGATCTTCGCGCAGAGTTTCAATTGCCTACTGAAAGCAGCCGCTCGAAAAGTCTCGGTCTATGACAACAACGCTTGCTATACACTCTGTGACTTTCTGGAAGAGGCTTTTGTAATTTTGGCTCGCTATGATCAGATGATGGATGAACGTCACTCTGTTCTGGATTGGCCATTCTGGATGTCGGTCTGCAAATTAATGGCGTCAAGTCATAACACGGCAACCGAGATCAAGCTCTTTTCTTTCTTGTATAGCACTTGGTCAGTGCTAGTCTTGGACGAACGTCGCAAGGAAAGCCTTTGCCTCGATTTCCTACTCGAACCTGATTTTTTTGAGAGCAGATTCAACCATTGGTGCCCAATGGTTCGTTCCTACTATATGCGAATATTGTGCTGGAGGGTCGCGCGCTTCGATGAGGGAGCGGGCACGACGGAGCTGTGCGTATTTCTGACAATGTTACATGTGCTCTGCTAATCATTCGAACAGAAATATCATGAAAGCTTTGAGCGACCGACTACGCGCAGTGTGGTCCCATTACCTGTGGCTTCGCGAGCAAGCAGAGAGCAGGCGAGCTCTTCCACCTTCAACCCAAGCTTGCAATCCCGCGCCTGGCCGACGCTTCCTCATCATACGTAATGATAATCCTATTGTAACCAACGCTCAACCATTCCTCTCTTTCGACGGTGTGGTGCAGTCGCCAGCAGCAAGGCGAGCTTCAGCTTCTTCGAAACCCGCACCTGATCGTCCTCTATCGTCCGCTTCCGTCGACTCTCAGGATTTCCCGGACGAAGCCGCTCCAAAAGGGCGATGGAACATCCTCCGTAGCTTCATAGGTGCTGCGCCGAAACAAACGGCGAAGTCAAAGGGCAGCGACGCACCTAAGAAGGAGAAAGAGAACACGAAATCGAATGGCACCGTGGAGCCTAACGGCGCGTCCGATGCTACGCCTGAGGTTACTGAAGCAACGAATACCACATCTTCGCCTCCACTACCCACCCATCGTAGCTACAGCTTCCGTTTCTCCTTGGAGTGGGTAGACAAACGATTCGGTACTTACCAGAATATGCGCCTCAGTCCACCGCGCCTGCCATTGCCTGCGCAGGTGCTCCTTCAGGAGAAAGGCATAAACATCAATGCGGTCTTGAGCTCTCAGCCTTCTGGCCCAGCGGCAACATCCAGTCGGTACGCTGGGCGTGCCCTGGCTGAATGGACATTTGTTTCGCATGAATGCCAGAATTTTTTCGATCGTCGGAAGAACGAAGGAGTTCCTTCGAACAAGCAAGTCGAAACACCCACACTCGCTGTAGAAGCGTTCAGACGCCCTGGATGAGCGATTCACTTTCCATCTCTTCATCTGCATTGCTCGATTGTTATTGCTGTTTAGCGCCTCTTTTCCTGCATCGGCATTTGTACAAGCATCGGCATGGTACATGCAACGTTGACATAACGTTTCTTTTTTTTTTTTTTTACAGCCGGACCGGAACCATATCCTGTTCCACGTGCTCTTCTCTTTTTCTTGCATACGGAGCTCATTCGCATATTGGGTCACTGAGCTCCCATGGCGTTCTTGCTTAGGTCCCGTGTGCGTGGCACGTACGCATAGTGCTTGAATATCTGTGTATGTGTCTTTCTTTGGTCGGGGAAGGGCATTCGAAAGCGTATATAATTTCTGAAAATGAAGGCGTCGGCGAAGTCAGAAGGGCAATTACTTTGGATCAGCGCCCAGGACCATAAAGGAGAACGTATAAACCATGGGGATTGATATCAATGAAATGGCCGGGCACGGCTGTTCTTCCAACTTGCATCGCAAGTCCTGTGTCTTCTTCTCGCCGAGTGTATGAGCGGTCACGCGCAATGCCAGCGGAGCGATGCATCATGTTACATTGCAGCACACTAACGAATGCCGCGTCTTCCACAAAGGAAATGTTTGCCCACAGTGCCTTTGAAGAACGACATCGAAGAGCATTGTGCCCGCCGTATCCTTGTGATGAGGTGAGGACTTTATTCTGACTGAGTCATCACACTCCCGTCACGTAGCCTGCTGCGGAATGCCGCTCGAGAGGGCGGACCAATCTCGGAAGCATATCAGCAATTACGGGTTTGTATGTCCTCGACGCCTTCCAAACCAAACCTTGGGCCAGGGCTTCCCTACTTTCGAACCCACCGCAACAATCACGTCTTTGCTACCCAATGGAAAAGCTTCTCCTGCTCGTGTCGGGGCTACGGAAGCATCGACGTTCTGTCGCAGGCTCCTTCGCATCTTTCGGCTTGGTGATTCGCCAAACACTTCTTGTGGGTATGCACCATGAGTCGCATTAGTCTTGGAATGAAGAGTGTCGTTATTCCCGCCGCTGGCAGGCGCATGCATACACACGGAACGGCTACGACGGTCGCATCTACCGGTCGTGGGCATTACACAAGCGCCGACACCGTGTCCAGGGGAAGGCTGAAATACAGGTCCAGGGGCCCGGCGCGATCGTGAGCGGAAAGAAAGACACGAAGGATGCAGCTGGCTTATCTCATCTTTCTTGTGCAGAGGCCATGATTCGGCCCGGGGTTTCAAAACGAGGTCAGATACGGTTATGCCACTCATGCGAGGCAGAACCTAGGCGGGGCTACTGTAAGCATGGGCCACACAACGTTCCCCTCGATCCCTCCGCCTGAAGTCGCCGAGCGCACCGTATTTGGACTCGTTGAGTTATTTAGCACTTCATGAGCCACACGATGCACCATTTACCCCAACCGTAGCGCTTGTGGCACCTGCTCTGTTGATAATGGACGAACACCAGCTACGTCAGCTCGAACGTCAGCACAAGTTACGTGTAAAGACTGGCTGCGAGACTTGCAGGTAGGGAACTCCTTATACCTTTCATGCAATGGAACAATGACCCGTCTTTAGAGCTCGTCGTGTCAAGTGCGATGAAACGAAGCCAGAGTGCCTGCGCTGCACAAAGACCGGTCGCAAGTGCGAGGGGTACAAACACGTTCAAACAGCACGGCATGATTCGCCTTCAGCTGCTGCTTCGTTCCGAAATTCGTCTTTTCTAGTCGTTCCCCAGAAGCCTACGTCTCCCAGTATACCCAAGCTTCCTACGCGAAGTCTTTCACCGGATGCCATGGAGAATCGTTCCTTTCTCTATTTTCAAACCAACACGCTCCCCAAATGGACTGAGTTCTTCGATTCTGATCTGTGGAGCCAAAAGATCATGCAACTGAGCCATGTTGAACCGGCTATAAAACATGGCATTCTCGCCTTGAGCACTATGCACGAACGTTTCGAAAGCACATCGCCAATTTTCACCAGTAAATCTAATGACTTCGCTTTCGTGCAGTACATGCAAGCGGTGAAGCACTCCAACGAGCTACTCAGGGCACACAGCCAAGGCAGGGTCGACGTTGAGAAAGTGCTGATAGCATGTATAATCTTTACCTGCTACGAGAATTTAGCAGGCAATTACAGGGCCGCCAACATGCATTTGCGGAATGGGCTACTTATACTCAACCAGCACAAGCGTGGCGTTGCTCCAGAAATACGAACTGCTTCGCAGGAGTCGATCGGTAATGTGCTATACCGCTTCGATCTGCAGGCCATGACCTTCTCCGATAATACTTCGCCTTACGACTATGGTTTCGATAATCCCCCTGATTGTCCGCAAATACCGGACATGTACACGAGAAATTCAGACGCAAGAAGTGATCTTGTAGGGTTAATGAGGTGCATGATGTGGGTATCTGGGATTGCCAACATCAATCTGAACGCAACAGACAACCCCATCTGGCTCCGTCTATACACACAGGTAGTCACCTTGTTTGATCCTTGGGAGCGAGCATTTGACCTGTACCAAAATAACCTACCTTCACACGAGCAGGGCGATCCGAAAGTCTACGCTGGCAATACACTATTGAAGATGTCTTTCATGATGACGCGCATAATCATGGCTGCAGGCACCGGTCTGAGGACAGAAATGGCTTGGGACATGTTCAAGGGCTCGTTTAAGACAATCGTGGATTTGGCAGAAACGTTACCTATCCTCGCAGCGAGTGTACCGCCACTTTCACCGGAAGCCTCAACACCTCCGTCACGAACCCAGACACCACAGCCGCCATCATCGAAACACCGAAACATTGCTCCAAACCCTGCCATACCATCCGTGCCATCACCTACAGGTCCTACAAACACGACCTTCTTTTCCTCACCCTCGCCAACCTCACTTCCCACGGGAAGCCCGTCCGAGTTCGCTCTACCTTCGACATCAAAGCAGAAACCTCCGTCATTCTCTCCGTCATTCGAGCTTTCGCCGATCGTACCCCTTTTTGTAACGGCTTGCCGTTGTCGCGATCCGGTTCTTCGCCGCCGCGCCGTGGCGATCTTGATGAACTGCCGGCGACGCGAAGGGGTTTGGGATTCGTTTGGAGCCGCCATGGTTGCGCTTAATTGCATCAAATTAGAGGAGGGCATGGACCCAGCTGTGGAGCCGGGGGCTGACAATTGGCTCCCGCTCACGAGCAAATGCAGAGACAGCAGTCAAATCGAGGAGAACAAGCGGGTGCAAGACGTCTTCGTCAACGTCAATATGGCTGACCGCCAGATTGGGGTCAACTATATGATGTGCAACGGCGTTCCAGTAGAAAAGTATGTCAAGTTCTGACGCATTTGATCTGTGGAAGCCGCACACATTCCATTGGATCCTTACAATCACAGACTTCTTGGAGTTGCATAGCGCACATGCATGAGGTCACCGTTTCCTTCTGAATGAGCGTTTTCACTCTGTACAGCATTTCAGCTTGTTGTATTGCTATATCAATGTACACTTCGTCCTGCATCAAGTCCAACCCCGATCCTGGTTGTTACATACCCTCTTAGTGCGTTCATAGACCTCAAGTATCCGATGATCCGTACCAAGGCTCACCTATCCTTACTAATCCTCACCAATCCTAACACAACGGAGACTACTTCCGCCGTTATATTAAGCTCGACCCGGGTCACACGTTACAAGCTTCTTACTGCATGGTAAGGCATTTGCGAGCCGTGAACGGCCTTGCATGCGAGGCGACCCACCCAAAGCCTCACATACAGGGAAGTGAATCCTGCAATTTACGCCCGACTTAACGGGCAGAAGGTGGATCTGCCTAGCCACAACTGTACCGTAGTGTGTTATAAGTAGGGGCCAAAACGTCGCTTGAGTCCTGAGCCTACAATAGTAGACACCGTGCCTGCGATAGAGATACTACGCGGGGAATGGCGTCGGTAGGTACCGCTGAGGATTAAGTAAGAGGATCGTGATCTGTCAGCCGTGTGTTGTAGTTTCGCGAGAGTGACATGGTATATCAAGAGACTGTCGGTGAAAGCCATGTATTTATATGCACATTACAGGTGTATGGCTTACCTATTGAAAAGTTCAATGTAAGACCATGACGAACCCTGGGTTACTAGCGTTATATGCGTATGTGGATTCTGCGGAATAGAACTTCAAGTGTGAATAGTCCGAAGTAGACTAGATGTGCTTCTTGTGATGCACTTGTTGTGTAGTTAGCGGTCCTAGAATTGAGTGAGCCCGCGGAAAGATAGCCCAATGTAGCTGCGGCTGGTAGCCGCCATGCTAATCTGACACCACTACTTCGTCGAACAATGTTTGTCTACTTCTATGGCTATAAACGTCCACCTACTCATCAACATGATTTCTGGAAAATATAGCAATTTTCTTGGCCCACAGCACCTGCCTCTTATACAACGTCATCTCAGGCACATTTCCCTTTCCTAATTCATCTATGGCCGAAGCCAGCTCGCGTCCGCTGCCTTCAATTTCTAGTTGCGAAATGGGATACGTGTGACAAACGCGATTGCGCATTCGTTCCTGGCACCCTATGCAACGTCTGTCTTTCACATCACAATACCGTTTGAATCAGATCCACCTCGTCTTGAGCGGCCTTGGTCAGCTCATCCTCAGAATGAAGATGATTCCGACTTGGGTCGTGCAAATTAGGGAGCGTCGTGGTACTCCATTTGTGGCGCTTGACAATGCGACCCACAGTTAACTTTGCGAAGAAATGATCTATCGACTTTCGAAGTTTGCCCGCGTAGCTTGGGAGCGGTATGTGGATGTCAGCGAGAGAGAGGCCGAGCTTAGAACGCGTGTTAAAGCTGTATGGGGAGACAACTTACGAAGATTTTAGTATATATACTTCTGCTGTGTACCTAGGATCACCGATGTGAAGGGGAAGGGGAAGGAGGAAGAGGAAGTTGGTGCCAACATGAGGACTGTGGAGAAACAGAGCTCGTCCTGTGTCTGTGACGTCGCGCGGGAGCGTGAGGCCTGTAATATTGTCAAACAGATCGTTAGACATGAGGTTGTATATGGTAGGGAAGCGGTGTGGGAGGTACGTGGAGATTATCCAGGTATAGATTTTTGTACAGCAGGTCCAATGGTCGGATGTGCGCTAGCACGTCGCAGTTCTCAAATTGTCGTGTATCTGACTGGAGGGGAGCGAAATGCGCGACTCGTAAGTGCTATCTATGGGTATCAATTTGGACATTGTGGTGTTTTTTCCTGCTGAATGCTGATTAGTGGGTTCCAGTAATTGAGAAATGCATGCATGCACACCCACAGTAAGCTGATGTGTTGGCTCGAGGGTTCGCAACTGGATCGGCTGCTCCTTTGCAAGATGGAGGATGTGAAGGGGCTCGAAGGTATCGTATGTATCTGCAGAGTACTCTGGCTGTAGCTTTGTGGGAGATGTGAGACGTGAGGGGTCGCGGCGTAGGCTGCGGAACACGTCAGTTTTGTGGCAACTGGACAAAGGAATGGGTGTTGATTTATCAAGGTATCTGTTGAAGTTCTTCTCAATGGTTGAATGGCAAAGACTAAAACGTCGAGGAGCAAAACAGCCTACAAGAAAGGCCTCTACGATCATCTCTAGCTGTATCATGGTGACTGTTAATAAGGGAGTAGCGCCTGTGTGTGATATACGAAACGTTTGAGGAGCTGTGCAGCGTTATAGTAACAACCTAGGGTGTGTGGAGCGAGTCACCGATATCGCTTTTAGGGCGTGTATAGCACAAGCTCACAAGAGTACGTGTTTTCGATAGAGCATATCAGACAGCGAATGCTTCCCCGCTTTGGTGAAGCGCCGCTCAGTGGTAGGGATGACACACTGGTGCATATGCGGTACGCTCTTAGAAGAGTAAAATTTTGGGGAACCACAGCTCATCAATAAGGCTGCATGTGATCGTATGGACGTGTAACATGATACTTGTGATGGAAGATTGCGATGATTACGAGCTCTATCGCTGTGGTGAAAAGATTGAAGAAGTCATCCGCACTCTGACCCCCTCCACTTTGTTCCAGGTGCTGTACAATGGACTCGCTGGTACCATGATCATCCCATGCGGGTCCGAAGTTTGTCTTGACTTTGTCTCAGTACGGCAAACCGTGGTTCCTCTTATTCCTTTGCCGTTCCGATACCTGGGTCGCGCCAAGAAAATCAAGGAGCGTGCAAAGCTTCGCCTGATGGGCTATTCTAGGATTCATTGTATCTTGCGTCATCGTGCGGAAGGAGCGAAGGTCAGTAGGTAGATTGTAGGCTCGTAGAACTCTGTCCACAGAAGATGCTGCTCGTGAGTCAGCATTCGTTGTGCGAGCCCACATGGGTACGCCTACGGTCCATAGCTCTCACTTCATCGACGGTTTTAGGGACTCTGAACTCTTGAGGGAACTTCGCATCGTGACACATTTTGGGCTGCAGCTGGCAATATCGCGCGCCAGGTCGGATCTGGCTATTAACGAACTGTACCATAAGATTGGTTCTGGGAATGTGTTCAGTTCACTTAGTAAACTCGTCACGCCCAGTTCTCACCTTCTTACCATCTCGTCGATGTACTGTTCGTGGCCGCTCATCATCGCTTCAGGTTCGAACCCGGGAGGAAATGAGTCTCTCTGATATCGAGAACCCAATGCCCCAATGCCCATAGGGGAGCCGAATGCAGAGAGGTAATCATCCATTCCTAGCCTCGCATCGAAGGGTGCACTTGCGACGCGTGGAACACGCGGGTCCATGTCGACAAATGGTGATCCAGGCATCGTCCGATGCAGTTGCTCGACCATTGGTATGGGTATTGCAGGCCGAGGCAAGCTGGACATATGTGGAGGGCAGGGACGATAGGGTAGCCTGGAGCTTTCAGGATAGTTGAAAGGCATGTGCGCAGAGGTTGGACAATGACAAGTAGTAGTTGATTGCCTGGGGGGAAGCGAGACTATGGCCGATACTGGTGGTGTCAGGGTTGCAGAGACTGCAAAGTTGATGACAGAAAAGGAAAGAAGTGCAGGATCTCAGAAATACGCTGGCATTCGGTCCGCACATATGTAATGGCACTGATTGGTAACGTTCGTGGCCCTCAGCCATTGCTCTCGCCCGCGCTACCTCAGCGTTACCTATTCAGTCAGATGAGTGGCTGGTATAGTTAGGTCAAAGCGCAGAACAGTGACATCTTCATGAACTGTTGCACCTGTTAAGCGGCGTACGACGATGTAAGCAAACAATTGAAGAAAGGCGACAAAAGCTCAGACCAGGCGCGAGATCATTGCCATACCTCATGGGTGTCCCTTAATCAGACATTGGATTTTCATGATCCCGGTAACACTCCCACGCTGTAGCCACACATGTTGATCGATGTCTTGCCAGAATTGAATGATACTCGAATGAGCACATTGATATGTGTGAGAGGCGCGGCTATCCTTTCTAGGGCCATGTCGAAGCAGTCGTAGATAGATGACAGACCATTCCGGCGCGAACGACTGACGGGAAGTGTCGGACAGCGCTTCGGCAGCGGGACGTCAGTTCCGTATGGCGTGACAGAATCAAGGCGTATGATCTAGTATTGGATTTGGGGTGTGGGTGCACATGCACCCGGTGACTCGAGCGATGAATGCTTCTGCAAGCAGTCTGGCAACAGCGGTACCATTGAGACCATCCCAACGAAGATGGTAAGGTATGAGCTCTGCCAATACATGTAGGTTGCACCATGAGGCATCTGATACAGCGTAACGTGTCCGACAACAAACAGTCTGGGACATGCGCCTGCGCAAACAAATAGTAGTCATTGGAAAGTGCCAATGGCTCTCTGCTACCGTTCCTGTCGGCTTCGCCATTCAAGTAGGTCCGAAGGTTTCAGCAGCTATAACATGCAGCGGCGACTCGCAGGACCCCACTAATGCACACTTGACGCAGCCTTTGAAGCATCAGTGTACGTCTCCTCTTGTATGTTTCGCCATCGTGTATCGGTAGGAGTCGACTTGAAAGCACTACTGCTGGGACGCTCAGGCTCGCGACGTCGAGCGAGACTGAACTTCCGGCGATGACCGCTAGGTCGCTCGGTAAGGCTTGGGGCTCGAGGACGGGCCTTGCCGCGTGCGCGACCGCCAACGAATGGAACCTCATACGTGACGGAGCGAGCAATGTACAAGAGGAGATCGTAGGCAAGCAGAAATGCCCATGGTCCGATCATGGCGACACCCAAAAGGACCTGTCACCAGGTTAGAAGACTTTGGCGGTGCGGGACATGGAAGGCTCACAAATATCCGCTTCAGCCATGTCTCCACCGCCGCATACTCATCGGGGAGTAAGGAGAGCAGGCCCATGGCAGGCACCCCGCAACAAGTTGGACTCGGCGAGCGAACAAAGGCAACGGTGAAGGGGGGAGGCAGAACAGTCGGGGAGTGACAAGGTCGAGCTCCCGTTGTCGAGGTGAGCACATGGTTATCGATGATCCCTGCCGGCCATTGGTGCCACAGGGTGGCTGGTGCACCAAGACCACTACTCGTACCAAGACCGTCTGTCCATGTTGCAGTCGACTGTGGTATGGCAGGGCTCCAGGGCTCCAGGGCAGGGTTCCGTCGACTCCCCGTGACTGTGCGCAGACGGGTGGACCATGGAGTTCCTGTGGCATGTGGCTGGGGCTCGAGGCCGAGGGATGGGAGCTCAGCGGTTCTGCGTCATCCCACCACGAACAGCCCCAATCACTGCCCAGGCCTCACGAAGCTGGCCTGGCAGAAGAGGCTTGACACTGTAGACCAATCGATGCGTGTATCTCAGTGGCACCGAGAGCAGCAGCGCCCTCCGCCTTCCCCGCAAGCAGCATTCACCGTGCAGTGTCCCGCTGTCCAGCCCAACTGTTTTCGAGCAATTGACCTGAGCATCTCGACTTCACCGGTAGACGAGTCGTTAGCTTCTTCGCCTTCACTCAGCTGTATGAGTGCGAGTGGGAGCCTGGCAAAGGAAGAACCGGCGAATCAGCTCCACCGCGAGGCCGCCTCGAACATCCCGGGCTGAGCCTGATCCTACTTTCTGTCCCTCCGCACCTCGACGTTGCTGTATATCACTCTTCCTTGAATTCCTCTTGTCGTCTACCCTCAGTCGCGCCATGGACGACCTCAGCTTTCTGAGCCAAGCTGCTGCTGCCGACGCCTCAGCGACCTCGACTCTCATGGTGCTGTTGCCTGATGGCTCCGTTACCCAAATCCACAACATCAACAGGTTCACACTTCTCGACAAATGTCCGTTTTTGTTCCACGCCTTCGAGTTCCGCGAGTTCGGCGACGTCGAGCAGGCTAGCATAGAGGTACGCATGTATATACAATGCAGATATTCTTGTCCGACTCATCGCCGTACAAGGCTACGTCACGCTCCGCTATCGTATCGCTACTTAGGTTCCTGTATACTGGGACCTACCTTCTCGACCCGGATGGGTGCTTGGGCTCCCTTCTCCCGCACGTCGAAGCCTTCAAGCTCGCAGAGGATTTCGACGTCCCCGAGTTCCAAGTTCAAGCTTATGTTAACTTCACACGAGAGACCGAGTTTTCCTGTTGCAACGCTACTCCCCCCTCTGACCTATGTGACACGATCAAGTTCATCTACCAGCACTTTGCTGGTCAGGAGTCGCAGGAACATCAGTCTCTCCTAGACACAATACTCAATTACTGTGTCTCTGTCTTCACCTACCAAGTCCTTGGTGATCGACAAGATTTTCGCCAAACCGCCTTTGAGAACCCTACCTTTCATCGAGGCCTCTGCAGGATCAGCATGAGTAGGAATTTCGAGGACGAAGGAGCGAACGACATCGTGCAACTACCCGTGTGCCGCCCGACGCCCCACTCGCAGTCCGCCCTGCTCAAGCGCGCCATCGGCGATTTCCAGTACGAGATATGGCAGGAAGGCGAGGAGCCTACGTTGGAAGCCAACGAGATCGAGAACAGCAGTCCCACGAAGAAGCGGAAACCGTCACATGGCGGCTTCATGCTTGTCCACAGACCCAAGACAACTGGTGGAGGAGCAACTTTATCCGAAAGCGAGAGCGAGTCTGAGAGCTCGGCCGACGAATACGGTTTCTCGCTTGTTCACCGTCCCAAGCTTGAGGGGAAATCCAACCCAGCCTCAACCGCTTCCCCGACACTCAGCGACACTTGTACAGACCTATTCGTAGACGCACCTCTGCCGACTGTGACCGAACCAGAGCCTGGGCAGGAGTCCAACCAGCATCCCAAGCAAGAGACTGCTGGTTTGACCTCCGATGACGAATGGGATCTTGTCTAGTACTGCGTTCTGTACTAAAGCTCGGGCAGTCTGGTTCCATGCGATTGCCCTACTGGCCGAACATACCATTACGTAGCAATCTTGAGTGTACTTGTCTACACAGCGCTTATGTTGCGTTACCCTGCGACGCCTGGTTTCCCGACTCTGGCATGCAATTTTGCGTACAGACTACAACGTCAAGGCTACGTTTGCACTTTTGAGCTTGCTTTTCTTTTTGTCCGAGTCACCTGCGTACATGGGTCGTAGAGAAACAGAATTGTTTTGGCATATGGTTCGGCGTTGATGGCGTTTCACTTTGGGACCGGCGGAGGTTTATATTATTCACAAGCAAATACTGCTTGGTGCAGTGAACTGATGATTTTTTTCAGTGCACTGCCAGTTGATTGCATCAATATCATCAGAAACGAAACCTTACCAATCACCTGCCTAGTACGTGCGCACGACATTTACTCATGTTACTTAAAGTAGAAGATATGACATCAGCGCCGGGGCCGTGGTAATTACCAGCAAGTCGGAGAACAATCAGTCAGGTCATTGATCATTTGATCCATGCACAATAACATCTAGCTGATTTGCTAGTTGAAGTGCAATACTATCCTCTATTGAACTCTCTACTGCTCGTTAATTGTATGCTAAGACCTCTCAATCAGCCAAGGCCGGGTCTAGCCTAACGGCAGGCAGGTGCATCTAAGGTTCATGTTCGAAGCCATCCACGGCCGCATTTTTCTAGGTTCAACCTGGCCGGATTCAACTCATCTCGCATTCCACATGTTTGGATCATCGCCTTGTCTTACCATCTCGCGTCATCCCCTCTTCTTACCCGTTATATCCCTCTTCGCTCAATATGCCGCTTGATAATGACAACGCGCACGATGGAGTTGCACCGGTACAACCAACAAGAGGCGGATGGTAGCTCGCCTCAATTCTCGTTTTGGCGGCTACATTGTCCTACAAATTCAAAACCCCAATCTGTGACCCTGTGCAATTTTATGGACCTTATGCCTGGTTACCTCCACCTACCATATCAATAACATCGGCCTGTCAGAAGGTAAGTGCGACCGTGCCTCATACTGGAAACCATCTACGTTCGCTGCTTTCCAATATAGCACAACAACACTTGTCGTCTTAGTATGCTTCCTAGCATTTCTGAACTTCACCTCACAATCCACCTCACAATCCACCTCACAATCCACCTCACAATCCACCTCACAATCCACCTCACATCGTCCCCTCCCTGTTATCTGCTCTATCTCTTACTGCTCACCATGCCGCTTAATCTTGACATCAACATCCGCCCCCGAAGCATGGAGCCCGCATCGAACAGCAAACCTCAGGCTCGCCATCACAAACGCCACGTCCTCAAAAACGGCATTTCGAGGCCGATCAACAATGAGCGTGCCACGAGTTCACGTCTGTATAGGCTTCAGCGATCTCGCTGGCCAATCGTAGCAGTACCTGGCCGTCTACAAGACCCGCCGCCTCCACCATACTCAATTCTCGCTCCTGCAGATCGATTCACTATCGCACATCCCTCGCCCCCTGACCTCTATAACAACCCACCTCCAGATCGTGCTAGACCCCGGGACCGTCTATACTCCCAACGGCCCCAGCCATGTGTACCACGGAGGTCGTCGTCGGCTGCAACCGTTCGGCCCGCTGATACAGGTAATGTCACCTCACCTCAGAATTTGACATGATCATCAAGTCGACAGGATGTCCAATAACAGAAGCATGTCCGCTTGGAGCAGTTAGTCTGTTGCTCTTGCTCTATTCCCTTGATACATTCGTATGTTAATGCCTGAAAATGCAGATGCTGAACAACGCGAACACGATCCTTACCCTAAACCTCCCACAAGACGATTGTCAAAACGAACAGCACGTGTAGGAGGCTTAAAGATCAGCGTCACCAAGTACGCCATCTGATATTCCTTCCGTGTTCTCAAATTGGGAAAGCTGCGCGGCGACAGTCATGGACAACGTTTAATGATCCTTTGGAAGACCTCGCTGGCTCAAACTGCGAAGACCAAATTCTTGGATTCTAAGATTGCTCTTATCAGCTCTACAACGTACCAGACTACCGCAAGCTGCGATGCTGGACGAAGATATAGCTCAGGCTTTTCTCTCCGCGGATCAGCGTTCAATGGAACTACTAGACTAATGGGGTCGCCGTCATTCATGGGCAGGAACTAGAGCTCGACGGAATCTATCAGGCCAACGAAAGTATTCACTGACGCCAGCGCGTCTTATCATCGGCCACTAGGAAGACTGAGTGAGAGGCTTGGTGGATCAGCTCGATGGTGTAGTGGTCTATGTCGCATAATGTACGCTCTCAATCAAGATGTTACTCCAGCCAGACAAAAATTGCACAAATGCTCGCTGTATCTGTACATCCTATCTTACCGCTTGAGAATCCCATTCAGTGAACTCCAGATCCAGGGATATGCTTTCCTTCTTTGATCTATCCATCCAAAACGCCAGCAATGCAAGACCTCAGATCGTCCCCTCCCCACCTTTTACGCTCTCGCCTTCTGCATATCCCTCTTAATCTTCGCCCCCACCACCTCAATACTATCAATGAAAAACATGCGCTGCTTATCATTCTGCCAGACCAACACCCCATTGTCCTTGGCGTACTGCACATAATCCCTATAACTACCCTCATTTGCAAAGTCTCTCATCAAGAAGCCCTGACTCGTCTCCATCCTTTCCCTCTCATACTCCCACAGGCGAATCTGATCCATAACTGTTGGCGGCAGGAAGGGCTTCGTCTTCTGCATCTGCGGGTGTGCGTGCGTCTCAAGATATTCTATAACTTGGGCGGAGGTTATACCATAGGAGATGGCGCGGCCTATGGATCTGCGGGTGATCTTTCCGGAAACGAGGTTGGGGAAGCGCGTGCGCATATGGGTGAAGAGGGAGAGGATGGCGATTTGAAGGAGACTGTTGGTATACGCGTAGATGCGGTAGTTCGTCTCGACGATGATGAAGCCCTTAGCTGTGGAGCCGCCTCCCGTTGCGGAACCTGAGCCTTGCGAGAGGGCGCCGGCGTCAGAGGTAAGGGTGACGGCGAGGCGAGTGGGATAGAATGTGGAGGCTGCTTTGTGCGAACGGTAGATGATGCCAAATTCCGCGAGGTCTTCGAGCATTTGAAGTTGCGTGGCGGAGAGAGTCGCGGTAGAGTAGTCTTGTCCGAGCTCGAGGGAGCCGAGCATGAAGAGGAAGTTAAGGATGTCGGTTTCGGACATGCGTTGCTGTGGGAAAGTAAAGTGCCATGTCAGCCATCAAGTTATCAAGGAACTGTGCAGAGAGATTTGCGAGCGGGGAGACAAACCTGTGGCGCATTCCTTAGGTAGGCAACGAGCAAGCTCCAAACCTGCGCATTCGTGTCTCTAAGCACAAACGTGAAACCGTCCTGTGTAATACGATTATGGTTATAGAACCCCGCCAGGTGTAGCAAACTCTTTGTTCCTGAACCTACATCCTGCCCTCCAGGGTTCCTGAACCCCACCGTGCCTCCGACCAGGTAGAAAAGAATGTTCTCCCACTGCCGCTGCGAGTAGCTGTCTAAAAAGTCTATGCTAACCCTTCTCTCCTCAGACTTATGCGACGGCACGCCAAAAGACCTGTGTGATCCGCTACCTTCTAGCGCCTGTCGTAGCGAAGAAGCGAAGCTCTTGTATAGCTCGTATCGGGTCTGACGCGCGTCGTCCTGCTTCATGACTATGATGTGCAGTTTCTCGAGGATTTGCATGGCACCTCTCTTTGTCTGCATGGAATCGGCGCGGAACCATGCGTCCAATTCAGCGACGGGAAATGGCGTGGGCATGTAGAGCAGGGCCATGACGATCGATTTCGCTGTGTCTGAATCAGTACTTGTGGTCCAATGCGCTGAGCCGAGGGGAGTAGAAAGTACCCAGATGCGGCAGCATGCATCGAAATATTGCCAGCACGGTTGAGGGCTGCTCATAGAGCTTTCTGTGTGTCTGCACAGGCAGCTGCTCGAGGTAATCGAGCGCCTGAAAGGACGAAGCCGACATCGTGGTTGATGTGGGATGGCGTGGTATTCGCTACCGTGGTATCATGGTCTTATGCCGGTGTTCTGTACGGACCACTTGGTGTCGCGTGGGTAGTAGCTGCAGGTGAAAGGATGCAGTAGGCTCGCGAGATGGTTCATTGACGTCGCGCAAGCGTGCCAAGTGATTCCGCTCCGCCCCGTGTCCGATGCGGCCGGCGGTATCGCGATCTGCCGAGCGGAACTCAACGTCACTCCTACACGGCAAGAGAACCAAGCATTGGAAAGATGCCTGCGTTGAAGTTTGTGCGATCTGTAAGATTTATGATCTCTACAATGCTCACTACACAACCAATCTGATCAATTGAGTAGGTGTGGGAGTCCTTCCGTGTATCATCCGGTCTGGAACCGAGGTAATTGAGTATGATCAAGGGAAAGGCATATCTGGTATACTGAATCGCTGGCAGATTACTAGATGGCGTACGTTCTTGGAAACGGATGCCATGGCAGAACATTCAAGTCTGATCTGTCTCCTAGCTAAAAGTGACCTCCGCTGTTCCGGGCCGCGTCAGATTTGAAGTCCTGATCGAGAAGCACCACACTGTTCGTTCAAATATTTGCTTCCCTTCTTCCTCAATACTGTCTTCTCATAAATTCCAGAATCGCTTGAATATCCTTCATGGCGGCACAATTGCCAGTATGGTCGACCTCGGCGGTTCCCTAGCCGTAGCCTCTCGTGGACTTTTCGCAACCGGCGTTTCCACCGATTTGAACGTTACCTACCTGTCCTCTGGAGGTAAGATAGGCGATCTCATCAGGGCAGAAGTATCATGCGACAAGTGTGAGTCGTTCTCTTACCTCTTCCCGACTTGGCCATTGGTCAAGCTCCTTTTAATAGATTCATTAACATTATCTAGTTGGCAAAACCATGGCGTTCACATGCATCCAGTTCAAGAATGCGAAGGATGAGGTTTTTGCGCGGGGGAGCCACACAAAATTCGTTGCACAAGCGTGGAAAGATCCGAACAATGTCACTGAAGAGCTGTCGCCGAAGGTAGAAAAGAAAGAGTAGACTATGAACAGCGAGAATATCAAGTCCAAAGGGAACGCATACGAAGATGGGAGTTTCATCGATATGTGGATTACTATGTTCTGTTTGTGCAGGGAACAGGTGCCGCGACAGTTGCGGTTTTCTTCCATGTTCGGCCGCAACCGTACCATGCAGAACATGTGTGACGTTGCTGGCTACCGCATCAAATACTATCATGGTCTCCACATGTTACAAAGACACCGCATCAGGGCATTGCACGGCTTCGTACGTCGTTTTTCCATCCTGTCGTACTTTTCATCACATCTCTCAATCTTATATCGCAGAGGCTCCCGTTCCATTGTCGCTGGCGTGCTCATCCTAAATGGCTCTCTTTGGATGACTCAAAGACCTTGGTGACCGTGGAGTCACAGTCGATCGATCCGCACGTTGACCTCACCTCGTCCGTATTCCATCCCTTTCCTTTCAACAGGTTGACAAAGCTACTCTTCCGCGGCGTCATCTTTCGTATAGCGCGACCCAACGATCCTTGTTTTCCATCGTCTGGTTTAGGGTTCAGCGGGGGCAAGTCACAAGAGGTGCCCAGTAAATTGTGGTCATGACGGTACTTGTGTTCGAATTCCTGATATTACGGTCAATACAAGTCAGAGCTGCAGAAGAAAAGGCTTGCTTACCCAGAGGCTGTCTGCTGCCTGATTTGAGAGACACAAATCTCGAAGTTGAAGAAAAATGTGGCATGCAGCTGCCTTCTCCTGGTGAACGTTGCAATGCGCGAGTGGTCCGTCCATATGGTATTCACGGTCAAGTTCGACTTGTATCGCCTCGGTGCGCCATTGGTCGTAACGCGCTTGAAAACGGCCGGCCCAGTACAATGCTGGCATGTAATCTTTCACCTTTGGAGAAACACCAATGTCAGCAACATCCAGAACTTGCGGGTCCTTCGCAGACCACAGGCGACTAGACTTGGCCGAGGAAAGCAGTGAAGCGCTGAATGAACGTCCGGATGCTGGGATCTGAATGCTCAATTTCGGATTCTTTTCCGCCAGCAGAGACTTCTTGCTTCCCTGGGCTTCTTTCATGATAATGGCTTCTTGTCTGTCGCTAAGGCTAGCAATCAGAGGGAGCGCAGTAACTGGGCTATCGCTAGAAGGAGATATCATCTCTCCGGACCCTTGTTCTTGTACGTTCGTCTCGTCCGGATATGCAATTGTCTTTTCCATTGGCTTCCCTGCCAAAACAAGCATAGGCATAGATGTGCTCTTGTACTGCTCTGGTATTGGAGGCACAGGTGGAACATCCTCTACACCCAGAAAGTGGTGATAAGTGGAGGAACGAGGAAATCTCACCTCATTGTTCACCACAGCCTGAGAGCGCGCCAGCATACCACCACCGATCCGCTTCTTCGGCGTAGGAAACGTCCGTTTACTGAAGTTTTTCTCGGTGTTCGCTCGTGGCAAGGGTAATCGCGCCGCCGCATGATCATCCTTCTTCAAGGTGCGCGGACTAACAGGTCCAAGCAGGCGAGTCTGCGTAACTGCACCTTCATTTGGAACAGGCAGCGCATCTATGGGACGAAAGGGGCTTCGCTTCTTAGGCAGAGCTCGCTGGGCTGTAAAAGGCGTTGGGATCACGTTTTGCGAATTCTTGCGTTTGCTTGATGCTGGCGGCGTGGTACAAGCTACTGGCCCGGTCGAATGTCCTCTCGAGGATACCGTCGGAGCCATCAGACCCTCTCGTCCTGGTGACTTCGGTGAGTGTTCCAGGATGTTGGACAATCGCTTGACATGCCGATGTGTAACTGGCGTCGAATTCTCTTTCAACTTCGGCCGCTGGGGTCCTGGGATTCCGGACAGCTTGTGCTGGTGTAATTTTCGTGGAGAGACGAAACCGTTCGGGCCGCGCGGATGTGCTGTTTTTACCAGGTTTGGTGTTGTGTAAGATCTCACCGGCGATGGCTTTTTCGCTGCAGCAAAGGCATCTCCGGCCGCTACGTGCTTCGCTTGCTGGGTTGTAGGGGTGGAGTGATACTGACGGGGGCTTGAGTTCGTGTGCTCTGGAGTAGAAGAGTCGGGCGACGGGATCTTTGTGGGAGTGACGCGAGCTTCCTCTTCGAGCGTGAAAGGAGGACCGGGTGTGGGTACCGAATCGATTCCAAGTACGAACGACTCGAGATTGTTTTGACTTGGGCGTGTGATGAAGCCCATGGTGCGCGAGCGCGGAATTTGCTTACGTGTGGCCTCGGCGTCTAAGTTCCTCTGCGAGCTCACCATTTTTCCTGGCGTCACTTTGCGTATCGCGACGCCGTAAGAAGACGGGTAGCGCATTGGGGACAAGAGCCTCGTCGATTCGTGTGGGTGCGGAACTTCGATGGCGCTATTTAGATCATTTGAGGGAAGCAGCGGACGCACTGGCGTAGTCCTGCGCTGCGAGAGAGATATGAGAGACAAGCCCTGGTTGAGTTTTCGTCGGAACTTGCTCGCGTTGGTTGTCTCGTCGCCATAGAGCGCGTGGTGAGGCGCCGGCTTCTCTTTGCGCCCGACCATTCTCGGTTGTTCTTCGTCGTGCGAGATATGGGCTGCTTCCCACTGTGAGCGAATCTCTTCGAATCTGTGACGATCTGGGTAACTCAGCATGGCTTCAGCGTGGCAATGCGGGGAGTAAGGATGATGCACTTACAGGACTAGAGGTTCTGCAGAAGCAGCGTTGAGGTGGAGTTGCAAAGGTGAAAAGGCAGTAGCGATACGTTTCGACGTAAACAGCAACATGACGTCCGGCCTCTCACAAAAGGAAGGCACGAGGGAGGCGATATAACCGACCTCCAACCCACCTCTTGATGATTACAGGGCAGTCAAAGCCGATAATGCTCGCTAGGTAACACGCAATAGTAAACTATCACTTGTAATGCATTCGGAACGAAGATAGAAGAGACGTAAATATCGGACAAGTGCAATAGACGATCTATGAGATAGAGGGTATCTAAAACCGCATACCGTACCTAGAGCGCCACGTTGACCATGCAAAAACAAACATTGACGCCTTACTCCGAATCGCTATCGACGATGAACCCAGCACGCGTATTCCTCACAGGAGGTCGCCGTACAGTGACGACTTCGTCATCGTCATCGTCATCATCATCTGCATCCACCATTGGTACGTCGCCATCTCTAGACGCGGTAAGGACTGTAGATTTTGTCGGTACCTCCGCTGCACCGGCGAGTTGAGAGGAGAGAGGTGTGTCGGTGGCCTCATCCTCGCTGTCGTCCAAATCGACATGTCTCTCTTCTGACTGGGCTCTACCGCTAGAGTCTCCGTCAGACGCAATGTCTGCTTCTTCAACATCACTCTCGTCTAAGTCAAACGGTCCAGCTCTTTGCTTTGGCTGGGTCTTTCTTCTCCTGCTCTTGTTTGCTGTCGGTCCATCCGCCTTTCTCTTCTTCGGCACGGCAGACTCCGTGTTTCCCAGCACAAGTGATTTGGCAATATTCGCCTTGTTTTGAGCTCTAAGCGCTTCTTCTCTCGCAAAGAACGCCGCGTCCGCTTCTGGATCGTCCTCGTCATCGGAGTCATGAACGAACATTGTACTCTTGACTTTGAGTTGCTTCTCAATCTCTTTTTGACGTCGAGCATCTGCTTTCTCCTGCTTCTCTTCATCATCCAGATCAACCGGTGTGCGTGCCCGTCGACGGCGTTTGAGCACGGTCTTCTCACTCCCATCAGTCCTTCTCGCAGCTGGCTCGTCTAAAGCATACTCTCCGCGTTCTCCATCAGAATCGTGCTCAATACCGTCGTCATCGTCATCCCAGTCGACGCGGCGAGTCGAGCTTCGTGCTGCCGCCGACTTGTTGCGAAGCATGTCCTCGGGACCTTTCCCGTCGTCGTAGGTCGGGGGATCGAACTCATATTTGCGGATAAGGTCAATTGCCTCATGTAGGTCTTTCGAGGTCAAGGTAGATGGTATCACCCAAATTGCGCCCAAATCGTTGTTGGCGCCCAAGCGGGTAAAGCCCACCAGAGTCAGTAGAAGACGAATTTTGTTATCCTTAAAAATCGCGACTCGACGCTCCTCACTGTCAGGCTTTATCACTGCAAACGATTAGCTAAGAGCTTCACTGACTGGTCATGGTACTTACAGATGGTTGGTGGTTTTGGCGTCTCTACTCTGTCTTGGTCGACAGCAGCTTGTCCCTCATGGTCTGCTGCTGCTGCTGCAATCTCTTTCTGAGCTTCCTGCATGTCTTCCCATGCTTTTCGCTCCTCGACAGCAGAGCTCAAGATGTCCCGCACCCAGTGTAAAGCATCTGATTTCTGTTGATTGACGAGAATGCCCACGGCGACACCAATTTGCTCGGGCATCTCCATACCAGGCTTGACTTCGAGTTCCGCTGGAGCGCGTGGTGTCTTTTTGGGCAATTCTCGATCGTATCCGTGTTCCAGGAAGAATATCGTTTGTGGAATTTTGCTGAAGAGCATCTCCACAATGAGCTCAGGCCTTTCCTGTACCCGTTTCACGACCGTTCGGAAGAAATGTCTTACAAACTCTTCCCATTCTTTGAACGATGGCGACTCCGGGTCTAAACCTTCTGGGCCTTTAACTATCCTATCGAAAAGTTGAAGTATGTCCACACGGTACAGCAATACACCCAGTTCCATCTTGAAGGTGACCCGGTGAAAGAATCGGTGTGCTCGTTTTAGTTGGTCAGTGTCAAGCTCGTTGTAGTACTTTGTGAAGGCCACAAATGTGTTGACGCTACTTTGATTAATGAATTTTGCCGCAAATCGAGAAAAGTCGAATTTTCGTTCCGCAGCTGTCTTTTGTGCTGTTTCTAGATCTTCTCTTTCAGAAACATGACTTTCTTGCTCACCATCTTCTTTTTGGGCTTCGGCTTGCTTCTTGCGGATCTTTCGAGCGCGCCTTTTCGATCGAACTTGCATGTCAACGTTTTGTTTCGAGTAGCGCTCCAACATGCGCAGGAAGACGTGAGCAAGCTCAGTGACGGCGTCAAGATACCCGAAACCTTGGTCTTTGTACGACCGCAGAGTGTGTACTATCCGATCATGTGTCGACTCTTCGTAGAAAATCCGATTCTGTATGTTTTCAGCGATCTCTTGATCGTCCTCCAGTGCTGATTCGGACATCTCCTGTACTGTGAGTAAGATCTGCGTGAAACACCTCATGCCTGCGTTCAGATCCTGCCATGCTTTCTCGTCTTCGCTCTTCTGCATGAATCGATTCATCAAGATGAAAGTCTCTTGATTCATCACTTCCGCTACCAAACCATAGCTCTCGTCTTCGGCACTGAGTACATGATTGTTCTTCGGGTCAGCAGCCTTATCCTTCATGGTGCGCCGGCGAGCACATTCTACTCGCAGAAACCATGATACAAGGTAGAAGAACTGCTTTGGATGACGTGTTTCTACTCGTTCCGCTTCCCGCTCAATGGCTTTCCTCAGATGGAGGAAAAGTGGATTGAACGAAGAGTCTAGGAACTCCTCAACGAAGGCTTTAACATGTTTGCGCCCAGAAGTAGTGAGAGAAACTGGCAGATCAAACTCCTCACGCTCCTGCTCGCCATCTGGTTTGCGCCCTGGTCGCTTGGGTTTATTCCATTTCTTAGTCGTATCCATTTTCTGCATACTCTTCTGTGCTTTGCCGAGCACGTCCTGGCCAGATATCGTTGATACTTGTTCGTCATCGCCACGTTTGAGCCAGATCATAGTGCCAAATCTGTTGTGGCGCGATGGAGCATGCCGGGCGTACCCAGCTAGCATAGACTTTTCTTTCTGGATGAGGCTCTTAAGTTCGTCAGTATTCTTGCTCTTGAGCTTCGTTTCTTCCATGAATAGCTTTTCAGCGTCAATGCCCTTAAGCAGGTAGAACAGAATCTCCAGTACTATAACATCCTGCGAAACAAAGTCGTCTCCGATACTTGAGGCAACGCTAAGAATGACCTGGAAGATGTCCTGTTGGTGGAAAGTATCGATCACCGCTGACCGAGATACCTCCGCCTCATCTATGTCCATTGGTACGCTTTTTGGTGGCGAAAGCATAACGACGTTTCGGATGAAGTATAAAGCGATGCGGATGATGCCATCGTCTCGAGGCGTTCGTTCCCGAAAAGATACAGCCATGGAAGGAAGAGCAATGCGGACTGCTGTCTGGAGTATGTTCGTACGGTCGTATTGCAGAATTGCGCGCTTGTAGCCGATCTGCGCCAGCTGGATGTACGGGCCATGGCGATGGTGATTCACGGTTGCCTCGACAGGGTCGATCTGGAATGGCCACGTCAAAGGTACAAGAAGTTCCACTACTCCATGTCAGCGTTCGTGCTCTTCCACCTTCCCCACAATCCATACATGTCGCAACAGCAAGCTTATGCTTCAGCCTGTCATCCGTCACCCTCGCGGAAACCTTCGCGAGAATCTCCAGCAGATCACCCTTCACCAGGTTCGCTTCGGCCATGCATCGTGCAACATCGCGACGGTTCAGTTGCCCGTCGGCGAACTTGAGCCATTTTCGAAGGTCCTTTAGGCAGAGAAGGGCGTCGTCTCCGAACGAGTATGTGCCGTCATCGCCAATACCACCAAGCTATCGCACATCAGCAACAGGGCTCAGAAGATGCCATTCATACTTACGGCAGTGATCAAACTGTACACATGAGCACGGATCTCAGGATCCACAGGGTCCTTCGCCCACTCATCGAGAGTGGTTTGCTGGGTCATTGTTGTGGTTTGACCTTCGCACTCTCCAGACGCGTCGCTACGCGTAAACGCGTAAAGCGCCAAGGCGGCGGGGGGACGGAGAACGGTCGGAGTTCTGTCTGCCTCGGTCGCGGCTTCCCTCGGCCCTTTCCCCATGAAGGTCGCATTGAGTGGGAGCTTCACATGTTGTTTGGTCGACACCATTGACATTTCCCAAACCAACCGGAGACATTACCACGATGATATCGACAGCCTCCAGACGAGCAACTGGGTCCGTTGCGAGGAGGCAGTGCCGTAGCTTCAGCTCTACACCCGTTGCGGGCGCTGCAGCGGAAGTCAAGAAGCTTGGTGTCATCGGAGCTGGCCAGATGGTACTGGAGAGAATGCATCCGCGACGTTTATATAACTAATAACTCCAGGGCCTCGGCATTGCGCTCGTAGCGTCGCAAAGGGCCACAGTACCTGTGCGATTGATTGACGCCTCGCAAGCCTCCATAGACAAAGGCTTGAAGTTTGCGGACAAGCTGCTTGAGAAGGATGTCGGGAAAGGGAGGATATCCCAAGAGGATGCTGCAGCAACTAGAGAACGTCTGACGGCCAGCACAAAGCTGGAGGATCTCGCAGACGTCGACTTCGTAATCGAAGCTATTCCCGTTCGTTCGCCGCATTTATCAGCCGATTGTATGCTCACCCTACCATTAGGAAATACCAGACCTGAAGACGAGAATCTTCGCGCAGCTGGCGCAAATATGTCCGTCACACGCTGTCCTCGCTACGAACACATCCTCGATATCCATTACGAAGATCGCCGCTGCAACTGCCAATGACCCCACCGATCTCTCTGCCTCGTCCCGCGTTATCAGCACACATTTCATGAACCCTGTACCGATTCAAAAAGGCGTAGAAATCATAACCGGGCTTCAAACGTCCGAATCCACGCTTGAGACCGCTCTCGCGTTTTGCAAGCGCATGGGTAAGATCCCTTCGACCAGTGCAGACTCGCCCGGCTTCCTCGCAAACCGTATCCTAATGCCCTACATCAACGAGGCTATCATCTGCTTAGAAACAGGTGTAGGCAAGAAGGAAGATATTGACAGCATCATGAAGAATGGTACCAATGTGCCTATGGGACCGCTGCAACTGGCTGATTTCATCGGCATCGACACTTGTCTCGCAATTATGCAGGTTTTGTACAACGATACAGGGGACTCAAAATACAGGCCTGCGGTGCTGCTTAAGAAGATGGTGGATGCTGGGTGGTTGGGCAAGAAGTCCGGTAAGGGCTTCTACGACTACTAGAAAATTGCATTGGGTGTTCCCAACGATTGCGCGCTATACAGAAACATCTCTGGGCCCGACTTGCTTCCTCCTCCGTATTGCCTACACACCCAATCATAGTCACTGTCCCCTTAGACTCACTCACTATGCTTCCTTGCAATCAAATACATACCGGTAAGGTTGAAATCGAACAATACTCCGGCCGCGCAGCAATTTCAGGGGAAAGGCTAAAGCATCAACTTGATACAAAGTCAACCTTGCTTGAGGAGCATGTGGACAAGTGCCTTCAGGCCTAGCGGGTGCCTCGGCTCTTCCCGCGATATCGATTAGATTAGCTTGGTGTACTCTCCGTCGGCTGTAGTCCGCCTTTAGCATCGTGTTCACAAGCGCAATAGCATCGAACCGTGGCCGTGGACTCTTTGTTAGGGCAAGTTGCGTCATGGAAGTGCACGGAGGGCCGGCAACGGTACCGTGGGAATAGCGGGGCTCAAGCTTGAGCTGCCAGTTGAGAGCTGAGTAACCAACTCCGTCACGGTACCAGGCAGCTCCACGCTGTCTTACACGACCGCCGCGCACCTGGCCTCTCGACTTCTCTCTTCTTCATTATATACGTTGCTCCCTGGGGACAAGTACATTTTGTAAAGATGTTTGGCTTCATCGCCGATGGCTTGACGTGAGTGTACCCCACCCCCACCATGAGAACCCGAGCGCACGCGAAGCCCAGCCATGTGCACTGTCGCAAACTCCATGCAGCTTTCAGAAACCTTAGGTCTACGTCCCCAATACATTGACACCAACTAACGGATCCTAGCGTCGCTATTACCGTCCTTCTTCCAGTCTTCGCTTCCTATAAAGCCCTCCACACTTCAGATCCGGCGCAGCTCGCACCGTGGCTTATCTATTTCATTACACTTCTCCTCTTCCACACTGTCGAGAACACTTTCGACTTTATCCTGTCCTGGGTTCCATTCTGGTCCTGGATTCGCTTCTTCTTACATCTCTACCTGATCCTACCGGGTTCTCAAGGTGCAACCTTCCTATACCAAGAATACGTCGAGCCGTTCCTGTACCACCACGAGCGCGAGATCGATGACTTCATAACCGAGACACACGACAATGCGAAGAAGGCGGGGCTAGCATACCTCCAGCAAGCCATCGAGTGGGCTAAGGTCAACGTGTTGGGCTTCGCGCCGCAGCAGCGTTCTCCCTCTCCGACACCAGGACAAAGCTACGCCCAGAACTTCATGTCGAGGTTCAACATGCCCTCTGCGCGCGGAAGCGACGACCTGTACGGTCTGGTCAACCAAGCGCTCAGTGGCGCGAGCGCGCTCTACGCTGGCAACAGAGACGCCCAAGCTGCAGAGCTTAGCCGCAGCGCGAATATCATCCCCGATAACATCCGGAACAACGATGATCGGCTTAATTACGTCTCCTCGCAGCGAGAACGCCTGATGACCCTCCTCCAGGCATTCGACCGCGAGGCCGACAACGTGCGCGCCCAGCGCGAGGGCGGAAGCAGATACTACGAGGGAATGGGAGGGCTTTCTAAGAGCAGGAGCGAGGCTGAGTTCGATAAGATTGAGGTTGATGAGGCGAGCTCAGGCTCAGAGCGGCCGCCGTATCCCATCACGCCGCCGGCTTTAGACCGAAGGACTAGCAGTGGGTGGATGCCTTGGAATTGGCAGCGTGGAGCACCGCCGCCACCACCGCGGGAGGATGACCCGCTTGCTTATGGCAGGGAGCCTAGTACGCGCCGTGATCAGGGTCGTTCTACGGGTTATGACGCGGGTGACCGTTAAGGAACGGATGCGGCGACGTCTGTCTCTCGTTGCTGTTACAGAATTATGGCGTTAATAATACGTTGAGCTTGGAGCTAGACAAAAGACTCGAAATACTTTCTAATCCCTTTGGCTATCTCTTGGGTACATTTGGCATCATTTGGATCAGGTCCTTTAGAAATGCATTTTTCTTCACGAAAGTCGCGACATCCACAGGTAATCTTACAGATGCATATGTACGTCCATGTCTACAGCCCGGAGGTTCCAGCCTGAATCTTAATTTGGACCGCCCGACATTCTACAGTATCTTACACTAGCATCTTGCGATGTATGCCTGGTTTCAAACGCCAAAATTCAACGCCCGGAGTCTAAGTCCATATACACAAGCAAGACCATTCACTGTGACACCTTAAAGGGATAGCGAACAGTATCATCCTTGCGTATCACTATCTTCTTCTTCTTCTTGGTCGCCACATGCTCCACCCATAATTCCTTAGTAAAGTCCTTGGTGAAAGTGCGAATGAAGCGCGGATCCCACAGCTCAGAGGCGATACCGAGGTCCTTGCAGCAGCGCATCAGAGCGTTGGACTTGCAGCCCTCAGTCGCAGTGGGAATGCCGTCCGGGTCGAAGTATTGCTGCTCGCCGCGCGCAATAGCGACAAGCCTAGCAAAAGTTAGCACGACTATCTCTCTTTGAGGATATTGATATAGCTCACCTCCCCTGAACAACCAAACCATATTCCCTCGTGACGATCTTGCCCGTCACGATACTCTCACCCCTTGGTGCAAGCCCCCATCCACCGGGTCCAAACGCCTTATTCAATATCCGCCTGTACTTGATCTCGGGCAAGTATATTATGCCGTCAGGCTTCACCTCTACATCATCCTGAGCGATGGGCGCGAGAAGTACCTCCTGCTGCTCGGGCGAGAAGGAAACGCTACCAAGACCGTGGTACGAGCGCGTCCAGTCAATTGCTGGCACGCCTTCTATCTCGGCGGGTTGGTCTGATAGCCCGTCTGTAAGGGAGCGCTGCCCTGCGGTGGCATCGGTTGCTGAGGCGTTGCGTATGGTCGGGACAGGAGGCTCTTTAGCGGGAAAGCTGGGTGTGACTGTGCGCTGAGTTGTGGATGGAGATGCAGTAGTTGTGGTAGGCTTGGCTGCTGTCGTGGAGGCAGGTTTCGCTGTTGTGCTCGTTGAGGTGGTTGCGGCGCGTGGCTTGCTGCTCGCGAATGCGGCGGAGACTGGGGACGAGGAGAAGGCGCGATGGGTGGCCCGGTAGGCAGAGGGGGTGCTTCTTGAGCAGGAAGATGTGAGTAAAGACGAGATGCCCGTGCGAGCTGCCATTGTAAGATATGACACGGTGCTGTCCGTGATGATGGCGACGACGTACAGCAACGCGAAGTCACGATCCTGCTAGCCAAATTTTGTTGACCAATCAGGGTAAGGCGGCGTCGGTCTAAGCCAGGAGTCAGCGACATAGACAACCCCTCTGAGCAAGAGTTATTCTCTATTCTTTAGGACTGTGATAAGATACCTGGCTACGAACTAGCATATGCATGGTCACCCTTGGTATCATATAGAAGGGGGACATGCGCCTGCGACGCCAGTATAGGCTCATTCCTCCTATTGAACGTTTCCAACGATCAAGCCAGTTTCACGCCACCTTTCAGTGTCTGACGACCGAAGAGCATCGCGGAAATAGTCTTTGGACGATTTTTTGCGAAGCACTCGATAACTTGAGCGATGAGGTGTCTTCTTGGGAATGCTCGAACGCTCACACCATCGTACCATTGCTCCAGATCAGAATTCCTACCTCAGGCTGTTAAATTCCAGCTCAGCTTGTGGACAAGTCAATCGAACGAATGAGAAGCAGGCAACTCACTCTAACATCTTGGCCGACGTTCCGTTTCTCTGACTTGCAGCTCGGTCGGGGACCGTAGTTTACATCATGCAGGTGCTTGCGTCTCATCATTACCCTCAGAACAGCGAGAGTCTGTATCGCAATGAGTCTGATATCTGGCGTCAAAACATTCAGAATTAAGATCTTGCTCTTCAGTGTTGCGCGTAGAAACACAGATTGAGAATACATAGATGCTGACATTGGCTGAGCGAATCTGACAATGGGTCGTCTGATACACCAACATCGAGCTCTCAGCAGCAATTACGTTTTCTGACAGCCGCTCTCTGTGATGTCGTCCGTTGGATCCCGGACTCCGGGATATCGGTGTTGCACGCCACTAGAGGGTATGGCGCTCCAGCCTTCGTTAACAGTCTAGGATTGAAACTGGGTCAGTAACAGCCGAACATATATAACAACCAAGGGCTCGGCTTAGCAACTGGTTTTCTTGACTGATCAACTTACAATCTCAACCGCGAATATGTCTACGGCCACAGCGAGCGCTGGCCTAGTCAGCCAGTTGACCAACGCATCGATCCCGCAGATTTTCCTTTCCTTTTTTGTTATCGTACGTTTATCTAGAAGAGAAAATCAGACATCTTGGGACATGGCTGATTCATGATCGCAGGTGACTGCTCGTTTCATTTTGAGGGGCATTTACCGCATCTATTTCCATCCTCTTTCGAAATATCCTGGCCCCAAGCTTCATGCATTTACTAGGATACCTCAGATGATCGGTCTATGGAAGGGAGAGCCGCACAGGCGTATAGAAGCTATCCACGCGAAGTACGGACGTGTGGTGCGGACCGCCCCAGACGAGATCAGCTACATTGACCCTGAAGCATGGAAATTTGTACACGGTCACGGCGACACGAAGGCTCGTGGCTCGAGGCCGCAGAAGCACTGGATTCGCTCCGGAAACGACGTCACCGATACGCCTTCCCTTCTCTTCGCGCCCACGGGCGCGCACTCTCGTATGCGGCGCGTTTTTAACTCTGCCTTTTCTGATCGCTCGCTCAAGCTCCAGGAACCGCTTATTGTAAAGTACATAGATCTACTTCGAGAGCGATTGAGGGAGAAGGCGCCACAGGGAGATATCGACATCGTCAAATACTTCAACTTCACAACTTTCGATGTTATGGGTGATCTGGCTTTCGGAGAATCACTACACATGTTGAACAACGATGAGTATGACCCATGGGTTGCGAACACGTTTGAGTATTTGAAGACCTTCACGTTCCTTGAGATGTGCCAGTACTACGCGGTCACACGGTACGGTGTCCGCCAGCTGATGAAGCTCATGGCCAAGCAAAGGCAAGCGCACTTCCAATACACCGTTGACAAGGTCAACAAGCGCGTTGACCAAGGTCGTGCAACTGATGGCCACGATCTTTGGACTCTGGTCTTGGACAAGGAGGGGAAACGTGAGGGGTTGTCCCGCGGTGAGATGTTTGCCAACGCCAATCTATTCATGGTCGCTGGAACCGAGACTACTGCCACCATTAGCGCTGGCTTTGCGTACCTCATGTGCAAGAACCCTGAGGTGTACGCCAAATTCAGGAAGGAGGTCCGCGAGACTTTCAAGAACCAAGACGAGATCAACATTGAAAGGGCTCAAGCTCTACCCTACCTTAACGCCTGCTTGAAGGAGGCACTTCGCGTCTACCCGCCAGTCAGCAATGCTCAACCTATGCTCACGCCCGTTGATGGAACTACGGTGATGGGAGAGTACATGCCTCCGAACGTAAAACATCCTTCATGCGTTTTCACGGGCAGCATGCTAATATCGGCAGACCGTTGTTTCTATCCCGCAATATGCCATGTACCGATCAGAGACAAATTTTAAATACGCACTCGAGTATATCCCTGAGCGTTGGTTGGGTGACGAGCGCTTCGAAAGCGACAACAAGAAGGCCTTCGAGCCTTTTCACGTTGGCCCGCGCGATTGCCTGGGCAAGAAGTACGTTTCATTGTTTCACACAAGATCCTGGACTTACCAACTTTTAGCTTGGCATGGCACGAGATGCGTCTCATCGCTGCAAAGGTTCACCATCAATTCGATTTTGAACTCAGTCCCTTGAGTGACGGCTGGACCGACCAGAAGATCTTTATTCTCAACCAGAAGGAACCGCTCTACATGAAGCTAAAGGCCCTCTACTAAAGCGTTCATTCTTTAGGTTGTAAAGGCCGAAAGTGACCAGTTGCACACACATATATTAGCTTTTCGAGCTCTTAGCAGAACCCAACGATGGTGAACGAGCTTGAGTCTATTTCTTTGGAAACAAAAAAGGGGACTGTAAATGCTTATGATGACGACATAGATTACAAGAGTGGTACATTTGCAATACAAGAGGTTACGTTGGCCTGTTTAGAAAGATCACCACTTTCACACGTCTTTGGAAGCAGTTCGCTTGTCGTTGCCATGCTTCTTCCAGCACGCGCGGAATATTTCCATCTGCAAGGCACCAGTTAGCTCTGTATACGAATGTGACCGCGCCACTGAACCGGTGCTCGGGTCAGAATCCGTGGGGTTAGGATAAGGTGCTGTCGGGGTTGGTGGAAGCCTCGCGTCGCCGCTCAACCGGGACTAACCTCTTTCTTGCACAAGCGCCAATCTTTCTTCTCATAGTAACAATCGGTCAACTTCATGTTCTCGTCTGCGAGGCCGAACCAGTATCGCGCAATTAGTTTGACCCGACCGGACACTGAACGTTGACGTACCTGCGCATCCCGTGCTGAATATCCGCTTGTCCCTTCGCGTAGTTGTTAGCTAAGCTTTCCTCGTCGTCCACTCACGTTCCTCCTCGCCCGCAGCTGTCAATCAGAAAAAGCAATCCAACACACGCACCATTCGTCCGGCTCGTCATCGTCCTGCACCTTGGTAGAAGCATCCGTTCGCGTTGCGTCGTTCGACATCTTCGATTTGGGGTCTCACGTGGGTGTCTGAACACTCGGAAGTGGAGTGAGCAGTGCACGGGTGAAGTCGTTCTTCGGCGGAGAAACAAGGGTCCGAGGCAGCCTAATAGGGAAACATGGCGGCCAAGATGAATGTCATGGTGTATTCCGGTACTTTCTTTTGCCATTTGTCGCGGTTAGGTTCTGATGTACTGATTTGTGAAAGGGACTGGGAGCACAACGGAATCGGTCCGGCATTGTCTGTTCACACTGCGCCGGTTGCTATCGCCTAGCTATGCGGTCATCCCTGTAACTGGAGATGTTCTCATCAAAGAACCATGGATGGCATCTTGTGCGCTCTTGGTATTTCCTGGCGGTGCCGACCTGGGTTACTGTCGCACACTCAATGGCGAGGGGAATCGCCGTATTACTCACTACGTCAAAAATGGAGGTTCGTATCTAGGCTTCTGCGCCGGCGGGTACTATGGCTCTGCCAAGTGCGAGTTTGAACCCGAAAACCCTGATTTGGCCGTTGTCGGCTCAAGAGAGCTAGAGTTTTTCCCTGGGGTGTGTCGAGGACTTGCGTTTCCAGGGTTCGTTTATCACTCTGAATCTGGGGCGAGGGCTGCAGATTTGTATATCCATAAGACTGCTTTCAGCGACGTCAAGGACGAGCTCTCCGATAGCTTCAAGAGCTACTACAATGGTGGGGGAGTATTTGTTGACGCGAAGACTCTCGAGAGCCACGGCGTTGAGATCCTGGCGAGCTACACTGAGGATCTGCATGTCGACTCGGGTGAAGGCAAAGCTGCTATTGTGTACCGCAAGGTTGGCCAAGGCAATGTCATCCTCACTGGGCCGCATCCAGAGTAGGCTTCTCTTCTATAAGACTTCCACGTCTTGCTAACCATTATATAGATTCACTCCTACTAACCTCGCGAAACCCATCAACAACCCAGATTACTCCAGCATTATTGATGCCATCACCGTCACGGATTCCACCCGAGTCGCCTTCATGCGTCTTCTTCTCTCAAAGCTCGGCCTCAATGTCAATGAAGAACCACAAGCGGTACCTTTCCTCTCCCGCCTACACCTCTCATCTCATAAGCCGGCAGGCGTTACTGACCTCACTGCGTCGTGGTCCGAAATCTTCACTATAGTCGATGGAGAAGACTACATCGTAGATGCGAACGACATATTCCACGTCAAGCAGAATGAAGCGACTTTCAGCGTTCAGGGCCTGACAAGAGCGGTGTCTGACATTGCCGTCGAAGTCTTACCTAAGGCATTGGTAGGTCAAGACGCCAAGAAGGCATCACTCGTCGAAGAACAGAGCAGGCAGAACAAGCAGAACCCAGACGAAGACAACAATCCCAAGTCGAGGGAAGAACAGATTCGCGAGCGCGTTGCATACACAGAGTCGGCTTCTCCAGACCGGGACATTGACTACGACAAGATCGTCAAGAGGATTGTGCCTCACGAAAATGAACTTCCAACTAAGCGGGATACTCCGTTCTTTAATCACGAGTCCTACTACGCCAATCTTGCCCACCACCACCAGAAAGCCCAAAACCACGGCCCTACCTTCGGCACCAGTCTCCTCTACGCCGAAGTCACCACCTCTACCAGTACGATCCTAGAGAAGAACCCGAGTTTACTGCGAAACCTACCCGATGGCTTCACGGTGACGGCCACGACGCAGGTCGCAGGTCGGGGTCGCGGCTCAAACGTCTGGATTGCACCTCCAGGAGCGCTCATGTTCTCTACTGTGATACGTCACAGTTTTTCGCTAACACAAAGCGCACCTGTCATATTCGTACAATACGTCGCCGCACTGGCCGTCGCTCAAGGCATAAAGAACTACGCGCCAGGCTACGAGAATGTAACCGTGAAATTGAAATGGCCAAACGACATCTATGCGCAGATTCCAGGGTCTCCGACCAATCCTCTTGTCAAGATCGTAGGCATCTTGGTCAACTCGAGCTATTCCGGCAGCGACTACTCGCTCACGGTCGGCATCGGCCTCAACCTGGATAATCCTCTGCCCACCATCTCATTCAACAGCCTCCTGAGTGCTATCGGCCTCAAAGCTATGACAAATGAGAAGCTTCTTGCCAGCATCCTCGCATCCTTCGAATCGCTCTACAGGAATTTCTGCCAATCGGGCTGGAACAGAGAGCTGGAGGAGCTGTACTACGAGAACTGGTTGCATAGTGGGCAGGTCGTTACGCTGGAGGCGCATGGCGGGATGAAGGCTAGAGTGAAGGGAATCACAAGAGATTGGGGCCTCTTGCTTGCAGAGGAGTTGAGTGGTGGGGAGAATCCGACAGGCAGGATCGTGAGCTTGCAAAGTGATAGCAATAGGTTCGATTTCTTCAAGGGACTGATCTCAAGAAAGGTTTAGGTGGGATGATGGTAAATTTGGTGTGGTAAGGAGACGTACTATGGATTGAGGTAGTTGGGGTATACTCAACACACAAAACTGACGAGGAGCTTAGCGAGTTAGATCAGCGCCGTGTGCCTCAAAGGCAATTCATGGCAAGCGATTTCCTCTTACTGTTATTATGCTATGATTCGTAATAACGGGCCGTTGAAGGCTACGTATTCTGCTGGTAGTGCACGATTCACTCCGGTTCACAATAATAGACATACAATGCAGCAATCACCTGTCAACTCCGAATAGTTCCCATATTGTACTGCATAGCACAATAGAGGTTCTCGCCGCCCCCATGACATGTATCTTAACGTACTGCAGCTTTCTTTCTTACTTTTCTCTCTCACCTCGGGTTACCTACTTGCTCCCGCCAGCACTTATCGTCATATCATAAATTTACTTTGCGTTGTGCTGCTCGCTTACTATTTACCCTTTTCAACACCAATTTCTCTCAACAAAAGTCTTCAATCCATCGTCAACACCATGTCTTTCGATACTAAAGCCAACCCCATCGAGATCTTCTCCTCCTCCTCCGACAGCTCCGACTTCTCGGAGTATGAAGAGTGCGTTCAAAGTCCGCCTTCGGGCACCAAAGAAGACCCCATCACCCTCCTGTCTGACTCGGACAGAGAGGACAGAGAGTCGACCCCGGCTCCCGTCCTGGCTTTGGGCAGTTCAAAGCGCCCCAACACTCTCGACCACTCCGAATCCGAAGAGGAGCCCCCGAAGAAGAAGAGCCGCTCGCTCTCGCCGCAGCCCGCCCGCCTCCGCCTCTTTCTAGCCATACCGGCCAACATCCAGGAGCATCCAGAGCTCCTACGCCACGAGCCAGCAGCCGCCCCCGCCAGCCTAGAGGACAATTTCGTGGCGCCCATCATCGACAAGTCGGCCCGCCTTACCGCACTCCTTCGCGCACCCCTCCGTTCCCCTTCCCGCTTGTGAGCAAATCGACCAGGAGATACAACTGGTCCGCAACCAGACGGTGACGAGGGCCGGCGCTTTCCTCGCCTGGCGTTAATTCGCGCACGCGAGTCGTGGCACTCGCGAGTGCTTGGTCTTGTCTGGGCTGGACTCAGAGAACCTACTGGAAGAAGCTCATGGTATCGAGAACGCTCTGCCTGGCTGGAAGCAGCCGTTCACCAGTGAGTTTGCCCAGCGCGGCTATGAGCCCCTGAGGAAGGTGACACCGGACCTGAGCAGGGAGCCGAGTGTGTTTGGGAAGGTAGAAGGCGAGGGCGACTGGGTGGTTGTGGAGGATGAGGAAGACGATGTGATGGTCGTGGAGGATGACGAGGAGGAGGTGGTGGTGATCTTGAAAGTGGACGAGGATGAGGGGTACGAAGGTGATGAGTACTAGAGTGATCTGGCGGTATGATTCGGTCCTGTTTATCATTGTGTGACTGAGCTGGTCTCACCTATATTGTATTTCCATGTTCACCGTCAATATACTTCTGTTTTTGTCTTCGTCCTTCTCGCGTCCATGAATTACTTATTATCACGTGACCGCATATAGCGCCTAGCCTAATTAGGCTAATACTCTTAGCGTGTCTTAGCTATACACTACCTCCCGTGTGCCCCCCCACCTAGAGAGATCCTCATATCTAGATTTTGTCCGTTCAAGACCATTCTGAGATCCTCACCTCAGCCTCGGCGACACCAACCTTGAGACGCAATCACAGCATGTACCGATAGCCCTTCTGCAGCTTCCGCGCCTTTTGAATGTCTACACCCTCCATCTCAGCCGTCCTCTCCAACTTCTTCCTCTCCCTTTCATCCAGCTCCCTGTCTTCCGACTCCATCTTCTCCAACTGCCGATTCTGCATCTGCAAGTAGAACCTCAGACTGACGAAGCACGCAAGCGCAAGGAACTCCAGGCCAATACACACACCCAACGCAGGTCGATAATGTGGCCCCGAAGACGGCGCATAACTGAATGGCGTCCAAATTGAGGCGCTGTTACCAATACTGTTGATGAATGCAAGCGCAGCAGCACGCTTAGCGGGTGGTCGCGGGATGGCGTTGGATATCCAGGCGTAGATCGTACCGTTCTGGGCGAAGACAAAGTTCATCAGGAAGAAAGAGAAGTAGCGAGGGCCGAAGCTGTCCGTGGTCATGAATATGATAAAGCCCACGGTGCTCACGAAAACCGGGTAAGTCAAGAACCAGAAGCGGTTGCCGTAGTAGTCGCTCGCATAACAGTGTGCGTACGAGTAGAACACCATGAAGACGTATGGTGGCGCAACAAGTAACAGCGAGACCGTTTCGCTGTAACCGAGCGTCTTCGTCAGGGTCGGGAAGAAATTCTGAAAGCCGGCGGCGCCCGTGATGCCCATGTATGCAATAGCGAGCAGATATGTCTTTGGGTCCTGAAAGGCGAGCTTCATGCCTCGAATTTGTGACATCCCGCCTGCTTCGTCAATGTCTGCTTCTGCGGCATCGATGGCGAGACGTCGGTTTGCGACGTGCTTTTCTTCGGGCGAAAGCGCGCCCCAAGTATCGGGGAAGTCGGGTAGGACGAGGACAACCAAGATGCCGATGGTCACGGTAATCGCGCCTTCAATAATGTATAGCCACTGCCAGGCATCCATGCCCATTTCGCCAGCCAGGCCGTTCAATATACCAGCAGCAATAAGATTGCCGAAGGCGCCTGAGACGAGAGAGCCGGAATAAAAGATGGCGTTGCGCTTCGCGAGCTCCTCCCTAAGGAAAAAGAACAGTCAGCAGAGCAATTCAAAGACGTAGTCTGGATCAACTCACTTCGTGTACCACTTGGACAGATAGAATAAAACACCCGCAAAGAAGGGGGCTTCCACCAGCCCTAGTATGAAGCGACAAGCGACGATTCCGCCATAGCTCGCCACTTGTGAAGTGCAGGCGCTCACTAAACCCCATGCAATGGTGAAGAAACCGAGGTACCATGACGGTCTACCCACGTAGTTCAGTGCCAGGTTGGACGGTACTTGCATCAGGATATATCCAACGAAGAGGATAGAAAGTCCCGTTTGATACTGATCGCCCACCAGATGCAAATCTTCGACCAGTCCTTGAAGTTTGGCAGCGGCGTAGTTGTTCCTGCAGTGACCGGTCAGCGTAATGCAAGTAGACGACAATAGTTCCGACGTACCGATCGATGTAATTCATGAGGTAAACCATGATGACCAAAGGCATGATGCGAAGATCGATCTTGCGTCTCAGTTTCTTTGCGATCCTCTTCTCCTCCTCGGTCAATTCTTCATGATGAGAACCGACATGTTCTTGGTGCGTCGCCTCCGCCTTCTCCACCTCGCCAATGACATCGTGATCCCTGAGCGTTTGGTCCGCCATGCTGAAGACTGGAGTAGTAACGTCGGGAAATCTGGGGGAGAATGCGGGGGCCTGAACGGTTTATAGAAAGCTTCGCGACAAGATCGGGCGAGGCACGCTAGGAGGTGATAAGCGCGACCAAGCTCATCTGCACGACGAGTGAAGAGTGAAGGATCGGCAGCCAACTGCTTCCCCAGAACCCGCCGCAGCGGGGCACAAGTCGTGCAGCGGACCCAACCGTCGGATAAAGAAACAGCGGTGCCTCGTGCGCCGCTACGGTTGGTAGGTAATCGGGTGTGAAACAAAAAGCGCCAATGGGGGAAGTCCGGCAGCTTCTCCATTCATCCAGTCGTCATGATCTGCAGCCACTTCATCGGCAAAGGCAGGTCGTTGCAACGCGGTTTACCACAGTATGCAAGTGCGCATACATCGGGATTTAGTAACGGCTTCTATAGAAGATGGAATGCTAGCGGGAAGGATTCTGGTATTCAACGTGAGATGACTAAACTCCACAGCATGACAGTGATATCGTGCCCATGTTCAGTTCAAGATAACGCCTTCCAATCCAAACATCATCCAAACATCTGATTTTCCGCGGAGACTCCAATACGCCGAAGGCAGGCAGGGCAAGCTTTTTCTTAGGCACCGCTAGGCCGTTGCGCATGGTCGTAGACGGAATGTTGTGGAGCGTGCGCCTGCTGCTGCTGCATGCGCGCGAAATCCTGTGGATTATATCTGTACTCGTGTTCCTCTTTACCCGGCCATGGAACTTGTTGGAACCTCCTCCTCTCGTCGTGTTCTTCATGCGTTTCCTTCATGGTCGGAAGCTCGGTAGAATATTCTTTGTTATGCTCGAGCCCGGGTGAGCGCATGCCGCCGTTCGAATTGTAAGAGCTGGGTCTTGTACTAGCGCTCTGGTAGGACCATCGACTATCTGAAGCATTTGGCTCGTTACCAGACAGTTCCGAGGCAGTCGAATAGCGCCTATCCTGCGGTACTAGATGACTTGGCGATGCTTGCGGATGATAGAAATCACCCGGTAATTCCATCACTGCGTCTTGTCCCTGTCCTTGCTTTTGCGGATGGTACATCTGTTGAGCCGGAAGAGCAGGTGATCGCATTGGTGAGTTGGGCAGTTTATAAGGTCGCTTGTTTGGGGAATGCGGCGACGCAGGGTGTCGACCAAGGCTCGAGCGATCTGCCGGATTGATAGTCTTCAATTTGCCGTTCTCCATCATCGCGGACAAGGCTCCAGAGTCCAAAAGCTCGGCTTTCTTCAACATCCTTTCCACCAACACCTTGGAGGCGGCCTTCAACTCCTTTTTCACAAAACTGATCATCGCGACGTTGCACTTTATCTCGATGTCTTCGCGTAGATATAATCCCTCCGGCGGTGCACCGATACCCAACTCCCGCGTCTCGGGCGGTTCCCCCGGTTGAGAACCACATATTTGCCATTTGTTCCGTAAATCTACATTCGCAGGCGCATAGGTGTGTGTCTGCAACCCCCATGGCATGTCGTGAAAACATCCCTTGAACTTGATGACACCGGAGCCAAGCTTGCCGATACCTGGGATGTACTGGATGCGCTGTGTGATTTCGTACCATGTCGCATAGAACTCGTCGGCGGGCGCATCCCGGGGCGCCTTGATCGCTTCGAAGCTCAAAACGAGCGGGTTCAGTTCAATTATCTCACCATGACTGTGTAGGATGTCTATCGCGAGCTGCCGGGGTATAAAGCTCGGTATCGGAGTGATGTTGATGTAGGTGGTCTTTTTCCTGGTGAGACCCATAGTGTTAGCGGTCGCTGGGGTCGAGAAGAGTGCGAAAAACTGCGCGGCGCAGGTGGAGAAGAGCCGTATTAAGCAGCTTACGCCCTATCTCGGCGCACTTGAGTTGGGTGTGAGCTGGGTACCGCCTGGCTAGATCGACAGCTTGGCCCTAAGGGACACCGCGTCATGCACGTGGCGTACGCGATGATGTCAGCCGCGTGAATAGCTGGATGGGAAACAAAAATAACGCCGTCCAAAGTGTCACTCGTTACGATCTTGGGCCAGGTTGCATGGAAAGATTCCAGGATCGCTTTTGTTTTGGGGGATGTTGGCAGCCCTCGCTCTTGTCTTGTGGGACCTATATTTAGCATGCCCAGGTGTGCAAAGTCAGCGCGAGCAGATGAAAGAATGCCCGTAGTGGCGGGCGATAGATTCGACGCTCGAGAACAATCTCATCGACGGCTGATTCGTTTTCCATAGGCGGGATTGCATCTCGTCCTCCCCGTCACGTCAGGCGGCGAAGTGAGTCCGGATGCCCCTCAACCCGTGTACGCCAAGCACCGCCTCTCTCCAATATTCTTGAGCTGGTTTAGGCCGTGCTGCGGCTTGCATCCGACCGCCTCTTCTCGGGCAGCATGACCGCTCAGCTGCACCGGCCCCTTCGTAAGTGCTCTCTGGAATACTGACGCGTTCTTGCGGTGGTCGCCGTTGGGTTAGTGGGCGGGCGGCTGCATTTGCGGTGTGAGGTAGCACGTCGACTGCCCATTGTTAGGCTTCAAAACCAGAAGATACAAAGGGTTGGAACGGTTTTGTTGGCATCTATTACTAGATACAGAATAAGAAATTCTGCTGTAAATCCAAGAAGGTGTGGTAATCATACAATTTCAGGACTCGAGTCCAAAACAAACATATCTGCTTCGGCGACCAGTTCTTGGTATGAGTAAACACGTGCGAAACGTTCATGCACCCAAGACACCACATGGCAACCTCCGTGAAACCCTTGAGTTAATGGTAATCGATCACACACTCTCGATGCAAGTCTAGAACGGATTCTTGTTCTTCAACAGCAATGCCTCCGCGTTGCCCCAGCGTTGCCCCAGCGTTGCCCCAGTCACCCGCAAACTGAGAATAGGTTACATGAATGTACCATTCATTCGCCCCTCCAGTTCATCATGGCCGGCTGGCTTAGTGTACCACGACCCAATGTCAGGCCGACAGTCTGTGACAGCACGAAAACGGGGGGGCCCTCGCAGCAGTACGAATGATTGCGAGTGCTTGCATACATCTGACGTGGTTGCAGCAACTCACTCCAGGATCTCTAATCGTGGAGAGGCTATCCGCAAGGTTATCGCGACAGACCGTATGTGCTATGTAGAGAACGTAAAGAACATTTGTAGAGTTATGTCTGACAGATTACTATCCTAGTCTTTTCCTTCCACTCCTGGTGATACCAGTATATACACAGTGCTTCATCCTCGTTCATTAACATATATGAAGAAAACGCCGAACGCCAACGCTCATGTGCAATGGAATTTGTGAGGCTATCTTTCATGCCTTATGGAAGACGACACCTTTCCTACTCAACACTCGCGTCTCTGGGCGATGCCTCGAAACTAAACCTTGCGAACTCACGCTCTGCTGCTTCCGTATTGATACTAGTGGTGTTCCCATCACTGTAGGTCAACGACGGCTGCCTCCGCGGTGATGTGATCGCGGCTGGCGCAGAATGATCCTTCTTTGCAGGGAGATCTGATTTCCCCGTGGTATAGGTGCTTACCGGCGAGGTAGTAGAACAAGTAATGTCGAAACCTAGGGGACAATTAAGCCTGTGCTCCTTCTTGCGAACAATGTTTGCGCCCGGAGCCGCTGGTTTGTATGTATGTTTCTTAGGGATATCGGTGCCTGGTTGATATACCTTCTTCGGGGCTGGCAGGGCAACGAAGTCGTACTCCGGTGGTGCGTGCCCCTCGAGCTGTTTGATGGCCATATCAATAGCATCGCTCTTCTCGATTTCCGGAGTGTGCGCGATATTTGCGGAACGCAAACGGGACGCTCTGTGAGGCGAACTACTCGATCGAGAGCGGAGATGCTCCTTGACCGGCACTTGACCAAGGTGGAGTTGCGATTCGCGCAGAGGCCAGTCCCCAGGTTGGGGCATAGAAGGAACTGGAGGCATGTCGTTCATCAACGTAGCTCGGGTGGGATCCCAAAGCGAAGACTGTGACCTGTTCGAGGGCCGCGAACTGCTTCTGATCGAACCATCGTTCGAGTACGACGGGCGTTTGATCTTCCAGTGACCGGTCTTATCATCGATCTCCATTACGGATGACTGGAAGCGGAGTGAGTCTGCTAAAGTGCGTGTATCTTCGAAGATAGAAGCCCCGTACACATGCAGGGTCTCATTTGAGTTGACAGAGTTGGCACTTCCGGTAGGCCCGGAGTGACGCTTGAGTCTGGTCTCGTTGCCAATAACGTCCACATTATAGTGGCTCTCGCGGTATGCTCTATAATCTCCTGGCTTTTTCGCCCCATCAGGAACATAGAAGCGAAGGTCGACACGCATGATAGCGTAGAAGATGACGACCAGAAGTTCGGTCAGGAAGTTGAAGCAATAAAAGCTGGCCTTGGAAAAGTACCATGGAATTGCGTTGTACTGACCTTGAGCAGTGCGGAGCGGAATCTCTGGGAACGACCCGGTAATGGTACGGAAGCACTGACCAAGAGCCAAAATTGAACTCCCAATGAAGAGCACAGCGATAGCGTTCCTTAGACGGCCGGCACCAAACTTCTCCGTACCCCTACGGGGTATGACGAAGGATATAAGTAACATAACAAGTGGTGCAAGAGTAAATGCGCCGAAATATGTGAATGCCGCAAGCTGCAGATCCCGATCAATTCGAAGTATAGTGGGGTCCAAGGTGAAGAATTGCTGGATGGAAGCCACGATAATCATGAGCAACGCAAGGATGAGTGTGATCATACTGCCGCGATGCAGGATCCGGTAGGGAGTCGACCATCCAATGTGCGGATGCTGGGCTCGGATAACGCGTTGGGTGAAGAACCAGTTACAAAGGTAGAGAATGATCGTTCCAACGTATACGAAGACTTGTGCTGCAATCCCCAGGCTGGTATTGCTCGGATAGCATGCCCAGGCTATTCTCATGGACATGGTAATCAATCGAACCTTGCAGAATCCTAGCGTACAGTCAGTATATGACGCCTTGTCATGGTAAGGGTGAAGCTACCGAATAGCGCTCCGTTGAATATGAACTTGTGTCCTCGGTGTTTGTTGTATTTCATGATCTTGATGTGGATTACAGCGAAGATGAGATACAGGAACAGGAAGACTGAAGTTATTGGTATGTCTGGGATTTTCGCGGGCATACCGCCCAGGCCGATGAAACGAGGCGCATACGGCGCATGTTGTGGTGGGCCCTTTTGAGGTGTCAACTATTGTACATGGATGCAGTCACACGCAGTCACTTACAGCTTGTCCTGGACCACCGGTGGAAGACATATTCAGCAAACGACACGTTGGGTATGACGGCTAGGCAAAAGAATTAATAGCAAGAGCAGAGAGTCTGGGGCATATATCAGACCTTCAGCTCACTGCTCCCACATGTGGTGGGGCCGGGAACGGCTCAAGCTTGCCTTGGAACCATGAATAGCTCTGGCGTGGCTCTGATGAATGACCACGACGCACATGAAACGGAGAAAGAAACCAATCGAAGACTAATAGCCTAGTCGAATGTGGTGGAAGGCGTACTGCAGTCCCTGGCCCGGCCCAAGATTACACGTCTGCGCCTTCCTGGAACGGGGAACCGGCGATGCTTTGTGCGTGTAATGAGAAGCGAGTGCATGCAGCCCGTGGCAACGTTGTAGAATGCGGGTTCTACTCTCCCACATGTGTACAGTCCATAGCAGCAGCCACCAGAGACCAAACGAGAGCTTTCCGGATTGCCAATTCAGCTGTTTCGAAACCGTTTTGGCAGACCCTTGCGACACATGGCCAGGCATGGTCTCACCGCGTGTTGACGTGAGGCCTGAGCATCGGCTCTCCTCATCGTAGCCGGTGTAGATCAATGGCGCTCGGATGACACAACCGTGGTGTTGAGTGGTGGAGACGGCTGTCGGTGCACGGGCACCTGGCCTCCGCGATTGACGTTTCCATCGGCGACAGGGCCTTGTTTGCCCCGAAACCACAGGGCAAGAAGCACACTACGAGCATTCGAGATGCTGTTGGAATCGTCGCCTTGAGACGGAAAGCGGGTGCAGCCTGTCTTGCCACGGCGGTCAGACCTACGCGAGATGCCAGACAACGGAACAAGCACGACGTTGAGCAGTAGCGACCTCCAGCTGCATGCAACTCCATCATCGCACCCACGCATATGGGAAAGCACATGCAGATTCGTGATATGTACAGCGTCCAAACCATGCATCTTTTACCTGTTCCAACTCCAACCTACAATTTCGCGAACACAGTAGGCACCTCACCGCCCATATCTACGAGCGTGCTCTTGTTCTTCACCCACGCCTCAAGGCCCTTCCTTCCATTCTCCACGCCAACTCCGCTCAGCTTCCACCCTCCCACACTCATCTCCGCAGGGCTTTCACCCCAGGTGTTTACCCATGTGATGCCGGCCTCCAGTTGCCCAATGACCTGGTGCGCAAGGTTCACGTCTCTCGTAAAGACGCCCGCGGCGAGGCCAACGTTCGTGTTGTTTGCGCGTGCGATCAGCGAAGCTATGTCGTTGTCAGGATAGGGAAGCAGAGACATGACGGGACCGAAGATCTCTTCTTGTACAATGCGCATCTTGTCGTTGCAGTCGGTAAATATGGTAGGAGCGACCCAGTAGCCGTTTTGGTAGTCCTTTTGCTTGTGAGACGAGAGCCATGTGGGCTTCTCCGGCCCTCCACAGAGCAGCTTCGCCTTGTCCACTTCAATGCCGTGCTTGATGTACGAGAGGACCTTTTCGTAATGCGGTTTGCTGACCAATGGGCCAAAGTTGGTTTTCGGATCCGACACATCGCCAGCCCGGATGTGCTTCATCTTGTCGAGCAATTTCTTCTCGAAGACAGACTTTATTGACTGCGGGACGAAGACTCTGGTTCCGTTGGTGCAAACTTGGCCGGTCGAAAAGAAGTTGGCCATCATGGCGCCGTCAACTGCTTGGTCGATATCGGCATCGGGGAGGATGATGCAGGCGGATTTGCCGCCGAGCTCCATGGTCACGTACTTCATGCCGCCCGCGGCACTCCCCGCGACCTTTTGTCCTGTCGAAACCTGACCTGTGAAGCTGACCTTGGCAATGACCGGGTGTTTTGTGAGATATGCGCCTACGTCGCCTCCTCCTTGCACGACATTGAACACACCAGGAGGAACGCCGGCCTCAGCATATATTTCCGCCAGCAGTGTGGAATGAAGCGGCGTGAATTCAGACGGCTTGTACACCATGGTGTTGCCGGCGGCAAGGCAGGGCGCAGACTTCCACAAAGCAATCTGAATGGGATAGTTCCACGCGCCTATGCCTGCACATACTCCGAGCGCGTTCTTGGTAGTGTATACCCACGCATTCGGGCGCAATTGTATCGTCTCGCCGTTCAATCCGCCGCCTCCGACCATGTTCGCATAGTATTCGAGCACATCGCCTCCAGTCACGACATCTACCGTCGACGTCTCAGAGAAGGCCTTGCCCGTGTCATGTGTTTCTACCTTAGCTAGCTCGTCGTTCCGCGAGCGGAGGATGGCGGCAGCCTTCTGGAGGATACGTGCGCGCTCGATGTGTGGTGTCGCGGACCATGCGGGGAACGCTTTTTGTGCAGATGCGACTGCGGCGTCTATGGCGGATGGAGAGGTGGTGTGGATGTTTGCTAGGGGCTTTGCGGTGGCGGGATCAAGAGTCTGGAAGGAGGAGGTCGAGGTCGCGGACTGGAGCTTGCCGTCGTAGTAGGCAAACCGCGGTGGGTAGGGAAGCGACATGTTGTCGTCTTGGACGAATGGCATATGTGCTGTGCAGCAACGAGGCACCAGGATCAATGATCAATTGCTGCAATCCGCAAGTGGCCACTCACATGGACAAGGAAGCTCCCGACGGACGTCTGGCGGGGTAGCGCTCTCCCCCTCTCTACGACGATAACGGGCAGCACTCTATCGACACGAAGAGACAATCAGTCCGGTGCGCGGGCGATACGGGACGTCGCGAGAGGCAGCTGCACACGAGGCTGCACGACGATTTCGCACAATTCACGGCGCTGGACAGAGCTACCCCAAGCGCATTGGCGCACGTAGGATCGGCTTGCGTCGGCCGTTGGCGCCAGCCCGCGCCGGGTTAGCGCCGCACCGCTCCTGCAGTCTCTGTGCAGAGGCGAGTGGGGGCGTCCCCATGCTCGCGTCTCCATCAGCTCCAGACGTCGACGCCTTTCCGCCGTGCAGCTCGACGCGCGGGCGACGGGCTTGCAGGGCGCGACGTCTGCTGGCCGACGAGCAGAATGCACCGCCAGACGCTCGGCCGCCACCAACAAGCCCAGGTGCCGGCACGTGGACGACGGCCTGGACCCACCGAAATCCGATGGAGCCATCTCTTATGCGGGTAGCTCGACGACAGGTTCTGCAGTAGCGAGCTGCTTTCTCTTCACCTCGAGTGCACCTCTTCGTCTGTGCTTCCGGTCAGCCCTGGACGGCTCAAGCTGCTCGTTCCATCACAGCCCTGCATTGTCGCGTCGTCGGGTACCGGCCGCTAACACTTTTGCTGGCCGTCTGGTCCCTCAGCGGAGCTATTTAGAACCTCCGCTCCAAAAGTTTTCTCAAAGAGCACACGAGCTCGAGCTTGCTCCCCACTCCATTCTTCCCCAGTGTCTGTAGCCATGGCGCCCACCACCACCACCATCCCCTCCAATGCCCAGTACGACTTTGTCATCGTCGGCGGCGGCACCGCCGGCTGCGTTATTGCCTCGCGCCTCTCTGAATACTTGCCCGATAAGAAGGTCCTGTTGATCGAGGCTGGCCCAAGCGACTTCATGGACGACCGCGTGCTCCTGCTCAAGGACTGGCTCAATCTGCTGGGCGGAGAGCTCGACTATGATTATGGCACCACTGAGCAGCCCATGGGCAACTCGCACATCAGACACTCGCGTGCCAAGGTCCTCGGCGGCTGCTCTTCTCACAACACCTTGATCTCTTTCAGGCCGTTTGAATACGACTGCAAGAGGTGGGAGGCTCAGGGCTGCAAGGGCTGGACCTTCAAGACCTTCACCCGCGTCTTGGACAACCTGCGCAACACCGTCCAGCCTGTGCACGAGAAGCACCGGAACCAGCTGTGCCTGGACTGGGTCAACTCTTGCTCCACGGCCCTCGACATCCCCGTCATCCACGACTTCAACCACGAGATCAAGACCAAGGGCGGTCTCAAGCCCAGCGTCGGATTCTTCTCCGTCTCATACAATCCCGACGATGGCCGACGAAGCAGCGCTTCCGTAGCCTACATCCACCCCATCCTCCGCGAAGAGGAGAAGCGGGAGAACCTCACAGTCCTGACCAACGCATGGGTCAGCAAGATCAACGTCCAAGGCTCCAAGGTCCTCGGCGTGAACGTGACGCTCCAGAACGGCGAGCAGCGTGTCCTCTCCCCCAATTGCGAGACCATCCTCTGTGCCGGCGCCGTCGACACACCTCGCCTCATGTTGCTCTCTGGTCTCGGTCCCAAGGACCAGCTCTCTTCCCTCAACATTCCTGTTGTCAAGAACATACCGGGCGTTGGCGAGAACCTCCTCGATCACCCCGAGAGCATCATCATCTGGGAGCTGAACAAGCCGGTGCCTCAGAACCAGACCACCATGGACTCGGACGCTGGTATTTTCCTGCGCCGCGAAGTCCCCAACGCGGCGGGCGGAGACAGCGACTGGGCAGATGTGATGATGCACTGCTACCAGATTCCCTTCTGCCTAAACACGTCAAGGTAAGTCTGCCCCTACTTGTAGACATCCAACCCTCAACTAACAGTCCCTCACAGACTCGGCTACGACACCCCCATCGATGCCTTCTGCATGACCCCAACATCCCCGCCCCGCTCCCGAGGCCGCGTCTACCTCACCTCCTCCGATCCCACCATCAAGCCCGCCCTCGACTTCCGCTACTTCACCGACCCGGAAGGCTACGACGCCGCCACCATCGTCGCCGGTCTCAAAGCCGCGCGCCAAGTCGCTCAACAAGCCCCCTTCAAGGACTGGCTCAAGCGCGAAGTTGCGCCGGGTCCAGATGTCCAGACCGATGAGCAGCTCTCCGAGTACGGCCGCCGCGTCGCGCATACCGTGTACCATCCCGCTGGTACGACCAAGATGGGCGATGTTAGCAAGGATGAGTACGCTGTCGTAGATCACGAGTTGAAAGTCAGGGGTCTGCAGGGTGTGAGGATTGCGGATGCGGGTGTCTTCCCCGAGATGCCGACCATCAACCCTATGTTGACGGTTTTGGGTATCGGCGAGAGGGCGGCTGAGCTGATTGCCCAGGAGTGGGGATGGAAGGGCTTGGAGAAGCAGAAGTTGTAGACGGTCGTCACATGAGGCATGCCAGTGCGGTCGCAGAATTTGGGTTGATTATCTGTTCGATGTATCTATGTAGCTTTATGTTCCGTCCAATCTATACGAAATGATAACGACATCAACAAATGAGATCCAATCCTATTCTCCCACCTCTCCTCTGAATGCAATGCATTGGAAGCCTAAGCGACTAGTCTGTTGCTTGGGCGATAGTGAGGAACGGCAGACCAATACTCCGGATACACATGTCCCGGAGAAAATAACAAGTCGACCAATGTCGGAAATCTCACGTTGTACATCTACAGCAAGTATGAGGTAGATAGAATGCAGTTTTTTTGTCTATATGAGCTATAATAAACATGACTTTTACTGTGAAAAATTGTTCGCATTGCTAAACAGCTTCCCAACGGAGAGCTCAGCTCTTGCAGAAGTGAGCCGGCAATTGTGCAGCTCGCACACATTACTCGAAAATGCCAGTCTAATAGGACCAAGCCGAAGATCGGTAGCCCAAGTGATTCTCGTCCTGGGTATCAGCATACGTTGGCAGTGGATTCCAGTTTCCACTGCTGGAGGACAAATGACAAAAAGAAACTGACCCATAACGAAATGTCTATATCAGTACGCCGGTGATGATGGAGTATGCCTTGGTTTTGTTGCTGGCTTCAGAAGAAAGCGAGCGACAGCGGCGATAGAGGAACAGGGTTGCCGTGGTTGCTCACCAGCGGCTGTTGCGGACAGGAGCGTTGTTACCGCCAGTCCAGCCTGTTACCGAATTAGCATCCACTACTTCCCAAACACGACTCAGGACGGCTTACCGCCTCCACCGCGGCCACGGCCACGACCGCCTCCCCAGCGACCACCGCCACCTCCACCGCCGCCATAGCGAGCCATCTCGTGAAGGCGAGGATCAATCTGCTGCTTGGACTCGGTGAGTATACCGACGAGGTCACGAGCTTGCTTGGAGTCTGGAGGATTGTTAGCCTTTTTCAACATGCGGAACTGACTGACTTACTCTCAGTGGTGAAGAAGGTGATGGCGGTACCCTTGGCACCAGCACGACCAGTACGACCAATACGGTGAACATAGTCCTCCGAGTTGTTCGGGTAGTCATAGTTGAGCACATGGGTAATGTTACGAACATCTTGAGCGCGAAATGTTAGCATGAAAATCAAGCAGGCGAGTAAAAGACGACCAAGAAACGTCGCGTGAAGCTGCAGTATGTTGCATGCAACCGTCTCTGTGCGCTACAAGTGGTCATGGCATCCGGGTCCAATAGATATGGCTGTGACTGTCTCCTGGCCAGAGAACCTTGGAAGAGACTACAACTTGCGAAAACGCAAACATCTCAACTTGCCTCAGGAGTATCTGGACGATACTTGAAACAAAAGACGATGAAGGAAGCTTCACCGGCATGTCCAAGGAACCCTGGTGATCAGATTCGAGAAACGTAAAGCCCTGGACGATGTCATGGGAACAAAAGCAGCGAGCGCACGAGACGACCTAAGCAGAGCATCTAACAGATCACGCATAATAATACCCGGTGCGGTCAATGGAGGGGGGTGCGGGGGGTTTTCAATCATACCAATACCACGGGAAGCCACGTCGGTGGCAACCATGATGGGGCTCTTGCCCGTCTTGAATTCGTTCAACACCCAGTCACGCTCGTTCTGCTGCTTATCTCCGTGGATGGCTAAGGATACGTTAGCCCATACAATATCGAGAAAAGGCAAAAGGAACTTACAAAGCGCTGGCCATCCGTCTTGCCGGAGGAATCGAGTAATCTCGTCAGCAACACGCTTGGTACCTGTGAAGACCAAGACCTTGTTTTCCTTATCGTTCATGATAGTCTCAAGATGCTTGCTCATCCTGTCGCGCTTCTCGAAATCGGTAACAACTTCAACAATTTGTTGAATGCGGTGGTTAGCAGAAAGTTCCATGGAGCCAATGTTGACCTGTATGAAGTCTTTCTGATAGTCAGCAGCAAGCTGACGCACTTCCTTGGGCCAGGTAGCCGACCACATGCACGTTTGACGGTCCGGACGGATCTGGCCAATGATCTTGCGAATCTGAGGCTCGAAACCCATGTCAAGCATACGATCAGCCTCATCAAGGACCAAGTAGGTAACACGGCGCAAGTTGGTTTTGCCAGCCTCGAGCATATCAATCAGACGACCGGGCGTAGCAATGCACACCTCGACACCGCGGGCAAGGTCGCGGATTTGCGGACCCTTGGGCACACCTCCGTAGACGCAGGTATTCCTGATTCTGGAGGACTTTCCAAATTTGCTGATTTCTTGTTGAATCTGGACGGCCAATTCACGAGTGGGAGCAAGGATCAAGACGATCGGTCCGTCGCCAGGGGCAAGCAGAGGCTGAGCGTTGATGTGAACGATAGCCGGAAGACAGTAGGTGAGCGTCTTTCCAGAGCCTGTCTCGGCGACACCGACGACATCGCGTCCAGACAAAGCCATAGGCCAACCCTGGGACTGGATAGCCGTGGGTTTGGCGAAACCCTGCGCCTTGACCTCGCTCATAACGTATGAAGGAAAACCAGCTTCGTCGAACGTGGTTACAGGTCGGGGGACCTGTTTGCCCTGCACAGTAATTTCCTTCTCCTTGCGGAACTCTAGGACTTCGGACTCTGGGCGGCTGCTCACAGCTGGGTCCTCCTTATAGAACGATTTCTCGAACTTCGGAAGGGTGTCAAGATCTTTCCGTACCGTTAGCTGTATCGTGAATAAGGTTACATTTGTGCACATACCCCAGTTTTGTTGCTGAAGACCATCGCCGAGGTTATTCATTCTGTCACCGCCGCCGCCAAATCCTCCGCCGCGTCGGTCACCACCATAACCTCCACCTCCACCTCCATAACCGCCTCCGCCGCCACCGCTGTAGCTGTTGGAACCGCTGTATCTAAGGTCAAGTTAGCAAACGTGCTCAAATAGGAACAAGACAGGGCTTCTACGTCAATGCAGAGAGTATCTGACTGGCCGACTGTAGTGCGTGGGCTCCTTGAGCCGCTGCTCGAGTCGCGTCGTTACTCCTTCTGCACGTAGAAGAGATGAGCAAAGAAAATGCAAGATGTATGGGGCCGCCGATAAACCACGCCGATGATGCCTACCCATAAGCATATTGGCCGCCGGAATAATCGTAATACGCGGATCCACCATATCCTCCAGCAGTCGTGTCGTACCCGTTGCCGTTCGAGTGTCCACCGCCGCCATGGCGTCCACCGCCGTAGCTGCCGCCGTAGCCGCCGCCGCCGCCTCCGTACGACATGTTATATAGAGGGAAAGGGGTGGGTCGTTGGATAACGCCGCTTGGGTCAAGTAGGCCGGGGACTGGACGAGTGCCGGTCGTAAATAAGTGCAGCGCGAGAAACGGGCTGCAAGAAAGGAGTGGGCGTGTGTCGATTTGACACGTCGAGAGAGAAGTGTGTTTTCGGGTGTAAGAGAGGTGTGTTGGAAGGGACGGCAGAGGCGAGGCAGAACATTTGAAAAAGTCAGTCGCAAACGCTAACAGGCAGGCGCTAGTCTCGTCGCGGAGGCAGGGGCGACAGCTTATCTTATCAGGCTTGGCACGTCTTGTGCGACCCGTTCAGTGGCAACATCGCTTCGGCTTCGTTTTCCGCGCTATGTGCCTTCAGTGGAACCTAGTGACGCGAAGTACCAAGGTAGACCCATTACTCTCTAGTTGTGTCTATGGTGATGCTGCGCCCAGTCCCATATCCCAGAATCCCTTCTCCATCTGCAATTATCAGCGAGCGTTCTTGCGCTGTCCACATACCGGCTACTCACGTTCGTCGCATGTATAAATATCTGAGCCAACTCATCTATGCGCGATGCACTTTGCTTCCGCGCATATGTCTCGATCAGGTCTGGCATGTCAGCTCACGAATGCCATGCCACCATCACACCTTGGCTTACCTCGTCCAATGTTCATCGCTTTGAGATAATCCTCCGCTACATAGGTCTCGATCCACTTCCAGTACCTGCTCCCGCCTCGCACTGTGTTTGGATCATTGTACAATCGCCGGGCAATGATGCCATATCCGATCAGGCAAGGTAGGAGAGCAACTTGAAGCGCGAGCCAGTCCTCAGATTGTCCGATGTCTAAGACGTATCTTCAAGATATCAGCCACGTACAACGAGATACAAGAAAGGGCGAACCTTGTGTATGCGGTGCATGCTAGGGACTGTTAGACCAGCTCGCTCTTCCGTTCTCATGGAAACTCACCTTGATCTTCTTCTTGCTGTTCTATGTTTTCCGTTGCCAACCCGTACTCTCTACAAAACTCAATGTGGAGCTTGATCTCCGCCTGTAGGTGTAGGACTTGCTGCGCAGACTATGCCCTGTTAATTCAGCTCGCAAAAGCGTGTAGATTCACTCACGCGGCTTATATCAGCTATCGACTTCGACTTGTACGAGGCTAGTGCATTCGCTCGTGCAAAATGAACCTGCTGCATGTCAGCTTGTGTGATGAGCTCCTCCAGGATATCTTACTAGGAACAGATAGTCTTGAATCAAATAGTGCTTGAAGTTGGCGATGGGTAATGTTCCATCAGCCATGCGCCGCACAAAGTCATGACTGGTAGAGATACGATCAGCGAATGCGGACCTTGCAATGGACGTGATACTCACTGTGTATACTTCTGCCAAGGTCCTCTCACGTCTTCGCGGCTAAGCAAGTAGTCAATGAAGCTGCCGCTAATGCATGTCAGTAAGACCTCACAAAGCGAGTCTACGGAACTTACGGAGCGAACGGCAATGTGTAGGTCGAATGAAAATGGTTGATGGGGCCACAACCTTTTCCAATATCCACGCTCGTTCTAATTCCCGCCTCGATATACAGATTAGCTTTTCGGACAGCGCTCTTCATGTCCATGCCCAAAGCGAGGTTGCAGGCAATTGCAGCTATGTCGTCAATTAGCATTGTGCATCCGTACATATGTTCACAACTTACAAGCAAGCGAACACCCGGTCCCATGTGTATTGCGGCTCTTCAGATACGCTGTCTCGTCAACAGTCACATCAATCCCGTTGCCGACCAACACATTCAGTACAATGTTTTTCTCCGCTTCATCTTTCGACACGAGTCTGTCCTTCGTCATGGGTAAATGTCCGCCTTTGACTAAGACATTTTTAGGTCCCAGCTCTTTGATGGCTTTAGCGATGTTGATAATGTCGTCTACATTCTCTGGCGACTTAAACCTCTTGCCAGCGGTTTTGAGAAGTAGCTCCGCTTCGGGAAGGTTCGGCGTAAGCAGTGTTGATAACGGAAGCAGTGAGCTAATGAGCGTGGAGATCGCTTCTTTGGGGAGCAGAGCAGACCCGCTTGTCGATACCATGACCTGGTACTACTTCAGTGAAAGCTAACATTGCTATTTGGGAAGGCATACAGGATCAACGACAGAAGTGTGGACGTTATGACTGCGGAAGGCGTCGGCAACGACTCGAATTGTGTCCGCAGACGCAAGCATACCTATATCATCAGTATTTTCACTTCTTTAGGATTAGCGAATTCAGTATCACCAGTCTTGACCACATCAACGCCGATATCACCAATGCAGGCATCAATCTGCTTTTGTAAAAATGGCGGTGGCGTGTGATGAACATCTTGCACGCCCAAGGTGTTCTGCGCCGTTAGCGCAGTCGTAGCAGTCATTGCATAACATCCATGAGCTGCAATAACTTTTTGATCTGCTTCTAGGCCGCTACCGTGATAGGTCAGCAAGCGTGTCCCGGGGTAGACGATCTGAATGGCACATACGCTCCGCCCGAGCTATCAGAGCCAGCAATCACTAGTATACGTCTTGGAGACATCGAATCTTCGAGACCAGGATTGTTGGGTTGGCTGCAGCCCTGGTTGAGGGTTCAGAAATGTTCTTCGTATAGCCCCACTAAGCGAGACCAACGTCATCTTAGTGCAGGCACTTCATAACATCTCACATGCAGAGTAGGGATAATATGACTAGTAACGCGAGTGTCCATTGAAAGACCATCCTTTAGTGGTCTCTGTTATTGCGCTTCGCAGCAACGACACACTTTTGTTTGCTAGATCGGAGTGGTAGACATAACGCTCGACGTCTTGGTGCCCACGCTAACAGCGTTCCTGGCGTGACTTGTTCCTCCTGACTTCGCATCGATTCGGAAAGCAAAACTCTTCCTAGTCTGAGTCGCCTTCGAATTCCGATATATTTGGATCTGTAACATAAATGTCAGTTATAGTCACGCGCGACTTCACTTGATCGGTCTCAAAACGTACCTCTCCATGGCGTGTACTCAAGTGTGCCCCCGAGCTTCTCAGCCAGAAGTGTCCTTAAATCACTAATCTCACCTTCATCGATGAGGTTATCGGGATCAGCCATGTCAATCATGATGCGTATTCCCTGATTGGTCGGGCCTAGCTGATGAATGAAGCCGGTGAGCCCAACGATGGTGAACTTCGAAATCCCCGCAAATGCCACGCTCCGCAAGTTCGGAAGCGTACCCACAACTTCCAAGAGGCTATCTGTGATTTCAAGACCGCTCACGTAAAGTTCCACCAGTCGACTTAGATTGCTGACCACACTGATCAGATGTTCTTCGCGAAACATCTCTTGCAACAGTAAGCGGAGGACTTCCATCTGTTGTAGCTCTTTGAGAGAGTCGACCAGGACGTCAACATCATCACGGAACATTCCGTCCGTATCGCCACTGAGCGATAAGTAAGCGAGAGAACCCTTCTGGTGAACAAGTGCCTGATGGAACTGGCGGCTATCTTTCAGACTATAGGAGTCAATCTCTAGTGATCTAAGCTGAATTTTGTGCTCCAAGAGCAACGGCGTGAGAAGTGTTGCAGCAGAGAGTAGGCCCACGAAGCTGATACGGTGTAGTACCTCGCAGCTGCGGAGCCAATTGATCGTCTCCAACAACACATCGTTCTGTGTATCTTCGAGAACAGTCCTGCCATGAACGTCTTCGATGCGCACTTCTTCCAAAGCGGTGCAGCCTGCTAATAGTGACAGATGTGGTAATGAATCGTCGGACACACAAATCCTGCAATTGCGGACATAGTCAGTCGTCAGTTTCCCTATCGTCTCGTGAATGTCCATACGCACTTCAAGCTTTTCAGCGACTGGCTGTGAGCACTGAGCGCGAGGAAAGATTCCGCTGCGGCACCAATGTCGCTGATTGTGTTCAGCTTTTCTAACGTGTTCGGTCGTAATGCTGATAAGAATTGGGCGAACTTGTGATCCCTATCTTCACCAGACCAAAGGAAGATCATAAGAGATTTGAAGTTGGGGCAATTTTCGTGAATAGAGGCCGCGACAAGTCCATCCTCGAGAGTGCTGCCGTCCCACAGCTCCAGTTCTTGAAGGCGGGGCACCCTGGGAGCCCACCGAATCAGGGCCGTAGATGACAACTGACCACTGATCATCTCAAGGGTAGGCGTGTGTTGACTCACTACCTCACCGATTGCGTTGACGATTGACTTGACATTCAATCGTTCGAACTTTCTCCCGTTAAGTAGCGCGACCGTTTCCGTTTTGTGGAACTGTTTCATGGGGCCGTTGAAGAATTGTTTTGATACTTTGGCCGTAAATTGATCGTCTTCAAGCAGATTCTCGAGATCCCGAAAGTCGAGCGCCCTGATATACCGGCAGTATGGGAATAGTGTTGCGTCGAGAGCCGACGCAATTATGGCCTTCCATAGGATGCTGGAGATTACATGGTCTCAGCAAGAAGTTCATACAGATGAGCAGCACACCACCATACGTACGACCATTTTTGTACTATCAACAATCTCATTGAGCGTTGGAACGCGACATCATCTTGGTCCGCCCCACGGATTGGAGCTTTGTGATGAGCACTATGAGATCCGTTAGTCTTGAGACAACATAAAAGCCAGCATCTTTGTTGCAAAGATAGCACTTAGTGTAAGTCTTGCATAAGCGTGCAATATCTCAGATACTTTGCGAGGTGATACAGCACGAACATACCGATACAGGTTGGTCAACGCGGGCACAGCGAGACTTCGGCTAGCGCAAGCGCAGTTGAACAACGCGTCAAATTGATCCTGCTCCGCCAACTGCTCGCACAGCAGGTGTAAGATATCGTCTGGTAGTGCTGGAGCCATATTGATTGTTCTGTTGTTGAGGGCGTGGGTTGTGGACCACACTCGCGAGGACCCAACGACGTCACGAGAACACGCTAGAGCGTCTTCGGCCGACGCGCCTCCCGCAAACGCACATGCGTTCCGCTAACATCTTCCCTCCGATTGGAACACAGCGATATGCTGGCGACCATGATACGCAATGGTCGTACTCAACTTCGCCCTCACGCCTGAAGCAGCGTCCAAGATTCACGATCTACTTGTGTGCCTTGGAAAATTCAGCGACACAGTCGCCATCGAGGCGCGTCGTGAACGAGTACGTTGATATCTCCTCAGTCAGCCTCATCTCATTCCTCTCTGATAGATCACGTTCACCGCTCTCAATTCTTCAAAGTCCGCCTATGCTGCATTGACGCTCAACGGCAAGCAATTCTTCTCCAGCTATGAGTGCATACCCAACCATGGCGGCCCCGACGGACGCTTCACATGCAGCATGTACACCAAAGCTCTCCTTTCGGTTTTCAAAGGGCGCCTGTATGATCCTCTGGGACGAGATGGTGCGATCGACAGGTGTGAGGTAAGCGTTCAGGATCGCGCGGATGAGACGCAATGCCGCTTTATCGTGAAAATGGTGTGCAACCAAGGAGTCATCAAAACCTACAAGCTTACTTACGAAGCTATGGATGTCATGCATGCTCTGTTCGATCGCAACTCCGCGAGGAATCGATGGAGTATGAACGCCGGCGCCATGAAAGAGTACATCGACTTTTTCGGTACCAAAACAGAGATGCTGGATATCTTCGCAGGGGAAGACGGACGTGCTGTATTCAAAAGCTACACGGAGAAGATCGCGAATGGCAAGGAGATACTAAAGCATCCACTGGTAACCGCCGTTGCGGTCAACACATCTGATTTCGAAGAATTCAACGTCCAGCCTGGAATGCACATCGTCATCAGCGTGAAGGACTTCAAGGCGATCGTCATCCACGCTGAGACCCTCAAGACCAGCTTGAAGGCGTACTACTCGCATCCGATGCGCCCACTGCAGTTCAGCTACGGCTGTGACGGTCTCCTGTGTGAATTTACGCTCATGACCTCAGGCGACTATAACGGCACCACGGCACCGCCGATTCCTGCACCTGCTCCCCAGCTAACCAGCAGAGCCGCCGCTCGCGCTGTTTCCACAGCTACCTCAGAGGCCTGCAACAACCGCAGCATGCCACCACCGGTCGAGCCCGCCTCTCGACGGTCTGCCCGCCGCCAGGTGGGCTCACGCCAGCCATCGTCGCCAACTCGGCCGGAAGTCGACCCGGAAAGTCTGTTCGTGAATCAAGGCGAGGAAGGAGACACCCAATGGGAACCCGTGGACTACAACAATGAAGAAGAGGCGCTAGGCTGGGACGCCGGCGCAGATCGAAACGCTGGAAACTTCGCGACCTTTCAAGATAGTGGAAGCTTTTCAAGATCAGATGGAGTGCAAGGGAATGCGGATAGTATGGAAGGCATCGCACCTACGCAACGCGTATCGCAAATTAAGGGCTTGTGGTAGGCGATGCGGTAAGCAACTGATGCGAACCGAGCTTATGAGCTTGACGAATGTACATGTCCAACGCAATAGGGAAGCTGCATGAAGGAGATAATTTGTAGCTTTATTGAAGGAGATTGCATAAACTACCACGAGAGGGATGCAAGTAACTTCTCGCTGCAGCAATAGATAATTTGCTCAAGAGCATAACCATTATTCGTCGAGTTTCTGCTCCGCCCTCTCTCCGAGTATCCTGTACACATCGCGCTCAAGTTCGGGTAACTTCTGAAACCGTCTTAGGAAACCCTCGTCGAGCCGACGGATCAGCTCAAACAGATTGTCGGCCATCGACTTCGCAATCATGTCTTTCATACATCTGTATGCTTCAAGCGGAGTGCCTGCAGTCTCGTAAACCATGAGCGCAAAAAACCAAGCTTCTTCCGGCTGCCACGGTCGCGCTTGCTGCACCTTTGCAACAATATGATCAAGTAGATCTTCTAACACGATCTGGTCCGCAATAGGCCATGCAGCTGCACATTCTGCGATCGCCTTGTCACGATTGTGCTCGTTGATTACAGAATGTCCGAACTGTCCGGTCGACAGAAATTCGGCCACGAACCGGAAATCAACGGGATCAATGTCCTTCAGGCACTGGAGGTCCAATCGTGTAGTGCCGTCATCCATGGTAGCTACGCAACCGATCTTCACGTCAGATAGATGAGGTCGCCGGTCAATTTCCAGTCTGGGGATTAGGAACTCATCCTCTTGTTCTCCGACGTAGACTTTGACCATCTCGGGACTGCTAGACCTGTTAACATCCAAGTCAGAAATGCCCGCTGGATGTTAGTAATGCTTTACGTACAGATCCCCTTCAATAAAATCTAATTTCGCCGTATTCTGACGCCTTGTGCCTGTTGTGGTCGAGCTTGCTGTGCTATCCTTTTCTAAAGAAATCAGGTGATTCCGTAGATCATTCGCATCACTGGTAGAGCAGTACTGAGGAGTAACACGAGCCTTTTTGTAGTCTCTTCGCAGAGATGATGTTGCAAAAGATCTCTTGTTGTTTCCTGTGTTCCAATGAAGGAGGCTCATTTGCTTCGCGATTTCGAACTCGTCTTCATCAGATCCTTCCACAAATTCGTAGTCGGTGCTCGGCGAGGGTGTTGGTAGAAAGTTGGATTTGCGCTGACCTTCAGTGACAAGCCTCCAATGGTCGAGGCTGGATCCCGGCGACTCCATTTCATCGAGGACGCGGTCGTGAGCAGCTTGCAAAGCCTTGTTCGAGTGTCCTGCCATAGGTACAAAGTCATGCATATCTGTTGAGGCGGCATAATAACTATAGAGATCAGCCTCAAATTCATTAGATATATTGACATGGACCCACAACTCCAATGTCACATCAATCAAAAGCACAAGAGTGAGGTATCCATTCGGCCTTTGTAAGCTTCTAGGACCCATATCATCTGTACATATTACTCCAGGCCAGTCGGGTTTTCCTATGCACTTGAGGAGCACGTACTCTCCGGGCGATGGTGTGCGAGCCATTGCTTACGTGAGAAAGTTATGGTGCCTGAAATGGTGACCTGGAAGAGGATCGCGTGCAAAGGCCAGGGTCCATAAGTTCACCCACAGTGATTGTCGATATCGTGGTGGAGCAGAGAAGGGCTTATCATGAACAAGCAAGAACATTGTCGAGGAGGTCAGAGGATGTAGAGAAGAGAGATCTAGGTCACATGTCTATTGCGCCGTGGTGCAGGTGGGCGAGCAGTAAAAAATGGTGAAAATACGTTGCAATCGGAGCAATCGGAGGTGAGAGAAATCGAGTCAGGGTAATCCATCGTAGATGGAGCCGACATGTTTAAGGCCAAAAATATTTCTCGGGAGCATGGTATCGTAGAGAGGTGCCGTGAAAGTCGGCTGCATGTGGTTGTAGAACGGCTTAGTCATACACCATGTGCAAGGGTACACCAACCAATCACTCGAGTTCAGGAACATCTGGCATCAAGCTTCCCCTCTGCAACAGCACAACGCGCCAACTTCCCTCACGATTCCATGATTCTCCAGAATATTGTCACCCCAGGGACTTGAGGCCACGAGCGCGCAAATCTCTTCAAGACCTCCGCAAGACAAGCTGCGCCCACGATTCACTACCGCTCGACCTTCAATCTCTGATTGTTCCCGCCGCAAAGATGATGGGCATTGCGAACATGCAGCCACGGCAGCTGGCCACACAGCTCCTCAATTTCGCGCTCGTTCTCTCTACCGCTTTCATGCTGTGGAAAGGAATCTCCGTTGTCTCAGACTCGCCGTCACCCATTGTCGTTGTGCTGTCAGGATCCATGGAGCCCGCCTTCCAAAGAGGAGATTTGTTGTTTTTGTGGAATCGAGGGATGGACACACAATTGGGAGAGGTTGTCGTGTATAACGTGAAGGGGAAGGACATTCCGATTGTGCATCGTGTGGTGCGGAGATTTGGTGGAGGGTAAGACAGCACCGCGCGCAAGCTGCATGAGGCTTCTGGCGAGCTTGGCACACCTCCTCATCCAGCTGCAGTCGCACTTGTCATACCCTTATAGATTGACTTGCTAACATTATATCGTGCAGGAAATCGCCGCTCCGGCTCCTCACAAAAGGCGACAACAACCTCGCGGACGACACCGAGCTCTATGCTGCGGGCCAAACCCATCTAAACCGCAAGGAGGACGTCATCGGTAGTGTCGTTGGGTTTATTCCCTTTGTCGGCTACGTCACGATTCTGCTGAGTGAATACCCGTGGCTAAAACAAGCCATGTTGGGCATAATGGGGTTGATGGTGGTATTGCAGCGCGAGTAGACGTGGGGGACCCATTGAAGTAAGAGGGCACCAATTGAGGGAAGAAAACTCTATGACACAGAGGGCACCCTGTTATGCACCATGGCTTGACGAATGGACAGTGTATCCCGACTTTTTACTGGGGTCGGTCACCACTTATCCCATTTCCGACACCTTACGAAGCGTGGCGTTCAGGATTGTTATTGGCTCCAGCAGTTAAAATTCGAAGAGATATCCAGCTACTATTACGTAGTTTAACTTCGTGTTATCATGCGTTCTCATATCCTACTATGTCGTGCCTCATACCATCTTGTCACCATCCATGCTTCTTTGCTGCCAGCTCTCATGTACACGATGTCCACTCAGCAGACCGTGTTCTTCGACTACACACCTTCGCACATACTATTTGTTACGCATGTCCGAACCTTCCCATAAGTCCAGAGTGTCCCCGAACAGCAAAAACTAACACGCGGCTATCCAGACACTATCTCACCATCTGACACCACCGCCAGACACCGCCCAAAAAGCATGCGTTGTAAGGGGATTGAACCCTTGACCCCCGCCTCTAGCTGCAATCGCTGGGAAGGCGGTATCCTAACCACTGGACCAACAACGCTTCCAATGCGCTGATCTATGTGATGAATCCTTTTCAACGCTACTATTACATATACTAAGCACTCACGACCAGGGAAGACAGAAGCTAGCGCCAGGCGTCGAAAAGAAGCAATTTCATAGAGCGAGGGTGGACTACAAGAAAATAAAACTGGGAGTGTGCGTTTGTCGCTGCGGCTTTCCGATGAGGCGGTCAAGGTAGGCTCGGAACACGCGAAGAGATGACAAGACAGATCTATTCAGGCGGGATGCTTTTGCGTGGGAATTGACTATCATCTACCTTTCCCTGACTGTCAGATTGAACGTTCACGGTGGATTATTGCAGTGTGGTATAGCTATCGTAGTAAAGCTTCCTACGATTGGGTGCAGTCAGAATACAGGTCTGTTTGAGAAGTACGCGATATGTGGAATCTGCGGAAAACGAGAAACCTTTGGTGAGCATCGAGGACATCCAACAGCCAGGAACATAATATCCAAACAGAGCAGCATGCCTGCCCATCTGTTTTCTACTTGTGTAGCGGAGCATGCCCCACCAGACTTAGGGATCCAAACTACGCGAGCCATGAGCAGCTCTACGCCGACACTTTGCGGTAGCAACACATCGACAAACAACCATCCCAGTAACACTCACAGGCAGTCACAGCATATTGCAAAGGTATAACAGCACATTTTCGTTCCGCAGATAACTAGTGTACATGGTAGTCATGAGCCTCGTGATGTATCCTGCGCCCGAGGTTGCTGGGACGCCCAAACATCATTGAGAAGCCTCATGCAAAAGCTTCCTGCGGTCTTCTGAAAATCACCGAGACGTGAAAGCTACCCCGAGGGACCCACCCTGGAATAAGAGATGACAGATGAGAGTAACATGAAAACCGATCCAGTATCCCAAGCCGTGACACCCGCAGAGGTCGATAGATGGAGGGATGAAGTTCAAGACAGAGGCTGAACAGACACGAACTGGTCAATAGCCAGCAGCCTATTCGGACTCCTCTTCCTCCTCCTCGGCAGCGTTCTATATGCGGTCAGTTGCAGTGCGCCAGATGGGTGAAGTTAGCAACTCACGGCGTAGGCGACCTTCTCCTCCTCGTACCGCTTCTTGTCAGCGGCGGCCTTGGCCTCGTAGGGCTGGCGCTGCTTCTCGGAGAGGGTCTTCCACTTCTCACCAAGCATCTTGCCGACCTCGCCTGATGGCGGTTAGAAAGGTAAGAGCCCACGGCAGACAATGACTTACCGAACTTGATGCCGGGGTTCTCCTCACGGACCTTGTCGCGCTGGTCGTTGGCGAAGAACATGTAGGCAGAAAGACCGCGCTTGGGTGCGTTGGGGTCTGCTGCCGTCAGAACCAGAGCGAGTAAGTGCAGGGCATGTGGGACTTACCCTTCTTCTTCTTGCCAGAATCGGCCTTGGCGGCCTTGCCCTTGCCGCGAGTAGACTTCTCCTTGGGCATGTTGATGTAGGTAGCTGTTTAAGCTGGCTGCAGAGGTCAGAGAAGCGTTGGGTTGAAGCGAATTGAGGGGGACGCGGTGATGAGGAAAAGCAGGGGGCGCGGCACGGTTTATAGGTGGGTGGGGTGAGAGTAGAGCAGGTGCTGGGGCAAACGCAGACAGCTGCTGCCGTGCGTGGTGACGTGCGCGCGTGTGGAAGCGTCGCGAGAATGCGCGGTAAGAGTAGCAAGCAAGAGGGGGTACTTACGGATGTCTTTGGAAATGCGTGAGAAATGGCCGTTGACAGAAGTCTGCAGTGTATCAGTGCTGCTATGCGCGCGAAGCTGATGACGGCGACGACGAAGAAAACGGAACGCGATGACGCTCCCAAGAAGCAAAGGATGGAGCTGCAGAGGGCATTGTCGCGTGAAAACGCGTAAAAAAAGAGTGGTTGTGTTGCGCGCGCAATGCTGCTGCTGGGCGAGGCATATTGGGGTACGCGAGACTCACCTAAGGCGTGGGCACGGCGGAAGTTGAGTAGACAAGTTGTTAGGAGGTGAGGAGACGACTCTCTGCGAGCGCAGCAGCGGCGACCTGCCCGGTACTGAAAAGAGCAGGCGCCGCGCTTGGCTCGTGCCTGCTTCTTCCGGCCGCTAAACAGTCTTCAATCATAACAGGACCCCCTCACCAACGCTGGCACGCAGCTGTCCACGCCGCGCCCGCCGCCGCGCATCCGCCGTGCACCACCTGGAAGACGAGCAGAGCACCGCGCTGCACTCTCCGCGGTCGCTCCGCTCGTTGCGCCGGCCGCTCTGCGCGCTGCGATGCTGCGCTCTTGCCGGCGCTGTCTGTCGGGCGTCGGCGAGGGCGCCTCCATTCCTGCCCGGTGCCTCGTTTCATGCAAGCAATCGACAGAGCAACCGACAGAGCAACCGACAGAGCAACGTTATTCGTCCTGCGCGAAATTGACGCTCCAGCTCGCCGCTTGCTGCGTGTCCGGCACGGCTGGCCTCGTCAGACAGCAACACGACGCGGTATATCCACGAGTGTCCATCCCTCTGCTCCATGCACTCTAGGGCTCACTCGAGCCACCGAGTCCAGACGCGCTCGGCAAATGGCCTGGGCTAATCACGTCGCGCATGCGCCTCTTGCAGCGCGCAGCGACCAAGCAAGCCGCGCACCATTGTCCATGCTCCCAAGTTGCAGCCGTCCTACGACGCCCAGCCATGAAGCTCCTCCGCCGCCGCTTTCGTCGGTCTCCGCCTAACTGCAACCGTCAGCCCAGCGACCGCGTTGCTGCACAGCTACCAGAGGAACGTGCTCACTTCACGTGCACCCTTGCTGCCCGCATCACTCATCCGACCCGCCATCGTCGTGTTTTGGAGCACGGCTGGGGACGAAGGAACTCGTGTTCCAATGCGACTTCACCTTGAGTGACATTGCTACTACCTACGGCACCCTTGCCCTCTACCACCGTGCGTGCGAGCCAGCCAATAGCGAACTGACCACCATATCTTACTTGTTGCTGGCGAACGATTGCGCCGTGAGCTGTCGTCGCCATCCTAGTTTGAATCCATCCATCAAACAATCAATCCTCGACGGGAAAGTCAATGGCCAATTTGGTGCACTGAGCTTCATTCATCGTCCATGACCAGTTCACGCAGCTCTTTGTCAGCTGCCCAGTTGATGCCACTTCCAACGACCATCGCAGATAGAATGCCCTTGATGATTGTCGCTCTTCTACGTGACGCTTGAACATCTCTCTCCGCTTTCTCAACTTGCGCTCGGAGTGAAGCATCTACAATATCTTCGATCGACTGCGCCTTCACTTCTTCAGCCAGCTTCAAGACCATCCTGGATTGGTTGCGGTTCTCCTTATTGATCGTGATATTGCCCTGCTCAGCAGCGCTCAAGGCACGTTGATCGTTTGCTAGTTGCGTGGCCAACAAGCCATGGACCATCGATAGGGCATCGTTTTCGGTGACAAGAGGCAATACACGCCTGTAAGCCATCAGCTTGCGTAGATCATCTCACACATGTCAACATACTTTTCGACGGTATGCTGCTGGCCGCCATGAACAGCCTTGAGGACGGGATCCATGACCAACACATTGTGGGCTATCCTGTTTCGAATTTCGAATGTTGCCTTGGCTTCCATGGCTTCGCGCTCTGCGGTCATCAGGTGCTCTTGTAAGACATCATCTGATAGCGATGAGACGTCAGATACGTCTGCCAATTAAACATTAAATCTACGTCTTTCTCTTTACCCATGACCAGAATCGCGATATACCTTTGGCATGTGCCTGGAGGAGGCTCTTTTCTAATTCAAGCTCCCTCAGCTGGTCGTAGAGCTGCAGCGCCAGTTGCTCTGTGTCCGAGAACGCGAACGCGTCAGAGTGAGCTGTCTGGAGCAGATCGGAATAGTCGTTCGCGCCGATCGCTTTCGTTGTCGCACTATCTGCCATGGGAACATCGTTTGAAGTTGCCATGACCGCACAAAGAAATCAAGTATCACCTGGGAAACATCACTGAGCGCGTTGCAGCCTCGGTGGGCCCGTGCCGCTGATCCCTGCAACCCACGCGCCTTAGCGGTCCGTATGCCTAACGCCGCGCACTTCCTACACTCGAGCTCTCTTCCTCCTCCACGAGCTGATCAGGCAACAACCTGTATAGTTGAAGCGGGCGCCGAATGTCGCTGCAGATAGCTGTAGCTCATACGGGCCAGCGCTTGGACGCTGATCCCGTGGGCTTTAACTCGGTCGATGCGTTGAAGCAGTGGATCGCAACCGTTGTAGACATACCACCCGAGCACCAGATACTACTGACGCCGCGAGGAAAGCATGCGAAGCTGCAGACGCTACTTACAGAGGTACTGGAAGCTCCTCTTGGTTTCTAGGTTTTGACTCCACGCTGACACCATCATAGAAAGAGCTATTCGTCTACGATCGCGAACTCTCCTCAGTGTCCCAGGCTACTTCCACTGAAGCGCCGCTTCCTGAACCCTTCACCCCCGATGACCCGCCCGATACTTTGTCCAGTCACACCGATCTCAGAGCATGGCAAACACTATTCCAGGCCCGCCGCGACTGGGCCTTTGCCGTCCTGGAGCAGGCACTCTCCATGTCACGCGTGGCTTCGCAGACCTTCGCCGAGCAAGCAACTATAGAGAAGGCAACACAGGTCGCTGTCGGAAATCCTGGTGCACATATGAAGGGCTTGGAGCAGAAGCACCGCGAGGCAAAGGAGTGGTTTGATGGGGTGGAGAAAGAAGCGGTCGAGAACCTGCGGAGATTAGATGCAGATTACGGGCAACTAGGCGCAATACCAGCTAAAGGCGAATTCATTCAATTTCTGGCGAAAGAGCTACGGTCGGCGCAAACAGCACAGAGCATCCGCAACACCTCTGCAAATCGGGCAATGTCATTACAGGATTTCCTAGACTTCGACTCAATAAAACAAGCTACAGGCGTGAGTAAGACCGTTCGCGAATCATTTGAGAAACACCTAGCGGACATGGGGGCTCAGGCGGAGCGGATCGGGGCGGAATACAATGAGCTACAAGGCGCCGCAGGACAAAGTCAAAGTCGGTCGCTTATGGACGACTCAGAGGAACCGGTACGACTATATAACGAGATCGATCAGGTGGCCAAGAAAGTGAATTCAGATCTCGGACATATCATGGGACTTCCCTCCGAATCGAAGTCGGTTGCTCAGGTGTCCAAGATGGCGCTGTTGCATACGCGGAACTTCCTGCCTGCGATCAAAGAGTATAGCATTGAGATGAGTGATCTTATTAGGCGATCGGTGGAACAAAAAAACAACGCGGTTAGGAACGCGGTTGAGAGCATGCGCGGCGTTGCAGACATCGGATCCAACATAGCGAGGCTTCATTCGGAACTTGACAACATCAACTTTCCACAGGAAGGCATGGCTGCTTTTGAGTTGATATCGCTAGTGGGACGACTACCGTTTGTCTATGGGGCACTCTTGGTCGAATCTGTGCGGCGACGTGAATGGGCCGAGAAGATGCAAAGGGATACTTCATCCCTTGCCGAAGAAATGGCTACATTTCAAGAAGAAGAGGAGCGCCGAAGGAAAAGATGGCTGAAGCAGGTTTCGGATGTAGTCAATTTGGATGCTGTGCAGACAAGTCCATTGGGTTTCGAAATGAACATCCAGCCTGAAAAAACGTACTGGCCAGAGGTTACTCGAGATGAGCTCAACGACTACCATAAGATACTACAAGGGCTGGAAGGACAGAGCGCTGAGGCTGAAACGCTTGCTCAAACCATCAAAGACCTGGACCGTCCTACACGACAGCAGGTAAAGCGCGCGAAAGCCTTCAAGATGGGTAGCGTTCATGAGCCGGCGTTTGGGAGAAACTCTCAGCTTATGTTGCGAGGGGATGATGAGCTTCGTGTGCTGAAAGAGGCCAATGCCAAGCTGGAGGATGAACTAAGAGGCTCTAAGAGTAGAGTGCGGCGTTTGGAGGACGTGCTTCATCGCCAGAACCATATCAATAGACTCTCAATCGGAAGCGGTATGCCATTGTTCGGACCTCAAAGCCCTGCCGATCCGTCTACACCGACCATTGATGCACCATCCCCGGTGCCAATGGTAGATCATTCTCGGCGATCCTCTGTCTCTTCGCGACGTTTCTCTACGAACCAAGGGCAAGACGACAAGCGTCGAATCGTACGCCTAGAACAAGAGCTGGCGACAGAGAGAGAGGTGCGTGCGAGGCTTGAAAAGGAGGCTCAGGCGAAGAAAGACGAAGAGGCGACCCTGCAAGGGCAGATTGAAGAAGCAGTTGCGACGAAAGCTGAGCTCATGGAGAACATGAAAGCGCAGCAGAAGGAATTCGCAGATGAGCGACGCTCCCTCGAGGAAGAAATACAGACATATAAGAGCAAGATCGAAGAAACTGAAGATGAGCTTGATCGCGTACTTGGCAGCCGTGATCATGAGCGAACAGGGGTCGATGCAAAAATACAGGAGCTGGTTGGGGAGGTTGAGAGAGTCCGTAGGCACGCCGCGGAACAAAGCAAGGAAGCCCACAAGCGCGTTGCCGACTTACGGACCGAACTTGAAGAGCGAAAGAGAGCGGATGACGAACAATATGAATCACTCTCTAACGCGTTCATTCGTCTCTCGCCTAATACTACCGTCCCGGGCAGCATCACAGCACTTATCATGCAAATTGAAGACCTGGCTCAACGTACTTCCGATCACCTTCACGAAGTCCAACAAGCTGTGGCGATAGCGAAGGCAGAAAACGAGAGTGCTCGTCGTACAGCAAACGAACAAGAGACGGCTTTAAAGTGTCAGCTCGCCAATGAGGAGACGACAACCCTGGCTTTGCGTGAGCAGCTAGACAAATCGAATGCGAAGGTGGCGTCCATCACTACCGAGCTCGACGAAGAACGCCATCACCTCCATGATTTGAGGAGCAAGTTTGCTGAGGGTGAGACCGGGTCTGAAGCGCTCAGGAAGCGCGTGGAGGAAGAGGAGGAGAGGGTTGGAAAACTTCAAATTGAGCTCGCTGAGGAGAGAGGCCACTCGAACAGCCTTGATGTCGAGCTTATGCATCTCCAGAAGAAGGTTCTGAAGTATGAGGAATTCGATTCTTCAAGGACCCATGAACGTTTGCGCCGCGCCAAGGAACTCAGCAAGCGCGCGTACTCGCAACAAGATCGTCTCCTTCGTCTTGTTGATTCGCTCGGATATGTCATTACTTTTGAAGACGGTACCATGACTCTACATCGTGCGTCGAAGGTCGGTAATAGTACAACTTTGACCAACACTATGGATCTCAACAGAAGCACAACGACGCCTTCGCCTACACCCTTGAAACAGCAGCTCGAGAATTACGCTGACCTAGCCTTCTTGCACTGGACCGAATCGACAGATGCCGAAGAAGAGGACCAACGCTATCACGAGCTCATGGACAATCTCAACCGATTTGACCTGGACACTTTCTGCGAGTTCTTTTCTAAGCGCATGCGAGATATCGAGTACACAGCCCGGAAGTTCAAGCACGAGACTCGCGCATACCGAGAGAAAGCCAAAACTCTACAGACTGAATCGCACAACAAGATCGCCTACCGGTCATTCAAGGAAGGCGATCTTGCGCTTTTCCTACCCACGCGTAACCAGGCCACACGACCCTGGGCAGCTTTCAACGTCGGTGCTCCGCATTTCTTCCTCCGCGAAGAAGAATCACATAGACTGCAAGGCCGGGACTGGCTCGTAGCACGTATCTCTAAAGTCGAAGAGCGGGTCGTAGACCTCTCCAAGACAATGGATACAGCAACTCGTGCCTCCCTAGACGGCCGCTCCATTACCTCTAGCAGCGCCGTGTCCTTCGAAGATGACAATCCATTTGAGCTCTCCGACGGGCTGCGATGGTATCTCATCGAAGCCGCTGAAGAGAAGCCCGGCGCACCTGGCGGTCCCGGACTTGGAAAATCCGCCGCGGCCGCAGCCGTAACACGCATCGACGGCCAAGGTAAGATGGAACAGAAAGCGGCAGCCGACCCAGCGAAGACCCTCGGCAAGTCGCTCGACAGCCGGCGCAGTAGCGGCACAAGCAGGAAGAGCGTCCCCGTCGTAGCAGCAGGGAACCGAAACTCGATGGACGTCGGCGATGCGGCCATGGACTCAGGATTGAACTCGAACACTGCGACGAGAGGCGCGAGTCCGGCCGCGGGCCCGGGACCAAGTCATCTGAGGGAGAGCGAGGCTAGCGGTGCGAACAGCGTGGATCGATTGCTCCAGGAACAGCAGTATCAGGTGCGGAAGGATCACCTGTGGGGACCTTAGGTTTGCAAGTAACCTAAGCGACCGCATTCTCACCTTCGTCCAACTGACTTGTCCCAGGGTCATGAGCCGATGCCTGAGCGCCAGGGCTCGCCGCTTAAGTCATTCTTGCACGGTCCATTGAGTGCGGATGGCAGTGGGATACTGCCAAGGATGGGCTATCCAGAAAAGCAGAGAGTGCGTGAGGCCGAGGTTGCGAGGGTGGGTAGCCCGTCGAGTAGTCCGAGGAAGCAGCCGCCAGGGCGGAAGGGGAGTATCTGGGATAGTCTGTTTCATGTTGACGTTACGTATCAGAAGTCGAGCAGATAGGAGCTGCTTTGGGCATTATGAAATAGGAATGTGTAGCATGGTTTTATGGTTTTGGGATACTGTGAATGTCATCACTATCTTAGGTTGTGCTTACTGCGAGGCACATGATGGTAGATGTGTGTTCTCTGGGGATCAGATGCATTGTATGGCATATGCTCCACGTGGTAAAGACGCGTTAGACGTCCCTAGCATGTCCCTAGCTTGCTTCAACACATGCGAGGCATCGGTTCAGGAAGAGCCCAACCCCAGCACCTTAAGAACATGCTTCAGGAATTTACCTCTGCTTTCCAAAATCTCCATTCGGATGTCTAGAAGCTCCTACTCCTCCTCGTACTCGTCTCGATCCTGCCTGGTCAGCAGACTCGTCGTTCCATCCCTTTCTCTCAATCTTCTGTCCACCAGACTTGGTGGAGTTGCAATGATTTGCAGAAAGAAGAAGACTTCCGCCAAAAGCTGACTCCCTTCGAAGCCAGACTGCGAGTTGTTGGACTTCGAACGGCCATGCCATGAGCGGCGACGCAAGCAGCAACGTCGCATCGTTTGGCTTTAAATATCTCGTCCTTGCATTCAGAGACTTCAGCCTCGAATGCCGTATTGATCTACTATAGTGTAGTCGTGTTGAATCGTGTGACCTTGTGGTCAGGGCCGGGATTCGTGTCATGCTCGAAACAGGTACATGTCTTGAATCAACGCTGGAACACCGCCTACCGCCTTCAGGCTCTCCACTAATTCCTCAAGTGTCTTCTTGCGCTTGTGAGCTTTTGTGATCAAGCCATCGAGCAGCGAGGGGAAGTCCTCCACCCGCTTCAACACATCAAGCCCGAGCTGCCTGCCTTGTTGCAGGGCATCCGATGTTTCCATTGAAGGCGTCAGCTACAGACAACAGCGCCATGGATAGGGCGGTAAGTGTCAAGAATGCAGGGTGCCGGAAGTTGACATCATCAGATGCGGTGAGAATAGCAGTGAAGGGAGGGAAATCGCACGAAGAGGAAGATCCGACAGGTGAGAATTGAGAGCGAAGACACGAATTACTGACGTAGAATTTTGCACGAACTCGGGACAGCCGAAAAATCCATGGAATTCAGAGACAAATGCATTCGTCCCACTTTACATCCAGACAGACAGCTCGATTGCTTGTGAAGGGGTATTCTGCACATTTCGTCTCACCTGGTGCTGCTGCCGCGTGCTGTCACATTGTAACAACGACTCCTATGTGGTGAATCTCGTGCCATTCCTGTCCCATCTCAAATATGGTGCAACCTCTCCAGCTCATAATCTTCAAGTGTGGGCCTTCCAACTCCACCAAGCAGCTAAGATGCTCCCGATGTTTGCACTGAATGTGTTACTCGTGAATGTAGTTCGCATCAGCACCGTTTCGCCTCTCCCGCTTTCTATCGCGAACTCTTGTCTTTGTAGCTTTGAGCTTGTCAGAGAGCTGCTTGCATGCCGGGTGGGCTGATTCCAAGGCCTTGTCCATCGTTTCGTGTGGCTGGTAAAGATTGCATTCGCGGCCCCGCTGGCTGACCTCATCAATTGCTTTGAGGACTTTCTCAAGATCTTCTGTCATATTCGTGATGTCCTGAACGTGAAAACCGTGCTCCGAATCAGTTTCTTTGCGAGCATCCCGGAGTCGCTGTGTTCGCCGGCGGTCGGCATCATCGCAGCTCCGCATGAGTTATCGGAAGATGCCCTTCGTACGTGTGGTGTTGTTAGCTATCACTACAGTATACAATGGAGCAATCTAGATCTTGATTAGCGTGTTCACAATCATCTCAGCAAAAGATCGTCATTACTGTTGACTCCAGCTCCTCGAGAGCAGCACCGCGCTCCTACGTTTTGGCGAGGATACTGTCGATAATCATAGCCAAGCCTCTTTCATCTTTTGCAGCGTCTCGCGTTCGATTGCGTTGCCCTCCTTCAACGCGCTGATGATTAGGGGGTGAAAGGCGCCATGGCTGCGAGGCCAAGCTGCTAGTAGATAAGGTATGATAATGATGAAAAGAAATTGGTGACGAGGCCTTGTGTTTTCCGTGACTTACTAGTACGGACGAATGTAAATGGTGAACCTGTTCGTCGATCTCGGCGCCAGTCAAACCTCACGCCATACCGAATCTGCTTCATGGGCCTAATGATCCTGTATTGCAGCAGAGGCGGTTGTGTGAGCTGAAAAGGTGCTGTGTGTTTTGCAGTGACAGCATCCACAGATACCGTGCGTTGATTGTAGGATATGAAGAACCCATGAACCTTGTAACAAAGAGCCGAATAGCTACGAGTCTATCTCTTTTCTAGATCGAGGCAACCACTCGGAGTAATGCGAGTGAAGCAGGAATTCAGCTGCCGATGGAATTGTCATTACGATGATTTAACGCTACAGTACTAGGTAAAAAATTTAGGTATTGCATTGCAAATTCTGGATACCTGATTCACGGTGCCAGAACTTTTGACAAAGCGTTGTGGCAACACTTTTCTCCAAAAAGCTTAGGCTTAACGCTACACGAGAAATGATTCGTAGCAGTTGCTTGCTCGTCGCATGAATATACATGTGTCGGCGATCTTATTTGCTCAATGATCCCAATGGTAGATGTACGGAGGAACAGTTGTTCCGGGCCCATGACGGCTGACCTCACTCATGCACGCACATACAGATGCACATCCCACCAATGAAGCGATCATAACACTCACACACCCTCGCCATGGCTGGCAACAAATCGAAAGCCACCAAGCGGGTCACGAAAACGCTGCCCGCGGCCGCAATTCCCGATCCATTCGAGCCTGCGCCGGCAAAACTCGCTCCGCTCCTCGATAATTTTGACAAGTCCTTTGTCTACATTACGCACGTTGACAACCACCCTGCCTGGTTCAAGAAGCGTGTATTCTCCGTCCCACTTGGTCTCAACGTCGTCATTGCACTACTTCTCCTATGGCGGATCTACACTGCGGGCCCGTGGTATTGGGCAATCCTCATGTCAATGCTTGGCAACGAAAATGAGACGACGATACATTGGTCAAAGACACCATGGAGCAAGCTGCTACCAAGCGTGGCATGGCGTGCAGGAATTTTCCTGTTCGACTGGTTGGTAATTACGGTCATCGGACCGTGGCCGTGGAGCTTCTTCTTCGAATCACCTGGCAACCCCATCTCCTGGCGCCTCAGCACAGGCTTTCGCGATAAGGAGGTGTATGTCAGGGAGTCGAGAGGATGGGGTGCCAAAGATCTGCTCGGTGAAGCTGAGGGCTCGACCGGTAAGGCAGGTTCTGATAGCCCCTTCTTCAAGACGCGCATTCTGCCCGCCGTAGACCGCCGGAGGTTGATGGAGAAGACGGGGTACCTGCTCATGGACAAAAACTTCGATCTCGTTTTTGGTGCAATGGTGGACGCCGCCCGCTTGATGGACAAGAAGACCGTGTCCATCGACGACTTCCGCACTAGCGTTTTCGTCTGGGTGGGAAAAGAAGATCATGGACTGTGGGCTGTATGGCCGTGTGGAAAACTCGATGAGGGCTCTGAGACCGAGGCGCGGGAGAAGATCATACTGTTTAAGGATCGTCTGACCGCCATGGGCAAGGAGTCACTCTTCTTCAAGTGGATTGAACTCGTGCAATATGAAAGCTCCGCCCCTGGCGAGTTCACCTACGAGAAGCAGGTCGCAACTGCAGAGAAGGCAAGGACACTATTTGAGAACGAAGGTGTCAACTTCGATGCGTTTGTCAAGGACATTGGTGGCCTGCAAGGCTTACCTGGGATGGACCAGGCTTAGGCCATTTTCGTTAGTAAATGATACCCACTTGCTTCACGATCATGTAAAAAAGATCCTTATCCAATATTACAAAAACGTACTAACGATACCATTATCAAGACAGTTTCGCTCACTCAGACTTATTGTCAGCCTAGCCACATGCGGGGTGGTTCTGCTTACTGGTGCGTCAATCGCACGCACCAGTCGATGGCGCTTCGAATTGGAAGTGCAGCAACCTGGCCTGGCTAAGATGTTTGACCATTAAACTACCTTTGCAGCGATGCGTGATGCTTCTTTATCGGTCGATGGCTTTCAGGCATATGGCTGGGCGTATGATGACTTAGGGTCCAATGCCTCTTTCACATCACGCGAACTCAACGTATAGCTACGGATTGGAAGCGTGCACATCTCGCCGAACAATTGGTGTCTTCGCTTGTCCATTGCAGAGCATCAATGACTCCTATGCTCTAAATCTTGCTCAGCTCTAAGAAGACGTAGTCCTCTTCACTTGGCCTCTTGCTGAAGTACTCTAGACTGCTACGGTGATTGCAACTGGGCTACATAAGCCCATGGACTTCGTTGTACTGAGATTGTGAACGATCGGGTGGAAGGAAAGCCTCTGGATCGATAGCATAGATTCTCAGCGTGCGCCATGCTGCTAGCGCCACGCGAATGGAACGTGGGGAAATAATTATGTTCAAAAGTTGAGTCCAACCGTGGGAAGGTTGTCTAGTGAGGGTTTATTGGTGAGGCGTGCTACGAGAATATAGTACGTTATATCTTGCTAGTGTAAGGGTCGAACATCTCACACGAATCCGGGTTGTACTGCATCACTCTTACAATATAAGCGTCCTAGCGGGTCGCTCCCAGCAGGATGGTATGTCTTTTGTCGCGGACAATGACCATTAGCACAATGTTGGCACAATTTGGCGCTCCAAGAAATAAGTCTGGATCCTGAACTCTGTAGAGATGGTGCTGACCGAGATAGGCGCCTCGCCTGGAGGTATTTTCACTTCTGAACCCTGCTGGTAGACTTGTATCTTCTCTCAAGAAGGGTGGAGATGACCGATTTGGAAGTATGGACATTATTGCAGTCCAGGACGACATCTGAAACAGTCTCAGATAGAACAGCACACTGTTCCTAAGGACGATGATCTGTGCGATTCGATCAGGAGCGTGTATGTTCAAGCGCAAGGTAGCTTCGTTTGATACCGTAAGGTACCGGGTCCCATCCAAGGCCATTACGCTATATCTTACGAACTTGTAGTCGTGATTTTGACATTGCCAGGTTCTCATTGAGTCGCCGTTGGTAATGATCACTAGAGCTGCAACCGCTTTCAGAGCCTCGACTTGATATCTTGCCCGAATCCTGGGACCGAACTGCGTATCTAGAGTCACTATCGTTAAGATTTGATCTGTGGAAGGCAGAGAACCGAAAAACTTAGACAATTTAGGCGTAGGGGTACATAGTCCTACAAGACAGCTATCCTGCCAAGCACTCCGCATGATCTTGAGGCTTTCGGGACCGCGTTCAACACTAGTGGCGGACAGCTGTACCCACAAGAACTCCAGGGAGATGGTATAAGACATTTTAAAGTGTTCGTGGTCTTTGCGACCATCTTTCAAGCTGTGTGCTTGAAGGACTACATTCTGGGAGGAGACTTCGAGAACACACAATTGTTTGAAGGCTTCGATATGACGCGTCCACTATTGCCCTCTTTTTTCGCACAATCTCTGCATGGCTAATCGTCGCACAAAGGAAACATATTGCTGAGGCTCCTATCCATTGATGGCCATGTGTTCCAGGTGTGGATATTGACCACTTGCGAGGCGCCACTGAAAATGTGTTGCGCAAATTGTTTACTGAAAATCGATAGTAGAGATGAAGCATCTTCATGAATTCGTTATGGTAATTCGAAGAGTAAGTTAGATAAGAGCTCTACTTAACAAGCCCCTCTACTTAGGGAGTACTTAAGAAGCCCGCGACTTTAGTCAAGCACAAGTGGTTCGTGCGAATCATGGCTTATATGAACAGTCTCTTCGACCTTCTAACTCACTGTGGAGTGTCTTACCGAAAATTCAAGCACGGTGCGGTACCCATGTGTTGGTAACGTAGAAGCCGAGCGCACCGCATTTTATGTGTAGCTGAGATTGATTCAATAAATACCTACAGTTTGATGGTGTAAAAGTCTCTTGAACTGCAGAGCGTGTCGGCGTATCAGCTTGCTCGTTGAAATTAGACGTAGGAAGATGAGGGATCGACACATGCTGCACGATATCTGAGGAGGATCGAGGAGTAACACGGGTAATCTAGATATGGGCATTTTGAACGATTCGCCTAGTGGTTGCCTGTGTAGTCTACCAGCTGTGTTCGGTAACGTATGATTTTTGGACCGACTGCGACAAGGCAAGGTTGAAGAGGTTCGAGCCCCGGATGCGACCGACCTCTTGCTGTCGTTGTTACGAGAGTAGAAGCCGTTTGGAGCCAAGGCAGACTGAGCGTACTTCGCGTTAAATGAAAAGTGACAGAAGTCTCTGGCTCACCCTTCTGTGATGTTTGTCTACTACGTTCGTGGCCCGCATGTTTAAAGATGGTAAAGGGAAGGGAAGGAAAGGCGAGGCTGATGCAGATGCGTCGAGTGAGGCCGAAAAAGTATTTCCCAGTCGCTACGCTACTAGTACAATCAACGACTTCAAAAGGGTTCAAAGGAATGACTGCAGCATCATAGGCTACTTCGAGGAAGTGCAAACAGGGGAATTGAGAACGTTTCCCTTGCAGCGTCGAATACATTCATTTCTGGCAGCTAGCCTCGCCAGGGCCGCGCACAAGACGCTGACGAAGGTACGCTCTGCGTTTGCGTTATATAAGCAGTCAACACGAGGTCCGCATTCATGATTAAAATTGTCCAGAGTTACGTCAAGTGTGAGTCCGTGCTACTCGCGATGTGATCATAAGGAGCCAGAACGCCAGCAAGCCATCCAACGCCGTGATGTCGTGCTGTAACATGTGGGCGATATCAAATACATAAGGTGTAATATTCACAAGAAGGAGAGCAAAAGGGACCAAGGATGAGACTCCTCAAGCCAAATTGCCTGTTCTCACATCTCCATCCTCTCAGTCACCGGACTTATTTCGCCTGTTCGCGAACCCTCATGCTCATTGAAACAGATCAGACCGAAGAACCCCTTGTGCGTACAGGTCGTCAAAGAAGCGGATGTGGGCGTGTGCGTATGTTTAGGCTTTTTTGACGTCGAAGCTATGTCGGTTGGATCAAGACAGTCACCAAACCACCCACGATGCATGCAGCTCCGTGCCGAGGTTGGTGTAGGATATGAGCTTGTTGTTGTGGCACTAGGTACGGGGGCGGCCGACGGTTTAACTTTGGTGGTGGTAGAGGTCTCGTCGTCGTCTAAGCAGCCAAACCAGCCTGGAGTTTTGCAAGTGGACGTGGATGTACTCGAGGTCTCTTTGTGCCTCTTCGTCGTAGTTGCTTCGGTAGTGGTGCTCTCATCGAGACATCCGAACCAACCTGGCGTTTTGCAGGTTTCGGTTCGCTTCCTCGTAGAGGTCGATGTCGATGTCGATGTCGTCGTGGGCACCGTGAACGAAGTTGTAGTACCTGTACCATTACTCTCAAAGTACTCCCAGTTGAAACAGTCCGTGCAATCTATATACTGCTCACACTTGGCGGGCTCGTCGTATTTCTCCAGCACCTGCTTGATAACGTTGACGATTTTATGCGTGCCAATTCCCACCCGCCAACCAAGGTCTTCCACGGTATCATAGACACACTTCTTTCCTGTATGGCACACGCTCTCCATGGCGTACCCACCTAGGGTGCACATACTCCCGGCCTGGTTGCAGCTGCCCATGAATATCGGGTCGGCAGTGTGACCGAAATGGTGAACTGCTGTCATCCCACGCTTCTGCATCGAACCAATCTCGTGGCCCGGGGGAACGGGGAGACCCAACCGGGACGCTGGCATAGCGTCGGGGACCGCTTCGAACGTGATAGCAGGATGTCCGTATGTCAGACTAATGAAGGAGGACACAGCACCTCCTAACGAATGTCCCGCCATCCATACCTCGGCGTTCGGGTAAAGTGCTGTTACATTGTGGTAGAGATCCCGAGCGGCGTAGTAGTACCTGTTCTTTTCTCTCAAAGCGCCGACTAAGCACGTAGAGTTGCATGAGTATACCGAGGCTTGACAGTCGCATACTTGGCGCCAAAGATACTGACCGCCTTGTCCACAGCAGCAGCTGAAGAATAAATTGTCGTTGATCTTATCATTCGTGGTAGTCTCGGTACCGTCGAAGAGCGCAGGTGAGGTCCCTTTCAATCCGATGACCACAGTCTCATTCTTCGTATCAGCGAAGATGTGCCCACGCAGACCGTCTGCTTGCCAGCCGAAATCTTCTGTGTAATTGAAACCCCCTTTCACGTCTTCCCAACCCCCAGTGTTTGGCTCTAATATATAGGCGTTCGCGGCCATACGAGCAAACGTGAGAACAGAGTCCTTGTCTGTCACGTTGGGACCAGCTATCTCGTCAACCGTCCAGTCGTCTGCGACCATGGTCACAGGCTTTCCTGTCATCCTACCCCAGTCTAAGATGCCATTTATTGTTTCTTTGCTCCTATCTTTCAGTCGTTGAATGGTCACGGCCTCAGATCTTATTGTGAATGGAGGAACTGCCTCGCGCTCGGTTCTGTCGTCCTCGACCATCCATACTGCGGTATTTTCTGGCACGTCAAGCCGCCTATGAAGTTCTGGATATTTGTGTGTGCCGTGGTGGAATATGTGTTTGAGCGAGAACTCTTTGACTGCTTCGGTGGGGCGTTGCGGTGATATCGGCGGAGGTAGGATGGGCGGTACCGCTGCGCTGGTCGCGGCGAGGAAGGACAGCAATAGCGAGGCTGTCACACGGGCAGGAGAAGTACAGTCGCGTCTTCGTCGCATGTTTGAGCGTATGAACGAGGTACGTGGGGCGTTGGAGCAGTATGTAGAGCGCCGTGTTCGAAGCTCGAAGGCGACTGATGACGCAGACACATGAGCACGAGACAGTATGCGGCTCGGCACCGCGGAGATTCCCTTGCGCAGCGTAGCGTACCGATGGGGATGCACCCGGTGCCTTAGCTGCCAACAGTTTCCCCACTACCATTCACGCCCTTGACGGTCACGCAAGTCCCAGGAACCGTCGGGAGCCGGACGGGCGTAAGGCTGCCTATAATCAGAATCTAGGCCCACTCCCACACAGACCGATCGCGCCACACCACCGCATCCATATGACGTTCGTTGCGGCTCGAGCTCGCAGGTATCACTTGGTTTGCACACGACACACACCTTGTGGACACATTCGCTTCACTTATCCCCCAGAGCCAACATGGCCGACCGACCCAAACGACTTCATACGTCGAACTCCTTTACACGTATGGAGAAGACTCCGGAAAGCACCCTACAGAGTCCACCCATGCCTGCCATCCTCGACCCTTTGAAGGTCACGGCTACCCCAGAGGAGGAGGAAGGTCATGCAGACGGCGATGTATTTGCATCCAAGGAAGATGAAGAGGAGCAAATGGAGCACCAGAACGTACCAGAAGGCTTCGAGGAGCTACCGATAGAGATCCGCAGCTTGACGGAAAGGTAACGCGACTGGCCCCGAGAGCCCGGTTATGGTTGACTTGATGTTAGATTCCTCGAGTCGCTTTCTGCCAAAGTCCATCCGAGCCCATTATCCGCCGACCGCTTGTCGGATCTGTTCCAGGACTTCTACACCCGCGCATCTGGCAAGATCAACACCCACATAGCTACTCTGTCTGCCCGTCTCAACAGCGACTCATACAAGAAGACGTCCGCTTCTAGTCGCCCTGGCTCGGTACGCTCGATTAGCGGCGAAAGCGGCGAACAACAGATGCTCAGTGCATCTGAGATGGCCGACAGAAAGAAGGCTAGGAAATTACTGGAGGTCAAGCGGGTCTCGCTCGAGGAGGCTGCGGAACGAGCTGTTTGTGAAAAGGTGTACGATCGTATTTGGCGGCACCGGAGTACGGATGACGAGGAAAGGGATCATAAGCTTCGGTCACGAACAGCTGCCTTGTCACTGGTGGGCATTGGCCTGAAAGAGCTGTTGATGACCGCCGAAGAGTTCACTGAAGAGGAGCGCAGGAAAACCAAAGAGCGTGAAGGGGAAATCAGAGAGTGGTTATCCACTGCTCGAGACGACATACTTTTGATGAGCGAAGAGAAATACCCGCTTGGGAAGCTGCGCCATCTGACTGCTGCACACAAATCCATTGTCGAAGCTCTGTCAAAGATCTTTCCAGCTTCATCTTCTGCAGATGAGATCCTGCCTACATTGATTTACACCCTCATCACCTTGGAGCCATCGCGGCTCAACGCATACAGCGATCTGAAATTCATCCAAAGGTTCCGTGGCTCCACACGCATGGATGGCGAGACAGCCTACTGCTTGGTCAATTTGGAAGCGGCCGTGTCATTCTTAGAGACCGTTGACCTCTCGTCTCTTCGAGCAGAAGAGCCCGGTCCCAAAGAGAAGACTGGTTCCCGGCCACCCACACCACAAAAATCCGAGATAACCCCTATGCCACTTGGGTTGGCACAAGCTCCAGACTTGACTCAGACGCCAGCTACTCCGACTTCCTCCTTAGCGCTACAACAGCCTCCGAGCCCCGGAACAAAGGCACAGCGTCGACTGAGCAATCTCATCCAAACACAGACGAATCGCATAGAAGCCGCCTCAGATGCCGTCAAAGAGTCGATCCTAGATTCTGCTGACCAAGCATTAGGGAGAATCAACAATACACTTGATACAAGCTTTAAATTTCTCTTCGGTCGAATGAAGGACCGCGATCCCAACAGCCCGGTCCAGGAGCCAGTAGAGCTCCCCAAGACGCTGGAAGACGCGAGGAAATTAGTCAGTTCGCCCACGCGCCTAGAAACAGAAGACGACACCGCAAGTGTTAGCGGCGCAAGCTCCATTCATGGCGAAGAACGTGGGGAAGAGCAAGGTAGACCGGACTTGCAGGCGCGGATGACAGACTTGTTTGGCGGTCGCCGCCAGCTGAGGGATCGCAGCGTAGACTCTACACAGTCTGGGGGCAGCGGCAAACGCGTCGCGTTCGATGCTAAACCGCCTCCAATAGTCACGAAGAGTGAAGCAATACCTCCTCAGCCGAATGCTTCTGCCGTCGATTCCCTCCGCAATATGGGCAACAGCTTAAACCCGCTTAATCGCTTCGCAAGCATCAACGTCATTCCCAGATTTGGTCGTACCGTGAGCCAGTCTACCACACCAAACGTAGGAACGCCGACTTCCGAGGCAAATAAACAGTTACCTGCAGCAGCGACTGTGAATAGGTCGCCGTCAGGGGAGGCGGCTGCACAAGTAGATGACAAGGGTGCGAGGGCGATCGCAGCGATAGAAGCATTAAAGAAAACGACTCCGCCGGTAAAACGATTTCTGGAGGCGAAAGATTCGCAGGACTTGAAGTTGAAGGAGGTGGACGAACTGTTGAAGGAGTACCAGAGGTTGGCTATCGCGCTGAAAGGCACGATCAACCATTGAGCTGGATGGCTTGCATTGCATGGCGCCTCGAGGTATATCTGGATAGATTTTGGCGACCGACTTATATTTTGTGTAGCTTAGCATGGCGTTGAACTGATAGCATTCTGACATGGCACCATGAGTTAGTTCGTCCAATGTCGCTTACAGGTTCTTCGATTCGAACCGTTGGGCTAACCTAGAAGCGTAAGTCGTCAACACGCACTGACCACAAACAAACACAGACTCCGCGTTTTGCACTCACCGCGCATGTGAACCTCACCACACCAGCTGCAGCCTCGATTTGCAATTTTACAGAAATGGCTGAACCAATGGCTGAAATCTCGCCGGAAAAGCTTAATGCGCTCAGCGTCACGCATACAGAAGACGACATTGACGCGACGACCTGGCACGAGCCGCCTTCGTCGCCATTCATATCGAACATCGCCAGCGAGAACCAGGAAAATGTGGCACCTAATGCTCCTGCGAAACCCAGCAAACTGCTTCCAAGCTTCGAAGACGATGTCCCACAACCAGCGTCTAGGGTGTCGCCAGAAAAAAAGCTTGGATTGAAAGAGAGGGCAAGTCCGGTCAAGATGTCACCCAAGAAGCAGTCGCTGGGTGAATGTGAGGAGGGCTTTCTGGGCAGTCCACCAAATCGTGCGAGCCCAAAGAAGGCATCGCCTGTAAAGGAAATGGCCATGGAGCGCCCGGAGTCTGTCATGAGCGGTCGGACGCGCAGGAGCTCGCCCACCAAAGCGTCCCGTAACCCTTCAGCCGATTCAGCCCATCGGGCACCCGCCGTGTACCCCGAAGACGAGATCGATTCGGCACCCACCCCGTCTAAACTTCTAGCTTCGCCGTACAAGGAGAGTGAGTTGCGGGATAACCAGGGTTTGACGGTCGCCATGCGCAACATGGAGCAGGTCCAGAGCGCGAGCTACGAGCGGACAACTACCCACCAGTCTCACGATGATATTGTTGCAGACGCAACGTTTGACGACACTGAATTCAACCCGGATGGTCCAGAACTGACATCTCTGGAAATGGACGATACAAACTTCAGCATGTTTTCAGAAATGCCAGGTATTGACATGACGAAGTTTGCCGCACTTCGGCAAAGTCCTACGAGAAATGGCCTAAATGATCCGGTAAGCGCACTCAGGCCATTCACCTGAAAATAACTTAACGGTATCTTGTAGTCCACGCCCCGTGCTCGCGCTCAAATGACACCTTCAACCGTTCAAACCGTTCGACGCTCTGAAAGGACGCCCTCTCCTACACCGCGCCGAACTCGGAAGGAGAATGATACCACAAACTTGCTCCTCGACTTCACAGCCCAGTTGGAGGGTTTATCTGGCCCAAGTCGCAAGTCGCCAGCTCGTGTGCCACCCAAATCAGCAACTGAATCAAACTTGCTTTCATATTATCAAAACCAACGCTCACCAGCGAAAGGAAGCTCTTCAAACGTACCCTCTACTCCAAGCCAAAATCGCCAGCTGTTGAACCTTTTGGACTTTGAACTGCCGCCGCCACCGACACCGCGATCCATGCCTACTGTTACTATCAGAGAGCTGGAATCGCTAAAGTCAAATTTTCAATCCCAGATCTCCTCGCTAACAGCCAGCCTGTCTGGAAAAGAAGCTCAAGTCGAATCTTTAGTCAAAGCTGTATCAGATGCCGAACACCGCGTTGGTCAAGCGCAAGAGTCACTCCGAGACGAGCGATCCGCGCGTGAGTATGCCGAAGCGCAAATGGAAGACTGGAAGAAGAAGGGCGAGGAAGTGCAAAGGCTCCTCCAAGACGTGCAAGCCGAGCTTGGTCGCAACGACGCCGAGCGCGAACAGCTGCTCACTCGCCTCACTGAAGCTGAGAAGCGCGCCGAAGAAGCAGAGACACGCTCCTCAGATCTGGAGACCAAGGTCATCGAAGCGGAGAGCAAGAACGTCGATATGACCACTTTCCTTGACCCAGATGAGAATAACAAGAAAGTCTACTCGGAGATCGAGTGTCAGACTGCAATCGCGGAGAAGGTCAACGAAGTTGCTCGAGACCTGCATGCTGCTTACAAGGCAAAGCATGAGAAGAAGATCAAGGCGCTCAAGGACAACTACCAGAAGAAAGCCGATGAACGGTGCAAAGAGCTCCGTGTACAAATCATTCGACTGGAGCGCCAGGTCGAAGAAGTGGAGAAGAAGAGGGACGACACGTTCAGCAAGGTAGTTCCCACTGAGTACACAAAGACAGACGACAAAGATGCCTCTGCCACCCAGACAGCATCACAGCCGGAGGATCTCAAATCACTCGAAGAACAGAAGTCAGAGATCAACAATCTGAAAGCCAAGCTGGCAGGCCTCCAGTCGGAGCTCGAGTCCCTTCGCAATTCACACGACATCGTGCTCCAAGATCTTGAAGCCGAGCGCGTAGAGAAAGGCGAGCTCGTCGCTGCCGCAGAGCAAATGCTTGCTATGTGCGGCGAGAAGATGGAAGAGATGCAGCAGGAAGACTTCCGCAAGAGCCAGCTCTCGTCCGCACCACAAGCACAAGCACAAGCACAAGCACCTCCTGCGGAACACGCGCCGAACATGCGGACTACAGGTTTCCTCGCCGGTGCTTCTGCGCCGCGGCCTGGCTCTGCCCTCGGGGGTGGACGACCTGGGAGCGCGATGGGTCATCAACGAGGCAATTCGGGCAGTTCAAAGCCATCAGGGCTGAGGGCGCCTGGTGGTGGTGGATTTGGCTATGGCGGTTCCTCGGCACTGAACAGGAGTACGAGTGGTGGCAAGAGCAGGATATTGAGCAATATCGAGAGAATGGGCGGTGCGCGCGGACAGGAGTAGATTTCCCGTCCGAGAGTGTATGGCCGGGTTGCCCGGATTGCGAGTCAGGGTGGCATCTCACTGAGGGATATGGTGACTTGGGCGGAACGGGAGGACGGGAACGAGGATGGGTCATGTGCATAATGCGTGGGTCGTCATATGGTCTGGGCCAAAACGGCGTGGAGTTGGTGTTTGTGCTATTGCTCTGCTGGCAGGAGTGTATAATATCCACGGTGAAGGCTTGTAGCTTTGATAGCTTGCGTTGCTCATTTGATAGATCGAGATCGTCCATTCGCTCACTGCATACATCCTGTCCCTCGATGCTAGACAGGTACAATACTGTCTTCTGGAAAAGTATCCAAGCATAATTTAGAGACGTGACACACTCATGATCACGCTGGAAGGGTATCTTGTGCAAGAATTTTGATGCAATTCTTCCTATGTCCCCAATCCGCCCATTGATGCCCCTGTTATCAATCAAGCGCTCGAAATCACACCCTATGCTGGATTCTAGCCTTGGTACGAAAGAAAGGTAGCAAACCACAAACCCAATGTGCAAACGCCTCCCAATGAGACGGACATGATACGTGCATAACATGCTAAGTCGAACCGGAAAAAGTGATACTCCGGGTGAAATGCCACAACTAACACATGTGCAGAAAGAAAGCAAGTGATCAAAAAGAAAAATGAAGAGGAGAAACTTTACTTTACGCCGTACTCGCCCGCTAAGGGCAGGTCATTTAATCATCCCCCAAGCTGTTCTTACGCGCTCTTCGGATACTGCTCCACCAGATACTCCAACACACTCTCATAACACAACACAAACTGCCTCAAACTCTGCACCATGCTCAATCGCTGCAATCTGAAATCTTCGACCGTCTTCTCGATCAAATCAACATCCTCTTCATTGACCCAATCATCGTCTCTGCTCGATTTTTCATCGCTGCTAGATGAGCTCGAAGAGCGGCGAGACATGGTCATCTCGTCCATGCTCATAGACATACTCATTGACGCGCTCCTATCACCTCGAGTCGTCTTGTTAGGCGAGGTGGGATCGAGGTCCATCGGCGTGGTTTCCCGTGCGTTGCGTGCTTGACGTTGTCGCTTGAGCATGTCGAGGACTGAGTCGACGGTACAGAAGGTGCCCGTGCGGCCGCAGCCTGCTGAACAGTGCACTAGGACAGGGCGGGTGTTGGGTGGGTCAGGGCGCGAGGGCGAGCCACCGTTGACCTGTCTGCACACGGCATCGCATTGTTCGATAAGACCCAGCAGGTGAGTCGGGTGTGCTGGGGCGCCAAAGTCAGGCCAGTGGGAGTATTGCAGTTGAGTGATCTCGCGCATGCGCTCGAACGGCTCATCGGAGTTCGACAATGTGAACTTGCGAACGATGACGTAGGGCTGCTCAGAGCTGGGCGAGGTATTCGATTCAGTAGGGAAATAGCCGGCTTTGTTTGGTGGGCTCGCAGTCGTGGAACGGCGTTGACCAAGCGCAGGCCGCGACTGCTCACCGTGTCGGTGAATCTTGGATGGTTCAAGGGACGCTCTGCGTTCGCCCAAAGTATTCAAATGCAGGTGGCCATATTGTTTGCCAGACCAGTAGTTGTGAGCCTTGAGCTGACCACCTTCCTGCTCGGCCGTAAGCATCACTATAACGCGAACGTCTTGTTGCCACACAACGTTCCAGAAGTCCTATTTACATGTCAGCGCTTGTCAACAACATGATTGGGGTGTAGGCTTACGTTGAAAGTGGCTGGTAAAGGACCCTGCGTAGCAATGTAACGCTTGTTCGAAAACGATGGCTGGACGTGGTTCGCGTTAACGTAATCGCAGCCTCCCGGGCTTACACCCTGCAACTTGACGCGGGAGTGCTCGTAGGGCCATATGCTGTTGTAGCGGTTTTTAGAGCCCTTTTCAATACCCGCCAATGTGACAGATTGCTTAGCCTCTATGCCGGACGTTGGGGTGCCGTAGTACACCTGTCCAGAGAGTGCCTTCTGCATTCGCTTCTGTTCGCGCTTTTCAATGTGCAGGAATTTGTCAGATACAAGCTTGCCGTTGTCTTTCTCATTTGCGGCCTTTCGTAGCCAAATCGGCAGCTCCTCTTCGAAAGATCGAGCCATTGCGGCAGGATGCTTGACGGGCATCTGGCCTACTCCACCAATAAGATCCATGTTTTGCCGAATATTGCCAAAGAAGGGGTTCGCAGCATTCTGCGTGGCTGGCATGGGACAGCCTCCGATGACCGGGGCTATGGATGGAAAGCCAGGCTCATTCCCAGCAGAAGATGCAGGGGAACTCGCCACTAGGGTTGAACCTCTCGATATCCAATTCGGAAACTTGGATGCGAATTCCTGGAAGCCACCCCGAATGATGTAGGATCCGCCGGTCCAGCCTTCACTAGTGAACTTCTTAAGTGTGTTGATGCAGGTTCCCGCATCCTTCATCTGCGATGAATTTGCATCGTACACAACGATGTGCTTGCTACTCCGCCATTGCTCGAACTTTTGCTTCTCTTCGTCGTCCTTGAAAGTTTCGGCTAGCTTTTGTACGGTGAAAGATGCACGCTTCAGTAGTGTCGTAGGTATACAGAGACTGAGGGAACCTTGGATGCGGGATCTTGCGTATTGTGTAGAGACGCGAAGATCTAGTAGTAAGACTTCCTCTACTGCAGATTCGAGTATGTTGACAATATATTGTGGCGTGACCATAGAGGGCCCTTCCGTTTTACTATCGTCGACGACATGTGCTGGCAAAGTATCTGCACGATGGGAAGACAACGTTAACTTTTGTGATGAGTCTCGCGGAGGCAGAGACGGGCGAACGTTCCTCATCTCAGCGAACTTGGCCAATTCGTCCGTGCGTCCATAGTTGTCTTGGTCCAGAAAACTAGCAGGTGAATTCCGCCGTGGCCGGTCGTACACAATGGACGACTCTGTGGAAAGAAGACGTTTCGGTGACCGGGGTTTAGGTTCGTGGTCGCCTGCGTCATCTTTCCTGCCCTCATGCTGTTCATTCTGGGTTGTCGGTAACGTCATCGACTGCGGGGACGGAGGAGCCTTCATGAAGCCGAACGCTGAACTACTAGGCGATGGCATGGAGCCTTGCGATGTGCCGAAGTCGAAACGTCCTAGGGCAAATCCTCTGTTGTTCTCGGATTGGCGTCTGAACTGCTCGAATTCAGGATTCTGGTCCACAGGTATGACGCGAGGTGACGCGGCAGCGGTGGATCGCACATTTGAAGATGGCGGACTCCAATTTCCACGGATGTGCTGGGCAGCGCTGGATGCGAAGACATCCTTTTCGGCATTTGCATCGACGGCCAGGCCGAAGTAATTAGGGCTGGGCGTCTTGGGCTCGTGGCCGGTGCTAATGCCTGGTGTTTTGAGATCATTCATGCGGCGGTTCGTGAGCGGGGTGGACTTGACAGGACTTCGAGCGGCACCGGTTCGTGGCTTGGGTGTAGGTCTCGAGGAGCGGGTCTGGGTGGTTGGGTGTGACGTCTCGCGCGGCCGAGGCGACAGCGCGGGCGTCGACATTACGATTCTGAGTTCCACGGGGCTGCGAAGTGGAGCTGCGGCGCCGGGCAAACTACGGGCGCAAGAGTATAGGCGATAGGGTCATGAAAAGAAGAGAGGTGGCGTAATGAGTCGGGTGGATATGCTAAGGTGGAGGAGTGAAGGGGTCGAGAGGTGAGGCTGCTCAAAGAAGCTGCCGATGACGTAGTTGGGTGCGCGTTTGTCATCCGCGCCGGAGAGGTGCGAGTAGTAAGCCACAGTGCGTACGAGCAGGCAGACGGTGGTTTTGGGAGTGGTGAGGGATGTTGGAGGCGCAGTGGCACTGCGACGACGGTTGAGCCGGTTCCGGGATGTCTTTTGTGCGTGCGTGGCTGCGCGGTGTGGTCTGGGGCGCGATGTCGTCAAGGGCTCGCTTCGGGGAGCGGCTGCAGGGACTCGAGCGTGCCCTGAAAACGAAAGACGTTGAGCGGGACGCAGCAGCAGAACGACTCCGCCGGCGGAACGGTAGGTTAGCAGGGCGAAGAGGGCGGAACTGCTCAGTGCACTGAGGAGAGAGCGGCGGATCGAGAGATAAGTGAGGAATCGAAAATCCTGCCTCGAAGGAGATCGGCATCTGGGACGAGTCGGGAGTGGATGAACGCCGTCATCGCGCTTCGCCTGGCCCAGCCCTTCGACGCCGCGCCCCTGTGCCCTGTCAGCTGCCGGCTGCCTATCAATGCAGCGTCGCATGCTCAAGCTCGACAACGAGTGCTTGTCTTGCCCGTCCGACGCTCGGCCAGCTGACCGGGGCAGAAACAGGCTCAAGGCCGATCCTGTTTCGACTCACCTCCTGCTGCTGGCCACCCAAAGTTCCATGACCGCCTGGACCCTTGATCTGCAGACAATCCGCCTCTTGAACACAGCACTTGTGCCAGAAGGAGCGTCAGCGGAGCGAACACCTCGGTAAGCGCTCATCCCCCGCCAGGTCGCGCTTCTGCTTGCAATCATGCAATCCCTTTGCGTCCCCTCTAGCGCACCCTTCACCGCAACTTGGTCGTGCTACAGTGCGGACGTTGCTGCCCGACCAACTAAACACGACGACAGCCCAGACCACACGATAGCACACAAGCTATCCGTCGTGTGTGCTGCCACCGCGGCGACTACCCCTGCATGACCTGGAAGTTAGTGTACCGGCGCGTTGTTCCGTGCACATGGTGACATCTACCATTTGCATTGCCGCCGTGAGGCTCTTGACCTCCACTGCTCTGGTGTCTTGAACCACTGTCGCGTGGACACGCAAATTGGGAACACATACCTGGGTATCCAATCCACCTGCGCTCGTTGCGATGCCTTGGCCGAAGGACGACCATCAACCATTGGTGTAATAACGCTGGCCGGGGGTAACGATGCGGTTGCTGTTGTTCAGACCGTCATGGACAGCTGCCAAGACTCCAGATTCGTCAGACTTAGCTTTGTCCTGCTCTTGTATCTCACCCTGAGGTCCTCCAGGCTGAAGCTTTTGCCATGTCCAGCTCAGTTATGGTGAGCCAAAAATAGCTTGCGAAGACCCTGCATCTTGATTACCCCTTGTTCCCGAGGTCCCTAGAACATCACGTGCGCGCGCGATTTCCACCAAGGTTCCAAGGTTCGCGTACGCGCCGCTACTCCCGCATTTTGCACACTGCGCCTATCCCTCAGTAAGAGCACACAACATCTCACCATGTCACGGCGGCAAGGCAATGGCTACCGCGACGATTCTCCTGAGGCGCCTGTCTATGACGATGCTCATCGCGCGTTCCTGCACGCCTTCTTCTCAAACTCAGTCTTCACAAGCGACACGCTGAAACCAGTCGTCGCTGCTATACTTTCAGCACAATGTCAGTATACCGTCTTGCGCCCACCTTGTGCAGTATGGCTATGGAGATGACTTGGGCTTACTCGACTTACCAGACCCCGCACGCCCACGGTTGGAAGGCGATATCACGGAGCCGATGATCACCTCGCTGATACAAAACACGAACGCCAAAATATCACATTTCGATTTCGAGATCCTATCCGCTCGCGAACAGATGAAAGGCGATCGGACGTACGCGTTAGTCAACACAGCTTCAGACACCTTCACCCAGCTCGCGACCTCGTTCACGCCCGATGAGATCGCATACATCAAGCGTCTCTTGGACGCAATGTTCGAAGAGAACAACTCGAGGACAAGAGAGATTATGGCTGTCAAACAAATGCGGGCGAAGCAATTGGCGAAAGCGCCGCCGCGCAACCGCCAGAGTCAAGCAGCGACTCAAGTGGACGCAGGCGAGGAACCGACGCAAGTCGAATCAAATGTTAAGTCCATCAGTCACGGAGATTGCGAGAGAGTGCTGCAAATACTCGTTACACAAGGCTTCTTTCAAGAGTCGCGATCCCATTACTACTCGCTCGCGCCACGTGGACTTTTGGAGCTCCGAAATTACCTAAAGGAAACGTACAATGAACCACCTCCCGAAGACGATGATGAAGAGAATGAGCCCATCATCAGGATAAGAGACTGTGAAGGGTGTCAGGAGATCGTCACCATCGGCTTGAGATGCGACAACAGAGACTGTGGCGTACGATGGCATACCAGGTGCGCGAACCAGTTCTTTGGCGGGCGGCAGGGCAACGGTAAACGCTGTCCGAAGTGCAAAACTGATTGGATGGGGTCTTCGTATGTTGGAGAAAAGGCAGACCGCGTTCAGCCACGGGGCAGCACAGCCGGGAGGGCTTCACGAGCACAAGACGACGAAGAAGACGAGAATGAGTAGAGCATTACGACCGAAAAGATACCCCGTACGATAATACATAACGAGACATGCCGTTATGTCCGATTTGCTTCATGTGTGGACTTAGGAGTCTGATTTCCGTTTACAAATTACTCGAGCGTGCCAGCACTCAATGCTGCACACATGCTATCATTTCGCTTGCGGTATATCCTGCGAGACCAAATGCCACAAATGCTACTGTGTGCAGTGCCCCGGAACTTTATAGATAGCAGCCCAGGACTGGTCATCAAAGCCAGGTGATTCAACCCCAGGTTGAGCAATACAACGCCAACTGTAGCCAGGCTTGGGACAGTCCCCTGTACAGCAGCCCACTCCTGTTCCTTTGGCTCAAGCCTTCACGCTCAAATTCCACCCCCTATGCGCCACCCTCGCCGCCCACAACAACACTGCACTCGCCAACAGCATAACCCCACCATACACCCACACTGCCCAAAACCCGCTCCGATCCAGAATCGCGCCGCCGCAAGGCGTGCCGACCAGCAGCCCGACCGCCACAACGGCGAAACTCTGTCCCAGCCTTGTCCCAATCTTTCCCCTCTCCTTCAAGCTCAAATGCACAATAATCGTCGGCGGCAGGGAAACAAATGTCCCGCTGAAGAACCCGTAGAACGCCATGAGCACGATGATGCCTGCGGCCGATTTTGCAGAGATGAAGCAGAAACACAGGACACCGGACAGAATCGTGCAGGGTATGACGACGTTGAAAGGGCCGAGTTTGTCAGCAAGGTAGTTGGGGATAATACGTCCGAAGACGGAGGTCGCGTTCATGATGGCGAGGAGGTAAAAACTTAAATTAGTGTTGGTGATGTGGTCGGTCAGTGCGTATACCTGCGCGTAGAAGAATGGCATGTAGAGTCCCATAAAGCCGACGAAGAAGCCGGCCACCATGAGGCTGTACGCGGGCATCTTGAAGGCGGGGAAATCGAACAGGCTGCGCGACTTCGCAGGGAGCACGCGCACGCGCATCACCAAGTTGGGGATCATCATTGTGCCCAGGACGATGAAGCCGATTACACGGGTGGTCCAGGCGAAGCCGATTTGCGGGAGGAGTCTGTGGAAGACGATTGGGTATATTACACCTCCGAGAGAGCTCCCGCTTGCGGCGATGCCCATGGCGGTCGCAATCTTAGTAGTAAAATAAGTGCTCAGGATGGCCACGGAAGGGATGAAAAGGCAACCGCAGCCGAAGCCAATGCAAATTGCCTGCGCGAGGAGAACTTGATAGTATTCATGGCAGAGAGAGAGCATCATTTGGCCGAAGACGAGCAGGAAGGAGCCGCCGATGAGGAGAAGGCGAAAGTGGCCTCTGTCGTAAAGTGGGCCGCAGATCATGCCTACTACGAGGAGGAGGAAAGCTTGTATTGACCCTACCCATGATATGGCGCTGGGTGTGGAGCTGGTGAGGAGGTCAGTTTCGTAGTATGCTTGGTAGGATCCGAAAGTATTGATTATGCCCCTGTGCTCACAATCAGCTTCAAATCGTCCGAAGTGTGTCGAATTGCTACGATCGTCGGCAAAAGCCTGGATACCATAATGGGTCATGGGATAGCACAGCTCATTGTGAGTGTCCAAACTTTCGCCGTGTCCCGTGCTGACAGCTGTAAGTGTAAGATGGGGTCTGAGATATACCAACTGTTAAAGAACAAGAAGAAAGCCCCAAGCACTTGCAGCCATGCCGTCAGACCGCCATTAGGTATTGCGGCCGCATTATTTATGCTTGGTCGACTCTTCGACGGCTCCAGCGGTGCTCCTGCATTCCCGCTCTCGTCAGCCTGACCTTCAGTAACTTGTTGCGCCTTCTCTTGTATCGCATCTTGCTGGGCTTGTTGTTGTTGTGAGCTGTGTATCGATGCGGTAGTCGAAGCAGAAGGCGCTTGAGATTTGTCGTCGTGGAGTGTTGCACTGCCGTCTGCGGCGCGGTCCATGATTGCAAAGCCGGGCCGTGGATAAATCCCGTGTCGCGTTGGTATTGAGTTCAATGTACCAAATCCACTCCAGCACTGTGTTTGTAAGAAGGATGGAATTGCGCAAGCAAACAAGGATAGAAGAAAAAGGCTGAAGCTGTGCTGTGCAGCGAGGCGCGTTGACGTCGTCGGCAGAACCCTGCCAGCTATATAAGCATCATGGGGTCCTCAACAGGGGCCACAGCACGTATAAACGCCACCTTTTCCCGCCCTCGGCCATAGTGAAAGAGCGAGCCGGGACGTTGCCGTTTCGACGCGCCACCAAAGGCTGGCAGATGCGACCAGCCAAACGAGGTGCTTGTTCCCAGCTAAAAGCCGCCACCATCTGTAATGAGCATCGCGCGAGGGGATCAAGCTTTCACAAAAGCGGGGCCGCGGCGTCCCAAGCTTGCACGAAAGGCTTGAGACGAGCGAGCACACGTCCGCCATCTCCGACCAAGCCCGCATACCGTGGTGTCGCACGCTAACCAGTACCATGAAATGCATTTTTCACCCCGAAGGTGCTATCTACATAACTATCTGGTCGAAATCCGAGCTCGCGATCAAATATCGCCGAGCTCTACCTTCGAGGGGACAGAAGCGAGAAGACATCTCCCAATATCCAAGGGTGAACTTTGCCGTTCCGCCCGCAAGTCCGCCCACGCTCGACCATGGTATCGCCCCGGTGGTGAGGAAGAAAAAGACGGCACATGATGCTGTGGGTGGGTGATGTACAAAAGCGAAAGGGAAGGGTACTCGGTCGCCTCGTCTCGTCGTCATTTTGAATGCTGGTATGCTCGTCATCTCGTACTTTTTTAAAGGCTCAATGCCTGGCCGCCATGGAAACGCAGAAGGTATCGACCGGAAACGCCTGGTATGAACGCCCAAGTCGCTGGCTATAATGCTTGAATATCAGAAACGCAGATTCTGCCATGCAGAAACCAAGAACCTCCCATGCCTTGAAAGGGCAAACCTTTCGCCCCGAATCCAGAATTTCACCAAGTCTTGCGTGGTGTCCCACGTCCGCTTGGTCGTTACCATGTGTGAAATCTCCAAAAGAATGTTTCGTCTTGAGTAGTCCCACATTGCCTTATTACCATGCATCAATACAGGCTTTCAAGTCTGCTCCGATGGGCGAACGGCCACTGGTTTGAATCCTGAAGCGCGTTCCGAGGTAGGCTCGACGTGTTCCTCTCGATAGACGTTCTCCAGCAAAGCCCTGGAGATTGATGAATCCAGAGACTTAACTAGACTTTTCAAGACTTTCTGGCGACGCTTTTCACGCTCCTCGATCACCTCTCGCATAATCCGCACCAGGCCACTCCACCCAACTTGGTTGGCGGCCGCCGGGTGGCTGAAGAGTGGATCCAGTAGAGCGAGCGGGAGAGATAGCAGGATGCTTGAAAGGAGCTGTGTGACAGGGCTAGGCTTAAGCTCATCTTCCGGAGGAGCATCGCCGAACCGAATCTTACTCAGTCGCGGATTGTGCGAAGGCTGTTTAGACTCAACCACAGCCGGTAATCGTGGGCTCTGACGCAGTTCTGGCGCTATCGAGTACAGTGCGAAGTCCGACGGAAAATTGTATGCGATGAACTCAAGCGCATCGTCGAGCAATGGTACGGCGTATGTCTCAAGAATGCGATTGTCGGCCCCGAAGCCGTTAGGCTGTACAGTCGTCTTGTTCGCCGAGCATCCGAAATGAAGAACCATGTCAAGCGTGTCCCAGCGAAGGAGCGACTTAGCGATCCGCAGACCACAGGCCTGCATTTCAGGGATCTGCAGCACTCTCCCAGCAGCAGCGTAGCTAATAGCTTGACCCATACGTTTGCGAGCCTCGTTGGACGCATAGTCTTGATCATGGCCCACGTTGTATGGGCTCAGGTTGTAGAGGAAAGCTTCCGCAGGTAGCAGTGGTGCAGCATAAAGAACCTTAATCGCTTCATTCAAAGACTCGGGCGTAACAAACCTATCATCAATTAGGACCTCAGCCGATCGCCTGGTATCCTTGGTTTGGAAGGGAGGCGGCGTGCTGTGTCGGAGGGCCTCGAAGATCACTGGGCTTCGAGATACCATGACTGCATGCACGGGCATGGACCACAGCATGGCTTCTGGCGACCGTATGTGCAGGACGTAGTCAGTGAACTCAGGGTTGCCGAACTGATTGAATATATGCTTGCTGGTGTCGTAGCCTTCGGAGGTGGTCTGCTTGGCTAACGAAAGTTCGTTTGCATACAGAACATTCTGTGGCTCCTCGCAATAGTTGGAACCGGGCCCGGGTTCACCATGCTGGGATTTGCTAGGAGACTGTGAGTGCGATCTCATAGCGACACCATTCATCGACACCGGACCGACTTGGGGTGAGAAAGGAGCCGCAAAGGGAGCTTGGAAAGCGCCCGATGCTGGCGGGTACGCGGGTGAGTGAAACTCGTTCCCATTGGCATAGACAGCGTCGGGCGGCATCGCCATCGAGAATGGTGGGTGAGGCCACGAGGCGGCAGACTCTGACGGATGGTGGGAATGACCAGGATAGAACTGTGGAGCAAGGTGGGGGGGAGCAAGGCCTGGGGGAGGGCGCGAAAAGCCTTGTTGCGCAGCTCGCACACCTTGTTCGAAGTCCTGCGGCGTGGATGGCATAGCGGGAGACTCCTGGGCGATTCCGCCGAAGACAAGCCCCTCCACGCTTACTTGCGGGCGATGGGCGGAAATGTGGGCGGAAGGCAGGTGAGCTGCAACTTCCATGTGTCCCATCGGCTTCTCTCTGGGGTAAAACTCGGGCGGAAGCGCGGTGCGTACGGTCGATTTGGGTCGCTCGCCATTCGCGGCAGCATCCACGGGCTGCTCCGGTTGCGGCGTAGGAGCAAGCTCTTCTCCAGTCTGTGCAGGAAACGATTGCTCTTCGGTTGCGGCTCCTGTCGAACTGTCAGTACACATGGAGCATGTCGCGCAGAAATTTGGTGAGGCAACAACAGACCTTGGGTCTCGGTTGAGTCCTCTACCTGATCGTCCCCAGAGCGCGCGGGTGAGCTTGCTAATGCATGCTCCTCCTCATCGCGATTCTCAACTGGCGATACTCGCGAGTCCGGTGTCAGAGGCGTCTCGACAGCAGCAGGGGCTGCCTCTGGCTTTGCGCTCTTGATCGCGGGCTGCTTGTCGGGGTCGCGCTGGGTCACCGTGGTAAACTCCTCGGGTGTGAGGGGCCTCACGGCGGGCGGACGGGAGAAGCGGTGGGGAACGGCTGGAATGATGCGGTTGACGGAGCGGCGAGGCTGCTTCTGGGGAGCGACTGCGGGAATATCGGCGTGGCTAGTCGCCATGGTGATGTGCGAGAAGTTGGAGGGGAGGACGCGGCTCCAAGATAATTGCGCGCAGGTTCAGTTAGCCAATTATCCTGGAGCGCCCGGAGCGGAGGAGAGGCGAGGAGGAGAGGTGCTGAGCGGGGCAGAGTGCGTGCGTGCTCGTGCCGTGATGGTCGGAAGCCGTTGCTCACCTTAGCAATGTGGGGGGAAGTTTCCACCAAGATCTTAATTTGCGTCATGCTAGGGTCTCCTGCCAAGCCTGACTAACCTGGCATTGTCAACGACGATGATATTGTGAGAGTGCCCATGTCTGTGCCAGCTGCGCGTCTTTTCGTGCTTGCGATAACAAATGCAGCACCGTCGAGCACGCAACTTTGGTTGTTGTGGTGGCTCTTTGTCAACTAACGTTTTGCGCTAGTATCTCGATGCTCCCAACTGAGCCTTCGAACCGCTGTGATATGATCACTGGTTGATTTCCAAAGCTAGTCAGTACTGCCAACGAAGAGGATTAGAAGACTGCATATCCGAAATGCGAAAAGAAAAGGATCACGAGACTTCGCTGCATATCGTGGGGCAGCCTCCACCCAGCGCTGCACATGTTTACCAGCACTTGCCAAACGTCAAGCTTTGGATTTGGGCGACAGACTCAATATCTCAACGAGCCAGGTATGAAAATTCGACAAGCGGGACGCGGGGCCCCCATTTTAGTGTGGGTTTAAAGTGGCCTTACGTTGGACTGAAGCCTAGATCTGCTTGTACAGCGGCATAAAGCAATTCGTCTCCACCATTCTTGCTCTACAACCCTGTCTGCTAATCAGTCATCACGGCACTCGCATCTCTGTCATCCTCTTTTGCAAAAGTCCGTATCACTGCTGATCGATAAAGTCCAGTCAGCGACTCAAAAACCTCACAACATGCTTTTGCTGACCGAGCCTTCCCCTTCTATGAGTACTGTTTCGGTCGACCCCTTCCTCAAGAGGACGCACTCACATGGAATCATGCTGTAACGTCCCTGGCCGCCTTCGTCACGCTATTCGCGCTGCATCATTTCCACGCGTTCTCGCGTTCCTCTCCATACCCTATCCCTCCCTACGTCGTACTTGATAACTACCGCTAGACGAGCATCGCATGGCATCTATCCTGACTGGTTCCCCTTATTACAACAGACCTTGCACTCGCAAACAGCCGTACTCAACGCAAACTCGCGAAGTCAAATCCGTTGAGCGACGCATGGTGCGCTCCCCAGACATGTTCGCCACGAGCCAAGCGCCATGTAATCCACAGCAAAGCTTTGCTCCAACGCGTGCGTCCGTTTAACCTACCGTGATGTGGCCCACTGATGTACTATAGCAAACCGCTTCAGTGTTCTCGCAGAGCTCGAGCAGTCACCAACGCAGATGAAGTGGGCGTTTGACCTCGTTCATCCTATTCCCAAACTGAGCAGACGTCGCGGTAAACGAGCGGGCAAGCACAAGCTCAAATACACTTCACAGAGCAATCGGGACGCGCAGAAGAACAAGGGTTTGGGTGAGATCTGTGACAAAATTGTGGCACTGAGCCTGAACAGCGGGTCAACGCGCAGCGAGCCACGGGACAATACCACCACGCCTATGGATACAGTGCGGCACCATTGGGCACCCCAATTCCGTCCAGATAAAACATTGGAGCCTTCGGTCCCTGAGAGTGTTCATTTGCAGCCTAAGCCCTACATCCCTCACGCCAAGGCTTCTCCATCGACTGATGACCAGGAGCAAACCAGACAAAAGGAGTCGCGCTTTTTCCCTCTGTCAGCCTTCCTCGCGAGCTCTCCTCCTGCGGCACATTCGGTGCCAGCGAGTGAACCCACACGTCCAGTTTTGACCCGGAACTCCCAGACGAAAAGGACGTTCGCTGAGGCGCCCTCCACCTCGGCGCAAGAGGCCGTTGCATCGGTATGCCAGGCTCTTGCCATGCAGAGGACCGACACAGCCGCTCTTGAAGAGCCGCTGGCCGCATGTGTGTCAATTTCTTCACTCCCTTCGCTGGTTGCGCAGCCGTCTGTCCCCGCGTGTCGACAAAGATCTGAGTTTCCTCACGTTACAGCTTCTTCATTTTCGCCACTCCCTATTACCTCTCCGCACGCCGCCTCCCCTGTTCTCACGCCAAAGGTTATGCCTAATCCTCCCTCGACACCTTCCCCATTCCGTCCCGTCGATTTCAGCCCTGAGTATATACTCGAGGAACCACCACAACCTCCTGTTGCAGACTTGGTAACTGGCCAAGATCCCGCTCAGGCGCTGCATCATTACTATTCTGGTTATGGCCGAACGTGTCGGTCTTCGCTTACAACCGCGCCTTTCACGTACCCCCACCCATTTTGTGCTCCATCACAACCGCGCACAACGATGGTCCCACCTCATATCAGCGGTGTGGCCCGCTTGGACGAGGCTTTGAGATGGTCGCTGTTCGGTTATGGGGCTCCTCAGGGACCATTGTCTGGGACCACCTCTTCGGTGAGTGTCGAGGATTTCCTCAAAATGGGTCACGCCAGCCCCTGCTGGTGCTCAAAATGTCCGAACAGTGTGCCCCTAGGAGAATTGCCACATGAGAAGGTGATAGCGACATCGCAAACTGAAAGGACCGAAATAGCGTGTAATACTCTCATAATCCCAAAAACCTTTGGCGACGAACCCCATGAGGAAACCGTGGCCGGTGCATGGCGTAGAGAGCCGGAGAATCGTGAAATCGGCATCGGCACTGAGACGGAAAGCAACGAGCTTGTGCCTACATCTCAATCTTCCTCAAGCTCCAGACCTCAGTCTGATTTTGAAGAACTACTCCGAAGTGTCCGCGAAGCCTTCACGCCCGACAGCGACAATGAGAGCTCAGAAGACGACACCTGGGCAGTCGTGTACAAGGGCTACCCAAGACCCCAAGTCTCAATGCAATCGTCACAAGACACAGTATCAGAGCCAGAGATAGTGTCAGAACCTGAGGTGCTGTCCTTGCCCACAACGAGCCCTGCATTCTCCGAAACAACTTGGACCATCCCTCCCTTCGACTTTGAGCTCGGTTCACCGCGTGAAGAGCTCGTCGAAACAAACAGTCTAACCACGCCATCCTCACCCTTAAATCTGTGGTCTTCACCGTCTAACAGTCCGTTTTTGACACCAGTTCTACCTTCGACACCTCCTCCGACTTCCGTCGCGCCAACACCAAATCGGCGAACCGGCTCGGCCGTCCATACTGAGGACATCTTGAACGTCCAGAATATCTAGGAACAGCATGACGTTTCAGAGGAGAGTACAGCTGATGGGAGCGCGGTGGAGTGGCCTACACTGCAGGAGGCTGTCAGTATACATAAGAGGCGCACGTATATAGCCCATGGGATGGCAGACGAGGAGTGCAAGCATTGGGACGGGGTTACTGATTGGTTTACTTAAGCGCTTGGGTATGATACCCGATACGGTCTTGCTGGCACGGCTGTGCTTGTGTTGGATACTACTAGAAACTTCACGCCGCTCGTAAAAAACTAGATGACTGATATCTTCCCTCAATTACTTGTCTAATGAAGCAGTGCATTGCATGAAGTTAGCAACAAATTAGCGGTGTAGCCACCCTCGCATCTCGTGTCATGAGCCTGGCGGCTGCATCTGAGACGGCAGGGCGTTTCGTTTCGGGATCGAAAACCCGGGAGACATGGGACGGGGGGCACCCTCCGGTTGGAACCATTTGGTGGCCTTTGCAAGCTTGCTCGGCATGCATGGGCTTGAGTGCTTTTCAACAATCCATACGAGGTAGAGGCGGTGAGATGCGAAGCTGATAGCGTTTTTTGCGTAGAAGAGTCACATTTGCATTCGTAGAGTGGATCGAAGGAAGCCAGGCTGGTTTATCATGTCACATAAAAAGCTTTTCCAGAGGCCCACAAGTCATGCTAGGGTACGAGATTAGGTTGAGCATAGGGCTGAAGGTATCGACGGACATGTAGCGAGGATGTTGGAATTTGGTTTGATTGATGGGTTTATGATGATGCTTGTATGTTGATTGTCCTTCGGACATTGTTTCGTAAAACGGATCGCGCTCTGCGCATACGCCAGTAAATGTATTGAGTCGCTGAACGACAAGAAATAACTCCTGCCTTGCGGAGTTGGTGCAAAAGCGGTTGCAGATAATAATGCCAGTGCATCTACCGCGGTTCGTGAATGGTGAGAATATGCCCGTGCTCCCGAGATTCTGATCCTAAAAGCATATTCTGAATGTGTAGATTCATTGATGGTAGAATCGACTGCCAGCGATTATATCGTGGCTTTAGAGAAAGTGCGAATAGTGCCCTGGGACCCGCAACCGACACTTCTCGCAGTCGTCTCGATAACCCATGCTGAAGCGGCCCATGCCGGTGAGAGCGCCACTCCGCTTCCTTCCGCGTGTGGGCGTGGCCGACGGAGGCGGCATTTCCATGTCCATGCGGTCAGAGCTGTAGTTCGTCGTCACACTAAGACGTGAGAGCTGCGACTGCGTCTGAGCCGTAGGCGTGTCTGGGATATCTTCGTCTTCCGAAATGGGTGACGGCATGCGTATCGTCCTATCCTGGCTGCGCTGTCTCCGGTGCGGTATCCCCACGTTTGATTCACTGGCGGGAGCAGAGGGGATGCCGAGGTAGCCGTTGCTCGTTGCCATTCCGCCCGCGAGACCACTATTTGGATATCCTAGTCCATTTATGACACCTGCGTTCTGAAAGGACGGGTATATGGGCGTTGGGATACGATGCGATATGTCAGGCGCGTGCTTCACCTGGTCGCGGTTGAAGAGATCGAAGTTCAGCTTTGCGGGCCGGAAGTTGGTGATGAATGGCGAATCTGGCGGCTGGCTGGCCACGGCGTCGGGCTCGTCTTCGTCCATTTGCATGGAGTAGTCTATGTCGCCGTGCGGTGATAATATGATCTGAGGGTCTTCTGGTAGTGAGGCGGGCGAGTTGGCTTCGCTGTGCTCGGACTCGGCGGGCGTCACTGCCTCAAGCCCGGGCACTATGTGTGGCGGTGAGGCTTTTGAGACATATCCAGAGAAACCGTTTGTGTTGTGTGGGCGCTTCTCAGCCCATGGTAGGCTCGGTTGTACGTTCCATGGTCTTGATTTCTGTCGATGGTCAGCTGTTTAGATTGTCCAAATGTCCGCAACACGCACTTTGAGGTACCGGTCGTCGTCGGAATCTGAATCGTCGTCCCGTCGCCGCTTAGTGTTCATGGTGTGGAATGCCAGCATCGAGTTGATGGGAACAGCGAGTGCTTATGTGTGGGTGGGTGGTTGTGTAGTCAGGCGCGCACAGCACGGTGAGGGGGCCCGGGCAGCGGTATCGATAAACAGCGAGGGTTGGGGTGAACTGGAGCTTTGGGGGAAGCCAAGTGCGGGCGCATGTGTTTTGTAACAGGCGCGGGATGCAGGTCAGGGGAAGTCGCTTTGGAGCAGCCGTTTCAGATGGCCGGTTGATTCACGAATGCAGGTCCGGGTGGGCGGCTTACAGCGCCATAGCGGGTAGACGGATGGCGATGTCGCGGTTGGCTACGTCTGTGGACGACTGGAGGTGCAAGGCCGAGTGCATGGAGCAGACGCGCTGCTGTGGTTTTCGTGCTCGTGGCTGATGAGCGCAACCATGTCCGCTGTGGTGTACGGGGAAATGAGCAACGGATCACATGCCCATGTTAGCTCTTAATGCAGCTGCTATAGGGCCCGCGATGGACAGGATCTTGAGCGCATGACTGGCGAGCCGTGGATGCACTCGGTGGTGGATCAGATGCATCGTCGAGCAAGGCAAAGCGAAAGCGCCAAACGCCCCTGAGAAGCCGGCGGGCACTTTGATCGCTTGGCCCAGGCCCTGGTCGAAGGCGGTGACGCGGGAACCCCACCGTAGCTCGAAATTATTTTGCCCGCGACGACGTGACTGTGACCTTCATCGCCTCTGTCCGTCCACGTCTGCCTCGCTCGCGTTCCTTTTCGACCCCCGACACCGGACGCAACCTGCTGCGAGCACAACCCCGCGAGTCTCCCCAAGGTACGCTTCCCGACGTCTTTGTCCAATTGCCCCTCCCATCTGCACATTACCCCTCATCCCATTGGCCTACAAGGCGCGCCCTTCGCATGCCTACACACCAGCACTTACTCTATTGACCGCTCCCCCCCTGCCAGTGTACACGCAGTCCGTTGGTCAATTGCAACCCTGGTCACACCACAAATCCATACTGACTTCCACTCATAAAGAACGCCCATCGCCCACCATGGCCGACCCCGTATCCGCAAACATGAACCAGAACGCTGTTAGCGACGATGTGCGCGGTAAGCCCTCAGGCCAGATGTGCCCATGGATAGCCAATGCTAATGACGTGCGCCTCAGTTCTCGGCTACGACCCGTTGATCCCACCTCAGCTCCTCTCCGCCGAGATTCCCATCACCAAGGCCTCCGAAGAAACCGTCCTTCGCGGCCGCAAAGAATGCATCAAGATCATAACCCAGCAGGATGACCGCCTCCTCGTCATGGTCGGGCCCTGCTCTATTCACGACCCCGAGACCGCCCTAGAATACTGCGACCGCCTCAAGGCTCTCGCCGACAAGCTCAGTGGAGAGCTTCTCATCATCATGCGTGCCTACCTCGAGAAGCCGCGGACCACAGTCGGCTGGAAGGGTCTTATCAACGACCCTGACATCAACGAGAGCTACCAGATCAACAAGGGTCTGCGCGTCTCGCGCAAGATGTACTGCGACTTGACTTCAAAGGGCATGCCTATCGCGTCTGAGATGCTGGATACGATTTCGCCGCAGTTCCTCGCTGATCTCATCTCGCTTGGTGCTATCGGCGCACGCACTACGGAATCACAATTGCACCGTGAATTGGCTTCCGGTCTCTCTTTCCCTATTGGATTCAAGAATGGAACCGACGGAGGCTTGACCGTCGCTGTCGATGCCATTGGCGCTGCGGCTGCTAAGCATCATTTCATGGGTGTGACAAAACAGGGCCTGGCTGCCATCACCAGGACGGCAGGAAATGAGCACTGCTTTGTCATTCTCCGTGGCGGAAGCAAGGGCACCAACTTTGACAGAGACAGCATCAAGGCTGCTCGAGAAGCTCTGAGGAAGAAGAACTTGCCCGAAGTCATGATGGTCGACTGCTCGCATGGTACCTTACCTTTGCCTTGATAGAAACCCATGACTAATCTGCTTCAGGCAATTCCAACAAAGACCACCGAAACCAGCCCAAGGTAGCTAAGGTTATATCTGAGCAGATCCGTGACGGCGAGACCGGCATCGTCGCAGTGATGATCGAGTCCAACATCAACGAGGGCAACCAGAAGGTCCCAGCGGAAGGCCCAGGCGCGCTCAAGAAGGGTATCTCAATCACTGATGCGTGCATCGACTGGGATACCACCGTCAACACTCTCGAAGACCTTGCCGCCGCAGTCAAGGAGCGCAGATCGAAGAAGGCTGTTACAAATGGTGTACATTAAGGCGCCAGCGATACTGCATATATTTGGGTCGGAGAACTTAGTATTTGCTTGATTTGATTCTGACCACAAAAGTAAGAAGGGCTAAAAGCACAGAAGTCACGAACACGCATAATGGTAATGAGGATTGGCATATGATGGTTGGGACAGGTGCATGGCGTCGATCTAGGTTTTTGATACCTGCATACGCGTTTGGTAATTTATATCCCTGCTCCATCATCACTCGAGTGCCAGTGGGTCCGGCCAGCATGCACAGCCTCTCGTCACCCTCCCAGCGCCTCCTCAAATAATTCCGCAATCCCTTCGTGCACCCTCGCAATAGGATGGTACCCATTGCAAAACAATCATCTCTCGGAACCCTCACAAAGACTGCTCTCCCCACTCCTATATGTATGTCCCATTTGAGCACGCCGTTGGCGGATCTGCGTACTCCTTGTCCGCCCCGTACTGTTCCGACCTCGCGACGATATCCGCATAAGTTTCTGCAGATTCAATTCCTGGTGTTAAGACAATATCTCAATGGTTCCGTTGTGCATGTGTCGATGCTCGAAAAGGCAAAGCCAGGAACGCTCAACGACGGCGGATGTAAGACGAAGCAGCACATTCAGGTCTAATTCGCGTTCGCCTTAAATACTTGAACAAAGTGGCTGTGTACTTTTCGAGATAGAACTGCAGACCAAGCGGATGTGTCTCGTTCTGGAAACGGCGAAAAGTTGCGTACAAGGAGGGAACTCAAAGAACAACGACGTCTACTCCGTGAACAACAAGCGATCCTGCACCTAAACATCACGTTCACTTGGGTGCGATAGGCATGCGTGAATAGGTGAACGAAATCAATATGTTGCAACTACCGTTAAAAGGTGGGCCTGCCGTCTCGAACATCACGTATATCATATATCTTACAACAAATTGCGCTCCAGTCGCGCCTCCCTACACCTTCCCATCTTCTCTCCACTTCGACTTACTTACTCTCGAACTCTTTGCTCTCCCCAATGTTAACAACTCCAAACACTCCGTCTTCTTCAATCTTCTTCTCCCTGAGTGCTTCCTTCAGCTTCCTCGGTGGCTCCATTACATCCTCCTCGGTGAGTACCCAAGTACCCCAATGCATCCCTAATGCCTTCTTACATTTCGTATCGACGAAGATATTCACACTATCCTGCGGATTTGCATGCATAGGCGACATGATCCAACGTGGCTCATATGCACCGATAGGAATAAGTCCGAGATCGAAAGGTCCACGATGCTGGCCAATCTGCGCGAAAGCAGGACAATGTGGAAGATGTGCGTACTCAGTTCCATATCCATCATCGCCCTCGGGAGTGGATTCAGGGACAGCCCTGTATCCCGTATCTCCCGCAAAGTAGACTTTCGCGCCGCCACTTTCGAGACTCCAACTCGCCCAGAGGGTCTTGCACTTATCGAACGGGCCTCGAGCGGAGACGTGCTGGCACGGTAACGCGCCTACCACCGCTGTAATATCCTCTCTCTTCGCCTTTGTCTCGCTGTCGCTCACAGAAACCGCATCCACTTCTTTCGCATCCTGGAATCTCGCTTGGAGCTTCACGTCCTTCGTGTCCCACCAGTCCAGTTCCGTCACCTGTCCCTCGGGCACCCCGCTCTTGATAAACCAATTCCGATTCCCAAGCGGCGCGAAGAAATGCGCCTGCGGGAACGCTTCTTGTATCCGTTTGATCGTAGGGTAACTCAAGTGGTCGTAGTGATTATGGCTAATGACTACCAGGTCGACGGTGGGTAGGTCCTCGATTTCGCAAGGGGGAGGTGTGAATCGCTTGAACGACTTGAAATTGACGGGAGCGCAGCAGTCTTCGAATACGGGGTCGAATAGGACGCGGAGACCGGAGGGGAATTCGACGTAGTAGCATGCGTGCCCGAGCCAGGTTGCTCGCAACTTGCCGCCTTGCCTGCCTGCTCTGAAAGTTGGGGTGACCACTGGAACTGTGGGAGGAGTGGTGTCTGGTTTTCGAGCTTGGCCTGAGAGTTTTCTCCTATTAGGTATTGTCGGCATGGCCTTGTCATGGTTATGCACGTAGGAGATGCTTACCAGAATAGCCTCACACCCATCCTCCACCCAACGAAATCGCGGAAGCTGTCCCATGGATTTATAAAACCCTTCCCGTCCTTCAAGTGGTGTGCCTTTTCATCCGCATTTTCGGGCTTTGCTGCAACAACAGCTGGCTTGCTCACCACGGCATACAGGCCCGCAGACGCGAGACCCGCCCCACCCGCGGAACTCATCTTGACCGTGAATGCAAACCTAGGCGTCTGCCACCAGCCTTTTGTTGGTGGTGAGGACCGTGAGCTGTTCCTAGGAGACGGAAGTCGCCCGAAGTGGCGATGTGTATTGCGGTGCCAGTTCCGCCAGGGCCTTTCTTTCACAGACCTGGAAGCCGTTGACGCACTCTCTCGGTGCGTAAACGTGCGAATTTGGCGTCTCAACACGTTCAGACTCGTTGTGCTAGTGTTGGCCAGAGACGCGGACATGTCCCGGGAGTGACACTCCACCAAATCTATATACAACCTGAATTCGTCCTTGACCCTGGACGATGCTGCACAGCGATTGTGAAGGCCATGTTCTTAAGGCCGAAACGGTCGAAAAGGCCAAACCGGACATCAAACTGGCCGTCTCGTTTGCCGGCCCATTGGGCTTCTGCTTGTGATTGGTCGATGACGACACCACTACAGCAATGCAGAGACGGAACCGAGAGGACTTAACTCCGTGGGCGGAAGTATCGATGCACCCCGACGTTCCGGACATATTTTTGATCCGCCTCGCGCACAAACGTACGAGGCCCCAGACCTTGCTACGGTGCACGTCGAGACCCGAGATTCGTGACTGTCCTTGTGCAGCGATGCCGTTGACGGGCTATCACGACACGCGACAACGAGAGTGGAGTCACATTGCGACAGGACTCGAAAACATGGCGAACTAATGCGAGGCAATCGAGTAACACGCAGCGGCTCCTCAGACAAGCTTTTTTCCATTTTGATGCTGCTACCAAGAGGCCCTGCTTTTTCGCAGGATGTAGTAAAAGCACGATATCAAACCGTTCCTCCGAAGTCCCTAATGTGCCAACTGGTATAGAATTCATAAGCTCAAAGCCTTTTCCGCCCAAAGAAAAAAAAGTAATGCTCCGTCGTAGTCCGATGCCAATTAATTATAGCTCCGCAATTGGAAAACGGAGGCGATGGAGGGGAATCAAATCGTGAGCTCTTTAAGACCGCAAACTGGTTGGCTCTTGAAGGACAGGTACAGCCAAAATCCTTAGGACGGCGGATCTGACGCGATCGACGCTCTGACAGTACCCGCGACCCTTCAACAGGCCGAAAGCAAAACCATTAACAAGTGCAATGAACCCCCAAATGCCAATCTAGTGGCGAAGTGCAAAAGAACAATCGTGCACAGGGAGACTACCCGAAACCCCACGCCCGAAGCGTGGCTGGTAGAATGAAAAGCATCGTAGAAAACCGGATCAAGCAAACAAAACGCCGTGGTCCCACAATTTCGCTGGAAGTGCTCCTGATGAACCATGACACACCCCAATGTCTAAACGGAAACAAGCAATGAAAAACCGGTGTCGCAAAATGTAAGGTAGGAAATCTATCATGCAAGATGATCGCAAGCCTTGCGTGTTTTCGTCAAATCTCCGAGGGCGCGCATATGCATCTCAAATAGCGACAAGAAGGGAACGAATGAGCGCCTTGTAACATGAATCGATGAGATAGACGAAGGCCTCCGTAATGAGGGACAACCATGATATCGTCGATCGACCGAGCAGGGTCTGGAAAATCGGGTCCCGGGGGTGAAGAGCCGGTGCGAAGGAATAACTTTTGAACAGATGAATCGCTGGGATGAGGTAAAAGGCCAAGCAATATGTAATGGTCGAAGAGGCAAGTCGTGAAACAATTTGAGAGTCGTGATGACGGCAGTGAGGAAGGTCATCTAGGGGGTGGAACATGCCCGACAGCCCAGACGGGAGGGTACTCAGCAGGCATTGAGAGGGCCCAGGCTGACACATCGAAGGTAGCTGAGTCCTAAACAGCAACAGCCTGGGGACCGAAGCCGGGCGCCATAAAGTAGGACGGGTGCCTTTGCGCGCAGTACATGCAACCACAATTAACGCCGTGAGCGTTCCAGGTAGGAGGTTGGTATTGCGTCGTGTATGCAGGCGGGCCATAATTGGATGGCTGCTGGGCCTGGCTCGGAGCTGTCTGAGACAGGGGTGGAAACCCAAACATGGTGCGACGTGAGTACCCTTCCGGGGCCCAAGGTCCCGCGCTGCCGTAATACTCTGGGGTAGTGGGACCAGTGGTAGGAGCAGAAGCAGGAGAGTGCTCATTGGCCGCTCGCCAAGGGTCGTACTGCGAGTAGCTGGCGCCGTTGTTGAACGAGGGCTGCGCGGACTTAGGCGTATACTCATACGGTGGGTTGTAGGCTTGCTGCATCGGTAGCGGTGGGAGTGGCTTATTGACCGAGCGTTGTCGCTGCACCGAAGTGTCGATGGGGCTGAGTTTGTTGGGGCAGCCGGCTCGCTCAGCAGCACGTTCTTCATAGGTTTTCCAATGGTTGGACCAAGTGTTCCAGCCTTGGTGCTCCGCGGGATCGCGGTGCAGCTTAAATTCGATAGCCACGAGCCACTCCATCTCCAACTGATTGAGATCGGCGACGGGGATGCCGCTGACCTCCGACCAGGAGCGGTTGATGAAGGTATTGTCATCCAGAAACTTGCTCCCCAGTACAAGGGCAATGGTAAGGAGGCGGAACAGATGGTTGTCGTTCTTAGGGAGACCAGCCAGCATAGGCATCCTCGAAGAGAGGTAGAACATGCTCAATATGATCGTTGCAGATGGCAGCCTCGTTGCGCAGAGTACCTGGTGGACCCATTTCCTGAAGGATGGTGGCATCATGCGGCCAGGGGTGATAACCTCCAGAGCCATTTCGCACACGAAATCCGTCATGACTTCCATGTCGTAGTCTAGCTTCGCGGACACACCTCCCACGGGCTTTTCCTCTTTCGGTTGCTGGGCAGGGCGCTGGATGAGCTCTTGCACGCGGTGTTGCTGAATAGCGGCATCTCCCATGGAGTGTCGCATCGGCGGAAGAATAGTAGCGCCGTTGGGTTCGTAGAACGAACTGGGTGGTGGCAGACTCTGCGGAGCGTTGCTCAGGTAGGTGCCTGCTTGTGGGTACATAGGAGGCATCGCAATGGACAGCTGGTTGTAGCGGTCTGCAAAATCGTAGCCATCATCATGCGACCGAATGCCCGGCTGACCGCCGTAGGCAGGTTGTTGATAGGGCATTCCACCGCAACCCGAGTGGTAGCTGGGTACGAACTCAGGCGGCGTTAGTGGTAGTTGCCGAGGCATGTTCTGTCGGGGGTAGAAGGATGGCATGATGGAGATGCAGTTGCAGAGGAACGAAGATACCGGTATACCCTGCGACAATGTGAGCGGGATCCGCGAAGGCTGCGAGTAGAGATGGCTAACCAGTTTCTTCAATTCCGGACCGCGGAAGGGTGAGCGTACGCTCTGCGAAAGAGCTTACCGGGGCTCTAGTAAATTCCGTTCATGCACAAAGAAAATCGTGGTTCAAGAGAGTGTTGTTCGTTTGAGACGGTCGAAGAAGCGGCGGGATTGTAATAATGCTGTCGCGGGCAGACAGTGCGTCGTTGTCGGTGGCACAGCGCAGCCGGCGAGAGAATCGGCGTGTGTCGCAGCTGAGACCTAGGTTAGAGACGCGCAGTGCGAGCGGACGCCACTGAAACGCGAGTCCGGGACGATGTCTAAATCAATAGTTCGTCGAAAGTGAAGGTTGAAGGTCGCGTTGTCGGGGAGCAAAGGAAACCGGAAGGCCGAAGTGGAACGGCAGGGGCGACCCAACAAAACGGTGAAGAGCTAGCTGGTTCAACCAAGGAAGGCGCCGAGTAAATGCCACAGGAGAGCGGATGCAAAAGGATGAGGCGGCCGACGTTCGTGCAGCGACGCTGGGTGTCAGAAGCAACGAGACCCTGTCTGTTGGGTGGAGTGTGACGCGCGAGCCAGACGGAGGTCGAGCAAAGTCGATGTTGACGATCGAGGCTGCGCTCTGGAAGGGCGAACACTGCTTGTCAACGCTGAAAACTGCGATGGGAAGAGTGACGACGAAGAGAGCAAACGCTCAGCAAACGAGGGCCCAGTTGGTCGCCCGAGTGGGTGCAAGGACCACTTCTCGGCTGCACGGCTACACGGCCAGAGAGGCTGGCTGGGGGTCGAGAGCGCTGCCTGGGGGTGAAGATGACGAGGTGGGAGAGCAGGAAGAGGCGAAGGGGGAAAGGGAGAGCAAGGGGATGGGCGCGGCGAGGAGCGGAGCGGTTGTGGTGACGGAGTGAATTTCTCAGGGTGGTGTGTATAATCAACCAGTTAGGGGCATTCTTCAGGCCGCGCCCGCCGTCCGAATGGCCATCTCCGGCTCCAACAAATCTGTACCGACGTCCTCGCGTCGCGGCCTGGAACCCTGAGGAGCAGGCTACATTACATCTTTGCGCTGCGTCCCCGTTCTCCTGCAAGCATTCCACGCGGTTCGTCGGCGTGTATTCTGTCCTGTGTGCCGCCAGACTGCTCAACAAAGTCTGCTCCACCGACTCCACTCAGGCCAGACTCCAGAGCATCGTCAAGCACAAAGTCGATGCACGCTCTCGAGAATTGCTCCACCGGCGCTGCAAGCCTCTCCCAATGAACGCCATAAGGGGCTCATTGGCGCTGGCTTCGTCCAGTCACGGACAGCATCGGTGCTTTCGCGAGCCACGCTGGCAGACTGGCGGTGGAGGCACCCACGTCTCCGCTTTGCCTCTAGCCCTCATGGAAACAAGCTAGAATCCTTCACTGCCGTGCCAAGGGTGTCGTCGAGGCACCAATCTTTCCCGGCCCATCCTGCAGCGCGAAACACCGCCTGGAATTGTCATCGTCTTGCCGGCTTCATCTGAGCTTCGAGATGACTGTGTGTCACTCCAGCTCCCCTAAATAAAGCCAATAATCGGTCCGTGAAGTATATTGGCAACCAGCGCCCACACGCCTACGCGTACACCCCGCCCGACTCATCTGTTTGACAGCGTGCGCGGAAGTCGGTCCCCGTGCTTGTATGAAAACTGTGTGCCTGCATGCCGTGGCGGGCCCATGTGGTCCTAGTCGTGCACATGAACCCTTTCTTCCGTCACTGCCCGTATGGTCGTCAAGCAAGCGCCTTCGTGTCGGCCCAAGGCCGGCCGGGCTGGACTCGATGCCGCACACATATTGGCAGGTGATGATGAGCATGCGCATCGCGGCGTCTCCATCAGGCTCTCCGCAAATCGCAACGCGAACCCAACACCGCCAGCAGCATGAGCATTGGCGGCAAGGCGGGCTCTCTGCGTCAGACGATGAGCGTCATCCCGCCACCCATCCGCAGACTTCCACGCTTCTGACTCTGCGCGCTTCGCCAAAACGAAATCCTCGTCAGTCGTCAGAGGGCTCGCACAGGTGGTGGCAACATTAGCTTCGGCGACGGGAACACTGCACCTCCCACATGCAGAGCGACTGTTGAGACACCCCTGCTTTGACTGTGACAAGTTCAGCGAGGCCGTTATTGACTCGTCGAGGAAATCGTGGGTCGCTCACACTCAGACTGACGCTTTTGCTGTGAAGGCTTAGTTTGCGGGGGCGCAATGGGAGACCGAAAACCCAGCTTAACTCCGGATGATCAATACGGCGCCGTATTACGGGTGTCGGATCGTTCTCTCACAAGTTGTGATGGTCCGCGGCTGCCACTGCAATATCCTGTACATGCGACCTGCAGTAGCCGCGGCGCACTGGCTGCGGGAGGCTTCCAAGGTTGTGCACTGCACACACACCTGTCTTACTCACGGTAAGCACCAGGTGATCGCGCCTGTCCAGAGGCAGATCGTCAAGGTGGCGTCCAAGTCAACATCACCTACATGTTCAGCCTTGAGACCGCGCGCAACATGGCGATGCAATCAGGCTCAAGCTGTTGCCTTGGCTGCAGAGTTCATCTAGCATACGCTGGACACGAGGCTGTGTGCGCCGGTGCTGACCACGGGACGCGTACATCAATTTGCATATTCCGTGTCCGGCCTCGATTCGTGTAGTTGCCACGGTTGGCGGCTGCAATCATTTCATTGACTTCGCAATCAATCTCTAGTCGTTTCTCACATGAGGCGCACAAATGTTCCCCCGCCAAAGATCCCGAACGCCATGCAAATGCAATCGTGGGGTATTCCCAAAAAGAAATCCATGCTCGAATCTGTTTCAATCCCAATCATGGCGCATCCCTCGTACAAATCGCAATTAGTTCATCTGTCTGATCAAGTTGTTGATCAAGTCTTCACGATTGCCTAGATCGCCGCCTTCGATGAAATGCTTGAATTTCCGCTTGTGGAAGCCGCCGGTAGGGCTGTTGAGCTTGAAGGGCCACAAGAAGTTAGAAGCTTGTTTGAAGTTGGGCCCGACGGTGTAGATCTCGTGGATGAGATCTTCCATACAGATCATGCTAGCCATATATTAGCGGATGCTGGACAATGCAGGTTCCAAGTGTGGCCGTACCCGTATTTGCCAAGCTGCTCCTCGATGATTTCGTTGTCCGTAAGCGGGATGCGCTGCTTGTCGACTTTACCATAACCGCGCTCTGCAAATCAATCAGTATGTGACAGCACGATAAGAGGAATGAACTTACTATAGATGAGTTCGCGGACAGACTTCTGATTAGGGTAACCGTACGCGACAAAGGGTTCGACAATTCTCAGCATCTCCATGGTGGCCTTGGACAACTTCACGAAGACGCCATTGTTGATCTGGAGAAGACGAAGAAGCTGCAGGGTCTTGCGCTTTTTTGGGATCGATCTTGTTGATACCCTTAATACGCACGACGAAGACAAGCTTTGGTTCCTCCGGAACATAGAAGCTGTCATTTTTCTTTGCCTCGCGAGACAGCCTGACCTTCTCCTTCTCTGCGTCACGATATTCTTTCACATATTTTTCGGCCCGTGTGAAAATCACTTCCCTCTTCTTCTTGTTCTTGTCTGATCGAATATTAGCACGGACGTTCTACAAGATCTCGCTACAATTGGTTCGAAGAGGGCGGTCGCATCAGTCCCGAAAGATGGTTAACGGTACGACAACATTGACCGAAGTCTAGTCGAAAGTGTTGGTGCTTATCATCATCGCGACCGGCCCTTCTCGCCTTGTGTAGCAGCTGGGTGCGTACCTCTCTTTTCCTTCGTAGCCAAAGCGCGCTCCTCGCGAGCCCTTTCCTGCGACTTCCTCTTCTTCAGAAGGGTCTCGGGGACGAGGATGTCGTTCTGCGTCGGCACGGTTCTGCGCGGGGGGTTAGTAAGAGTCTAAGGAGGGACCCGCCTTGTAGCAAGAAGGTCGCGAAAGCAGATACTCACGTTGAAGTCGCCATTGTTCAAATTGCAGCGACCGCTGTTGCATTCGAAAATATTTCGAGGAGAACTTTGGATTTTCGAAATTCGTGCTAAGCGGGACGCTAGGCTACATAGATACTGGAGCACCTACACTAGTGTAGTACGGCTTGGCACTATCGGAGGCTCTTACACTACCCAGGTAGTGTACTACCCAGCACTCTTAATATCACTCTCATCAACCCGAAGTTTTCTGCGTGTTTCTGATGAAATCCTTCCGTTTTCGAGCTATCATGGTGTGTAGGCAGCCCAAGCGTATTTACCCAAGATCTGCGCTGTTGAGCCGAAGCGTTGACACGCTGGAAGAGACGGAACCTCCCGTTCATGACTTCTATGCGGTACGACGCATTTCCTGATGCCGCACAAGTTCACTTTTGTCTCATTCATCCTGGGACAGCACCGTGGGGTTCACCCTGACAAGGGTTCCCCGAAATTTTGTGCGCCCAAGGTAAAAAATTGATTGATCACAATGGCAAAGGAAGGTCGTAAGTGCCAAGATGAGGCTGCCTCGGATGACAAACCTTTCACCATCTACCGCTGTCGAACTCTAACTGTTCGGCCCTACATGTTAAGTTTCTCTTTGTATTGGTGCCGTTTGCTTTACTCCCATCACCACCCTCAGCTTTGTCTGCCACATCAATGATGTAATCTGAGAGCTTTCTAAGCGCCTTCCTCTTTGTTTCGCTGTATGCATACATTCTTCAAACCTCCAAAAACCTCAATCGATTAGAGGCCACACAATACATCGCACTACCATCGCAGATCCCGAGTTATCGAAACTGTACTAATTATCATCCTTCCTATCCCCCAGAAGACCCAAAAGTCAAGCAATTATTCACCCAACTCTTTGGCGGTTCACCAGACGACCCCAGAGCGCGGGAACAATGTCGACGTCAATGCCATCCAGAGGCCCTAGAGCACTAGGGCCCACGTAGCGAGCAACTTCAAAAGCATGACGTTGTCTGCCCATGCATAGCCGCAGGAACTAGAAGTCATTGGAGCCATGTTGGATATCTGAAACGCTGAAAGACCCTTGCGTTGTTGGCGCATCAGTATCGGCAGTGTATGGATCAGAGCTCTAGGCGCCATTGCATAGGGACCGCATTTCATGTTAAAGCCAACTATTATGCAATTCACCTGGCGAGTAAGGAACATCCTCCGAAGGGTTCGAATGAAAGAACAAGTCCCCACGATACTATACGCAACAGACTACCACCAGCGTTTCTATGAGGTGGGACAAGAAGATCTGATTGTAGGAAGTTTAAACGTACAGAGCCCGCCGATGTAATTTCTCGCGAAGACCAAAAGCGCGTGCGGCTGGACTCGTCGTACAATACAGCTCTGGTAGCTAAAGAGTTCGACAAAGACGTGGAGAGCGAGAGGATTTCGGAAGGTCGTGACGGTGCTCAAAGGAAGCCGTTCGCGCCACATTCCAGAGTATGCGACGAAACCGGAACGGACAACCACGCTACAACCTCACGATGCCGACGCGAAAACTAAAACTTCGCCAACAAAGATGCTCGCCCGCATGCGTCGCGGCCTATTTTTACCTCTCATGAGTCCGTTCGCGCGACCGCATGCAGCCAGCAACATGTCGCAGGCTCTTGCATATAATCTATGTCTCTGAACGCGTGCATTGTTCAACCCACCCCCTCACTCGCTACGTTTACTTATATATCTAGTCATTTTCAAGATGCATTGGCACGTTAGAGACTTCTGGACTCGTACTTCCCTGGTCTTGAGCTCCTCGTCGCATAAACACCACCACCACAAATCCTCCTCTCTTATTTCTACCTCCTCCCCGGAGTTTGCAATCACAACTACTATCCCCTACGTTTCAACGCTTGAAACTGCGGTGTACACCGAAGCTCCTTCGTCCACATCTTTCCCCTCGGTTCAATCCACCGAATCGGCCTGGAAGACCGAATCCACGAGCGAATCTTCTAAGACAGAACCTTGCAAGACTTGCACCAGCACCACCACAATGTCTACTGTTCTCAACACGCTCACCCTCTCTTCCACCATCTTCGTCACCCTTTCGACGGCGATCCCCCATAGCCCTCCAGACATCCCAGGCGCCATCCGTGGCCTCTCTGACTGCTCTCAAGATGTGCTCTTCCCACTGCTCGGAACGAGCCTGTGCAATCCTGCAGACTTCCCGTGCATGTGTGTCGAGCTCGACCGCCTGGGTGCTCGTAAGGAGGTATCAGATAAATGTCCTGAGCATGTTGATGGTAAGTTTGACATCTCCCCCTCCTTGTTAATTTTGAAGCATAGACACTAACATGACTTCAGAATATCATGACTTCGCGGTAAACACCTGCGGCAACGCCGGTGTAGTCACCGTCACAGGTACCGCTGGCTCCGAATCTGCCGTCTCAACCACCACTATCCCCGTCACCATCTCCACCGGCGGTCCTATGAACGTCACCTCTGCACCCTTCAATAACGGCACAGCCGTTGCTCCTACCAAGACCGAGACTGCCGTTCTTCCCTCTGAGACCAGTCAGGGTAACGGTACTTCGGGCGGCGGTTCAGGAGGTTCTAGCTCTAGCGGCTCAGGGTCACCTGGCTCAGGCGAGGTTGGCCCTGGTTCTGGCGGCAGTGGCTCTGGAGGCGAAGGATCTGGCAGCAGCCCTACTCAACCTGAGAACCCAGAGTTCTCTGGCGCCGCTGTGTCGGAGTTCGGTAACGGAAAGATGGCTACATTCGCTGGTTTTATTGGTATGATGTGGCTCGCCTTCGCCGAACTGTAAGCATCAAAGCGTGTCGTTTACACAATATTTCCTATGGGTCTACGGGTGGGTTTGGGTTTTCCATATTCTTATCTGGACATAATAGGGTATCCTAGACTAATGTTTAATAATCAATCATCATATCCCATTGCTCAAATTCATGTGCATGGTGTCTACACAATGTTTAGATAGGCTGTTCGCGATGTCTGAGGGTTTAGTCAGGCAGGTGCTCCCTCCAGCCAAGTGGCATTATTTCTTCGTCCATTGTCTCGAAACACACTGGCAGCACCTCACAATATCACCGAGCTTAAACCTAGGACCCTTAGCTTTTAGGTTCACGCCACTCCATGCGACACAACACTAACACAATCCCACAGCCACCTCATAGACACTGCAGATGATTATCCCGTACCAACAACACGTCGGGTTCCGTTTCTCCAGATCCCCTACTGAGATGTCGCGGCATCGCGTTGATTTCTTTGGGCACACAGGTTGATCTTCGCATTCGCAGTAGTAGTATCCGGCTGCGGCAACGGCGGAGGCAGATGTAGGTGCGGTGTGCACGAAGACAACGAGGAAGGATGAGGCAAGGACGAGAAATTGCATGATCAAAGGATGTGTGGCAGAATTCGTGTTTGGTCCTCCGGAGGAAGGTACGACCGAGGGTTCAGAGGTAATGTTGGGGAGAAGGGAGCGTCTGGGCAGAGCTTATGTAGTCGATGGCAGATGTAGCTGGGAACAGGCCTTGTTATTCGAGGTTCACATTAGTGAAGTGGGTGTCGTCGTGCAAGAGATCTTGTTCACAATCAGCGATGGGTGCAAGGTTGGGCTAACGGGGGCGTCAAAGCTTTGGGTTTCATGATCTTCGGCAAATACGCAAAGCTGTTGACGAGAGTGAATGCATACATTTTGACCAAGACTCAATCATCCGCTTGAGTGTCGGGCGTAGCAGCAAGTTCAGATCTTCCTAACATGGAAGCTTGGTGTAACCACTAGACCTATGTGTAGGAAGCCCTGTTCTCTGTGGCTTTAGGGCTATCGAGTACGGGCATAGACAGGCTCGCCTGCGATGTTCACTATACTCGTTGCAATTTGGAGCTTACTCACTTATATTACTTTGCCCCTTAGGGAAGCAGTGACCTTGTCCAAGTACTGGCCTGATCCAGAACTAATACATACTCGTACACCCAGAGACGCGAAGAGAAATTCTCCAAAACCCGCGCTTAGGTTTAGAAAGACATACCGTTACCCGCGTTGTGCTCCTTGATGTAATCACCTCCCTTCTCCATGAACTCCGCCCGCGTGATGAAGTTAGTCCTGTTCTCCTTTTTGCCCGCCCACTTCGCAGCTCCCCTCCACGCGTCCAAGACTGCATCGTCCGCTCTTCGAACAACAAGCTCTTGCTCGGCGGGAAGTACAGCTCGCAACTCGGACGCGAGTCTCTCTTCAAAACCCTGGAAGAGTGTGTTGCCACCGGTCAAGAAAATGTCTCTGAAAACGTCGTCGCGGTGCGGATTGTCGGCTAGGCGTTCAGTGAGAATGTTGGACGCAATTTCGATAATGCCAGCTTGGTCGAGACCGGCAATGCTGGGTTGGAAAAGGACTTCGGGAACACGGATTCGTTCTACGTTGAGATGGAGTTGGTGCGCCTCCTTTTGATTTTCTGGGTCGAAGGGATACGGACCATGCATGAATGCATGGAGTAACGATTTTGTCCAGTCCATCTGCGCTTCCCGTGTGGACTCTTCGGTAAAGGTGGGATCGTGCTGGAGCAGCTGGCCCTCGATTTCTTTGAGTGCCTTGCCCAGGTCCTCTTCCTCTTCATCATCGGACTGCTCGCCTGTAGCAATGGTGCGGTAGACGCCCCAATCTGCGTCATCAGCACCAAACGTATCATCGTCGCCGCCACCTCTCCGGCGCTTCTTGGTGGGGGCATCGGACGCGAGATTCGCTATGGACTTCATCCGCATTTGATTTGCCAGAGATTTCCTGTTGCCCAATTCGGCCTTCAGACGCTCGCGATCCTTTATTTTCTGGATGATGGCTTGTCGCGCCGTGCGGCGCTCTGCTGACCACCCTTCAAGATCCTGTTCACGTCTTTCGTCATCAAGTCGCTGCTCTTCTGCTAGACGTGCTTTTTCGCGCTCTTTCTCTGCCTTTGCACGCAGACGCGCCTCGTAGTTAGACTTCATCAGCCGCTGTTGGCGCTTTTGCTTTAGCTCTTCTTCGTCGAGCTCTTCATCGGGCCTGTCGAGCAGCGGGAATGTGGGCTCTTCTTGTACCTCTTCTTCGACATCGCCGACGTCCTTATTTCTTGCTTTGCGTATCGCCTTCTCCAGCTCACGAACTTTCTTCTCCAGCTGACCGTCATCATCGAAGTCGTTGGACTCTAATATCCGCTTAGATTCCTTTTTGGTAACGTCTTGCAGTTGGGTCTGCAATTGCTGGTAGTACTCAAATTCTTCTTCCTTCCGCTTTAACTTGTCCAGACGCATTTTCGCGGCTTGGGCTTGCAATCGCCTGCCGCTCTCCTTGCGTTTCTCTGCAGCTGCCGCAAGTTCTTCCTCTGTCTTCTGCACCACGACTTGCTCAACGTAGGGGAATTGAACGATCCGATCCCGATCTTCCAGCCCTGTCCACTCCAGATAGTTCGATAGTTCTTCCTCGTAGCTTTGACTGATATAGCAGTGCTCACGAACAAGGTCTTCGGCCTGCGGGTCGCTGACTTTGCCAGGAAATGAAGGGTACTTTAGACGGAGGAGCTTAAGCAGGTATTCGGCGCATTGGAAGCGACCCCAGTTGAGGCGCGTCGACTGCGACAGTAACGCTTTGGAGTTGACGACTGGTATTAAGTGCGTGGAGGTGTATGACGATGAGACGACAAGGCCTGTCTTGCCGCCGTTGTAGGAGTAGGAGAAGAGGGAGTCGATGCCGTATGCTACAGAAGGCGCGCCGTAGCATTCGAATAAGATTTCGGACATGGCTGGATATTACGCTATTAGTACACTGTCACAAAAGATGCGCATTCGTGCCAATCGCTCGAATCGAGCCAAACGTACTCTTTCTTGTGTATCCCAAGTTTGCGACAGGCTCCGTCATGACGATGGGCCTGTCTATGCTACCGTTCTTGCCGTCTACGCCCATCTTGATGAAGCAGTAGTCAAGCAAACCCTCCATGACATCCCAGTTGTTTACGACATTGCTCCCCGGTTCATATACGTTCTTCGACTGGCCCCGGGCCGTGCCATCGCTAAAGACGTCCGAGCCGACGAAGGTGAAGGTACGGGCGAGTTTTCGATCGCGGTATTTAGCTACGAGAGGGCGTAATGACAAGCGGGGATTCGCATCGAAAGACCAGCCTGCGCGGACTGCGGACGAGCCTGGCAGCTGTCAGCACTTTCTGAGGGATGCGCATTGAAGTGCAAAGCTACCATTGTCGATAACTATGGCTGTTTCGCGGTTGCTGCGCGCATAGCCTTCGGTGTCAATGGGCTTAAAACCCTCGAAAGGCGGTTCGCTGACACTCCAGATCTTCGCGGGCGGCGGCTTGGGAGAGTTGCGACCAGAGGGCGGAGGAATACCTGCGGTTGCGGAGGGCGCCATTGCGCTGGGAGTATTGACGTGGAAGCTGGAAATCGAGGCGTTATTGCATGTCGCGATGTTTGTAGTGGTGAGCTTTGAGTGAGAGTACGGCGTTTACGGAGGCGTACTACATTGCCTGCGCGCTGAGGTTCCTCACTTGCGGCGCGTCACCCGCGGTCCATGCACCATCCCATAAACGGCAACCTTCACTTAGACGATGTTGGCTACAATGAACTTTTACAACCAACGAAGATATTAAGAATGATGAGAACTGCAGAGTACCCGTTGATGTGTCTGCAATCCATACAGTGCCTCCGCATCCTAGCTCAACCAAACTAAACTCATGCACTCGACCTTCGATTGTGTATCCATCATTACGACGCACCATCCCTTCTTGCTTGCGCGCGCAATGGTCCAACCATATCCTCTATGAAGGCTAGCCAGAAGTTGAATAGATGGAGCTCGAGAGTGAATACCTAGGCGGCAGATGATTCGATCCGGTCCAACTGTTTCCTCCCAGTGCCGCTCCTCATGCCGGATCCTTCAGCCCGTTGGTAGCTGGAAAAGAGTAAGCATCCTTTCATTTGGTCTACGTGAGCTACATGGTACATACCTTCAAGGTGAAAGAGCACGTTGGATTGATAGTTTTTGAACATCTGAGACACAAGCTCCGTGTCCATGTTTGCAATGTTGATCTCCTGCAAGTTCTTATTCAAGGTCATGATGGCTTCATTGAGCTTCTCCTACGCGCCAATTAGCATGTTTTCGGCGGGCTTCCGTGTGTTGCCTTACCACGTTGACAATTATACGCGAAAGCAAGAGACTCTGCTGGTGCTCGTGTGGGCTTTCCTATGTGACGTTAGATACCTAGGTCAAATATCAAATGGCAAAGATACCATATCTACGTGACCTTGAGTCGTGCAGTTCAAAGTGCTGGTGTGAACGAGGTTGTCGTCTTGTTTACGTGGGGCGTGGGGTTACCCAAATAGTTGACGCCAAGGTTTAGGTATGGGCTGATGCATGGTGAACGGTAGGCGCGAAAGCGCCTTGAGAAGCAGCACAACCACCTCCATCCTCGCATTCTCTCTACGCTCCTGCGATAACCCCTCATAGCTTGCCGCTCAAGCTACGAAAAGCGTTTGCGAACCACCGCCGCATCTTGCGATCGACCTCGACCGTGTCGGCTGGCTACAGCTCCCTGTATAGCTGCATCATGGCGCCTCTCACTGCGGCCTCCGACGAGCACACGCATCAAGCTCTCCTCGATCAGCTCGACATCTACAAGGTCCACAAGCCGTTCCGCAATTCACACTGGAAGCCGCCGCAACGTCGCAACAAGAATGTCAAGCAGATCATCGCCGATGCCACGCGCAAAGAAGCCTCCGTTATGGCTACCCAGAACAACAGCGGCGCCTCTACGCCTGCCGTACCGCATACCGAAGGTGCCACCGGCACCGCAACCCCCGTCGGTCGACCCCCAAACATCGCACAAGCTGCTCAAAGCCTGAGTACCCTTGTGCTGGAAAAGAATCTACGGACTGCTGGGGGCGGAACAGGGCTTGCGCATGGGAATAGCACAGGGCCTGCAGCTACGTATACGAACATTGAGAGTGCACCGAGCTTTCATCCGAGTAGTCAGAGGAGGTACTGCGACATTACAGGGCTATCAGCACCCTACACGGATCCCAAAACCAGATTACGTTATCACGACAAGGAAGTATTTGGCGTCATAAGGACGATGCCACAGAACGTTGTTGAGGGGTATCTCGGTGCGAGAGGTGCACACACAGTATTGAAGTGAACGGCGAAACTGCTTGAGCGGCTCGTACGACTACATGGGTGGCAGATTCACTCTCACATTGTCTGAATACTGAGTAAGATCCATGGACAAATCCAAAGGATGGAGGTGTTACACATCGATGTGAAATATGCACATGACAATATGAAGATATGTTAGGCCAACAAAGTCAAGCTCACTCCACCCACCAAGCCCCTCTCAGGACAAGGCTCAAGAAGGCGCTCCGGCTTAATCGTGGACTGTTTGTTCTTCGCCGATGACGGGGTACCAGGAACACACGGAAAGTGTTCCTAGTTACAGCAGCGTAGAAGCATGCTGCGGCCAGGGCGTTTCTACACAAGATTCTGTCGCTTCTTGGGAAGATGTAAGATGTGAGTAGGGTTACTAGGAATTGTAATGTCAAGAACAGATTGCGTTTGGAAAGCTGCTGCATTGCACCGTGACAACACTCAGTATACTTTGCGAAGTTCGTGGAGAGTGATGAAACAGACCTCTCGAAAATCATGCGGACTCCCGTTGAGTCGTTCGCGCTAGACCAGGGTTTTGGTTCACGCACGGACCGTGGATCAACGACTCCCAGCTCACCAAAGGGACACGAAACGAACAAGTTCCCGACTTCCAGATACTACCAGTGGACCTTTGAGGCCAGATAGAACTTCCAGGCCCGGCAGCAGTCGCTCCGAAGTCGTTTGTCGCATCTTCTTCGAATAGATTCTCCCCAATCTCCCTCAGCGCAAAGCGCAAAACTATTCAAGATGCCGACCATGTGGCTCACTGATACCCAAAGTAAGTGAGCTCCAATACGTAAACACAGAGCAAACACTAAACAGTTCATAGAGATTGGGGTCGCCTTCTGTTCAGGGGGTAGGTATGCAATCAATACCGCAACGAAAACGAACTGCGCGATAACCACGACTGACCACGCGAGCAGGCGGCTTCTTTCTACTGGGCGGCGTCATGATGTTTTTTGATCGATCGATGTACGCTCACTCAGGCCCTTGATGCTCAAAGTGGCGCATCGACGTACGTACATATGCTGACTTCCCCCAGGCTCGCCATGGGCAACATCCTCTTCATCATCGGCCTAACCCTCATAATCGGCTTCCAAAAGACCGCCTCTTTCTTCGCGCGCCGCCAGAAGTGGAAAGGCACTGCCGCATTCGCCGCCGGCATCATTCTCATCCTTATTCGCTGGGCGTTCTTCGGTTTCCTGATCGAGTTGTATGGGATAGCGGTGCTGTTCGGAGATTTCTTTGCGACGATAGCGGGGTTCGTGGGGAATATTCCGGTGGTGGGACCGTATATTGCGAGGGCGTTGGAGAGGATCGGGGCGGTCTCGAGGAATAGCGAACTGCCGGTTTGAAGAGAGAGGTAAATTGGAAAGGAAGGGCAGGATGGTAGGAAAAATTCGAGGATTTGGCTGTACCATATGTTGGACTAGGATGGGCCGGCGTAAGATAGCTGGAAGCTTAGAGGACGTGAAGACGACATCAGCATGGAAGGTATATACCGGCGTTCGAAGGAGAATTTGTTTGGTAAAAGGAATACCACACGCCGTTCGAGTGAGCTTTAGATGAGTATTAGCGAGCTTGCTCGTACAATGATCAAGGACTAGCCTTAACTGTACATGTTCTACATATTGTACCTCTCATACATAGTGTTCGATCATTGAAAAACACTCCCCCCAAACCCGACAGGTCTCCTAACCTTGCTTCCCTCCACAAATGGCACCACAGCCATCGCTTTATAAATCCTCCCCATCCCGGTCGGCCCCCTATCAACCAATCTCTTCACCGCCGTCTCCAGCCTCTCCTTCGTCTTCTCATTCCCCGCACCTTTCAACAACCGCTCTGCCCTCTCCAGGATCCCCAGCGCAGACAAGAAGTAAGCTTGCTCAACAGGGCCATGTACTTCCACACCTGGCGACGCGTCTAAGGCAGATTCCGCCAGCGCGACAAAATCAACGTCTGCGCTGATGTCTACGAGACCTGCGGATACAAATGGGGAGCAGGGACGGTGGGAGCGGATGCCGCGGAGGGTGTTAGCGGGGATCGCGGATGCGGGGCCATAATCTAGTATGAGAGCAGCACCTGAGGGAACCGGCTTCTGGAACGTCGGAATTGGTTTCGATTTCGGGTTTATTGATGCGTTGGCTGGGATTGGGGATTTACTCTCAACAGAAGGAGAATTCGCGCCGCCTATCCGCACCGCGAAGTCGGAGATGTAGGAGAGTGACTCGGGGGATATTTCTATAATGGCATCGGTAGTTTCCTGGAGGGCCTTGTAACGGGGCGAGGTTTGCGGTAGGTAGAGGCTGTGTGCTGTGGGCGATTTCGAGATGGTCAGGTGAAAATCCGGTGATGGTGAGCCGTCCTCGTTGGGGGTTTGAGACATCTGCGATTCATGGATGGGTGCAACTACGAGCTCATGCCATTGATTCTTTGGGGCTTGTGGTCCTGTTCGAGGTTGTATAGGCCCCTCTGGAGTTATCGTTTTGGAAGCAGTGGGGATGGTGGAGTTGGCTACGTTTTGGAAGACATGGATTGGGAGTGCGTCAAAGAACTCGTGGGCGAGGATGAACGGTGTGGATGTCTCGTCTATTTGATGGGTCAGCACTTCTGGGTACAAATTCAAGGAAAGGCGGCATACCTTTGGGTACAAATCTGAGATCCTCGCACCAGGTGACAGTACAATTTGGTATGTACTTGCACGGCGCTCTCCAACCCAGTTCGAACGCCTGTGGCTCTTCTGTTCCAGACAGTCGTTTTGCTTGCTGTTTCCGCAAGTCATCCGAGGCTTCAATCATGTGTATAGCTTCGACACTTTGCGCGAACGGTTTGAAGCTCGAGATCGTTCTTAGCACATCATCCATTAATGTTCCTCTTCCAGGTCCCACTTCGATTATCTGTACCTTCTCTTTCCGGCCTTGCGCCAACCACTCTGTGTAAAGCCATATGCCGACTAATTCACCGAAAATTTGGCTTATCTCGGGGGATGTAATGAAGTCACCTTTCGTGCCGAACTGGTCGTGGCCGGAGGTTTGGCGCGTGTAATATCCGCCTTGGTCGGACGTTAGGCATTGGCGCATGTACGAGGCTACCGAAACAGGGCCAGTGGTCTAACACATTATCAGTCAAAGATCATCTACAGGAGAGGAGTTAAACATACCTCTATTGCTTGGGCTAATGTCCTTGCGAGCGGTGTTGACCATTGTCGCTCTTCCGAGTCGCTTGATGACCACCGTACTGCATGTCGCACAACTCCGGGCCTCAATACCTGGGAACTTGCGAACCTTGTCGCGTTGCGGAGTAGATTGAGAGAAGACGCTCTCATTTCGAATCGTTATCGGAATTCCATGATGTTGTTCTCGGGACCAAAAAGTTCAACGTTCGGAACGTGGGAGCTATGACCATCGCCCACGCCTTACCACGTGCTATTCAACGCCACAAAATCACCGCAACATTCGACTTTGAGTTCCGATTACGAGGAATAGAAAGAACAGGACACCATGGCGTCACGTTGGGCAGACGACGATGTTGATAAGGCGGAGGATCTACGCCGGAAGAAAGAGAAGGAAGAAAAGAAGCGCCTCAAGTTCCAGAGGCAACAAGCCGAACAAGCAGCAGCAGCCCGAGAAAGAGAAATGGAATCACGCCCAGCAAAGCGGCGACGGTTTTCCGATAACGCCGCTTCCCAAGAAGTCATTCCCAAGGAGCCACCAGCAGAAAGGACCTTACTATGCTTTGAAGGCGGAGGCTGGGGACCATGCCGACACGTCTCCAACTTTGAAACCCTGAACAACATCGAAGAAGGCTCCTACGGTTGGGTTTCCCGTGCGCGCGAAATCTCCACCGGCTCCGTCGTCGCGCTCAAGAAAATAAAGATGGATTACCAACGTCAAGACGGCTTCCCCATCACCGCCCTTCGCGAGATTACCATTCTCCAACGCGCGCGCCACAAAAACATCGTCTCCCTGCACGAAGTGCTTTCCGGTTCGGATCCCTCCGAAGTCGTCCTCGTCATGGAGTTCCTCGAGCACGACCTCAAGACGCTGCAGGAAGACATGCCGGAGCCGTTTCTCGCTTCCGAGATAAAGACGCTGCTCAAACAACTCACATCTGCGCTTTCCTTCTTGCATTCAAATCACATCCTTCACCGTGATCTTAAAACATCAAATATTCTTCTGAGCAACCACGGCCACTTAAAGATCGCGGATTTCGGCATGGCGCGCTACATACCACCTCCCAACGCACGCCTTACACAGCTCGTTGTGACGCTGTGGTACCGCGCCCCAGAGCTCCTTCTGGGCACCGATCAATACAGCACCGAGATCGACATGTGGAGCCTGGGCTGCATATTCGGCGAGCTTCTCCTCAAGGAGCCCATCCTACAAGGCAAGAACGAAGTCGACGAGCTGAGCCGTATATTCGCTCTCTGCGGCCTTCCCACGGACCGCAACTGGCCTGGGTTCTGGCGCTTGCCTAACGCGAAAGGTCTCAAGATACCGCGGGACTCGGGCGCAAAGAGTGGAGGTGTGATCAGGACGAAGTTCCCGTTCTTGACCAACGTGGGGGCGGATCTACTTATGAGTTTGCTGTCCCCCAATCCGGAGCATAGACCCACCGCAGATGAGGTGCTGGACCATATGTACTTTAGGGAGCAGCCGAAGCCAAAGCCAATGGAGATGTTTCCTACGTTTCCGAGCAAGGCTGGGCAGGAGAAGAGGAGGACGAGGAGTCCGAATGCGCCGAAGAGGGGGCAGGCGCCTGGGATGCAGAATGTGGACTTTAGTGGCATCTTTGCGAATCGAGAGGAAGAGCAGGCGGGTGCAGGATTCCAGTTAAGAGTAGCATAGACAAACAGTCGGAAGGACTCAAATGGATTAGGCGTAGCTAGCCAACTGTTGCCACGCTACGTTGTATGTCCTGGAACATATTCGAAGCGCGTCTCTCCCAGATCGCTATAGCCATCTAAATCAGAGAGGCATTCAACGTCATAACATCAAGACAACATGTAGGGGGGCCTCTGAATAGCCCACTGCGCATCTTTAACCGGTGCGGCGAGGGCGGCGACCTTTGTCTCTCCACCTTCGTGCTCATGCTGATCGCTTAGTGTCCCATTCACCTATACCTGCTTCTTACTCCGGTTTACCAGGGAACACTGGATAGCGAAAGCTTGGGACTCCCAATTTGCCTTGCCAGTCATGGTTCTTATCTGTGCTACTGGCGATGAGAGCAGGTCCACCACCGGCGAAAGCGCTATGCTCATGTCAGCCTGAAACACGATGGATAGTGGAATCGATGATCCGTACATGCTCCACACATCGCAACCGCAGCCGAGGAAAAATGGAGGGGGGCGAAATCATCTTTAGACATCAGAGGGCAATGTGATACCGTCCACCTGCACATTGGCCCCTTTCCGTCCTTCTCGGTCCATGTATCGGCACATTGAAGGTCAAATGGCCACGGGGCGAGGTTAATCTGAGGATTCCGACGCAACGATTGAGTGGTGAAGATCTCACTTGCGCCAGGTACTGCGATGGGGACTGTACGAAGGCGCGATCAGGACACCTCCCTCTGAGAGGCGAACAGAAAGCCATGGTGAACACGCTGGCGAATGCAAAGTCAATTGCGGAGATGGCCGCAATCGAACAGGTGTAGATGCGCATGGTGAAGCTTGAAAGAAGACACAATCAATTTCTCCAGGGCCACTGAAGCTGAGAATGATGAGGTTGTCGACATGAGCAGTAATCAGGAGTAGATGGCGCAGACGAGGTCGTTTTGGAAATTGGCGGAGTGCACATGCACTGCGGGCTTTAGAATTGTGGGAATGGGTCACATCATCGTGGGATGGCAGTGGTGTAAAGCTCAATCCCGGGAAGCTGCGTTCGAATATCTGAAAAGCAAGCTGGAGTCTCACCGGAACACTTCGAAGACCCACGAGAAGTGGGAAGGGGGCAGGTAGGTGTACAAACATTTATGATTCTATAAGCCTCCGCACGATGACAGGCTTTGACAGAAGGTACTGTGCTGTCAGTGCCCTTTCCGTGCGCAAGGACCTGCATCCTTCCCAACACTACGTGAAACATCTGGTACTGTGTTGCCCTCCTAGGGTACCAAGGGGTATTTGCAGTTTTGTGTTAGTACTTTGCGATCATGTGAAGCCAGAGGTTGCATTGCTCTCTTGCCTTATATTATGATAATATCATATCCAGATTTGTGCTGTAGCGCAGTCACCAACAATATATTGAAGCATCTACCCATCGGGATCATCGGACGAAAGGACACACAGATTCGGAAGGAGCGAAACAGCTCGATGACAATGAAGTCTTGATTCTCTATCTGAATGATGCTGACGAGCAAGATCGGGCAGAAGTGCCCCACCCTATGCAAATCCGACCGTTACGCCAAGGGTAACAAAAGCCGAACGCCGTGCAATGTAGTTAGACCTCATGTGCCGTTCAGAAAATTTCCACTAACTCCCTTGAATGGAGCTCTGGATGAGCTATCGACATTTCGAATAAGTCAAACCCGTGGTGTTCCACTAGCAGTGGAAGCCGCAGCCCTGACGACACTGCACCTTCGTCAGCATCTCATCATTTTTCAAGTAACTGGGTGTCACTCACCTCAGGAATTTGCTCGCAAACCTCCTTGTTACAGTCCGGCTGGCAGTTGTAGAACCAGCATGGCCACTTGGACATGCACTTGTTCATGTGGTCGTGGCAGGACCTGCAGCGGCCGTCGAAGACGTTAGAGGTCCAGACGCTGTTGTCGGCAACTTTGGGAGCGGTGGCGTTGTTTTCAACGTTGTCGTGCTTGCTAGCCGGGCCTATGGTTGAATGAGCAACTTTCTTTGGAGACAAGGTTGACTATTATGGGACTTACTAGCGAAGGCACCGGCCACGAGAGCCGCGACGGAGATGAGAGCGACTAAGAAGCGCATGTTTAAGGTATCCAAGGGAATTTGGGGTCGGAAGAACGATTTGGTGTGGTTAAATGATCTTTTGCTATTAAGCGTAAGCAGAAGTCTCCAGGTGAGGTGTTGGAGGGTATTTATACGAAGGGCTAAGTGGCTAAGGGAGCGCAAGAGCCACTTACTTGAAAGGTGAGAATTTGGGTGAGAGGGCTATTGGCCAATGAGTGCAGTCGAATATGGAGAGAGCTCTGGAGCGGGTGGACGAAGGGTTCCGAAGATTGTACAGAGAAGCTAGAGCAGTGCACGGGCTACTGTAGGTGAAGGTACTCACTGAAAGTGCTTCACCCTGTAGGAGTTGCAATTTTCTCACTTGCTATGCTCGGTCCTAGGTTTAGTAAATAGCAGAGGCAGGAAAGGTGTCGCAATGCAGGTAGTCTTAGCAGCTGTAGACGAATATGGTTTCGTGGGCTATACTGTACTTGACCTTTGGCCTCTACTATTTCAAAAGAATGTCTGATTAGCTGGGAGATTCGAATAAACAACACTATCCTCATTTATGTAGCTTATATACCGACGGCACCAAAACTCCGCGCTAACAACGAACGATCGCCTCCCATCATTATCGTGTCAGTTGTGCTCTTCACGCACCATCAATCATCAGTCTCCCTGGAGCCACCGCTAGAGGCTCATCTCCGCCCCACACAGATCCACATACGACTCAAAGTTCTCTGCTTACAGCTCCTTCTTCCTCTCCTGGCTCTTCTCAACCTCGGCCCGTTGAATCAAGTCCTTACCCACACTGACAGTCTCCCTCAGACCCCTCTGTCTTGCCCAAAACCTCTCCTCGGCCGTACTCTCGCTGAGACTACTCCTCCTCGCATCCTCCTCCAAGCTCTCCCTTGTAATTTGCTCGGAAACTTCCTTCAACTTCGGCAACCTCTCCAGACCCTTAAGGTTTTCCTCGAAATACTGCTTCCGAACAAGGAATCTGTCGCGGCGCTCCTTCTGCACACCGGGAGACGAGAGCTTGGAAATAGCTATGCGGATACCGAAGCGTACAACGAAGAAGATGTGTTCAGACAGAAATATGGTAAGGAGGAGGGCCCAGGCGCGGATATTAGCTGGTGTGCCGTCCGGACCGAGACCGTCGTTGGAGAAGAGGTAGACAAGAGCAGCGGTGGTGAGACTGCCGAGCCAGGCGAGGAAGGAGAGCGAGTCGAGCCATGGGCCGATAGTGTCAGCACGCCAGGGTGTCGGACGCTGCATGTTTTGGCAGATCTTAATGGCATCGGCACGGAGCTCAACCCAGTCGTTGATAAGGAAGGAAACGCTGGTAAGGGGCCAAACGACGGAGAAGAGAGAGAGGTACCCGAACTGCAGGACCATCTCGCGAATGTCAGTGGTCACATCGTAGACTTCTAGTTCCACTTCTTCGCGGACGCGTTCGAGGAAAGCGGCATCCTCTGGTGGATCGTTTACAGAAGGGGCAGGAGAAGTTCCACCATTCTTTGCGGTGCGTTCAGATTGGAATTTCTTGTACTTGGAGGTGCCTTCGCGTTTGAGGTAGGGCACGATGAGCTCCATTCCTAGGTTCACGATTTGGGCGGTTACTGTGAAGTAGATGACTTGCTTACGAAGGCGGTCCGGATTGATAGTCCAGTCAGCGCCAGGACTTTGAAGTTGCTTTTCGTGCTCAGCGAATGGCCTGACCGTAAGGCTGAAGACGTCGAGGTAAGGCACAATGATATTACCAAAGGGAACGTAGACGAATGCCGTAAGGAAGATGGGCAGGTAGGACGTAATGAAGTTGAGGACAAAAATCTTCTGTGTAAGAGCGTTCTCATACGCAGCATGAGTCTCGTAGTTCTCGAAGTCAGTAAGCTGAGTGGCTAACTTGGTGAGGATACCGGACAGGATGGGCATGGTCGTTGTGAGGATACCAGTGGGAATGAAGACCTGACCGCCGTTAGTAGTACAACTAGACCGACGTGAAGATAGCTTACCAAGATCCACTTCAGTGGTCCATTATAAACTTCTGAGATAAACACCTCGATTCCGAAGCAGGTTGCAATCAGGGTGCCCAGCACTGAGGCAGCAGCTACTGCAAACGGGATCTGGAGGAGCTGTCTTTGCAGTCGCTTCTGAACCGAAAAAATTCCGACCTGCTCCCCTGTAATCGGATCCGTGGTGATATGCTCGTGTTGGAAACCCCTCCTCTTGTGTTCTATGCGTGATACACCACGGACACCCCAGCGCACGCCGAGATCGGCCTCTTGATGTTTCCAGTATTCGGTAAAGATTATACACCAAAGACAACTCACAATACCATATAAGGCTGAGAAGTGGCCAAAGAAGAGCCATGCAGCAGTACCGAAAGCCGCGGGGAAGACCAGGAAGGAGAAGTACGATTGCGTAAAAGCGAAATAGAAGGCAATCTGCCTAGTTTGTCAAAGATCATACCAATGAATCTATCACGTGTAAGCTTACCTTCTCCCCGAAACGGTTGCGGATCTCGTCCAGGTCCTCTGTCTGAAGGAAAAAGGACGATCTCCATTTCTTGATCCAATCAGCGTTGTATGCACGATCGTGCAACGCGAATATCGAATCCACGCCCTCCCACTCCCCCTCTTTTGGCGTAATGCCTGCCCCGCCCTCGGATACCGGGTTTGTGATGAGCTGGTATATAATACGTAGGCGCTCGGATTCGTAGAGGGGTTCGGCCTCGAGTGCTTCGCGGGTCTCTTTGGGAGGGGCAGCCGCTCGTACGCCGTGGATCCAGTCGCGGACTCTAGAAGAAGGATCATCAGGGAAAGCACACGATTTGACAAAATCTGCACGTACCGTGACCTGTATACTTCACCATATAAGTGCTCGTCGGACGCGACTCTCACAAACAGCAAAACAGAATGCGAGTCTCCATTGCGGACCTCTGTCTGCAACCCAATTGCGGAGAGAGCCTCAACGAGCTTCTCGAACTGCTCGACCGCCTTTGTCTTATCTGTGACGTCTTAATCCCAACCGCTTCCATATAATATTTTGTTGCACTTACCTGTCTTCAAAAAGCGGTAGACAACTACATAGTCAACGTCCATGTTCGTCTGTAGGGCCTGACTCTTCGCCATGAGGCCTGGTCAGCTCAAGTAGAGCTTGTTTACGTGAGATTCTGAAATTGAGAGGGAGAATATTTGTTGTAGAGGGACCGCGCCGCTCCAGCTTTAAAGGACAGGGAAGCTGTGTGATGTTCGACCAAGCTCCCGGTGCGGGCGCCCGCAGACGTCATAGGCGAGATCTGGATCCGCGGCCATCCCTGCCGCACATCCACATCATCGATATGGAACCTGTAGAACAAGGCAGTGCGCACACTCATAGAAGTGGCTATCATGTGCTGGTTCTCGCATCATGCAGCTCGAAGATCACGCGATTGAACGATCTCAGTCGGTTTAAAATCTCAGCTGTTTAACAGATTACTACATTTATCTCACATCAGGTTGAAAATCCATAATAACAAATAACAACGACCATACGATACACACCTTAACTGAATTGGGTATTTCGCAATCAAATCGTCCGACCATTTTCAAGTGTGCGCCGTTATAGACGGGGCTCTCTTCAGTAATAATTTCCACGTTCCACATTGTACATGGATAAGAGTAACAAGAGCAGTCCGTGATTTTAAAGTCCCATCCTCATCGACTCCGCTTGAGCCACCAGCAGGTTACAACTCCCTGTATGGAGACCATTTGTTGCACGTGAAGTTCATGACAGGTCGACTGAATCCATGGTGTGATCGTATGCTCTTATCTCAGGGGTACACGACGTAGAGCTCCCACGCTCCCATATGTTGAGGCGAACAATGACCCTTGAGCCGGTACTCCTCTCTTCTGGGAGAAGCTCTCGAAGGTCTGTAATGATCCTCAACCCGGTGCTCCTATGTTCTGGGACATGCTACCGGGTGTGGAAGCGTGTAATGATCTTCGATGCGGCATTCCTATCTCCTGGGAGGACCACGCCCTCGACTCCTGCTCCTGCTTCGACTCCGACTGTAGCTACCGTATGAACTGTAACTTGGACTCCTTCTACCACCAGCGCCACCGCCACCGCCTCCGCGCGGGGGAGAATCTCGCCTTCGGTAACCGCCTCTACTTCCTCCACCGCGCCTCGGCGGTGGGCTTCTCGAGGGCGATCGTGAATATGATATGCTTCGTCTAGGTGATCGAGATCGTGAGCGAGACATTGAGCGTCTAGGTCGGTATCCATGGTCATCTCGACCACCGCGGAAACCTCCTCTTCCACCTCTGGCTCCCCGGCCTCGATATCCGCCTCCGTATGCTCCAGGTGGCGACCGAGAGCGTCGGCGTGGAGAAAATCCTCGCCTTGGTCCGCCCATAGGAGGTGGTCGGTAACCTCCAGGTGGCCCCCCTGGGCGATGATCGAAATCGCGATCTCGGGGTGGGCCTCTACGAATTGGGGGTGGTGAGCGTGAGAAGCGGCGGCGGGGGAGAACGATTGAAACCAGGATCTTTGCTCCATCTAGCTGTGCTTCATGCATCTTGGCGATCGCACGTTCGGCGTCTTCGATCTCTTCGTACAGTATGTAGGCTGTTCCTCGATTCACGTTGACTGCAAGATTAGCTGCGAGGCCGCGCGAGAGGTCGTTGATTTTACTTACAGACGGGATTCAGGGGCAGCTTGATGTCTTTGATGGATCCGTAGCTGCCAAAGATCTCGCGCAGGTGGCCTTGGTTGACGTTTTTCGTGAGTTGCTCAATTACGATCTGTTCCCAATTAACGGTTTATTCGACGCAAGGCTTGGACGATATGATCTGTCCCATGTGGAAGTAAAGCATATGCTCACCTTCGAGCTCCGCGGGGCTGGAGATCCGCTCCTTCTGCTTGGGCTCCCTGCAAGGCTCCTGCCCCTAGATGACCGCGAGCGTGTTCTGCTGTCTGGAGTATAGCTGCGTCGTCCGTTGCGACGCGGAGACTGCGACCTCGTGGGCGATTGCGATTGCGAGCGTGAGCCGGAGCGTGTGAGGGAGCGTTGCGGAGTCCGCGACCTCGATCGATCGAAAACGGAGCCTCTTGGTGATCGTGTGCGCGAACGGCCGCGCGATGCGCTTCGACTGAGGTCGCGCGCTGGCGTAGGTGATTGAGGATCAGAGGGCATGATAGCTGCGAGCCAGTGGTGTATGTGGTCTTGCCTGTCTGTTTGTAAATCAGCAGTATCGCGTCGAACAGAGCATGGTATAGCGACTGAAGCTGAGCAAATCGATCGGGAGCTTGGACCAGCGCGAGCAGCAACACGTGATTGGCGTTCCCCGGTGCTGTTCCGTTTGCGCTCCATGCGGCGGCGGCGGGACTATCCAGCATAAAGGATACTGCTAGCTACTTGGCTCTTCATTGTGAGCACCATCTGTAGAGTTAGTATAGGCGGTACTGCCGCAATGAGAAGTCACGACTGTCCGAGTGGGATATATGTGCTGATACGCAAGTATATGGGCACAGTGATTTCTGATGCAGTCTTTGGCAGAAGCTCGTGACTATAGCTCTCCGACATGGCAAAGCTCTCGGCTTTACACCGTTTCCAGCAAAACGCCTGATGGGGCATCCATGCCATGCTGGCCAGGTCTTCACGCCTCAGGCTCACCTCATCGCGTGAAGAAGCACGTTGAGCCTCAGATCGGCGACTGTGCATAACATGGCCAAGCAGTGATGGCGCCGCTCTGGGACCAATCGACCATAACCTAGCACGAATCCCCACTTCACTCGGCGCGCTGGCAATGGCGCAACGGGTGCAGCCAGCGTGATGGAGTGCCATGGATAGCTGGACTGCGTCCGTGACAGTGACGGCCGGCGAGGGAGGCATAAATAAGGCGGGGTTGCAACTCGCAGGGCGGTAGAAAAACCTCTTGCCCCACCATCTGCGTCTGCACTAGCCCCCCGTACTGACCTCCTGCTTTCTGCCTTCTTGTGCGCCCAACAAGAAAACCTTCACCGCTCTGCATACGACCCTATACACTACCTGCCTGCTTAGTCAAGCGTTCCTCCCATCCCGCCACCTGGGTTCCTAACCTGAGCCTTCCGTGTTCCTTGCATCAGTCCCCTCTCTTTAGCATTACCCCTCCACAAGCTCCCGTAGCCCGCACAACCCCTCCATCATGTCCTGGCAAGGTGAGAGCAAGGCATCGACGCGACGAGGATGAAGCACTGACGGTTACCCTAGCATACATCGACCAGAGGTACATACCACAAGACTACCTGATAAGAGATTTATTGATCCGTCTGTAGCCTCGTCGGCCCTGGCAACATCGACAAAGCCGTCATCTGCGACGCCGCCGGAAGCGCCATCTGGGCCTCGTCCGCCGGCTTCACCGTACGTCCATGTTCTATTCGCATGCAGACATCCTCGAACGATGAAGGACTTTTGCTACTATAGCTCTGGGAGTACCCTGGCAATGTTAACACCACCAGGTCTCTGACGCTGAGCGCAAGGCAATCGCCGATTCTTTCAGCGACAAGAGCGACCCCAAGGGTGTTATCGCAAATGGCATCAAGATCAGTGGCGACAAGTACATGACCATCGAGGCATCAGATGACTCGCTCAAGGCCAAGAAGGTACGCACATGCTCCGCGGCGCATACAGTCGCGATATGATTCGGCACACTATCAGTCACCCCTGTATGGACTCGGAAACTGATCAAAGTCCAGGGAAAGGAAGGCATCGTCGCCTACAAGACCACACAGGCCCTCCTCATCGGCCACCACAACGCCGACACCCAGACAACCGTCGCTTTCAACGACGTCGCCGCGCTGGGCGAGTACCTCAAGAAGATGGGCTACTAAGCGCCCTGGGTTGGTATTTTATGCTCTTGGAATCGATAATTACATGCATGCCTCTCCATTGAGGTGACGTGGGCCAGACGTCTTGGAATGAGGGGCCGCACAGACAGACATGAGAGATGAACAATGATATGGAAGTTGGAGGATTTATCTCTGACATAGCGAAATACAATAGCACGTGTGGTTTGTCAATAGCAAAAGGATGGACGCAGTATCATCAAGGAATCTCCAGAGCAATTCTAAAGTGGTCTGGTCATACACGTACAGCTGACTACCTTGCAGAGACTCTACGCCCTCGCAACACCATCGGTCAGCTTGAGATCATATCCTCATCTGCGCAAATCTTCTAACCACCTTCTCATAAAATGCCTTCTGCAACTCCGCGCCAATCTCCTCATTCTTTTCATCAACACCATCTCGCAACCCAAACGCCTGCGGCCCCAAAAGACACGACCGCACGACCGCCTCCACCGAAAATCCCAAGTGGCTCCTCACATACCTCAAAAACGGCTCCTTCACATCCAACAATCTCTTTCTCACGCCAAACACTAAACTCGGCTTCGCCCGCTCCAGATTCTCAATTTCCACAATAGCGTCGATTGGTTTCCAATATGCAATCTCCAGCAGGATCACACCCAGCGCGTACAAATCATACGACTTCTTGTATGACGACAAAGGCGAGGACGATTCACGTAGGCCGGAGCCCTGCACCCGCGGATGCCGATATATATCCGCGGACGCATTCTCAGGCGGTTTCTCTGTCATGTCATCGTTCATCGCCGGGCGCGAGTAGTCAAAGCCCGATACAAACGGATCAGCATAATTGACCTCCGCGGGTCCGCAGTCAGAGAAGAACAATATGTTAGACGAGCGCAGGCCTTTGTGCAGCCAGTTCACCGCGTGCAGGCGCTCGAGAGTCTCGGAGAGCAGACGCATAAGTGCGATACGGTCCGTCAGACTCGGCATATCGATATCCTTACTCGTAAGCAAAGTGTGCAAGGACATGGGGCGCGTGGACGGGTGCGCGGACGCCGGCTTCTCAAACACGAGGCCGAAGCGGCAGTGGTCTTCGCCTGTTTCTTCATTGATATCTTGGAAGTAGCCTAGGCAATGGGGTGCCCGGAATTGGTCTGTTCGGTTGTTTTCCTTGAGAAGCGCGGCGAGGGCTTTCACACGCTCGAGGATTTTGGGGTCGGGGCCAGTCGGCTGGAAGGGTGGTGGTTCGTAGGTTTTCCATTCGATCCATACGGAAGTTTTGCGGGCGTGGGGCGGTTGGTAGAAGGCTTCTTCGCGGTGGCTTTCCGGGGCTGAGTCTGGGTCGGTGGGGGAGAGGATACTGATGTGTGCGCGTGAGAGCTCGACGTTAAGGGTTTCCGAGGCGCTGTGGGAGAGCGCGATACTGTTTGTGAACTCGTCTGTGAAGACGTTGGGATCTTGGATCGCGGAGTTAAGGGCCTTGAATTGCGCGAGAGCAGCCAGGCTCTGCAGTCCTGGCTTGGATGTCTCCACGTATTCGTCGTCGAGGTCATCCAGGCCTTGGGATCGCATGTACGCTCGCACGGGGTTGGTCACATGCCGCGACCTTCTCTGTCCCCTCTTCATTTGGAGCGTCGTAGATTCGAAGATCTGGACGAGGTTCTGAATACTGCTGTTCAGTTGCATGATCTGGAATTCTGTGCGTTCCTGTTTAACGAACAGACTTTCCAGCTGCGCCGAATTCAGCATGTCGCGCATGAAATCGTTGAAGCTCGTCAATTTCAAGACCAAGCCTTCGATCTTCGTTCTGTCAAAGGTAGCCCATTTCAGCTTCCTAGGGACTTTCGTGCTCTTCTTCGCCCAGTCCACACTTTTCTTCAGCAACACCTGCGACTGCGGAAACCGCGTTCGGAATTCCGAATCAACTCTCCTGACTGTAGGGGAGTCGTCTGCAGGAGCATAAGCGGGTGGTTCAGGTAATCGACCATCGTGCTCTTCAACATAGTCGACTAACAGCGGCTTCGAAAGCTTCTTGTACTTCTCGTCCAGGCGCCCGAACTGGTGCAGAAGACGGCGCTGTTGGTCGAGTACATCGAGAAGCAGGCCTTTTGATGAATTTGAAATTAAAAGGTTATCATCTGTCTCGTCGAGGCGGACGACATCGGCCCAGTCGAGGAGTCGGTATTGCTCGGTTTTTAGACGCACGCGGAGGTACTGGCAGTCAGAAGGCATGTGCTTCGCATCTGTAATGAGTTCGTAGCCTGAAACTTATTAGAAATGTGGCTGAAGCGGAGGCGTACATTAATTACCCTGTATGCATCCTGAGAAGACTTGGAAGGTTAGTGACACGGCTGCGAGAGCTAGTTCTGCCATCGATTCTGAAGTCTAGTCCAAGTCTCGCAACACAGGCAGTCAAAGAACAGGAACGGAATGACCTCGAGCAGGCTGGGAATCTATAGGAACCGGAAGGGCAGCAGGCTACAACCTGAATCCCACAAGGCTTTGGCAAGGCCTTTCTCGTGCAACGCCGTGGCAAGCGCCGTGTCTGCCCTGGCGCTCAGCCTCCATCCATTACGAGGATCGCCATGCATGGGCGAGTCACCGACTTTCCTAAGTGTTGCGGACCGGTGAGCACAACAGTGGGATCTTGTGTATGGCAAGCACATGTGCGATGGTATGCACGAGGTACACTTGAGTTTAGTTGGTAGTCCTCATGGTGGTGGAGCATGGGATGGGTAAGCTTGTCGCGGGAGTCAAGCCACGGCTGCACTGGCGCTTGTGGCGTCAATGCACTAGCGTAGACCCTGGCCCACATGCGCCTTTTACTGTTCCGCCCGCGGCGAAGCTTCGATTCTCGTGTACCTAGGTACGGCCAGCGTCACGCCATGAATACTCACGCACTTCGATGACGGTGAACGGTAGTCCGATGCAACTCACTGGTATCCAGTATTACTAGCCTCACAAGCTCGAGTATATCCACGATATCTGACCAGTACCGACCTCGACACCGTCATGGTCCTCGGTCCTCTTCCATGGCGGAAAGCCAGAACCTCACCTCCAGACCCCTTTGAACCCGCACCTTTCGCTCGCCTCGTCTTCCAAGCTCCTGTGAAGCTACTGCTCTATCATGCGTACCATATGATCACCTCGCTGCGATCCGTCCCCACGCCGTCAAAGCCTCCCATACGCATAGTATGCATTTCCGATACACACGATCACGCTATCGACGAAGTCCCCGATGGCGATGTTCTCATCCACGCGGGCGACATGACCGTAGATGGTAGCATACCCGATATACAAAAGCAGGTAGACTGGTTATCCAGTTTACCCCACAAAGAGATAGTAGTGATAAGCGGAAACCACGACACGTACCTCGATCCACGCACGCGCCCGTCCCTATGCGAGGATCAGAGAGCCGGCACGATAGACTGGAAGCGTGTGCACTACCTGCAGCACCGCAGACTTAGCCTCAGCATCGAGGTGGAGCCGCCCAGCTCGGATAACGAGGAGACGGATTTGCTGGCAAGGGAAACGAAATCAAGGAGACTCAGGATCTATGGTGCGCCGCAGATACCGGCTTGTGGCGATATGAATGTACATGCGTTTCAGTATCCTAGAGGGAGAGATGCGTGGTCTGAGACTGTGCCGGAAGATACGGATATCCTGGTTACACACACGCCCCCAAAGTATCATATGGATTTGTCGTTGCCGAGTGGAATGGGCTGCGAGCATTTGGCGAAGGAGGTGAAGAGGGTGAAACCTACACTGCATGTTTTTGGGCACGTGCACTGGGGTGCGGGGCAAGAGGTCGTTTGGTGGGATGGGTGTCACGACGCTTATGAGAAGGGGATGCGAATCCAGTCACGATGGTTTCAGGGCTTGTTGAACCCTTACCTCTGGTGGAATACGTTCAGAGTTGTCTACCGAGGACTGCGTGAACTGATATGGGACCGAGTATGGGGCGGCAAGGCAACACACACCATCATGGTCAACGCTGCGCAAGTGTATGCCAATACTGGGAAACTAGGAAATCCTGTCCAGGTCGTAGATATTTGACGATTGTGCCTCACGACACCATATAGATACCACCATCATAGTAATGTGTAGATAATCTTCCATCACTTCATTCATGGGCGGCAAGTTCGTTGATTCAGAAAAGTTCTGTTGAACTGCCTTGACTATTTCATCCGAGCCGAGTTCAACATGGAGACCAGGCTGCAGTAGCCGTTCCCCGCGTAATTTTTGATCCGGTCATGAACACCATAAGCCATGCCATGCAACCTCCACCAGCGCCATAAAGAACCCCGCACAGGCTCAGAGACGGCGACCACGGCGACCACCCTTCCTTCTGGTCGAGTCGGACGGGGTGGGTGTGACATCCTCGATACGGCCAATGCGCATACCGGCACGGGCGAGAGCGCGGAGGGCGGACTGGGCACCGGGGCCGGGGGTCTTGGTGCCGTTACCACCAGTAGCCCTGATCTTGACGTGGAGGGCAGTGATGCCGAGCTCCTTGCAGCGGGCAGCTATCTCGAGTCAGTTTCCGACACTGCTTCCTTCTACAGTGTTCACTTGACGTACCAACGTCCTGAGCCGCCAACATGGCAGCGTAAGGAGAGGACTCGTCACGGTCAGCCTTGACCTTCATGCCGCCGGTGACACGGGAGATGGTTTCGCGGCCCGACAGATCGGTGATGTGGACGAAGGTGTCGTTGAAGGAAGCGAAAATACGGGCAACGCCGAAAACAAGCTCGCCCTGCTCAAACGGTCAATACGTGTTCCCACGCTATCGCTTGCAGATTCAACTTGCCTCGCGGACCTGGGGTCCAAGCTGTCACAACCGTTAGCACAAGTCAATCGTCGCTGCGCACGATAACACACACCTGGATGTTCTCCTGCGCACCGCGCTCGACCTTCTTCTTGGGAGGCATGTTGACTGTGGAATTAGTTTGTCGGAGGGGTGGGCGTTGGTGGTGGACGATCGAGGTTCAAGAAGTTCGCGCCTCGCTTGCAAATTGCTGTGTGTCGGCGACAGAGATTTTCCGAACCCTAGCGCCTCAGCGCCGAACTAAAACTTCTGCAGCTTGCGGGTCCCTTTCTCATTCCCAGCCGCCATGCTCAGGCTTTCAACACCTCACTGCAGCCTCAATTCGGGCGCAACATTGTCACCATGGAGGCAAAGAAGAGCATCGGTATCATCGGCATGGGGGACATGGGGAAGATGTATGCCTGGCGCTTAAGTGCGGCCGGCTGGAAGTGAGTCCCGCTGCTCTGGTTGCGTGGACGGGCGATGTCCGGATTCTCTCGGTAAGTCACGCGCCCCCATCGTTTCCCATTCTCTTGTTATGATGACTGTGAGTGCATTTGGCTCGAGTGTGACGCGTGTCTGTCCTGTCGCCGTCTTGGTTGCGGGTAGCAGGCACGTGCTGCCAATGATGTGAATTCTCGCTACCTAATATATACACCTCTGATCTCCGTCCAAGTTCTTCCAAGTTTGCTACAAGCTTGTTTCGGACCCTGCTGACTGATTGCCTCATAGAAATCCCGTTTGAATCATGCTGTTGTTGCATATGCTAACCTCCAGCTCAGAGTCAATGCGTGTGACATGCCGGAAAGGTTTGAGGCATTAGTGGAGGAGTTTCGGAGTAGAGTAGGACATCCATCATGTACTTCGTATACCAATAGAGCCGTGCTGAGCTTGTACCAGCCAAACGTTGAAATCTTGCGAACCGGTCATCTCGTGTCTCGAGTTAGCGACTATATCATCTACAGTGTCGAAGCGAAGAACATCGATGCTGTCGTGAAGCAATTCGGCCCTTGTATGCAACACCGTCCCATCCATGTGTGTCATCACTAACAAGTGTCACTAGCAACTAAGCTCGGCGCCATTGTAGGAGGTCAGACATCTTGCAAAGCCCCAGAAATCGCGGCCTTTGAAAGACACCTCCCTTCCGATGTCCACATCGTCTCCTGCCATTCTCTGCATGGACCCAAAGTTGATCCGAAAGGGCAACCACTGGTCCTCATTAAGCACAGAGCCACCGACGAAGCTTTCGAATTCGTAGAGATGGTGCTATCGTGTCTAAACTCGACCCACGTCTATCTCACGGGTGAGCAGCATGACCGCATCACAGCAGACACACAAGCTGTAACCCACGCTGCCTTCCTCAGCATGGGCGCTGCATGGAACGCCAACAACCAGTTCCCTTGGGAGACTGCGCGCTACATCGGTGGTATAGAGAACGTCAAGATCAATATCACACTTCGTATTTATGCAGCGAAATGGCACGTCTACGCAGGTCTTGCAATCCTCAACCCCGATGCGCAGAAACAGATCAAGCAGTATGCTCAGTCAGTCACTGAGTTGTACAAGTTGATGCTTGGCGGCCATAGAGAGGAGTTGAGGAATCGTATCATGGCGGCCAGAGAGGCGGTCTTTCATACAGCGAGGCCTAGTAAGCAAGAGATTCTGCTTAAGGAGGATGTGCTGAACCAGTTCTCGCTCGGTGAGTTACCCGAGCAGCGACTTAAGAACAACCATCTTAGCCTGCTGGCCATGGTGGACTGTTGGTGGAAGCTGGGTATTGTGCCTTACGATCATATGATATGCTCTACACCGGTACGTTCATCACTGTTCATCTTCTTTGGCCCTGATCGCTGACAGTCTACAGCTTTTCCGCATGTGGCTCGGTATCACTGAGTACCTCTTCCGCAACAATAAGCTTCTCGAAGAAGCCATTGATACTGCCATCGATGACAACACGTTCCGCCACGATGACCTGGAGTTCACCTTTGCAGCTCGCGACTGGAGTAGCCGCGTTACGCTGGGCAACTTTGATGGGTACAGAGAGAAGTTCGAAGCTATTCAGAAGTACTTTGAGCCTAGGTTTCCGGACGCGACGAAGGTGGGCAATGAGATGATCAAGACGATCTTGGCACAAACGAGGGAGAGGGAGACGTAGTGGTTATGTTGTTGAGGGTTCAGGTCTGGACTGCGCGGTGCATTGCACGGCATATGGGATACTGATACATGTACTAATTAATTACGTAACCCAACTTGAGTCCTGATACGCAACCGCATTCACGTTGTTCAAGGCTCATCGGCTGCCATACCACCCCTACAATGTGTACCGGAAGCCCGGCAAGTTCTCCCACATGATAAGATCCCTATCAGCCTTCAATCCTGACCGATGAGGTAAATCAAAGGTCATGGTGAGAATGATTATGACATTAGCACCAATAGAAGTTTAGCAGGAATTCCATCTGTCAAGACCGGAAATCATACTTTAAGCTGGCGTATATGCCAGGCAGATACTGAGGCGCGTCTTGCGAACTGAGTTTCTTCGCAAACGAACCTCATTTGTTTGGCATTGTCACCATACTTCCAAGATCGAAGAGATTTTGGAGATGCAGAACGCGATTTTATCGCCAAGCTTGAACCTGCCATTATCAAGGATGAGAACGGCAAATTCGTCTGGGACATCGACGAGTTTAGTTTCCTCCGGATGATTGCCCTACCACGAAAGACCCAGGTCTCTGGCGCCAAGGACAGTGAGACTCGACACAAAGCCTCTTTGAGATTGTTCTCAGCTTATGTCAAGTACCAGTATTCGACTTATCCAATATCACCTTCGTGGAAGGAAAAGAGGTATCATGGTCATTGACCCATTGGTTAGTTGAGAGTGTGCTAAAGCAGCTTTGGACATCTATCAGCATCACCAAGGCTGAGGGCGCAAAATAGAAGCTATGATACATTCGCACGTTGATCACGATATGGGTGCTCAGGGCCGCTTCGAAGGCGAGCCAGGTCACTACATCCCCATTCTTGCTTGTGGATTCCCACTAAGCAGAGGCCCGAAAGAACACATCGGCACTAGTTTTGGAAAGGCATACAGTATTGGAAAAACATCGCTCATTCCATCCAACACTCCCGTTCAAAAAGCTGGAGAAGGACTGATCATCGATGGAGTGGGCATCGTCTTTCAGAGTGGACTAGGTGCTGGGACACCTACTGTGATCAATTTCTACCTTCCAGCCGTCTAGGTTCGTTGTATACCTGAGACGGTAAGCAATTGTATACACAACATTGTCACCTTTCAAGGCGCTCAAGTTCGAGACGCAAGAGCCTGGTCCCAGTACCTCGGTGACCATATTTTTCTCTTTGGCTACTAATCTGATGTAGTCTTCGACAGCCATGACTGGCCAACATGGGACCAGTCCGAACTCATCACGCGACTACCAGAGCAGCGAAATATGTATGACTACATGCACGGTCAGACCGTTCGCAAACGAACACTAGAATTGGCTACGTTAAGATCGCGAAAAATTATGTTTACCCTGCAAACATCTCCAGGGGCCAGGGCGTGGCATTGTCGAGGGTTTTACGGGTCTCCTAGTTACCAATGTCAAGGGATCCTATCCCAAAAAGAATTCTGGGTTGACGGGAATCCATGCGTTTGTCTCAGTACCTTCCTAAAGGTGAAGGCGACCGGTAGGTTGAATGTATTGGTGGGATCCTGCCTCTGCATGCGCAGGCGGGGAAGTTCATTAAACGCGGCAATTGACGGTTTGCGGCAAAACTGCCTGGCAATGCGATCGCTGCCTCTCCTAATGATGACACTGTAAAGTTACTCCTGACTACTGTATATAGGAACCTAGGATACGGCGCTGAAAACGCAACCTGGTGTAATTCCTATCTCAGAATTTAGGCTGAGGATCAAGCCACCTCGTTTGGGTGGTGGCGAAACAAAGTTGGGTCTGCAATCCAAGACTGCAGATCTTTGACCATTTCTTGCTATGCATTGGATGGGTAAAAGGCTGCTGGGGCAAGCTTTTCTCACGATCTGCAATTTATGATGATGAAGAGCGCTGGAAGGTTCTCATTGGCAATGATGTTCTGAGGGGAGCACGCGAAGTTTGAGAAGCAGACTGGGAGAGTAGAAGTACGGGATTTGTTTTTGAAGTAATTATCTCCATATAAAGGGAAGCAAGGGGTCCAAGTCAGCTGCAGTTATTTACACATCTGGTATTTAGGTTCTGAATCAAGAGGAGACAGATACGCCGCCGGATCCCATCCAAGCCCATGCGGCTGTGCTGGCTATGGCCATCATCAAGGTACTCTAGTAATGAGAAAAAAACTACCCTGCTGCTTGTTATTGTTGGTAGGCGAAGCACGATGATGAGGCCAGGGGAACATCCCTAGGCCCCATGGTCATGTCCACGAGATTGCGTTTGCTGCGGACCTGGGCCGCCTGTAAGCCAATTCGAACGATAGATTTGGATACCAAAACACTATCTCAGACGCAAAATCGAGGTATAAGTGAATCCACCGTTCTTTTGTCTGGGTCCAGGTTTCCAACGATTTTCTGAAGCTGGAGGTAACCAACATCTTTGGCCATCATTTTTCCCTCATCGCGCGACCAGATTGGCATCGCATCTACAAGGTGGGAGGTGATTTTTTGCGCGACTGTTGGATGTATATCACAATACGGGTGACCGAACACGAAATCGATGTTCAGCAAAAGCTCCTGCTTCGCCTGCGCATAGACCAGTAGAGTGTCTAGTATAAGGCGTGTGCAGATACAAGTATGACACAAGAACAGCATATCAAGTGTTCCCTTGGCCACTTGTTATTTATATGGTGATAGCTGGAGTATGCATACATTGCAGATGTCTGAACCTGGTCGAGTCGACTCTCGCTGCCGCGAGATCTGAGAGTTATGTGACTATCCACCTGTCCATCATCCTCAGATGCTGGATCCGCGCAATAACAAACGCTTGCGTTAACGAGACATTCATATTCAGCAGCCTCGGACTGTCTGCTCGTTGTTAACATGTCAAGTAGGTCGCAAAGAAACTTCTCGGGAACTAGTCGGTGTATAAGCCTCAAGTTGAAGGACATAAGCGTTGATAAGGAATCTCCTAAGAAGGCAAGACTTAGGAGCGTTCTTGTAAATCAAAATGATAGTCCCTTTTCTCACTATGTACACCTCATCCCCGATATAGTAAAGTAACAACATACCATTGATAATCGCGTTCTTGCTCTTTGTGTCTTGCAATTCGTTCGCGAGTACGTGAAGTTTGCATTGCTTTTTCACGTCCTTATAGCTAAGCAAATTCAAGTTCCTGTACCTTTCATTGCACAAGGGCGTCACTGGAATAGAAGAGAGCTATTTAGGCTTTGGCAGTGCTCGGTTCGTAGAAGCCTCACACTTGCGCGTCCAATTCTTCCAATATCCACCAAGCGCTCGTCAAGAGAATACTATTTGCTGACAAATGAGGCCCTTGTGTATCTAGAATGTGGCCGACCCTAACCGGGACTTTTCGTTAGATGGGCCGCGTACTCTGGGAGAGTGCTACTAGGGCTAGCATGTATGCATTTTGCTCGTCTGGACGCTGATAGAGCCTCAGCTACGGCCGCCATGATGGTTTGCAATGTTGGTGATAGAGAACGAGGAACGGGCATGAATGTGTTGAGGAACTCGGAAGTGTAGAGATGGGAGGAGCATGTTTATGAGGAAAGTGCGCCCGGTTGGACCCTTCCACTACTGGTGACTAGCGCGAGGCCCGCAACGCGCTGTCATAGTCATGTGTGGACATCGAGGCTCTCTTTTGGGAAGCTTGTTATAAAGGTTTGCCGAGAGCGATGAACCTGGCTGATATGAGTTGCGGGTTCGAAACGACGAGGTCTATTATTAGATTTCTCCATAGGTAAAGTACATCGGCACATTGGCCTTGCGAAACAGCTACTTGCAAGCTAGGGTATCAGAGGAAATATATGTGCCCGATGGTTCTGAAGAAATTTTCAAAGCAACAAAACTCCAGACAATGCAAGTCATACCAGGAACCGGCCCAGCGCTTAGAAAATCAAGGACTCCTGGCTCGGAATATTGACGTCCCATTCTTCCCCTTCCCCCGCGGTCCGCCCAACAATGACCTTACTCCTCATCATGGTCATATGGTTCATATTTCCGGCATAAACATGCTCATTCGCGATGTGATCCATGAGCGCTTCCGCACTGCCGTAGATGCCAGTCACATTGCCCTCCACACTGCAAATGACGCAGCCAAAGTTACACTCCGTTTCCTCACCCGCACCATTCCGCCCACCAACTGAGTAGCTAGTCTTCTTGACGTGCGACTTTGCCAGGAAAGACCAACGATATCGGATCCCCATCGTAGAAGTACGAATCTGGTCATCGAGAATAGCCTCCTTTTTGTTTTTCTTAGTCGGATGCGGGACGCTGCATGACAGACCTTCGAAAAGGCAGTGGCGGCATTGCCATGCCTGACTTGACTTGAACATCCCTTCTGGTCTTGATATGAGAACAAGACCCTTACTTTCATCTTCGCGGGTTGCCCAGGCGCCTTTGCAGAAGCCCCAGTAGTTGTTATCTTTGCACGGACGTCCGCTCATCATTTTCTCTTGCGCGGCGGTCGTGATGGTGGATATCACAGAGGGCGTGACGGAAAGTTGAGATGACGACGGGACGGGGCGGAGAAGATGGAGCATAGGTGCCGTGTCGAGGTGAGAGCGGCCGCGAGGCTCAGGAGATGCACACCGACTGCCATACAGACTCCTGGTATCACTTGAGGGTGTATGAGGACGTTCGAACGCGGACGTCGGTGTGAGACAGCGTGGAAGAGGCTGACGAACAGGAGACTCAGTGCGGGAATGGATATCCGTGCGGCAATGAATCTGGCCCACGGAAGAATGCGCGCGGGATCTGACTTGGCGCATGGGAGAGTTCGTGCGTGAGTTTACTTTACGAGCCGGAGATTGGGTGCGCGATGAAGCAAGAGAAGCGTAATAGCGTTGCGGTTTCATAGTGTCGTCCGAGCAGAAAGGCTTTGTACCATGCGCAGAGCTTGGCTTGCTCGGAGCGTATTGGGTCGGAGGAGAAGCCAATTCGGTAGGCAACGCTTCGGAGGTTCGCGAGGACCTAGTGTCACAGTGATATAGCGACGGAGGATTGGACGAATATACAGTGTCCTCCGAGATACTAGAGCTTCCAGCTGATGTTGATGACCATCTCGACACTGTGGGTACAGGTCGAGGTTGCTGACGTTGTTGTTCGACCCATTCGTTCAATCGACGGTTGTCGTCATGATCGGGAAAGCTGTGGTTGTAGGCGGAATACTCTGTAGTTTCGCGCTTGGGTAATGGTGGCAGCTCCTTGAGCAGTCGAAGTGCGTCCTTATGAAGCGCCATGGAGTCACGCTGATGCTGATAAATACCTCCTAGCGCGGCCAATGTGTCCCTCTTCGAATGGTCTTTGTTACCAGTCAATTTTGCTAGCGCGTCTGCTCTACCGCCTTCTATTCTTAATGTCTGACAAGCTGAGATGATCTCGTCCACGTACTTCATGTCAAGAGCCCGCTCTTGTGATATCGTCCTCTGTGGGGATGGTGAGTAGCGAAGTGCTGGTGAAGGGGTATTGCATTTGGCTACAGAAGCGAGGCACTGGTCGTGGTTTTGAGTATTGAGTCCAGCCCTGCCCCTACATTCTTCGTAAAAGTAACGGACTAGAAAGGAAGATAGTCCGGTAGACGAATCTCCATTTGCAGGGCTGCTAACCGGATTGGGACAAGAGACACCCGATATGGAACTAGGTGAGATACTCCGCGAGGCTGGCCTTGACGTAGAAGAGCCGCGCGGATCACCACAAAGGTCAATCGTGGCGGAAAATGCACAGAATGAGGGCCTCTGCAGGAGAATCCTCTGTTTCAGTCCATTTAAAGCGTCGATTGCAGCTTTACGATTCGTGACCGCGGCGGCTTGGAGTGTGTTGCAATCAACCACAGCATTTTCATACTTAGCGGCAAGTTGCAGCTTCATGATTATGTCGGTCTGTATCACTACAGCGGTATGAAGCAACCTGTCGCGTGCAATAGCTGCGATGCTGTTAGTAGAACTTCGCTTGCTCGGACTTCGGAAAACGTGGTGGGAACGGACCATCTCCTACACGGACAATATCTCCGAATCGCGCTTCTTCTGCAGAAAATCGAAAACTCAATTGAAGCTCCGCAGTCTCGAGAGATATTTGCAACCGTGTTCTTTTGTCTTGTTCAAGGTCGGTATGATGCAGAGATCGTTTCTTCTTCAGATTCGCGACCATCCCAGCCGCGCCAAAGAAGGCTGATATGACGGCAGCAACAGCCCCGAGGACCTGTATGAGTGACGGAGTCAATCATGGCCACATCGAGATTTGTGGTAGCTTTGTAGGTGGCTGTGCAACGAAACGTCAGGGGAATGGAACATACTTGCATCTCGGATGAGAATTCCATGGTGCTTGGCGGCTTTGAAGGACCGGTACGGAACCGATCAATGCTGTTGTCGTGCAGGAGATGGGGTTTGAGCCTCTAGAGGTTGTTTGGACTTCGACTGTAGTGAGTAACGACAGGATGACCGGAAGCAAGAGTTAGGCGTCTTGATTCATACTTCAAATACCACAGGAATACCTGGCCGGGATGCCTCGTAGTAGAGCTGCGTGACAGCCATACACTTGCGGATTTAAACAATGGAAAGACGATAAGCCTAAGACTGATAGAAGAGATGTTGAGTTATCAAGTACAACTCATGCTTGAAACATCATCCTCAGCTTCGATGGTACCGTCGGTCTACGAGGAGCTGTCATGCTGCTGGGCTCATCTGTATGGAGCTCTGTGGATGATGGCTGAAATTAAACGTATGATTTACGAAATGGTGCAACTCCGCGTCGCTGCAGGGGCCGCGTTGATTGAGCCTTGCATTCGCAATGGTCATGGTAGCTCGAATTAGGACTGTAATGCCTTACAGCAATAGACTTAATAGAGACGTGCGATCCGGTTCATGTGCTCTCGCAGGGAATAGCGGGGCTATGGTTCGTCAGATATCGAAAAGAAAGTGATGACCAGAACACCTGAAGCTGAGGTCTGGGGCTCGGAGGGCTGAGACGAGATCTAAAGGTCGATACCGATGTAGCGTGCCTGATCCTGTGAGCGGTTGACGGTGGAGAGAGATGGTCGCGTAAACCTGCACACTTGGCGTAGGTGACGGTCATCATCAATCACCATGACAGGATGTTCCGCATTCAGATGTCACTTTTTGATTCAAACGTCCCAAAATACCGGCAGTTATCTTTCTTAATTCTTCTGTAGTACGTTACGCTACATCTCCCGAGAGATGATGTCCTCGAATAAGAACTGTACGTCATCACACCACACACAAACGCTCACTCACGGCTCAAACACGCAAATCATTTCACACAATGTGAAACATGTATGGCAGTCGCGGCTCGCCCTGGTATCTAAAGTCCCACCCTAGATGTCACCGCACTGCGGGTTCGTAAGAAAAGAAATAGCTCGGAGTCCATGGATGTGCGCTAGGCACGTGCGTCTCGCGCATGAACAGGATCCCAATCGCGCGACCGGCCATGTGTCGAACATTCGTCACGACCGCGGCTCATCCCTAAAAACATGCAACACCAGGAGAGACTCCTTGAGTTCGCCGAAGAAAAGGGGATGGTAAAGAACAGCAGGAGTGCTGATGCAAACGCCGGTGCGCCATGCTATGAATAAACCACAGAAAGTAGATGGCGCCAGGCACAAACATAGGAAATCTTCGTGAGAAACTCACGCATCCACCAACTGTACCCTCTGACTCCTCCGATTCTTCAATTCCACAAGCGTAGGTGTAAGTGGCTTGTTACCGCCCAGGAACTTCCCCGGCGGTGCTAGCCCATCAGGACTCCTGATCGGAGTCTTGACACCCTCACTTGCTGGACTCAGTACTGCACCGGGCGATCTTGTAGTTCTCGACACCGAAACCGATCGTGCTACGCCGATGGTCGCTTGCACGCCTGTTCCGGAACGCTCGACCCCTGATCGCGGGCTCGTCGAGGCGAGGACGGTGTGCGATCTTGTGCGGCTGAGTACTGGGCTGCGGGTCTTTGCCGAGGTAGGCGTAGGTTCTTGCGGTGCTGGTGATGCGGCGCTTGTAGGGTGAGACCGGAGTGCGGATGCTTTGGTGACGGTGGAGGGTTGGCGTTGGATGATTTCCCAGACAGGTTCTTCGTCTTGGACATGCGGTCGCCAGGGCTTGGGCGGAGCATTGGGTGTGGCGACGATAGTGATTTCCTCGGAGTCTGAATACTCAAAGCTGCGGTCGGAGGCGGCACTTGAGGTACGTGAGAGTGAAGGGGTATCAGGATAGTCCATCTCTTGTGGAGCCTTCTTGGTAGATTGGAAAGGGAAGTTGAGCTGGGATGGTGAGGTGGCTGGTGCGGTTTTCGAGCGTTGTAAAGGCCGTGGTCGATTTGTGATGATGTGCGGTGATGGTGCTCTGCTGGTGTTTGCGGATGGGAAGAGAGACAGGTGACCGGAAGGCGACTTGGACGGTAGGCTGGGTGATGTTGCTCGCCGATGCATTCCGCCTCGAGGCTGATCTTCCTTGCCCTGAATCGTTTAGCAACACTCGCGGGCAACGATTTGGGCATACTACATACCTTTACAGACAATCCGTTTAACGGTTTGACCTTGTCCGCAGCACCTTGGCGTCTTTGCAAAAGCGATGACGAAGCATTCGTAGTCTGTGGCTGGAGCAAGCCGCTGAACATGACGCTATATCGTTCCATATGCACGGTAGGGATCTCTACATCGAGCAGTGGCTTACTACCAGGCAGCGGAGGCGAAGTGGCGGAGACAGTCAACGAAGGAAGCGCAGCAGGATTATGGGTGGGCATCTGAGGTCTCGGACTGAGCGCAAAGCGTGAGAGTGGTGACTTCACTTTGCCCGAACTTTGCGAACCGACCGTCAAAGCCCTCGGTCTTGTGTCTGTTGCTGGTTGTGCGTGTCCCTTTTGCTTATTGCGGGATGGTCTGATGTCCGATTTGAAGATGTGCGTTGGTGACGGGTTTGCGGCATCCTCTTGCGCAAGTGATCGTGAGTCCAAGGAGTCGCTGTCCTGATAGCTGTCTACGCGTGCAGAGTTGGCTGCCTTTGCTAGTTGGTAGAATGTGTCTTTGTTCTGGCGAGGTGGCGGAGTTGTCTTCTTGAAGATTGACTTCCATCGGCTGATCTTAGGCTTTGGTGCTTCACCCTGGGTTTCGCTGACTTGAGGAAAGTATTCCGGAGACTGGTTGTTGGAGGAAATCTGGGTGACGGTACCATGGGTCTGCGTGACAAAGTCTGTTGAAGGTGCGTGCCAGTGTTGAGGCGGCATAGTGGGACTCCCAAGCGCGATGCCGATAATGCCCTCCTCTTCCGAAAGCTGCGCAGTGCAAAGGGTTGTAGTCGACTTGGTAGGCGATACGAACGAGACACCAAGGCGAGGGTCGTCGACAGGTTGGACAGGTAATACTTTTTTATGGAACAGCGTTGAGCGATCACCTGGTCCGCCAGAAGTGCTCGGCCGTTGCAACATGTCGGGCTCGGGAGTTTCAACTCTGATCTCTGCTCGTGTGACAGGCGCAGCTGCCTTTAATCTGTCGCCTTGGACAGTTGCAAGAGTGGGCTGTGGCGCTGTGTTGTCTGCGTCCCGTTGGTGCGTTTCCTTGTGCCCGCCTTTGAGCATTCGGAATGACCTCGACCTTCCCAGCATCCTGGCCATGGCGGTTTCAAAATGGGTGTTAGTCGGTGTCAGCACCTAGTTCGGCAGAGGGTGAAGGAGCGACAGAAGTGGAGCGGGGGACGGGCGACGTGAACGGAATGGACGGCTCTCCCAGAGAAGCACGACGGTGGGCAAACAGAAAGCAGAACAGAGGGTGGTGACGGAGGAAGAGCACAAGCACGAGGGAAATTGCCAGCCACGACAGCGGCGACGGGAAACGAGCGTGCGGCCTATCGCGAGGCCGTCCATGCCTAGAGGTTGTGCTAAGCCGCGTGCGTCGCGGCTGCTGGGCGTCAGGAACAGATTGCACAGGTGAGGGTGTGCGGGATGGGGGAGTAAGATGAGCAGGCGTCGCCGCGCAGGACGGATTGGCTGTGCCATGGATGGGCCGCCCTTGCCTCCGACATGGGTGGGCATGTTGACATGTAACAGACAAGGCGGTTGTTCTTGCAGCGACGGTGCCGCACGGGCCCGAGTTTCATGCTCCCGTGCGCAATTTCGCAGGCGTCTACTTCAACGACAGACGGCTCTTCCGAAATGAACAATCAGTCACCAAGATTACGTACGGGAGCGCGCGGTGGGAGTAGCCGTACGCTGCCACTAGAGGTCAACCCACCGCATCGGAAGATTGCTGCAACATGCTGCGCCGTGCACCATGCGGCTAAAATCCCCACAGATCGAACCTCTACCCACACATCATCGGAGCCGCCTAGAGCTTCATGCGGCTGAATCGAAACCTCTCCCGCTTGTTTTCGTCTGCACGTAGACTACAGCCGCAACACCTGTCGAGCTTACTTCCCGGCCAACGACTTCCCCGGCCGCCACCCCTCATACCTAGCGGCTTCCTCCGCAAGCGTCCGCGGTGTATGCTCAGCCAGTGCCCTTTCGAAGTGACTCATGCGCACCTCAGCAGGACCGTCGGGATCCCGCTGCAGAAGATCCGTCTTCGCGAGCTCCACGACCTCTGCGCACAAGCCCTTGATATCCGCACCAGTGCTACCTTCGATTTTCGAAGCCAATATGTCCAGATCGACGTCTTCAGCAAGCGGCCACTTCCTAGTATGAATTTCGAGGATCTGTCTTCGTGCTTCCTTCGTGGGAAGCCCGATGTGGATGTGCACGTCAAACCTCCCCACACGGATGAGAGCCGAGTCGAGCATGTCGGGCCTGTTCGTAGCCCCAATGATGAACACGTCCTTGAGTGCTTCGATCCCGTCCATCTCGTTCAACAGCGTAGTCACCACATTGAGGCCACTATCTTGGCTCTTGTCGCGCGATTTGCCAATCGAGTCGATTTCGTCGAAGAAGATGATGCAAGGCTTTGCGGCGCGCGCTCGACGGAAGACGTCTCGGATCGCTCGCTCCGACTCTCCGACGTACATCTTGATGAGCTCGGAGCCTTTGACAGCCAGGAAGTTTTGGTTGGATTCTGTGGCGACGGCTTGGGCGATCAGCGTCTTCGCGCAACCAGGCGGTCCGTATAGTAGCACGCCTTTGCGTGACTGTGGGGCGCCGAATTTGCTGTCGAGTTGTGGAAACTGTTGCAAGATCAATCAGACTACCCTAAAAGGATGCGGACGTTAGGAGGACCTACCTTGTATGGGCGCACAACGATGGATTCAAGAAGAGATCGAACATGGTCGACTCCAGCGATGTCATGCCAGTTGACCTTGGGTACCTCAATAATGCTGTCCTTAAGTACCGACGGTTTGATCTGGCCAATGACGGCGTCGAAATCCTCCTGTCTCACAAAATCTGTACTTGCGAGCGCTTCGATTATCGTACCCTTTGCGTCATCGCCCAGAGAATCAAATATTCGACGGTCGACACGTCTTCTTGCGTACCGAACAAGGTCTTTGATATCGCGGCCTACGAACCCGTGGCATTGTTCAGCCAGATGTGCTAGGTCAATAGTAGAGCGCTCAAGTTTCGGGCCGAGAATCTGCCGCAGGATATCTTCCCTCTGATTGACGTTCGGAGGGAAAACTTCGAGCTCAATCTGGAAACCTTCTGAGGATTTTAGGCGGGCATCGATGTCGTATATCCTGCGAGCGGCAGCGGCCACTACGACTTTAGTGTTTTCTAGCCTTTTAAGCTCTTTTTGGAGTCGATTTACCAGACTTTCCGCCGTCTTTACGAAGTTGTCTAGGTCATCGATTAGGATCAAAGAGGGTTGATGTTTCAGGGCAGCATCAAAGACGTCTTCGGAGAGAGCTGCTGCTTGCTCCTTTCGATTTGCAGCAAGCCACTCATCGTCTAGTCTGTAAACCTTACGCCAGGGTGCCTCCGATAACCGCTCGAGTAAGAGGGTTTTCCCGCAGCCTTCAGGTCCATGCAAAAGAAACGATGTGGGGCCTCGCAGATCATCATCTGACCTCGGGAAAGAGAGGGACGCGAGTTCCCAATTGATGTTGTTGATGTGATCAGAAAATCCGCCGATGCCCGCGCCATCAAGACGTAGGATTGTACTGGAAGCAACTGTGGGAATAGTGTTGAGCGTTGGCTCGTTTGAAAAGATCAATTCAGAATCTTGAGGATGGAAAACCAGGGGCTGCTGTTCGTCTGAGTTGGTGTCCACGCTCGTGACTGTCATGCGTAGTTTGGAACCCGGGAATACTGATTTAGGCTTCTTCTCTACGTCGAATGTGCATCCAGGCATTGCAATATCCAGTTCCGCTTGAAAGCGTCAGTGCAGGTACGAGATAGATGACAAGGAGTATGCCTACCTAACGCAGCTTTGGTCCAGAAATTGAGCTCATCGCTCGTAGCATACTTCTTCAATGCGTCCGAAGATTGTGAAAACTTAACCTCGACCGACGTCGCAAAATTTGGAGGTTCCTGGACTTTCTCGATGAAGATGGCATCCGTCAGAGCCAGATCATACTTCTCGCGCAACAGATCGGACACTTTGGCGATGGGCTTGTTTCCAGGGTTGGTCTGTTGAGCCAGCCAAGCTAAAGCGAAGCCATGGAATCCTTTGGCAGTGCTCAGGCGGATGCGATCTCCAGCAGCAAGACCTAGATTTTTGAGTTCCTTTGCTGAGAGATGGACACGGAAGGTGGCCTGGTCTAAACTGCTGCTCCCGGAGGTGCGTTCCAGTGGGCGCAGCGTGAATGAACTCGCAGCTGTCATGGCTGGTTCTTTGCGGTAACGTGGAGATGACGGAATGAGACAGGTAACATGAGTCTGAGGTGGGCAGCTCTGTGTACACTTGAGTCTTCTCGCGCGGACAACGCTTTTCCCAAAGTGCACTTCTGCCCGGAGGACCTATTTCGTCAAGGATGTTTAGTGACTTGGGGACTACCTAGCTCGAAATTAAAAGCCTGGTTTGCGTCCAGGAATTTTAAAGCGAGACTCGGCTGCAGCCCGATCTCTGCTTATCACCGCGTGACTATTGTAGCTACCACCGCGTTCATTCCTTGTGTGAATCCTGGGGGAAGATCAATGGTGGTGTTGATATTTCATGTTGATGTTCGGCCGGGAATTTTTGGCGATGGTCGATGACTAAGCCGGGTGAAGCTTCCAAAAGTTTTCTACGCGCATTGGCCGATATGGCACAGCGAGCAATGTGACCAGGCACCCCAATTGATGCCGCCGCCGCGCTTACCACGACCTCTGCGGCCATGGCACCCCCCGAGGACCTCTGCCCGCGCACGTTGGGTGTCGAACAGCCCCCGCGACGAGAAAACGATTCAACGCGATGACGGCGCGCCGGGCGGAGGAGAGCTTGAGCAGCCCGCAACCGAAGGTGCGTCCACGCCCCTTGCACCGCGATCTCAGTGAGAGAACCCATCTAATCCAAAGCAGCGAATACAGGTGTAAAGAAATCACTTGCTTCTTCACAAGATGCGTCGGCTGCTCGGTGGTTGGGAGGTCTCACCTCGCGCATCTCTACGTTCTTCGTGAAGTCCTCGCCTCCACCCTCGAAGTCGCCTATACCAAATGATGTGCCTCCCGAGGACCGGCCGCCCATCCATGTACCGTCCGAACATTACGTACCGCCGTCGACCTCGCCGCATGAGCCTCCGTGTGGGACCACCTGTCTTGTCTGCCACGAGACTTTTACAACCCCAGCGAAGCTACGCATGCACATATGTGAGCAAAATCATATAGAGTCTTGGCCAGCAGCATTTCGAAGTCGCGAGGAAGTCACAGAGAGACAAGAAAGGCTGCTACGAAATAAGCAGTTCAGGACAGAGCTAGGTTCAGAGGATTGGGAATCTGGAGAGTTCATGGTCCATCTTAGAGACGGAAAACGGGTCTGTGAAGCTTGCCAGACGCCGTTGCCTACGAAGGAATCGCTCAGCCAGCACTGGTTATCCAATGACGCGTGCCGGAAGAACGACCCTGCTGTGCTTGACCTGTTTGCATGCTGGAAGTGCTGCCAGACTTTCGACTCCATCGCCCAAGCTCGCCAGCATGTCCAATCTTTTCCCAGATGCTTGACGCACATTAGAGCACGAGATAGTCGGATGTCGCTCAACAAACGTGTGGCAAAGTTACTTCCGGCCGCTGAAGACCGGTATCGCCGATCGATTGGGGCTTTACTCAGCGTTTCCAAAGAACTCGAGGCCGTCTCTAATCCTGCCGCTCCAAGGCTAGTCCATAGCATCTACGAGTATCTGCGTCCAATATATAGCCAAGCACATGCAGCAAGAGAGCGACGCTTGCTCTCGATGTTTGGCTATGCTCCCCAAGCCTTTAAGGCTGTCCAACAACCAGCTACTCAACAAGCGGAGCAACACATGAAGCCAAGCGCTTCTACCGGACCTACCCTGGGCCCAAAGAAGGTGACACGGCGCCAGCCTCACTCAACAGAGGAGTCACGTGCAGCGCCGACACTGGGACCCCGTGCTCAAGGTACTGAAGTTGTTGGATCTTCGTCGAGATCGCATGGATCACACAAGAGGTCAAAATCTGGCTCAGAATGGAAAAGAAAGGGGAGTGACCCAGAGATAAACTTCACGTACTACTACGATGGTCTGAATCCACATCTTAAGGTTCGCAAACATGGAGCAGACAAAATTAAGACCTCGGAGGTCAAGGCTCAAAGAGATGATATTCTGAATGGGCAGACCGTTCCAACGTTCGAAGATTCTCTCCGCGTTAGCCTCGACTCCTTCCAGACCGATAGTCCAACCTCTGAAATCGCTCCGTCTCCAAGCTCAACGGCTGTAACAAAGGAGCCCGCATTTAAGGAAGAAAGACCTACTGTATCATTCACGGAACCCGATGCGGATAAGGCGGACTTGAGACTTCAGCTCCAGTATCTCATTGAACAGGTCAGACTTCTTAATGAAAAAATTGGGGCTCCAGCAATCTCGGACAAAGAGGCGGCGCAAGCAACCAGCTCGAACACGACACCAGCTACCAATTGCAGTACGACGCAAGCTCCAGATTCCCCGAAGGCGGAAATTGCAAAGCCAGTGGAGCCTCCTGAGGCTATTGCGCTGCAGCAACCCAATGACACCGAAGCCTCTTTAGCATTGTCAGAAGATTCTGCGGATGTTCCAGTGCAGCCTTCTGCGATTATAGCATCGTTAGCATCAACCGACCAAAGTCTGAAATCTGCACCAGTGAGGCGATATGAAACAAAGTCCCAGGCGAAACTTCAGAATGAAAGAACAAAAGCGGTACTTGGTAACAACGGAGCCGCACAAGAAGCTGTCTCTTCGGCCCCATCCGAAGCATTATCATATCTCGATAAGGCAGCGGAAACGAGCACCGATGGACAAAGATTGGTTCGCCAGATCCACACACATGCAGGGTTAATGAAATATTTAGGCCATTCCAACATGAACAGTCGTCCTACTCCGCCTGCGGATACACCGATAGTTCAGACCTCTTCTTCATTGCCTCCGACACAAGCCCCGTTGGAAGCTGGTGAGAGGAGCGAACAGTCTCTTCTAGATGAACTTTTCCCGGAAGCAAGCAACTACATTCAGCCTCATTACAGCGAACGTAATCCGTACCCGAAGCTCAATCTTCCTAGATCAGCACCTATAGTTCGGCGCTATGCACCAAAGGAAAAACTAAGCAATCGCGAGAAATATATTCAAGCATTTCAGAGATCAGCGGAGAACATGACGACATTGCAGCTTTTACACTGCAGCACTGAGCTGACGGAAGCCGATTTTCGAAATCTTGTGCCCAAAGGACGACACATTGAAGGTTGGGCCCGCGACGATGATTTTCGTCAAGTCATCCCGGGACGAGATCCACTAAGCTTAGAACGATTGCCTTTCTATTATTTGATCTTTAAGAATCCCGAGGCTGCCCTTAGGTACCAAAGCAATGCCGTTCGCCTGCACAAGCTGAGCAAGCTTCACGGACCCGATAGTTCCCTGTCCGCAATTCCCCCTCCCCCAGGCCTTCTCGAGAATGGCGAAGACATTAATGCTGCACTCTCGTCATACCTTCTCACCCCTACAAGCCAAAACCTCCAACTCAACATGGTCATGCAGCCATACAACCCCGCGCTCGCCCGCCTCATCGAGGAAGGCGGATATGCGCCCATCGTCCGGTCGACAAACCCCGCCGGCACACAGGTACACAAAGTCCTGTTCTACATCGAAGGCTACGAGCCCTCGCCCTACGACCTCTACCAGATCTTCATGCAGGATGCCAGCTCCCGCGGCTTTGTCTGGCCTTTCCTCCACGAGCACCTGTCCATCCACCGCCTCCGCGACATCGTGGACCTCAAGACGCGTTTCTTGCCCGTCTCTGCTAACAACCCGCGTGCTTCTTCCAAGGCGAAGCGCAAGCTCATCGAAATGAAGGACTACGATCCGTATGCGTCGTTCCTTTCTACAAAGGAGGGCAGCGAGAGCGACGACGCAGAAGGTCAGGACGCCAAGATCATCAATCAGATCATCATGAATAGGGTGTATAACCGGTGGATTGTCGAGTTTAGCGAGGAAGCGGGGGCGAGGCGGTTCGCGAGGTTGTGGCATAGGAAGGTGTTGCCGATGCAGGATAGTGTGTTGCACAGGACGTGGAGGGATGTGGAGGAGGTGCGGATGTGTAATGCGGAGTATTTGTGGTAAGTTCAAGTGTATACATATGTGTGTAGTGTATAAATGCGTAGGAGGGTGGAGGTCGTAGATATCTTTTTCGTTTGTGTGTGCAATTGTACGATCTATCATTATCGAACTCATTCTGTTCGTCGTTTCAAACATGACATTTGGTTTCAGGTTCGCTTGTCTGGTGGCGTACAGACCAACAGCGTCCTACCATGACTTGGAAGCTTATGTGCCAATGAATTATATTCCTGTTAGTGAAACTTGTATGGACTTGATACATTTTACAGATAGATCTGCAGGGACAAACGTGAAATTGACTGTAATTGCGAGATCATGCTCAGTTCTTGAGGGGTTGGAGTCGGCAACGCTCGATCTGTTATTCTCTGGTGTCACGATGAGGCCCGTATATAATCTTGATCTGAGGGCAACTCGGGCTATGATTCGTGTTCAAAGATCGAGCCTAATACTATATCGCCTACAATCACGTTGACGCAACAGCCCCAGACCCATCGATAATAGTAACCTAGCTCAGCATCCAATCTTCGTGTAACCCCACCGCCCCCGCATGTTTTTAGCTGACCAACTTAGCCAACATTTGCAACAGTACTCTTATCTCGTACACGCCGTACTCCCCTTTCGATTGCACTTCACTTCCCTGTCCTTCAATTTCAACCCATTGCTTTTCAACTCAGTTCTTCGACTCCATCCACATCATTTCCGCCAGCGACACACGATCTAGATAGGTTGAAGTCCCGCTTGTTCCGTCTTCTCACAGAACAAATGTTCTGTGATAACTAGTAGTACTAGTTTGCGCGCCAGTCTCGCTTCTCGCTCGACCCAGCCTGTATGCGTGGCTGCAGAAGGCGCGGATCTCCTTTCCCACCCTTCCCTTTCATAAACATTCTGTATCTGGTAGTTGGACTACAAGTCCAGTTCCTGATGAAAGTAGATGTTCCCCATTTGCTAACTTACAAAAGACGGACCAGGCGGCGGACGTCGGGCAAAGGCTCGTGTCTCAATACGGGTAGCACATCTTTATTCCTTGCTCTTTCTGTTTTCGTTTTCTTGCTCTCAGGGTTAGAGATTCCGACTTTACGTTTCTTTTCATGCCCAGAGCCGGGCGCTGGCTGCTTCGAGGCTAGCATTGCTGTGACGACTGACGAGATGGCCGTGACAGAACAAATAGAGGTTCAGGATGTTCTTCGTTCTAATTGGCACGGTGATACCTGCGACATAATATAAAGGTAGGCGCTGAGCAGCATCTATGCGTGTTATTGGAGGACTGGTAGTGGACAAAGTTGATCAGAAGAGTGACGGAGGATACGGGACAGGCGGAGCACTTACGTACGTCGAGGGCGCAGGTGCCCTATTGTCGAAGGGAGTTCGTAGCTGCTGCGTTGTTGACGTACTATCACGATTGCGTACAGAAGCTTCGACTATGGGGAATGAGCCACCGTCTGCCAAGTATACGTAGTGGGTATCACTCTTCATGGACAAATTATCGATGCAAACAAATCCAAAGAAGTGGTTCAGAACCTGATTCATTACTAAAGCTATACTACGTGAAGTTTTTATACACAACGCTGTCTACCAAGCATCTACGAAGGTGGATATCGCTATTTCTCCCTAGTCGGAACGCCGGCCGCGATACAAACATGAAACAACTCAAACAAGCTGTCTAAGCAGCCGCAGACTTGGGTTCTTCCTTCTCCTCATACTTTTCCCAGTTGGCAAGAATGTTACCAATCTTGGGCGAGTTAGTCAGCTTGTACACATCCTCGAAGTACTCCTTCGTGAGTGCGAACGGCTTCGCGGTGACATTAGGAATGTACTTGCCGACCAGCTTCGAGGGGTCGATCGATGTTTTGTGGATCTTCTTGAGCAGGAAGTTCCGGAAGGGCTTGACACCAGATCGCAGGAAGGTGCTGTGGAAGGGCACATCGATACCCTTCAACGGGATTGTAGCAAAACCGCGCTGGAGGTCGAGCGGCTTGGGCTTGGCTTCTGTCTGTTTGGCACACTCCTGGATGATCTCCACAAGGTGCGCCTTGACATCCTCGATGGACATGCTTTGCATGAGCGCCTGAATGTCAATCTTTTGGGCCTTGAGGTAGTTGGTGACGTTGGTAAGACAGTCCAAAGCCCGAAGGTCACCAGCGCAGACGTACTGCATGTTCGCGATGTTGTAGTTGACAATTTCCAAAAGCCATCCGGTCTGCTCTGAGATGTTTTCAACCACGTACTGCAGTGCCTGTTCGTTGAACGTCTTCGAGATCCTGCTCGGGTTGACAGCGCACATGGAGTAGTTGGATCGTCCCGTCTCGTCACGCTCGACAGCGACCTGCATCGTTAGACCGCGGTAGAACACAACCGAGACCAAGCTCTCGATAGGCATGACCTCAGCGAGGGCTGCAAGAGCCGAGTATTCTCCAAGCGAATGTCCAGCGAAGGTACTGTCACGCTGCACCAGGCCCTTGGAACGCATGTCCTCGAACGACGCCTTCTCCATGAGGGTAAGGGCGGGCTGGGTAAATTGAGTGGCGGACAGAAGGCCAGTTGGGGATCGGTAAGTGTACGAAGTCGTGTTTTCGTCAATCTCTTTGAAGATCTTCTCCGACTTGACACTGCCATCGGAGCCGACAGTCTCGAATGTCATGGACATGTAGTTTTGACGAATGGCTTTACCGACGGGACCACCAAAGTGGATAGTCAGCTCCTTCGGGTTGTTCTTGACAATATTGGTGATGGCGAAGCCTGCAGGGAGTTAGTAGAGCCATGATGATACAGCGAAGCAGAGACTCACCATAGTTGTCCATGAAATGTTTGTCGGCACGGTCCCAGACCTCCTTAGCCACAGGGCTGCTGGCATAAAGCTCCATACCCATGCCTTGCTCTTGCGAACCTTGACCAGTGAAGACGTATGAAGTTGTGGGTTGCTCGACCTCAGCCTCGCCCAAAAGGACCTTGTCTTCCGTCTCCTTGTTGCTCACTTCGATCTTGATGATCTTGCGTCCAGATACCATGCCAGTGTGTTGAAGTTTGACGTCCAAGATGTCATCGGGCAACACCATGCCTACGAGGCTCACATGATAGCTCCTAACACGACCAATATGGTTCTCAGCGGCCCAAGTCTCGACCAAGCTACGAACAGCGGCACTGGAGTACATGCCGTGGGTGATTGTGCCAGGGAGGTTGGCATAGCTCGAGAAGACGCGAGACACGTGGATGGGGTTGTAGTCGCCGGAAACACGTGCGTAAGTCTCATTAGAAGCGGGAGCCTTTAGTGTTAGAGGAGTCTTGCCGTTCAGCGGGATCGCGTTCTCAAAGTTGACGGGCTGGTCGATAGCAGATCCATTGCGCTCCAAGTAATCAAGCACAGGGTTGCCGTAGGATGTGCCAGAAGAGTAATCGACGGAAGCGATCTGGATGATCTCCTTGGTGGGAAGCTCAAGCAAGACCTCGCCAACAGTTTGAACTTCTGAGAATGCGGTCTTGTTCTTGTACCGAATGAAGCTTTCCAATTTGAATGTCAAGGTCTTGTTCAGCAGTTCGACGTCCGGCTCATCCATGTTGAACCATTCCTTGGAGCGCAAGATAGCAACATCCTTGCTGGTAGCCAAATGGAGCTGCATAGGAACCTCAGTCTTCCTCTGGAAGGTGTTCTCGAAGTCATCATACGCGCCGCGGTAGAGGAATTGAGAAGTGACTTCCATGACAGGCTTGCCATCACGAGTGATGGTGCCGCAAACCTCGACCATCTTGCCAGAATCTTGGTTGAGCACCGCATTGATCTGAGCAGTAGTATCGAGGACATCGCCCTTCTTCAGTGGCTCTGCGCCAGGAAGCATGCGGAAGCCATTGGACAGATGGACAAGCTTGAGGAGGTCGCCATCGATAGCCCGCGGGAAGATTGGCTTTGTAATAGCCTTCCAGCCCACCACGATGGCGAAGTCCATAGGAGCGAAGATCTCCTTGTTGGGACGCTCAACGAAAGCCTCGCCAGTGTTGCCTACAGCATGCACGAAGTCATTGATGGCCTCGCTTGTAACGGTTGCGCGGCCACCGTCGAACTTGGAGGTCACGGATGTCTCGAAGGGGCAAGCTTCGTCACCGAACCAAATCTTGTAGTAAAACTCCTTGATTCGGTCGTTGCGTGCATCCATGACCTCGTGTATAGGAGCATACCCGTACTCTGGACGGTAGTGGAACTTTAGTGGCAGCGCGGCTGGCTGCTTGAGGGCAGTGCGCTCCTCAAACATGTTCAAGACAATTTCATCCTTGACCAAGCTTACTTCGACCGTCTTGACATGTTTACCACCGGTGGAGGGCTCCTTAACAGTGATAACGGTCTTGGCGGGCTCCTTCGGGTTGGCAATTTCAACGATCATGCCAGGCGTGGGAGCAAAGATCCTGCTAACTGGATTGGTCTGAAATCGCTGACCCTGAACGAAAATGTCGGCAGCGAAGAACGCATGCCTCCACGAATAAGCAGCACCAGCAAGAAGATGCAGCCAAGGTTTGACCTCCGGGAGGATAGAGTTCGGCGCAGTTGAAAGTCGGTATACGATTTTGTTTTCGAGTTGGGAAACCGTCAGTCCGTCAACCTCGACACCTTCGATACTTTCGACCGGCTTACTGCCAAAATATTCAATGACAGGAACCTTTGATTGATCTCCGCCGTAGACGTCGCGAAGGAGGTATTGAATATGACCATTGTGGACTCCATCTAGTATATCCTTTACGGGTTCATCGACTTTAGTGGAGTATTTTGCAGCCATTGGACCCTGCAGGATACAAGTCCTGCCGACGTCCTGGTCAACTACGGCATCCAAATCCTCGGACTGCCATAACGAATCCTTCTTGAAGAAGAACTCAAAGGTGTCATCAAGAACGGGCACGAAAGGCACAGGCTTCTGTCCGCGACGCTGGCAGAGCAAGAGGAAGTGTTGTACATCTTGGGCATTGATGAGCTGCTCAGAAGCTTCGGGGTAAACCTTGAAGACCTTCTCGATCGTCTGGTATGGCGTATTAAGCTCTTCGTAGGTCTGGATGAGCGATTCACTGTTGGATTTGCTGAAGCGTTCCTCGACACGACGGATGAAGTCGCCCGTTAATCTCTTCAAGCTCTGGTCAATCCAGCGGTCTTGATGCTTGACGTACATAAGGTCGACCATACGCTGCACTACCTCGGCGTATGTCATGTCCTCAAGGTCGACAGATTCGCCGTTCTTGTTCTGACCGAACCATACCTTCTGGAAGTCGTTGTTCAGTTTGGTGATGATGTGCTCACGCATCTTTTTCAGTTCCGGAATGCGCTTGGCCTTGTCCAGGCTGAAGATCTTTTGGTCCATCTCGTGCCAGAATAGTACACCGCGGGTGGCCAGCTTGTGAATTGGCTCACCCATTTCGGACCGAACAGTGATGACTCCGCCAGCAGGTCCCTTGTACGTCTTCTCCCAGTCGCCATCGTCGAGTCCAGGAGCGTCGACAATGGCCTGCTTGGCTGCCTTGGACGTATGCGCCTCCTTCGCAGTCATCACGCGACTGCCAAACAGACATCCATCAAATGGCATCGGAGGGTAGCCGAACGCAGTGGACCAGGTACCAGTGAGGTAAGGATAGGTGTCTTCGGCACCACCGAAACCAGATCCAGCAACCAAGATAAGGTTATCGCACTTGCGAATGCGGCCGTACATCTGGAGGATAGGCTGGTGGAAGTCCTCAAAAGAATGGTGACCTCCGCCACGCCCACCAGTCCACTGCATCAAGACAGGGAACCCAGGGTTCGCCTTGGCAATGTTGATCGTCTGCTGGATAGCCTCTGTAGAACCGGGTTTGAAAGCGATGTGTTTGATTCCCAAGGTTTCAATGTACTCGTTGGCGACTTCGATCGACGGCACACCGGCACCGATGGTCAAACCCTCAATCGGAACACCGTCAGCGCGCAGCTTACCTAGAAGAGGGATCTGCCACGCCATGGCACGGGGATTGACATAGATCAAGTTAATTGTGATGCCACGTCCGGGAGTAATTGCCTTCTCGACCTTGTCGATCGCAGCAGTCATTGTCTTTTCGTTGTAGTAGCCACCACCTGCAAGCTCGATCTCGTAACCAGCGTTCATTGTGGCGGCAACAAAATCCCATGGGACTGTGCAAGGCGTCATACCAGCGACCATAACCGGAGGAAGTCCAAGCATGCGACTCATCTTGGTGTCAACGTAGGTCTGCCCAGTGGATGTCTTCACTAAACGAGGGCCATGCTCCTTGACCCAATCGACTGCGTACTTGACAGCATGGTCGAAATCGCGGTCAAAAATCTCAGGCTTGTATCCGACCTCGGGGTTTTGCCCATCAATTGCGCCCGCCAAGATAACTCGGACGCCAGTTCCGTCCTTGTTGCGGTTGGTCAAAACACCCAGACCGGAAATGCCTCCAGGTCCGAAATCAAGAATGTGCGTAGCCTTGGGGAATACTGTAGCCTTCTCCCACTCAACAGAGTCGTTCGTGATCATGCGCACGAGCCTCGGAACGACGTCGTCGTCTGATGACTCGCGGAGATCTTCGCCAGTGTGCGTATCGTACATGGCGATGCCAAGATCACGTGGAGAGATATGGATGTCTTTCAAATCTTCCTCAAGCTGTTTCGCCGCCTCCGCAAGGTAGGGGCTGTGAAAAGGGGCGGTGATAGGAAGGAAGCGGTTGACAAAGCGGACCTTGCGGTCTGTAAATGGAATTCGAGTCTGATCCAGGCCGGTAGGGGCCCTGACTTTTCGTAGGCGCAGGTTAAGACCATACAGCGAGATCGGAGGGCCCGTTACAACAAAGTTGCGGGCGCTGTTGACCAAAGAGATCGCAATGTGCCTCTCAGGTGGCAAATGCTGGTTCGTTGCGTCGATATGGTCCTGAACCGCTTTCCGGGAAAGGTCACGGATTGACAACATGGGGGTTGGTGTACCCTCTCCATTGTCAAGGGAGTCTTGCAGAACAGTAGGTGCAAGTGATGTGCGAGGATAAGCCTGTTGACTGCGAGAACCGATCCAGAAGAGGATTTCGATGGCCCGCTTGGCGGCCTGCTCGAACGTTTCCCAGTTCTTCGACTCAGCAATGGCTGCAGCGGTTACTACACCCTGCGAATGACCAGTAACACCGCTCATGCGGCTTCGGAAATGACCGGGATGGCTTCCAAGAACTCTGCACGTGACCACGTAGTGGGCGAGTTGTGTTAACCCAATCAAGGGCAGACTGACTGGCGCCGAAACCAAGTAGTCCGTATCGGGCTGCGAGTCCCGGTTGTTGAGCCATCGCATCACATCCAAGCCTTTGGAGTACAGCTTCTCGGCGCGCGGGTCGCGGGACAAGGTAAGAAGGTGTTGCGCTTCGGCCGCAATGAAGTCTTCAACGAATGAGGGGTATGCAGTATAGATTTCGCGAAGCTCATCAAAGTACTCCTCGATGTTGCCCTGGCCACCGAGAACAGCGTAGATGAAGGCGTTCTCGTCAGAGGCTTCGCGAAGAAGCGCAGACTCGTGGTACTTGATTGGCCTATCGGCCGCTGCACGAGCAGCATAGTATGATTGCACCGTGACCAGCTTCTTGTCGGTAATGCCTGGCAAGGTCGCAGCAAGCGCATGCACCTCGTTGCCGCGGAGGAAGGCGCGTTCGAACTCCTGGAGGACCAGCTTCAGGACCTCTTCGAAAGTGTCGGGGTCCTCGCCTTCCTCGACCTCCTTCGCGATGAAACCCAGATACCGAGCCACCAATTCTGGTACCGATGAGGGCTCATCGTCTTGTGCGAGTTCGTCTGTGGGCTCGGGCAGGGTTGCCGTGAATACATCCCGCAATTGCTGAGCGTTGTAGTGCAGAGCGACGGGGATGAGGAGCGTGTATTCGAGCGAGCCGTGGGATAGGACGAGCGGGCGCAACGACGCCTGGGTGCGAGGCGTCGAAATGCCGGTCTGCGGGCCAGATCCGAACATTGTGGTGGTAGGTTTCACCGGTGAACCGGGGCGAGTGAAGCCTGTCATGATCAGTACGTTTTATGGCAGAGCGCGCGAGAGGTGCTGGATGTGGGGCACATGGACGCTGCACGCTGCACGCCTCGAGCTTCAATGCTCATGGCGGAGCTCGGAGGGACACGTTGCGCGAGTGGGAAGCTCTTACCGGGTTGCTAGGCAGAAAGATGTGCGAAGGTTTAGATCTGGCAGTCGCGTGAGCTCGACTACCACGACCGTGTATGCCGAATTGGGAAGAGCTTGCGAGAGCGTCGGAAGGGCAACGGCGACCTGGTCCAGAGACGTACTAGGTATACAGAGAAGCAATTGGAAGCCGGCAGAAGCTAATCTCCAGCAATGAGGGGGAATTCGTGCGTACTGCAATCTGACGACTACAGCTCCCTTGGTACGATGGCGGCACGGTACGGCGGAGCGCAGAAGAGACTGCGGGCGCTGCAGACGCACCGGGGTATAAGTAATCAGGGAGAGAGAGCGGTGAGGGCAGGTGAGGGAGGGGGAGGAGGATCAAGCTCGGGAGAAGGACGGGGTGGGTAAATACGACGGCGTGGTTGCTCGTCGACTTTTTTCGAGAGGTCGCTCAGGGTCGGCTTGCGCTAGGCGACCGGGGTGTTGGCTGCGTCTAGAGAATGTGCAGCCATGCATGGGGACGGCCGGCGGCTCCAACGTGCTGCCTGCTGCGCGATTACTGCACGGCGGCTTACTGTTGAGCTGCCGCACCTGCAAGCGTCGGCATGGCCTCGCAAGCCGGCGCCTTTTGGAGCTGCCCACCGGAACCGGATGCTGGTGTGCTGGATGCTGGAGACGCTACCGCGGGGCTCTGGCGAAATTTGCCCCTGTTGAGTGGCCCAACCACGCACGGCCCGCGCGCTCAAAGGGCAGGGGTCGTGATTTTTGAGAGACGCTTGAATTCCTCAACACGCAGCGTGCTATCTCTCTGCTGTCCCCCGAGAGATAAACAGCCAATGCCGGGTCGCTCCTCTTCCTGAACCTCCCGCAACTGTCCATCCCTTCTCGTATTACAGGCCCAACCGTGGGTCGCCCGCTGGAGCTCCAAAGCCTCCCCCCTCCCGCGCAGAGCTCCACCCTCACCGCACCCGCACCGCAATAATACCAGCACGGCCGCACCCCCCGCCGTCTGCCCCTTCCCTCCTTGGACCCTTGAGATACCCGACGCTCTTTTCCTTCCTCTTTAGATACCCAATCGACTGTCACATACTCCCATAAGACGCACTCCCCGCCGCCACGATGCGTCCCGAGGTCGAGCAGGAGCTCTCGCACACGCTGCTCATCGAGCTGCTCGCATACCAGTTCGCCTCGCCCGTGAGGTGGATCGAGACGCAGGATGTCGTCCTCGGCGAGAAGACGACGGAGCGCATCGTCGAAGTCGGCCCAGCGGACACACTGGGCGTCATGGCGAAGCGAACCCTCGCCTCCAAGTACGAAGCACACGACGCCGCCCTCTCGGTGCAACGCCAAATTCTGTGCTACAACAAGGACGCAAAGGACATCTACTACGACGTAGACCCTGTAGAGGAGGAACCAGAGCCTGCCGCGCCCAGTCGAGACGCACCAGCTGCCTCTTCATCAGCACCCGCGGCCGCAGCAGCGCCTGCTGCTGCTCCCCCACCACCTAGCGCGGGACCCGCTGCACAAGTCCCGGATGCCCCCATCACGGCAACCGACATACTGCGCGCGCTCGTTGCTCAGAAGCTGAAGAAGCCTTTGGGCGATGTTCCCCTTAGCAAGGCGATCAAGGATCTCGTCGGAGGTAAGACGGAAAGGAGCCTGTGACCATGATTGGGTGCTAATTCACGTCTAGGCAAATCCACTCTTCAGAATGAGATCCTCGGAGACTTGGGCAAGGAATTTGGCTCAACGCCCGAGAAACCGGAAGACACACCCTTGGACGAGTTAGGTGCCGCGATGCAGGCGACCTTCAATGGTCAGCTTGGCAAGCAGTCCTCCTCGCTCATTGCACGCCTGGTGTCGTCTAAAATGCCCGGTGGTTTCAACATCACATCCGTACGCAAACACCTCGAGACCCGGTGGGGGTTGGCACAAGGACGCCAAGACGGTGTGCTGCTGTTTGCCCTCACAAACGAGCCCGCTGCTCGTCTCGGGTCGGAAAACGACGCCAAGGCGTGGTTGGACGACATTGCGAACAAGTATGCGGCACAGGCTGGCATTAGCCTCTCTGCGCCGACAGCAGGCGGCGATGCCGGCGGCGCGGCAGGAGGCATGATGATGGACCCCGCTGCCATCGACGCCCTCACCAAGGACCAGCGCCAATTGTTCAAGCAGCAGCTCGAACTCTTCGCCCGTTACTTGAAGATGGATCTGCGTGCTGGCGATAAGGCCTTTCTCGACTCCCAGAAGGCTTCTTCTGCTCTTCAAGCGCAATTGGATCTCTGGACTGCGGAACATGGAGACTTTTACGCCTCCGGAATTGAGCCCCAATTCACACCGCTCAAGGCCCGCGTGTACGACTCTTCGTGGAATTGGGCTCGCCAGGATGCTCTCAGCATGTACTACGACATAATTTTTGGTCGGCTCAAGGCAGTTGATCGCGAGATCGTCAGCCGTTGTATCCAGATCATGAACCGCTCGAATCCTTTGCTTCTTGACTTCATGCAATATCACATCGACCACTGCCCGACGGAACGTGGTGAAACATATGAGCTGGCGAAGGAACTTGGTCAGCAGTTGATTGAGAATTGCAAGGATGTTCTGAACGAGGCCCCCATGTTCAAGGACGTGGCGGTTCCTACTGGCCCCCACCTTGAGATCGATGCCAAGGGTAACATGAATTACGCCGAAGTACAACGGCCTAGCGTACGCAAGCTGGAGCATTACGTCAAGGAGATGGCCGAAGGTGGCAAGTTGTCCGAGTATGGCAACCGCACCAAGGTTCAGCACGACCTGCAGCGCATCTACAAGCTCATCAAGCAACAACACAAGCTTTCCAAGTCATCACAGCTACAGATCAAGAGCCTGTACAGCAATGTCATCCGTTCTTTGTCGATGAACGAAGGCCAGATCATCCCCAACGAGAATGGGAAGGTCAACGGCAAAAAGGGTCGCAATGGCCGTGTACATGGGCCCTCCAAGCAGGGTAAGGTCGAGACTGTGCCGTTCCTGCATTTGAAGAGGAAGGACGACCATGGCTGGGAGTACAGCAAGAAGCTCACCGGCGTCTATCTTGACTGTCTCGAGAGCGCTGCTAAAGACGGTGTCACCTTCCAGGGCAAGTACGCCCTGATGACTGGTGCCGGTGCCGGATCCATTGGTGCAGAGGTCCTCCAGGGTTTGATCAGCGGTGGTGCTCACGTCGTTGTCACCACGTCCCGCTTCTCTCGCGAAGTCAACGAGTACTACCAGTCCATGTATACTCGCTATGGTGCTCGTGGCTCTCAGCTCATTGTCGTTCCCTTTAACCAGGGCAGCAAGCAGGACGTCGAAGCCTTGGTTGATTACATCTTCGATGCCAAGAATGGTCTTGGATGGGACCTCGACTACATCGTTCCTTTCGCTGCTATCTCCGAGAACGGACGCGAAATCGACGGTTTGGACTCCAAGTCCGAACTTGCCCACCGCATCATGTTGACCAACCTCCTTCGACTACTCGGTGCTGTCAAGACCCAGAAGGCTGCTCACGGCTACGAGACAAGGCCAGCACAAGTCATCCTCCCTCTTTCGCCAAACCACGGCACCTTTGGCAACGACGGGTTGTACGCGGAGTCCAAGATCGCCTTGGAGACTCTCTTCAGCAGGTGGCACTCCGAGAGCTGGGGTAGCTTCCTTACAATCTGCGGAGCCATCATTGGCTGGACTCGTGGTACCGGACTGATGGCCGGTAACAACATCGTTGCCGAGGGTGTGGAGAAGTATGGTGTCCGCACGTTCAGCCAGCAAGAAATGGCGTTCAACTTGCTCGGTCTTATGGCACCTCCGATCGTGAATCTTTGCCAGATCGAGCCGGTATGGGCCGATCTGAACGGAGGTTTCCAGTACATCCCCAACCTTAAAGATCTCATGACAGATCTCCGCAAGGAGTACATGGAGACCAGTGAGGTCCGCAAGGCCGTCATCAAGGAGAACGCCATCGAAAACAAGATCGTTAATGGCGAGGCTAGTGAAGCACTATACAAGAAAGCCACCATAGAACCGAGAGCCAATCTCAAGTTCGACTTCCCCAAGCTTCCTGATTGGGAGAACGATGTAAAGCCTCTCAATGAAAATCTCAAGGGCATGGTCGATCTCGAGAAAGTGGTTGTCGTCACCGGTTTCGCTGAGATTGGTCCATGGGGTAACTCCAGGACACGATGGGAGATGGAGGCTTACGGCGAGTTCTCCCTCGAGGGATGTGTGGAAATGGCCTGGATGACCGGTCTCATCAAGAACCACAACGGTCCGCTCAAAGGCAAGAGCTACTCTGGCTGGGTGGATGCTAAGACAGGGGAGCCAGTTGATGACAAGGATGTCAAATCTAAGTACGAGAAGCACATCCTGGAGCACGCTGGTATTCGTCTCATTGAGCCTGAGCTCTTCCAAGGCTACGACCCTACCAAGAAGCAGCTTCTTCAGGAGATCCAAGTTGAGGAGGACCTCGATCCGTTCGAGGCTTCTAAGGAGAATGCGGATGAGTTCAAGCGACAGCACGGTGACAAGGTGGAGATCTTCGAGATCCCAGACTCTGGAGAATATACCGTCCGCTTGAAGAAGGGTGCTACTTTGTTAATCCCCAAGGCGCTCCGCTTCGACCGCCTTGTTGCTGGCCAGGTTCCTACAGGCTGGAACGCGAAAATATATGGTATCCCAGACGATATCATCTCGCAAGTGGACCCTGTTACGCTCTATGTGCTTGTGTCCACTGCCGAGTGTCTGCTGTCCAGCGGTATCACCGACCCTTACGAGTTCTACAAGTACGTCCACTTGTCCGAAGTCGGTAACTGTATCGGTTCCGGTATTGGTGGTACGACTGCCCTCCGTGGCATGTACAAGGATCGCTTCCTCGATAAGCCTGTCCAGAAGGACATCTTGCAAGAGTCTTTCATCAACACCATGAGCGCCTGGATCAATATGTTGCTCATGTCGTCAACTGGACCCATCAAGACCCCTGTCGGTGCTTGCGCTACTGCTGTGGAGTCCATCGATATCGGGTACGATACCATTGTCGAAGGCAAAGCTCGTGTCTGCTTCGTTGGTGGTTTCGATGACTTCCAGGAGGAAGGATCCTACGAGTTTGCCAACATGAAGGCTACGAGCAACGCTGAAGACGAATTCGCTCATGGCCGCACACCCAAGGATATGTCCCGTCCCACTACGACTACTAGAAACGGCTTCATGGAGTCTCAGGGCTGCGGTATGCAAGTGATCATGGACGCTCGTCTTGCCATCGATATGGGTGTTCCTATTTACGGTGTTCTCGGCTTCACCGCTACAGCCACTGACAAGATCGGACGTTCAGTTCCCGCTCCAGGCAAGGGTGTGTTGACCACCGCTCGAGAGATCCCGTCCAAGTTCCCTTCACCCCTCTTGGACATCAAGTACAGGAAGAGGCAGATGGATCTCCGCAGGAAGCAGATCAAGCAGTGGCAGGAATCCGAGCTCTTATACCTTCAGGAGGAGGTAGCAGCCATTAAGGATGCAGCTGAGAGCTTTGATGAGTCAGAATACCTGCAGGAGCGTGCTGCTCACATTGAGCGGGAGGCCAAGCGACAAGAGAAGGATGCTCTCAACAGCCTCGGAAACAACTTCTGGAAACAGGATCCCCGCATCGCTCCTCTTCGTGGTGCTCTTGCTACTTGGGGTCTTACCATTGACGACCTCGACGTTGCCTCATTCCACGGTACTTCAACCGTCGCCAACGACAAGAACGAGTCGGATGTCGTTTGCCACCAAATGCGCCACCTCGGCCGTACCAAGGGTAACGCTTTGTTGGGTATCTTTCAGAAATACCTCACCGGTCATCCCAAGGGTGCCGCAGGTGCATGGATGTTCAACGGCTGCTTGCAGGTTCTCAACTCTGGTCTTGTGCCGGGTAACCGCAATGCGGACAACGTCGATAAGATCATGGAGCAATTCGACTACATTGTTTACCCATCCCGGACGATTCAGACGGACGGTATCAAGGCCTTCTCAGTTACCTCTTTCGGTTTCGGTCAGAAGGGTGCTCAAGCCATTGGCATCCACCCCAAGTACCTCTTCGCTACGCTTGACCACACCGAGTTCGCTACCTACAAGCGGAAGGTCGAGGCTCGCCAGAAGACTGCTTACCGTTACTTCCACGACTCCCTCATCAACAACACCATGTTCCGTGCCAAGGACAAGTCGCCTTATGAGGAAGAGAGGATGCAAGAGGTCTTCCTCAACCCTAAGGCGCGTGTCACTGTCGATAAGAAGACTCAGAAGTACACCTACCCAAAGAACCTTGACACAGGTGCACTCAAGAAGGATGCGAGGGCACAGGAGACACAGAAGATGCTTGAGTCGATTACTCGGGCATCCGCCTCGGCAAACACCAAGATCGGTGTCGATGTTGAACGTATAGATGCCATCAACATTGAGAATGACACCTTTCTGGAACGCAACTTCACCGCACAAGAGATGGCATACTGCCACAAGGCAGCCAGCCCACAGTCCAGCTTCGCGGGTAAGTGGTCAGCCAAGGAGGCCGTGTTTAAGTCGCTCGGTGTCAAGGGTCAGGGTGCTGGTGCCGCACTGAAGGACATTGAAATCGTCAACGACGAAAACGGGGCACCGACTGTTCAGGTAAGACTACTCTGGACCTTTGCTTACCATTACATATGCTAATTCCATCCCAGCTCTCCGGTGCCGCGCAACAAGAAGCCAAGCGCGTTGGCATGAAGAAGGTCACCATTAGCATCAGCCACTCGGACGACCAAGCGGTCGCTGTTGCTGTCGCCTCTTTCTAGGAGAACAGACAACTGGCGTGGTATCTGACGAAGCACAAGACGTGCCGCTTTAGACTAGCTTAGATTGCGGAGTCGTTCTTTTGGCGGGGATGTTTGTATCTGCTTCGGCGGGGTTGTATGTGTAGATATTTGTCGGTAAACGCGACGTTCGCGTGTATAATTTAATGCAACAAGTAAAAATAACGGTGTCTGTTCGGACTTCGTGATGGGTTATCTCGCATGCGTACGCTATCGATTCCGTGTTGCGGGCTGCAGCTCAACAGTGTTGTTGAGGGCAGGGGTTCGTTCGGGTTGAGTCGGTTGTGTGTGTGGTTGAGGTTCGGTTCGTTTTCTGGGCCCTGGGTCGAAGGTCGATGGATATTTGGGAACACTGAGGACGAAGGATGTAAAAGAGTTTAAGAAGGCGCAAATTGGTAGGGTTTGTGGGCCTCGGTACGTTCCATGGGTCGTCAAATATGCACGCACACGTTGACATGTGAAGATTGGATCCAAGTATCTTGGTCACGTGCTTCAATTCGAGCGGGCCATGCCTAATCAAGCATGCTATTGGTGCTTCGCTCTAGCGTCTATCGGGTTACGTTGTGCGTTCCTAGGCCCTTGCTTGGCAAAAGACATCAACGCCAGCAATACAACCGCATGGCCTCTTGTACCTCCTTACGCTCACTCTCAGAGCTTGGCTGATGGCTTTCGAAAGCCTGCAATGTCACTTAGTTCGAGCAGCGGTCCGGGATGCGGGTTAGCGTGCTGCAATCTAGCGCCAGGTCGCCATCGCCACTTATTCCAGGCCTCTTCCTCCAGCGAGCCCTCTAGTGAATCGACAACATACTTGCCAATGACTGGCATCATTTTGAAACCATGTGCAGAGCCTCCTATCGCCAAATGAAGCCCAGGATGGTTTGGATGCCTGTCGATCAAGAAATGCAGGTCAGGTGTGTCAGCGTCCCTGACCAAAGTTGTGAGCAACATGTCACCGGGATCGGAAGCAACTAATACTCACCAGCATAGCCGCGTCTCGAACCACTCACGATCTGCCAGCTCAGGGAAGCATTCAGAAAGCCACCGTCTCATCTTGTCTTCAATGGGCTTTGGCACCCCATCTCCCTTGTTGTCTGATCTGTATCGCGGGAGTGACACGTTGCTACCTTCGAAATTCGTTACGAAATCCATCGCGCCGAGTTTGATAATGCCATCTTCTTGCGGGGGAAATATAAGTCCGCCTTCCAAGTGAGCAACGATTGGCATTTCCTGGTACTTCTTCACCTCCGCTGGCGTGCACTTGATATGGCCGACGGTGTGTCCCTTGGCTACCAGTTGTCCCTTCAGGTCCAACAGAGTTGCAGCTGCGGCTCCGGCGGCCAGTATTACGATGTCTGCGAAATACGCACTTCCATCAGCGGCCTTGGCACCGGTGCAGTTCCCATGCTCATCGTACAGGAGCTGAATGACATGTCCTTGAGCTCCGTCGATATACCGGACGCCATGCTCCTGCGCAGCCTGTGCCAACTGTGTTAAAGCACCTTGCGCATTAGCCCAACCTGCTGATTGATTCCATACTGTACTCCATCCATCCATCTGTCCCTTGATGAGCGGCCATCGCTTTCGGATCTCCGCTGGGGTGATGGGTTGCGCGATGACAAGGCCTAACTTGCGAGCTGTTTCTGCTGACTGGCGTACAAAATCCTGGGATTTCGCCGCTGCGCCAAGAAGCCAACCGGTCCGGTGGTACAGGCCTTTGTAGATACTCTGCGGATCCGCCCACAGCTCCATAGCCTCAGTTGTGAGCCTGGCGTACAGCTGGTCGGCGTAATCGTTACGGATAACTTTGTTGATGTCATTTCCGGCTGCCTCTAGGCTAGGAACTGGGAATCGATCAAGAACTGTAATATTCTTGTACGCCTCTGACTTCAAGGAGAGATGGTAGGCCGTTGAGGTGCCGAAGGTTCCCCCACCTACGATCAGCACTGACTTCGGGGAGTCTGAGGTTGTCATGGTAACTGCGAAAGGGAGAAATGCTCTTCAACCTAGGGATGGCGCAATCGATGTTTCATAGGTCTAAATGGGCAGGAAATATGAGAGTACAATCGCGAGTTGTGCTAGCCATTCTTTACGTTCTGGAGTTCATGGTACGGAGATCTGCGAGGATGGGGGCAAACGAATATCGGAGCAAAGCGATACCTGCCGATCAGTCTAACCCCCGTAAAGATCTAACCATTTGATTTGTTAGCGCCAGATTACGGTGGACTTCTCCCCGCAATTGATATGGATAACTACCACCGAGATATCCTTATCCCCCTAGGAACACGCCGAAGGAAACTGAACACGACGAGTCGGCCGAGATCGTCGACGATTTGCCTATCACTAGGCTTGGTAATCGCATCTTTACCTGTTTATACAGGCTCAACCTTGGAGCAGCTCGGTAACATTGCCGCTTCTATCAACAATGGGTCACTTAATAGACGTTCGGCATTGACTTACTAAAGTTTCCGGCTGTCAGTCATCCAGCTGGATAGATATCTGGCGTGATCTCTGTACAAATTGACGCTCCGTCCCAGAACGCTTCGACTACACAACAATCATGGGCGAACTGGAGAAAGCTCCCGGTTTTGAAGCGACATCGGTGCCCACAGACAACAAACCAAAGAACGGTACCATTGAGGAAGTGCCCAACCATGGAGAGTTTCGTCGTTCGTTCACTCCTCGCCAGATCCATGTGCTCTCTTTGGGAGGACAAATCGGCGCAGGACTCTTCATATCCACAGGTACGAACCTGCTGAATGGTGGCCCAGGATCACTGTTCCTTGGGTTTGTCGTCGTCTGTATGTGTGTCTGGGGGATGCTGCAGACAGTGAGCGAGATGTCGATTTCCTTCCCGTTGTCTGGCAACTTCATCGAGTATGCAGATCGCTTTGTAGATCCAGCACTGTCTTTCGCTGCTGGCACGTCCATGTGGTTGGGTTGGACAGCTATTGTGGCTGCTGAAGCGACGTTTTTCTCTGTCATCGTCAATTATTGGGCACAAAACAGGGTTCATGAAGCTGTGTGGTGTGAGTTCACAACGATATGATTCTCAGCTACCAACAGACTAACGGCTCTAGACACCGTCTTCCTCGCCGTCATGATATGTATGTTTATGCTGCCGAGTGTTTGGTTTGGCTGGTTTGAGTACTGCGCTGCAATTCTCAAGATCATTGCGCTTCTCACCTTTGTCTTCGCTGGTTTCGCCATGGTCCTTGGTGCGGGACCAAATGGCTACGTCCATCACGGCGATGGATGGAAGAAAGAACCATTCAAGAATGGTTTCAAAGGCTTTTCAAGCTCGGTCCTTCTCGCCGTACTCGCTATCGGAGGTAAGCCTTCTTACAAGTAGCGCTCGTCATCATAATATGCCTTGTATACCACAATTGACCATTTCGCAGACAACTCCTTTACTGGCTTCCTTGCAGGCGAGGCTAAGTCTCCGCGCTACTCAGTCGGACATGCTGCTTTTCTGATTCCCATCCGCGTCAGTACGATCTACCTCGTCTGCATAGTCTTCATCAGCATCCTAGTGCCTGCGGACTCCCCGTCACTTTACGGGTCCTCCGGTGTTGCCGCTTCTCCCTTTGTAATAGCGCTGAACGAAGCTGGTATTGCCGGCCTTCCGGACTTCCTCAATTGCGTCATTCTTATCGCTGTGGCTTCCATTGCAGCTGAGTCCATTTTCATCGCTTCCCGCATGCTTCGATTCATGTCACACCAGAACCTTATTCCACAGTGGGTTGCACAGGTGGACTCGAAGGGGCGTCCACGGTGGGCAATCGCGATCACACTTGTTGCAGCCATAGCCTTAACCTACTGTAATCTGAGCGCTGGTGGTATCGAGGTGTTCACATGGTTGGGACAAATTGCAAGTACCGGCTACTTCATGGTTTGGGCGGTGGTTGCGGTCACAAGTTTCCGTTTTCGCGCGGCCCTCGAAGCGCAGAACGATCCATTATTCAATGAGCCTTACGCTTGGATGTGCACGCTCTGGCCGGTACCGCCAATACTGCTTCTCACCTGCTGTAGCCTCTATACGGCGTGCTCGTTCTATCTTGGTCTATATCCTATCGTAAGTTGTCTTCTCTACCTGGTCAGCACGCGATTCTAATCCAGCCCAGGGTGCGACATCTCCTTCCGCGTACTCATTCTTCCAATACATGATCGGCTTGTTGCTCATTGTGTTTTCCGGGGTTGGGTACAAGATCATCTTCCGCACTAAATTGAGAGACCTCGCAAAGGTGGATCTACGCACAGGACGGCGGACGCTGAGTGAGCAGGAGATCTTCGCACTGGACACGTACTATGCGCAGTCGAAGACCAGGAGATTCTATAGCTTTGTGCAACTGTGGTAGTTGGACAACGATCAGATTCACGAGTTACTCCGAGGCACGGAATCACACCGAAACGAGGCGCAACTGCAGAATGTAAATGCTAAATCATTTATCTTCCAATTAACTTCTGTTCCGAGGTGGCCGGGTCCAATGGCACAGAATCGAACTAATTGAGTGTGATGTCGCTCTCTTCCTCCAGTGCGTCTCGGATCTCGCCAACGAGTCTGTCGTACGTTTCAGAATGCGTGAGTAGCTGTGTCATGTTAGCTGACAAAGGTTTGGCCGTCATTTCGCTCCCTGCTAATATTAAGGTCTGGAACGTAACTTGGTATTCGCCGGGTGACATTGCACCCTTCTCATCACCACCAATAACGGAACTTATGATGTCCGGGCGAGCGACTTCCCATTGCATGCGGCGATTGACTCTTTTGATGACCGCTGTGTCATACTTTGTCTGCTTCCCGTTCATCACGTAAGGAAAAACCCACGTTCTGAAGCTCATCTCTTCGAAACACTTCTTACCGGTCTTACGGTCAAGCACATAGTTACCTAGAAGCCAAACTTGCTCGACCTCTTCAAGCGGATTGTAGGGGAAAAGTGAGCGCTTCCAGACGTGTGAGTTCTTGTGATCGGCCTGAGCATGCGGGTGCACCTTGGAATCGGTAGTGCATTGTCTGTAGGATGGTTTAGTGCGTGCTCTGCCGTGTAGATGCTCAGAGGGCGCATGGTTGGAGTATGCTGTCGCAAATATGCTGGAATCAATGTGTGGGCCTTCAAACAAAGCTGCGTCTTGCAGGATGCGCCCGTCAGTACATAAGTGTAGGATATCCATGTCGGCATGGGGGTCCGGCCATCGGCGGGAGTATGCAGGTTTCGGTACGCTCCAACTCACTAGCACCACAGGGACAGAACAGCACTTGTGTAATCATGAGAATCCTTAGTAGCGATCGCCAGACGATAGTGGTCCGCCGCCCAGTTTCGTTTCATGCAGATGCGCTCATAGTCCTGCGTGCCCTTCCTCGTGCGACGACCATTCCACCTTGGGCCTTCTAGAAAACGCGCGCTCTTGGTATCAGAACAGACCGATCTCAGAAACCTCAGAAGCCGGTCGGGTCGGCGATGATTCACAAACCCAGCACGGCGAGCCCAGCCAACAACACTGAACCGACAATACCCACAGGATGCAACATTGCACCCACGCCCTTATCTCCAGGCGCCTTCGAAGGCTTCGGCCTCGGCTTCTCCAGCACTTGGAACTCGGAGTCGGACGTAACGGTGATCGTAGCGTTGTTGACCTTTCGCGACGCCACATAGAAGTAGCCACCGCGCACCTCCAGATCATCGGGGACAGCCCACTTGACTGTACCATTCACAGCGTTGTCTTATCTACATTAGCATTGGCCGATCTTACTCCTTTAGAAGTACTCACCGATAATGTGATAGGTCTTGTTTGTCAAGGTGTCGATGACGGTCACGTTCGTGCGCTGCGTGAATCCCTTAGCACCGTCATAATGGGTGAGTGATATGGGTGTACTTACAGTATCGTCTTTGGGCTTGTAGTGGAACTCGGTCGTTTCGCCGCGGGTCACATTGCGTTGGCTCGGTGTCAGCTGAATTGAGAGCGAGACCACAAGTGCAGGCCAGGTCACGAACGCGACGAGGAAGGCTGTGAAGAACATTTTGAGCGTCACCAAGCGGAGTCGCGAAGACGGAGTTGATTAGGTGAGTAGTGGAAGGCGGTGTTGTAATGATACACGGAGCGGCGGGCTTTTTACAGCAAACGCAAACGGGCGCTAACAGGGTACAGCAATAACCTTAAGTGAATGGCCAGGACACCAGCAGACCTCGTCGGCAACGTTCCCGCACCTCATTCAAATACACAGTAGTCTCTATAATTTAGCAGATCCTCATCAATTCGACTAATTCCAATAATGTGGAGGCACGAGCGAGTTCCACCACGAGTTCCACCGGTCTGCACAACCGTACGACGCGAAGCGTTTTACGAGCGTGATACCATATGTAGCACCTGCACGAACCATTGGGCATCAACGAGCCCTGAAAGTCTGAAAGGGCTGCTTGCAGCAAGTGCAGCTCAAGAATCTGCGCAATCCAATCTTGCACATCACATGTTCAAGAGGTCACGGTGGCTCTACCAATCCTTTCGTCAACACTAAGACAACTACCGCAGAGCGAGATTCGACTTGAACTAATACATCCGAGTCAATATGCAAACAATGTCAATGAAGTAGTAGGGATTCTTGAACGAAACTCATGCTCAGTCAAAATATAGCTAAACATCAGAAAGCTACGTTAAGTGACTAGATAGAGGATGTTCTAAGCATGCAAGTTAAGTGACAGACAATCAAGAAGAAAACACCAAATATAATTATCACGCATCCAGTTCCAATCGGACAGTCGTGCCTGCGGCGACGAGCCCTAAACCCCCATAACACCTAAGCCCAGCACCATAATCGCCAGCTTCCGTCCAGAGACACGGTTCCAGTTCGCTCCGGATGTGAATGTTGCACCTGTCGTCGCATTTGTAGTCACAGACACGGTGGTGGTAGGATAATCGGAAGTGATGGGGACCATACCTATGTAGGCTTGGGACACGCCTCGAAGAAGATGTCTTCTTTCAGGCATCTTGATCACGTGCTGTCAGGCAACGTTCGTGGGAATAACTTTGGTGTGACTTGTTGGTGTTCTGTTAAACGGTAATGCCTAGGATGAAACCATGGTACGCGATGTAGCTGCTTCATAGCACTAAGTGCAGTCAAACTCTACCATCCTTCTACATCCTCCACACCCTTGTCCACATGCCGATCATGCTTGTGCCGCTGATCGGTGAACCTCGAAGAAGATGAACAAGGCTACGTCGTCGTTTGGATATCCGTGTCGCGTAATGCCGTTGTTGGTGCTACCAGGACTGCCGAAGTCGAAGAAACAGGTTCGTGCGTTGCTATGGGGATTTTGGGCTTGGTAGTGGTTTGGACGGCCGTAATCGGTGTAGGTGGTTCTTCGGCTATCGTGCTCTCCGCGACCGACAATAGCAAGGCTGAAGTACCCGTACACGACGTAGTGCTAGATTTTGGGTTCGCGATCGACGTGTCCCAAATGATTAACTGAATGCACGTGACAGTGTTAGAACCACGGTGATGAGTCGTGTCGATGTTGCTTTCTCGGTCGGATCAGGAGGAGCACAAGTGATGTACGTAGGTGTTTAAATGATTGATTCTGGAACCTTGAGGCTTCCCCTAATCGGCTTTGTCTCAGCTTCGGTCACCGCGGCTGGTGTTGCTTCAGACTCTATACAATAGAAGGTCGTTAGAAGAATCAGCAGAATGACGAACCGGCGGATCTCTAATATTCTGTTGAAAGAGAGGAGACTGTGATGTACATGATCAATCGGCATTTCGACGGAAAATGGAGAGATGGTAGCCTATGTGTAACCGAACAATGAACCTGTGCGCATCCAATGACCTGCACTCTCAATGACCTACACATTATTTGATAATACACAAGATGCACCACAGGAGTGGAATGATTGATAGCAACTGGTAAAACTGGTAAAATTGGTAGTATTGGTGCAACGCATCGGCTCATTGGACCGGCTTATCTCGAAATTCGTGGGCTCTATAGTCGGTAATGGCCATACGAGATTCCTCGTATGCTTCTTATTGTGTTATCTTTCGGCGAGTATCTTATCTCGACGTTTTGTCCAGGCCTCACGGCGTCTGGGGCCGGCTCACTTTTAAAGAGGTGAGGCTACTAAGGAACATATAGACAACGATGGTGTAGAGCATCAATTAAGCTCGTAGTGGAAGCACATTGACTCTAGAGCAAATGTATCGCGATCGTTGGGTGTTTGAGGTGCTGATCGTATCCTGAAGCAAGGACGAATGCAGACATCCACGTTTGGATTGCACGAGAACCTCAAGTATCGACTGGAGCAGGAAGCGTAAACAGACATGCGCTATTGGTAAAAACCGTCTCTTCATTATCAGCCACGAGTTGATGCGAGGGAGGGCAATGGGACTAGGAGAAGGCAAAGCTGTCGTCTTGCGCGTCTGAATAACACTATCACCAAAAAGTATGTGTGCCACGGTCGTAAAATCCTACATAACCTTCCCAGGCCTTCGCACATTTGGCGTTCATAGACAGGGGACGGAGTCACATAGCAAGACATTTAGACGGTAGGAAAGCGGCTGTGCATTACGCTTGCTGGACGAAGAAAGCGTTTCGATAAAACTTCGCTTCTTCGATGCTTTCCAGGATGTCAGCCCTTGCTTCGTGTAGCATTTTCTTCTTGGGCGCTTTTTCCAAGACTTCGGGAGGGGCCCATCGACGAGCGGCCTCTTTGATGCTGGAGACGTCTAAGATCCGGTAATGAAGAAAGTCCGTCACAATGTGGTATGGCGCTTTCACCAGGAATGACTTGTCGGCATGAACCGAGTTACCAGCCAGCAATGCTGAGCGAGCGTTTGGCACGTATTTCTTGATGTACTGCAATAGACCATCAGCGGCTTGTTCAGCCGTAGTGGTGGCGCTGATGCAGGCTTCGGTCAGCCCCGAATCGCCATGATGCTTTGTGCACCACCCGCCCATCCGATCAAGGTCTTCTTTGCTGTGATGTATAGTCGCTTCATAACCGTCCTCGTCCAAGATGTTGAGGTCGTGGTCGGTTACAAAACACGCAAGAGACATGATGGTCTCGTTGTCGGGATCTAATCCTGTCATCTAGTTCTGTCAGTAAAGCTCGACACGACAGGCGCATGACGCACTTCGCAATCGATCCATACGAGGGGTGCTTTGGATGCCATCTTGGTGTATGTCGGATGGCTTGGTGTTTCACATGGCGGCGAATGAGGGTTCAGAACAATCGACGCGACTAGCGCATGGCCCAAGCTCCCACTTTACGCGTGCGCGTCGACTCTCGCGCTCTTCTCCTTACACTTCCCCCGCCCATGACAACAACATCACAGCATTTCGACATTTTGCTTTGTGTATTCCGCGTTTGAGCTTCCTCCTCCGTTGTGGCATAATGTCTAGCCGCGCAGCAGCATTAGCAGAGCTGCGAAAAAATCGCGCTGGTGGGAAGACGCGTCTGTCATCTTACCAGGTCGCCGAGGAAGAGCAATTGTACGATGAAGTTGACGAAGAAGGCTACAAGAAGGTCGTGAGAGATCGATTGGATCAAGATGACTTTATTGTCGACGACAATGGCGAAGGTTACGTCGATGATGGCAGAGAAGACTGGGAGGTTGATGCCGCGACCGAAAGTGAAGAGGACGATCACCCGATGAAGGGCAAAGCTGGTAAGCTATTCAGAGGTATCTAATATCTTTTCTGCACAGCCTTACGCGTAATAGCCAAGAGAAAACGCGAAGAAGACGAAGAAAGCAAGCGGAAGCGCGACAACGGCATCAGCAAATACTTCAGTGCAAAAGCAGCTGTGCACGCTCCGAAAGCTAAGGTAAGACTGAAATTTTCTCTCTGATGCGGTAGACATTCGCTAATCTAATGCAGCCTGTTGCCACTGCTGCCGACCAGGACTTCATGGCCGATCTGCTCGGCGAGATCGATACGAACAAGTCGCGATCGCAGCCCCGCATGCGCCCAGTAAAGAACGAGTCGCGACGAAAGACCCGTATTTTATCTCCGCCAATATCAGAAAACCGACAGAGCGTAAGCAAGAAGCCTACTAATAGCTCTGACGCATATATGCCCTATACCCCTCCAGCAGAGAACGCGTACGATGACGATCCCTTACCTACAATTGACGACGATGTTCCCATGAGCGATCCACTGCCGTCTTCTCCAGTCGCGAAGGCTGTGGAGCGGAAAGCGCAGCCTTTAGTCAAGGTTGAGGAAGAGGAGGAAGACCTGATGGAAGTGGCACAACCAATTGGCCGTACTGGGATTTCCTCGGCCAGTGTCAACATGACAGGAAAGCGACCGGTAGCAAAGATTGCGAAGCCCGAGTACTCTACACCTGCGAGTTCGTCTCCGCCACGCCCTACTCCTGCCACCATTGATGCTTCTTCGTGGAACGACGTTACAAATAAGCTCAATGTTCAGAGCAGCCCGGCGCCCGCGATCACCACTAGCGTTGGCAAATTGAAACCCGAAGCTGTGCTTGAAGAAGACGGCAGTTTGCGCATGTTCTGGATCGATTATACCGAGATTAACGGAAGCCTGTGCTTATTCGGAAAAGTCAAAGACAAGACTACGGGCAACTACGCAAGTTGCTTCGCAAAGGTGGACAACATCCTCCGGAAACTGTACTTTTTGCCTCGGGAGACCCGTTTGAGGCGGGGACAGCAGACCGATGAAGAAGTCGAAATGAGCGATGTTTACGAGGAGGTGGATAACCTTATGAGCAAGCATCGTGTCACCATGCACAAGATCAAACCATGCACCAAAAAATATGCTTTCGAGCTGCCGGATATCCCTAGAGAAGGTGATTACCTCGAGCTGCTGTACGGATATGACAAGATGCCCCTTTCGCAAGATCTCACTGGCGAGACATTTTCACATGTCTTTGGTACAAATACTGCACTTTTTGAGCAATTCGTGCTCGGAAAGAATATCATGGGGCCTTGCTGGCTGAAGATTGACAACGCAGACTTTAAGTCCATCAATAACGCGTCTTGGTGCAAGCTGGAAGCCCTAGTCACCAAACCCAATAATATCACCGCACTAGACAACTCGGACAACGTCGAAGCGCCGCCACTCACATTGATGAGCATTTCCCTACGAACCAAATTCAACGCCAAGGACAACAAGCAGGAAATCTTGATGGCGAGTGCCATGATATACGACAACTTCTCGCTTACAGACACAACACCGGCGGACCAACTACCGTGCAAGAGCTTTACCATCATGCGGCCAAATGGCGATAATTATCCAGCCGGCTTCAAGTTGGAAGCTGAGAAGCAAAAAGGAACCATCATTTTGAGAAAAACCGAACAAGACCTGCTAAGTTACTTTATGGCCATGTTCCAACGTCATGATCCAGATGTACTTGTCGGACACCGTCTAGATGATGTCGACTATAGTACTCTGCTCAACCGTATGCGCGAAAAGAAAACTCCCGGATGGCATCGCATTGGCCGGCTCCGGAGGAACGACTGGCCTAGAAACATGGGCAAGGGAGGTGGCAGCTTCTTCGTTGAAAGGCAACTGGCTGCTGGACGTCTGCTCTGTGATCTTGCTAACGACCTTGGGAAGTCTCTTATGACCAAGTGCCAGTCTTGGAGCTTGGAGGAGATGTGTCAGCTCGTGCTCAACAAGCGCCGTCAAGAACTTGACAACGAACAAGCCTTGAGTTCGTGGGCTACCTCCAAAGATGGCCTGATGAACTACGTCAAGCATTGCCAAGCTGATGCATTCTTCATTGCTGCTATCTCGATCAAGGTCCAGATGCTGCCTCTTACCAAGGTTCTCACTAATCTTGCTGGCAACTCGTGGGCTCGCACCCTAAGTGGTACTCGCGCCGAGCGGAACGAGTACATTCTTCTGCATCAGTTTCACAACGATAACTACATCTGTCCAGACAAACAATGGGGCAAAGGCAAGCAAAAAGAAGTGGAAGAAGCCGCTGAGGGTGAAGAAGGTGCGGACGCTAAGAAGAAGGACAAATACAAAGGTGGTCTTGTTTTCGAGCCGGAGAAGGGCTTGTATGACAAGTTCATCCTTGTCATGGACTTTAACTCTCTTTATCCCAGTATCATCCAGGAGTACAACATCTGCTTCACCACTGTCGATCGTGCGGACATTTCCGAGGAAGACGACAAGGTACCGGAAGTTCCTAGCCAGGATCTGGAGCCTGGCATTCTTCCAAAACTTATCAAAACGCTCGTCGATCGTCGTAGGGAAGTGAAGAAGCTTATGAAAGACCGCTCCGCCACTGCCGATCAGCTTGCGACGTGGGACATCAAGCAACTTGCTCTAAAACTCACTGCCAACTCCATGTACGGATGTCTTGGTTACACAAAGTCTCGATTCTACGCGCGACCGCTCGCCGTACTCACTACCTACAAAGGCCGTGAGACTCTGCGCAAAACGAAGGACATGGCAGAGGAGAAGATGTTACGTGTCATCTATGGTGACACTGATTCCGTCATGATTAACACCAATGTCGACAACATCCAAGACGCTTTGAAAATCGGAAACGAGTTCAAGAAGGAGGTGAATGACAGCTACAAGCTGTTGGAAATTGACATTGACAACGTCTTCCGTCGTATTCTTCTCCACGCAAAGAAGAAGTATGCCGCCATCAATATGGTCCCGGTTGATGGGAAGTACGTTGAGAAGCTGGAAGTCAAGGGTCTTGATATGAGGCGAAGAGAATACTGCGCACTGTCAAAGGAGACCTCGACGTATGTGATCACTACCATCTGACATAAATATACACTAACACCGACTAGAGAACTACTCAATTTCTTGCTTTCTGGCGAAGACCCGGAAACTGTTGTTCAAAAGATCCATGAGTACCTACGAACACTCAGCGAGAATATGCGCGCCTACTCCATTCCCGCTCGCAAGTACACAATCTACACGCAGCTCGGCAAGAACCCGAAAGACTACCCTAATGGCAATTCCATGCCCTCCGTACAAGTCGCTCTTCGCCTGATGGAGAAGGGCAAGCACGTCAAGGCGAAAGACGTCATGAGCTTCATCATTACAGGTGACAGCTCTGGTAGTGCCGAATCTGCTGCAAAGAACGCATACCCTGTCGATGAAGTGCTCAAGGAGGGCAGCGAACTAAAGCCGGACATCGATTACTACTTGCACAAGCAGATCCTACCACCAGTCGAACGTCTCTGCGCCCCTATCAGCGGCACGAACATCACCATGCTCGCGGCCTGCCTCGGCCTCGACACATCCAAATACCGTGTCTCAACAGGCTCCGGCTCCGCAAACACACAAGACGTCGAAGTACAGCCTCTGGAGTCGCAGATCCCGGACGCAGTCCGCTTCCAGAATTGTACGCCATTGTTTCTCCGTTGCAGAGCATGCCACACTACGTTCCCCTTTCGTGGTATCGCGTCATGTTCTTCTACTACGACCGCACTCGGACACAATGGCATCACATGCCCGAAGGCGGAGTGCAGGCAAGCTCTCACTACACTTGGTATCGTCGCCCAACTCGAGTCCGCTATCCGCCAGACTCTCGCTTCATACTATGCCGGCACGCTGAGGTGCAGCGAGCCTGACTGCTCCTGCACTACGCGCTCTATGTCTGTGTACGGACATCGCTGCTTGGGGCCGAAGGGCCTTGCGAAGGACTGTTTAGGCAAGATGTCGTACGTGTACTCTGAAAGAGACATCTACAATCAGATGCTGTACTTCCAATCGCTATTCGATGTCGAACGATTGGGCAAGGAGGCGAACGGCATCAATGGCGTAAAAGTAGAGGGCGAGGCTGAAAGTAGGGAGAAGATGAAGGTAATGGCAGATATTAACAGAGAGAGGTTAGGAACGTTGAGGGGCGTTGTTAGCAGTTGGCTAGAGCGGAATGGCAGACAATGGGTACAGATGGACAGGCTGTTTGGATTTGTTGCAAAGCGGTCATAAACATGACATGGGGACGTGGCATTTGCTGCATTTTCTGGCGTTTGGGTGTGGCTGCGATGCTTGGGCGGACGCTGCACGGTCCTTGGGATACGATTTGGTCTAAGTAATGCGCTCTTCGAACCATCGGTTGTTGCTTCGATATACATGTGTCCTTGCTAGCTGGTCCAAGTCTCTCAACGCTCTATCACCATTACCGTGAAACCACGATGCTGAACGACAAGTACTGGACCACAGCGTTGCCAGATGCATCTCGCCGGGCATACGCTGCGCACGTGACCGCGCGTTCATCCATCAGTGCTCGTGATAACTCTTCAAAAACGCCTCCATCTCATCTCCGTACGCCACACAAGGACAGTAGGATGGGGGCGCAATCGCGGCACGCCTCGCGCCTTGCAGCAACCCATCCAATCCACTCTCAGCCCCGCGCTGCTCAGCCATGCAGGCCTGAAACACGAGACAGTAGGCAAACTCACACGTACAAACATATTTATATAAGTTCGTCACGTTTAACATGATTGTTCGTACAAGCGTTTCTTTCCGCTGAATCCATTCATCCCATCATGGCCCCCACATACGCTCCTCTCGGCTCGGGCGAAGACCAGCGCCCTCACCATGGCCAGCGCACACCCGCGTGGATTCGGGTCCTCTGGTTCTTCCAAGCTGCCGTCGCACTCCTGCGCATTCTCTTCGTCGCCTTGTTTCTGGTTGCTTTTCTCCTCATAGCGTCGCTCCTCGGTGTCCCGGCTCTTGGCTTCATTCTCGTAGCCCTGTACTTGCATCCCGTTTTCCTCTCCCTCTACCTCTCCCTCCAGAATCCTTATCTGTCTGCCCCCTTCGTAATAAACTGACTTCCCCAGCATCCTCGGCCTCGACATCTTTCTCTCCACCTTCATCGTCGTGACCGCCTACCGGCAACTCTTCAACAAAGCAGACAAGCGGACCAGGCTAAGAAGAGAAGTCTACAAAGGCGCGATCGCGACATGGCTGTTCATCTCTTTCGTCTCGCTGCCCAAAGGCACGAAGCCTAGTTTAGAGATGGACGCTGAGCAGAGGAGGGTGTTCGACATGCTCATCAAGAAGATCTGGATCGGGCAGCTGCTGGTTACCATTGCGATTATGTAAGAGTCATAGTTCTCATTCAGGAAAGGGGGAAGTAAGAGTGCGTGCTGACGGTCATAGTGGCTTGTTCTACCCGCCGCTATGGGTGGCGTTTAAGGAGCGACATGCGGAGAAGGAGAGGGCGAACGAAGGCCGGGGTGAGATTGAGTTGGAAGATCACGAAATTCAGCTCCTCGAGAGGGTGTCGGTGGATACGCTTGATGGGTTGGCTGAGGAAGATGAAGAGATTGACTGTGCGAAAGCGAAGGCATGATGCATAAAGGCCAGAGATGGGCAAAATACAGATGTGGATGACGGCTTGTTAGAACAGAAGTCGCCTTGACGGTTGAGGACGAGAAGAGGAAAGGGCGAAGATGGTCTGCCCGGCGGTGCGGGAATGCGACAGCTTATGGCGATGACGAGACGCGTTCGTGGGCTGTTGCTGTTACGGATGAAAGAAAGTAAATGTAGCGTGTTTGGGACGTGGTTAGCATGCAACTGCCGCTTGTTGGAAGGTAATGATCTGGCTGGACTCGATAGAAGCTCTGTTTTTACGACGCGAATACGTCGTACGGTTGATATGTGTAAAGTTGGGTATTTGCTGAGAAGGCGGATGCTATGATTACAACTTGATGTCGAAGCTCGTGCCACACCCACAGCTACTCGTCGCGCCCGGGATACCTGTCACCTTGAATTGGCTGCCGATCAGCTCCATCGTGTAGTCGACGGTACTCCCGTTGAGCAATTCCAAGCTACTTTCATCGATGATGACTTTTGCGCCCCTGTCTCCTTCGAACAAGGTGTCTTCCTCGGTCGCGGGCTCCTTGTTCAAGTCTGTCAGAGACATGAGGTATTGGAAGCCGTGGCAGCCGCCGCTTTCCACGGTTACGCGCAGTGCGGTGTTGGCGTTGTTGTCGTCGGTGGCGATTTTAGAGAGGCGATGGGCCGCGCGGGGGCTGAGGGAGATGCGCATGGGCTCTCCGGATTCGGTTGTGCGGGGGTGAAGTATGGCGCGGGCGGGTTGGGGTCTGATGGAGATGGGGTCGGAGAGGCCGCGGTGGCTAGGCGTCTTCGGAGGGTGGGCTGCCGCGTCCGCAGCGCGATGCTGGGCGGCATGGCGGGCGCCAGGAAGTCGAGATAGAGCGGCCGTGAGGCGGCGGGTGCAATGCTGTAGAAGGGCTTTGATGCGCGGGCCATGGTAGATCGCGCTGCCCGCAGGCACGATGCACACATGGTCGAGGGCGATGCCATGATGGCGTGGCGCAGGTAGGAGATGGGATGTGAGCAGACACGGCGGACGAGCAACCGGGGTGCTCTTTGGGGTTGGCCGTTCTAGAAGGCTTGGCCCGTCCGACCCCGCGTGCCCCGCCCCGGCTGGCTGTTTCACGTCGCATGTTTCATCTAAGCGCTGTCAAGCTCTCACATGCCCGCCTCTTCCTGCTCAGACACCCCCGCCACACCAGACCCGCTCTGCTCCGCTATGCCAAAATACCCAAACCCGTATGCGGCCGTAAACGACGCCGACTTGCTCTCCGAGGCCTTCGCCCGCAGCGAAGATGGACGAGACCCTCTGAGCAGCCTACGCGCCGAGTTTGTCATCCCGACAAAGGGCGACCTGCGCAACAAACAATATGGGCCCCTGGGAAACCAGGCAGCAGGCGCACACAGTGAAGACGACGACCATGAGGAATCCGTCTATCTGTGTGGAAACTCACTCGGGCTGCAACCACGCCGAACGCGTGAGTATGTGAACCGTTATCTCGACACTTGGGCGTCAAAGGGCGTCTTTGGGCACTTCAAGCCTCTGGAGGGTGGACATCCGCCATGGTTGGACCTCGACGACGCGCTCAAGGAACAGACTGCCAGAATCGTCGGAGCTCTTCCCTCCGAGGTCGTCGTCATGGAGACGCTGACGGCCAATCTGCATCTCCTCATGTCGAGCTTTTACAAACCTACGCCTGATCGGTACAAGATCATCATCGAAGGGAAGGCATTCCCCAGCGACCATGTAAGTCCATGTCCACTGCCATGCTATGGCAAGTGTAGCTCACCCAGCACCAGTACGCCGCTCAGTCGCAGCTCGCGCACCACAATATCCCCTCCTCCGCCCTTATCACCATCACCCCACCCTCGGCCGACTCTCCGTATCTCACCACCGAACATATCCTCTCCGTCATCTCCCAGCACAACGCTAGCACTGCCCTCGTCCTCCTTCCGGGAATTCAATTCTACTCAGGCCAGTTCTTCGATATCGAGCTGATAACACGCCACTGCCACAGCCTGGGCATAACAGTGGGCTGGGACCTCGCCCACGCCGTCGGTAATGTGCCCGTCAAGCTGCACGACTGGAATGTCGACTTTGCCGCATGGTGCAACTACAAGTACATGAACGGCGGACCAGGTGTTATCGGCGGGCTGTTCGTGCACGACAACCACGCCAAGGTCGAACAAACCCAGGTCGACGGCGATGCGAAGCACATCAATCACAACCAACTCGTCTACAAACCCCGCCTCAGCGGCTGGTGGGGCAGCGACAAGAGCCGCCGCTTCCGCATGGAAAATGAATTTGTGCCCATCCCGGGTGCGAGCGGCTTCCAGCTCAGCAACCCTAGCGCACTAGATATGACCTCCGTTCTCGCGAGCTTAGACGTCTTTTCGCTCACATCGATCGAGGCTTTACGTGCGCGAAGTCTGCGCCTCACTGCATACCTTGAAGAGCGCCTCTTGCGCTACGACAGCAAGCCGCCGCCGTACAAGATCATCACTCCCGCCAACCCTGCAGAACGTGGCGCACAACTCAGTGTACTGCTGAACCCAGGCCTTTTGGATCATGTTCTGAACTACATCGAAGAACACGGCGTAGTCGTCGACGAACGAAAACCAGATGTCCTGCGCGTGGCGCCCGCTCCCTTGTACAACTCATTCTGGGACGTGCATCGCTTCGTTGTTATCTTCCAGGAAGGGTGCCGAAGAGCCATTGCACGAACAGGCAGCAAATCTGCCGAGACGACCAACGGCGCTTCCTAACTGTTAGATTGTCAGACCAGGATTCCGATCTCGGTAACACCAGTTGGTATACTCTGTTCCATGCTGTGTACATGTAAGGGCGGTATGTGTACGTTATTCTGCAGCGGCTTGCTCCTTCCTTCGCTTCTTGACATCACATATACCCGGGCAAAAGTTTTTGGTAACATGCTAACCTAATTATTGTTTAATACATGAATCGATCTCATCTATTCTCAACCTATCCTTGCTCTCTCCTTTGCCGCAGTCTTAGTGACTTTGTGATAATCTTTCTGAGTCTGCGGTGTCTGTATATGTATAGTTCAGCGCTCTTGGCGAGTTACGACAGGTACACATTGCAAAGATCACTGTCCACGGTTCTCTGCCACTCAACAATTTATTTTTTGGACTGCGACGTCGAATTTCCCCACACCTGTTCTCACACTCGCCCTACCACATCCCACCGATAAAGTCTGACTGCACCCCGTATAAAACCCGATATCATACGCATTTGCACTGCAAACTCCCAGACGAATTTGCCAACGAATTTGAATCGACTCCTCGCTACGATTGGCTGACCTAATTCTACCTCTCCCGTTCGACCACGATGAAGCTCTCACCCAATCTATACGCTGCAGCTCTCCTGGTCACATTGTCCGCTACGGCTCGGCTTGTCGGTCCCGTATCCTGCAAATACACCAAGCTAGAAGCGCACCGAAACAAGTTCTCAAAGCTTACGTGGTTAAACGGCGCGCCTGTTGAGACGGCACTCGATACTGTCAAGACTTCTTGGATAACGGATGTGGATGGCACGTTCAAGATATCAACAATTGCCACGTTTATCGCTTCTCCAGACCCGACAGTCGCAGGATCTGCACCTTCCAAAACGTTGGCATCGCCCGCAGATACTGCAACCACATCGACTTTGAGTTGACAGACGGGAACCCTTAACCCAAGCACAATACGGCGATTCCTTATGTTCCCAATTTCTCCATTCTACCTTTACGAATCTGACAAACACCCCGATGCCACCTTCGACAAAAGTATATCCAGCACTAGCCATAATCACATCAGTATCGACATACACATACACATACACATACTCACGATCGAACCCACAGCTCGAGCCCATACACAAAATGTATACGTCATTCCGCAACCGACCAAAGTGCACTTGTCCCCACAGGCGATAGAGGAGGGGTTCATACTAGGCATAAGACCAGGTCGACCGATTGCGATAATTATGGCGTTGGTGTGGGCCTGCTTTCCTGGTTTAATACCGCTGCCTGGGTATAGGACGATGAGGAGAGCTCGGAAGGCCGCGCAATGGAGTGCCAGAGGAAACGTGCGGCTTGGCGGGCGTACGCAGCAGCAGGAGGTCAAGAATATGGAACTGAAGAGTGTGGTGGGCGTGCCTCCTGTGTATCCGGGATCTGCATACATTCGGTGAAAGTAGAGGAGGGAAGTCGGCGAGGACTGCCTGAAACATCGATGAAGTAGTGAAAAAAAACTCCTAACACATTGAGGCACTTAGGAGTCAGCACATGTGGTTTTCTAACAGACTTGCGTAGAACATTGGAAGATTTGCAAATTGCGGTTTGAATTCAATGCCCCATTGAAGCTTGTGCATCCTCTATTGTCCACAGATAGTGTAGTACCTCAATTTGCGATATTTGGACATGGTACTGTGCGATGAAACTGCGTGAAAATCTTCCCTAGGCAAACCCTCCTGTGACATCAATCCCATCAATCCCCCACAGAAAACTCCCGTCAAACCGCCAATCGAGATCCCCCGTAAGATCGAAAGGATCCTGCATTGCCAGCACGCCTTCGTTCGCACTTTCTACGCCCGTAACCCCTATTCCCAGCCTCTCCACCGCCGGCACGGGCACTCCAAGCGCGCTGCCCTCGTCCGCGGACATCTGATGTCCTGCACCTCGCTGGCAGGGCCGTGGCTGCGAGTAAACGAAGCCGCTCTGCCTAGGGGACTCCTCAAATCGCTGCAGCAACTCCTTCAGCCCGTTTACGACCTGTCTTGCAACGTGGCCCTGGCTCGCGTTGTCGGCGACATGGACGAGGACGACGACGAGCTGCCCCACAGAGGCGAGGGCTGTCCTGGTGTGGAACGCTAGGCCGTACTGTGCGAGGTCGTTCGGGAGGCGGAGCGGTTTATCTCTCGCTGATGAAGAAGAAGGGGGAGTCTGGGCAAACACAACAGCCATCTTGAGTAAAAAGGAGGCGCAGACGGCCACCATTGCATGTACGAAAATAGGTAGCCCAATGAGTCCGCTCTGCAGGGGCTCGTCGTCAATGATGAGGCGTGCGGTGCTCATAGCAGCTACAATAGCGTTGTTGGCTGCTTCCTGTCTTTCCCAGTTGGTCCGTAGGCCAGGCGTATCGCTCGACTCTTCTCGGCCAGATATACCACGCAACGCAACTGAATTTAGTTGGAAGCGCGCTAGGTGGTAGTACAGCATGTTTCCGCGGGGAAGAGCCAGGTTCTCTCTCGCACTGCTACCGCTGTCGCTGCTCTGGTGGTCTAGCCGCCACTGGTCGAGCGCCAGGTTGAACGACCGCAGCTTCTCGAAGTCGTGGCCGCTGAGCTCGAGGTCTGGGTCGCAGCCGTACATGAGCCAGATGCTGGAGAGGATACGGAAGAGCTTTACCTGGCCAACCAGTCCCTTGTCGCCCCAGGATGAGAGCTCACTCGTGAGTAGCTTCTCTGCGTTGCGGATGGCGGCATCCTCGTGCATGAGAGGTGGACGGCCGTAGGCCAGTGCAAATTGGTGGTCACACACGTACAGGGCATACCAGAGGCGGACGCGCTCGTAGGACTCTTGGTGTGAACCGCGGGCAAACTGTAGGGAAGACTTATGCAGATTCATCTCGGTGGCGACGCGGACGGCGCGGCTGCACAGGGCCCAGCTGAGACTTGTAAGGTAGAACGCGCCGATGCAGAGGGCGCGTACGATGTCTAGATTCTGGCAGCGAAGAAGGCAGGATCTTCGCATGAGCGAAACAAAAGCGCCATAGGTGGCGTGCAGGCAGGCTTCGCGCTCGGGTATGTGCAGCGCCGCCACTGTGAGCACAACGGTTACCAGAAACGATGAAGACGAGCGAGCTTGACCCAGCGTTTTGTGCGAACACAGCATGCCATCCAAAAGAAGGGGATTGATGTGATCACGATAGAAGTCGAACAGATACTCGGCCTCGGTGAGTGGCAGCACGCCCTGATCGATCAGATCCGGCCCATTGACGTCGGATGGATCTACTCTAATGAGACTTGATTTGGTCGGGTCCGTGAGGTTGTAAAGATTGTTCATGGGCAAAGGCACCAAGTCTGAGTCGTCATCGTGGAGGTGCATGCCAGCATCGGGCCCTTCTGCAGTGAAGGTTCCCTGCGAAGATCCGTCGACTGATGCCGCAGCCGGAGAGACCTCAGTGAGTGACTGAGGTGGATTGGCATGGCTCCTGCACTCGGTATCGGCGTATTGCATTGAGTTTGAAGGCTCTAAACTCTCAGGTTGACCAAGCGGTGGTAGTCGAGAATGGCGAAGGAGAAGTTCCACCGCCTTCTGCAAGTTCTGTACCGTCGCCGTGGTAAGAGACTTCCATCTATTCTCTGTGAGACAGCATTCAGGACAGCTCGGCAAATGCAAATTGACTTACTCTGCATCGTCATCCATAAACTTCTGAGCAAAATTGTACGGCTCGCAGCGCACCTTCCTCTTGAGACATTTGGTGCAAGACGTCTGCCCCGGGGCGGTGTAGCACTTACTCTTAAGCGCCTTACATTCTGCACCTGGCGTTTCCGTAAGTCTGAGACATGGCTATAGACAGCTGTGTCCCTACGAACATGCTCGGGTTAGCCGAGGTCTAGAGGCGTTCGCGTTGACCAATGTCGGATGCGATGCCTCTGTTGTCACGTCCGGGCTGGGGCGTAGTCGCTTGTTGCTGTACATGAGGCGTCCTCTTAGTGTGCGGCTTTGCTGTAGAAATCGATCGAGAATGTGGAGAGAGTGTCTGCGGTGGGCAAGAGTGGAAGCGTTTATCCTGGATGATCTGAGACTAGTTCAGACTTGGCTAGATCGCACGTATAAGTGCGCCTACACTGTACGGCGTCTTACCTGGGATATAAACGGCAGTTTACGATGTAGTCAGCGAGAGTTCAAGTAAATGTGCGAACATTGCCTGCGCTTATGAGGTGCAGAGACATAGTTATAGTCATACTAAAGTGCTGTGTTAAGTACCTAGCCCAGCTATTACATCGCATATCTTGGGGCACCACTAGGTATCAACCCCCTATGTGAGAATTCTTGAATCAGGAACGCAGTGTATATATAATCGGACCTCCAGCTCGGAGCCTTGGATGTATATCCACAAGAGCCTCTCTACGCCGCTGCCGCCTTCTCATCTCTTTCCCTTCTCGCCCGCATCTCTGCGGCCATGGTCTCGCCATGATCCATACGCTCGACCGGCCACTTCTTAAACAGCCTCGAGAACACATACGTACATACGCAAAGAACCCCCAACCACGATGTTGTCGTTGCAAATCCAGCGATGTACCTCGGAGCATCCTTATTGGGCCAGAGCCATGACGCATAGATGCTGGATGCGTTGCCTATCGCATTGATGAGTGCGATGGCCACCGCACGCTTGGCTGCCGGCTGGGGTATCACGTCGGAGACCCACGTCTTCACCAGCGGCGAGCACCCGTAGATAGTCCCAAAGGCGAAGATGGTGAGGACGTACTGCGCCATACGATTCTGGATAACGGATACGACGATGAAGAGGATGCAGCCAAAGCCGGAAAGGATGCAGATTAGGGGCCACTTCGCCTTGTATTTGTCGGCAAGATAGCAGGAGCCGACCACGTAGACAAGGGCGGCGGCGTAAGCGGGGATGGTGTGGTATTGTCCAGAGGGTCCTGACCATCCGAACATTTTCACGAGTGTCGGGATGAAGTACTGCATCGTTTGGGAGCCGGTAACTAGAGTGAAAAGAAGGCACTGCGCCCAGACGCGCCAGTCGCTGACGGCCATCTTGAAGGCGACCCAGTGGGGGATCTGCTCGCTGCCGGTACCCTGAGTGAGAGCAATGCCGTCGACGGAGAGACGATTGCATGCGAGAACCATCTCTTCTTCGGAGAGGAACCGCTTGCTGTTCGAAGGGTAGTCGGGCATAAGGAAGAAAATAACGATGGCGCCGCAGATGGACGCGACGCCTTCAAGGATCTAATACGAGTTAGAAGGCTGTTGCACGTGAAAGGTGATGCTAAGAGTTCCAAACATGGTGTACTTGTAACGCAGGCAGCATAATGGCCGCCTATACTCTTCAAAACTGTGAAATCGCTGGGGTTGGAACTTGACTTACGAAGAGCCATCTCCAGCCCGCAAGGCCAGACACCCCATCCATGTGATCAGTTATGACGCCGGCCAGGAGCCCAGAAACGGCGCCGGCAATGGGCACTGAGGTATAGAGGATCGCGTAGCGCGTCGCCAGCTCGTACCGGCGATACCAGGAGGAGAGGAAGAAGGCACAGCCTGGGGCAAACCCAGCCTAAAGTATACAGTCAGGCCTAGCTCGTAGCCAGAACGCATCGCGAACATACCTCAGCGAATCCAATCAGAAATCGCATGCCCGCAAGCTGCTGCCAGTTCTGCACCGAGCCCATGAGGGCGGCAAAGGTACCCCAAAGGAGCCCCAAGCCGGGAAGAAATACACTGGGTCGTACACGTGTAAGAAGCATGTTGGCAGGAACTTCGAAGATGAGATATGAAACGAAGAAGAGGAGGACGATGATGGAGTATTGGGAGTCCGTCAGGCCAAAATCGCGCTCTAGACCTCCCGTCTTTGCGTTGCTATCGAAACACCCCATGTCAGTATCTTCAGGCTTGGATAACTGAGGCTTTCCAACTCACCCGATGTTGGCTCTATCAAGATATCCAAGCGTATACAGGACCCATGTGCACGGCAGAATGCGCCAGTCAAGCTTTCGAACAAGTCTCTTCTCTGCGTCCGTTCCCTCGCGCCAACTGGCGACGATATGGTTCGCTTCCTTGTCATTGTGCCTGAAGGCATCGCCATTGTCGGAGGCATGCTCGACACTGGATGTGATCTTTTCGTCGGCCATAGTGACGGGTCAACGATCTCCCCCTACCTTGATATTGTGGAACAGCAATTGGAACCTTCCACCCCCTCGGTTTTATAGATGGAAAGCGGAGCATCGCCACCGAGGTCGTCTGACGAACAAGATGGGCTTCAAGGCTAGCGGCTGGTGTTTTCCCCATGTTTTCCCCAGTCAGTCGGGATCGAAGCAAGGGCTAGTGACGGCGGCAGGAACGCCGTAACAGGGGAAGCGCACTTGGCAGCCTCGCGCAGCCATCTTCGTGCAGTGTGCATCGGGAGCGGACATTCCGCCGTCGCGAGCTGGAAGGAGAGTGGTTGTGCTGAGGCTGTCGACGGTGGTTTTGCCGTCGCTTCCCCGCAAATTGCCGAGTCCCACGTTGTGCACCGGAAACACGCCGGCGAGCCAGACAGTGATGCCACACACATGGCGTCGTGTCGGCAGAAACGCCGGACGGCAATGTCTTGCCTGCCACCATGAACCTTTGGAATGGCTTTTGAAGGGCCTCGGTCCTTCCTCCACTGTGCACGCGACTGTGAGCGCTTCCTTGCCAGATCAATTACCTTTCCTCAAATCCAACAAGAGACTGTGCAGTTTCCTTCCTCAACATGGCTGCTACAACTGCGCCCGTCAAGACTGCCGAGCCTCGTCGCCCTCGCATCGCGGTCACTCTGGGCGACCCTTCTGGCATTGGACCTGAACTTGCAGCAAAGCTGCTCAGCAACCCATTGAACCGCGAGAGAGCCGATATTGTACTGCTGGCAGACGAATCCGAGCTCCAGAGTGCCATTCAGGATGCAGGAGGTGTCCATGTCGCTACCACAAAAGACTGTGCCGGACCCCAGGCTGTCCAGGTGCTTGACGATCACACATCAGCAGAGTATCAGACGCGAAAAGGCGAAGTATCCAGAGATAGCGGTGCTCGATGCATCCACCAGCTAAAAAGAGCACTCAAGCTGGCACAGACCGGCCATGTTGATGGCATCGTCTTTGCGCCACTCAACAAGAGCTCGCTGAAGCTTGCCGGTATGAAAGAGGAGGACGAGCTGCGGTGGTTCGCCAATGAGCTCGACTTCAAGGGCACAACCAGCGAGATCAACATTGCAGGGCCCCTCTGGACAGGCCGGGTGACGAGCCACATCGGTGTGGAAGAAGTTGCCCAGCGTATCACCAAGGAGTCAACTGTAAAAGCGATCGAACTGCTCCATCGTCTGCGGTATATTCCTCGTGCCCTCTCTCTCGTCCTGTATTCAGGTGCTGATCGGGATTTGCAGGTGGGAATCAGGCATCGACGCACCGCGTCTCGGCGTCTGTGCCCTCAATCCGCACAACGGCGAAAATGGCGCCTTCGGTCGCCAGGAAATAGATGCCATCCGGCCTGCCGTGGAAGCCAGCCGTGCCGACGGCATCGACGTGCAGGGCCCATTTCCATGCGACACCATCTTCCTCAAGCGGCAGCACTTCGACGGCATCATCACCATGTACCATGATCAAGGCCAGATCGCTATGAAGCTACTTTCATTTGACGGTGGCGTCACCGTCCAGGGCGGCTTGCCGCTGCCGATTGCGACGCCGGCGCATGGCACAGCATTTGATATTGCAGGTATGAATCTCGCGGCCGTCACAAGCACCCAGAACGCATTCGACCTCGCCGTGACCATGGCGGAGCGGCGAATCCTGAAAGAGATCCAAGGAAAGACATGCGAGGTGGGCAGAGCGGTGCCGCTGAAGCACGCACCGCAGGTGGACGTTGTAGAGCTGCATGCGACGTGCTGCTAGGCTAGGTGTCAATAGATTTGGGGATCCTGTGTATAGTATTTCAGTAGGCATCTATATGGCAGAGGTCCAAATGTAATTTTCGAATCAATTTCCAATGTTTCTCGATGATAGCACGACGTGTCTCTTCAACGCCAGCTGCATATCGGGCTTGGGGAGTCGCGACTCTGTTCGCTGTCGAGAGTGGCACCACCTTCGAGCAACTGAACAAAGCATTGGACGAGCACCGCCTGGCATTCTCTAATAAGGGTGCCTATGAAGGCAAGACTCTTGCAAGTGCTCGAAGGCGGTGCCACTAAGTATGGGCTGTACCGGCATCATCCACTCATACATTCTTGAGGTATTTTACCGTACTAACTCGTAGAATTCAGGACGCTCGACTTTTGGGAGCACCTATGCGTAGGGTCCAGGCAGACAATAGGCATTACGAATGCTGGTCGCTGGTGTCGTGGCCTTCATTTTTTGGCGTACGTGCCGGAAAAGTTAAGGATCAGCGGCAAGGTTAAGGGCACAACATTACCCTCACAAATGGATTCTTGATTCCAGAAGGGGTAGACGTGTCAAGGTACAGAGGGCTGTCTGGTCTTACCTAGATAATTGACGTAATGTAAGAAGGCAGGGCGCTATAAGACGTCGCTGGATTGTGTGAGACGAGATAACAAAGATAGCTGTAGTGTCTTATGAGACTTTCGCAGGTCTGCTAAGAGATGCGGTTTTGGAAGAGGGCTCGTATTCGGTCGCCGTAGGCAGAAGCGTTGCTCACCCACGGCTATCACGAAGGTTTGTCAAGGGCGATAAGATCTTCTTTAGACGATCATAGGGGACTTGATCAACAATAAGTCTTCAGATTGTCGAAAGGTTGGGGTTGCGCGTATGGAGTTAGGGATGGTTCGCGCTATCTAGCGCGCGGCTGGCGGTTGTGAGAGCACGGGCCACCCAGCCTCACCAAGAACTTCCAGCCACCTCAATCTCCCTGCCATCACAAATATCACAACGCGCGTCACCACCATGGATCGTATAAAAATCAAAACTCCTGCAGTGGTGAACTTCTGTTCACCAGCGCCCCCAGTCAAATCTGCTGTCACACTCCCTGCATAAACTTTACGCCCCTCATTAACACATATCATCATGCAGCTGACATCGCTGTGCTTCACCTTCCTACTCCCGGCACTGGCCTATGGGTTACCTTTGGAGGGCGCACCAAGACGTGGCCTGTCACCGCGTTCAAGAACCTATGCGGTCGTCAATGTTGATGGTGGCTCATCAACAGCGGCACAGCAAGGAACAACCACTGTGGTCGATGACCAGACGAAGACCGTGCGAGTCACGGGTGCCGCCTCCACAATAACCACCACAGACACAGTGACAGCAACAATTGTACTTGATCCGGCGCCAGCAATTTCGACGGGCTCTACAAGCTCGAGCAGATCAAGCAGCAGATCTGCAAGTTCCAGTTCCTCATCGAAACTGTTACCTTCAACTCAAACTTCAGCCCTCCCCACGACTACACCAACCCCAAACCCAACAATAACACCTCAGACGTCTGCTCCTACCACACAATCAGAGTCAACTCCGAAAAGCAGCTTGGTTACTGTGACCATCACGGAAGGTCCGGCGCCAACGGAATGGTACGATAATGGACTTTGGCACACAAGATACCCTGTAAAAACCAGGTGGGATTAGACTTAGTTCTATTCTCATATACGAAGGAGCTGCCGTAGAAACATACTAGATGAATATGCTCGGGGTTTGTTTTTCTTGAAGATATTTGGAATAGGTGGCTTGAATGAAGATCACATCAATAACATGATGGAAGTAGGGAATGATGTACGAATGGACGCATTAGGACGGCGTTTCTCATGATAATGCAGTGCGCAAGAAACATGAATCGGGGTAATCACGTAGCATAGCAATATACACCAATCCTAAAAATCACCTCAGCCAACACGAAATAGTAGCCCGTATCAAAACACCCGTACCCATTGCGCTGTAAGTTTTGTCTCCGTATGCCTATTACTTTGATCCGCACTAATCCCTGTGTTTAGTCACTCCATGAATGTAGGCGTTGCATCTTCGGCCATCGTAGTGCAGCTCAAGCGGTTCATCAACTTGTCCAGATCGGTATTCTGGTAGATGACGCGGGTGTGGACGACCAATGGCCGGCCTAGGGGGACGGTGTTCGTGGTTGCGGAAGGGGCGGAGGGCGCGGTAATGATGTTGGATCAGTTAGGTAAACGGTGATCTATGTAGAGTAGCGTGTGTAGGAGGCTTAACTTGCAGCTGTCGATGACGTTCCAGGCTGGGTCGGATACATCTGCTCGTCCCATGGTGAGGTGGTATTCTCTTTCGCGGATGCAGGCAATCATGTCGATCAGCTTGATTTCTCATCACCCAGAGCAGACGATCCACACTCTTCAAAGCAAGCACTAGCGTGGCATCAAATTCAATCAACTGCGCTCTCATGTCACTGTTGCTGTAGTACTGGTATTTACCCCAAGCATACAGTATTTCTTGGCACTCCGTTATGTCAATGCCTTATCATCCTTGCTGGCTGCCCTTTGCGTAGACAGCCAAAGCTTGCAATCCAGCGCCTTATAGGTGCTTGCAAACTGATATTGGAAGTGTCGAAGTTCCCGACGAAGCATGTAATTTTGGTGGAACGTATTCATTAGAAGTAAGTTTCGCGACGCGATATTACTGATCCGGTCTCAGTGGTGGAAAAGCGAGCTTCACATACTTGGCCAAGAGTATACGAGTGAGTGGGTCGTGCTTGCACGGCATTTAGCGGTTCAGTCCCAGAGGAGGAAAGCGCTGCTAGCGACAGGACTACACATATTCGACACCTTCGAATGCGAGAACAAAACACTGCGGTGGAATTTTTCCATTCCTTTGCGTAAAGCACGCATGCCCGCATAATTACGAGATATTTCCGCTCCGCCGCCCGGGCTAGCATTATCCCGAGGCGTTCACTCGGCCGCAACTTCCCCACACGTGCAGATCTCACCCGCAGAATCCAGCATTCGAGCGTGCGGGGGATATGGGTCGAACGTGATTGACGAGTGGCCGTGGACTCCGCATGACTTGTGTCGATGCGGGATACACAGGAGCGACACCGCAACCTTCCAAGTCGCACAGGAAGACCATGCAAAAAGAAGTTGACCATCCTTCGAATCTTCATTGAGCGTGAACTTCGGGGTCCCCAACATGACGGCTTTTGCGCGTGCAAAGGAGGATAGGCTTACCCCGCCGGAAGTTGTATGTCTGTCCACCTTAACAATAGCTTATTCTGACCTAGAAAACAGTACAATTGGCGGGTCTACGCCATGGCACTTGTCATCAGTATGGGAGTCCTGACTTATGGCTACGACTCATCCTTCATCGGAACCACGATCACACAGAAGAGCTTCCTGCGCGACTTCGGTATGGACAAGATGAGCAAGAAGGAGTTGAACGATGTTTCAAGTAATTTAACGTCAATCTGTCAGTCGCCACCGTTGCCGGACTGTAAGTAGCGACTGACGGTTCCATAGACTCGGCTGGCGGTTTCTTCGGCGCCCTCTTCGCTTTCTTCTCGCTGGAATCGCTCGGTCGTCGCATGACCGTCATCATTTCGGATGTCGTCTTCATCATTGGTGCTCTTTTCTGCACGATCGGCACAGTACCATCGCACTCTCTTGGCCTTATCTACACAGGCCGCCTTTTGACCGGTCTCGGCGTAGGCGGAATTGCAGCGGTGTGTCCAATCTATATCGTCGAAATTGCTCCACCAGCTATCCGCGGCCGTTTAACAGGTTTCTTCGAATCCTTCTACCAGACTGGCGCCGTGATCGGTTTCTGGATCAACTACGGCATTGTCCATAACCTGGATACAAACGACTCCAACGCCTGGCGAATCCCTATGGCTGTCCAATTAATCCCAGCAGGACTCCTTGCGCTCATGGTACCGATCTTGAAAGAGAGCCCTACCTGGCTGCTCAAGCGTGGTCGCGAAGAGGAAGCATATCAGGTGTATAGCTTCATTCGCATGCTGCCAACCGACCACGAGTATATTGCGGAAGACGTGTACCATGTCAAGGAGGATATTTCAAAGGAGCGTGCAGCTCTGGCAGGCTTCGCCAATGCTACGCTAGGTCAAGTGATGAAGGGAGCGGCGAAGGAGGCTTCGCTGAAGGGCATGCGGAATCGCTTCCTACTCGTTTTTCTCATGTTCATGTGGCAGGCGTGGTCCGGCGCCGCTGCCATCAACTACTACTCACCCACCATCTTCACCTCAATTGGCCTCACAGATGTCACGCTCTGGACAGGGATCTACGGTGTCATAAAAGCTGCGGGATCTATTATCTTCTTCACCTGGTTCATCGATAATTTCGGACGAAAATGGCCATGGATCGTGTCTTCTCTCGCCTGTGCCTTCTGCCAGTACTACCTCGCCGTGTACATCGCAGTCGGACACCCGAATACTGGCGTTTCACCGACAGCATCAACGATTGCAGGTGGAAAGGGTGCTACGGCCATGATCATGGTCTTTGGAGCCTTCTGGAGCTGGGGGGCCAATGGCCTCCCATGGATTATCTCGGCTGAGATCTTCCCGTCTTCATTGAGGTCGATATCTGGAGTGAGTGAACACAAAGCGTCGATTGTGGTTTAGACTGACATATCTATAGCCGTTTGCTGCCATGAGCGTTTGGCTGTGGACATATGCGGTCACAAGAGCGCTACCGAGCATGTACACCTCTATGGGATGGGGGGTCTACGTGCTTTTCGCGACATGCTTGGTTTGTGCAAGCATTTACGCTTTTCTCTTCATTCACGAGACGAAAGGTCTGCGCGTTGACCAGATGGATGAGCTCTTTGGCTTCGAGAGGGTGCATCATGTTAGTGCACCAACGGCCAAGACTTTCGAGGATGAACATGACATGGAGACGAAGGCAGGAGTTGATAAGAATGAGGTAGCGTGATGTGGATGTGTATTTCAAACAGTGCAGTGCTTGTGATATGAGTGGATGTTCAAGGAGCATCAAGCCCCATGTACTTCGTAAGATAATACCGATGACGACGCTTAGAGCTCGGAGCTGATCCCTGTTCCCCGCCAAGCCATTCACACGGGCAGGTGCATCCCACACCCATTGCGCTACCCCATCTCTCCGCACCACTGCGCCCAGATCCCAACTTTCGACACATACAATGGCGACGTCGCCGCCGCCGGTCGAGGATCAGGCGCGTCTGCTCGAGGATGCGCTCGCCGTGGTCCGCCAACAGACGATGCTCATGCGCCGTTGCCTCGAGACGCCCGGCAAGCTGATGGATGCGCTCAAGTGCAGGTACAATGCATGACCCCCTCCAAGCGATCACACGCATGCTAATCGCGCATAGCTCTACGCTCGTCTCGGAGCTGCGGACAAGCAGCCTGGGACCTAAGCAGTACTACGAGCTTTACATGTCCGTCTTCGATGCCCTGCGCCATCTTTCCGTCTACCTTCGCGAAAATCACCCCGTGAATCACCTCGCAGACCTGTATGAGCTCGTCCAGTACGCCGGGAACATCATTCCTCGCCTCTATCTCATGGTCACCGTGGGCACTGTATATATGGCCATTGAGGATGCGCCTGTCAAGGAGATTATGAAGGACATGATGGAGATGAGCCGTGGCGTGCAACACCCCATTCGCGGCCTATTTCTGCGGTACTACCTCGCTGGGCAGGCACGCGACTGTCTGCCTGAGGGAGACAGTGAGGGTCCGAAGGGAAACTTGCAAGATTCGATCAGCTTCATACTCACCAACTTCGTAGAGATGAATAAATTGTGGGTGCGGCTGCAGCACCAAGGTCATTCAAGAGAGCGGGAACAGAGGACTAAGGAGCGCCAGGAGCTACAACTCCTGGTAGGCAGCAATTTGGTCCGTCTCAGCCAGCTGGTCGACCTGCAAAACTATAAGAAAATCTTGAGTCCGTTATTGGAGCAGATAGTGCAATGCCGGGATGTTTTGGCGCAGGAATATCTTTTGGAAGGTGAGTCTCACGCTTCAACGCCGGGAGAAAGGGCAGATGCTGACTCTCCATTTAGTTGTAACTCAAGTCTTCCCCGACGAATTTCACCTCCACACTCTCGACCAGTTCCTCTCTGCAGTCGCCCGCTTGAACCCGCACGTGAACGTTAAAGGCATTGTAGTTGGCCTGATGGACCGCTTATCTGCATACGCGCAACGGGAGTCCGAGTCAGAAAGCCCAGACCAGCGCAAGAAGACGGAAGAGGAGGCGATCGCACATCTCATGGAACAGTTGAGGATACAAAAGGAGCAAAAGCCTGTTGAACCGCAGTCTCCGGCAACCCGACAAAACGGTGACACATTCGAGTCAGAAACGGCTGCCGATTCTGCATCGATAGCAACTTCAACGACTGCTGCGGAGCCTGTAGATCCCGAAGCGCGCAAAGCATCTGAATCCAACGAGGCTGCTGAGACAGACGGCGAAATCGAAAAACACAGGGGCATACCGAAGAACGTGAAGCTGTTCGAGATTTTCCACGAACAAGTAGCGACGCTGGTTAAGATGCAACGGCTGTCGATCCAGGACACTGTCGGTCTGCTTGTTTCACTAGCTAATCTTGCATTGTGGGTTTTCCTGGTTTAAGATATTGACAGAAGGACTAATTTGAGCAGAAACATATATCCCGAGCGACTTGATTACGTCGACCAAGTACTAACCTTCGCGAACCAGAAGGTTGCCGAGTTCGCAAACAGCGCTGACCTGCACTCGCAAGCGTGCCAAAGTCAGATCCTAAGCCTCCTCCTGGCACCTATCAAAACATACGTATCCATGTTCACCGCTCTCGCTCTACCCAACTTCATTCCTCTACTACACAACCAGCCATATCCAACGCGAAGGGCTGTAGCTGGCGAAGTGGCAAGAAGCTTGTTGCGGAACCAGACACATATCACTTCAGTTGAGAACCTAGAGAGCGTCTTAGAGATCCTCAAGGTTCTCATCAAAGAGGGGATGCAGCAGGCCACGGGGTATCCCGGCGGTCCCATCCAGCGAAGAGCGCAAGAGACAGACGAAACAATAGAAGAGCAAGGCTGGTTGGCACGGATAGTACATTACATCGACGGAGCTGACAACGATACCCAATTCAAGCTTCTTCAAACTGTGCGCAAGGCCTTTGCGGAGGGCAACGATCGCATCAAATTCACTAGCCCAGCGATTATCACTGCCTCCCTGAAGCTTGCGCGTCGCTACAAGGCTCGCGAGCATTTCGAGGACAACTGGCAATCACAGTCAAGTGCTCTTTACAAGTTCATGCACAGCACACTGTCGACCCTGTATACTCGGGTGACGGGCTCTGCCGACCTATCGCTTCGGTTATTTATTGCTTGCGGACAGGTCGCGGATCAAAATGGGTTCGAGGAAGTCGCGTACGAGTTCTTCGCGCAAGCCTTCACAGTGTACGAAGAGGCCATCAGCGATTCAAGAGCACAGTTCCAAGCGGTATGCGTCATCGCAAGCGCATTGCACACTACCAGGAACTTTGGCAAAGAAAATTACGATACTCTTATCACAAAGTGTGCGCTGCACGGGAGTAAGCTCCTCAAGAAGCCAGATCAATGTCGCGCGGTGTATCTGGCGAGTCATCTCTGGTGGGCGACTGAAATTCGGACTCTGGGCGAGGAAGACCCCAAGAATGTACGTCTGACTACACTACTGATGTCCGGACACTGACACGTTACAGCTGTACCGCGACGGTAAGCGCGTGCTCGAATGTCTGCAGCGAGCTCTCCGTGTAGCGGACGCCTGCATGGATGCCGCGGTGTCTGTCGAGCTCTTCGTCGAAATTTTGAACCGCTATGTATACTACTTTGACCAGGAGAACGATGCGGTATGTCGCCGCCTTTCCGGCCTTGACAATGAGACTAACAAGGCCCAGGTCACTACAAAGTACCTCAATGGACTCATCGAGCTCATCCACTCCAATCTTCAGTCCAACGAGAACGCGTCCGCGCTCGAGAATCCGAAACGGCATTTTCAGCGTACGCTAGATTACATCGCGAGTAGAGAGTATGAAGGCGTTGTTACGACGCCAAAGTAGGGCGTTGTGGTGTGTATGGAAGAGGCAGGAGGGAGGCATAGTGTTGAAGAATCGCGACGCGCGGGGTTTCTTGTACTAATAGCTTGCGAAATGAGGCCTTGTGAGCATAGCGACTGTTGTGAGGTGGTAGATACGTATGGAGACTGAGCATGAGATCCAGAGGTTTGTGTCCGTCGGGAATGCGTGGCGTTAAGTGACATTGACAACATAGTTTATGGCGCCACGGCGCCTGCCATGATTTAGTTGGTCAAGACCCTTGTCGCTGTGGCGGGCATCAGGGCGACACGCGGCTACCTTGCGAGCTTCTCCGGCACTTTTACAAAATCAATCTCAACTTTACGGCATCGGGCAGGGCGAGCGAGAAAGCTGCCTTTGTGGACTCGAGGCGTATTTCCACAGTCTATTTCGGCTGTTGTGCAAGATGTCGCCTAGGACACAAAGCTCCATGAGGCGAGGTTTGCCTCGTTACCTTTTGGCAGCTCCACGTTTGACGTACGTAGACGTTTCGCTCCTGCAAGGCAATACATGTTGCTGCTTATCTGTTACAGCCACGGCCAGACTCGTGGCTATCTCGCATTGCTAGAACTGTTGTTCTACCGTTGCGCATTACCATCGTGAAACTACATATTCAGCGCAGACAGATAAAGTCTTAGTTTCACCATCATGCCTTATATAGAGCATGTCTCCTGGCGACCACACGCTGGTATGCTCATCTCCATGCATTGAAAGTGCATTGTTCTTCACTGCCGAACATGTCGAATGAATTCTCGATGAAGAAAATTAAAGAAAGCCACGCCACACGACCTAGAAGTCTCTACAGCGATCAGCAAACCCAGGCTGTTATACATCTACGCGACTTCACGAGATGTGAGCGCTAACGATATGATAGACATCGGCTTCCGTGGTATAAGTGGACCGCAGGATTGTGCGCGTTCACCGTCGATTTTAGACTTCATACTGCTGATAAAGATAACGTTCACTGTATATGTCCTGGTTTATGTGGGACCCCCTGTCTGTTGCTGGAGAAGGCTATCGATGTGGGTATGCAGAAATTACTACAGCCTGGAACATACTCACGAAATAGCATGCTACAAGCCCGAGAATGGATAGACGGATGTTGTAGCACACACAGCCGCTGTGAGAGGCCTAGATCAGATACGTGGCTGCCAACACGTTCATTGAACGTTTGAACGAGGCTTCACAGCAACATCTGGTGCCAGAAATTGTAGCCGGTTTGTTACTTCACACTGAATCATTGATGGGTTCGTGGCAGATTCACTACTCTGACTTCCGGTGTCTTGGACTCATAGCAGAAGCAGATCCCCGTTCAGTAGCTCCGTTAGGTAATCCAAGATGCATTGCACGTTACAAATGCGTTTGAGTTAGAAGATATATGGATCGATTCCTTGTGTATTATTCGTGATGGTCTGAACGATGGGAGAAAGATAAGCGATTCCTCCGATCAACTCCCGGCGCTCGCTCGGCTCGGTTCCCAGGTCCAATCAAAGCTGAGATGGCAACTATCATGAATAATCCAGCCCGTCTTTTACGGTCTCGATGGTTACATGGACTTCCGGGTGAATCTAGGTAAAATCACACAGGATTGGACGGAGTCTGCTTTCTGTCCAACAGAAAGGTTATACGGCTTTATATTCCACCGCTCTAAAGACATGGACTGGGCGTGTCTCACTCTCGCTCTTTAGAGACACCAGGCTCAAAGGCCTCATCCTGTTAGCTCCATCTGCGAGGCCCCATTTTGCTTCCTAGATGCAGAGCATCAAATAAGGCCCATCCGTCAAGGATAGCTCGGCTAGTCCAAGTGCTACAGACATGCGGTCTTCTAGATGGGACATATGAGACCGGATGACCTTACAATCGGTACACCAACTTATCAGCAGCCAACATGGAGGCTTCAATATGACAGAATCAGTCGACGAGGTGAAACGCCATTAGCATTTGATGCTTCTTCCACCTCGAACGCCATAATTCTTCGAGGAATCCCTCGAGATAGTCCTCCAAACTGCAAAGCCGACATCTGTCTCACCAGCGCCACCAGTGGCGAGGGGCATTTCCGAGAGCCCGGTTGCGAGTGGTCTCACCAACATTTGTGCTCATCCTGCTTGAGGATGCGCCACCTTCACCCTTGACCATCATTGCTCCTAGTTATTTTGGGCTACCGAACGGTACAGTTCCTGCGAAAACTTCTTTCAACGGTATGCCAGAGAGGCGAAGCAGACGGGCCTCCGTCACATACGCAAGATCGATTAATATGGCGAAACGCCGCACGGGATCCTTGTCGCCTTTGGGACATCGACGAAGACCAGACATGGAAATTGGGTCTATTGTAAAATACAGACCGTGGTACTCCGAGGAAGGTATCGAAAAGCTCGTCGAAGTCTCGCTGGCTGCGAGCAAACGCTTGCCTGCCTTTCCCTCAAGTCCTTGACCTACCGCCGCGGCGTTCACTTCCAGAATTCTACTTCCGTAGACCGTAACTGATACCAGCCCCAGCTTTCGGGAACTCAACGTCTCGGACAATCGTGCTAGAAAGAGAGCTTCTGTCTGTGAAGAAAGTCTCCCTTCTTCCGAAATCGCCTTCAGCATCAGTGGATCGCAATCGATAATGTTCTTTACCCAGATCTCCCAGATTTCGTAACGTTCGTTCGCCTGCCGAATGGAAGGCAAGAATAGATCCCAGTTCAGGCCATTCTCATACAGGTTGTCTGGGTATCTTATCACTGGTGCTTACAACCACTTCGCCTTCCCGCCAGACCGATTAGAGGAGCCTGCTGAGGATCATAGCGTTCGCAATGTCAGTTGCTTGGAATCAATCGAAGCATGATATCGTGGACTCCGGAGCCGTAGTCTGGCCAATCTTTACATGCGGATCACCGGTATAGCCAGGATGCAATCTCGCCTGATGTAGCTTGGAGCGAATGTCCATCATGACTTTAGAGGGATTGTTGCGCCGGCGAGTTACGGCTGAAGGAAGAGTAGAAGTAAGTAAATCTGCCAAACGAGACTTGCCTATTCCGACGGTTCCACGGGTCCAAAGGCCTCTGAGAGATTTGATTTTCTGTAGGGAGAAGGGAACCTCGACTGCATTGTTCGCTTCTAAGAGTTCATTCTGAAGCTTTGTAAGGCAGGGTACTAATGCTGCTTGATGGGGATCTGGGACGAGACGACCACACCGGAGCACGCCTTTGTGTGCGGCTTGGGCTGTTGCCTTCGTCATGCATGTTTTCCTCGATTTTGAAATGTATAGAAAGACAACGTGATGTCATCGAGAAGTGAGAAGACCTGAGGCTGAACACCGGGTACCTGGGTGGCTCTATTCCATTAGGCTACTCAGTTCACTGGCAAGATCCGGTTAGCTCCTAAACTTTTATGCTTCAATTGCATGCAATGCTTTCTTCATTCTTGCAAACAACTGGCTCCTTCCAATTTCCAAACAGTCTGGCGGTTTTTGTCGACCCGACGATTGCTGGACGTCGTGGAAGCGCCGCCTTCAAGGTGACGTATCGCTTTCCACCGTGCGTCGCGAACGCAGCAAAATCCTCGAGTCCTGTCTTCTTCAGCCCCTATATACCTGCATACACATGGTCACCCAAAGCCAACGAGAAACATATGTCATTCGTGATGTATTGCAATGTATGATAGCCAACATGGGGCATGTCCATGCTTTCCAAACAGCAAAAACTCCGTCGCCGTCTATCTCGTTTTGTCGGTACCAACCGACACGCCACGCATCACCGAAGGCTGAACCGCGCCGTAAATGCCGCGTCTTCAAGCAGTTAACGCAACCGTATGTGTCGAAAGAGAATATATGCCTAGAACTCGCTCAAACGCCTGACTTGAGATGCCACCTTTTGCCGTGTGTATACCCTGATCCTCCATGAATGTGTGACGCCCTACTGAAAGTGATTTTTCCCCCTTATCACCGCTCGCTCTGAATAAGTCGCTGAAGCCGTTGCGCAGGTGGCAAGCGAGTTTTGAACCCCGATGAATGCATATCACGCATCATCCTCAATGACAATGTGCACCACCTGGCTCTGACGACGTTGCGACAGCGCCGGGTTCACACTGACGTTGCACTTCCTTGCCGCGCGGCTCATGCACGGAATCTGCAACACACCCATAATCGCAACCAATGCCGAAGCCCACCATGCCAAAGGAGTGAAGCGGATATCAATGGAGATGCCGTAGAGCAGCCCAGCGATCGGGCTGGCCATAGTTCGGCACGCAGCGCCAGTGCTCGCAGCCAGTCCGTTGATCTTGCCGAGGTGGTTGGGTGCAGGTGCGGCCTCCTTGATCATGATGAGGAGAAGTGGGTAGGCTAGTATGGAGGTGAGACTCCGAATAGTAAGACAGGCGTAGATCCCGGGGTAGACTAGGCTAGCCGGTAGCAGTGGGAGGAAAGGAACGATGAAGTACGCGATGGGGTGACCGATGGTGACGAGGATGAGAAGGCGCCAGACGCCGAAGATTGAGGCAAGCATTGGAAATATGGCGCCTTGGATAAAGAGCTGGATGAGCCCGTTGATAGACATGATGATACCGACGTTCTGAAGAGGAATGCCCAGACCCCCTCCGAGAGCGTTCGGGGAAAGCGCCATGGAAGAGACATCATCGGCACGTTTATCTTGCAGGAATATGGGCAGCAAGTGATCGTAGGTCATCTTGATGCTGTCAGCTCAGTCATGTGTGGTCATGTCGTGCTCAACTTACCGAGTGGTACGTAAAGATACCCAAGGCAATAACGAATGTCAAGACCGTCTTGGTGATGACCTTCTCATGCGATGGAGAATCCTGCTCGATCCAATCACCGTTGGACTTGACACGCCAAAGATCATCGTGATGGGCGTCAACATCACCAAAGGTGCCATAGCTCTCGGCAGTCAAGTTGGCGGGTGCGTTGGCAATGGCACCTTGTGCTGGCAAGAGCGGAGTCTGCGCAGTGGTTGCATCAAGATCGGCTTGGCTGCTCCACGGCTGCATATCCGGGTGAGTCTCATCAAGTAGGACATAGCCGGCGATAATGGCAACAACAAGCAAGCCAGTGCAAAGGAGGTTCGGAAGCAAGTAAGGGAACTTCGCAAAAATACCAGTATGGGAGAAGAAAGATGGGAAGTTATCTGCTGGCTCGGCGAAGTAGCCACCAATGGAAGCTGCAAAATCAGCAAAGAATGGGCTGTACGCGGGCTCAAAGTTACTTACGTCCGATGATGGTACCAATGCTCCAGACGAAAGGCATTACAGCGTATGCTTTCGCTGCTTCCATGTTAGCGTACACGAGACTTTTCAACATGGGGTCCTGCTTACGTTCATGCTTGGGATTCTGGACAAGCTCGCCCACCATGGTCTGAATCACTCCAATGTTTCCGTTTAGTATGCCTCCAAGAACTCTGCCTGCAAGTGCAACCCAGAAGCTCGAGGAGAAACCAACAACCAAGAGGGAAGAGATGGTACCGAAGCAGCCCATTAAGAGCACCTAGTCGAGTTAGTAAAATCCAATTGGTGACTCGACATCAACCAGTAGGAGATTGGAGGCAACGTACAGGCTTGCGACCTATCCGATCAGAGAGGCCTCCCCAATACATGCCTGTGCATGCTTCGGCGAGGGAGAAAGCAGAGATAAGGATGCCGGCAAAGAAGGGCGCTTGCGACTCGGATGCTCCATAGTGGGCAACGAGCTTGATAGCGTAGGGAAAAATGGAGGTGAGCGCGATGGGCTCGGCAACTCGTACGAGCGCTGCGACACATGTCAACAATTCATCATAGCTAAATGCGCAACAATGAGCGACTGACCAAGGAGGAAGAGCTGAGCAACAGGGAAGTCGTCTGGGTTCCGCGGGCTTGTTCTTGCTTTGGTGAGTCCAAACATATCCTGTAGCCTGACTTGGTTCTTACGATTACGCCAAGACGCAAGCAGTGGCGGTCGTGGGGAGCTGCTAAGTGAGTATCTTCTTGCTTGGGTGCGGCGTCAAAGAGGCGTGCGTGATGGTTGAAGGCCGAAAGCAGGCTAAGGAATGAGCGAGGAGGGGGTGAATTGGCGTCAAAATGGGGTTCAATCGCCGTGGTGAGGAATGAAGTGAGGAGACTGAAAGACAAGGCGGCGAGAAGAGCAAGTTTATGGGGACTGTCCAATGGGATCTCCGATTTGCGCTGGGCTCGGGCGAGACCGTGCATTATCGATCGGGCCATCGGCGAATTCCAGATGGATTTTGACACTGTTTGCGGCCATCCACCACGTCTGCACAACTACGCTTTCGTGACATAGCGGGATACAAGACGTCAACGGTCGACCCGACGTTGGAATAGGACTCGATTGCGCGCTGCCGTTGACGGAGACGGACCTCGCGAGAAGTCGGGGACCCCTGCCAAATGCCCCAAGACAGGCAGCCAAGCGAAACGCTAGCCGCTAGCGCTGACTAGCGTATGCGGGGAGGTGCGTTGCCTCCTGGTTTCGCAACGACGTACCATCAACTGCATTGCGAGCTGGTGACCATGCACGAGTTGAAGGCGGCCATTCAATGAGGATACAGGACACGCAGCAATATTCACGAGACCTTGAGAGACGGCTTGACGATTTTTCTTTCATCGCTCATGTGGCCTTTTGTCGTGACGAGTTTAACTAAGAGCCAACCCGACATCACCAAGCGCCCTCCCTCAACAATCTCTGCAGCTCCTTCTTGTACACAGTCTTGTCTTCTTCTTCGACCTCGTTCCATGATGTCTCGCTGTCAAACATTGCCCCACTGAGCTTCAACACCTCTATTCCCTTGTACAAATCCCCATGCGTGGATCCCATGATTTCCAGCCACAAGTGGCAGTCTCGATACACCTTTCTCGCTATTCTCTTTGGTACAGCAGTCTCTCTTCTATTGTTTCGCCAGCTGTAACTCCTGAAGTATCCCATCGAGCAGTTGATGAACAGGCTAGTGAGATTGGTTACGCCCTTCGCAGCAAGCATAGCCATCGCATTATAGCCTTGCGATTTGCGCGATCTTGTTTGTTGCCAGCTACGAATTTCGATTGAGCGCAGAAGCTTAGCCGTACGCGGAGAGAGTGTAGCTGCGAAAGCGACGACGGCATTGACGTCGGTGAAGACGAGCGTTTGAGCGTACATCATGGGAGCCGCCTCTTCGTAGATTTGTTTACTCACGGAGAGGATATTGGGACCCAGCCTCCTAGGACCAGCCTCGGGCTCTTCAACGTCCAAGTCCGAGTTATCGTTATCATTGTTGGCATGGTGGACTATACGACCACGCTGCGTAGATGCACGTCTCGATGCAGAGTAGTCGCCATATTGCATCGAAGCTATTTCGCCTTGGTCGAGCGAAGGGACGTAGTCGACAGTTCTCCTGTAGCGCTTTTGCTTGAAGCACAACCAGATTGCCTCTTTATTTCCTTCGTAGTTTTCTGGTAATCTGGTCGGTGAAGGAAGGCAATCTTCGTAGATTTTGTTCCTCAATTCCGCCGGCAAAGACATGAAGGGGAAAATCTTATGTTTGGGAGGTGGTCTGGTGTTGCGCGCGCGCTGTTGGTGAATTGCGTAAGCATAAGACACCGTGAAAGAGAGGACCTTGAAACCAATACCTTTACCGGAATATATTGCAATTCGGAATCGCTCTCTACATCTTCGTTGTCTTCACAATTGTATCGCACATCGGCACGCTTCCGTTTCGGGTAGCGTGGTTCGGCTGGCAATGAGGACAATGCGCTGCTCTCAGGTCGAACAGCTGGAACGGGCACAATGCGTTTGACAAGGTTGGTTGCGAACATGATGTCTTCTGCTTTGATGGGAAACACGTCTGTAACGCGCCGTCATGTGTATTATATACATTGGCGACGTTGTGGCACTGCTCTTGGCGGAGGTTTGCTGCCTGAAATTCGGACGTTAGCGCAGGCAGCAGAGGCGCGCGAAACCTACCACGTCGTAGGCCACCTTGCTCCAATGTGATTTTCGACGTTCCCATGATCACGTTGAGTCCACGGTTGCAAATGGTTCAACGTCAGGTCAGTGCATGCTAAATTCGGTTCTGGGTGGTTGTGGGTGGTTGGAGATTCTGTGAGTCATGAAAGAATGCGGAACAATTGCACCACGGCGCACGCATCATCATCGCTTGCAAGACTTCCAGCTCCACCTACCCTTAGAAACATTTGGTTCTTTCTGACGTTTCAGTCAATGCATAGTTTGTCGAGGGTTCTCATCAGTGCGTTCACTCTGGTACAATGATTATACATCCGGTACATCCATCTTCACCATTTACAAGAGTAAAGGAAGCACAGCCTTGCACTATCAGTCCTCTCACTCCTCACTCAGCAAACGTTCAAGTACTCCCTTGTGCCGCAATATCGTACCGTCGACGCGCATTTAGCAAAGCACTTTGAATAATGTTGCAGATTCACCCACTTCACCTGGCTTGCATCAATCTGCTCACTGATACTGGGAAGAAATGTGCGCTTCGACCGCTGCCCACTCATAATCTTTCCTTGACTTCGACTATCAATGGCAGTCATCTTCCAAGGGATAAGGACTCTCTGATCACTCTATTCTTGGCTTGCGGCATCAAAGTCAAAGTCAAATGACTGAATGAGACGAGCAAGGATCACTCGACTTTCTGTCATGAATTAGAATCTTTCCTGTCCAAACGGTGTGCAGGCATGCAGGAATTTGCCTGGCCGAGACGTCATCGCTCCACCCACGAATGTTCGCCGAGGAAGGACATTGGGACAAATAGGTCCATGCGAAAGATCTCCCCAACAAGAGCCTTGAGCTGCGCCAATGATACGAAGACAAATTCGATGTTTTCGCAAGAAATTCAACTTCGCACCGCAACTCTTGCATCCAAAGCGAGTGTTTGAAGGAGATGACAAGTGATCCCACTGAACAGTGTGTCCGACGTCTCACTGCCTGCTGTTAGGACACTGCCACTTGTGGCCACAATCTAGGGAACAGACGTCTCTCGCTCCTCGTTGCAATGAAGAACTTGACTTGCCTAGTGTTATTAGCTGTGGAGCCACAGCTGTAGCCAAAATAATACGTCATAACACCTTGCTAAAGTGACTTCGAGTCGATTGTTCGCAAAACATTGTTTTGCGTATATCGCGTATGCCTATGCTACCTAGGTAGCCTTTGCGAGTCCGAGAAATAGCCACAACAGACTTAGCAGAGGATAACCCACTATTGGATATGCCCCTAGGACTCTAAACGGTCTGACACATTTCAAATCTCGGAATATGTTTGCTATCCAGAAGTTTGGCAATCATGAATCAATTAACCTGTCCAGGTCTCGCAGAAGAAGGGGAAATAGAAGGCTTCACGGAGGCGCGTTCCAGGAATCCGCGCGAGAGGATGTAATGTCACATAAAAACAACTTTGGTAATGCAGACCAGCCATCTCTCTTGTTATAAAAAGAATACTTTTGAACAAGGCGACCTTTGCTTTTACTAGCTGAATGAGATCATCCTTCCTCCCTCAAGAAAATTTCCCACATTCCTCTGCACAGCCTCAAAGCGAACAGCTCCGCACGTCTCGCTTTCCAGGTGATTGAACAAGCCGGCTAGTGCGGCGAATTCCTTCGAGCATGCCCTCCCCGGACAATGGTAGACCTTCTGCATGTGTGCAGGACTGTTCGCATGTTGATTTAGCGCAGGCAGACTACCAAACTCTCGATGACACATGTAACACTCGAACGCATCACCGTTCCAAGACGCCAATGTAGCTGTGGTAGACGTAGGAGTGGAAGAAGGGTAGGTGAGAAGCTTTTTCGTGACGACATGGTGCGGGTCGATGCGCCGGATCTGCTCCAGGATGGTCGCGCGATTTATACCACAGGCCATCGGACACGAGCCGGTCTCGAGGTGGTGTGTAAGGCCGGTTGCGGTTGCGAAGGGGCGCTTACAGAAGGGACAAGCCATTCTCAAGCCTCTATGAATCCTAGAGTTGAGATGCTACGTCTTTGGTCAGTTCGTTTAAAGGTACCGCATGATGTTCTCTATGCGACTAGCTCACCTGTCGCAGATTGTTCTCGTTCTGAAATCCCTGTTCACAGCTGCGGCACCAATGAATCCGCCAGTGACCACGCGCTTCCATGTGTTGCCTTGCCGCATTGAAGGAATCGAAGGTCGCTGGACATGCCTCGCACTCGAAGCTCAGGAGGCCATCGTCGTCCTTAGCATACCCGTTCTGGGGCGAGGGCGAATCAGGCGTCCAATGATCAAGTGCATCCATATGCTGCTGGGTGGCATGCCAGTCGACGAACTCGCGGTCGCATGTCTGGCATTCAACCATCGCTCCGATAGCAGTAGCCCGAAAGGATGGAAGAGATCAAGACTTTCGGCTGAAGTGAACGGGAAGTATCGTGTCGCATTCGAAAGCAGGCTGCGAGTTTTCATATTCTTCACTTATGGTTCTGGCTGCTCTGTGTGACATTGATACCGTTTCATCCCCTTTCCGGGGACGATAAGGTGAGCCGGCGAGCGGGGAAGCGGACCGAAGCGCGCTTGCCCCAACGCGAAAACATTACCATGTCTCGGGGCCCCCACATTCTACGGAGCCAAACATGTGCAGCAAATCTGTGAACTAGACCGTATCAGATTGCCCATCTATATGAGAATAACGACCGCCACCTTGTACATCATCGCGCCAGATTCATGGCACGGACAGTCGTTTCACACGGCAGCACGTAGCCATTGCTACGTTGAAGTACCGTGTCTCCTCAAATCACCCCCACACTGCAGCTTCATGAGAACAATAAACCTCACAACCTGCACTACGTTCATTTACCTCGCCGCCTACGCCGACCCTATCTCTCTCTCCTCGCGCCTCCAATGGCCCTCCTATTCTCCACACTCCTCTTCGTCTTGACCGCATCTTTCCTCCTCCTCTTCCACGCCCTATTCAAGTTCCCCTGGTTCTCCCAAAACCACTTCCTGAAGTCACTTTCCTCTTTCTCTCCATCTTCCTCTATACCACTAACACCCTCATTTTCAACACCGGCCAGCGCCTCACCACCTCCCTCAGCTTCATCTTCATCCTCCTCCGCAACGTCAGCTAATTGAGATGACGAAGCATTAGCTTTCGTGTTGTTAGAGAGTTGCGTGCTAGCTTCAGGATCAAGGTCCGCATCGTCGTCGTCGTCTGCCTCCTGACTGCCATTGCGCCACGGGAAACTGAAACGGCGTCCGATGGCAGCAGTGTCCGGCGTCGGGGCTGCACTGCGGAGGCCGCGCCACTCGATATCGCGCTGTGTCTGGGGTGTGAACGGCACCGCAACGTCTTGTTCGCCGTCTTCCATATCAACGTCGACATCGCCATCGCCGAAGAAGGAAAAGGATGTGTTGATGGGGGCGAGATTCTTCGCGGGAGTGGAAGTCGGATTAGACAAGGGCAGGAGTGGTGCGGGCTTAGGCTTCTTGAACAAGGCTTCTAGGGGGTGGGTTTCCTTTTTGACGGGCGAGGAGGGCGTGATGGCGATCTCGGGGGTATTAGATTTGGCTTTTGCCGTCGTTGGTGCAGGTGCCGGAGAGGCGTTTTCGGATGCACCTGCCGAGGCTGCTGAATCGGAGTCGAAGTCGGAAGATGAGGATACTACTGATGAGTCTTCGGATTCTGCATCGGATGATGATGATCCTGGCGGTGGAGTAGCTTCATTAGTTTGTTTCTTTTCCTGCTTTGTGGACTTGGGCGCTGGGGAGGATTTTGGCGATGGGGTAGCAGAAGCCTTTTTTCTGGATCTGGAAGAGGGCTTCTCCAGACCAGGCTCGACGAGTTCCAATACCCGCTTGTTCTTCGCCTTGACAGTCTCAGCCTCTACCACGTTGCCCTCTTCGTCCACCCATCCCTTGCCGTTCACGTAATCAACTGCCGCGTTATCATCCGTAGAGACCGCAGTAGCTTTGAGGAAACTCGGGGTCTTAGAGTTTTTCTCGAATTCATGCACAACGACCTCCTGCTTCGATCTGTTCTTCTTCTTGTCCTTCTTCTTGTCTTTCCTCTCCTTCCGCGCAACCTCGGTAGCCGCGACAGGCGTCAATTTGGCCTTGAACAGAAGCTCCGGCTCCTTGGTATACTTTGACTTCTTCCGCTCCTTCTTCTCCTCCTTCTTATCTTTCTTTTCTTTCCTCTCCTTGTTTCCCTTCACAGGAACCTCCGTCCACCCGCGCTTGACCTTCCGCTCATCAGGCAGCTCCACCCCCTCCAGCAACCCGTCCTCCTTCTTCCTCTTTTTCTTGTCCTTTTTCGCGCGTTTCGCCGACCTCTCTGCCTCCTCAGCTTTTACAACCGCGTCATCACCCGCCTTGCGCTTCTCAGGCTTCGCATCCTCGATCCTGACTTTGGATCCTTTCAACGTCGACCCGTTCAGCTTCTTCTTCAGCTTCGTGGCTTCCATGGCGGGCAGCTCGACGTAGCCGAAGCCTTTCTCGGGGTACGTTTCGACGGCGTGGTAGGAGATGTTTCCCGCGTAGGGGAGCACGGACGGTGGTAGGTAGACTTTGAGAAGGCTGGGGTTGAACGGCGTGATGTGTAGTCTGACGGTGTTATCTTCGCCGGTAGTAGTTTGGCCAGGCTGGACGGGCGTGTTCGGCGCCGCGGTGGGAGTGAAAGCTCCACCCTTCTGCTTGGGCGTGGCTGTAGCCGCTGGTGTTGCGGGCATCGAGGCACGGCGGTTTTGGTGCTCGCACGCCGTTGCCCGAGAATATCACGCTCCAATAGATTGGGCCACTCAAGCGCGATGCTTATAGATAGCAACCAAATGCATGCGCCCAGTCGCGCCTTGTATGGTGTCGTGCGCGAGGGCAGTTGGAAGGATTCGAGTAAAAGCTCTAGCGCCGGTAGACCGGGTCCAAAAGCCCTGGGCGTTGGGGCGGTACGTGCGCTTACAGCGGCAGCGGCAACGGTCCTGAACGTCTCGGATCGGAACGTCAGACGTTGATGATTTATACACAATCTTCCAACCATGCGGAAGCGCGCATCATGGCTGCTCTTGTTCGCGTTTCTTTCGTTGTTCTCTCTTGCTCTAGCTAAAAGTACGTCTGCCCTACAATATAGTTGTGAGAGGAAGAGCTGACCCTCTAGCACCAACATCCTTCTGTAAATGCACATGCGCCGGCAACAGCACCATCGTCGCCCTCGACGCCCCTACGACCTCCCAGAAGCCGTCGCCCGACCTCCGCGAGCGCGCGACAAGAAAGACATGCAATGACTGCAATCGCCAATTCTGCTTGGGTTATTCGTTCTGCCAGGGCGTGAAGCAGGACCAGGTGTTCACAACATGTTTCCGTATGTATATTTGCATTGGGCATGGTGAATTTAGGAGAGCATATGGGCTGATTCTATACAGAGAGAGACTCCGCGAAGGACCAAGCAGTCGTTTGGATATTTATACTGGCTACAGTGGGATTACTGAGCTATGCGGGAGTGAGGCCTTGGATTGATCAGTGGACCGAGGTATGTCTTGTCCAAGACGCAAGTCGCGAAGGATTGAGCTGCGAAATGCGCACAAGCTGATACTGTCACAGAGAGCTCGCCAGCGCCGAAGCTACGTTCCAGTCTCGGCGCAGTCGGAACAATAATGGGGAACTAATTGTTTAAACTTGCTTCTATACGGAGTTCCTGGATATCGCGGGATAGGTGTGAATTATAGACACGAACGTCAAGATACCCAACCAAAGCATCTACACCCAAATGCAGCTTCCCAACGCCATGATGCAATACAGTAGTGAGACAGCGTTTTACATGCTGGGAGATCCATATGGTACACGGACTGCCGTCCTTTTGTTTCCCCTGCTCTTGACTTATTCCTTCTTTGATCCGCCCAGAATCCACCCGAACCACCCGCTGCTTACACCCTTAGCCGTGTTCTCAGCAAAGGCGGTCGCCTTGGCAGCCTGTTGATCGAGTGGACCTCCAACCGTGGGTTGCGTACTGTCGAACCGTGCTTGCTGCGCTGCCTGTACTGCTTGCGTGACGCTTGTCTGACTTGTGCTCTCCGACTCTTTCTTTTGAAAATCCTCAACAGCAAGCCTTCTCTGCTCCTTCAGCGCCTTGTCTTCGTTCCAGTCGCCGTGCAACCACCACAGCATCCGCGAAGGCAGCTTTCTTTCCGCCTTCTTGATTTCCATCAACCGTTCTTCCTCCGCAATTCCTTCTACAAGGGCAATCTGAGCGGGGGTTGCGGTGCCCTCCGCCACGGAGTTACGGGCGAGGCCAAGGATCTTGGCTTGTTCGCGTTCTTGGTCTTCGAAGAAGATTGCGCGTTTTCGGCGATTGTACACAACCATGTCTCCTATCGAAAAGACAGCAAGGACACCAATGCATCCTAACTCACTGTTAGATTCTTATTCTGTCGAAACAAACGCTGGCGTGTAACAATTGTTCGAGGTGGAAGGGGCATGCCGTACCCGTAGCAAAAATAATGCCATAAACCGTAAATCTATGCGCTGCATCCGCAGCCATCCTGCCATACAAATACGCGTAGTCCCACTTTGTAACCTGCGCCATCTTCGCCCGGTTCGCCGCCTCTCTCAACCGCTTGACTTTCTGTTGCGGCGTCTCGTTCTTGGGCGCCGGGTCTGCGAATTGCAGCGTCGTTGCGCGGCCGCCAGGCTTGGTGTGGGCCCATACTCCCGTCGCTGTGAAGCGCGTCGAGTCCCGCGGCGACTTCGACATGTTGGAGGGAAGGGAAGGGGTGGACTGGAGGACGAATGAGGAGAGAGGGGACTGGAGAGGTCGAACGATGCGGCAAAAGCTAGCTTCTAGCAGGGGTCATCGAGTGTCGGAGCACCGGCGCTACTCTGTTCCGCGATTGAACAACTTCATTCTTGAGCAGTCAATGATTTGTTCCTACAGATATGTCGAACATAGTATTTGTGATTCTCGGAGATGACCGAGGACGCGAATGAAGCGACTCCGGCGTGTTGAATCAATTTCCGCACGACTCACGCGCTATGTTTGCAGCTGCGGACACCAAACGCTCCTTTCATCAACTGATAAAACGCCCATAAACCCTACTTGAGAGCTCAGCCCAAACGTCATTGCAAAGCATATACACCAAGATGGCGGATAACAACATTCCCGCAGAGCTTGATCTTGAGCAGATCCTGGCGACGTTGGCGAGCCTACCGCAGACTACAAGCCATCCTGTGCCACCGCAGCAGCAGTTCCCTACCCCAGACCAGGTTCAGGGTCAGACAGACAGCCCTCCCGCCTCGCATTCCCTGGCGCAAACAGGCATCTCTCATGGTTATGTGCAAGCCCAGGACCCTCGTCTAACCACCCGACCCCCAGCCGCTCTCGCCAACCACCAACCCCTCCACAGAAGCCAGACCAGCACCCTCGTTATCGACCCAGCAACAATCACAGAATGGAAGCACGGCCTCCGCTGCGTGAACAAAATCGCCACGCAGAACCTCACTTTCGTCCCCGCAATCCAAAAGCTAATGGCAGAGCAAGCGCGCAACGTGAAAGACTGGGAATCCGGTCGCCAGCGCCTCATCGACGAACAAGCGATCAAGCGCGAAAACGAGAAAACGCATCTCGCGGTTCTCTCTCTGCCAGGCATGGGCGAGAAGATTGCGCCGCTGAGGACGGATGTGGTGGAGAAGGAGGAGCTCGAGCAGTATGGGAAGAAGGTGTACAGGGCTTGTCAGAGGATGGTGGAGAGTCATTCTGCAGTGTTGAAAGGGTTGGGTGTGCCTTTTTTTGGGCTGAGACCGGAGTTTTTGCGGGCGGAGGGGAGTGAGGAGGGGGATGATGGAGAAGAGAAGAAAAAGGTCACCAAGGAGGAGTTGCTGGAGTTACAGCGTAAGATGTTAAATCATTTGATGGAGTTGTATGGGGATTAGGGCTTACTAGGTATGTATTGCATTTCCTGCATATGCCTGCGTGCCATCTGCCGCATCTATGCATCAGTCGTATAACACTGTTGGCCACAGTGCTATGTCTTTGCGCAACGTTCTATCAACATTAGGTAAATTCATGAATGACTGGCTGGAGGCATTGCTACGTTCCGAGAAGCAAACTGTATGTTACTTTGCTAAACGGGTTTCAACCGTCTTAAATTAAGATAGAACGATGTTTACTACTACCACCATACAAAAATCGAACGCTCGAAAGACCTCGTCTTGACAGCCGTCCCTCTCGAGTCCGCCAGTCCATGACCCAGTCCCTGGACCGAGTCTAGCCGCCACCGCCCGTTCACCATTCACCTCGCCGCAAGAGCCTGTCCACAATCGTCGAATGGCTCGTGAAGGCGCTAATCGCGCTCTAGTGCCATTGCTGGTGTTGCTGTTCAGATATAAGCGGCTTACCCTCGCCTTCGACAATCTCCTCACACGCTCGCTCTGTCGAACTCCGATCGAACTTATCACTGCAGTCACCGCTTCAAGTGTAAGTCCAGTCTCCTCGATCTTGGTCCGTTCGCGACTGCTGCTACTTGCTCGAACAATTCTAGCTGAGGCTCCAAAACGTCCTTTTGCCGCTTGACTCGCGGCTGCGACAGCGGACGGTGCTACCCACTCAACATAACAGGCCTGACAACACATCAGTCATTCGGAATCGTCCCACCATGATCTATTTTCGAATCTCCATGCTAGGGATTGTCGCAGGCAAGTGGCCCCTAACAAGCCTGTATACCATCTGGTTCAAGACTGACATACACAGCTGCTGCGTCCGTCGCAAACGTGGCGGCCGAAATTCCGTCAGCTCTTTGGCGCGCGGAGACGACTTTGGCTCCCGTCGGGACCGCCTGTCCGGATAGCTTCGACAGCTGCAGCTGCATACCGAAGCTCTGCACGGACGACGCCATCATCAAGGGCACAACTACTCATCTGACGTACCTGTGCCCCGAGACTAAAACCGTACAGGTGACTGAGACCATTTTTGTCACCGTGCACGACGTCGAGAGCAAGTCGCCGATGGCTTCGACTGCGTAAGTATATTCTGGGCCCTTTCTAGCAGAAGTCGAGCGCATGTTAATGGTAATAGCAATGGTGATGATGACGACAAGACCACGACTTTGGCCGCTACTAGCAAGTCTACCCTCTTCATCACCAAGACTATCATGAGCAAGCCGCCGATTTCTTCCTTACCCGGCGAGACTCTTAGTCCGATCACCACCTCTCCTGCAAGCTCTACAGATGCGATGTAAGTTCACCAAGTTCGGGCGTGAGAACACATATGCCCTCTGCGATAGGTATTTGTGTGCTAATATGGACAGCTCAATCAGCGAGCCAAATCACACCGAACCCGCTGTGTCTACGCAGGACCACACGGAGCCCACCATGCCCGTGCACGTGACCTCAAAGTTGACCCCTACGGTCCTTGAGACTCTGAGCGTTCATCCCCATGGTCCGATCCCGAATCTGCAGTCTTGGCTCAGCTTGCACTCCTCTTTGATCCTCACGAATCCTCTACGCCCGTCCGCTAGCTCCTCCGCTATAATTCTGACCAACCCTCTCCGTCCGTCCATCACCGCTTCTGGGATTTGGCCTAATACCACTACTTCGGGTGTTGTTGTGCCATCGTTCTCAGATGCATCAGTCACACAGACATCCCCTGACAATAAATCCAAGTCTACTCTCCGCCTGACTATGTCGCTGAACACACCGACGACTGCAGTTCCAGTCTCGGTTTCCGTATCGACGGACGGTATCGCCACGTCATCGGCGATCAACTCTACCCTCACATTGGGTACGCTGTCAGTAACCTCATCATTCTCTGGTTACAGTCCTTCATCAGTGTCCCAGTCCTCAACGTCACTAGCTGATGATCCTCGATCCTCAGTGTCCGGGAATCCAATTGAATTCACCGGAACCTACGGTAATGACCCACCCAATACCCAACCCACCCCACACCCTGGCCTTCCTCTTGTTGGAAATCCTCGCCCCTCCACTCAGGTTAACGTGACAGTGATGGATGACCGCCCCACCGTAGGCTTCGCTCAATTCAAGGCCTCAGTATCAGACAACTTCATATCTCTGCCTTCTGATACCGACATTTCCTGGTCCATCGCTGGCGACGAGTCCACCGTGACGAATATGGAGGTCTTCCCTACCATCACACCCGACGCCACCCCAACTGACATGGAGGTCTTTCCAACAATTAAGCCTGACGCCACATCTGCGGCATTGGTCCTGACCGACGGTACTTTCTTCTCCTCCGTTACACCACCTTACCCGATTGCGGCTCCTGCCAAGCGTCAAGATGGAAAGCACGAGCGCAGCGTCCACGGCACGATTAGCAAGGTGTTCACGACCACCACCGTCACGCTTGCTAATTCAACCGTGACTTCAACGCAAGAGATGCTGCCCACTAACAGCACTGGTAGCACTGGTAGCACTGATACGGCGTCAGAGCCATACCCAGGCGCGACTACTCAGTCTCTGAGCAAGAATGGTGCCAGTAACACTCAGCCTGCACCTGCAAGGGTTGTGCTGGTCGTGCTCGCCCTCCGGTTGGCTGCGCTGTTCTAAGAACTGGGTGCTACTTCGAAGAGGTGTCAAGGAAGCATTGGAGTACGTGATGGAAAGTATGAGCCCATGGTTTCGCATGACTGAATGACACTTCTGTATTATAGTTATCCTGCAAAATGCGGCGTCTTGATAGTATAGGCTAGTGGAACCTGAATGAATGGGCACTTCAAGTCTGCTATCCGTGTCGTGTGCTGAGCTATCCACTACCCACGCCGCTTCATGCCGGTAATGCCGATGAGCCTCTTCTTGATTTGAATGCAAGGCAGAAATCTGATTTGTATCTTTTGCCACGTTGGGTACTCGGGAAGGCCAAGGCTCCGCAAGTTTACCCAGTCGGTCGCACACTATGTAAGCTTACGCAGATCTCTGGAGCTGAATCAGGCAGAGTTCACGAAGTAACCGTGGGAAGATCAACTACCGATGAACAAAGCTGCACATGCGGCCTGAGTGCTACCGAATGCGGGCTTCTACCCAGCTTCAATCTACGTTTACGTCAACTGTGTAGCCCAATGTGGGCCAGCTCACCCAACGGAGCAAAGAGTCAAACGAGTGAGTCTCCCTCTATTGTATCCAGGTCAAGGAATCAAGAAAAGGGCGAACCCTTGCCAAGTTGCCCGATTCGCTCCACGGCCTTCGCTCTCGGTTCCTGTGTAATTCCTGTGCCATCTTAGTGGCTGGGGTCTCGTCGCGAGTTTCTGCGCTATTGATCGTAAAAGCAGGAGCGCAGTTGAATCGTAATACATGCCATCGAATGAATGTTGCCTTCACTGAAAACAGCCCAACGCCATGTTGCTCCTTCGCTTTGCATCCCATCAAACAACATGACCCTTGGAACCCTCAAGCATCCGTTCCCTTCCACCTAACATGCCTACACCCATCCTCCCCAACCCCAACCCCATCCCACGTTCTCTTCTCTTCCTCATCTCCACCTTCGATTTGTGCACCATTGTCTGTCGGCCAACCTCCCGCGCATGCGTTCTCGACCATCACACCTTTCTCCGATGCTTCGACAATAGCTTGTGACATAGACTGAGATGCAGGTGCTGCTCAATCATCAGCTCAAGACCATTACCATCAGGCAATACTGTACCAGACTCCTGAACCTCCGGAAGTACTGGAGACGCTTCGTCCTTCTCGGTTTCCAGCTCTTTCACAGGTTCCGAGGCTCGCGCGAGCACTGTTTCCATGGCTTCAAGTAAGGCTGGATGTATGCCTAGTGCTGGTTACAAGCGTTGGTTTTCGTCCGCAACCAATGGACAACAGTACAGTGACGTAGCCGTATATGTACTCTTCGCTTGTCCAATGCCTTCAAGTGTTCTTTACATCAATCCCAGGAGGTGCGTCAGGGTATCAAGTCTACAGTGTTGGAAGGCAGTATGTTTGGGGAATATTACGTCTGTCGAGAGGCCTACTTCCTACATATACCCAAGCTCATTGCCCCGGTGAAACCGTCACCCCGAAATCCTGACCTCGGTCAAACCCCTCGTGCGCCGTTGCTTATCCCTATGACGTAGATTAAGAAGCCCCCAAGTCCTGCAGGGTCCAATGCATTACCTACCACATTAGCACCATTCTAGGTGGCTGTGCAAGCACCCATTGATATCGACGACATGCTCATCATGTACGTGTTGGCGCGCTTGGCTGGAATTCGCTCTTTGCTACGCCCCGGGAAGATAGGAATTCGGCACTAAATCTGCGATTGAGAAAGCAACGGGCCAGTAAGATTAATCACCGCATCGACCGCGGGTAATTATTTGGAGAAGAAGATGTTCGAAAAGGACAGGAAACATAGCAAGAAAGAGTCCGTCTATTCATTCAGTCATAGAAATCGTGCAGCTACCGCGCCGCTGCCCGGCTTGCATTGGACAATTCATCTCGTTCGGCCGTGAAATCTTGATCGAGTCGTGTTTCTCAATATTCTCCATTGCACAATAAGGTGATCTGCGCTCATAAAGCATACCCATCTCATGACCCGCTATAGAGTCGGACCTGCCGCTGCGCTCGTCGCCGTGGCCTCACCACCCGTCGGTGCAGACGTCGGTGCGCCTGTCCTACCCCTCTGAGTATCCACTGCGTCTCCACCGCTCCGGAGTGCCCTTTCTAGCTCCCGGATTCTCCTCTTCAGTACATCGTTCTCGCGCTTTGCCTCCTCGAGTTCTTGCCGATAGTGTGCGACTTCCTCATATCGGGGCGTGCTCACTACGCTTGCGCTCCTCGCTTGTTGCGCAGCCGAGGGATCGCTCGTTGCGGGTTGCGACGACACGGAGTAGCGGTGATGCGGGATGGTGGCCGTAGCAGGGTTGATCGGAATGCCGTAAGGCGCATTGGTGCTGGTGCGGGATACACTCGAAGAGCTACGGTGACGACGCGCGGAAGTGGGATGGGTAGAGCCGATGATATCGTGGTCAACGTGCACGCCTGAAGTAACACTCGAAGCCGTGGACGCTACCGATGCCGAGTGGGCACGCAGAGCGGAGAGCTCGCGTGTCAGACGGTTCACAACAGCTTCTTGTTCTTTCTCCAGCTCGAGGTGGAGCTCTGCAGCCGTGAGAGGGCGTGGATGGCGCATCGGTACACCTGCTGCATCGAAACTCGGAACAGTGCCCGACATGCTTGGGCTTAGAGGTGCAGCGTGGGTTGTAGACACGGGAATGCTACCGCCGGGAGAGGCGAATGGTAACGGTGGAGGACTCATGGGGTCTGCATATGGATTGTGGTCAGTGGAATTCCACAGTAGAGAATGAGTGGAGACGACGATCGTACTGTAGGTCGTTATCGATAGTTACAGCGCGCGCTTGTTCGGTAGTCTGGGGTAGCGCGCTGCACAAAACCAACGACCGAGAGCTTTATATGGGCTGCGATATACTGTGACTGGTGGTAAGGTGGATGGTGAACGTAGCTTGACCAAGGCCCCGGCTGACAACGACTTCAAATGCCCACCACACGCAACGTGCGAGGGTCACTCTCAGAGCAGGAGATGTATACTTACATATCTGCGAAGCGCGCCGCGAAGCTGGGGTAGACGACTGCCGCGAAGCCTGCGCCGAAGTCGTAGAGCTCGCAGCTTGCGCACCCGTCGCCGTGGGGTTCGACGTGGGGTTCCTCGGCGAGACGGGCACTGAGTTGAGATCAGGCATCGTGTTTGCTTGTGTGTTCTTCCTCGGTTCTATTGCGCGTAACGTCGTCACGTCAAGAATTCCGTGTGGTGTTGAGATACGAGCGGGCGCACGGCGGGGCAAGTGTATATGGAGAAAACGTGGAAAGGCAGCTGCGGCGCCACGGTAGAGGGAGAAGGCGCGTTGAGCCGTTTACATAACTGCTGGTGGTTGTTTTGGCGACAAGGGATTCTGCTCGCCCTGGGTCGGACTTACGGGCCTGGCGTGTGGCCTCTGTCAAGCGGGAGGGATTGTTTGGACGTGCCGCGCTTTGTAGTAGTCCATGTGCAAGGGCTGTTGCTAGAGAAGGCCCGCTGTTGGTCCGCCAGCAAGGATCTCGTCAATCTGCGGCTTTCATTTCCACAACTTCGAACAGTCATAGTCAACAAACAAGAAAACTCGAACACTTCGCGGCATAGCTATTGTGTATGATCTTATGATTCTTGGTCTATGTCCGAGGTGTCTCTTCACAGTATAGATCCTCAGGGACGATGCTATTGAGTTCACAACTTGCTGAACATTCTGAATTCTTCATTTCTCGGAGCAAACAATTGCCCCTCTTGGTATCAGGGGTCTCTATGAGCTTCCACTTTCCTTTCACTCGCACCACGCCCGACCATAACAGGTCTCTGTTCTTCTCGTAGCGAAGTCCCGGGCCATGACAACCCATAAGCTAGACAACCTCACGCCAGTCATGAAATGCTTCCTATTCCAAGTCATGTTTTTGACACTTCCCTAGAATCCTGCCCAAACTCCAAGCCGCAATGCTTTAGATGTAGTTGATCGATGCGCCCCTCGCCAGGAAGTCCTCCTAATACGTCCTAGCCAGGTTGCGCAGATACCAGTCAACGAGCTTGCGACCCACCTTCGCCTCAGAGACATGAATAAGGTCCTGATTTCTGTTAGTCATGCGAAATGGAGAATGTTTGAGGTGAGGTACGTACTCCTTCCATGGCGTAGTCAAGGTCGCTGCTGTGCACAATATCCCCCTCAAGCAGTCCACCCTCGCTCCACCTCAACTGTCGGTTCCTCTGCTTGTTGACAAGCAGCCAGCACCTCAGCTTCTCCGGGTCGACCTCAAGAAATCCAGCAAGCTTCTTCAAATCCATTGTGGAGTAAAGCTTAAGGTAGCTCTTGACCGTAGGCGACATCATGGTGTTCTTGACCTCATCCATGAAGATGCCGAGGTAGTGCTCAACCGGATCGATGTTGATTTCCGGGTTATCGAAATCTGGCGGGGTGGGGTTGATGAACTTGGGGCAGGCGGATCGGAAAAGCTCCTCGAAGAGGGGCAGGTTCTCAGGTCCACCGCGCTGTAACCTGTTGAACTGCTCTCCGTACTTCTCGCGAAGCGCCGTGTGGATGGTGTCGTCCAGTCGGGTAGGGTGAAAGGCCACGCAGATCATGATGAGAGCGTACATCTGGTCGTTCTTCTTCGTAATCGAGTCGTACTGGGCGTTTTTCTGGAAGTTCTTCGTCCGAGAGACGTAGACGAGGATGTGGCTGAACATGCGGATTGCGTCGGCGTAGCGGCGCATCATCATGTAGGAGAAACCAACGTAGTAATAGGTGGTGAACTGAGCGGCCATGACACGGGGGAACATGGACTTTTTGTTGAGCTCAATGTCGTCCAGCGTCTTGAGTGCCAGACTGAAATCTCCCAGCAGGCAGTGTACGCGCAGAAGACCGATGACGGAAAAGTATCCGAGCATCTGGTACAGCGGCCTTGAGCCATACTCTCCTGCGTATTGTTTCGCATCCTCTCCTCGCTTGACCGCGTTCAGCTGCTCGCTTATTTGTGATCGCTGGATGAGAGAGTATAAGACGTTGAGCACACTGTAGCAACCCCACGTGTTAGGGTTCTCCCGCAGAAGTTGAATCTCCTCCCCGTTCTCGTGCTTGAAAGCGACCTTTTGGCGGTAGCCGCAGAAGCTGTTGAATTGGTAGATGAACTCGTCGACGACGTCCCAGGCCCACGAAGACTGTGTGGTGTGTTAGCTACGCTTTACAAGCAGGCAGGAAATCTCACGTTGGGAACATCGATATCTACAGGCCCGTCCGAGTTCAAGATGAAGTGGAACAGGTTGCAGTAGTTGTCGTAGCTCGCAAATTTGGTCTCAAGGGTCGCTTGGAACTCGAGAGGTGTCGCTGCGGCTGCGAGTTGCGCCTGAATGTCTCCGCCGCTGCCCATGGACGGTACCCGATCGAGGTCGTCCATTCCATCGTACTGGGCCGCCTCGCGGTACTCGTTCGCCATGACTTCCTCCTCTGCGTCAGACATGTTGTCGGGTGCGCGCGCTGCGTCGTTTTCCTGATATTACGGAGGAACGCGTTCTTGCAATTTCTCAATCGCACTCCGGCCAGCGATCCGCGTGAGGTTAGGGCGAAAACAAGACGGTCGTTGTCTGCGGCGTGGTCGTGAATTTCGATGCGGGCCAAATCTGAATTCGCTTGTGGGTGGCACCAGCCACAGCGGCTGCGCCACAGGAGGGGTAGGAGCGACCGCGCGACTTCCCCGGCTCGCGTTCGCCCTCGGACTAAAACTCTCTTCTCTTGTCCACCTTGCCAACTATGCCGAATCAAACAACGCGAGTGACATCGCGATTTTGCTCTACTAACAGCCATTTACTTATAAACGTCCCAGTTACCGTCCTGTGATCAAGCATTCGTGTGCCTTTGATTGCTGGTCAGCATGACTTACGTTACCATCCTCTACTTGACTCGCAAGCCAACCCTTACTCCCAAGCAGTTCAGAGACTACTACGAGAGCACTCACATCCCGCTCATCAAATCCATCTTCGGCTCCGTGGCACCTCTACGCCATCGGCGCTGTTACCTTGCTCGCGCAAACAGTGACAGCAAAGATTCCAATGTTTCGGCCGACGCCGGCTATCCACCGCTGGTGCTGAGAGGCACTCCGGAAGACTTCGACTACGACTGCATTGCGGAGGTCTCGTGGGAGGACGAAAACGATTTCAACGATTTCAACAAGATGTATATGCAGCCAGGGGTCATGGAGAAGCTGGCCGAGGATGAAGAGCGGTTTCTGGTGAGGGAGAAGCTGAGAGCTGTGGCAATTGGGGAGGTCATAGAGAGCTCCCCACGTAATGATTATTGAACAAAGAGACCAGGCATGCCATATAGCTAGGTAGCATTCGATACCTCATCGACACTTCCATCAATCCGACATGCGCGGCCCTTTGCCTCACGGTTCAATTGCAACTGGTAGTCCCTGGGCCACCTTCACGCGGTCGGCCCTCCCAATATATAGATGCAGATAATCCGTCAGGCTACCTGTCATTCTCTAACCACCGGATCGCAAACAGCTAACGTCAGTCCACGTAGGTAGTATATGGAGCTGTATGGAGTCAACCGCAAACTACGTCGAGCGTAGCTCGGCATCGATATATGCGTGTAGTTCGGGTCGAACGATTGGGATATGATCTAGACACCGTCTAAGTTAAGACGACGTTTGATGAGGGTGGGAAACGAGATTTGATATCGCAGCGAGGCACCGTTAGTGGTGGACGCCAGTTGGTCTCTGATTGGCGGATCTCGAGATTTCCCATCCTGCAACATCCCCCCCCCGCATGGGCTTGCCCTTTCCCCAGATTCCACCCGCGCTCCAAACTCCACACAGCTAGACATCTACGCGTAATGGCTGCTGCGACCGAGGCAAAGCTTGTTCATATGGCTGCCGATCCGAAGAACACTGCCCTAGCTTGGTTGCCACAGCTTGGACCTGGTTCAAGGGACCATGCACGCTCATCTAAATATCCGCGGCTCTGGGTGGAAGGGGTATATTAAGCCAGGGGTCCTCACACTCAGTAGAGCAGGGTCAGCCATCTCAACATTCAAGATGCCTTCAGTATCGACCTCATTGTCATGGCTTTCCATCCTCGGCTTGTTGTTTAACCCGCAGAGCTGTCTGGCTTTGAGCAAGAGAGACCGGCTGGCATGTCAGAAGCATACGCTTGACCCGCTCGAAGGCTGTCCGAGGCATACACTGCTTGTTGACTCAGGCTATGCCAATGCTTCCAAGAAGAACGTCTTTTCGAGCATTCAATCGGCTATTCTGTCTCTCCCCCATGACAATTCGACACATCACATCCTTATACTCCCCGGTCAGTATACGGAGCAGGTCAACGTCACGCGTCCCGGGCCACTGTATCTTCTTGGTCAGACAAGCGATGCGGAGAGTCTAGCGAAGAACACTGTCGAAGTCGTCTGGCACAATGCGACCGGTACCGCCACCACCGGTTCGTACGACAACGCATGGACCTCAACCTTGACGATTGCGCCAACGTTCAACTCCTCAGCGACCGGCGCGGGACCAACTGGGAATGCTGTACCGGCAGATACCCCCCTTTGGCAACTTTGATTTTCGCGCATACAATCTCAACTTCACCAACGACTACCTTCCTTACTCCGCAGGGCCTTCGCTTGCATTGTCAACCTCATACGCAAACACCGGCTTTTACCACTGCTCCTTCAAGTCCTACCAGGACACTATCTACGTAGGCAAGCTAGCCAACAGCTACATGTCTAAGTGCGAAATTGCCGGTCAGACCGACTTCCTCTACGGCTTCGGCACTCTCTGGATCGAAGACTCAGATCTACTCATGCGCAGCTGCGGCGGGGGCATCACAGCTTGGAAAGGCACCAATACCACATATGAGAACAAATTCGGCGTCTACATCCACCAGTCGAACATCGTTGCAGCCAACTCTTCGATTGCTCTGGCCATGGTAGGGAAGTGTGCTTTGGGTCGCCCGTGGAACGCGCAGCACCGTTCTATCTTTGCGAATACGTATCTTGATGCCTCTATCAGGCCGAGTGGCTATATCGACTGGAGCACGACGGACCCAAGGGTTACCAATCTGACATTTATGGCGGAGTACAAGACGTATGGGCCTGGATGGAACAAGACCGGTAGGATCGTGGGTAACGTCACGCGAATTTTGACTGAGAAGCAGTGGCAGCCTTATTCTAGCCCTGCGAAGGTCTTTCAATTTTTCAAGAGTGGAAAGGCGGGCAATACTGCGTGGGTGGACTGGAGTGCTTGATCGCCTCAATGCAAGAGAGCTATATGGCAACTTCCTTGTAATTTTCGGGACCATGCCAGCCATGTCCATACTGCGTTGAAATATTCATCTTACGTGTTTCCGGCCCTCTTATCGCGAACACTGACCCGCCTATGTCGCATGCATAATGCTAGGATTGCCTTGCCCTGTAGTTGTGCAATGTTGAAAAGCATCAACATGGTTCCGCTCTTCATCCTAGACACCCCGACCTAGAGCTACCTCACGCAGGCCGCCTTAGAATCGGAGTCACTAACTTTCCAATCTACTGCCAAAAATAACATGTCGGTAAACCACTGGTCTTTTGTAGGCTACAGAGGGCACAGAGGCACGCATTTCCTGATGAGTTCCTTCGGAACTGATTAAATGGACACGGAACGCACCATGTGGAGGGACCCTCGAACCTTTTAGAAACAAATCTATTGGAGTAGAAACGTCAAGGGAAAGAGCCGACATTGTCTCTTCCGGAAGCTCTCTTTGTGTGCTTACATTCCTCAGACAGATGAGTAAAATGGGAAGGTGATACTAGCTAGCCATCGTTATGTTTCTAATAAGAACAAATGATGTAACTATGCTGATGCCCTAGCCTGTACTGTCTTTTCTAGGGGCAGTTAGGTACTGGCCAAAGCTCTTCCTGCAATGTTATTGCGCCAAGCGGTCTCAGCTACAATCAGTCGGTGCTGGCTAAAGCTTATAATCCTGAGTCGTCTTCCATTAAACACATTCTTTTTACGTCTAGTGTGCCATCTGATAGCATACTGGTCTTGGTCAAAGATACCACAATGTTAATGTGTTGGAGATACTCGGAATTCGTAGTAGCCCTTCCATTAGAAAGCGGTTGTTATCATAGCTTAGCATAGTATTCGGTCTTCCTATAGCAAACATTCAATTGGACCTCACGCTCATCCGAATTTACTGAGAATAGTGCTGGCGCGCTCCCATCCTTTACCAATGGCAACCTCCCTCGGGTCGCTCCTAATCTTGAAATCGATCTTACAATCCTTCGGTCCCGTCAGAACTGCATCTTTGAATCCGGTTTCAACATTTGTGTCTAACACCGTTCCTGCCTCGGGCCTACGACATATCAGCACATTTTAGTCATGATACTTACATAACTCACCGCATATCAAACGCCCAAAGCAACTTCGCCATGGACAACAACAAGCTCCTCTCCGCCATCTCTTGGCCGGCGCAGACTCTTCTTCCCGCACCAAACGCATACGTTCGCCTGCGAGAAGCTTCATCGGTTGAAAGAAAAACAGAGTCAGCGCTGTGCCCATGTAGTGTAGAGCTGGAGTCGTCCACAAGCCAGCGTGCAGGATCGAACACGTCCGCATTGGGATAATCTTCTTCGTTATGATGTATCGCCCATGTGTTCATCAACACTGTGGCGTCAGCTGGGATAAAGTAGCCCTCGTAGATGTCGTCTTTGCTTGTAGCGTGCGGAATGCTCAAGGGAAAACTCGGGCGCCAGCGAAGGACCTGATAGTGTCAGTCGCTCCTGTATGTACTCAACACATGTCCACTCACTTCCCATAAAATAGCCTGAAGGTACGGTAATTGCGGCGCATCAATATTGGCTGGCAATTTGTCTCCAAACGCACGATCAATTTCTTCCTGCCCCCTCTTCTGCACGTGTGGATTCGCAGCCATCGCCAGGATGAAAATCAGCGAGGCTACCGCTGTCGTATCCGCCCCAGCCTCGATTAAGAACCCCGCAATATATACCAACTCAATATCCGTGAAGCCTTCCTTCTCTTTTCGCTTTAGTAAATTAGCTAAGAAGCTTTCTTTCGCTTTGCCCTCGCAAATGTTCTTTTTCCCCTGTTCGAACAACTCTTGGTAAAACCCTCTTTGCGCCTCGCCGACATTGGCACTGCGTTTCCTCCATCCAGGCCACGGCGTCAGCACGCTCGGAACATACTTCAACCACGGCAATACACTCAGCGGCGGCATCGCGCCCATGTCCAGTATTCCCGCCCACTCATCCTGTATTTCGAAGAAGCGATCCGTAAGCTCCCTCGTGCCCCGTACACCATACACGCTTTCCATAATGACGGCGCAAAAAGCACGGAGAACATGTTTCTCGAACCCTTTTGGTTCTTTCAATATCTCGAAGACCATTTGCGTAGATTCTGCTTGCTGAATGGGTAATATTTTTTCCAACTCCTCGTCTTTCAAGAAGGAAACTAGCGCTGCTCGACCTCGCCTCCAATTTCGGCCATGCGGCATGAAGGCCACATGGTACGGGCCTGGGACGACGTAGTCGACCATCGGGATGTAGGGACGCGAAGAGTAGATTGCGCCCCGCTGGTCGAAAAGATCGTGCACTGCGCGCCAGGTGTTGAGTACCACCACGGGCTGCCGGCCAAACCGCAAGCCGATGATAGGCGAAGAATATATTTTAGACAGTTGAGCGAAGTAGAGGAAGGGCTTCTTGAGAGGGAGTTGATGGAGATTCCCAATAAGGGGGAGAGCCTTAGGGCCTGGGGGAAAAGGAAACGTATTGAAGGTGCGTCTGCGTCTGCGTCGGCCGATCAGAGAGAAGCAGAAGTAGAAGACGACATTAGAGATCATTACGGCGACGATTGGGTAAGCCTCATAGAACTTGACGAGTATATTGTCGTGGAGACTAAGCGATGTCAAAACTGAGTGTCTAAAGTGCAGTATCACTTCTTACTTCATTGTCTTGGACGGGCTGAGATGGCTTAGACCTGTACGGACAAACTGTTAGGTGCAGGTTCGGCAGAAGATTGGTCACCGCGGGAGATGCGAAAGTCGCACAGGTACACCCGAGATTGCGCGGGAATGTGCAGAATGTTCTCCAGGTCAGCTTTTGATGAAGAGCATAGGGGCAATGCTCACCGAATCGGCGTCACGAATTCCCTACTTGTCTATTTCCCCGCTTCTCGAGCCAGGGTGTCAGCGCATACATGTTGTGCAACACTTCCCAGTACGTCGAGTAGCAGCGTTTGCGACGCTGCAGCAACTCATCGGTATGCTCTAAACCAATCGCCTCGCCTGTAATCATGCTGCAGACAGAATGCGCACTCGACGCGACGTCAACCTACAGAAGTACTTCCCTTTCGAGACGTACTTGCGCACGAGCGCATACGATGTTTTTCATTGCATGCTTACGATGCCCTAGATTGAAGTCCACGTCTGCAAACGTCAGCAGAATTCGATCAAGTCTTGCCCTGCAAGTCAACGAGCCCACCTATCAAAGAATAACCACATAAAAAGCGTTACATCGCTATATACAGTCCATCCCTCAATGCTAAATGCTTCCAATCCTGGATGCTCTTGCACCAGGCTACGCAACTCCCAAACGCCACCCATGCAAGTTGTATCTACAAAGATGCATTGGCTTCTAATGCACGTACAAACACGCAGTGGCTTCTAATGCACCAACTTCTCCGCCGCGCGATTCAAAATCTCCACCGTCTTCTTAATCTGCTTCTCGGCTTCCTTCCAATCTTTCGTTTCGCCAAGGGTGTGCCGCTCAATAGCATCTCGAATGAAAGGGAAGATGTAGTTGGATTCGCTGGCGTCGTAGCGAGAGGGACCGAAGATGATGTGCTTGAATTGCGTGCGGCCGGGTAGCTGTGTGTTATTAGCGATCTCTCTATCTCTGATATGTTTGAGTTGGAGGGGACACTTACACCGTGCTCCTGCTGCCCATTCACATTTCCGCGCTGGACGTCCAGCAGGTCTGATTCAAAGCCCGCCATTCTAGCATTATGCGCCACGCGCTGCACCGTCAAGCCCTGCGTCTCGAAACCGCCTGTACCATACACCTGGTTATACCACAAGGTCTCCCACTCCACAAATTCCTGGGCTTTGCCGCCTACATTCGCGAGAGCATCCACCAACGGCTGGAACATGCCGATGTCGTAATCGCCGCCCTGCTTCTCCGTCCAATCGATAAGCTTTTGTCCCTCCTCTTGCAGCGCGGAAGCGTAGTCGTCGACTTTAAGCGGCATGATGGGCTCCTGGGCGAGCTCGAGGATGACGAGGATCCAAATCTGCGTGAGAAGGGAGTGGTACACGAAGCCTGGATCAGTGTACTTGGAAACCCATTCGAAAGTCTCGTAGCAGCTGTGCGCCATGTTGCCGTGTTCGGGGCCTGAGAAACCGAAGTCGAGAGACGAGCAGCCGGCGAGATCTTGAAAGGCTACGTAGTCGCTGCCTACGCCTAGACGGCCTAATTTTCCACCGTGTTCCTTTTCCCAGAGCTCGAGGAGGGTGACATTTTGGTGCGGGTCCATAAGACGATCTAGCACGCGGGTCCATGCGTGCTTGAAGATGGGGGATCCGTTTGCCCAGAGCTTGTCACCTGTGACGCCGACGTCGACATTTAAGTATGCGATAGCGTTTGCGCGTAGTTCTTCCATGTTAGCTTCCACGTGCTCAGTCGACCCGATCATGTTATACTCCTCCGCGTCCCAGGATGCGAATTCGATAGTGCGGAGAGGACGCCAGCCTTGCATACGCAGCTCGCCTAGCACACGCGCGACTTCGACCATAACGGCTGTTCCAGATCCTGGGTCTGCAGCACCAAAACACCATGAATCACGGTGGTTTCCAATGATGATTTTCTTGGCTTTATCTTCGGAGCCAAGGAATGAGCCGAAGACGTTCGTGATGCGCTGCTTGTCCACCTCTTCTTGATTGTTCTGTAAATTGACCTTTGGAGACTTGTCAGGGTGTCCGGACCACCACTTTTCGCCCACGTCAGGGACTCCGCCGATCCAGTGCTCGTAGTTTCCTTCGGGAGCAATCTCCTCGCCTATGCCTTGCAGTGACTGGAGCAGCTTTTGTGCGTTTTTCCATGAAATGGGTAAGCTAGGGATAGTCGGTAATGCGGGGTTCTTGTCCTTGGGCATGCGCTTCTGGTCTTTTGTGCTAGGTAGACCGGGTGTGAGCACGTCGCCGACAATCATGTTGGAGAGGGCTACGGAGCCTCGCTGCACACTGTCCTCAGGTCTCCATCTGCCCTCTGGCCATACCCTGCCTTTCTTGAAGCCGTCCTCGGCGGGGTCCGAGTACATGATCACACCAGCGACTCCTGCGTTTTGAGCTGCCCTGACCTTCTCCGCTCTATCAGATTGGGAGCCGTAGTATCTCATCAGCACGACTGTTCCTTGAACATCAATGCCACTATCCCATAACGTTTTGAAGTCTTTCTTGTCGCCGTAGTTCACATAGATCAACGGACCCGTAACATTTCCAGAAGCTGAAAGTCCATGAAACGTCATTGTCTGCGCCCGCGGCGGATCGTACACATTCCCCTCTTCCAGCTTAGCCTCCCATTTCTTCTCTTCCGGCTCGACAATAGCCACTCGGCGGCCTTTCTCACTTGGATAGTTCAAGTACACAAAGTACTCGTCGTGGGTATATGTATCCATGTGCGCATCCTTGAACTTCTCTTCTATCCACTGTCCCAGCATGTAGCTTCCCTCTGTCCCCGCCACATGATCGTACGACGTAACGTACTTGAGGTTGTCCTGTATTCTATAGCTTTCCACATTTTGGAGGGCGAACTGTCGCACCCATTCAGGATTGAATGGTGCGCCGAGGCCCCCTCCACCCATAGGTACAACCTCGCTTACGACCAACAAGTATACCAGAGCCACAATCAATATAAGCCCGCATAATCTTGCTACAACCGCCCAACCTGGCCTGTACTCCTCCGGTATTGTCGGCAGTTTCGATCTAAAGGAGTGAAAGAGCGCGCCAGGCGAAGACGGCCACGATATCCTCGGGAGGTGGAAACTAGACAACGAGTTCGTGATGCTATAGAAGCGCTTCGAGAACCGGCCTCGAGAGCGATTCCTCCTGGCGCGCGCATCATCCGCGCTCTCCGGATCCAAGATATCCATCTCCTCCATCGTCTCCCTCAGCTCCGCCTCCTCGTCCGCGTGCACCGGACCTCCGAGCCCGCTGTCGCCATCATCGTCGTCGTCCACCGACTGCACCGAAGGTGGGTGATAGTATCCATTGCGGCGGCGCGAGTTCGACTGGGAATTCGGATCTGAGGGCAGGTCGTGGCCAAGCAGCGTCTGCCGCTCTGCATCGTCGGAGGCTTCTTGGGGGCCGCGGCGCGAGTATTGCGGGTCCGACGAGGACGTGGCTTCTTCGTAGGTGGGGATCGGAGGTTCTTCGCGGATCTCGTAGAGGTGCTTCTCGTCGGCCATGACCTCGAAGCGGCGGATCGGTCGGATCCCGGAAGCGTGCGTGAACAAGCGTTCTGAATGGGTGCGATGCGATAGGGGGGTCCCGTTCGATTACTAAGAATATGATGATGTACTACCGAATGCGCATATACATGGTGAATAATAAGAAAGGGAGCGACGAGGGTAGGTAGGGCGAGGAAGCAACGTTGTGTTGGCTGTCGCAAGAGGTGGTGTCTCTGGAGACAGTGGTGGTGGTCTCGGAGACCAAGTCCGCCGACGCTTGGAATCTTGAGGGACGGGCGAAACACGTACTTTCTGTTACGACAGTTGGCCCTTCATTACTTGCGGGAAGGATGCATTTTTGTTTTGAATTACTGCCAGAATCGCTACATATATACAGCACCGAAACATATCATCTCATTATGCACGCGACCAGTCCCTCGGACTTGTAAACTGCAGTACCGTATCGCCGGTACCATTTACATATTGCGACCCCCGGTCACCATGATCGTCTGTCCACTAACATAGCTCATCAGCGGACTCGCCAGCGCAAGCACAGCGCTCGCTGCTTCTGTGGCGGTGCCCGGTCTCCTCAGTGGGATGTCCAAGTGCTGCTCTCCTGCACCAGGTCCGCCAGCCTTCTGCGCTCCTGGTATGCCGAGCGCAACCTTTGTGCCATCTGGAGTCGTGACAAACGCTCCCGCCTCCTTCGCTGCCGTCAACCGAGTCAGGATAAAACCTAGAGCTTCAGTTAGTATACTAGATCTCTACAATTGAAGAAACGCTTAGATAGGCAATACCAAAGGCTACCGTGTTCGCCCGCACCCCGAAAGCTGGACCCCACCTGCACAAGTCAGTGTCAGTATCGTCCTACAAACTGGGAAGTTGGACTCACTCCTTTGCAACTGTCTTGGTCAACCCAGTGACACCCGCCTTTGCAAGTGCGTAGTTAATCTGTCCTGCGTTCCCATGCACACCCGAGGTACTCGAGATATTGATGATATTCCTGGGCTCGCCGTCCTTGACTCTAAAGTACGGCGCAGCAGCCCTAATGATCTTGAATGGTGCAGTGCCGTGCACGTCGACAATGGTATGCCATTGCTTGTCGGTCATCTTGTGAATGACACCGTCCCATGTGTAGCCAGCATTGTTGACGATGATGTGGATCTTGCCGCCTCCGAAATCTGCAGCTTTCTTGATGAGGTCGGCAATGTATGCGTCGTCAAGGACATCGCCGGCGACCGCAAGGGCAGCGCCGCCACTCTGATTGATTTCGTCGGCTACGGTTTGTGCTTTTTCTGCTGGTGGTTTAGGTAGCTGTTGACTAGATCAAGCCCGGATGCCACGTACTCGCATCCACATCCGCAACCACAACCCTGGCGCCCTCGTTCGCGAACAGCCTCGCGGCTTCGGCGCCAATTCCCTGTCCTGAGCCTGTGATGATAGCTGTCTGGCCCGCCAACATACCCTTGGGGTAGTTGAGATGACCTGCGATCTGGTCAATGCGCTTGGACATATTGATCAGCAGCTAGAAGACCAAGACGATAAACTACGACTATGGTGGAGAAGAGCGAGCTTATAGAGTATCTTCCGCAGCCCGCGATCTTGAAATGCGGAGGGGCTTAACCGATGGATCAGATATCCCGCTGGCCGCTCGCATGGGCCGAGGTTCACCATGTTGCACGCTAGGCTGCTTTCAGGGTAGCTAGATCGAGGGAACTACTCGTCCATGTAGAGTCACCAGTGCTTAACTACTCGTCCTGTAACTGTACATCTCGCGAGAGCCATGAATGAGCGGCAAATTGATACATCGCGTGGATAAGTCTTTATCCAGGCCGGGGCACGCAACCAGAAAGGAAATAGCATTTGGCGCAAGCCATACATGAGTAGATACGGTTGCGTCAATGACGTACGAATGCTCCAAAGATATTGGTAATGCTTTGCAAAGATGGTTTTTGAAGCTATTATATGTGTCTCAGTTAGCATCTAGAAACGCCACTCGTTGCAATTGTCTTGACTACCCTCAGCGCAGTATGGTCAAGATTTTCATGTACGCCTCTGCCTTGATGATGCAGCTCATAATATGTCACTGACCATTCCAGCACCGGAGCCACCGGCTACATCGGCGGCGACACGCTTTACCACCTCTACAACAAGTATCCGAATTACGAATATACAGCCATCGTCCGCACCGAAGAGAAAGGAAAACAAGTTACTTCTAAGTTTCCCAAAGTACGAACCGTGAAAGGTGACAATGACTCCATCGACCTGCTTAAGGAGGAGAGTGCGAAGGCAGATATCGTGATCCGTAAGTGCTACTTCTTCAGCAATGGCACAGGAAGAGAATAGGGGTGAGAGGCAAAAATGCCACTACCATCTCATATTTTCTTCACTATTAAAAGTCTTCTGTCTTGACGCACATTCTTCACAGTATGCATACTAACACCCAGCAGATACAGCAGACGCCTCCGACAACGTCAATGCAGCTAAGGCCATCGCATCCGGCCTGACCTCCGGCCACACCTCCTCAAACCCTGGCTACTGGCTACACACCGGCGGCACCGGCATTCTGACCTACTTCGACACACGCGACGGCAAGCTCGGCGAGAACTCGGACAAGGTCTTCAACGACCTCGAAGGCGTGGAAGAGCTCGTCAACCTCCCCAGTGAAGCGTTCCACAGGAATGTCGATGAAATTGTCATCGAGACCGGGAAAAAACAGGGGGAGAAGGTGAAGACGGCGGTGGTATGTCCGCCGACGATATATGGTATGGCAAACCCCTCCTTCTCGCGGCTACGCGAGAAGCAATAGACTGATAGCGAACAGGAGACGGAAGAGGCCCCTCCTTAACTCGCGGCCGTCAAGTTTACGAACTCGCAAAATTGACTATACAACGCGGGAAAGCGCCCATAATCGGCGGGGGCAAAGCTCGGTGGAACAACATCCATGTGCACGACCTATCCCGCGCTTACGTGCTGCTCGTAGAGGCCGCAGTAGCAGGCAGAACCGATGAGGGGCTGTGGGGCGACAAGGGATATTACTTCACCGAGAATGGCGAACACTTCTGGTCCTCCCTCTCGCAACGCATCGCCGAGTCTGCCAAAAATCAGGGTTATATCCAATTCGCGAAGACCGAGGCTCTAGACAAGGCTACTGCGAACAAAGTCGCTGGCTTTGAGAGTATCAGCTGGGGCCTGAACTCGCGGGGTGAGGCAAGGAGGTTGAAGAAGTTGCTAGGGTGGAAGCCGCAGGAGCGCAGTATTGAGGATGAGGTGGATACGATTGTGAAGAATGAGTGGGAGAGGCTGCAGGAGAGTTGAAGCGGGGAAGTTCTAGCTTGTGGGGGTACTGTACAACTGCAGTACGTATAGTCAAACTGGCTCCACATTTGGCACATACGACCATAGGACCTTGAATACAGAGCTTCCCGTCCGCTCAGCTGTACTTAAGCAGGGTACCGGCGGATTAGTATTGCGGTCGGTGACGACGCGAGAATACCCGCTGTTGTATGTTTTTGGTTTGTCGTTTGGGTGGGTGGCCAGTGATCGTCCCTACGCCAACGTCTTTATGCACACTTGCCTCTGAACTTTTGTTCTTCTTAGCGCGAGAGAACTACTTTAAAGATATATAAGGTGCATTCATGATGATCAGGTACCGCTAGGTGCCTGGGGCATTGCCTGCCTCCATTCATGCTTTTGCAAAATCGTCTCAGCTCGCGGCTCATCACCTCCACGAGCTTTTAAGTCCCACCAGCCCTAACCTGCCGAACCTCTCATTGCCCACTCTTAGTTCGCACATTAGCTGCAGCCCTGGACACGGCTCCACTTTGTAAACTGGGCCCCATTCGCCTTCTCACTGGTAGGCTCGTCAAAGCGAGAATCAAAACTGGTATCAAAACTGGGCCGAGTATTTCGGTTGTTGCCGGGGTCGTTCAAGCTCAAACACGCTTGGGTACCATCTTGAGATCTGCGATTGTGTGAGTCACCAAAGAGGTTGTTCAGTGTGGTGCAAGGCTCTGTGCCTGAATGCTTCGGCGCACTGGAAGTGTGCGCCCGAGTGGTCTCTACGTGAGCGGAAGAATGACGAGCTCATAGGGTGAGCGGACAGCACCATGGAACAATATATGTTTCAGGTATTGCAGTGTCTAAATTCTCTCATCATGACGCACGATGCTTAGAGTCCGCTCGGGTGGTCTGCGGTAGCCTGCTTCGGCCGCATTCACGTCCGAGGTCAATGCTTTACATGGATGGTGCTGAGCAACAGCAGGTACTCTATGATGGTCTTTTTAACGTTTGAAGGCTGATAGAGCTGAGGATGCTGCCGGAGAGGCTTCCTGGTAAGCTGTAGGCATGTTGTCGCTCAGACGGGCCCCATCATTCCAGCGGCTGGACCCATTTGGTTCAAGGGGTCCGTCGTAGTAAGCAACTGGATAGCCTGATACATTAGCATGCGAAATGAAAAGAAAGGGCCCGGAATGTGATGTAGCGTAGCACTGGTATCATTATGTCGCGTCGTGACCTCGGACACCATATTGGTATCCTAGGAAATCGTAGAGCAGGCTACTGTACGTCTAGTGCTCCTCTATTTCCTCAATCCAATCCCACCATCTTCAATACGGGGATCAGCCCCGTTTCCAACATGTGCCGAGTGAGGTCCTACGTTTGTGCTGCCGGTGGTCATGCCGCGATTATCGAGGTCTGAATCAAAGCGCGGGTCAAGCTTGTTGCCAACGTTCGTGCCGTGCGGGCCGTTATTCGTCGAACCGACAGTTGCGGACTCGCCTTGTGCCGCCCGGTTGATACGCTCCCGATCGGTGTCTACAGGCGTAACGCCAGCTCCGGTTCCATGATAGTGGCCTGTCTCGAACTCTTCCACGCCGCGGGAAGCGATGTTCTGTTGGCGCTGTGCAGACTCACGGTCGCCGGTAGCTGAGTCTACTGCCGCATTGAAATTTCCGCGGATAGCTTCTCCGGTACCCTGCGGATTGTGAGTAAAAGCTATGGACAGCTGGAGAAGGACGGCCAGGGATCGAAAGTAAGAGAGAACACACATACGTGGATTCTCCCGACGCCCTTCTTGATAGCATTTCCAAGGCCCTCACCAGTGCTCGACCCGGACATCTCGAATGTGTTTGTAATGATGTTGACGTGGATGAGGTTCGCAATGTTGAGGTTTGTAGGTTAGAGATCGTGGTGCGTGATGTCGGATGCTTATTATTTTTTAAACATAGAATTGTCAGGTATGACGAATGAAACATGCTCGGAAAGGTACTTGCTATCCGCGGTTGCCATAACATGCCTTGAAGTGAAGTCGCGCCTGCTTTGACAAGGGTGCGGTGACATCATTCGCCGATCGTGGAATGTTGTGGATACACGCGGGCTAATGTCATAGTCGCATCACAAAAAGCATGCAGGTCTCAAGGCTCCAGCTCCTCGTGAGACACGTGATTGTGTTCAACAATGTTACATTTCAAGGGTGATCGATTCCCTTAACACTACATGCCCAGCACATTTGATGCCTTTGATATCCTAAATCTCATCCAGTCATAAGTTCATACACCAGTTCAGATCCTTTAACACTGCAAACCCCCAAAACAAACCACTTTCTCATCCACTTAAACCATATCTACAACTTTCCGGTGGTGTAAAAGTCGTCAAGCGCGACGACGATACGCTTGGTCATGGTCTTCTCGCCCTCGCGTACCCAGACACGGGGGTCGTAGTACTTCTTGTTGGGCTTGTCCTCACCCTCAGGGTTACCAACCTGGGTCTTAAGGTACCCCTCCTTGCTCTTGAAGTAGTCACGGAAACCGTTGCTGTACGCCCACTGCAGATCAGTGTCGAGGTTGACCTTGACGACACCGTATGAGATAGCCTCGCGGAAGTCGTCGACGGAGCTACCGGAGCCACCGTGGAAGACAAGGAATACGGGCTTCTCCTCCTTAGCCTTGATCTGCTCCTTGACGAATTCTTGGTGCTTCTTGAGAAGCACGGGCTGGAGCTTGACGTTTCCGGGCTTGTAGACACCGTGGACGTTACCGAAACCGGCGGCGATGGAGAAGTAGGGGGAGATCGGGGACAGGGTCTTGTAGATCTCATAGATGTCTTCGGGCTGGGTGTAGAGCGAGTTGTTGTCAACATCCTCGTTATTGACGCCGTCCTCCTCACCACCGGTGATGCCGATCTCCATCTCGAGCCACTGCTTCATGGGAGCAGCACGCTTGAGGTACTTGGCAGTAGTCTGGATGTTCCAGTCTACGGGCTCCTCAGACAGATCGATCATGTGGGAGGAGAAGAGGGGCTCGCCGTGCTCCTTGAAGTAGGCCTCGTCGGCGTCGAGCATGCCATCAAGCCATGGCAGGAGCTTCTTTGCGCAGTGGTCGGTGTGGCTGAGGTGGTCAGCGGTGGTAGGTCATGGCGTCACAGGTGATAACCTACAGAACGACAGGTACGCCGTAAACGGGAGCAATTGAACGGATGTAGTGAGCGGCGGCAACGGCACCAGCGATGGAGGCGGCCTGGTCCTTGTTGTCTACGCCCTTGCCGGCGAAGAAAGCGGCACCACCTTGCGAGGTCTGGAGGATGATGGGGCTGTTCTTATCGCGGGCAGCCTCGAGGGATGCGACCACAGTGGAGCTCGAGGTGACGTTGATGGCGGGGATGGCATAGTTGTTCTCCTTTGCGTGCTGGAACAGCTTGAGCACATCGTCACCAGTGATGACACCGGCCTTGCGGGAGAGAACGCTGGCGGAGTCAGTAGAGGTTCGGAGACGGGATCCGCGCATCGCAAGCTCCAGGAGAGATGAATGAAGCCAATGCTGCCATTGTGCCTCGAGCGCGTCTTCAATCACCGATCGCGTTCTCACGCCACATGCAGCGGGGGAGGGACATTGACTTACTCTTTAGCACCCATTGTGATTGTAGCTGTGTGGTAGTTTCGTGAATGTAGGAGGCTGACTGAAGATTTGCGAGTTAGAAAAGTCTGAAGCAGAGGATATAAAGGGAGAGCTCTGATGTAATTGCTTGATCCACCGGTGTTGAGGTGGGGTTCAGCTTCGCACTTTCCATGCGAACCCCACCAAGCCGATGCCGCCGGCTCTCACAAAAGCAACACGCACCCTGGCAACGAATCACGAGACAAAGTGTGCTTACCTGATACGAGAGAGTGGGTAGTCAATTGAAAAGTCTGAAGCGGCTGTGACGTGGGTTGAGCTTGGATCTTAGGGCCTTTAGCTGTCGACCGTCACGGCCGCGCTGCTGTCATGGCCCGGAGAGAAGCTCGGCTCAACTACTGCACGCGCTCTTTGCCCGATTCTCTCCGTACGCAGACGGCTGTGGTTTCAGGGCGGGCGCATCGCGATTGGTGGCCTTTACTTCGCTATACCTCGATCCGTTTCCGAAGACTCTCGAATGCTAGGTGCTCTGCCGCGCTGTCGAATCCCTCACGCGTGAGCATCACGACACATGGATGAGCACATCGAATGGCTTTTACGCCGGTTCCTCGAGGCTGTCGCGCTCCGAACGGCGCCTCACGTCGTGTCCATTGGCCCGAATCAGGAACATACCGGCATTGACATCTTTTGTACAGTGTATGGTGACAGCGAACCGAGAGACGTCCGCATCCTCGGCTCTGCGCGGTCCCCGTCTCCCTATCGTACATATGCAAAGTCCCCGTGGAGACAAATATGACAGCAAAACATTCGGTTGAGTGCAACACTCTCCCAGAATGGCTTAACAGTCCAACGGTGTTATTCATACACCACCTGTTCCCGGAGCAAATCTTCTGTCTCACCCTCTTTCACATCTGTGGTATAGCACGCTATTCCTTCGCCCGAACCCGAACTTGTCTGGTCAAAGGCTGCGCGGCTCCTTGAACTCTGATCTCTACCTTGAACGTGCCCAACTGCTTCACTTTGGAGGTATCGCCTTCTTCGTGACCACTCACAAAGTCGACGTCGCTTTCCGAGAGGAGAACGCGGGCCGCCTCGTCGTTGTGGGCAAGTGCAGACTTGATCGTCGCGACAATATCTGCCGTGGACACCGATCCGTAAATTGCATTTTCCAAAGGCTTAGGTTTGCTCGCCGACATAGCCGCGTTCAAGATGTCTGCCGCAGCGGAAGCACCATATCGTTTCGCGTCTGTCTTCTCCTGCTCGATGAGCTGCCGTGCGAAGTCGATCGTGGGCGGTACGAAGGTATCGATGAGCTCCATGGATCGCTCGGCCTGCTTTTGTCAGAGTACATTCATAGCGAGATAGAGGAGAAAGCGTACACTGAGCAGTTCAAGCTCAATTGGCCGCACATAGTGCTGTTTCGGCTTTTGCGCAATTTCTACATCATCTTCAATTTCCTCCAATGCTACCTTGACTCCGAATGTAGCGTCGCGGGTCATATCCACATCTTGAGCCTTCAATTGCTTCAGTTGCAGGATGGGTACGTAGTTGGCGACGCGCGCGGGAAACCATTTATTTCGCATGAGGGCTGGGTTGATGGGAACATACGAGCCTGTCCATGATTAGTGACTGTTAGGCAGCGCCGTCAGCCGTCATACCTGCGCGCCCGAATCGCGGGATGTCCTGCAGCAACTTAACGACAATGTTGCGCTCCGCCTCCTTCGCTGCCTTGGATATATTGCGAATCTGCTGCTGCTGGCCCCATCGATCCAGCCCCCGCCGCGTCACCCTTCGTATGCACGATGTGCACTGCGGAAGCAGCGACGGTTTCGTTATGGATGCCATAGCGGGTTGTGGTGCTGTGGAAGCGGTGCTGACTAGAAAACGAACAAGCTAAGCATCACATAGAATTCGGGATACTTTGCGAGATGCACGCTAGCACGGTGTCTAGTCCGGTGCGGGCTTAGTCTGAAGACTTCACGAAACAAACGGCAAAGGCTACCAGGGCTTACAGCGGCCTACCGCATGGGACATCTCCTCTAACATGGCATTTCGTGGTAGGCACGTCTTGTCTGCTGCCTGCGCCTTCCCTCAAAGACCACGAACACCGCCGTCAGCGCCCGCTTCCTCTTTCACCTGGCGGTAGATAGCGACATCGGCCCTAGACACTTGCCGCGGCCCACCGGACGAGGGACCTTTGACCATCCTAGAGTCTTCCCATAATTGCTGGACTCTTGGGCGCCTCTGCTGCAGCATCGCGCCGCCATGCCCGAGAAGCCGCTGACAGTAGCGACATACGCCGCCGGAGCCTCTCTTGCCGCCATCACACTTGTCTACGTTTTCGGGCCAACCTTTTTCCTCGACGACGAAGCATCGAGCACACGCAAAAAGGGAGTCGTGGGCCTGAGCAACACCGCAAACGACTGCTTTATCAATTCGATCCTCCAAGCCCTCGCCGGGCTGCCCGACCTGCGCATATACCTCATTCGCGAAACACACCGGCGGAAGCTCGACGGCCCAGAACTCTACGATGTCGACCCGGAGAAATTAACTCTCGAAAGGAGAGCTACAAAGCCATGGAAGTTGGAAGGACTGCAAAAGGGCTTGGTCACACATGCTTTGAAGGAGGTCCTCGACAAACTCAACGAGCGACCTATATATAAGAAGACGATTTCTCCACAACCCTTCATCCGAGCGCTGGAACATGCTTTTGGCACGCGCATTAGCAGACAACAACAGGACGCCCAGGAATTCCTTCAGATCGTGACGGAGCGCCTATGTGACGAGTACCATGCCGGGACAAAGGCAAGACGACAGGCGCAGACAGCCATCAACGGTGACACCGCGTCAGAGACACAGGAGATTGCCGAACAATTTGGAATTGCCCCGCCCAAAGCCGCGAATCTTCCAACAGATAGTGAGGCTGCAGAGCCGGGTACGGACAATGACGAATCATCAGCCAGCGAAGATGGTTTTCCTTTTGAAGGTAGGATCGAATCACAGATCGAATGTCTGACCTGTGGTTTCAAGCCTAAGGCATCATCGTCCGCTTTCGTCACCTTAACACTAAGTGTACCCCAGACATCGACGACATCTTTAAACAAATGTCTCGACGGCGTCTTCAAGGTGGAACACATTGACGATTTCAAGTGCGAGTATTGCCGCTTGGATCACGCAATCGAAAGTAAAACCAAAGAGCTCGCGCGGGCGTTGGCTCCCGAAGTCCAGCGCGCATTACAATTAGATATTGACAAACTCCAACGAGCGCGGGAAAGCGACCCCGAGAAGCCTCCAGAGGGCGTGGAGCTGCCTGATCCTAATCTGGCTCCTAAACGTCGAATCGCTCGCCACATGTACATCTCTTCATTCCCTAAAGTCCTTGCGCTGCATCTATCACGTTCTGTATTTGCAGTCGGCACCGTATCTACCAAAAATCTTGCCAAAGTAAATTTCCCCGAATCTCTGCCTCTAGGAGGTATACTTAATCGCAAGAACTATCGCCTGTTAGGAATGGTCAGCCACAAAGGCACACACAACAGCGGTCATTATGAGTCTTTCCGCCGCCAGGTCCAACCCATACCATACTCTACTCCGCACTCCTTTGGTACCGAAGGAGTGTACAGCATGCAAGGAACCCCCATTCCATCGGCAGTACAGAGTCCACGAATGTCGAGCGTCAACCTTCCCAATGGTAATGGCCGTGGATCACCACTGCCTGCAACTCCGTCACTAGATTCCCCATCCACGAGATCGCTTTCGTCACAATCGCGCTCCTCAAACTTTTCACCCAGAATAGCGCCTACTTCGGCGCCTCGTGAAGACTCCACCCAAGAGGCATCTTCGTCTCCCACATCTGCATCAATTTCGCGACCAAAAAGCTTGAGATCAATCAAAGGTTCGCTGAAGGAAAAAGCATCCGATGCAAACCCACTCAAAAAGAGGTCGAAACGAGCCAACAACCGTTGGTGGCGGATCAGCGATGACAAGGTGAAGGAGAGCAAGACGAGCGATGTCTTGGGCATGCAAAAGGAGGTCTATTTGCTTTTCTACGAGCTTGATAGAAGGAGTGAAGACTAACACTCCCGACGACGCATATGGGACGGTCTTTTTGCAACATTCATCATAGGACTTCTTGTCCCATGGGAGCCGAGTTCGGCGGCATATTGGGAGCACATGAGGTTTCTCAGCTCTCTGCATTTTTATGTATATATCACCGTGGAAGTAGATCTCTCCGATCGTTCAGGCATAGATACCCTCTGTCGATATGGGATTGGCCGCTAGCGATTTATCAGCATTGGCATGATTGGTCAACAACCTCGAAAGCATTCGAGCGATCATACGAACCCCACTTCTCCCGTATCCCCTTCGCATATGTGATGCAACGTCTACTGAAAGCTTACGTTACACTGGAGTCGCGGTAGCAACACGACGCAGCTCTGTCATTGACCGGGTCTAGTGGGGATGGCTCCTTCCACCTAAGAGCGCTCAGGCAACTGCACAGTATAAGAGTATACCAGCTCATGGTCGTATCTGCTGTCAACGTCTCGAACATCTAGTCCAGGCCAAAGTCGCTCAGGCACAGTCTGTAAAGCGCGTCACTTGAATCGGTTTTTGAAATAAAATCACAACCCCCCAGCCACCGACATGCCTCCCTCTGCCACAGCACCTTCTCCATCGTCGGCACTCAACGAAGACATGTTCCTCAAAGCCCCGGGTACACAGCTCTTTCTCAATCCACCCCACATACTCATCATCGGCGCCGGCTCCCGCGGCTCCGCATACGCGAAAGCTGCGCTTTCATCGACCAACAGCATCGTGGCTGCTATCGCAGAGCCCATCGCTTACAAGCGCGCTGAGTTCGGGCGTAAGTACGTATGGGGGAAAGAGCAGCCGGAGCTAGGGCAGGAGTTTGAGGGGTGGCAAGAGTGGGTGGAGTATGAGAAGAGGAGGAGGGAGAGGGAAAGGATCGGGTGAGTATCTGTGTCTTTGGTGGTGTTGAGGGGGATGCTGACGAGTGCAGGGAAAAGGTAGAATCGGCGATCGATGCGGTGTTTGTGTGTGTGCTGGATGAGATGCATGAGGAGGTTGTCTGTGGCATTGCAGGGCTGGGCGTGCACATCTGCTGTGAGAAGCCATTGGCTACGAGGCTACAGAGCTGTGTCAATATCTTCAAGGCGTTGCAGAGTGCGAAGCAAGATACAGATAGGACTGTGAATGGGGAGAAGAAAGAGACGATTTTCGGAATATGCCATGTCCTGCGGTACAGTCCGCATAACATGATGTTAAGGAACCTGGTGTTGGATAAAGAGGTGATTGGGGACGTGCTTAGTATTGAGCATGTAGAGCCCGTGGGGTGGTGGCACTTCTCGCACGTGAGTAGAGCTAGGTCTGAATTGGTATGAACACTGACAATGCGCAGAGTTACGTGAGAGGCAACTGGAGAAAAGAGTCCAAGACAGCGCCTTCGCTCTTAACAAAGTCATGTCACGACATCGACTTCATCCTTTGGATGCTTTGCTCCCCACCACCGAACGCTGGTTCTGAACCGCATCTGCCTTCACACTTGAGTTCCACCGGCTCCAAGAAGTTCTTCAGAAAAGAGCGGAAACCCGAAGCTGCTGGCAATGCAACGAATTGTCTATCATGTCCTCATGAAAAAGACTGCCTCTACAGCGCCCCCAAGATCTACCATGAGAGGCATTTACAGCAAGGTAACACAGGATGGCCTGTCAATATTGTGAACCCTGAGATTGAAGAAGTTTACAACAGCGCTGGGGCAGCTACAGCTACGAAGCAACTGTTCAGAGACCTCAGCGAGGACTATACGGTGGACACTCCGGTCACTGAAGTGGAGTCAAGACCATGGTTCGGTCGATGTGTGTGGGAAGCGGACAATGATGTTTGTGATGATCAGAGCGTGACTATCACTTGGGAAGACGATCCGCTCCTCTCAGAGAATGACGTTGGACCGACCTTGAAAGGAAGAGGAGCGAAGACGGCACACTTGCACATGGTTGCCTTTACGGAAAAGATATGCGAAAGGCGAGGCAGGATCTACGGCACCAAAGGCGAGATAGAGTATGACAGTACGACTATCTCTGTCCACGAGTTCGCAACGGGCGAGACGAAGGTGTACAAACCGCACCTCGCAGCTGGTGGCCATGGAGGAGGTGACGAAGGCCTCGCCCGGCAGTTCCTCATGGGTGTGGAGGCAGTCGACTCCAAGCGCATGTCGGCGGCAGACGCCCAGCGCGAATTCCTCGGGTGCGATTTGGAGGAGGCTTTTAGAAGTCACGCCATGGTGTTCGCAGCTGAAGACGCCCGGACAAAGCGTCAAGTGGTCGACTGGAAAAAGTGGTGGGCAGACCAGGTGGAAGCGCAATTACACGGATGGTGGTAGTACGAAGCGCCGACGAGCGACGAGGGCGGCTTCCGTAGATGATGAAGTCGGGCGCGTACGTGAAGGCATGGACGACATGAGGCTCTGTCGAAACCACGATGATGCTGGTAACGCTCCTCCCCGATGCATCGTTCATCCGAGCAGGTTTACGAGGGACGCCATTTCTGGTCAATTAGCGGTAATTCTCCTGCCCGGCTCGGGAGCTCGCGAGCCGGTTCGAGGTTATTTTGGGATCTATAGCGTGCAGAGAATGACACCTAATATATCCGTTTCGGGAGCATCGGCGCTTAACATGGGTGGCCAGTGACACATGGCACCATGAGGCTCAACGGAGGATAATGCACGTCTTTCCAGAAGCGGATGCCAGCCCTACCATCGAAGAGCAACAGTGTCGGCGCTTCGTAGCATGGTTCCAGAGCCAATAGCCGGCGCTGGTATGCCGTGGATGGGCAGAGCAAGACGCGCAAACCGTTGTTCGTGCAGGCCCGGAGGGTCAGCGATGGCACAGGGCGAGTACGGTCGGCGCATCCATAGCGCTGGTTCGAACGCTTTGAAGTCGGTCGGGCGCAAAGGTGGGCGGTGCCGCGGACCCGGAAAAAGCAGGCCGGCACACAGACGCGTGCAGGACGCGTCCTCTCGTGAGCGATGCACGCTCGTGTTATAGTCGTGAAATGCGTACTTGGTCGCCTTCTGTGAGTCACAAATGTCGGTATGCACGGTGTACGGGAGAAACGAAACTCTGAGGCGGCGTGGGCCAATCGCTCGGCCGGGCAGCGATGACTCTTGACGGGTGCAGGGGCCAGACACGTCGGTGCACGGCTTTTGCGGGGACGCTGCCGAAGCTGTCTAGACAGCAGACAGCCCGTATTGGAGCGCTGCGATTGGAGCGTCGCTGTTTCTGCCCATGACATGCTGTCAGGTGCGGGGTCCGAGCCGGGCGCCAAACCGCCTCCACAGCATCCAGCCACGACACCTCACTTGGACGTGCAGCTGTAACTGCCGCTCGCGCCTATACCATCCCTCTCGAGGCATCACCACAGCATTGCGAACGGCGCCGCTCCTGCCCGGTTTCAACTTAGCCAACCGCCCCAGTATGCAGCGCCTCGCCGTGCTCTTCCTCTTTGGTATAGACGCTTCTGCAACCTCACCACGCCCAGCCACTGAGCGTCAACGACTCCCAGCAGCCTTTCCACATGCAGACTGCACGGAAGCAAGAATAGTAGTAGCCTTCGAGTAGACCTGTTCAGCGCGGGTACTCGCCCACCAGCCGCTTGTTTCACCCTCCACGTAGAACATGCTGATACACCCGCTCTACTGCTGTATACCCTCAGGCTCGGCCTTGGGAACTCGATGAGATCGTGTTTCAGAATGTTTTAGCGCTAGGCCTCGCTGGGGCTGCGCGTTCGTCGGCCAGTCGTTGTGTGAGCTTCGTCCCGGGAAGAATAAGTACCCAGGGCTTCGCCGCACAACCACACTTCATTCCAGCATTCATCATCGCGAGCATTGCACTGCCTACGAGCTCTCACGAGTCTCTTTCGTTCCGTTTCTCCCGTGTCTTAGACCCCACGGAGCTGGTTCTCCATTTTAATTCCTATTCATAATTTGTTTGTTCTTTACCACTCAAGCCTAAGTCATTGGCTATCAACTGTCGTCGTCGACCGCATTCTTATTTCGCACAGTCCGGTAGCTTGATCCACATTAGCAATGTTCCACCGACAGACAACACCACCCACCACTACCCTCAGCTTCATGCCGGGCAGTGTTGGGTCCGTATCTGATAGCACCTTCTACTCACAAAACGCCTCGCCTGCGGGATCCGTCATAACCGCGAACACCACTCCGCCACGATCACCTGTGAGGCAACATGGTCCGCTCCTCCTCCCCAAGGTCCGGACACAGGATCAGATCGCCGAGCCCACTGGTGGTCCCGTCAGACATCGCCGGACGACGTCTACCTCCAGCAGCCTGTACGGTTCAGCATACAGCCCTTACTCTCGTCCTGGTTCAATGATTCGTCGTGGTTCCAGCCCTTTCAATCACTATGCCACAAGCACTGTTGGTTCTCCGGTCTCAACGGCTTCCTACGATCTAAGTCTTGCTACTTCCACTCTTAATTCTCCTATCGCGTTCCCTCAGGAATCGCGCCGGGCTTCTTATGCTGCTCATGGTCGGTCAAGATCTGCCACTGCAGTGCCCCGTCATGTGCGCTCTGGTTCCGCAGGAAGCATTGACGAGACCGTCATCACTCGTTTTGGCTTCCCTACCTACCGCAACCTTCCCTCCTACGTGACGTCTTCGAGCGCGGCCCAGCCGAGTGTGATCACTGCGATGCCAACCGCCACCTATAGTGAGCCTCAAGAGGTTACTTACACCAACATGACCACCCAGGACTACACCTTTACAGACTTCGATCCCGCTCCAGCGGTTCAATACCCATTCAATACCGAAGTCAACTTCGACAGCTTTCCCACTCTTCCCACTTCGTCTCTCGTCGAGTACCTCACAGCGCCCAACCCTTCGCCGGCTCTAGTAAGCCGCGTTACCAGTGTGCCCCGTGGCACAAACACACACTTCTGGTGGGACATCCGCAACCTCCGCTCCTGGACGGACTTTACCATCTCCACCGTTACCTCGTTGCCATCCGTCCTACCCCTCCTCGAAGTTCCAGTCACTTCCTCCTTCCTCCCCGAGCCTGCCCGCCAGACTGTCCAGCCCGAGAATCAGTCCGCCCTTCACGACATGTACACAAACTACTACGCCACCAAGGTCAACGCCGCGCTCAAAGTAACCCAAGGCACCACACACATGGTAATGCGCCCGCTCAAGTCTCTTCCCAGCATGCGCCCCCAACCCGACTTCGTCTCTTCATACCCCTCCGACTACGAGAAGACCATCTACGGTGACGCCCGCGGGCGCGTCGTCGGGCTGGTGAAGTGCTATGACCAGTGGAACACGGGCATGCGTGGGGAGTCTCCACCAAAGCAGGTGCTCTACTTGCAGGGCCTCGCGCACCTGCACCGCGTGATGCGCGAGCACGGCTGCCGCTATGGGTTCATCATGACGGAGATCGAGCTCTTGTGCGTGCGGGCCGGAGGTCACTCTACCACGATCGACCCCACGACCGTCAACGCGCAGACGGGCGTCCCGATCTTCGGGTACCTCGAGACTTCGGCACCGATTCGCCTCTCCACCGCTGGGGTTAGCCAGGACGGCGAGATTCAGATGACAGCCCCTCTCGCGCTGTGGTATCTCCACATGCTGGCCAAGGAAAACCCCTTCGAAGGCATGGGCACGTGGCGCATGGACGTTGGTGGACCGGCGGCGTTGACGAGGCAGAACTGTCTTGAGAAGGATGCGTGGGTGCCCAAGCCGCAGCTGGGGGAGAAGAGGGAGGCGAAGAGAGTGAGGGGGTGGGTCTTCCCCGAGGAGCCCTTGAGCAAGAGGGAGTGTGGGAGGGGGAAGAGGAAGGGTAATAACTAAGGAGACTTGTGGGGACTGGTCGCCTCCATGTGCTGGTCGCATGAGAGCGCGCTTCTTCTTGGTGTTTGATTTTTCTGGATTGGGGTTCTTATGATGGGATGAGGGTCATGATGCATCAATTGGCGTCTTTGCTGCATTTTCGGGGTACCATAGGGCTAACTGCCTGTCGCTTCAGACATTAATTACGCCGTTCAGAGTCATCTGCATGCCTTGTCCCGGTTAGAAAAGCCTGTGCGAGCTACTCCACGCTCTGGACCTTGGACTGATGTGCATCTCTTGGATCCAACATGACGGCTGGTGACGGGGATCGCGTTGCCCGAAATGTATTCTTCCCGACGGCCGTCGTGCTCGGAGGTCAACGAGCTAAACCTCATCGGGGCGCTTTTACCATGCCCAAGGCCCCGCTTCTCCCCAGGGTCCTCTCTTTTCCGTACACACGAGGACACGTAGAACCAGATGTCGCGAAGAACAGCGCTGCTCGCAAACAAGCTACGGTTACGTGAAGATATCGGTGGTGTGCAAATCGGAGCACTGGGGGAGCATACGGCGGGGAAGGTCGCGGGGTGATTGGCCACTGGGATCGGTAGTGCGATAAGGGAGCGGGACGTCATCCGAGCTCCTAGCAAGACGGATAGTCGCGGTCTTGCGGGAGCGCGTGTAGGATTTGGATACAGAGCGCGCACACCGCTCACGCCTCCTCCATTCCTACAGCGCTGCGACCAGACGTCTATTGCTTCCCGTTGTTGACCTTTGTCGGGTTTCTGGGTTGCTAGCTTTGTCTGCCACCTACCGCCGCCGTCGCTGTAAAGGCCCGAGAAGGTAGGCAAATTCCCCGAGCAAGACCTGTCAGTCGCTGCTACCTCCACGCTGTTCAGGAGCAGAATTGACTTTTGATTCAGCCATCACCTGGTCCAGCTTCGAATTGGTGGCATTGAGCCCCCAGAGCGGCCAATATGCGTACCGCAGCCCTCAGAGCAGCTTCGACGCTTGCTCGAGCCACCCGCTCGCCGCGCGTGAGCTACTCTGCTCAGAACCGCTCGCTGCGGCTCTTCTCGACATCGCCCGCCTTCCGCAATGCCACCTTGAATCCTACTGCTTCGCTTGACTTCCAAGCGACTGGCCCCGAGCATGTGCTGGAAGCAAAGCAGGACCCTTCGCAGGCTGTCTTGGCCTTCAACGATGTCGACACGTTTCCCCGCCGACACATTGGGCCATCTGCATCGTCTGTTCAAGAAATGCTCGCGACTCTCGATCCGCCAGTTGCGAGCTTGGACGAGTTCGTCAAGCAAGTTGTTCCGGAGAGCATCCTCTCTGAACGCTCCTTGGAAATCGGTGGCATCTCGACAAACAACACTAAACCCACCCAAACCCACTGGACTGAGAACGGAGTGCCGGAAAGCATTTTCCTCAGAGAAGCTCAGCGGATTTTCGACAAGAACATCCCTGGCGTGAGCTATATTGGGCAAGGATACTATGGCACCAAAGTTCCAGAAGTGATCAAGAGGAACGTCCTAGAAAATCCAGCGTGGTATACCAGCTATACCCCCTATCAGCCAGAGATCAGCCAGGGCCGCTTGGAGTCACTACTGAACTTCCAGACAATGCTGACCGACCTTACCGGACTTGCAATCGCAAATGCTTCCGTGCTCGATGAACCGACCGCCGCCGCTGAAGCAATGACACTATCTCTCGGGCAACTTCCTGCATCGCGCCAGAGACGCCCAAACAAAACACTTCTTATTTCCGACCGTTGCCACCCGCAGACAATCGAGGTGCTGCGTTCTCGAGCTGATGGCTTTGGCATCAAGATTGAAACTGGTGACGTTCTGGCAAATGACTCCAAGCGAGTCGAGGAGCTCGGCGATGACTTGGTGGGTGTCATTGCGCAATACCCTGACACCGAAGGCGCTGTGGAGGACTTCCGCGGGCTGGCGGACAAGGTGCACAAGAAAGGCGCTCTCTTCAGTGTGGCCACGGATCTCCTTGCCCTGACCCAACTGACCCCTCCCGGAGAATTCGGCGCCGACATCGCCTTCGGAAACGCGCAGCGCTTTGGTGTGCCTCTCGGATACGGCGGCCCTCATGCGGCCTTTTTCGCTACATCTGACAAGATCAAGCGAAAGATGCCCGGGCGCATCATCGGTCTTTCCAAAGACAGACTTGGCAACCCGGCGGCGAGATTGGCGTTGCAAACCCGTGAGCAACATATCCGACGAGAAAAGGCGACAAGCAACATCTGCACTGCCCAAGCTCTGTTGGCTAACATGAGCGCTATGTACGCAGTTTACCATGGACCTGACGGCATCAAGTGCATTGCGAGACAGGTCGTTGCGGTGACTCGACGTGCGCAGCAAGTTTTAATCAACTATGGTTACAAGACTGGACAGCGTGGCAACCTGACAGATGCTCCTGCGGCGTTCGATACGTTCGTAGTTGCTACGGGAGAGAAAACGGACAAGATCGTTGCGCAGGCACTCGCCAACAACGACCATGTTCGCAAGCTTGACGACCAGCACATAGGACTTTCTTTCGACGAAGCGTCGACTAGTGAAGGCGTTGGACGTCTGCTGTCGTACTTCCGCGAAGCTGCTGGCGTCACTGAAGAACAGAACGTCATCGAAATGGTTACCGTTGCACCCCCGACTGGCTTCGAACGCACAAGCGAATTTCTTACTCACCCAGTCTTCAACTCGCACCATTCGGAGACAGAATTGCTACGCTACATCCACCATCTACAATCGAAGGATCTTTCGTTGGTACACTCTATGATCCCGTTAGGATCTTGCACCATGAAGCTGAACGCCACGAGTGAAATGGCTCCAGTATCATGGGCCACCGTGAACAACCTGCACCCGTTTATGCCGCTAAATAAGGCTGAAGGCTACCAGATTATGATCAAGCAGCTGGAGGATGATCTTGCCAACATCACAGGCTTCCATTCCGTATCGCTTCAACCTAACTCGGGGGCCCAAGGAGAATTCGCTGGACTGCGCGTCATTCGGAAGTACCAGGAGCTGCAACCCGGCAAGAAGCGCGACATATGCTTAATTCCCAAGTCCGCACACGGTACCAATCCGGCCAGTGCCGCAATGGCAGGTATGAGGGTCGTCACTATCAATTGTGATACAGTTACCGGCAATCTCGACATGGCCGATCTCGAGGCCAAGTGCAAGAAGCACAGCGAAGAGCTTGGTGCCATTATGGTCACATACCCCAGCACATTCGGTGTGTTTGAACCCCAGATCAAGGAGGTCTGCGACATGATTCACGAACATGGCGGCCAAGTATACATGGACGGCGCCAACATGAACGCCCAGATCGGCCTCTGCTCGCCTGGCGAAATCGGCGCCGACGTATGCCACTTGAACCTTCACAAGACCTTCTGTATCCCCCATGGCGGTGGTGGCCCAGGCGTTGGCCCCATCGGCGTGAAGGAGCACCTCGCGCCCTTCCTTCCCGGCCACCTGCGGGGCGAGACTGGCGGCGACAAAGCCATCCATCCGATCAGTGGCGCTCCCTGGGGTAGCGCAAGTATCCTTCCCATCAGCTGGGCCTACATTAAGATGATGGGCGCGGTCGGCCTCACGCAAGCCACAAAAATAACCCTCCTCAACGCAAACTACATTCTGGCGCGCCTCAAGCCGCACTATCCCATCGTCTACACCAACGACAAGGGCCGCTGCGCCCATGAATTCATACTTGATATCAGAAAATTCAAGGACACGGCTGGCATCGAGGCCATCGATGTTGCGAAGCGCCTCCAGGACTATGGCTTCCACGCCCCGACAATGTCCTGGCCCGTCCCCAATACGCTGATGATCGAGCCCACCGAGAGCGAGAGCAAGCAGGAGCTCGACCGCTTCTGCAACGCGCTCATCTCCATCCGTAAAGAGATCGAGGCGGTGGAGAAGGGTGAGCAGCCCAAGGAAAACAATGTGCTCAAGATGGCACCGCATAGCCAGCTGGATCTGTTGACGGGCGAGTGGGATCGTCCTTATACAAGGGAGCAGGCCGCGTATCCACTACCCTATCTCAAAGAGAAGAAGTTCTGGCCTGCAGTCACTAGAGTCGACGACGGTAAGTTCCCTTTCCACTTCCAAAGTTGTATTGAGGAGAGATGCTAACGGTGATCAGTCTGGGGCGACAGCAACCTCTTCTGTACGTGCGCGCCGCCCGACGACACCGAGGACATCAACAAGGCCATCGATGCGCCGCAGCCGACGTAGTGTCCTCACCTCCCACCTAATCTCATCTGATGTGTCTGTACATATGGTTCATGGGTTCTGGGCATTTACGAACCTACTCTTCAACAGCGCTGGCGTTTGGTGTGATATGATATGGATGGAAATATAGAACATGCATATACCGAGTTGCGCTTTTCCTCATCGTCTTCAACACGTGGGGTGACTGCATTAATAGACCAAATTCGATTTTGATCTTCCAATATGTGTGCCTGTTCCACTTGGAGCAATGCCAGTCTTGATCTATCCTACCGACATCTAGCAAACCGAGCACCATAAACGCTGCGCTGATATAACAGCTAACCCAACATCAAGCTGTGTACTATACAAAGCACCTCCGCCAGAGCTTCTGCAACCACCCACTCTGCACCCACATCTTCAACTCTTCGTCCCTATCCTCACTCCCATCCTCATCGCCAGGACCCTTCCAGCCATCCTTGGCGTATGAATTCTCCTCTTCATCCCTTTCCCTATCACTTTCTTGGTTCTCCAGAATGACACTCCACTCCGCAACCGTTCCCCCCGCATACGCACTTCCGTTCCCCAGATTCCCCCTGATCCCCAGATGCACGTACCTCCCACTCCATACCCTGTCCTTGCCCACAAGCGTAATATTCGTCTGGTTGCCCTTCACGGGCTCAATCACCGTCGCGCGCTCCGGATCCCACGGCTCACTGGCTTTTACTAAGCCTGCGGTGACATTGCGTACGTCGCCTCCATCTTCTTCGAGGAAATTATGCTCTTCGAGGAAAGGCGGTATGGACGTGTTGGATACCAGTACCTCGAAGTACGTAGGCGGCTGCGCACCCCAGTCGAAGAGAACCTGGTGGATTGGGCCGTAATGGGAGGGCTGTGTGTCAACTGTGAGGTAGTTCAGCCGTGTCGAGTTTTCAGGCTGCCATTTCGTGGAGGAAGCGCCGTCGATGGCGGCGATGGGAAATTGGCCAGGAAGGTTGGACTGGTCTAGGTTGGGGACGAGGGGCTTGCATTGGAGGATGTTGCCGGCTGCCGTCAAGGTCTGACCGAGCATACGATTGGGCAAGACTAGTTCCTCGTCGGGTGTGAGAGTGTAGGCTCCTTCGCGCGTACCGAGAGTTACGGGGATGCTGTCGGCGTACTTGGGGTTGGCCGTGTCGAGAATTTTATTAGGGAGGCGGACAAGTATGGTATGCGTGGCGTTTGAGGTTGCGTTGATGCCGTAGCCTTGCCAGTAGAATGTGCGGTAGTCCAGATGGGGGATTTGAGGGGGGATGGATGGATCAATGTCAAGCCTGTCGACGAACATGCGCAGACCGAGATACCCGAAGATACCCACGCGATTAGTGCCTCCCATGCCGGTGAGGAAAGGGAAGGCGGGATGCGTACCGCCGTTCAGAAAAAAGTTGTCGATCATCTGCTCCGAATACTGGAACCATGGAGCTCGCGCATACGGCTGAGAAGAGTAGTGATTATAGGTATAGCTCGAACAGCCTGAGGGAGATATCTCGTTGGCAACGATGCTGAATGTAGCGTACGTCATACCTGGTCCATCGGGTGATTGTTTATTCGCGTAGTAGTCGAGGTCTACAAGGCTGTAGGGATTCTCGTAGTTGAGAATGTCGTCAATCAGAACAACATCTGCCTGTTTGACGACCAGCGACCCGTTCATCGAGCCATATTCCATCACTATGCCAGCCTCTTCGTACACAGGCAGACGCATTTGTGCAGATATCTTATTCCATGTTTCGTTCTGGGGCAGGCCAAAGAGGCTGTTGAATTCGTTCGTCTCGTTCAGATGTCTTTGAATAAGTGCAGTAGTAAATCCGACATTGTTTACATTGTTCGCATACTCGTCCGGATCGGTGGCATTCATCAGCTCATAATAACCCGAAGTCTCATTGTAATCAACCAGTTCGCCGTAGAAATAAGCAATATCATTCGCAATTGGAAGGAACGTCTCCTTGAACCGCTCGACATCCCCAGTTGCAATGAAATGATTGCGAAACGCTATTGCGATATCACCGTTGACGTGGTACTCGTAATCGAAGCATGGTCCACTGGCTGTGCAATTGCCGTAACGTCCACCTAACGCGCGGGTACAAAGTCAGTGTGAGTCAAGACAGGGGGGACGGGTACTTTGAGTACGTCTCAGCCTAGCGAGAAAAGAGATCTTTCTTCTGCCAGAAAGACACATCCACTTAGTACCCTACGGGGTACGTACTGGTCCATGGATACACTGCTCCCCCAGTAAACCTGCCTGTCTGGTTCTTGGAGGAGGTAAACGCCGATTTGATGTTTTCTTTCGCTTGCGGATACATCTCAACGCGATAATTGACGATGTTGACAATATGCTGGGGATGGGACAACTGCAACCCAAGCGCCATCCATGTCTCAGCATCCCAAAATATAAGCCCACCATAGCAATCTGACCCAAGACCGCACACAGGTATGCTATGAATGTTTAGGCGAGAATTGTATCCCGCAGCGGCGATCGCATTCGGACCGACCGTATTCTGAAGGATCATGAAAGGATTGGTGACAGAAGTGACATGCAATTCTTGGATGCGGGGGTCGGCAGGTAGTGTCCCGTTCGGATAGTTGTACCTGTCAACGGAATCCTGTGTCATGATAGATTCCCACTCCTCCACATGCGAGTGCCTGAGTGCGAAGAATCCTGTATTTGCTCCCGCAAGCGACGCCGCAAATGCAGTCCTTCTTGGGTTCTCGAACGCATCCGAAGAAGCTACTCCAATGTATTTGGTAACTTCTACCCTTCGACCGCCGAGCAACTCCATATCGACCGATTGACCAACGGACGAGGTCTGCGTACTACTGAAAACCTCGTCGTTAACCTCCGATCGCATATCTAGCTCTCTATACTGGTCGTATTGGAGGGTTGAAACAATGTACGCCGTAACGTTGGTCGTATTCTTCGGCCTGACCGCAGACCAGATGGTAGGAGACCCCTCTTCATAGTTCTTGTCCACGAAATCGGTACGAACGGCGCTGGTGCCATCGATGATATCGTACACAGTAAGATTAACATCGCGGTGCGACTTGAGCCTGAGCTGAACGGCAGCTTGGTTGACGTAGAGCTTGTGTACGAAAATCTCGTACTCGACGTTGATAACATTACTATCGTCATTCCCAGGCATCCAATCGAAGGCCCACTGCAAAACACCACCCTTCATATCCAGTCTTGAGCTGAATCTGGATATCTCTTGCGCGCTTGTAGAAGCGTTCAGTATGGCGCCGTTCGCCTTGACGATCAATCCTGCCCAGTGTGGGATGCCGCTCAGAAAGCTGTCACCGCCGTTCTGGGCGAGCCAGGGGTAATTCGTTGAACCGTTTTTATCATCAACGTCATAAAATCCAGCAATTGTCGCAAATGTTTGTCGTGTGTTGAAAAGCGGCCACCCGTTCCAGTTGTCTCCCATAATCGGCGCGTCACGTTCAAAGAAAGGACCAAGAGCTGCAAGATTGATGCCCAGGTAGCCGTTGGCAAGTGACATGCGAGACTGATAATGCCCTTGATCAAGCTGAGTTGTTACTATCTCCCAGCGGTCATCGTTCCATTCGATGTTATCGACGTCGGCCGCATCTCGCATCGACAGGCCCGAGGCCGCCACAGAAATGAGTGCGGACAGGAAAACATGTCGTATCCGCATGGTCAAGGTAAGCGATTTCGGTCGTGAGAGGAGAATCTACAAGATGAAGCAATGGAAGACCAGAATACTTGGGTAGCTTCAACCCCAAGCGTGGCTCAAAGATACAGAAAGTAGAGCAGCGAGAGGAGCAGGCATCAAGTCGTAAGAATGAGTGCGCTGAAGGTTGAATGTCGGCGCAGTGAAGACTCCAAGAGGTGGGCAGCGACAAGGCGGTGAGGGATCGGTTTGCCTCCCGTCAAATCTTTCCTTCTGGAACGGGAATATTCACGCGGCTTCCTGGTTGGGGCGGTGGCGACTGCGTGACTCGATGGATGCAGTCGCACGACGCAAGCCAGAGGACGACCAAAGTTGCAGAGCTGAGAAGAGCCTCAGGCTTATCAGAAGCAGGGTCCAGATGGGTGGGACGCCTGCGAGCTTGGCTTACCGCGGAGCCGCTGCCGGGGCGCTTGCTGTGTACACCAACAAACTGCGGCCAAGCCAGCAGATCCTGCCAGCATTCGGAAAGATTGGCATGGGAACGCGAAAGCGCACGGTGCGACAGAAACAATGCGATGACGTCATGGCACGGAATGAAACCAGGATGGCTCCACGAGCGGGCCGGCCCTTCACCTGCAACACAAGTGTTGATGCAAGCCGGTCTTCAGAGGGGCCCTCACAGCCTTCCTACACGGCGTCACAGCTCAAGGATCAGCACTTTTCGCATTCACCAGGCGTGACTATGGACTAGATACTCGCCCTTCAAGGCGTCACAGCTCAAGGCTCAGCACTTTTCGCATTCACCAGGCGTGACTATGGACTAGATACTCGCCCTTCGAGGCGCCATGGTCCTCCTGAGATTCTTCTCCTTCTCCGTCTCTTCACTCACAGGCAGCACCCCCTTCTCCCTCAGCCCCGCCAGATATTCCTTTCCATACTGATACCCGACTTGATAAATCTCGTCAAACTTCGCGAAGTCGAGGGTGCCATACGGATCAATCGGCGGCCGCATATACCTGCAGCCAGGCGTGTTCTTCGCCCTCTCCAATGCATCGTACGAAGACACATAGGCGAGGCGGGATTGGATCTCCGACAAGGTGGGTGGATTCGGATACGAGCTGAAGGGGTTCCAGCGATTGACTAGGGCCCAAAACCCAGAAAGTGAGTCGCCAAAGGACTGAGGCGTGTCGTCGGAGAGGGAACCGACATCGACCGCAAAGATGACGTCGGCGCCCAGCGACTTCATGTGCGTGACGGTCAGATTGTCGATGTAGCCGCCATCTAGAAGCATGTTGTCGTTGTCGCATAACGGCGGAAGGAGACCGGCGAGGGACATGGATGCCCGCACGTAACGCCAAACGTAGCCCCTGGTGTGCACCTCGGAGCGACTCTTGCTAATGTTGGTCGTGTTGCAGTAATACTCCAGCCAGAAGTCCTCGATCTGCGAGTTGCCGAACGTCTTGAAGATGCCGCGGTTGAATTCGTGGCCAGTTGTGTACGACGCGCTACATGATTTAGCTATACGTTTTTGAGTAATAGACACAAGGCACTTACGAGGGATATGTGAGGTCGAGAGCAAACCTCCACATGCTGCCCATGCGTCCAGCGAACTTCTTGGCTCTCCCGTACATTGGGACGACGTCGGCATCCCAAGCGTATAGGGCACCGATGAATGCACCAATGGACGTTCCGCCCACGATGTCAATAGGTATACCAGCTTCCTCCAACGCGCGAATGATGCCTATCTGCGAAATGCCTCGGGCACCACCTCCGCCTAGGACCAAACCGACAGACTTGCCGCATAACCTTCTTGCAAGACGATGAAAGTCGCCCTTGAACGGCGTGTCCGCAGAGTATAGCGGCGTCTGACGAACTCGACGTGATGTGTATTTCTGGATCTCGGCCTGCAGTACTTGAACCCGGTGCTTCAAAGCGGTACCGAATCGACGTCCTATCGGATGTACTGGCTCGGCGTTGGTCCGGAAAGGCATCTGGACGTGGTGATGGCTACCGTTCACCCATGGGCGGTTGCGTAACCATTTTCGCGTAAGTCCCGATGGACAATACTTCTCGGCATGCAATAATACAAGCTCTTTCCGGGCAGTGGTCTTTGTCGTAAGAAGGAAGCGCTCGTATTCTCCGATGTTGGGGTGGCCTTCTGCTAGTCCAACTAGCAGGATGCAATCAGCTTGGCTGATGCAGGTCTGTGTCCACGGAGATTTCACTGGAGTATCTGCAACGTAGAGGACTAGGCCGTACTTCTCCTCCAAATCAGCAAGGTACTGGGAGACCTTCAACTTGCCCATGCGATTGAAAGCATGACGACCAAGGTGATTGAGAATAGCAGCCTGGTTAAGAGACACAACCCCATTTGGCGTGCCAATCTGGTTCAGTGCTGTCATCAGTCGCCCGGCAAATTCCACAACCGGGACTCCAGCTGTGACAGGTAGGATCGTGACTGTGCGCAGATTGACTGTTGATGAGACCTTGCTCCGAGTAGCCGTTGAGCGAAGCTCTTTACTTTGCTCATGCAGAGGGTCTTCCATCAATGCTCGCATGCGGGAAGCGATGATCTTGGATATCTTGATGGTGATGCCAGGGTGCTCCAAGGCGAGACTATTGAACAGTGTTTTGGGAAATTTTGCCACCTCGGTATCACGAATGGCATGTAGTGACCCGGGTCGTGTTGATTCAGTGAGCACCTCAAGCTCTCCAACGCTGTCACCTTGTCCGTATTCACCAATGACCTTCATGTCGTTGTTCGCGCCATCCTTGATGGCTCTGAGACGTCCGTTGAGAACGATGTAAATGGCGTCACTCTCGTCTCCTTGGTTGTATAGTACCTGGCCAGAGTTGACTTGAACCCACTCTAGTGCAAAGTCTATATGTAAGATCAGCCTGGGCAGAAGAGTCGTCAAGCGCTTGGCCATGGTCAACAGAACTACCGGGTACCGATCGACGATCCGCTCAATAGATGCTCGGGGTAAGAATCCAACGTAGACATCTGTCTTCGCTGTCACATCTACAAAGGATCTGTAAGATGAAATGGTCCCCAGGTACCCAGCTAGGCCACCTGGTTTGGTGAGGAACAAAGTGTTCCTTGTCTTCTTTCGTTTCCCTTGTTCAGGTAGATTCATATAGGAGGACGAAGCGGTATTTGTTGACCGTTTAAGTGTTGGTCCACCGAAAAGGTCGGCATCAGTTGTTCCGGGAACTGATGGAAGGGTGCCGAGCACATTTGGCTCCTGGTAATCTTCCTCGACAGGCACGCTGACATCAAGAAATCCATCAATAACATAATAGAGGCCCGGATTTCGTTCGCCCTGTTCTACAAGCACAGCACCCTTAGGAAAGTACACGATTTCAACGTCATTGACAATCTCTTCTACAAGATTGTGGCCGGTAACACTGATAGTAGACTGTCCTGAAGCTGATATTATTGACTCAGTATCACCATCACGGGACGCTTCGTATGGGTCAATAAAACCAAAAGCGTTACTAAAGACGGCTTTCTGTCGCTTCGTATCGAAAGATACGAGACGTGGGGACTGTTCGACTGACATCGACTTTGGTATGGGATTGTCGAGATCAGTCAGTCCAATCGCTTTGAACATGCAATCAAGCACGGACTCTCTGAAAACAGTGGCTTCGTCGATGGACTCCTGACGATGTAGCGCAGCAGGTCTGGCTAATGGCGATGCAAAAGGGTTGAAAGTACCTGCATCAAGTGGGGTCTTCGCATCACGCCGATCCTGGTGTACTGGTTGGGAGAAGCTATAACGCCCTGTTCTCCCGCTACCTCGCGGAAGGTGCGTGTTCGTCAACAAGTCACCCGCGCTGACTCGGTCCGGGCCACCAGCAGGCTCCGGAGATGTTGACGTCTTATGAAGGTTTTCAGCACTGATATCTACAGACGATCCACGAATCGCAGCGAGTCGAGCATGGCCAGCAGTCCCTTTCCTAAAGGCCGAATTTGATCTTCTTCGTCGACCGGCGCCAGGATTGTGGAGTGCTATTCCTTTCATGCCTTCTTCCGGCCCGGTGCGTTCCGTCTCTTTAGCGAACCTGTCCTTGAGTCTCTGTAGGGCAGAGTCGCGTAAGAAGCCGGGTAAGTCATATGTAGTATACGTGTTCATGAGCTTCTCAGTGCGTAGAACCTCGCTCGTAAGCCCTAGATACGCGTGACCGGTTGCAAGTGTAACTCGCTGTAACCTAGTCAAAATAACTTGAACAATGTGCGCTGTTGCTTTCGGGTAGACGCGAGTGAGGCGGCGGAACGCTGTGGCGGGAATGATAGCAATAGTTGTATCTTCTTTCGCTCGCGCGACAATATCAGGATGAGCCGACTTCGCCTTCGACTTGGAACGAACATGGGTCGAGTGTTTATCTTTATCGGATCTATGGGCGTGCCCATTGGCAGAGTTTGGGTCTAACGAGAATGGAGGAACGCTTTGGAGGTGGCCACCAGCAGTAGGACTGGCAAGGCTCGATGCTCTGTAATGATCGAGCCTGCCTGGAGGCGTTCCGGGCATATCTGCCGGAGTTTGTGGGCGGGAATCATCGAATGCGAAACTGCTGTTCCTGGAGATAGAAGGGCGAACTGGCCTCTCCATTGGCGTTGCTGGCACACTCGAGTCTACACCATCTTCTGAATCCTCATGGCGTAGCTTCACATCTTCAGTGAATAGAGACAGTATAGAGAAGAGCGAAGACATGGGTGCGCCGTTCTTGACTTCTGTGAGGAGTTGGTATCCTTGACGATGACTCGTTTTTTCTGCGCCGTCTCTGGGGCCTCCGTTTGGTATATCTTCATCATCGTCAGAATCTGCGCTGTCTCGATTCGACTTGACGAAGATCTGGACCAGTCCATCCACAACCAAACAGAAACCCTTCTCCTCCTCCAACAGAATGGTCTCTCCAGCAATCAATTTCCTCGTCTGCATCGTCCGCGTGAGTTCATGGAACACGGGTCGCTCCAGATAGCCAAACACTTTGATAGCGCTGAGGAACTCGTCCAAGTAATTGGACAGGCCTCTTTTAGAGTCCCCTTCTTGGGCTTCCGGAAATACTTCGACCTGAGGTTCGTCGCGTTGGGGCTCAGGCGGAAGTCTCGTATACATGGTCATAAAACGGTATCTGACCAGGTAGCTTACCGTAGACACGATGAAGATAGCTATCAGCATTCTACTTCCATTAGCTGTGTACAACAGGCTGGGGATACAAGGCGTACAGAGTAGTGAAGTTCATTGTGAATGTCAAGCTCATAGAGAATAGCGTGAATAGCCATGTTGGTAACGTGATGGTCGTAAAGGTGATAATCCAGTACAATGTGCCAGGTAGAACCCTCAAGATACTGAGTACAACCCGGGCAAGAAGGCCAAAGGTCGAGGATGGAGTTGGGTTCTCGATGACCTTGACTGTAGTTTCCGCCGTCTGTAACGCGTCTGCAACACTGGAAACAGTGGCGGGCATACCGGTGCCGGCGGAGCTCAGCACGGAGCTCATAGCTTTGGCGGGTATACTGGACATGGTGGGCTGTGGGGAACGGTGACCTCCAGACAAGTCGAATCTCTCACGGAGGACCGTCAGCGAGTGGAAGAGTCGATGAAAGCCGCATAGAAGCTTGCAAAAGCATATGAGGCATAGTGGACAGTGAAAGTGCGGCGAGCAGAAACCTGGGCAGCGGGGGAGAGCAAGCAAGGTCACTTTCTTGGCAGCGACTCCAACTGTTCGCCGCGGCGCATCTTCACGCGCATCCTCGAAAACGCGCTTCACATCGCAACGCCCATTGGCCCACCATGCCGCCCTTTAAAGACGAGCAGATAATCGTAAGTCCTGCGTCGCCTGTCTTTACGTTTTCAGGAGCACTAATCCTTCTCAAACAGATCATCGCGCCCGGCTCAGAGACGACCGTCGCGCAGCTGGGCCTTCCCGAGAGCTTCACCCCCGCTCGGCTCAGGGTGCGCTCGCGCATGTTCCCCGCTGAGAAGGAAGGAGAATGGGAGCCTTATAAAATTCGCCGGCGGAACGATAAGCCTGAAGCATCTGCCGCCGAGCCGCAAGACGGCGCCCCGGGAAGCGGCGAGAACAAAACGAACGGCACCGAAGAAGACGTTGTCTACGAAGAAGATCGTGTCTCTGAAGAGGGGGCCGTATGGCCAATACAGGAAGGCAAGATCGTCGACTGGTCATGCTTCTTCGCCCTCATTACTCATGTATACAACGCGCTGAATCCGCCGTTTCACACGCCCATACTCCTTATCGCGCAGCCTGTATGGACACCCAAGGAGCACGAGAAACTCACGCAATTCTTCTTCGAGAAGTTCAAGACCCCCGCTTTTGGCCTTATGGACGCTGCGCTCGCATCTAGCTGGGCGTATGGTGTACACACATCGACGGTCGTGGACATAGGCAAGGACAAGGTGGACGTCACGGCAATAAGCGAGTTTATACCACATATACAAGGACGTGTCACGTCTTTGGGCGGCTGCGGAGGAGAAGCGCTTACACAAGCTCTCTTTGCGAAGCTTTCATCAAGAAGCTGGAGTCGGGAGATGTGCGAGCAGCTCAAGAAAAGCCCCATTTGCGAGATTCTCCCGGCCGGTACTCCCTTGCCGGGTACCAAAGACGTGGGCGAGGAAGAGACCATAACAAATCTTGCTGCTGCCGCATCAACAGGCGCGCCAGGCTCAGGACCCGCGGCTGCTTCCACGATTGGCAATGTACCGCGAGGTCCTGGCGCGGACACTGAGGTTGGCGACGATAACAATGCCGATGAAGAGGGCGTCTTGGACGTGGCAAGCATCGTCACTGGAGGCAAGATGGAGGAGTACCTGGCGAAGAAGGAGAAGGAGAAGCAGGAAAAGGCCAATGCGAAGAAGAAGGGTGGCGCAGAAGCTGCTGCTGCCGCCAACGCAAACAAACCGGTCAGGCTGCCCAATTCGAAGCGTGCGAAGGCAACATTTCTTTACGAGGATCATCGCTTGCTCGACAACCTCAAGAATATGAATTTGGGAAGTGAGAAGTTGGCAGAAATGCAGAATCAGCTCGATGAGGGTCCGCAAAGGCATGGCGAAAGCGCGAATGGAGAAACGACATCAGCTGCGGAGGCTAATGGGCATGTCGATGCGAACACCAATGCCCGGTCGGGGCCGATCAGAAGGGAGCTCGAAGTGGGCACGGAACGTTTCCAGGCTGCCAGCAGCGGTGTGCTAGAGAAGATAGCAGACGCTGTGCACCGGACTATCTCTTCTGTAGACGAAGTCAACAAGCGTAGCGAGCTTTGGGATTCCTTGATCATCTGTGGTAACGGGTCAAGAGTTCGAGGTGAGCGCCTCTTCATCTTCCAACCAGTCCACCTTCTTACTAACTGCACGTAGGCTTCAAGGAGGCTCTCCTCGCCGCCATTCAATCGAAATATCTCATTTCGCCCTCATCAGCTACGATGTTCACCTCCGAGATCCCCTCCAACATCTCCACGCCCACCGGCACCGGCGCCAACACACCCCAGCCGCAGCTCGGACCTCACGGCGGCGCTCCCTCTCACGTCAATCCTCTCCTCTACGCCGCCACTACCGCCCAAACACAACATCTCATGCCTCACAACCCCACCTCTCACCTACCAGGCCTATCACACAACGCGCACTCGTCGCACGGTCAGACACCCACATCCATCAAGCTAGTGAAGCCGCCAGAGTACTTCCCGGAATGGAAGGACGTCGGCTTCGACGAGTCGGCCTTCTTGGGCGCCCAGGTCGCTGCCAAAGTCATCTTCGTGGTGGACCAGGGGCAGAGCAAGGGATACATGACAAGGCCGGACTACAATGATCAGGGGCCGACTGGTATTCACGACTATGCGTTGTGAGATCCTTTTACTGTCGTGTTGAGGTTGGAGTTTGGTGGACACTGGATATCCTTGACTTGCTTGGGTCATTAGCAATTGAAGAGATTAGCTTCTTCGCGGGGCGTTTAGTGTTTTGTAGGAAAAAGTTCTCGAGGTTGTCTCGTCTCTTACTTAGCCTTAACCCTGAACTAGTGATTTCTAGTTGTAAACATCTATGTAAGAACAAGGCGGAATATCCTTCGCGTCGGCGACCGCCGGTCCTACCTCAGCCACGTGCCCACACATGCCTGATCAAGTAACGCGCTAACCTGATAATCTCCCAGTTCAAAAGGAACTCCACCGCAGGCAAGCCGCGGCGCCCACGGCATCATAGATAAAGCTACGGGCTGTCCCTTCTACTTTTGCTTGGTTTGGTCTTTCCGAATTCTTGCGCGATCATGAGGCCCTGAAGCACAACATTTGGAATTTAGATCCCCCCGAAGGTACCCGAGATTATCTTGTGCAACACAATACTTGTACATCACCACCAACTACCATTATGGCGGCTTCAGCTGCTGTTCAAAAAACCATATACCACGGCCCCTTTGCGCATTGTGTCACGCTCGTGGAATTGGAAATCTGTGAAAAAGGTTCGATTGGAGTGGATGAGCAGGGTGTGATAAGGTTCGTGGAGAAGGAGGTAGAGGTCGAGGACCTGAGGGCTAAATTTGAGGGGTGGGAGGAAGCGAATGTGGTAGAGTTGCGGGATGGGTTCTTTTTCCCGGGGTTCATAGGTAAGTTGCGTCCGTTCCAGAATTGAAAGAGACGGAAACAGTTCAAGGCACAGCCGGAACTAGATAACTGTCGTATATCAAGCGACCGATGCTAGATTCGGTCGCGGTTGGCCTCTGAAATGGGATCTCGGATGGTATACACAGTCTTGGGTCGGACACCCGTGTACTGAGCCTGACCAGATACCTCATTGCATCCCATCGCAAATGTCCTCCTTAAGATGGCAATTGACAATTTCCAGATACCCACACACATGCACCACAACATCCGAACACTGGCCTTTTCGGAAAAACGACTCTTCTTGACTGGCTCGACACATACACCTTCCCACTAGAGTCCTCCTTTTCCTCCATCGACAAAGCTTCCCGCATCTACACTAATTTCGTCTCGCGCACCCTCTCCCACGGTACTACTACATGCGCCTACTTCGCCACGCGGCACGTGGAGGCTACCAACCTTCTCGCTGATATCTGCCTCGCGCGCGGTCAACGCGCCCTCGTTGGTCGAGTATGCATGGATCGCCTCAGCCCAGATTACTACCGCGATGAGAGTGTTGAGAGGGCAGTGCGAGACTCTCAGGCGTGCATCGATTACGTCCGCAGCATCGACGCCGAAGGCTCAATCGTGAGACCCATCATCACGCCGCGATTCGCACCAAGCTGTACTGCACCCTGTCTAGCGGGTCTAGGCAAACTGGCTCAGGAAACAGACGCTTTTATACAAACACACGTTTCTGAAAACACATCAGAGTGCGAGCTTGTAAAGGAACTTTTCCTGATTCGGCATCTTACACGCATGTCTACGAAGAGGCGGCACTTCTTACACCGAAGACGATTCTTGCACACGCGATACATCTCTCGCCGGAGGAAAGGAAGTTGATAAAAGAAAAAGGGAGCAAAATTAGCCATTGTCCTGCTTCTAATACTGCGTTGACGAGTGGCTGTTGCCCTGTTAGAGAACTCCTCAACGAAGGTCTTACGATTGGATTGGGCACTGACGTTAGCGGTGGATTCTCACCGTCCATTCTCGAGGAGGCGCGGCATGCGATCTGGACTTCGCGGTTCGTCGCTATGGGTACGCCCGCTGCATCAGCCTCCACTCTGAACAACGCCGCGGCGAAACTATCCACCGCAGAAGCGTTGTATCTCGCTACGCGCGGTGGTGCTGCAGTCGTCGGACTAGAGGATCAAGTTGGCGGGTTCGAGGTGGGCAAGCAGTTCGATGCGCAGATGATACTGGGCAGCGTGCCGGAAGAAGGGGACAAGGAGGAGTTTTTGGCGAGGATGGCGCTGGTGGTCCAGTTGATCTGTTTGGGTTTGAGAGTGCGGAAGAGAAGGTCGAAAAGTGGGTATATAGTGGAGATGATAGGAATTGTGTTGCTGTGTGGGTGAGGGGGAGGTTGGTGCACAAGACGGCGAGATTCAAGACTTAAACTGGGGATAGATATAGACTGGAGGTCGGCTGATCGCACAGTAGATTCAGTTCGAGTCCAATATGGGACATGATGACTGAACACATGGTTGGCAGGCCAATTGCAGGTACCGGAATGAGTTTTAGTCTGACCCAATTTTTGCTTCTCTACGAAAACGACCACAAAAACCTAAGGGTGGGACGACTTGACGATCGCGTCGGATTTCTGCTACTCCGGCCTACCGAGAACCTTCACCCATCACCTGTGCCAGTGCGCCAAATGCGAACTATTGCTTAGAATATGAAACGCCAAGAATCTGTCAAAACAATGCCTAGAAATCCTCTTAGCGATGGGATTGAATTTCTCCGAGCTGTGGCTGGTACAAGTTCACGTTACTTCCTTTGCATAGCAGCGAACGTCAAAATGGAGGTACATCAGAACTCTCAGTATGCCGGTAGTTGTGATGAAAGACCAGGTAATTTGACCGAGCGTTGTGACATCTCAAATTAAGGACAACGTATCGGCTCGCAAGACGCGCATCGCTGTGCGACTGAATCCTCGAAGTTGCTGTTCTCGGACAACACAAGCCACTGCCAACACCAGCAGCCCCCTCGCGTCCTTCCAACGGCGATAACGCTACAAAACGAGCGCCTTGGCCTGTCAAACGAGAATCCTTCCTCATCTAACTTTCGGATGCTTACCACTCTTTACAGCGCCATGGAGGCCATCGTGTCGTGCAGCCGGGCTGGGCAGGAGCGACGGTCATCTTGCCTTTTCTACATAAAGAACGCGAATTATGGCCATCCGCACCTCTCCAGTCTTTCGTCCACTCTTAACTTGATACCTTCAATTCGTTAGATCCCGGTGATCTTTGTCATCCTTCCAACCTTCACATTCATTTTTGACATCGCCATCCAACCCTATTTCTATTCGATATGAAGTTCACTCAGGTTCAAGTTGCAGTTCTTGTGGCTAGCATAGCGTCTGCCCAAACCCTTAACATTCCAACTCCGGCTGGTAGTGTTGTTGCGCTTTCTGAGCCTTCCGTCATCACTGGAAGCGAAGACTTTGGTAACAAGGAATTCGATCGCGGTCAACCGTGTGACTCTGACGAAGACACTGGTAGTGACAATGCTGTCTTCGTCCTCGAGGATGGCGCAAGCATCTCCAATGTTATCATCGGTGCTCATTCGCTGGAAGGTGTACACTGCAAGGGTCTGTTGCTCCTGCACAATGGTCAAGCAATACTAATATATCCCAAGGATCTTGCACGCTCACCAATGTCTGGTTCCGCGATGTCTGCGAGGACGCCATTTCCGTCCTGGGCACTGGTGATGCTACCATTATCGGCGGTGGTGCTCAAGAGGCCAAGGACAAGGTCGTTCAACACAATGGCATCGGTACGGTGACAATCAAAGACTTCACCATCGTCAACGCTGGCAAGCTTTACCGCAGTTGTGGTGACTGCACCGACAACGAGGCGAAATCCCCACGTAGCGTTATCGTCGAGAACATTCGCGCCTACGGTGTGACCAGCGACTTGATTGGTATAAACTCAAACTTTGGCGACACTGCTTCTATCACTGGTTCATGTGGTACCACCAAGGCCGTCTGCCGCGAATATAAGGGCGTGAACAAGGGCGATGGCGATAGCGAGAAGCTCGACACCATCGCCAGCTGCGGGGGTGACCAGGGCAAACTAGAAACACTCCCCGAATGCGGTGCTGAAGATGCGCTGCCAGAGACTGAGACTCCTACTGAGACAGCCGCTCCTTCTGCTTCTGCCTCCGCTTCTCCCGTTGAGGATGGGCCAGCGGAGACTGCCACTCCCAGCGCCACAGATGTTGAGGAGGCACCGGAGGAGACCGAAGCACCTACTGACGAGGAAGAAGACCAGGAGGATGAGGTGCCTGTCGCCACTGCTGTTCCCGAAGTGACTGCTGCGCCAACTACTCTTGTCACTCAAACCTGGACTGCTGCGCCTGCAGCAACTGTTGGCTCTTCTAGCGGCAGCGTTGCCAGGTGGGGACAATGTGGTGGTTCTGGCTACACTGGCGCAACTAGTTGCGCGGACGGTGCAACTTGCACCGAGATGAACCCCTACTACTCGCAGTGCTTGTAGATGCTATGGATGAAGTGTGTGGAGAGAATGAGTTTCATCTGTATATATGATTTGCTATTTACCACTTTTGATTGCTCTATTGAACAGTGTTTCCTGGGTCGATGGATGTGATGTTCGAATTCCAGCCGGCGATCTGGTTGTATAAAATGAAGCGTAGGCCACGACATTACGCCTTTTTTTCTCGCTGAGCACGCAGCCTTGCAATCTTACCGTCTCTCGGTCAAACTCAGGGATGTCGCATGCGCAAGAAACATAGGTGCGCCCGGTCATTCACATACCACGACACGAATCAAGACCAGATGCAATGAGCACATTCGAGTGCTTTAGCGATACGAATATCTAAGTTGGTGTGTCTACGCACCTGTGATACCCTCGTGATGGTCATTGCATACTCAAGATTCGGTTGTCGCCATTTGCAGCGCCAATTCGCGACACAGATCCGTACAACTGGGCACGCAACAGTAGTGTATCTGAGCAAGTTTGCGACGGTTGTTGCGAACAGTCATCGATCTGTTTCGCCAATTTGTACGTTCACTTCTGCCTCCTTGATGTAGGTGAGATCGCCTTGAACCTTTGGTCTTTGGTCTTTGTCTGATGAGACTAGAAAACATGTTTATCAAACCAAATGTTCACTGGCCCAATCACAATCAGTGACAGCTGAAAGTAGTACCATGTGCCGGATGCATGCGCGCATTAGAGTAAGTAGATGCAACTTTCTCATCAATCCATCTCCTGCGATCCACACAGTGGGCTGCGTTAAGCGCCGAGCAATACTGGACCAATCAATACCATTTCAAATTCCTTTGCAATACAAACACCCTCTCATACCCGATCCCATCTCTTAACCATATACTCAACAACTAACCCACGAACCTCAATTCCAATCATTCCCTCAACAAAGATGGCCCGCACCCAGCCCTGGTAAACTTGCTTCGATGCACTCACACTGTCCACCTGCTTATGCGCATGCAGGAAATCAGTCTGGCCCCCAGCCAAAAAATTCGCCGACCAAGCCGATGTCATTCCGGAGGGAATTACTGCTGAGGAGGTTACCAATCAGCGTGCTTATGGCCGCCATGCATCCAACACTAAGGGCCGCATTGTGCACCTCAAGGACTGTGAGTGCGTCGTGACTGAGGTGGGATTGAGAGAGTGACACGTAGAGAAGAGAGGGATGGGATCTGGGCTGGAAAGGTAAAGCAGTGAAGCTGATGGTCTGCTTAACCTGCTGAGGTTGTGTACGCTGAGAAGTGAGATCGGGGCTTCAGGTGCGCGGTGCTTCACGTGATGGCGACCAAGTAATCAGAATGTTCAGCTACACCTGACGTACGTCAATCAATGCTCGAGTCTCATGTCGTGCTTGTGCCTGTGTTTTTACATTCCTCGTGGTGGTTCACTTTTGAACACAGAAGAACCTTGTCGCAAAGCCTCTAACGACTTCGAGCCCTCGCGCTAAACAGTGCACTGAAGAGGAGGTCCAATGTCTGCAGTCCCAGAAGCTTTGGAGTCGGAGGACTAAGATCCGTGAGTGTCCGCATAAATTTCGCAGTGGAAATGTAAACTCCTGCTCCCCTTTCGCTCTTAACCCCAGTCGGTGGCTATTCGAGCGGGTCCTGTCAACACGGGATCAGCACACAACCTCCAACCGATCAGATCCAAAAATCTCGACTCTCAATATCCACCTCTTCATAACGCTCCCCAGCCCTTCCCCCACGAGTCTCTGAATCAACAACCCAGCGCAACCCAACCTCCCACCATACGTCCACCCCTCCCCGGACTCAAACAAGCCCGAGGTACACACCGCCGCGGGCACTCCCGGACTCAGCGCCACACACGCATCGCCCCTAGTCTTCCATTAGGCCGAAAGCTGCGGGCTCAGGATGTCGAAGCCTGAGCCACTTGATTGCATGAGTAGTGTTCGTAGAGTGATGGGTTTGGTACGCTTGGTGAACAGGATATGTTGTTCGGGGGGTGAGATGATAGTGTTCTGGGCACAGATCTTGAGGTGTTTTTCGATGAGAGGGGTCGTTGAGGGAAGCAGGGTATTGAGAAGTGCACAAGGCGGAGGGCGGTGAGAGTGGTGAGGAAATTGATGCAGGAAGCTAGTGTGAGGATAGACGGTTCGTCGATATCGGGGGCGTCTGGCGAAAACGCGAGAGATCAGGCGATGGCCTGCTTTAAAGCGTTAGAATTACAAGTATGGAGATTTAGGTATATGGGGACGAACCATCTCGATGGATACCTAGGCCGACGACACTTAGTATCTTCCTTCTATTACTACTCGCCACTCTATACAATATCTGTTCGAACGCTGCCATATCTCCTTTGTCTAAGGATCAACCCTGTACACTGCCTTGAGCAACAAACTTGTTTTCGACGTACTTTAAATACCTTCCACTCGCCATGTGTCGTTCTTCATGACCAGGACTACGGTATGTTTCGCGTTGCCTACCAAAGCATTTGGGCCACACGACGACGGCGCGAAACCAGGCCCAAAAACGAGCAGCACGAGGGTAGATAGTCGGCCAACCCTACTGCCGAATGTATCCGCCGCTGTACCGATCACCTTGGCAGTGCCCTACTAAGGTGTTATGAGAGAGACTGCAATATGCTATGCTACCGGCCAACGGCCGATAAACAGCCAGAGTTGATTTGTCGTCCTCACTTAGCCGTACATCCGCGAGATCGAGGAGATGGTCGAGAACGAGAAATCATTATTTTAATGTACCCGCAGCAAATAACCGCCCACAAACACCATGTCGGGCACTAGTGTACAAATCCAATCGCGTTACAAAAAGACAAAACCAACGGAGCCTAACTTTTCTAGATTGCGCGCGAGTCCCCTAGAGACACAGGCACACGCAACACTATCCATGCCGAAAGCGAAGGACACCGCTGCGAAATCTTTTTGAACCATGATATTCCCAAGACCAGGGAAACAAGACCGGAGTGAAAGACAGAGTGCTCGTGTTTTCTCCTAGGCCACAGAGTACCCAAAGGTCCAAGATCGTACATGATTCCACAAAAGGCACCGTTGGCAAGGGCAGGCCATGAGAGTACCAATCGACCGAGCTACCATCCTAATCACGTATGGCGGTAGGCTTCGAGATGTAAAGTGAGCTAGAATGCCAGAGAGATATAAGTTCCCTCACAGCTGGTGATACATCAATGTGCCGGTCGTCCAGGATGCGTAACATTCTGCTAGTAACGGCCGCGGGGAGGGTAGTCGCCCTCATAGGGAGGACGGCCACCAGGAGAACGGGGACGTCCGCCACCACCACGAGGAGATGGCGGGCGTGCTTCGTACGGGGGACGGCCGTGGCCGTTCATGTACGGGTCATCGTAGCGGCGCGGAGGGGGTCCACGGGATTCGTACGGGTCTGCGTCATATCGAGGACGGGGAGCGCTGAAATCATCAGCGGGGCCTCGGCGGGGAGGCGAAAGCCCATACCTATCGCGACTATCATAGAAGTCACGTGGTGGGGGAGTGCGACGGCGGTAGTCTTCGCGACGAGGGCTGTAGCCTCGCGGCGGACCGCGACGGTCATAATAATCGTCATATGGTGCCGGTGGGTAGCCACGACGGCCCATGGGAGAGCGTGAACGGTACCTGTCACGACCGCGATCATCTGGTCCACCCGGTCCACCGTAGGGTGCGCGAGGCTTGAACGGAGGAGGCGGGGGCGGGTCGGATACATCCTGGGTGCACTTGACCTCTTGACCCTTGAACTCACGACGGTCGAGCTTCTCAACGGCTGTCTGGAGATCAGTGGCCGTCTCGTACTCGACAAATCTGTCCCCGTCAGAATTGAAAATTATAGTGTCGCATAAGGCTTACCCAGTGCCGTCGCGTTCGCGGCCAACTTCGGAGTAGACGACGTCCAGTCCAGACTGGCGGGCAAAGTCTTTTAGATCCTGTAGACGCGAGGTTAAAGGGAATCCAAATCCAGAGACGCAGGAACGGGGGGCACGCTGAACAAAGCCTTTCCAGATTGCGGGTATATGGCCCTAACCGGAAAGACAGGAAATCCAAGAATCGGGGTATCTAACCTGCCAGCTGGTCTCCACGGGAAGATTGGCGATCCTCATCCTGAACGGAGTACGGCGAGGACGCGGGGCGGCGCGCTCGTGCGGCGTGAAGTTTTCGTTGCGACGGGATCCGCGCGCGAACTGGACGATAAGGCGCTCGCCCATGAAGTCGGATCCATCTATAACAGTCAGGTGGTGTGAGAGGCGACAATGGCTACTGTACATACGGAAGGCTGAGGCAGGTTAGCGTGTATTGAGATCATATCATGGGCCAATATAGCTTACCTGGGACAACATCACGCGCATCCATCGCGTCCTTGTACTCTATGAAGCCGAAGCCGTTCATGAGCTTGATCTCGGTGATCTCGCCAGTGCCATGGGTCTGGAAATGGGCCTCGACGTCGGCCTTGGTGGCATTACGCGGGAGGTTGCCCAAATAGAGGCGGGTGCTCGAGACCTCAGTCATATTGGCTTTGTGGGGTCCTTGTCAGTGGTAACCTAGCTTGGAGCTGGAAGTGAGCGAGGTGCAGAATGGAAGAAGCCTATGCAGAATACAATCGGAACTCAAGGCCAAGCGGGATGGGGCTGCGACATTGAAAGATGCGAAAGCAAGCGGGCTGGCCAGACTGCGCGGAGGCAGGTTCCCAGGAAGAAGCGCGAGTCGGACATGGTAGAGAGCAGCGGCGTGTCGTACCTTGGAGAGCAACTGATGGCCTGGATGGAAAGGATGCGACCTGTAGAAATGGGTCAGGCGACACAGTCGAAGCCTTGCGCGGTAGGGCCTAGATATGTCTGCGTGCTCTGATGGGCAGGACGAAGGCCAGACAAGACCAGCAACGGGGTAGTAGAGATGAGGCGGGAGGCGGGGTTAGATGGAGCGCCGGTGAAGAAGGCGAGGCGGTGCAGGCGTCAATCGGTTGAGTGAAGCAAGCGTCTTCAGGGCTTGGCACCAAAGTCCGTGCGCAACTAGCGAAGGCTGGAGAATGCAAGAGCTGAACAACTGAGGTGAAAGTGGAAGATGGTGGCAATATAACAGATAATAAAGGTATAAGAGACAGGGCCCCTGGATGTCGGGACAACGCATCAGACGGTCGCGCCTCTCATTCTACGATGCTATTCGTAGGTTGCGCACACCGAAGGAGTTTTGGGCACCAAAGTACGGCTCACTGCTCAGCCCGTTTAGGAAGTCGGGGTCAACTCAATGTTAAGTAAGCATTGACGTAGCTCAGCTATATAATCGCTCTTGAATCCTGGTAAAGCCCATATGCAACGGGACGTTTTTGAACAAACCGGTGGTAGCCAAACAGATGCATTGATCGGTGGCCTCACTAGGCGTGCCCGGTATCCAGATATAGCCACCGTAGGGATTCTCGGTCCATGCCTAAAGTACAAGTACAGGGTCTCGATTGAACAACAGGTATACCAACAACTCCGCGTTTTTCGAAACCCAACAATGCAGTACTGAAGGAGTCTATCCACTTAGGTCAATACATACTTGGGACCCTCGCCACCCTGCGGAGTGACCCAGTTGATATCCTGATCCGGTACTTTGATATCGCATGTCTTGCAGTGCACGCAGCTACGAAGATATTAGCCCTGTCATGCAGATAGTGCGGGGCTGTGAACTTACTTTTGGGCGTTGATCTGAAACCTGACGCCCAGTTCCTTGCTGTCGTCCTCAACATACTCGTAAACGCCGGCGGGGCAGAAGCGATTTTCGACGCCCTTATACTTGGGCCACTCCTTCTGAGCATGTGCATCCCAGTCCTTTACCTGCAGGTGGACGGGCTGATCTTCCTCGTGATTGGTGCCGCTCCGGCTGACACTTGTCAAGATATCAAAGCTGATTTTGCCGTCTGGCTTAGGGTATTCGATCTTCTCGCACACGCCCGCGGTCTTTGTGGCGGCATAGTCTGGTTTCCCATGCTTCAGTGTCCAGGGCGCCTTGCCTCGGAGAACATATGCCTCTAGACCTGAATAGAGAACACCGCCAAAGAACCCAAATGGGCTGTGGAAAGAAGGTCGCATGTTTCGAACCTGCTTTAGCTCTGACCAAATGGTTGAGTTGCGCAGTTTGTCCTCGTAATCATACAGGAACACAGAGCCTTCTGCGTTGCCCTGCAGAGCGTCCCAGGTCGCTTCCGCTGCAAGCATTCCAGATCGCATAGCGGTGTGAGTGCCCTTGATCTTTGGCACATTCAAGAATCCCGCGGTGTCGCCAATCAAAGCACCACCGGGGAAAGCGCATTTTGGTATTGACTGGAAGCCACCCTCTACGAGCGTCCTAGCACCATATGATATGCACTTGCCTCCCTCTAGCACATCTCGGTAGAAAGGGTGGTGCTTCATTTTCTGGAACTCGCCATAGGGCGCCAGCCATGGATTGGGGTAGTCCAGGCCTGTCACCAAGCCAATGCTCACCATGTTGTCTCCGAAGTGATACATCCAGCCACCACCATAGGTGTCCCTAGGAAGGGGATATCCCATGGAGTGACAGATCAGGCCCGAATGGAATTTCTCCGGTTGTATCTCCCATATTTCCTTGATACCAAGGGCGTATGTCTGATGCTGGCTGTCACGTCTCAAGTCGTACTTCTTGATGACTTGTTTCGAAAGACTGCCGTGACAACCCTCTCCCAGCAGCGTCACGCGAGCATGAAATTCCATGCCACGCTCGAAAGAGTCCTTGGGTGTACCATCCCTTGAGATGCCGAGATCGTTTGTTGCAACGCCCTTGACAGCGCCTTCGTGGTCATATAGTATCTCCGAGGCCGCAAAGCCAGGATATACCTCCACACCAACCTCTTCTGCCCGCTCACCAAGCCATTTAACCAGCTGATTCAGGCTTATTATGTAGTTGCCGTGGTTGTTCATCTGCGGAGGCTTTGGCATCCATATCGAGCCAGTCTTGGTCAAGAAGCGCATGCGATCTTCTTTGGCGGGTGTGATGTGTTCGTAGCGGTTGGGGTTATCCTCCGACTTCCAGTCGGGAAGAAGCTCATCAAGGGCGGACGGCTCGATGACGTTGCCAGAAACGATGTGGTCACCCATTTCTCCGGCTTTCTCAAGCACCAACACTCGAAAGTCTTCATTGCCGGCCTCATTTGCCAGCTGCTTCAGCTTGATAGCTGCTGACAGCCCCGCGGGCCCGCCACCAACGATGCAGACGTCGACCTCGTCTGCTTCCCGTTCTATTTGCCGTGGGTCGTCATCGCGTACTTGGGCGAATCTGGATCGAGCGGTGGAGAAGATGGCTCTTCGTTGGCCGGCAAAAAGCAGCGCGGGACGGTACGACTCCCACGGTGACTGTGTTCGCTGCGCGGTGCAAGAAAATGTACGAGGCGCAAACTTCACGGAGCGTGGCGACGAGAAGAATCGTCGAGGTAGCGACGCTGCGAGTGACCGGGAAGCCATTGGAGCAGGTGCGGTAGAAGCGCAGGTGTGACGCAAAGAGAGAGAACCTCACAACCCCATTCTTGTTGTATTGAGGACTCGCAGCAATTCATGACGATGTTTCCCGGCTTCGGCTGCTCCCTCCAGAAACCGAGGTTGCGCTAACCTGAACATGGATCGCGGGTTATGAACCGACAATACGCGCCTCTTGACTGGTTGAGCCATTCGTCCTCGACGACAAAGACCCCATCTTTCCGGATGTCGCGACTACATAGGGACTTTTCGGACTGTCTTCAGGCGCCTCGATGTCGTTCTCACCCAATTGTGCTGGCAGCACTCTGGCAGAACATGCCCCCATGCTTTGATGGGTTAGTTTTGCCGACAGTACACGTTCTCACTTCAGCAGCCCCATAAAGCAAAGTGGGACAACAAACTCCGTCCCAAGTCACTACCTACCACAGTAAGTGGTGGAGAGAATCGACAGCTGGCATCGTCGTGTTTCTCGAAGTCCGCTATTTGTCTGAGTGCCGCCAGGCGCAGACTCCTGGACGAGCGCTGTATCAGAGTCTTGGCCATTCGGTTTCATCCTTCGCTTCTGTCACTGACTGTGCACCCTCTTCCAGCCGCGCTCCTGGGTGGTATTATAACTGGGTCGTTGCTCACAGCCGTTTACTGTCGAAGAAGCGATGACCACCTATCAGCTTGCACGGCCCATCTTGGGGGTTGGAAGACCGATCGAGCCCAGAACTTCGGCGTGAAATGAAACCCAGCCTGGGCAAACACACCCACCCTGACGACAGTGGAGACTGGATCATCGTTGTTGTGCAGGTTCGTTCAAAACGACGGATTCCTGCACTGCGCCAAAGGTGACGCGTTCACAGATCACGGCAAAGTAATGATCCGGGTGAGATGCTGGAAAGCAAACCGACGTGAACAATTTACGCGCCTTTGCAACAACGCACATTTAACACGCTCAGCGCACAATCTCACATGTGTGCACCTTAGAGGGCGATGTGAGGCTCCCAGTTGTGAGGCTCCTCCTCGCCTCGGCCTACCCTGAGACCGGGCAAGCTTCACGAACCCCTGGTCGGCTGCATGCCGCAGTCACACCAAACTCATGCGTTTGAACAAGCTTTTCCGCTCGATCCCCCGCATCCTGGTCTGTCTGCTACAAGATCTCCGACAACAGACGTTGGGGCTACAGTTTGACAACGCTTGACGGGATTGGTCCGCGCAGTTCCCGCCAACTTCATTGGCCGTGTCATGGCCCTGGCTCGGCGTCATTCGGTACTCTTTGCACGTTTTTCTCGTGCCATCTCCTATTCCAGCCCACATGTTCGATGCCTAGGCCAAGCTTTCGTTCCTGTGACAGAAAATTGGGGGGTGTTGGGGTAGACTCGCCTTGCGAGCCTGGCAACCTCAGGGCTTCTCAGGCATGGAGTGTTAGATGCACACGGGATCTGCCCAGACGAGGATCTTGTTGCTTGTCTTGTCGAACATGACATCGATTCGCTTCTAAATATGCACACTAGGTCAAAGCGACTCGAGGGTATAAATCCCATCGTCAACTATCCCTCTCACAGTTCTTCACTCCATCTCCACGCCCAGTTCAATCCTTTGGTCTTTCAGTGCAGGGCACTTCTCATTACATTCCTTTCTTGAAGAGCTGAGCTCACTGGTTACTGTATTCAACCTTCCATTGCCTTCTTCGTCACCACTCCTTCAAACATTATTTCACCATGAAGACCTCCATCCCTCTCCTCACTCTCCTTTCTGCGGCTCTTGTCACCGCAGCCCCGGCCCCCCTTCGTTAAGCCTGGACCTGTCGTCACAACCGGTACCGAAAATGTTGCCATTCCCCAGCCCAACATTGGTCGCCGTGAGGTCGTCGCAGACTTTGAAAAGCGAGCCCTCCAACTTCGAGATGCTCTTATAATAGCGCGTGGCGGTAAGGACAACAACGCCGATGCCGCAGCCGCCGGTCAGAACAACCAGGCAGCAGCAGAACAGAATGACCAGGCTGCCGCTCAGGAAGGGGCTGCAGCAGATGCAAATGCTGCTGACCAGGTGAGTAGCGCGCTTTGGGATCTCATCGGATACGGGAAAATCAACTAATACGGGAGCAGACTGCCCAAGCTGGAAGTGGCAAGAAGAACAAAAACGGTGGCAACAATGCTGCGGCGGACCAACAGGCGGCGGGTGCTGGTGTTGGAAATGCGAATGACAATGCAGGAGGTCAGTCGCTCCCTGAAATCGTCCTTTGTATTGTCCCTGACCAAATCCTAGATGTTGCAGCCGGATCAGCTGCGAGCAATACTACCGATGCAACTGGCAATGCTGGAGCCGGAGCTGGTACGTAGAGGCCAGGCACGAAGCCAATATGTCTCGGACATAGATGCCTCGTACCTACCTCCACCCTTGCGACATACACTGACCTCGCACCTTCTAGGCAACGGAAAGAAAGGCAAGAAAAACAAGGGCAACGCAGCAGCGGCGCAGGCCGCGCAAGGCTTGGCCTCGAGCAACGCTACCGATGCGACTGGCGCAGGAAATGCTGCAACCGGTAGTGAGTTGACCATTGTCTATGATCGGTCACACATTCACTGACCACCCTCTAGAAGGAAAGAAGAACAAGAAGGGCAAGAACAAAGGCAATGCCGCCGCGGGGGTGGCCAACAGTGAGTCTCTCCTCCGAGATCCTCGATAGACTATTGAATAACCATCTCACAGACGCCACCGCCGTCGCTGCAGGCGCTGCGCTGGCCACCAATGGCACTGCAGTAGCAGGCAATGGCACTGCTGATGCAGGGAATGGAAAGAAAAGCCACAAAGGCAAGAAGAACAACGGAAACGCGGCCAACCAGGCAGGTGCGAACGCTCAAGCCAATGCTGACGGCGCTACTCTGGAGGGGGCCCTCGCCGCACTTGAGCAGGGCGCAGGAGCTGGCGAAGCCGGCGCAGGAGCTGGCGGTGCCACCGACATTGTTTCTCAACTCACCAGCGCTCTCTCAGGGATACTTGGAGGAGGCGCTGGAGCAGCTGGAGGTGCCGAAGCGGCGGGTGCACAGGCCCAGGGTGTCCAGGTCGGCGGCCTGAATGTCGCTGGTCTGGGTAAAGGCAAGGACAACAAGAACTAAAGTTCCCCCTTCCTCCACCACAGGTGAGGCCCGAAGCGGGCCACCAGTGTATGCAACGGAGCGTTACTGATATATATCTTCTTTCTGGGGACAGAGACTTGGGCTTGGAGATGGTTTCTTGGACTGAATGGGTGAATACGAAACGGATCCCTGGAGGGGCCGTGGTACAACTACTACAACTTATTGTATAGAAAATGTCAGTCGATCTGACGGTAATAACATTCCACCATCAACACTCCCTTTTCGTCTTCGACAGCGTGGATGTGGAATTTGCGAGTAGGTGGCGTCATCGGGTAGCGAGGGTGTGCTCAAACGCGGAAACCCTCAGAAAAAGCCACTCGCCTGAGGTTTCGTAAGCCCCGCCGCTTACAGAGGGCAGAGGAATGGCGGAGGTGGGTGGTTTGATCAGAGAGTGATGCGTTTAAAGCATAGTGAGACTATGAGAGCAGGATGAGGATGAACAGGTCAATGCCGTCCGATGGGGATGTATGATGTTCGTGTGCGGCGGTGGGCTATTCTTATCCAGGACCAAGCCGTGCAGTGTCTTCTTGGCCTAAGGCATGGCTTGAGATGGTGTCTGCCTTTCATCGTGGGATAGGCTTAATTAGGTCACAAGGTCGTGTTTTGGCCGTATCAACTAGGAAGGGCGAAAATTGGAAAGATTTGCGAACGTGGCACTAGATCACTTATGAAGAGTGCAAGAGTGTGCTCTAAGCCTCTTTTCTCTTACACAAACAAAAGCTCTTGTCGCGTTCGCCACCTCTTGCGAGATCGAGACTACCAAACTAAGGCTGGATTGACAAGTAGACTGGACCGCACAAGATGATCTTGTGTCCACGGGTACCTTCTCCTTACTCCAGTCATTCTGTATTTTCACCCAGGTTGTTAACCACGTCTAATGAGAATGAAGCCGATCGCGAATATAAGAGCCTCCACGCGCAATTGGATCAGCCGCAGTAAAGCTATGAAAACTAGACTCGTATCTCCAAAAGATGGTCTGCCCTTCGCTGAAATATACGGTACCTATCTTTTAGCCTGATAACCTCCCTCCTTGTCAGTACTTTGATCGATACATATGGCATTGATCCACAAGGTTTTGTCTTTGTCGTCGGCGCGCAAGTGTTTTAGCGCGAGGTGAGAATTAGCCGTCATAGCCAGGCGCTCGCCACTTACCATAAGCTTTAGAAGTTGCTGTGTGTCCAGGCTGTCCCAGACATAGGTACGATATAAATGCCTCCAAAGGTATCAGTTCGTCTCCTTCAAGGGAGCTCTCGAAAAGCTCGCATTTTCCCTATCTCACATCCTCGGCAGAGGCGCAAAACTCTACAAGACCGGGTCTCGAAATCCAAGGGGTCGTATTGGAAAAAACCCCACGCTTTGGAAAGAGAACACTCCACACCTGGCATGTTACAGCGGCGAAACAGGACCAGAAGAGGTAGTGATGATGGCGATGTTCTGCAAGACGGGGTCAGCCTTACCCTTGAAAGGACCACAGCTCCCATCTGCTGAGTTGTGTAACCATTGGTGTGCCTAAGCCTCCACACTCGTCAAGATTGACTGTCTGGTCAAAGCGTGATCGCTCACCGGCTGCAGTCGTCAAATTTTGTACCTACCTACACTTGATTGGCAAGCGTCTAAAAGTCGGAAGAGAGCATTATAGTACAAGTTCGCATGTTATGGTACTTCGATTGGTGCGCTCGTATCTGCACGTGATCTGCACGGTAGGTACCAGGTTAGCGTATCTGCTGCGCGCCACCTTCACGTTGATGCAGGTGCTTGCTCTCGACTACCTACCAGAGGTACTTTCATGCAGTGGCAAGACGAAATTGTGCCTTCGTGCAACGCGATCCATCGATGCACTATGCGCATTTGAGTCTTGTAAACATTCACGGTCGTCCAAGATCTTTCCATCACCTATGTCTTCGATAAGGCGGTCTCAAAGATATCGCAAAAGCGGTGCGAAAGTAAAGAGCGGCTGCAAAACATGCAAGTATGTTCCCAAAACTTCGTGTCTCGATCTGAGGCTGAGATTGAGCAGGATTCTACGCGTGAAGTGCGATGAAAATAAACCAGAATGTTTACGGTACGTCGGGAGCGGCAATGTTCTCTAACAATTGTAACCGAGCCAGGTGCACAAACACAGGGAGGAAGTGTGACGGCTACTGTACACACGGAGGAGCCGGCCATGACTTAGATCGTGGCCAGTTTCAAGGCGTTGACCTCTGCGCGACTGTGTCAAGTTTCCCTAGTCTCGGCAGTAACGTTCACTATCTTGAGTTTTACCATTACCACGCTAGACCGGTCATTTCTAGCACCTTTGACGAGAACTTCTGGACTCAGACAGTGCTTCAGATCGCTTGTTCGGAGGCGCCGGTTCGTCATGCTCTGATAGCTCTGTCTTCTCTTATCAAATCCGAAGACGGCACTCTCAAGCACGCCCGCGCCGCACTTACAACGTGTTCCGGACCAAGCGCATTGCTATATCACTATAGCAAGTCTATCAAATGTCTGGTCGAGCGGCTGAGCGACTCTTCATGTCCACCAGAGATTGGCCTCGTCACATGCATTCTTTACATATGTATTGAATATCTTCGAGGAGATTATAGAACGGCGTTTGCGCATTTACGCAGCGGACTTGGTATTATTGCGGAACGACAGCGACAACAAGCCATCTGCCCAACTTCGACGCAAGCAAGGTCACATAAAGCCGGGCTTGGTGTAGTGAGTAGGCTTGCCCCAATAATCGAAGACAAGCTCACGCCCATCTACATGCGGGCAGTCGCATCTGCCTTGATGTTTGGCGAGAAATTAGAGGAAGTAATCGAGCTACCATGTCCCTCCCCCACGTGCTTCGGCCAACAACCTATCACGAACATCTACGAAGCTCAGTGCTCTTGCCACGAACTTCGGAACGCCTCCCTAGTTTTCATCCGGCAAATCAGCTTCTCGGTAGTGCGGGGATTGCACCTGACGACAGAGGACCTGAGGCGCCAGTCGTATCTCTTGGAGAGCCAAGCAGCATGGTATCACGCATTACAACGATTTGAGAAGAATAAAAAAAATTCGAAGAGCGACGATGTGATCATCAGCTGCCTCAAAGTAACTTACTTCGCCATCCACACATGGACCGCATGCGCAGCGTCAATCTCTCAGACGCCTTTCGACGCACATCTCTCACAGTTCCGCTCCCTCCTTTACCATGCCAAAACCGTCCTTGGTTCCACATCCTCCATATCCACCGTCCCAGCAAAATTTTCCTTCGAAATCTCTATCGTACCCGCCCTTTTCCACGCCGCCGCCCGTTGCAGGTGCCCCCAGACCCGACGTCAAGCAGTTGCGCTTCTTGCATTGCAGCCTGTTCGTGAAGGCCTGTGGGATGCACAGCAGTATGGGTTAGTTGCGAAAAGGGTGATTGAGATCGAGGAGCAGGCAGTAGATACTTCGACGGGGTGGCCAGCCGAAACGAATAGGCTGTATGCTACTGTTGTTAACGCGGATATGGATTGTCATGGTCGGTTTATGGTGTATTTCTTGCCGGTCAAATGGGTTGGAGAATTCGATGAGAATGGACAGCAGAAGACAAGGCACGAACGTTTGATTCTGTAAGATGTGTCACTACTTCCGCTGTGGGTAAGTTTCCCACGGACGGTAGACTTCGTGTTGGCAATGTTTGAAGTCAAAATCAAACTCGCAAAACCCCTAAACTCTCTCACAAATTTCTTCTCGACCCTTCCTCGTTGTCAACCGGCTTTTAATTATTTAGTTGCTGTCTTCTGCCTGCTGGCCCACTCTGGCGGTGATGGCTGCATTCGTATCGTGGCAACGGCTTTTCTGATTCCGTGGTGGACGCTTGCACCTTCCTACCCAACCGCTCAGACAGGAGGATGCCCAGTGACCTGCGCCTTTCTATTACTACCTAGCGTCCAATCGTCCGTTGATATAAATCACGAGCTCATTGACCACTCAGCCTCAATGCGGTAGCTGCATCCACAATTCACATATTATCGTTTTACTCGAGACCTACAGAGCTCCTTACAGGACTTACAACCATTCAGTCCACGTTTCTGCAGGCCAACCCAAGCTTCGCAGCTCCACATGCAGTCCTCCTGCAGCACACCGGTCTTCCCGTGTGCTAGCCTCAGTGGCGATCTTCACAACACGCCCAAGGACTTCCGAAGGTCCAAATCACTGCGACCCGTTCGAAGCGCTCGCCGGGTAGTTGTAGACAGCAGAACCAAGAGATAAATTCGAAGTCACAGCATCTGCGGTGAAATGCGCATGTGGGGCCGCCAACACTCATGCCAGACGGCAATGTAGTAGAAAAGATCCCTGAAAACCGCGCCGTTGTTTACAATAGTTGTGACCATGATGAGGTCCAGAGGGACAAAGATCGCGAACCTGGCGAGGATTCACGGAGCTGTGTTCTGCCACCTGTCCTGTACCACATTGTGGTATACGCACTCTTTCACCTATTGCTATTGTCATGCTGACTCATATTCACAATGATCGAAGATGAGATTTGGGTCAGCCTTCGTGACGACGTTACACGAGGATTCTGATCTACAACATGTAGTCCCCTGCGCGTATCTTCTGCCGGACTAAAGTTTCTTTACCGTCAAGCCGAACGAGAAATGTCCAGCAAAAAACCCTTGTCAGTATAATAACAGGTTCAAGCACCGGCGCACGTCCTTGAGGATTCAGCCACCACAACAAAGGGATTGGGATCTTCTCGGTTCAACTGATGATTCTACCCAGCCGGGACATGTTCCTCATACCTCATGCATTACTGAAATCCTTTCCATGTCATCTCTGTTACAAGCTCATCGAGAGCCTTCAGCATTCGTAGAATTCCAACAGCCACGAACTTTACATTGCCTGAAACAAGTAATATCCTTCATATTCTATCTGACTGTCCATCTAATTCCTCTCCCTCCTTAGCACCCCAGCCCCATCAGCCTCAACCGATCAATTTCAGGAATCTCGATGCCCTCCGCATCAGCAAATTCCGTCCAATTCAGCCACGGATCACACCATTTCTTCGTAGTCATCTCAACCATTCTATACGTCCTCCTAGCTCCATTTCCCTTATCCCTATTCTTTCTCCTGACCAGAATCTCCGGATAATCAATAGGTCGAGGGAGTTCCGCACATCCCCTGAGACACCGTGTCAAACATTCAATGAACCACGACGGCACGTATGCTCCAGTGATTTCCACCTCTTCCACACCGCTTAGAGCAGTCAGGCCCTCGAGTCCAAAGATATACTTCCTCTGAGCTTCGTGCGAGGAGCGGATGGCGGTATCACGCATGCCCATGCCTCGTGACATGCCGGGAACGTGAAACCGATGGCCTCTTCTGTTGAGGGACGTAGCGAACCAGTCTACCTTCAGCTTTTCCAGGAGAGATTTTTTGTTCGAGTCATGTGAGTATTTTTGCAACTCTTGCACAAATTGCTGGAGACGTTCTTTGTGGCGCTTGATCGCAAGAGTAGAGCCGTCGTTGACCTCGACGTGCAGTGCGATGATGCGAAGGTCGCGCAAGAGGTGTTTCCTGGTAGGATCATCAAACAGGCCAAAGACGTTTGTTTTGTCATATTTTTTGGGCACGGAGGTGATGGTGAAGTTGAATGTATTTTGGCCGTAGAGAATCGCTGGAGGTGCACGAGTTACTATCAGTTCGGGAGGGGGGTTGGATAATGGTTTCCCGTATTAGGACTTACCGCGCGCTTCGTTGCAGATAACCTTGTTGACAAGAAAGATATTAAATTCGACGGGTGGAAAGGTCAACTCTACTAGAATTGCGCGACTACGATTGTTGCTCCTCCATTGCTCTTCCACTTGCCTCCAGACGGAGCGTTTGTAGACATTACCGTCCTTGTCTTTTGCTGTGACACACATCGGGTTGCTTTTGAAGCGATTTCGGTTATAGAATATGTCATAGCCGCAGGGGACTAGTTCTTGATAGATCTGCCTACGTAGCTCGGAGGGTAATTTCAAGAAAGGGAAAACGTGATTCTTCTCTAGTGTAGGCTCCGATTTGGGGTCTCGTGTTAGGTTGATGATTACACTGGAATCATTGTCTGGATCAGCATCATCATCAGCGATTGTCATCTCCGCGTCATCCAAAAACTCCAGCTCTTCATATTTTCTCGCTGACTCCTCATGAGAGAGGGAAGTGGTAGGATTCCTAGGTGACTCATAAGGATGTGCTCGCCCTTTCCCAATGGGTGGCGAGTTGGATAAGTCGTTCTGCGCTGTCGTGTCATCGAGGGCATCGACCGTATCCCTACATGCTTGGTCAGATAGTATGTGATTATTGATGTTCTGCATGTTATTCGGATGCTGTTGCTTGCGCACTTTCGACGACGCAGGAATTATGCCCTTCTTCTTGGTGGACGTCGAAATACGCACTGGAGCCATCGTGTTTCAGACCGATGACTTCGAAGCCAAGTTGGACGTGTGTGACAGTTGAAATAGAAATGAAAGTGGAGAAGGGCGTTGGTGTTCTTGATAAGAGGAAGTGGTACAGAGGTTTATGTATGCAATACGATACGCGCTAAAGTCTAATCCTTGTACGTCGGCGCATCTAGGCAACTGCAGGCAGCCCTCAGGCACACATTCGCGGCTATGTGATATCGTTCGTGTGGCGATGATGGCTTCGATCAGATGACTGGGCCGCAAGCGGTTATCCTCCTTTTTCATTCGTCCTTGACACTTCTGATGTGCCACTCGAAGAACCAGATCGGTGGAATGGTGACGAATTACTCAATAACATCGAGTGAAGCCTTCACAGCGGCCGATGAGCAAGTAAAGCTTGACCTATCGTTTTGCCCACCATGTTGAGCTTGTTGCCTCAGCATGAGGGCAAGCCTCGTTTCTAAACACATGAAGCTCGGCACGTGGATTTTCAACCGGGGAAGACATGATTTCCATTATAGAATGAGGCCTGTGGCTTGCTGACCCTTGTTCTCGTTGCTCTTTCAGTTACATAGTGCTACGTTTACATATTTCTAGTCTGGGAATTCGCTATTTCTTGCTGATGAAATCGAGTTCTGATACGCGCGGAAATCAAGACATCTATAGTGGGCAAGAGAAGTCTATCGAGGCGACTCTAACGGTCCGCATCTATGCACAAACATGCCCAAGACATGAACACAGAATCAAAGCATGACACCAACCTTCCACACAGTTTATTACTCACCTAGATTGCTACTCCTCTTACCCCCAAATCCTTACTTCCGTGCTCGTCCTCCCTAGAACCTCCCAAAAAAGCCCCGTCAACATGCACAAAGCTTGCCGGAATAGGCGCACTGATCCTCCCCCTTACTTTACTTGGCGTTCTCTGCACTTTCAACCCCACTCCTCCGCGACTTCCCCTTTCTGCCCCCATTGAACCATCGGCGCTCTTTCGGTGGGTGAAAATTTCGGTGGAGATGGTGCTGAGCGCGAGGGCGTGTAGCAGTCACCGAGGGGCGATGTGGGTTGGATTTGTGAGAGGCGGACTCTGGTGGGGGTGCTGGGAAGACTGGATGGTAGTATTGAGGTTTGGACTTGGAGTTTTGGGTTCTCTGCGCAGCCCGTGTCCTGCGATGGGTGGGATTGTCATGATGAAGAGTCGAAACGAGTCAGACGTGGAGGTGGAAGTAGATATGTCTCGTTCGGCACGTGCTCGAATGTAGGGCGCTGGTCTATCTTGCCAAGTTCGATCCCGACGTTTGAGGCGTGGCTGCTGTCCCGATGCTGCGCTCTATCTCGGGGCTGGCTATCTGGATAGGGTGTTGCTACCAAAGATGGAGGTGGCTTTACGTGGCGAGTGCTGCTGGTATATTTCGGCATCCTCCAGGGAGGTGAGTTGCAGAGAGGGCAGGCGACCTCTGTGAAGCGCGCGGTGACCGAGACCTGGGAAGAGCGTGAGCCAGGTTTGGAGCATGGTGGTGCGGAAGAGGAGGATGAAAACGGATATGCCGGCGAGCTGTTAGACATGTTAGCCAGATGCAACGTGTAGATAGGAGCAAGAGAATTCTCACAGAAGCTCAGATCAGCGAGACAAGCACGGTGGCTTAAATTACCGTGAAGTCTTGCACATACTTCCTACACTCCTCCTTATCGCCCATGCTCAAGATCTGGCAGATGATCCATGTTTTCACCTGCAGAATATCGTTCGGGTCGTTAAACACGCGGCCCAGCTTCCTGTCCTGAGTCCAGAATACAATAAAGAAGCTGATGCTCCAGATGATGACGAAGACGCTGACTACAATGGTCCTCCACTGTAACAGGAACAGCTTCTTGACATTGCCCCACGACTCTAACTTTCGCCTCACTTGACCTCTTTCGAAAGAATCGATGGCTGGATCCCGCCGCATGCGCCGCAATGAGCGGACGTAGACGTAGAAGCAGTAGCCAGAAGTTAAGGTTTGCAAAAGGAATGCCAAAACCACGAAAACGACTAGCCAAATCCAGAACGTCACAATAGCGTGCTCGTGGTTGGGCAGACGCGTCTGACCCATGCGATAATTGAGTCCTGTTGCGGAGAGCACCGCGATCAAACAGATCAAAGGCATCGCCGTACCAAAGATGATGCTTCCCCATTTGAATTCCTCTCCTGGATCTCTGTCCCAGAAGATTCGGATATGCAGCCAAAGACTTCGGAAGAAGACCCATACGACACTGCCTACACCGCCTAGAGTTACGAGTGAGCCTGTCCATGCGCACGACATGGAAGAGTGCATGTTGTGCGGTGTGATAGCATCGTAGCACATGTTGGGATTTACGGTGACCGGAATGGCGAAGGGTAGTGAGATGAAGAGCACAGAGAAGAGAAGGCCGAACGAGAGACAGTGGCGATGCGTTGTTTCTGGGGGCAGAACAGCGAAGGATAATACGAGGAACAGACAAAGGGTCACAGAGAGGATGGCGAGGTAGTTTGGAATGCGAAGGTGGTCTTGCCAGTCTGGATGCTTTGTTAGCTAGTGGTGCGTGATGGACGGCAAGAGTTGTACTTGGTTTGTAGAGCCAGTTCTGGATGGGGTACGAAAAATAATATGTTGTTCCGTCTTCGAAGGATCCGAGACCGCAGTATCGGCCAGCCGTGTCTATCAATCTGTATTAACATAGATCCTGCCTACTTCAAGGCATACGCACAGCCGCCCGTCTTCGAAAAAAGTCGCTAGGTCGAGAAGAGGTGCCGTGCAGATGATTCCCGTCTGATTCGCAAACTGTGCCAGCGGCATGTTGCTAATAATTCTTCACCCTCGGAGACGGCGCGGTTGTACTATGCATTTGCGATCCTGAATGCCCATTTTCCTCATTGCGCGAGCCATGACACCGCCGACTCTACATAGCCCGTGATGTTCCTTTATTGCTCCGAGATGAGTGGCGCTCTCGCCGGTGGTCGACTTGGATGCTAGAATAGTGCGAGACACGTCATGGGGTATAGCGTGGCTAAGTGACACAGAAAGAGCGGATGCACCGAAAGGATCAATGCATGACCCTGAACAGGATGACTAACAACGCTTGCAAGATGGAAGTAAGCCCCAGTAGAACAGGGTAAACACTAGACTGAGAATTAAGAGTTCAGTAACTATATCAGCGTGTAGCGTGTCTTCCATGATAGTCCTACATACGCCAATCCATGACATGCCTTTGGTATCATGAAGCAAATCAAATTCTCCTCTCATCATTGACCCAAATTATACCGGAACGCCTGAATACCCTATCTTAAGTTTCGGCCTAGCACCGTCGACCGTCTCCGTCTGAAATTGGTCCCTCCACCATGTCTGGTCCTGCTTTGCTTGCACGTAGGTTTCGCGTGCTTCCGGTGCCATGGATTGGACGTCGTCCTCTTCCAAATTGGGTAATCCATTTGTTCCAACATCAAGGAATTCAGCATCTGGTCCTGGAAGCCCTAGGCTGGCATATGGCGGCTTCTGAACGTATGTGTCGACGACAAAATAGTGCTTGCGGACAAGCGGGGGCACATCGCTCTCGTCTTGTGGCACTTCCTCCCACTTGGCGTGGGTCGGCTGCGTCGTCCTTGGATAGGTCATTAGATTGGTGTGCGGGTCGTAGATGCCCTGCTTCAGATTCACTCTTCGCAAGGCAGACAAGTTCGCATTAAAGCGGCTGCTAAGAGTTAGTGAGGTGATCTGACCTGAAAGGCAGGCTGTCTACCTACCTGGAGGAACTGGCGTGCTCGAACTGCCAATTGGCGGATGTGATGTTAACCTTGCGCTTCCCAGGCACCGGTTTACCATTCGCCAAGGGTACACTTGGTACGCCAGTATGATAGACGCTGCTCGCACCATGCCACGCGACATATTGGTTCTTGTTGTAGGGTTCGCCAGGTGGTGGCAGCTTGTCGTGTGGTTCTGCTAGCTCGCCCTCGACATCGCCTCTCTCGCGCGCTGCGGTCTCATAATAGTCATCGATGATTTTCTTACCACCAATGACGATGCGCGCTCCAAATTCTCGAAAAACAGAACGAGCCGTGACAACACCAATTGAACGGCCTTTATACGAGTGAGGAATGATTTCGCGGTCTATCAGATCCCGCTTCTCTGTGTCATCGATAATGATCTTATGGAGCTGCATGTGCTTGGTGAAGAACAAATAACTGTCGCGGAAACCACAGCATCGTGCAGGTTCGGTAGACAACATATAGAGTCTATCTCCGCGACCGCCGATGGTGAAGACGCGCACACGATAGTCTCGACCATCTTGCAGGTTTCCAAGCTTGTCGACCTTCTTTTCGCCCTCAGGATCCTCGGGCAGATCCACCTCATCATTCACCACGTCCATCATTGTGCCTTCTTTGTCAATTGCGACACGGGTTGCCTGCACTGGGCCGCCCTTTGGGCGGCCACGGAAGCCTCCACCAGCTGGTCGGCCACGTTTGCGCTTGACGGGGGTGCCGGACTGAGAACCATCGTCGGGTATTACATTCCAGTCAGGTGGGCGATTCTTGGGAGGACGACCAAGACGCTTCTTGCGCTGCACTTGAACAACAGGTGTCGCAGAGCGTTCCGAAGCTGCCTTTTCTTCTTCTTCGGACTCTTGCGCAGGCGTGCCAGCATCTTCTTCTTCGGCGGGAGTCTCGGCGCGATCGGCGGCGGCGGCATCAATTACCTCCTCCATTTCGTCGTCGTCGTCGTCGAAGGTGATGGGTGTTGCGGGAGTGCTGCGACGAGCTGCCGCGCGGGACGGTCGACCGCGCGCCATATTGTTGAATCAAAACTCTTGGCAATTGTGGCGCAGTTCAGGGTGAGTGCGACGCGTGCAGTAAATCTGTAAGTGAGAGAACGCGCATTGAGTGACGGTGAAGGTTGAATGCGATGCGCGCAAGCTAAGGGCGCAACGGCCGTTTCCTGAGCTCGGACCGTCCCAGCTTCCCACCCATCACGTGCAGCCTAACTTCACTTCCACACATGTGCATCGGCACAACGCGTTCGTCGCAAATCTTCAGGGAAAGCAAGGATTTGTCTCATAGGTGATCGGGGTCCAGTCCATATGCTCTGTGATAACGGGTGGGTTATTGCATCCGAGGAAGGCACGGATGAGGATAGTTGAGAAGCGCACCACCTGCGATTTCGCGCGATACCGTGAAGCAGCTGCTATTGACCAGTGGAAGGCGTCAGCTGAGTCCTCTAGAGCCATTACCTTCCTCGGATGCAATTACCTACACCTTCCTAGTTCACCACCGATGTTTTCAATGATATGGAAGCTGCCCAGGTGCAGCGCAACCAGTTTGTTGCCAAACGTACGCCATGCCTGGAACATTTGAAGTGTGACACCTGCAAGCTTTCTGTCGAGTTTCTGCTCCTTCACCACCCGCACAAGTCAACATCTACGAGCTCCACAGACGCAGTTGATGCAGCATGACGCTCCACCGCCTCGCCGTCCGGACCAAGAAGAGTCTCTCCGGACTTTATTCTTCCCAAAAAGAGAATACGCAGACTACTTCGAGGTACTACTCTTTAGTGATTTGAAAAGGCATCGTGCTAAAAGTTACACCCCCAGCCCAGGAGCAACGACCGCCAAGCTTACCATCACTCCTCCAAAGACTGCGTCCTCCACCATCGACGATTTCGGTCTGTTGCGAAGCGATGACGACGCATATCCTGGAAGAGAAAGCCCGTCTAGGCGCCAACGTCTCTTGGGCTCGCTGCGAAGCATGAAGTCCTTGCGGACCCTACGTTCAAGTCACAGCAGTTCGAAGAAGAGCGGAGAGGAACCTGCTAGAACCGACATTCCGCAGACGCCAGTCAAAGAGATGCCTTCGGTATCACTCAGTTTCGAGGCGTCACCAGCAGACGTGCCCATGTTTGGACCGATGACACGTACGACGTCGGGCTCCTGCAGCCTCCGAGTGCACCGTTCATCGCCTATCACTGTTCCTATGGCGAGTCGCGAAGCCACTATAATGGACCAGGACTTGGACCAAGGCACCCAAACTGCCTTAGGATATTTACCTACAGGCACTGTCCCGGACTCTCCCGCTCCTTTGCAGAGGGCTTCCGTGCAAGAAGCTATCATCAGCAATGCTATGAGGGAGAGCCGTTTTTCAGCTTCTTCCGATCTCGAGATCTTCGGCAACCCACTTCCTACTCCTATGCCTGGCACTAACCTTCCTCTTGAGGTTGTTGCAGCTCCAGGCATCATGATCACTTCCCCTTCAGCTCCGTCCATGCAGGCGAATGATCAACCAGGCTACTTCGACGGTGTCGTCGTTCACGTTGGGAACGGTTACGAGCGCACCAGGTCTTTGGACACCGAGAGTGGATTCCCAACACTTGACGACGCGCGCAATAGTGCAATGGATGCCAGCAACGAGGGGCACGACGACGAAGTCATCCCGGGCCATCCTACGGTTCCGGAAGTTAATCCAGCTTCCTTCGATGAGTCTTTTCCAGTCGTCCCAATGAACATTACTGTCGCCACAAGCGCGCCGAAGTCTCCTTCCGGCTCGAATGACTACGGCGAGAACGTGGCATACGTCGTGTACGATAGTCCAGGCGCTTCCGACGCAGGACGAAATCGGAAGCAATGTCTCGGCCACTGGGGTCGCTTGACCAGCCACTGCTCTATCCATCCTGTCGACAACGACACGGGCTATGGTTGGAGTGAGACGTCTTCGAGCCCGAATTACTGGACAGACAATACTGAAGCCGCAACCAATGATGGGACTGAGCTGACCGAGTACACCAGTCCCGGAGACGCCACTGCTGAAGCCGCTGCTGAGGCTAAACTGATGGCCGCAATTGAGGAGCTCGACGCTGCTACACTTCACGCCAAGCCACAGTCACCTATAGATGGGAAGAAGGCTCTGCAGGACTTTGTTCGCGCCTATACTCGACTTCGAGAAGGTACTGACGATGCTGTTGGCGGTCTACCCCTCGCAGAAGGACCGGATAGCATCACGCAAGAGATGAAGGAAGAGGTCGAGACCTCGATCCGCGTCATGAACAGGAGTCTGGGAGGCTGATTGGTATTAAGCTGGCGGATGCAAGGATTGGAAAGCGGGCTTGGATAATGGCATTGTCGGTCGTGGGTGAGATGAAGTGGTTTCTTGCTTAATCGGTATTCTTTCAGCGCGCATAGGCTTTTACCGGGTTGGTACAGCGAATGCCAGTATTGTCTTTACTTGCGAATCTTACATCTTCCTAAGTGCGGTGCGTACTCGGAGTCATGTCGAACTACGAGCATCGCCACACGTTGATCGATCGCTTCTCACTCACACTCTCGCATTTGTCGGCATCGTTCCCCCACACGCTTGCGTCAGATTTGCCGTTGAACTCTCTGTACCTCAATATATACGACGGGTATGTTTCGTGCAGGTGCATGAAAAGAGTTGCACGCCCGCCTCAAGTGGTCTGCTTCGTCGAGAAGGTCAGGCCACCTTCCGACCCGGTTCGGGTCACGCGTCATGGATCCAAGCGAATCGCGCCTCCTCAAAGTTCCTGGCCCGCCAGTCCAACGGTAAAACTCGTACGATGCGTGCTGCACATGTCGTCTGGCAAACGGATCCCCGTTCGCGGAATGCAAGAGATCAGATCATCCTTGCGTATGGTGTCGCCTGCTTCGACAATGGCCGCGGCGCGTCCTTATAAAAGTTCTGGGGCGGCGCGTCCCCTCGTTGCCCCGCGCGACGTTTACTGCTATTCATGATGAGCACAAGCACCGAGAACGGACCTGAAGGCGACACTGTGATTCTGGGCGCGGGTATTGTTGGCTTGTCGACGGCGTATTATCTTTCGAGGTCGGGAAAGACGAGGCCTGAGAGTATCCATCTTGTGGACTCCAGTGCGGAGCTGTTTCATTGTGCGTCAGGGTTCGCGGGTGGGTTTTTGGCGGCGGATTGTACGTATACTTCACGACTTAGGATTGCGTTGAGCGTTGGCTGACTGGAATGGGATCAGGGTTTGCGCCGTCAAGCAAAGCTCTCGGTGCGCTGTCATTCAAACTTCACAAAGACCTCGCCGATGCACACGATGGTCGGACGACGTGGGGATATGCGCTCAGTACGGGCATCTCGTTGAGTCAAGATCAGGACGAGGAGTCTGCTGTGGGTGGGAGCGGAGAGGACTGGCTGGCTGATGGGACGAGTCGGGCTCAGGCGACCAGGTCGGAGAAGAGTCTGAGTGGAAAGGGCCCCGTGTGGTTGAAGATGAAGGAGGGGTTGGAGGTTATCAGTCAGGAGGGGACGGTGGCGCAAATGTGAGTAGGCAATTGTGGATGAGGAAGATGGTTAGGCTAACACTTTGGCAGAGATCCGTTGAGGTTCTGCCAATGGCTGCTGGAGAGGTGTTCAGAGAGGGGCGTGCGGTTGCACCATCCCGCGAGGGCCATATCTGTCTCAAGGGATGCAGACAGTCAATTGAACGGCGTCCGGATAAGCAAAGGTGGAACGGAGTCAGAGTGTATGCACCACTGCCTTCGCGATTGGCCTCCGCTAACATATGCAGTACCATGCGCACGTCTCGTCATCACCTCGGGAGCCTGGTCGCCTCGCGTCTTCTCGACCCTCTTCCCCAAATCTTCAATCCGGATACCTATATCGTCTCTCGCCGGCCATTCTCTTCTCGTACGCAATCAACACCATACTCCAGAACAAGTAGACGCCGAAGCCTGCCATGCCCTATTCGCAACTGACGACATTGGCTTCTCACCAGAGCTGTTTTCGCGGATAGGCGGCGAGCTGTATCTCGCGGGCCTTAACAGCACCACGATCCCTCTACCTGAGCAACCTTCGGATGTCAAAGTCAACCCAGAAGCAATCGAGCAAATGAAGAAGTGTGCTGCTCGTATGATAGGTGCTGTGGATGGGAAGGGGATGGAGGTTTTGAGGGAAGCTTTGGTAAGTCACCGTCGTGCTTGAACACTGGCAGAGCTTTTCGATTGACTCGATGCCAGTGTTTCAGACCCGTTACAGCAAGCGGACGCCCTCTTATATGCCGCATCCCAGATGCCAGACTCGGTTGCGGCCTGAAGACTCGTAAGGGCGGCGACGGAGGTGTGTTCCTCGCAGCTGGCCATGGTGCTTGGGGTATCTGCCAGGCACCTGGAACAGGACTCGTGATGGCGGAGCTGATCGAAGGGCGTTCTACGTCGGCAAATATTTCTGCTCTGGTCTTGCCATCTTGATGTACTTTGCTGGCAGGGTGTTTTGGCATTGCACGCGAGCATCGGCACTACAGGCGTTTCTTTTCCATCACGGTCTTCTCACAAGGATTCCTATGTAGTTTAGACTTGGGCATCAATCGACACATACTATTCTCAACACCATCCCGTATTACCAGACTTGTTGTCTCGTGATCGTAACACCGTAGAAATCAAGGCACACTCTTCCCGCCAGATCACGATTTTCCAGTCTTCCGGTCGAAATCGCGGGAGCTTTGTGGGTCGCGTTGACATGCGGTTTGAGAATGTCATAATGATGTCATCGACGGAAGTTATAAGAGAACTTCATGAGGAGATGTAGTAACTAAATACTTGTCCACTACGAATCTCGCCTTTAACACCTTTTCAACTATCCAATTCACTTTCAGTCATCATGCCTCGCCAGGGAGACGGATCCTCAGACAATGGCCCTATTGAGGCGGGCGAGAACCTGATTCACGGCGCCTCTGGAGACGTACGTCTACCTCTCCTTCCCCTCCAAGACGATATGTTGACTCGCTGCGCTCATAGACCACTCTCAAGCACGCCCAGAAAGTTGCGCCCCTCCCGGAAGCCGAGAAAGGCGCTGCCATCGAGGGCATGAACGCATCTGGCGGCGGTTCTGCGGGAACTAACCAGGGCGCACACGCGAACGACAGCAACAAACCGCCTATTGTGGACCAGGTCACGAAATCTTAGATCATCGAACCTCATATCAAACCTCGCCAAACCGCACCGGTATATCGTATACTATTAAAATCTACTTATTTTCTTCAAGTAGCATGGTGTCGGATCCACACGGGCTGGAAACATTTGGAATGGATGCGAGTCTTTGCACGCGTGCAAGTAAGGCTATAACATGATATGCGAGGTGGGCAAGGAATTTCGGGCTAGTATCAACTGCGTGTGCCTGGAATGGACATGCGATACGAATCCATGAATTAATGATCGACGATACGAAATGTAATCTTCGTATCTACAAATTGTGGAGCTGTTTCGTGGAATGTCGTGCTGCACATCAAATGACTATGTATGCCTCAGCAATTAGTGTTATCTTCGGCTCCATGCCTATTTCCGTGCGACGCCGTACTACACTGTCATCAGGCTGAGCGAAGGATCCGAGCTGCTGACGCGAGAACGACCTCGGGAGCGCGACCAATAGACCTAAACAAGCGATTACGCACTGAGAATCCCCACATCAGCTGAGAAAAGCCTCGCACGCAGCAGGATGCGAAATGGAAACACGGGCGCAAAGGTGCGGGGGCGAAAGTCCACATTGCCGCAAGCAAACCTGACTAGTGAGACGAAGAAGCCACATCAGCCAACTCAGACTATACCTAGGTAGGTTTCATGAGGCTTTGCAGCGGTCGAAAAGTCACTATGAAGCAGAAGAAGAATCATGAGTGATGTGAAGTGTGGTTGAATTGCTATATATGAAAGAGCCAGCCCTTGGTCCTTTCCAGCCCGCCCATCACCTCCATCGACAACTGTTGTACAGTAGTTCAACACGTCAACGTTAAAAGCCCAGAACCCGTCATGACCCAACGCTATTCAGTAACCGAAAAACCTCCCTCGGTAATGCCAAAGACTCTTTACGCCGACCGTGTGATTGTCTAGACCGAAGTGACCGTGAACGCCTTTTCATGCCGCCATCTAGGCTGGCTCGCCGCGCGCCCTTGAATGACCGAGCGACCTTCTCGATGTTAGCACTACGCTGCGAGAGCCTCGTCGCTAGCAGTGGCTGCGCCAGAGGCTGTCTGCAAGTCGAAGTGCTTTGCATCAAGGTGGTCAGAAAGGTCAAAATCGGGAGCGTGGTGGCCGTCGAAGAGGACGGGCGTGAAGAAGGGGTCGCTGTCAACAAGGCCCGTTGTAGTTCCCAATTCTGTGTTCTGGAACTGGTCGAAGTCGAAAAGGTCCTCAATAGGCTTGTTGTCCATGGGAGTGTGAGATTGAAAAGCGACAGGAAAGCCCATATCGCCGACAGGGAGGCCGTGGGCGCTGAAGTCGACCGACACTGCAGGTCGCACAATATCTCTGCAGGATATCGTGTCTGGTCGAAGTCAACGGCGGCCTCGCTGAAGTTGGGCGTCTCGGGGGCGCACGACGAATCGCGCGGGGAGTCGAAGCTGTCCAAGGTCATGGAGACGGGGCTGGGGAATCCAGTCGAAGAGGTGGTCTTGGCCGGGTTAATGGTGTCGGGGCTCGTGAACGAGCTGTACTCTGAGACCGAGGTGTTGTCGAGGTCGATGCTAAGGTTGGCTTCGGGAACCTCGCCGGGGTACTTCTGGCGGTAGGCCTTGAGCTCAGTGGCCATGGCGGCGATCTGGCGCCTGGCAGCGATGAGGTCTTCCTCCATTTGGTCCTTCTCGGCCTGGAGGAGCTCATACTCTTGACGCTTGCGCTCGCGCGAGTTGTGCGCGGCCAGGCGGTTTCGCTTGACACGCTCGATGCGGCGCTGCTCCTTCTCGTCGTCGGTCTTGGCTCGCTTGCGCGGGGGCAGGTTCGTCTTGGGCTCTGGGAGCACCTGCCCCCACGACTTCCGCTTCTTAACCGCCTTGCTCTCGTGAGCAGCGGGTGCGGGGCTTGATGTATCGGCGTGCGAGGGTGCCGATGTGAAGGGGGTCTGGTGGAGGTCCTCCATCTTGATGGTGGTGGAGGGGTCCACAGTGGGTGGCGGGGTGAGGGCAGCCATGATCTGAGCGGCGTCCATTGTGGTGGTGTGTGGAAGGCGAGAAGTGGTGTTGTAAGTACAGTCCATCCCCGTCTGGCAGTGTGTGGTCGATGCGTGGTGAGTGCTAGTGCATCTAGGCAGAGGGGAGGGAAAGCTGAGGATGATAAGCCGTGGGAGCGAGTTGACACGGTGGCCTTTATGCTAGGCGACAGCGGTGGAGCGACAGGGGCGCAGCGGCGCTTTGTCCCTTGCGGCAAGGACGTTAATCTAAATTAGGAGAGCGCACCTTCCCCGATCGTGCACGGGCATGCGACCTGATCGTCGCGCTGTAACGCACGTTGCCTCCGCTTGGAGTCGTAGAGTGCCGGAGCGGCCCTGGGATGGCTGCCCGTCCCGCCAGTATAGTGCTGCCTGTGAGCGCTGGATAAACTGCGTCCGGCCTGCCTCGTCCTCGTCCAGGCCACAGCACCTGCACCGCGCACTCACGGCTGCGGATTCCTCGCTGGCCCGCCGCGCGCACCGTGGAGGCGACGAATGCCGCCCCACCCTCTCCCTTGAGCGGCGGGCCAACAGCGTTTCACACTCGGGGACCGCGTCGTAGCGTCGCCCAACGAGGCAGTTCCAGCACGTCCCCAGGGGTGCTTCTGGTACATGCATTCCCGCGACACCACGCCTCGTCTGCTGTTTTGTTTCGACTCTGCGCGCCGTGAGCCTGCACGCTGCACACTCTCGGCCACGCCTCCACCCCGAAGGCTGAGTGCTGCTGGGGCCTCATCATCGATACCCACCTCGTCAGCACTCGGTGACGCGGGCGCTGCTGAGGGATCCACCCGTGGCGCACCAGAGGCTCGAAACACGGCTCTGTGCGAGTCTGACGACGCCCCCACGTGGTACCAGCTCGACAGCTGCGATGCTGCTCCCTTGGCTGGGCGAGTCGTGCAGCAATCTACACTTGCAACTCACGCCCGCAGACACCATCAATCTTCATATGCACGCTCTGTCGCATGCATGGAAGCAGAGCCGGAACTTCTCGAACAACCTCTACCCCGTACTCTTCATCTATTTCTCCGGGGCGCTCCATATCCCCGCATACCCGTCCAATATACACCGTCGCCTCTGCATATTGCAAAGGGTACGTACTACGGTACAACGGCCGGGACATTTGCGCTTTTCCTGGGGTAACAACCCTGTCGAGGGAGCACGAGGCCAGGCACAGAATACTGATTCTGCCCTTTGCCCGTACCCTTCGTGCCGCCACACCGTTGCCGTCGCATGAGCATAACCATGGGTGTTTGGGAACTTGGCGTCCGAGAAGCAGCTCCGCGATACAGTTTGGACTCGAAGCAGCTCCGCAATACAGTCTAGACTCGGTATGCAGAGTGCGCACGCAACCTCCGGGCGGCTCTTCGAATTTCCGCACCGACGACCCTGCAATGCCACTAAGGTGGCTGGAATAGGCAGCTGTGTGCCGTTATCGAGAATTGTCGGTCCAAGCGAGACCCAGTGAACCTCTGTATCATCCGTGCAAATCTAGGCGGACGGTCGCAGTCCGATTCGGAGCATTGCGCATTGTACAATGAAAGTATGTTTCTCCTGCACGAGTCACTGATGTTCTGGTTCCTCCAGACTCTGCGCTATCGAAACGAACGCGCGTTCGTCAAGGCAGCACAATTCGGACCTATAGAACGACTCTGAATCCAGCTGCCTGAACTCCTCTCCATCACAACCAAATCTCCTCATCCATCGTGAACTTCGGATCCAGTCTCAATGCTCAAGAGAACAGATTGCAACTTCGTGCATGACGGTCGCTTGTCGTCCAGGCTTACAGAATCGTCATGCGCTGCCGCCTCAACGCAGAGTATGACTCCGAGCAGATCGTTGGGTGGTATAGATCGGCTTGCGAGCGGGATACATCTGAAGAGCTACGGATGAATTTCGCCGAGCAAAGTTTCGCATAGAGATGGAATTGTCGTCATCAGGCGACCGATCTGCTTCCTTCTGTCTTTCGCCCATTGTCGGGTTGGAGACATGGACGCCGCGGCGCTGCGTCGATGACGTATACGGCACCTTCCGAAAACTGTTCAAGATGTTGTAGATGGAGCATGGAAGCCTACGATGTTTTGCGGTTGAAAGTTCGGACAGAAGTTCGGACGAAATATGTTGTCTCATACCAACGTGCTAGAATCGGGCTACGCAGTCGCCAAATCTGAGAGTAATCTGGATCGAGAGCCACTCTCGCCGAAATCACACAGCCCAATACATCATTGTCTCCTGAAGCTCTCCACTTTCCTAGAAGCTGACCTTTTCGAATCCAGCCACAGAAGCTCATAATCCCCAATTTCAAGAAGAATAGCATCAATGGTACTAAAGATACATGATATCTTTCTTCTCTTCTCATTTCATAATCAGCTATCATTTCAAGTGGTTTCCCGCGGGCGCCATTCACTCTCTTTTCTTTACGTCTTGCCCACCCGAAATCAGCGTCAGTATACAATTTATTGTACAGTCAGCGACACCTCGGGAGACGTCCCATACACAGCCTTCAGCGCTGGTAAAGGGCGATCGTGATGTTGTGGAAGTCCTGGGTGCTATATCCTTTCTATGTTTGCTTCTCTCATGTTCTAGTAGGTGTGTGTGTTTATTTTTGCATATGCCGTTGTATCTTTAGGATGTAACAAGCTAACCACACCACCGCCCCTTGCCTCTGTCGTCTCCCCATCCCACCCTCCACGTTATCATACACTATTGAACACGACCTCTGCGATTATAACATACCATAGGTACATCTCGCTTTCCTGTCTAATCACCCTTTACGTTGAACAATTGCGACGTCGCCAAATGTTCCTCTTGAGTACCTAGAGCGCGTGGTCCAGATCTCGCGATGCCTACACTCAATAATCGTCCTCGGCAATTTACTGCTTGTGCCGATGTTCCCAACACCAAGTTTCCCAAGTTTGCCCATGCCTAATCTGCCTACGACTTTGGAGCCGGGTCTAATAGTGACAGACTCAGAATCCCTAGTGTGCTTTTTATTTATGTTATCTGGACTGCGGAGCTCGTATTTCCTTCTGTTCCCCCCTTTTTTTTTTTTTTTGAAAAACGTCATGTATTTTGCATAGCTATGAGAAAATGAGAATGGACGGAGGGCTACTGCGGGATTCGCGTCCTGAAGACTGCTATGTTTCTACTCCTAGACTGCTTCATTCACTTCAGTCGTGGACGGGAAAGAGAGAGCATCCACTCTCTTCATCGCTCCATCTCGCACACTCCTCACACCCCTCAACGCACATTGAACTCTCCCCTCACACACTTTGGATTCCCCCCTCCTACGGGAGTGTGTAGGAGGTGCTTTCTGCTGAAGTGTTAAGGCGTTACCGAGTACGACTGGAACGACATAGAAATATTGAGTGAGGTTTCCAGAAACGCGGCGAGCGATTGGAGCAAACATGACCTTATATAGTCCGATGCAGAATTCCGCTGGCAGCTCGAAGAGTTGGGAAGTATTGATGGCGAGACTGATAGGGAGTCATGGTAGAATCGTCTCGCCAACTTCGCAGTGCGTGCGGTTGACCTGGCTGAGGTGGAGGCGGAAGGCTTCATATATGGAGATGGATCAAGTGAGCGTGAATGAACGTGTGACCGACGAAGAGCAGGAGCGGCGTTAACAACTATGAGACCGGTTTTAGGGCTCAGGAAATATGGTTGAAATAAGCAGCACACTGGCTCAAAGGAGAGTGGACAAGCAGGGAAGTCGAATATCTTGATACGAAGAAAATGTACCTAAAACATGCTCCGGGCGCGTTGATGGAGTGAAGGAATCGTATGTCAATGGGTATCTATATATGAAAATCATGAACGGGTTCAGGCTGTGGCTGTGGCAGGCACTGGGGGCGTTGGTGTGGACTTGGGTGCGTGAATGTCCATGGGGAGAATCTCCGTCTTCAGCTCGCGCGTCTTCTTCTGCTTGGGCTCCGGCGCCTTCTCATTTTCCTGGACGTAGAACTTGCGCAGTAACATAATGGCTTCCTCCCTGAAGATACCGCCGGTGACCGGGTAGGGCTTGTCGACGCTTGGACTGCAGCTTGTCAGTGGCGTGCACTACACTAATGGCTCACAAGACCTACTCGGAGTGAATGTTGAGCACACCTCCAGTGCCTCCGAATCGCTCGTTCCAACACCCAAAGTAGACAGCTCGAATGCCATACTGACGAAGCATTGAGGCGCACATGACACATGGCTCAACTGTAACGTAAAGATCGGTCTCTTTCAAATCGCTGATTGGATGCTCGGACAAGATGCCAGCCAGAGCAACGAACTCGGCATGTCTCGTGCCATTGAGGGTGCGGTTCGTCTCGTTCATGCCGCGACCAAAGACGTCGCCATCCTTCACAAAGACACATCCGACTGGTGTCTCGTCGCTCTTGAGTGCGCGCTCGGCCTGTCATTGATACATCAGTCAGCCGACCCCAGGACTTGAGCAGAGCACGGGCTGGGCGGGCAAGGGTGAATCACCATGTTTATGGCCTCACGCATGAAGCGTTCGTGATACGCCCTCTCCTGCGGGTTCATGTCGTCTGCGTCGTGATCTGCAGCAGGGGCTTGGCAAGGCTGTGGCTCGTCGTGCTCGAAACGGACGTGAGAGTCAGTCAAGTCTGGCGCTGCGCCCGCGGGCGAGCTAAACAACCCGCCCATGTTCTTTCCTTCTCTAGCAGTCGCGCTCGAGGAAGGTGCAAGTGAAACCAAAAATAACCATGGCAAAACGTAAGCCACGTCGGCGCAGTGCCAGTGTGTGGGCAAGCGAGACCCTTGGGTCTTTCCGAGAAGCGCGCTAGTGCGCTCACTCGCTCGCCGCCCGTTACGTGGAACTTCTGGAAACCGACAGCTCCGACTCCATCAGATCACCGCGCTGCCGACCTCCCAGGCACCGACATCGACATCGCTTCCGTACACTGCACCGCCACTGTCGCCTTGCGCGTCACTTCGGCCAGGTCCATTCAAGAACGCATTCCAGCTAGCCTGGGTCGCGTCGTTTGCTTGGTCCGCGGCTCAGCTCCAGCTCCTCAATAGAGCTCTCCCGCAACTCTGCTCCTCCATCACCACCCAACGCCGCGCCGCGCGCAGGGACCCAGCTGTGAAAAGCTAGAATCATCACTATGACGCTGTCCGAAGAATTCAAGTCGAGGAATTTCAGTAAGAAGGCCAGTGATGATGGAGCTATTGAGCACTTGCTGACATGGCGCGCTGCACAGGTATCTACGCACAATGGTCAGTCTCTTCTCGTCCAGCACACACCCCTTCATCCTCGTGCGACGTGGCATGAACGGCCTAGGTATCTTGCGTTGCATTAGCGTGTACATTGCAATGGCCGAATTTACCTACAACCTACGACGTGGTAGCATTGCATCTAGAAAGTCTCTCCTCGTGGGATGTCGTGGCGAGGGCTAGGATGATTGCAATGTGAAGGGACAAAACGAAACCACAGTTTTAGGACAAGGAAGACACGGCAATGCTGACCTTTGCCGTAGGACGGGCGTGATCTGCATACTCCTCTGCTTCGCACTTGGAATTTCGAACCTTTTCAATGCCAATTGGGTCATCGCGTTTAGTATCGTGTGCCTGTGAGTGCAACAGCGACCTATTGCAGCTTGGTCCTAACATGGCTGCAGAATATACGCGCCCATCATTCTGTTCCTCGAAGTCCCACTGCTCCTCCGAATCTGCCCGACGTCACCCAAGTTCGACACTTTCATTCGAAAATTCGAGACCAACTTCCTCCGCGCCGGTCTCTACGCCGCCATGAGCGCAGTGCAGTGGGCTAGCATTGCCGCAAGAGTGACCAGCTTGATCGCTGCTGCCGTGGTTCTGTTGTTCGCTGCCATTTTCTACGCGCTTGCCGGTCTCAAGGGGCAGGCATTCCAGGGCAGCAAGACCTTGGGCGGACAAGGCGTCGCGCAGATGATCATCTAAAAAACACGAATAGATGGATGACTGGCAAAGCGCGGAGGGGCAGCTGGGAAACATGCAGGGAGTGGAGTCCAGGAGCAGCGGTCTCACGAGCGAGCGGAGGAAATTCGCAGCACCACTGGGTGGCACGTCTTCGGGCGACTCAATGTGTCATATTGGCAGAACGGTGGGATACCATCTGGGAATTACGATGTCCAAGTTTCTTGTATCATCAGTCGGCGTTGTCATGGCGGGATTGTTCGAAAAGACGGTGTTCGTCGGATTTTCAGATTTGAGCACAGCAATTGATTGATTCATTCCACGACAATGTGTTCCAACGAAGGCAATAGCCTGTATGCAAAGCTTTGTTGACCAGCAGTTGCATTCGACAAAGGACACTGGATTGCTTGTTTACTGCCGTTGTGGTTTAGGTGATGCTAAACGATGTCATGCCGTGTGAAGGGCCCTACGTAATGCCTGCATACGGGTCCACATCCACATCATGGCATGATGCGAGGCCAAACAACTGACGATCTTCCGCTCTAGCCTTCCGGCGCAACTCTACTAGCTGTTGGAAAAGGAACAGCGATGGCGAATGATGATATATGGCTAGACTGGCCCAGGAACGGCTTGCTTGCCAGGTGATCAAGCGCGGGGAACGCTAGCAAAAGTGGCGTTAAGTGGAAAAGAGCATCATCGAGAGAAGAAACTGCTCGTCGGTAGTGCCACACAGAGAGATGCCCCCAATACAGGATACTATCGGTATTGATCGCAGATGTTCAGTACTCGGGAGACCAAATGAGATTCCACCCTCTGCGGTGCATGTGAAAGCACATGCATGTTATCGCAGGACGGTGCTTGGCATCGACATGTGCGGTGGAGACAACCTTGGAGGGTTGAACAGGGCGCCATCGCAATAGAAGACGCGGTATTGGCGCGAGCATCAGCCGCCCCTGCAGATGTTTGTGTGGTGGGCAAAGGCTGGGGTAGGCGGGGTCTTTCTTGTTCTGCAAGGTGATGGGTTTCTGCGTGCACGTTCAAACGCCAGGGCGTGAGCGTTGCATCATTGGCGGGTCGCCTGCGTACCCATACTTAAGCTCACGATCGCTTCATCCGGGCTACCAGTTTGCGTCTTTTTCTTAGTCCATCCCAGCCTGAAGCTTCACTGCTCTGTGCAGAACATAGCAGCGTCCAATTGCGCAATTCGAGGTGAGTTGCTGCCACCTACCGGCTTTGTCTGATACGCGACGTCAAGCTGCTTCAACTGCGCTGCCCTCATTGGCCGCCTTGGTGCTGGTCGCATCTTCGAGCTTTTGGTTCCTAGCAGTTTCTGGCGCCGATTCGACGGCAGCGTGCTTGTCTGCATTGGACCTGCAGTACTCACTGACACTTGAGCTCTTAACAGCTTCTCTACCACATCATTCTTACTGCAACCACACCCACTTCACTTCTACACACAACAATGAGTGCTCCGCCGCAAATACCACCGCGACCGTCGCGAGCCCAGAATTCGACGCCCAACTCGACCCATATGGACGTCCCCAAGATTCCCCCGCGTCCGAAGCGCAGCATCGACCGCTCCGTTTCTCCCAACCGGGACGCCTTCGCTCGTTCTCCACTAAACGACCCGTCGTTCCTACACACTGGACAGCCTCACAAGGAGTCCCATCTCGCTGCCGAGCTGCCAGCCCGCCCTCCCAGCGTCAGTCTGCCTTCGCTCGGCGAGGAAGGCTCCGAGTACGCCAGCTTCGAGGACCTCTCCAAGACGCTCACAAATCAGAGCCAGAGCGGCGAAGCGCCTGAGCAGACAAAGCAGGTAGCCGGCGACCTGCCGCTTCATGCGCCCAAAGCATCTCTTCCGGCCTCGTCCGCGAAAAGCAGAATCCAGACGGTGACTCGCACCGATTCAGATCAAGCTGCGGCTGCTGGCTTTGGCACGCAGCTGGCTCCGGAAGGAAAGCCCTCGGGTGACTCCAGCCGCTCAGTCTCATCGCGTCCTAGCTCTGTATACAAGGACGACGACGAGCATGGCATTCCTGAGATAGGTGTCCAGGTGCCCATGTACCCGAACGCGGGAGACGTGCAAGCCCCGACACCTTCACCGTACGAGCAGGGAGTGCCGACGGGCGTCGGCTTCTTCAACAAGGGGGATAAGCCCCGCCATCATAGTAGGACGAAGAGCGGCCGCGAGATCTTTCATGGTCCTCCCGGCAGCTACGGTCTGCATGGTCACGGCAAGATCGGCAACGACGAGTTCGAGCAGAATTGGTACAAGAAGCATCCTGAGGATTTGAAGCGTGAGAAGGCTGGCGAGTACGGTCCGCATATTCAGGAGAACCGGAAGGATTACCACTGGGGCGGGGAGAAGCTCGATAAGCTCGTGCGCAATGCTGGCGCCCATGGTGTTGGATTGGGTACGCTTTTCATGGTCCCTGCGTCAACTTACGGTAGAGATACTGATGTGAACAATAGGTACTTCTAGGGATGCTGTCAGTACTCCAGATGAGCAGATCGGCTACATGGCGAGCGAGGAATATGCATCGCGCATGGCCTCCCCGAGGCCCAAGTCATCCGGTCGCCCAGGCTCAATAAGTGAGAAGGGAGCAGCTCCGGTCGCCGAATCTCCTTTACGCCAGACGAATTTTCCCGCCGACGTTCTCACCAAGCAGAAGACCCACGAAAACGAAGCCGAAGAGGACATTATCCATATCGACCACCCAAATCGTAGAGAGAGCAAGATCCACGGAGGTGGATATGACCCACCCACTCACGATCTGGGTCGAAAGGCTGGTAACACTGATGAAGAAGGCGGCTGGGTTTCTGAACGCGGTTACGGTACTCCCATCCTCGCGTCAGACGAGATCAAGAAGGACCCTGTCTCAGCATGGAGGCAACCCGCAGTTCCCCCTGAGCAGGAGCGTCGTGGCAGTGGCGAATACACTATCAACGAGGGTGGCACCCCGGCGTACATTACCAAACAGCGCACTCACAGTCGCACTCATAGCAGGAGTTCTAGTAGGAACAGCAACCATGCCAATCCGTCGCGAATTATATCTCCACAACAGTTCGACCGCAGCGGCACACCTCTCGATTCAATGAAGGAGTATGAGCCTCTGTTTCCAGAGGACGATGAGGCCCCAAAGAAAGCCAAGTCCCCCCTCGACAGGATCATGAAGCGACCCGACCTTGCTCGCCACCACTTCCCTAGCCAAGACGTGTGGGAAGATACCCCAAGCAGCCTTCAGCTTGAGACTACGGTGGACACCCCTCAAGCCCCCGAGGAACCGAAGACCGCAGGAGCCGAGCCGGATGCCAGCCAGGTCTTCGAGAAGCCGCAGACTGAGCAAGCGCGCAAGGAACACATCACCAAAGAGGACCAGCAGTCATTTTTGCCCGAGCACACAAAGAAGTTTGCAAACAAGCATCTGAAGAATGTATCTAGTGATGGTCGTCCTGGTGTGCAGCGTTTTCCTAGTCAAGATATTTGGGAGGACACACCCGAGCACTTCCACCTAGAGACCACCGTCAGCACTCCTCAGACACCAGAGACAAATGAGTACGCAGATGACTCGCCTGTTGTCGAGAAGTCTACCATCCCGGCCAGGCCTAATGTTCCCACTCGTCCGCAGGCCGCAAAAGAGACCTCACCAGTCGACAAGAAGGCACCCGTTATTCCAGAACGGCCCAAACCTCAAGTTCCTGCACGCCCTAGCAAACCCTTGACTAAGTCTTCAGAGAAGGTACCTACAGTAGGAGCCTTCCCTGACGAAAAGGGCAACACTGGGGCAGATCCTCAGCCAAAGGCCAAGCCTCCCGTACCTGCCCGCCCAGGCGGATCTAAGATTGCAGCGCTACAAGCTGGCTTCTTGAAAGACCTGAACAGCAAACTCGGTCTCGGCCCGCCAAAGGTGAAGGAGCCAGAAGCTGAGAAAGAAGAAGAGCCACCCAAGCCTCTAGAGGATGCTCGTAAGAGCCGCGCCAAGGGCCCGCAGAGGCGAAAGCCTACGAAGTCGCCTGCTCCCGCGGCGACAATTACTGCTGAAGTTGCCGTTCCACCGCAGTCTCTGTCCGTTGGTATTGTAAGCACGCTCTGGCAGATTGGTGAGAGCGGCGATGTCGAAGTCCCGACCGCAGAACTGAGCGCAAAACTGCACGCAGCGCTTAAGCCGACTACATCCGCCACTTCCGAAAAATTGACTCCGACCACATCCGCCAGCTCAGATAAGATAGCTCCTCCCGGTACAGAAGAGTTTAAGGACACTGAGCACATACTAGAGAGGGAAAAGCACGTCGAACCCGGCGAAGCTTCCCTCGAGCCCGCCACCATCAAGCAGGCTGAGCTTAGCGTCGCGGTCGCAGAGCCTGAGGCCGAAGTGTCAGATGAAACCATCGAGGATCAGACCGCGGGTAGAACAGATCGTATCACTGTTGATCCGATGGAAGCGGAGCCCAATATCGAGGACAAGGTGCCTGGTGGTAGGCTGTCGGCTGAGGAGCAGAGGGATTTGCAAAGGGAAATTGAGGAGGAGACGAAGGAGAAGTTGGCGGTGGGTGGGGGTGAGGGGAAGGCTGGGGAAGTGAAGGCGGAGAAGGGGAGTGAGGGGCAATGGGAGGTCCTTTGACGTTAGCGTGCATGGTTGATTTGGGTTCGACCTAGGAGGGCAGGATAGCTGAGGACGTATAACTGGCTTTTTGGGTAGTGTGCATGATATGTATCTTGTTCTGCTCACAGAATTGCGCCCCTGTGCCGTAACGTCCATAAGTCATCTCCGCCCTCTTTACTACTCTTTACAAAGCAGCATGCCGGTGTGGGGTGGTCTGTCTATTCATTCCCTTTCCTCCTATTGACAGAGTTTTCACCATTTCCACCTGCACCTGTGTTGGAATCGAGTGGCGGCAAAGAAAATCAACAGATCACGCATAACTGATGGCGGTTGTCTATCTGCTCTTATCACAGCGAGGTACCAATCATAGGAACTTGCCAGGATTGCTACATGACTATTTATATTATTACCTACTAAATATGCATAGAGAACTTCAGTATGAACATACCATGATACTGTAGTGATTCTTTACTATTATCGTACGTACGTTAGTTTGTAAGGTGTTTATTAGCGATTAAAATTACTTCGCTGCCTCTCTCTTATACTACAGCCGATTAACCTTGAAATTTTCCCGTCTCCGACATTACCCAATCGATGAATGCCTTTGCGCTGAGGCGGCAGCATCAGTGTCCACGAGACAACGTGTGTGCCGCGTGCTCCGTGTTCCTACGACTTACGTAACGAGGACATCTTCACAGGCGCGACACAAGCTTTCAATGAAGCTGAATACCATTCCCAATCTTGCAGAAAGGTCGATACATTAGGGCATGCTCTGGAGTTTTCCGAAGGCCCAGCATCGTGATTAAGAGACTATCTACGAGATGGCATCAGGCGAGAGCCGACGATTCGTCGCCATGCCTTCCATACCTTGTCCATGGACCCGCGAATGTCTAAGGTTCATCTTCGTCCTCATGCTTCCGACAGCCACTAAAAACGGAAAGATCCTCCACTGGAGCAACTTGAGGTCTAAGCCGAGCATGAACATGGCTTCACATACACGTATCTGGGTCCACTTGTGAAGAACAACGAGCAGGTCTCCAACTTCACGACTTCCCTCTACACTCAGCAGTACGAAATCACCGCAAAGGAGCTATTCCAGAAGAGTATACCAACCAAGAGTCTGGATCAGTTTCAGTCGTTCATGGATGTCCATGAGCATCCAGTCATCTCTAAAAGAGGCTCAGCTCTGAGGACCCAACTCCGTCGACGTCGCTGGAGGTGGACTTTGACGTAGGGTCTGACGAGTTGCAACTGGGCGACGAGGTAATCATTGTTGACGGTTCGGCCGATCCATTGATACTCCGTCCTTCCTATTCTGGAAGTCATCGGTTAGTTGAAAATGCCCTGACCAATTGCTTATTAGAGTTTGCTTGGCTGCGGGACCGTATAGAACCACGAAGTGTCGATCTCGATGTGTAGCATATTATTTGAAGCGTGTAATACTGTTATTCGTACATGCTCCTGTTTCGGTTGTAGATCACGATCGCGGGATCGTCCTCTTGATTGTCACTTCCAGGATCTTGAAGCCAGTCCTGCTCTCAACGAAGTCCTCGTTCCGTTGCGCACATAACATGCGACTGCATGGCTTAAAGGTAATGCCCTCATTGTTCCGATACTTTACCGGCAGAATGTTTCTTAAAGAAAGTCATTGCTATCTGATTCGAGACAACGCCACGGATGCGAGCCTTGGTATCGCGCCGCGCCTTGGTGAAGTTCATTGAAGTTGGCTCGTTCGTAGCTTCTTCATAAGTCTTCTAGCTTGGATACTCCGTCTCCTCGTGAGTCAGGTGGATGTGCTCAATTTGGCTGGCTAAATCCGAAACCTGGCGGATGCCTGCCAACCTCTTTAGACCACGGGGATGCAGACCGTTGCCGCAACGTCGAAAGGAAGTCTTAGAAAAAAAATGGTTGATCCTCTGGTTGATTTGTCCTGCAAATAAGACAGAATTGGAGCATAAAAGGGACAAGCCCATATCGATCTCATCTGCCAGACAGACAAGAAATTTACAAATGATGTCCATCAGCTCAACAGGAAGGCGCGGTAGCTTGGGCGCACTATTTCTTTTTTGTCGGAAGGACATTTAGTCGCAGCATAGTCTCGTTTCTTGCTTTCAAAGCATCTGCAGCGGAATGCCTTGCTATTTCGCGTAGAGAAGACAAATAATAGAACAGTCAGACCGCGATAATAAACAGAGGAAGAAAGGAAATGAGGCCGAATTGAAAGTTTCTGTGGCCCGTGGTTTGCTATGAGCACAGTTCTTGCTTCACGGCTAATCGTCATACCTCTGTACATGGCATGAGTTGTTGGCATACGTGAACGGCAAGTTGCAGCAGCTCCCGTAGTCCGAGCTGATACTTTGGAGGATCTCCAAGACGATCCACGATCCACGACCGAGGACTGGCGGCTTTGCGGAGAAGGTGTCCCACTGACCTGTTTCTGCGGCGTGTGAAGTGCATACAAGCAAGGAATTCCGCCATGACGCCGGTGGTCACGTGAAAGTCGATTTACCTAGATACCTGCAATGGAAGGTACATACCAAGTTTTATGAAGACATCAGTGCATGTAAGTTGGGTTGTTGTAGGCTATAACATGGCAGTCTCTTGCACAGGACCTAACGCAACATTTGGTGTCCACGCCGTATGCATGTCATCCTAGTCTACACCACATGTATTCGCAAACAGCGAAAGCCTCCGAGCATAAGTCTTGACTAACATATATTGTTACGTTACGAGACAACAGCTCTCCAGAGCCATGTATGCGTCCGATTGTAATTCTCATCCTCGAAAAGTTCCGTCCCTAATTCTCCGTTGGGCCTGTTCCCACCCATCATCCCCATATTCGACACCAATTGCTCCTCCAATATCCAAATGCCTATTTCACGCGCCCAAAACATTACATCAAAAGAATACAAAGGTAGAGCTAACGCCTAAGCGCTGATAATATGCTGCGATGCTGCGCGAAAATCGCTGCAGAAAGCCTCGGGAGAAGCCTGCAAAATGAACACCTTATGCAAGTAAATGGCAAAGGAAGGTGCAAGCCAAAAAAAAAAAAAGGAACTCCGTAAACACCATGTAGCTTTCGTAGAAGTCAGGCCCTGCCGTCCCATGGTATCGTTAATGACCCTTAGCCCTGAAATGCTGGAATGCAAATGCGCCGCTCATTTGATGAAATTGAAGACCTCGAAACAGTTTTATTGAAACATCCACTGGCAGTGGCAAGCGTCAGATGGATCCGTTCTCTTCTCCTGTTGCCTCCGTGTCTTCGCTTTTTGAGTCGACGAAGGTGCGGGTGGTGGACCTGAAGGTGCACCAAAGAACTCATCTATCCGCGGATCGGCCTCTTGGAGCCAGACAATCACGTTTCCGCCGTTGCTACCGGATGCTGGAGCAATCTGTCCGTTGTCGAGCAGTTGCATTTTCTGGCAGTAGGGTTGCGGAGCGCCAGGGAGACGTCGCTCTTCGATCTTGACGATGCGAGGATAGGGGAATGGGAAGCGGAAATTGGAGCCATCGTCACGCTGTTGAGGGGTTCTCTTCGTAGGCGGCGGAGTGGTAGACGCGGATGAATTTTCAGCGCTTGACGTTGATACTGTAGCCGTTGGGGTCATCATTTCGGGAAACGGATCAGAAGGATTGGGGGTAGGGTAGTTGGTCATCGTGGCAGCAGTTGAGTTGTCTGTGACGTAGATGTAGCCCTCGATATACGTCGAGTTCCAGACGCAGTACCAAGGGTTGTCGCCAGGCATGACCTGAAAGCGATGGCGAAAAGATGGCTTGTTAGGATCATCATCACGCTTTCGAAGACCATTGCCGGCGGCAAACTCGTCAGGCTGCAGGACGACCACCTTGTCGTAACGTCCCGAGAAATGCCACGCAGGACCGTAGCCTCTGTAGTCGAGATCGGTAACGAGCTGCAATGTCGACGGAGGTACCACAGGAGGCTGCAGTCCATACTGTATGCTCCCATCTGGGGCGACGAATGTTTCCAAGGATGCCTGGTAGCTATCCGATGTAGAATTGACGACGACTTGAAGCGGGGCAAAAGACATTTTACATGACCAAGCTGAATACTGGTTGCCCAAAAGCAGGCAGCCAGGGCTGCTTTCCTGGGCATAGCCCAGTGGAAGCGAAAATTGACCGGTAGGCAAAGGAGGGAGCGAACTTGGCGTAGGAATTGGTGTCGCTCCAAACAAGGTATTGCCGGTGACTGCTAGTTCACTGTTGTTGTCAGCTAACATCTGCTTAGTCTACCAATATACTTACGGTTTGTCGTGGCTGGAATGATCTTTATCTTGTTTAGGTTTATCCTTATTCTTGGTCAAAAAGGTGCCGATCGCGGCGCCGAGCACGATAGCGAATATAAGCAAGAGTACGAGCAGTACAAGGGCGACAGTCACGGGCACTTTACCCCAGAGCCGTTTTTTCCGCCAGCTCTGTTTTTTTACACTCGGCTCCGGCTCCACCTTCTCGGCAACAACACTGTCGTCCGTTGTTGTCAACAATGAGGCCGATTCAGATGTAGTCGCGGGCCGTGGAGCCACATTGCCGGTTTGTGTCTCCGGACGCTGCTGGGGTAGGCGAGCGGGTGCGACAGGAGCTAACGGGGAGACGGGAGACACAGGAGACGGAGGTGCAGGAGGCGCCGCATCTATTAACAGGGTGTCACTGGACGCAGCCATGGGATTTGACCTCGCCTCCAACGGAGTGGCACTCGCTTCCGCGGCCATCGACGCCTTGGTAGGTCCTTCCTCAGGGTACCGTGAGTATGGTGGGAGCTGCTCCGTGTGTCCAAAGGGTCCTACGATGTCTTGCTCTTCTCCATCTGGTCCTATCTGTCTGTGAAAACCGGTGGAGATTCCTGGGAAGCCAACGGGAATGGCCGTCTGTACCGCTGGAACAGGCGGCTCGTCCTCAACGACGTTCTGCGGGTACATGCCATATGGGTGACTGGGTCCTGTTGGATGTTGTGGTATCGCCGATGGTTGTTGCTGTTGTGTGGATGTCGTTGATATGCTTGCGTTACGCGCGATGGTGTTCTGTGGGTACATGCCGTATGGATGGCTTGGGCCTGAGCTGAACGGGCCGTCTGAATTGGTCATGGTAGCAAAGGAGGCGGTCGAGCTGACCGATGCGCGGTGCTGCAAGGGCGTCGCCTGCGAACTGGGCCCTCGCTGATGCGCGCCACGTTGTGGGCCGTTCTGTACAGCTGTATCCAAGCTATACGGAACCTTGGCTATGCTGTTGCGCGTCGCCATCCTCCTGAGGTCAGTCCCTTCTGGCGGTTTTGGCTGCGTGGTCTGCGGTCGCAACGGTTCGTGCTCGTCATGGATCGGGCGGTCGTGGCGGACTTCGTTCGTGTTCGCGCTTGCCGGGTGGAAGCCATCCGATACCGAGGGCATAAAGTCGTCTTCATCTGGGTCCAGCGCGTACTCGTCGTCGAAGACATCGGGGTTCTGGGGCGGGTGCGGCGGGTTGCCCTCGTCGCTATTTCGTCGGTCCATCGCGTCGTCCCTTGACAGCCACAGCGGGCTGGTTCACCCTGAGCAGGCCGCCAGCGGGTGTCGTGGCCGTGTCGAGCGATCAATGGATGCGAAGGGCGGTCGACGCTCTCGCTGAGGGCGCGGGCAATGGGGTGCGGTCGTGGGCAGCGTGCTTGCCGTCGGTGGTGGGTGCAAGAGACTGGCTGGCACTGCGCGGCGGCAGGCTTGAGACGGGAGGCATTGGCCCACCGTCTCGAAGCCAGTCGGGCAGGCGCTAGTCAGGGGTTGCACCTCCCTCCGTTTCAGCACGGCCTTCCCTCAACAGCCTCGCGCCGCTTCAAAAAAGGCCCTTCTCCCGCCCCAGAGACCAATGAAGGCATGCCCTGCACATGAGGTCTGCACTCTCGCTGCTGCTGGCCAGCGCCTGCTTGTTCAGCGATGGTACAGCGGTCGCTGGCCAAAGGGACGCATTTAGCCACCTTGACGGCAGATCGCCCTCCTTCCCCTCGCCCAATTTCGAGCCACCTTTCACCCTGGCGAGCGTTGCGGCCACAGTGCGCCCCTACCGGCTTTTCCCGCTTCCGCCGGTGCAGCACTGAGTGCAAGCTAGGCCGCAATTGTCGAGTCGATAGAACTGGAGCACCAAACTGCGCGAACTATTCACTGCTGCGCCTCTTGCTTTCTGGGCTTGCAGCACGCCCAGCGACCCTGAGCAGTCCTGCCATGCTTCCACGGTGTGCGTCATTGTGTCAGTAGTGGCGCGGTTGAATTTGCCCACAGCCGGAAATTTCCCTTCTGGAGGCATGGATATATATTGTTCCTCCAGCAGTTCGCTTACGGGAGCATTCCGGGCTCGAATCGCTCAACACTCAGTGTATAAAGCGCGGCGAACCGCGGCTATATATCTGCACTTCCAAAATGCCACAAATGAACTTCTGGTGCGGACAAGATCATCGTCGATGGGCGTTGGGGCTTTTGGATGCTCGCGTCGGACTTTGAGAGCTCTGTCGTCACGAGATAAAGCGTGCTTCCAAGGCTCGGTGCAGCTTCCGACCATGGCATTCCTCACAGTCAAGATTTGGAGGTGCTGTTGTTGAGTATGCAGATTTGCTTTGTGACGATGTAATAGCCTATCTCGAGCGTGCGATCAGGACTCGATCAGAACTTCGGTCATGTGCTTTGCAATGCTTGGATTATTGTTGCGCAAAGATCGGAAAATGAAACGCATAGATCACCGTGCGTGAGAAAACTGCTTCTGCTCTTCTCGGATGTATCCCGAGTGCGTCATTTTCGCTTGTTAAACACAGTATGTGATCTCTTTGACAGATCGAATCAGATATATTCTGTTTTCCTTGCCTCCTTGTTGCATGTGTGGAAGCGACCTGGTAGAGGAGACTGCGGATGGACTGCCAGAAGGCTACAGTGAAACCCAGTAGGCGGAGAGACTGTTGTGTACAAGTCATGAATCAGTCTGAAATAACTCAGACGTCGGCACTGTTCCTAGGCGGGGCAGAGTTTAAAGAGAAGGCATGCAGCCATGGACAGCTACAAATCTTGGGTCAGATGGCCCAGAACGCAAGCTGGGCATGTTGGACATGCCGGACATGTAGTGATCGTGCAGTATGCAACGACGGAGGATGGTGGAGCAGAGAGAAGCAACTTCGTCTCACCTGTTGGAACAGTCTCTGAGTCTTGAGCTGCCATGGTGACAGGTGAATGGGCTTGAGGCCGATCGCGGCGTATATTCCCAGGCCACCCCAGGGCACACTTGACAAGGCCCATATTTCTGACGCTGTTTTGAGCACTCTCCGCCGGACGGACAACAGTGGGCCTTGCTATGGTGTAGTGAAATCGATCTGATTAGATTATGGGACGTACCATCGCTTACAAGGTGCGAAGAATTTACGCAACCCTTGGCGGCCGAGTGTTCCTGGTGTGCAGAGAACCCATGCATTGCCGCAGTTGGCCGTGCTGGCCTGAAGACGTCGAATCTCATGGCGATATCAGACGTAGCGTTGTTGGGGCGTGAGCGTATAGACAACATGCACAAGAAGCGCTTCGCAAATCCCGCGGTCTACAAGATGGTCGTCGGGAGGGTTGGTTGTCTGGTTGACACGCTGTTCCTGAGCTAACGCTGCTAACCGTTGTTGGATACGTCCCACTCGCCCTGCAGCGGCGCGAGTGACGTTGTGATAGGCGGCGCTGTGCTAGGCAGCGATAAACTTTTCAACAGCACCTGAGCGAGAACGGCGGCGCGGCCTAAGTTCGGTAGCAGTCCAGTGACGCCGCCGAGCCAGAGAACAAAAGGTTGCACACGGCGAAAGGTCTGAGGAAGGAACAATATGAAGATGGCGTTGAAGGTCCCCCGCCATCGTAGCGAGCAGCCCCGCGACAGGAGGATGCGCGTGCACTGGCTCCATACAAGCCCGCAAGAGTGCCCAAAAGCGCATGGCACATGGGCCGTTGTTGAGCAACGTAGATTCCGCGTACCAAAGCAGTTTAAACCGCCTTCTGTCAGGCCTAGAGGAGCAGGTACTCGGCAATTGCCACTTACAGCGCCTGCGAGATCGCCGCTACCAGACCGCAATTTGCTTTCTCGCGACATAGTCCTACTTAACCAGCGGTGTACCCCGCCAGGACACGCCTCGACTTTTCTCACAACTACCCCCTTTACACCATTTCAACACACACAGCCATGGCTTCCCGTCCCTCCAACATCGGCATCAAGGCCATCGAGCTCTACTTCCCTAGCCAGGCATGTCTCCACCGGCGCCCGGAGTGCTGCAGCGCCTTTTTGCTGCAACTCCACGCTTGTGAGAAATAAATTCTAACTCACGGCAGTGCGTCGACCAGGCCGAGCTCGAGAAGTTCGATGGCGTCTCCCAGGGAAAATACACAATCGGTCTCGGCCAGACCAAGATGTCCTTCTGCGACGACCGCGAGGGTACGTTTTTCTGCAAGTCTACGTGCAAGCACGCGAGCTAATCAGGTCACTGTACAGACATGTATTCGCTCGCCCTGACCACCGTCTCCTCGCTGTTCAAGAAGTACAATATCGACCCCAAGAACATTGGCCGCCTCGAGGTCGGCACCGAGACACTGCTCGACAAGTCCAAATCCGTGAAGTCGGTCCTCATGCAGCTGTTTGAGGAATCGGGCAACTTCAACGTCGAGGGTGTGGATACCGTGAACGCGTGCTACGGCGGCACCAACGCTCTGTTCAACAGCGTCAACTGGATAGAATCTTCCGGGTGGGATGGCCGTGACGCCGTTGTGGTGGCTGGCGACATTGCGTTGTACAAGAAGGGTAATGCGCGTCCTACGGGCGGAGCGGGATGTGTGGCTATGCTCATCGGCCCTGACGCCCCCGTCGTGATGGAGCCGGGCCTACGCGGCAGCTACATCACCCACGCATACGATTTCTACAAGCCCGACTTGACCAGCGAGTACCCTGTCGTCGACGGACACTTCTCTATTCGGTGCTATACCGAGGCCGTCGATGCATGCTACAAGGCCTACAATGCCCGTGAGCAGACGTTGAAGAGCCAGGCCAATGGTTCCAATGGCGTCAACGGCCACTCCCAAGAGCAGGAGACGCCGCTAGACCGCTTCGACTACATGTGCTTCCACGCACCCACCTGCAAGCTCGTGTCCAAGTCGTATGCGCGCCTTCTCTATAACGATTTCCTCGTGAACCCGTCGAACCCGATTTTCGCTGAGGTGCCCGCTGAGCTCCGTGACCTTGACTACGCCACCTCCGTTACAGATAAGGCAGTTGAGAAGACATTCATGGGTCTTGCCAAGAAGCGATTCAATGCCCGCGTCCAGCCCAGTATTGAAGTCCCTACCATGTGCGGCAACATGTACTGTGGCAGTGTTTACGGCAGTCTGTGCTCGCTCCTTTCCAATCTCGATGGTGAGAATTCCACCGGCAAGCGCATTGCCTTGTTCAGCTACGGTAGCGGTCTTGCTTCCTCTATGTTCTCCTTCAAGATCAGTGGTAGCATCACCGAGCTCCAGAAGAAGCTTGACGTCAAGAACCGCCTCGAGAACCGCCGTGTCGTTGCTCCTGAGGTCTACGATGAGGTAAGTCATGTTGAAACTACTTTCGCTGCTACATTGACTGACGATTTCGCAGATGTGCAACCTCCGTGAGCGTGCTCACTTGAAGAAGGACTACAAGCCGGAGGGCAAGGTCAATGACCTCTTCCCCGGCACCTACTACCTCACCGAAATTGACGGCATGTTCCGACGAAAGTATGAGATCAAGCAGTAGATGCGCATTTTCGATTCTTTGGTTCGTTGCATGTGAGCATTTGCAGGAGTCCGTTTCACGATTCAAGTTAAGCTCGTCAACTGCAAGATCCGTATACCCCTTGGGGGCTTCCAGTGCCCTTCGTGAGGAAATGCATGGGGATGATGATGGTTAGACGATTTCATGTCTGGAAAGGTCGGTAACGGAGGATATAATGACAAATTCTGGTATACGGGAAATGGATAGCTATTGCTATCCGGCTGCATATAATATCTGCCTACGGGCTTGCAATGAGAGATTTATAGAGACACATCCAAGGCTCCCTAGGCCTGCTTGTTGAAAAAGGTTACCCACACGGACTGCAAGTGCTCTCAAATCACTAAAAGTGGTGGAGCAAGCTGTGCCCGAAACCTTCCAGATTTCCCAATACAATAATATACAGATCGGATGCTGTGCCCAAGTCCCAAAACTCCATGGCAAATGCTTTCACTGGTATAAATCCGCCCAATCACTCCAAAATGCCATCGACCTCGCCCGGTAATCGTTTAACACGCCTTTGCTCCCAATTCTCGAGATCTTTCGCTTGCAATCGCTATACAGTCTTTAGCACAATTCCATTCACAAACTGCCTCTACATCACTCTGAACCCCCCATCTTGTCGAATGACTCAAACATCCTCCTCCAGCCCCCACTAAACAAAATGAAAGCCGCACTCACATAATATTCATCCTTCATATTCACCTTCCGCCTATCCTGCGTCAACCCCATCTTCTGCTCATGCGTGATCTGTTGGTTCTTCTTGTCGTATCGCTCGTACCGTAGGGCGGTTGCGGGCGTAAGCATGAAGCTGCCCGCAACGATGGTGGTGAGGAAGGGCAGACCGAAGAGTAGGAATGGATGCTTGGTGAGGGCTTTGCGGTAGCGCGCGGCAAGGGAGTTGGGGAGGGTGGCGGCGAAGGAGCGGGAGGCGAAGGGCGCCATCGTGGTATCTATCTTTTTGCGATCGTGAAGGCCGTGGATAGGTGCGCTGTGCGCAGTTGGTCGTGCTGCACTTGAGCAATGAAGAGGTTCGTTGCGGGCAATCAATAGCCTAATCGACAGGCAGAGCGAACTGGAGCTCGATTAACTGTCTTGGCATTGGTCACGGGATCAGGCGTCGCGTCGAGTCGACGATTTTGGTAGGCGCGTCTCACACCCATCGCACCCCATTTGGTTCAGGTCGTAAGCACTCGTTCTCCACTACCACCTCTTCATTCTCGATCACTGCGCCTGCGGAATACCGCCATCCATTCGTTGCTTTGAACCTATCGCTTATATTGGGCCCGCGACAAAGACCCCAAGTGGCAGCAGCCCCAAGAACACCTGGCTTCCAGTACCCATTCGTTATGCACGTTCAATAGTTTTGCGTGATGGCCCGCAGAGGCGGGGGTTCGACGCAGCGGCAAGCGCCTCAGCCAGGACCCAACGGCCACCTTCCGTATGGTCATGCCAATGGTCTTCCGCCACCATCCACCATCCCCGCTCAGATCGTGCGAGGTGCAGCCAACGTCAGAGCACAGCAGAATACCGTCAACAAACAACCCTTCATCGAACTTGTCCAGGAGTTTTTGTCTAACCCTGTTTTAGAGGATCCAGACCCAGTATGCATCGCATTCATCCTCGCCATTACCGAGGGCGGGATAGACCCATTCTTCAGAGAAGACCCATTCGCTTCGAAGCACCTGGAGGAGCAAGGTACTCAATGCATCGCTGCTCTCATCATCATATTCCACCAGAAGCCTTATCTTTGGTTCGCTCCAACGCACGCTGAGGAAGAAGATGGCAATCCGCGCCCACCGGTTGTCATCTGGTTGTTCTCGAAGCTGTTGGGATTGATGGTACGCCAAGGACTTCTTCGTATCCATCCGACCGTGCTGGAACTGCTGAGTACATGCCTAAAATCCTTCACTCTGACCGCCAGTCGTTTGCGTCAAGCTTGGTCGGTCTTTCAACTGTTCCGATCCTGCGTTGATAGTAGGTCTCACATTGGTAACAGAGGAGTCTACTGCTAATTGATCTGACAGGCATAACAGCTGCCGTGGAGCTTAGTGAAGAGCCGTTGGAGTCGTTGTGTCCATCTATTGGCATCATTCTTCCATCTTCGACTAGCATTGGCGATATCTGGCCTGAAAGCCAGCACCTCGTGGCTCTGCCCCAAGGTCTACAGAGGCCCGTCACATCTAGAGTCAGTGCGACATACCTGGCGTTTCGTCTACTTGAAATTCTCATAGAATGCTGCTTCACATCCAAGCAAAGGACTACCAACGATTCTACGTTTGATAGCATGCGACCGTGGGCCTTAAACAGCTGCCTAGACCTGTGGATTAGCTTCACGAGATGGACAGCCGGTGCAGAACGGGGACCTCTGCATGACGATATTGAAGCACTGTACTTGCAGTCGCTGGCCATCCTAGCTTTGCCCGATTTAGACAACGAGGACGATTTCTCCTGTTCATCTCAAGCGCTGATCTCTCTTACTTCGGGGCTGCTTGACGGCCTGCGAAGTTGCCTCTCAAGGCCATTCTCCCGCGCGAATCAGGCCCGATTCGGTTACGTGCTGATACGCTTGCAGTCTATATTTCAACAAATACTCAGGGATGAGCGAACGGGGATCATCGGCCGTCATGTAAAGAAACTCGTTACAGATACCATGATCCCAGACATTGCTGGAGTCTGTCAAAACGTTTCAGAGCTGATTGCATTGGAGAAAGACTTACAGGTTTGTGTGTGGATGCTCTTCCTATTTGACCCTCTAACTGTGGACAGCTGTCTATATGTCTCTGGACAGCACCTGGCGACTGGCCTGCTGAAGTTCGGGAACTTCGGGCCATTTTATGCTCAGAGACAGGTCGGCCTTTTGAGAACGAAGAGTTGAACGATCAGTCGATTGTTGTTATCAGCGGTTTTCGCTCAATGAACAAGGTCGACGAGCAACCGCCTGCGAAACGTCGCAGAACAGCACCCGAGGCCGACAACGATGCGCCTTCTGATGTTTTGAACCATCTGGTCATGTTGCTCAATGGAAGCTCTGCCAACTCACCGGTTTTGGACTTGAAAGATTTCCACGTCTCGATCCAGTAAGTTTGTTCTGAACAAAGAGACTCACTTACTGACTAGTGCAGAATGAAATATGCCAAGCTGCCGGAGGACACGCAAGCTTCTGACCAGGAGCAAACTGAGATGCTTTTAGCATTGACCAAGATTGCCTGCGCTGCGACCCAATGTATGAAAGTGCCGGAGATCAGCCAAGATCGCTGGAAGGACGCACCGTGTACACTATGCGATCCGACCTACAAGGTGCAGCGCGAAGCAAAGGTATACTGGAACCACCAGGTTCTCGGCGAAATGTGGAAGGATGCTATTGCTGGAATGATTGCTATTACCCAAGAAGCCAGATTTCAAAATTCATCTCGACCGCGAGTATTAATGGCCGTTGCTATCGGGCGCATCTTCAATCACATTTCCGAGACGGAATACCTCAGCCTGGAAATAAGCTCTTTAGGCGAATGGCTGTTGAAGTCAATGCAGAGGTCTTTACGCGAATTGAGGATAGCAGCATCTCGATCTCTTATGACATTTCTCCGAGATGACATCTCTCGCCATGTTCGGGACAAGAACCGCAGAGCGACGATGCAGTTCTTAGCTGAATTGACTAGACGCAATGTCCCGGCGCAGCAAGAGACTTTGATCATGGCATATGGTCAAGCGGCACGGACATGCAGCGGAGAAGAGCTGCATCTCATCCTTGCCCAGCTGGTAGAGTACCTGGGCCACACGAATACGGTTATTTACGGTGCAGCATACAATGAGCTCTGCTCTCTAGCCGACGACCTTCACACATCACCCCAGGAGCTTTTAAGGCCGTACTGGAGGACCATCGGGTTCTCCATTGTCAATGATTTGAACACAAACCCACAGAAAGCAAAGTTCGTTGTGGAGTTGATCGGTGAAATCTCCTATGTCAACCAGCTGTTGATTCTCATTCACGAGGATGTTCTCCCGGTGCTCGTACTGAATAAGAGGACGGATATTCTACAACGCATCGCCAATGCGAAAAAGACTACGGTTGAGGAAATATGCTTGCAGCCACGAGCGCACCTTGCGCGAATTATTGCTTTGCTCTTATGTCAACATGGTCCAGATGTCGAACGACGGGCTCTAGACACTTTGGTGGCTGTTGCGCCGGGTGTCCGACAAACAGGACAAAAGCTGCATGATCTGGTTCAGCTTGACGCCGCTGCCATGGCCAGTGAAATGTTCAAATTAGCGGCAGATCGCGACGCTAATGAAAAGGAACTTGTGAGTACAAGCCTCACGTTGCTGAGGGTAGCTGACCACTGTAGTATTACGAGGGCATTAGGAGACTTGCTGCACTTGACGATGTCAAAGGTGACCTTGAGCTTAAGAAGCAAAAGGACGGAAAGCGCAAAGCTGCATCTAGAAAGAAATCAAAGGACCTGGTGGAAACTTTCATTCTTAAACATGTCCTTGGTGTGATGGCAGACTTCACAAACCCGATCGAAAATCAGCTCGGTAACCATCACCTGACTGAACGCAGAAGGTGCGTCGGAGCGATCAAGGAGCTGATAACGTTTGCACGGGAAGACTCTTGTCATGCTCTTACTCAGGTACGTCAATCACAGCGATCCAAAGCGTCGCTGAAGGGGCTAACATGCGTAGATTCGAGCGTGTCTGCAGTCCGCCATGGCTGATCCTCATCTTTGCGACCAAGCTTTTGACGTTTGGTCGCTCCTCCTCACTGTTCTAGAGGAAGCTCACCTGAAACTTGTTCTTGGCCAAACGTTCGCATTGATTGTTCACCATTGGTCATCCTTCTCGGACGAGACCCGGCTCAAGGCCAGCGCTACTCTGGATCTTCTGCGAGTGCAAAACAACCAACTACTACAAAGCCTAGTCGGGCAATTGGCATCGCTATCTTCCATTCCGATGTTAGCGAAATTGGAGGCAGAGATAGCTCGTCTGAAAGCGAAGAAGGATCCCATCACACTCTTGAACTATTTCAGTGAGCGATGCAACGACGAAAACTCGGTCGTTGTACAACACGCATTGAAGGAGCTCGTGCCGTTCCTGGACGAAAACCAAAAGCTTCTTCATCAATCTGCTATCGATCAAAAACCGCTCCCTGCGCTTATCACCCTCAGTCGTTCACTGCTCGATGTCTGCGTACGATTTCCAGGATATCATATCGAGCTACGTACACTTTGCGCTCAATGTCTCGGGGTTGTTGGTGGCCTTGATCCGTACCGTGTTGAAACTGTGCGTGAAAAGAAACAAGTTTTAGTGCTTCATAATTTCGAACAGGCCGCGGAGGTGATACAGTTCGTTGCCTTCATGTTGGAAGAAGTACTGGTGAAGGTATTCCTCTCGACAACGAATGCTCGATCTCAAGGCTGGCTGGCATGGCTCATGCAAGAGCTGTGCGCGCTTTGTGGATTCAACAATGTAAATGAGTCCGGCCGAGGTGTTTCGCAGTCTACACCAGCAACACAACGCTGGGACGAATTTCCAGAGCCTGTTCAAAAAGTATTGACACCTTTCCTAGACTCCAAGTACCGGTTCACTACCAATGAAGACGTTCCAACAGCGCAGTATCCAATCTTCAGCCTCGAGCTTAGCCACTCCACCTGGCTCCGAACATTTACATACGATATTCTCCAGAAAGCGAAAGTGCAGAATGCGAAGATGTTCTTTCCTACTATAGGAAGGGTGGCTAGACGAGAAGATCTCTCTATTGCCTCCTTCATTCTTCCATATGCTGTGCTGAGCGTCGTGGTCGGAGGTGACGAGGCGGATGTCAGTAATGTCGGGCTCGAACTTCTGACAGTTCTTCGGACCGGTTTGCAAGGGGGCGATCATACGGAGGCTACGAACATAAAGCAGTGTAGCGAGGTAAGTCGGCATATTCTTGTGCACTGCACGAATACTTACTAACCCTATGTAGAACGTCTTCCAAGTGCTTGATTACCTTGCCTTGTGGCTGCAGGAGAAACGCAAAGTCATGTCCGATGCAAGAATCATGGCAGGCAAAACAGGTCGAGGGATCAATGAGGTCGATGAGATTGAAGCAATCAAGCAATTTAGTGCGGTCGAATCACTGTTGCGCCTGGTCCCCGCGAAGGTGATCTCCAAGCGAGCTGTCGAATGCAGGTCGTATGCCCGCGCGCTATTTCACTGGGAGCAATATTATCGCGAAGAGCAACACAAGGCCAAGACTGCGGGTGAAGAACTCATCAAGGATGATCTGCTGCAGCATCTTCAACACATCTACGCCCAAATTGATGAGCCAGACAGCATTGAGGGCATATCTGCTCACCTTTTAATTTTGAACCCAGAGCAGCAAATTATGGAGCACAGGAAGGCAGGACGCTGGACAGCTGCTCAGACCTGGTACGAGCTTGCTCTCGCGGAGAAGCCAAATGATCCAGAGGCGCAGGTCAACCTGTTGACCTGCTTAAAAGAGTCTGGTCAGTATGGTAAGCACAATCTTTGCGGCAAGCGATATTGTCCTGCTCATGTTTACTTGCAGATGCAATCCTCAACTATGTGGACGGATTTCATGCATCCCGTTTCGTCTCCTCGAGCACCTTACCCTTTGCTGCAGAAGCAGCGTGGTCAACAGGCAAATGGGACCAACTAGATAGGATACTTACCGAACCATCCGGAGCAGTCAACACCTCCTCTTCAGACTTCAATGTTGGTATAGGCAAGGCCTTGCTGGCATTGCGGCATGGTAAAGCAGACGCCTTCAAGCACACAGTGAACGACCTACGCACCGCCTTGTCAAACGGACTGTCTGCTTCGGTGACTGCGTCTCTGCACAACTCTCACGACCATCTTGTCAAGTTGCACACGTTATACGAGCTTGAGACCATCAGTGCTCTCTCCAGTCACGCCCCATCAGATCGAGGAGTGCTCTTCGAAAACTTGGATAGGCGGTTAGACCTCTTGGGCGCTTACACTTCGGACAAGCAGTATCTGCTTGGAGTGCGTCGCGCAGCTATGCAGCTGTCTCAGTAAGCATCAGCATGTGTCAATAGAAGTTGTAGTTGCTGATCCTGTATAGTTTGGAATTTACCGACCTGGAGATTGCATCAGCCTGGTTGACCACCGCACGACTCGCACGGAAAGGAGAGTTCTCATCAGCAGCTTTTAACTCCATCATGCATGCTACTCAGCTCGGCGACGATGCTTCAAAGATTGAATACTCCAAAATGCTCTGGAAGGAGGGACATCATCGAAAGGCCATTCAGAACCTGCGAGGCGCTCTTGCCACCAACTCATTTGCCACGAGGGAGATGCCACCTATGGACGTTAGTGTCTCTGTATCTACAACCGCCACTGGCGATGTTACACATGCTGCGAACAGGGTCAAATGTCATGCTCAGCTGCTGCTCGCCAAGTGGCTTGATAGGGCTGGTCAAACCCAAAGTCTCGTGCTGAAAGAGGAGTATGCGCGGGGAATCATGACATTCCCTAAGTGGGACAAGGGACACTACTACCTTGGCCGATACTATCTCAAGCTATACGAGACGGAGAAAGCCTTGCCAGTGAACAAACAGGCAAGCAACTTCCTGGCCGGAGAATTAACGAAACTGGTCATCGAGAACTATATCCGCTCTACTGTGTATGGATCTAAGTACTACTACCAGACTATTCCCAAGATTCTCACTCTCTGGCTGGACATGGGAATGGAGATGAACTCGCAGCCCAAGCTACCCAAGGACAAGGACCTTCACCAGCACAAGATGAACCACCTTAACCACATCAATGCCTACGTCAAGCGGTATGCGAGTGAACGTATGCCGGCCTACCCATGGTATACTGCCTTTCCTCAGATCATTAGTCGTATCAATCATCCAAACAAGAGCGTTTGGGAAGTTCTCCAGCTCATCATCATCAGAGTGACCGGCCAGTATCCGCAGCAAGCCCTGTGGGGGCTTTTAGCTGTGCAGAATTCACAGCAGGACGATCGACGGGCTCGGGGTGGCGGAATACTACAGAAGCTTCGAGTAGGTAGTCAGGTGCAAGAATTAGTGGAACCCGCTAACGTAAGGAAGGATCACTCCAAGCGCAAGAATGGCGCCTTGGAACTCAAGAGCCTTATCAACCATGGCCAACGTCTTGCCGATGCTCTGCTGTCAGCATGTGACACTCCAGTTGAACAGAGAGTGTCACACGTCAGCCTATCCAAGGATCTGCGTTTCAACACTAAGCTTGCACCTTGTGCTCTGGTGGTGCCTGTCGAATCCAATATGACCCCTAGCCTTCCCTCCACCAATGATAGCAGACTAATACGAGCACACAATCCTTTCGCATCAGACGTTGTCACAATAGCTGAGTTCAGGGACGATGTTCTAGTCCTGTCATCGCTTCAGCGCCCGCGTAAGATTGTTGTGCGAGGTTCCAATGGGCGATTATATGGCCTCATGTGCAAGCCGAAGGATGACCTCCGCAAGGATCAGCGACTCATGGAATTCAATTCAATGATCAATCGCGCCCTGACTAGGAACATCGAGGCTAGCAAGCGCCGACTCTACATCAAGACATATGGAGTTACGCCGCTCAACGAAGAGTGCGGTACCATCGAATGGGTTGAAGGCTTGAAGCCCATGCGAGACATCATAATACGGTTATATCGCCAAAAGAGTGTCAGCATCGATTACCAAGAGATACGCATGCTGCTCAACGAAGCATGTGCGGACCCCAAGAACATACATCTGTTTACGCATAAGATCCTCGCGAAGTTCCAGCCCGTGCTGCACGAGTGGTTTGTAGAGACGTTCCCAGAACCCGAGGCTTGGTTTGCCGCAAGGCTACGATACACGAGGTCGTGCGCCGTCATGAGTATCGTAGGCCATGTCCTTGGCCTCGGCGATCGCCACGGCGAAAATGTCCTGCTCGAAGAAGGAAACGGCGGAACCTTTCATGTCGATTTCAACTGTCTTTTTGACAAAGGCCTCACTTTCGAGAAACCCGAGCTTGTCCCCTTTCGGCTCACTCACAACATGGTTGACGCTATGGGCCCCGCAGGCATAGAAGGGCCGTTCCGGAAGACAGCTGAGCTTACGTATTCTTTGCTGCGTCAGCATGAAGACACACTTATCACCATCCTGGAGACGTTCGTGCATGATCCTACAGCGGATTTCCTGGGCGGCAAGAAAAAGAGGAGGATACCAGGCGTTCCGGAGAGTCCGCAGGAGGTTCTAGAAATCGTGAAAGGAAAGCTGGGTGGGTTTGTGAGGGGTGAGAGTGTCCCTTTGAGTGTAGAGGGGTATGTAGATAGTCTTATAAGGCAGGCGAAGGATCCGATGAACTTGGCGGCTATGTATATTGGGTGGTGTGCGTTCTTTTAAGAAAGTATACATAGGAGTAATGGGGGCGGGCTCGAAGAGAGGCATACCTTTGGTTTGATTATGAATATACTCATCGCTACGATCATCATATACAACTCTAGTAGTCAATCTTACATCCTCACACGTGCTACGACCTAATCTCCACATCCCACATGCCCCCCAGGTCAATCCCCGTCCACGTCTGTACCTTCAGCGTCTCTTCCCACTTCGGCGACTCAATCTCAATCTCAATCTCCCACCCTCCACTCTTCTTACTCGCCTACCTAGACAACCTTTAAGACCACCCTTCCTCATGCTGGTAGAAACACTCCTCCCTTCCCCGAGACTCATACTTATATTTCCCCACCTCCGTAAATCAAGTATCATCCGCCCCACAAGCAACGTTTCCTCTGTTCATCTGGTAGCGTGAGCATCGCCATTACCGTACATTCTGCTGCTCTCACCCCCGATGATGAATCACGCTCGCCATCCATATAACGTCTATCTTGCCCTTCGCTACCGTCAAGCCCGACTGCGCAGAGAGCATATCCGCCTGCATGAATGTCGCGTCGAAACTGTCCCTGTAGCGGAAGAGGGAGTAGCCGACGTCGAAGAAACGCTGATTGATGTTGAGGCCGTAGACCCGGGCTGGACTCAGAGACGGACTAGAGATGGCGAGGTGACGTAGTTCTTGGCCGATGCAGCAGCCAAGGTCGAGGAGAGTTGCGCCATGGGGAAATCGAATGGTTATATTGAGTTACGTGGGGGGATTGGGTGAATTGGACGTCGAGGAAGCGGTAGTGGCCGAGATAGGGATAGGGGCAGTGGCAGGGGTATTAAACTTAGACGTGAGGAAACATTTGAGCGCGATTGGAGCGGGACGAACCATTAGGGCTCATTATCGCTAGGGGGGTTGTGGCAATGTAGAATCACCAGTGAAACTATGGGTAGGCGTGGGGCAGAGGATGGGTGTACGACGGCGCTGATGTGAGATAGCTGTTCTGAAAGCGGGTATGTCGCGAGCGCGCAGAGGAGCTTCGAGGAGCTCGGCATCGAGAATACTGGATAACGAACAAGGCTCCCAGTTCGGAGGACAACGCCACCGTGCCGTTCTTGCAGTAGTCGATAGGTTTGTGGTGGCTTATGCAAACCAAGTTTCATGTGGGCCTTTTTCCCACGGCTAAGACCTGGACTGTGATATTCATTGACCAGCGTGAGCTTATATGAGATATGCAGCGCGGTGCACATCCACCTATGAAGTCGCTTCGCGAAGGAGATATCCGATTCACAAGATGACAAGTGTATGGTAGTTCATGATTCATCTACCAGGCCTATTTGCCCAGCGTACCTGTCCCGCCAGTGGCCTTTAGCCATACCACACAAGAACATGCATGTAATCCGTGAATTCCAACGCCACCCATTTTGCCGCCAACGTTGTCCGTTCCGGCGCTTACTTCAGAGGAATGAAACGGGAAGAGTGGGTGGCACCAATACCGGGCCTTCCGTGCTTGACAGGGCGGCTGCAAACGTTAATCAACTTGCCAGCAACATATGCAGATGGAAAATACTCACTATGAGATAGAGAACTCGGCAAGGTAGTGACCGACCATCTCCGCCTTGATCTCAACCTGGTTGAACTCCTTGCCGCTGTACACGCCGACAACGCTGCCGATCATCTCGGGGACGATAACCATATCACGAAGGTGAGTCTTGACGAGCGGGGGCTTCTCGTTCGGAGGGGCGGCCGCCTTCGCAACGCGAAGCTTCTTGATGAGACCCATGGGCTTGCGCTTGAGACCGCGGTTCATGCGGCGACGGACGCGCGCGTGCATGACATCGCGGAGTTCCTCAGAGGAGAGGTCGAGGAGCCTGAAAGATATATGAGTATCGAGTTGTCCTGCGACGGGGGAACGAAAACGTACTGGTCGAGACCAATTCCTCGGTAGGAGAAGGTGCGGAAGGTTCTCTTCTTCTTGATCTCGGCGGCCTCAGCGGCATTCTGCAGAAGCGTTAGAATAGAAGTTGCGAATCGGTGGAGAGTCGTCACGTACGTATTCGGAGTCAGCCATGGTGGAGGTTGTTGTCGTGCTCGTGGCCTTGGTCGTGGATTGGTATTAGATTTCGGGCGCAGGTGTGGGCGCTCAAGCGAAAATTATGTAATATGCGCTAAGCCGGACAGGAGCTCCCCGCTCTTGGCAAGGCGGCGAAGCCTACCCCATCGATATTGGGTACGCGCTACAACACGGTGCAAAATCAAATTCAAACGACTGGCGGATGGTGCACCAAGAAAACATGCGACTCAGTGTTATGGTATACACGATTGTGTTGGAATATATATAGCATAGGTTTTCATTTTATCAACAACATTCTGAAAAGAGTGTATCACGGGCGTGTAGCTCAGTGGTAGAGCGCCCGCTTTGCATGCGGGAGGTCTAGGGTTCGATCCCCTACCCGTCCAATTTTTGGCTTCCACTCCTCTTCGACACACTCTCGGAGTGATTGGAATGTTTTTTGCGCAGGAGAGCACGCCAGCATCTGCCACTCTTCCCACTTTGGGGGGTGTGCCAGCTGGCTGAGAAAGTCTTGGCAGACGAGCTAGCTGCCGCAGTGCTCGCGTACCACAACACCTAAACACAGCGATGATGCAGATGCGCAAGGTCTCAGCATGGCAAACCGCTGCCGTGTTATTTTTGTTGGCTGCTGCAGCACACGCATCCCTCGGCGACAGGCTGCCAGACTTCAAGGAATGTCTAAAGGTATGCAATTGCTCGTGGTGTTTACTCGAGGTACTGTGCAATGCTAACAACTACACACAGACCTGCCAGGAAGCAAACTGCGGTGAAGCTTCTACGCCCATACGTACGTGGTGTCCTGTTTGAAACTAGGCTCGTTCATATTACTTATGACCGCAGCCATCCACCGTCGAGTTCTCCTTTGGGACTGCCCCGCCGAATGCGACTATACATGCCAGCACGTCGTGACCGACAAGCGCCTCGCCCGCGATCCACCTTATATGCAACCAGTCTACCAATACCATGGCAAATGGCCCTTCTACCGCTTCCTCGGCATGCAAGAGCCCTTCAGTGTCATCTTCTCCCTGTTCAACTACCTAGCCCATAGCTGGGGCATGACCCAGATCCGCGAGAAGATCCCGCCAACGTATGCTTTACGGAAGTATTACATTGCGTTCGGATACTTTGGACTGGCAAGCTGGACGTTCAGCATGATCTTCCATACAAGGGACTACAATATTACGGAGAAATTGGATTACTTCGCGGCAGGCGCGCAGGTGCTGTACGGCATGTACATGGCGGCGATACGGATCTTCAGGCTTGAGAGGAGGGAGCCCATGAGACAGAGTGTGCTGAGGGTGTGGACAACCACGTGTATTCTACTCTATACACTGCACGTCACATACCTCACGCTCTGGAAGTGGGACTACACGTACAATATGGCTGCCAACGTCGCAGTGGGCGTGGTGCAAAACTTGCTATGGAGCGGCTTTAGTTTTACACATTACAGGAAGGTGGGAAGGACCTGGGCCATGTGGCCAGGTTTTATCGTTACGTGGATCATTATGGTCATGAGCTTGGAGCTGCTGGATTTCCCGCCCTGGAAGGGTATGCTAGATGCGCATAGCTTGTGGCATTTGGGAACCGTGGTCCCGACAATTTGGTGGTATAAGTAAGTTGCGATCAAGCCTGAGACGGGTGGAAACTAACAGTGTACAGTTTCCTTATCAGAGATGCCCAGGAGGACCTTGCAGGTACGCGACTCAAGCAGCAAGAGTAGGGCTATTTGCACGCTTACTGTGCCTTTGATTTGGAGAAAATTGGCTCTGAATAGATTTCAAAGGCTAATTCCCATACAGGGTCCCGCAAGGACTGAAGGGATAATCCCGCTATGTTCGTAGCATCCATCTCTAATCATTCCACAAATTCGGCCCGCATCGTGCTTGCGACTGTGAACATCGGCCCTTTTGTCTTACACGTTTACTTTCCACGTGTGAAAATATACCGTGGGCCGAGCGAATCTTCATGCATATAACAGTATTCCTACAGATAGCCCCCAGGCTGGTTGAGCTGCTATAGTGATGCTAATGCACAAATGCCGCTTTTAGCCGACATTCGATACTTCCAAGACTCCATATACAGAATAGTACACTGAAGATCTAGCGTATATATTAATCAGGCGACACCGTCCAAACACAGCAGGTCACAGTGTGGGGTAGGAACAACCGGGGGAGATCAGGACAATCCTCGGCGTAATCAATACCAAGACATAGATACATCACTCGTTTCGGGCCATTCGTTTGGCAACTTTGACTTTGTGGCCTTCTTATCCCAAGATGATTCTCTACAGCTTGATCAGATTACTGCTCATCGAGCTCCTCCTCCGCTCCGTTCTCGGCGCAAACATACGCGCCATCTACCTATTCAAAGATGTCCTCAAATCCAACACGACGGCCCTCACAAACTCCGGTTTCAATTCCCTTGTTATTTTCGGCGTCGGTATCCTCGAAGACGGTTCCATCATGTACTACTCCAACACGCCGGGCAGTACCGACGTCAAAATCGCTTCGGGTGGCACCTACACCGGCGGCGATGCTCTCGCGGCGAAGGTGAAATCCTTCAAAGCCTCCAGCTCCTCCGTAGACCGCGTCGAGATTTCTATGAATAGCCAGCACGTCAAGGACCTAATGGCCAAGCCAGGGCCTGGCACCGACACACCTTTAGCTAAGAACTTCGCTGCGGTGAAGACGGCGTGGGGACTGGATGCTGTGAACAATGATGACGAGAGTTTGTATGATGTTGGTAGTACCGTCACCTTCGCGAAGATGCTGAATAAGATCGGATATAAGTATACCGGCGCGCCGTACACGAACACAGCGTTCTGGAAGTCCGTCATCTCCCAGGCGAATCAGGGTCTTGCGGAGCCAAACCTTCTGTTCGACCGCGCGTATCTGCAGTGCTACGACGGCGGCGCGGGCAATATTCCCAGTAGCTGGGCCAGTACCTTGGGGCTGAAGGTTGTGCCGTTAGTGTGGGTCACGAATGATTCGAAGCCGAGCTATGGGACAACGCCTACGGCTGCGAAGACAAAGTTTCAGGGGTGGAATTCGAGCGGTGGTGTTGTAGGGGGTGGATATTGGAATGACTATGATATTGAGAAGATGGGGACGAGTTATACGGAGTACGGGGCTGCGCTTAGTAGTGTATTCCCATAGAGATAGTCATACTCACATGTTGTGGGTACTACGAGCTTGGAGTAGAATATCGAGGAACGATGCATACCTATGGTACCGTTCGCCGCTTCGACGTGTCTACCATCTCTAGTCTAATTCTGTCGGTCCTTTATTGGCAGTGCAATAAACCTCAAAAAGTGTATCCCTGAATCCACGACGATGGTATTTAATTTGTTGTTGCAGCGTTACACGTGAGATGTTCGAATTCGCCTTGTCAAGATCGACCCGACGCCGGCTCTCGGCATCGACGGTACTTCCCAGCTCCACCACCTCTGAACAACAACGACCTCGCCAAATCGATTCATCGTCCACGTAAGCTGCCTACGGCACTTGATATAGTCGGCTTAGAAAGACACTCAGATCAACATCATATTGCTGCCATGACAGTCATCAGAGAGACCCCGGACATTCAAGCCATCAAAGCGCTTATCCAATCTTTCTTTGACCGCATCAACGACAGCGATGCCAAAGGCCTCGGGAAACTCTTCATTGCCAATGCAAACCTCACAATAATCCGGCAGGACCCGGCGCGGGATCCCCCCTCCGACTCGCCCTGGAGCTTACTCTCTCTGCCCCACAATGCCGCCACTATCTGCCACGATGCTCAAGAGAAAGAAAAGCTTACCATTGTGCTACGTACCTCGATCGAAAACTTCGTAAAGATTATCGAGGACGGAGAGAAAAGGAGGGATCCTACCAAGCCAGCACCAAAGGTCCACGAAGCGCCGGATCTAGAAGCTACGGACGTCAAGGTCGATCATTTATTTGGGGCAGCGTGGAGTCCGTTCCGAGTCACATTTGATGGGGTTCTACATCACTATGGGACATTCGCGTTCACGTTTGGGAAGGTCGACGATGGAAGTGGGAAACTGTGGAGGCTGGAGGGGCTAACGCAGAATTATCGGCGTACGAAGGGGTGGGGTGAGCCGGGTGAGCCGGGTGAGCTTGCGAAGGGGAATCTGTAGAAAGCCGTCATTAACCATCCAAGATAGCGGTTGAGAATTTGCCATAGCGCTGCACTTGAACGTTGTTTAGTCGGCCTAAACTTCTTCTGACAATGTACGTAGCAACGTGACGTCCGCGCTTTTATGCACATGCCTCACAAGGCTAGGGGCACTCAGATTGCTTACTATATATATACCCTTTGGGCCTGCTTACTCCCGTATTCTCGATGCTCTTGCGGGGATCACTTTGTCGAACCTATAAATACGCTCGGCATCGACCGCTGAAGCATTGGCAATCACAGGGGCTATATATTCTCTTTCGTGATTTTGACGGACAAGACATTGGCCTGTCTCATTTCATTCGAACTTGTGGATCGCGTTCGGCTGTGATGTACCCGTTAGACCAGCCCCAAGGTCGGAAGATGCGAACGCCACTGTTGAGATAGCCTAAGCTCAGTACCAGTACCTTTCGCGTCTTCAGCTTTGCAGATTATTAGTATTCAACCTTTCGCCTGCATGTCCGTACCCTGCACACGTGGCCCTTCTGGACAATATTCGTGGCAACCTTGCGCTCTTCACATCGAAAACGTTCTCCGAAGTTTCCCACCAATTAAAAACCCTGATGGTATCTTGGCCCATTTCGTTTTCTACCTGTGTAATTTTGACAGTCTCGCTACTTTTCGGGGCCAGGTTATGGACGGTGCAAGCAATTGCGCGTTCAAAGTCTTGGTTCCACGATAGAATGTCTCTGCCTCCGAGTACCAACTCAAGGGATGGATATAAGCACACTACATCCCGTTTTCTAAGATCAACACAATGCTCGCACATTGACTCCCGTACCTCGCAGAAAATTCGCTCTGGCTGAAAGAACAAAACCACAAATTCCCGGAAGCGTTCATTGTAAGGACTCGGGTATTGTACGCTTCTACGAAACCAAAGAATCTCCGACTGCAATCCAGGTACGTCACTGTAGCGTTTATAAACCTGATAGAAGCGAGCTGAGACGGTCTCTCCGTTAGATGGTAAATGGAAAATGCAAGGTCTTGCTACTATGTTAGTGAGTAGTTCTGCAGCGACACGGAGCCGGCCGTGGGAGACGAATGCGTGATTTAGTCAAGCTGTCAACCGCGATCACTCGGATCTCGTGAAGTTACCATGAAGAACCAGGACTACAGTCATCATTCTAGAGTATCTGTGGGAAGCTAGTCAATCCGCCGAGCCCGTCATGCGATTCCGCTGTCCCGAATTGGCCCTGTAGAACAATGTACACACTATAATAGTAAAGAATTTCTATACCATCATAGCATGTTTTCTCATGCCAAAAAATAGTATAGAAAATGGTCATCTAGTAACTTTCTAGATCTATACTATAATAGATTGTTAGGGAGCTCCATCAGCTGCGTAAGCTTCGCGGGGTCGCTTGTCAAAATCGAGGTGCGAGGATGGAGTGCGACTATCGCGATACAGACCACTACGAAGATCGATAGCAAGCAGCTCTGATTAGTATCAAGCGTGTAGCAAGTACCACATGTGCATTCGCCTGCTGGACTTGACCTTATCAATGGCACAAGTAACATCTATAACCACACCGTTCACGGCAGCCAAGCTTCAGATTCAAGTATTCAATTCATTAGGTGAATGTCGCCAGAAGCTCATATCATAGTACAGTGGTATCTCGTCATTAGTCGCCATGAAGACGAAACAGAAAACGCCGTCGCTTAACATGTGCAAATTATGCTGGGATGCACGGAGCCTTATTCCATAGAGACTCCTCTTCATCGTTTCCAGTACTGTCGAATCAGCCACTCTTCATTACGTAGATCCAAGAGACATCGGATCACATGTGTAAGAGTGGTTTTCTAGACCATCTGCTCGCCCATACGGCTTCCAGCCACAGGGCGGCGATCAATAGAGTGGCCTGCAGAGTGTCCACCGGTGCCGACAACGCCACCATGGGTACCACGTCCATTGGCAGCACCGTGGGCAGCAGAGTCAACAGCGCCGGCGGCCTGGGCCATGTTTCCACGGGGACCATCGGCAGCGTCGCCAGGAGCACCGCCCCAGGCTGAGCCGTCGTGCTCGCCCCAACCAGCCTTGCGGGTGAAGGTGGCGCTGTGGAAGCCGTCGAAGGTAGAAGGGCCGGCGCCATAGATGAAGGGGGCGTTGCGGACGAGGGGGATGTGATTGACTGGATTATGTCAGGAACAGAGTGGTGCTGTGATGCGGGATTGAACTTACAGCGGAAGTCCCACACAGAGGCGTAGGTCATGCGGTATGCGGAGAAAGCCATGACGGTACCAATAACAGCACCAGCGAGAATGTCGTACCAGTTGTGGTACTCGTCGATGGTAAGGGCTCCGCCGATCAAGCATGCGCCCAGAATTGGGGCGTAGATGACAATGAGCTTCCACATAGCAGGGTGGTAGTTAGAGAAGACCTTAAGCTTAGCGTTGAGGTAAAGGTAGAGATAGACGAATCCAGCAAAAGCAGCCGTCGTGTGGCCCGAGGGCATAGACTCGAGGCTGTCGTTGATCTCCTTCTCGTCACCCGTGCAGATGCTGCGGTCGAACATGATCTGGCGGTAGCCGTTGGCGACGTTGCCCTGAGGACGCATGCTCTGGGGGATGACGGGCTTGCAGACGGCGAGGAAGTGGGGGCGGAGACCGCCGATGAGCCACTTGACGAAGACCTGAAAGACGGCTGCGGTAATGAGGGCATAAAGGAGACCAATGGTGGCGTTGTTGACGTCCCAGAAACTGCGGATGCGGATCTGGCAGATGAGGAAGACGGCGATTGGGATCAAGGCTGCCATGAGCGCTGCGGCCCAGATGGGAACAATCTCATTGCGAAGTGGGTAGGCGAATTCGGGGTAGACAATCTCGCCGTCAGAGAAGATGACTGTTTTCAGATCAGTTCGTGTTCACTTGGGCGAACAGCGACTGTGTGCTTACCAGGGAAGCTCCGTGAAGGGGCAGGGTGTGCCATGTAGACGCCCAAGCCAATGGCCCCCATGGCAGCCATGGTGATGATGTCGAGGGCAGTAGCTTTGATCCACTGTCCGAACGTGGGGCGAGTGTTCCAAGCTGGGGTGCCATTGTGGTGCGTCGCCGCAGCTCCATGGTTGCGCTTGGAGAAGATGCCCGGCTTCTTCTCGTGGGTGCCTGTTGCGGCTGTGGTGTTGGGGTCGGCGGCGGCTGTTCGCCTGTTGAAGAAACCCATTGTGTCTTGTGGTGTGGGTGTGAGAGATCTGTGTTTGTGAGTAAAGGTAGACTGCCACGTGTGTCTGCGAGGGAGACTGACGTAGGTAGAAGGAGCAAACAGACAGCGGGATACTAGCCCGACTTGAGCACTTCACCTCGAGTGACGATACGAGTCAATGCGGATGGGACAAGGAAGATGCAGACGATACTCTCCCTTCCCTCTCATATATACGCCCGCAGATGCGCATCGTGATTCACCCCCGGCATCGACATCATCGCAGCGATGCATGCATTCACATCACCAGCCACAAACAAGTAGCCATCCTTGCATTGCAAGCGCGCACGACCCCATGACGCCTCATCAGTTCCTTGTTGGTGGCACCGTGCGACGATCCTGGGCGCTCTTGAAACGCACGGCAGCGAAGCTTGGAAGAGCTTGTTTGCAGCTTGGCCGGGGAACGCCAAACGGCCGCGAGCGCAATCCAAGACGTCGAGGCACTCGCAACAAGCACTCTGTAAATCTGCATATCTGCATTCTCTTTTATTGTATTGCGTGTGCGGCGTCACAGCCACACACAGGGAATCGGAGCCAGAGCGCGTGACGTCACCCACCGGCCAAGTTTTGCGTGCGCTGTTGCTACTCGCGTACGACTGCAGTATAACAGCCTGTGCTCGGATCCAGCGTGCCGGACGTGACAGAAGGTTTGCATTTTCCCGCATGCTGTGATTGCGATGACATAGTGGCGAGCGGCTGAGGGGCTAGAACACGCGCGTGGCTCCTTGTTCCGTCGTTGCATGGCCATCGCAGGCGCAAATGGGCTAAGCATATGCAATTGTGACCGATGCATCGCGCGTTTGACCATGCATAGGGAATCTGTCCAATCCCTTTCTGAAAATTGCATCCTGAAACGTACCAGATTGCTCTTCCTGTGACCCACTCAAGCGTATATTTCCTGCTCGTGCCTTCACACACCCCAGCAATTGCCAACCGCATCAATTGATGATACATCACCCTAAACTACCGAAGCTATCGGTACTTCTCCCAGTGGCCATCATCCCTCCGTCTTGCTCAAACTACCATCTCTAAGCTAAGCACCGTCTATATCTCTGAATCTTTCGGGCGCCTGCTTCATCTTTGCTTTTGCAATGTTCCACCGCTTTCCGCTCCCGTCCTGGCACTGATTGGCGTGCGAGTCGTTGCCCAAGCAATCTCATCGCCTCGGTATACTCTTGTCTTCTGCAACTTCAACATCGGTCCAGACATGGTTGAAAGCGTTGATTGCGTGAGTGAAGTCGCGTAGGCGAAGAGCTCGAGCGCCTGCGACTGGTATGGCTCCCTGGTATTCGCAATCAAACAAGGCACCGGTAATTACGACAGGTGCTCCACGGGGAATTTTTCTTGCGTCTGCGAAGTGGCCGTCCATCCTTGCATTCCTGAGTGGTTCAGAGTCGGTGTCATCTCCCTTCTAACGTTGTTTGGTGATGGTGCAAGACGGCAACTCAATGGTGCGAACGATCCGAACTCAGGTCATGACAATCCCCCTCCACTGATGAACGCTGGGCTCCAGTACTCATTTTCACCAGCCTGTGTGTCGACCCAGACGAGGCTGTCCGCCATCAAGTCTTCAATCACCGCATGCGCTCGTGGTCTCTCCCAGTCCAGGTTGATCTGCAGCATGCTAATAGTGACATGACCTAGTAACTGCATAGCTTCCAGTACTGTGCTTTGATCCGTGTTGAGCTCCTTCGGCACGCTGCGAATGAGCAAGCGATGGCCTATCTTCATGAGGGTGAAGCACGAGCCGAGGGGTGCCAGCGAGTCGACAGCACGCTTGATGTCGTCGTCGCTGACCTGCATGGCGCCGCCTATGCTTCCCGCACGCCCTTTCGATATTCTCGTCCTCAAGTCGTGCACCGATATCAGACCGCCGTTTTCTGAGCGCGTGGCCCGACACTCCTCTACTATGAGCACTCCGAGATTGAAATAGAAGTCGTTTACACTGCCGCCCAGTAGCTGCGCCCATATACTCCCTCCGTCTGCTCCACTCTTGCCGTCCTTGCCATCCTTGTGGTACGATGAAGCGAGGAAGTCGATGTTGAGCGCTGAACACATGCGTGCAAACTCGGCGCGGAACTCAGGGTTCGCGCGTATGTCTTTGGCGTGGGTGAGGGCAAAGTTGTGCAGCAGCGACTGGAAGACAGATAGCTGGGTCTGAAGGGTCTCGGCATTGCGGTTGCGGAGGGCGGCGCCGTGGGCAGTGTAGTGGTGCGTTTGGAGCCGCGAGCTGTTGAGGGACGAGAGCCCGGGCGTGCGGCGGCGGTCCATGGTGGGCACAACAGACTTGGGGGTGGTACGGGGTCGGCGAGGGAATCGTGAGAGAGGAGCTGGTTCCTGGCCAAGGGTGACGGATTGTCGGGGCTGAGGTTGCAGAAGATGTTGCTGCCAGTGCTGGTTGCGGCGATATCAGCCTCATGGCGGGGTAGCTTGTGCCAGGTACGCGACCCCGAGAGCCACGCAGCGCTCCACCGTCGCGACCAGAACTGGTCTTCTAGACACTTAATGTTTGTGATACATACGCAGACAATTCGTGCAGCTAGACAACAACATGTAGATAATAAGATCGACGGTGCGGCGTTTGGCATTGGCAGCTCTGCCCGCCCCGGATCCATATGCTGCCCAACTTGGCCAATCAACTGTTGCACTGCATGCTAACGCACAGCGACCGGCCAGTCGACCGTCTTCAGAGGGCCACCCGAGATATGGATCCAACGTCTTCGGGCCTTTTTTTCATTAATCAGAGCCCGGGCCGGGCAGCATGGGCAGAGGGTAACTTTCACTCGAAGCCCACACACTGAACTTACCGTGCCCACCGACTTAGTGCATCCCCGACTCAGCAAAACTTCGGTCAGCAACGACTTCACGTGAGCCGGCGTCGCTGCTTCCACATTGGGCGGCCTTCATGATACGGACTTCTCCGCTCGTCCACAGGCTTCACGGCGCTCTCCTCTCAAGATTTTCCGCCACACAACCTTCGAATCGCTGTTCCACATCTCCCGCATGGACCCTGCCTCACAGACGCACTGCGTCCTCCTGCTAGACCTGCCTGCGAACGCCTTGGGCGGCATCGACTTGCTTTCCTTCACAATCACACCCCGCTTCAAAGGCGTGAAGAACCTACCGCCAGGTCTGCATTTCGCCTTCGCCGCTAGCGACGCTTCCCTTTCTGTGAGACATGGAGCGTGGTTCTACGTTACCCCAGGTGGTGGAGCGCCGCAGGTGTTCATCAAGAAGTGGGACCCCGAGACCGAAGACCTAGTAGCGGAAACATCGCAGACGGAGCTACTGAAGTGGAAAGCGAATCTGGGCGCAGTTTGGAAGGAGAGCCTAACGCCCTACCGACAAACAGTGCAGGCCGGGGATACAGCCGAAGATGACGCCGTGGAAGAATCGTCAGACTGGGGCGAACTCACCTCACGAATATCACAAACTCTACTCACCAGAATATGTGGCCTGAATCCGGATCATTGGGCCCTGACATCTGCTTCCTCTGCGGCCCAAGACTTGGAGAGCATACCTGGGTTGGAAGCGAGCAACAGCGCTTTGCATCCAGAGAAGGAGCTTCGCTTCTTTCCAGTAGAGCTCAAGCAGACATGGCGGGAAGGAGCGACAGGACGAGAACGTACTGAAGCCGCCCAAGATCGCTCGTGGGCACTTGGAGATTTGATCGAAAAGCACGGCATCAGCAAAGACTCTCGAAGCCGCGACTTTGAGATCTTGGGCGAACTACAGTTCTGCTTTCTGATGGTGTTGACATTGAACAACAATTCTTGCTTGGAGCAGTGGAAGCGACTGCTCAGCCTGCTGTTGACGTGCCAGGCAGCTGTCAAAGAGCGCTTTCACTTGTTCCTGGAACTTATAAGAACTCTGCGGTTGCAGTTGGCTCACTGTGGCGATATGGATGCCAGTATGTTTGACTTGAACGAACACGGCGGAGGCTTTCTAAGGCCACTACTCCGAAAGTTTCGCAAAGGCCTCGATGACTTCGACGGGAAGCGCAAATCTGACATCGTCGACGAATTCGATGACCTCCAAGATTTCCTGCAAAAGGAGTTTAGGTGGCAGCTGGATGACTCATACGTAAAACGGGGTATGCTGGAGCTAGAGGATGGCGAGCAAGTCGAAATGGACATGAACGGCGCGGATGAGGACGACGAGACTGGCGACTTTGCACCCACGATCGTTGAGCTGACACCTGCCCAGCTAAAACAGCTGAACGGCAGCAAGGCGAATGGCTTACTTGTGGATGAATCAGAAGAAGAGGCCGATCTTGACGAAATGGACACACGGTATTGATGCTTCGGTAGACCGTGCGTTTCCGGTGAGTCAAATTCGCATAGCTCGCACCCAGGTCGAACTTCGCTCAGCCTTCGCCAAGGTGCATCGAATGCCGTCAGATGTATATCCTCCCCAGTGGCGGCATTGTGATCGTCCTTCGAAAAAGCTTCTAACATAGATTCTGGACTTCAAGGTCAAGATATTCGCGATTATATGACATTGTGTCCTCGCCCAACACCTTGTGGCGCCGTTTTATCCAGATAATGGCTCAGGGTCTACCTGGAGAGTGAAAATTGGAGACCTTGTTCAAGCGCCACAAGTTTCAAAAATAGCAAGCGGGCTCGCCTCAGCCAAGCGTACCTTTCGGCGCTCAGTTGCGGGTGCAAAAGCCGCCTAGCGGCAGCTTAATCTGCTGGCTGTAGCACAGCCATATCGAAGACGCCAATTCAAAATTCGATCAGCGAGGTAGCCTTATCGTTTCTTGGGGTCGGCGTGTCCTTGAGTGGTGGCAAGTATGTGACTTGAAGAGTCGTATTTAATGCAACACGTTTGGCCATGCTCACGATACGAGCGCCGATGCATGACACGAAGTGCAGACAAAAGGATGGCAACCACAATAGGCTTGCATTAGGCAAAATGAGGAAATTACAAGCTTGGCTCGCTACTCCCTGCGGCGCTATTCGAGCTTCGAGGCGGTTATCGCAACCCCAAAAACACGAAAAACTTGGGACACGGAGGCTTGGGCGGCCTCGGGCGGGTCAATCGGCGTCTTTCGCGACATGTCCCACACACTATGATTGGCGACTGAGGCTCAGCTGAGAAAATGGCTTTTGCGAACGCGGGGGGTGGATTCGAGTGGCCTATGAGCTGACCGCATTGCAGGCTGTGCGTTGCTCCTCCTTGCCCAGTTGGCCCCCAAGGCTGTGCAATGTGCTACCGAAACCCTCGATAAAAGAGACGGCTTACCTCCATCTTGGGGCCCTTTTTCTGTGAACTTGAACCCCTTCCTCGCCGTTTTCAGCTGAACTCTGTTCTTTGTTCGAAACGCGACTGCCCCGCTCCACTCCTTTGAGACTCTTCCACAACAACATCCACTGTCGTTCTCAGGTTCAAGTACACTGTTACCGTCAAAATGGAGAAGCAAGGTGGTAAGTCTCGTAGTTCTTTGAACCATTGTATGCGCGCGCAACGTGCGATTCGCGATTACTGCCAAAACCACCAAAACCTGTGATTCATGGCGCACTCACAGCTGGACTTTACTAACAACGCAAAAGTTCCCATGAACCAATACCCTCAGTCGCCCGACATCGCGCACGCGCAGCAACAACCTCCTACCTACCATCAAGACTCCAACGCACAGGCGCAGTTCCAGCAAGGCCATATGTACCAACAGCCCACTGGACAACAGTACACTAGCTCGCCGCCTCCTCAGCAGGGATATGCCTCTCCTCCACCTCAGCAACACCAGGGCCAATTCGCCCCCGGCGCCGACCAGAAGGGCCTCCAGCCCCCTCAGAACCCTGGGATGCCTCCGCAGCAGCAGAGCGGCACTGTCTATCAGACCGCGACGCCGCTCATGAACTTGAACCGCTCGCCTGCGCCCGCTGATTGCCCGGCGTGTGGACAGAGGTCTATGACCACCACACAATTTGAGACCGGTAACACTACACAGTAAGCTTCCTCTGCCCCTTCATGTTTCTTGAGAAGAAAGTGGGCTAACGATCGCAGCGCATGGGCTCTCGGTCTCTGCTGTCTCGCCTGCTTGGGCTGCATACCCTACATGATGAGCTCGATGAAGGACGTCCAGCACAAGTGCGGCCGCTGTGGCGTGCTCCTCGCCACATGGCATCGTAGCGGTACTACCGAGCAGCACATTCACTCCTAAATGCGATGCGCACATCTATCTCTACTATACCTTAGCATACGATGTACCAATAACGAGACAGGCGCAGGCGGCGAGCGCGACATTGATACCATTGGGATGGGGACCAGGCGTTTGATCGTGGACGAGTGAGAGACAGGCGGAGATGTCTCTTGCACTGCATTGCGTTTCTTTTGTACACTTGCGATATCCGGATACAATAATTCATTATTCTGCCGTCTGCAAGGTCTTGTTGTGCCACTTCCCTTAATTAGTTGAACCGTCGATGCAAGGGACCGTAATCCACAACCGTTGAAATTGTCACCAAACCTAATTAGTATCCGCATGCTCAAACGAAAACGCCCAGCTGCTGGCATTACGTCCAGCGATGCGTCTAAGGAGGTGACGATGTAGATGCCGATCCTGTTGTTCGCTTCGAAAAACTAGAGAACTATATCAAAGGAGGTGTCAACGAGAAGGCACTTCCGAGTGGTATCGATACACCTCTATTCTAACGGAAAGCGGGCCCGAAAACCCCGTAGCCGTGAGACGGCAGAATTCCAGCCCTAATCGACAATGATGGCGTTCTCCTGTTACTTGCCTATCGATGACATTCTTCCAGTCCCTACAGCTGGCCTGCTTCGTTCTTCTTCGTCCTGCACATCGACCCGGCCGGAGGCAGAGGCTACGATGCTACAGACGGTATACTCGGCAACCAGCCTTACGATCTGTCACATCTGCAGTGTGGTTACGTGAACAATTTCAGTGTGGCCTACAACAAGGGACGGGTTGTTGCTACTGGCCCGGCAGAAGCTCAGCTTGAACCACATGTTTCAGCGAGAGAAAGTACAGAAAATTGAAAAGAGATAGGCTGTGTCGCGCTCTAAGCAGTACTCCCCCGTGGCTCATCAAATACGACGGAAAGTTCCTGCTTCAGTGTGAAAGGAGACAATATCTTTCATTCATTTTATCTTTTGCATATACCCATCGGTCGAATCAAACGTCCCATTAGTCATTGGAGTAAGAGAACTATTCAAGGATAGACTACTAATAATCCGTAGGTTAGACACTGGGTCATATAGGTGTTAGGGCGTAACAGTGTCGACTTTTAGGTTTCGTATGCTAGACGCCGGGTTCAAGATGTAGCCAACTGTAAAAGTATCAATTCTGCCTTGCTCACGATTACATATGCCTGTTCCTCTAGGTCTATACTGCATCATATGTCGAATTGCGTTCAAGTCAAAGCCATCGAGGTGTTGGCAGCGATACAGCCACCTAGCACGGCATTCTCCAACGGGTAGGTTTCTACACATTTTACACACACTCCTCACACGACCAATGATGATGAGTGTTTTTAACTTTTGAATTGATGCACGCAATCGTTCTACCTTGACCTTGCCCACGCATATCGCATAAGGTCGTACGTTTGAAAAGGAGACGCCAACCATGTAAACCTACCCTACCCTACCATCGTCAAAGCCATGCAACGCAACCTTGAACAGCACACTACGAAGCACTCTATGCCTGAATAGCCCGTCCAAGCGCACCGCCCGTGAACTGCTGATTCCGTCCGCCGCCGCCTCCACGTCCCATACCGCCACCTCTTCCGCCACGGCCTCCGCCACGGCCGCCACCACGTCCCCGGCCTGTTTGCCTCTCGAAGGCGTTGGCAGTGCCCTGTGTCCTCTGCTCGAGCGTCTTCTCGTTCGACTCGATAAGACCCGATGCCTTATCCGATAAGCTGAGCGCCAGCGTCTGCAATCTGGAGAGCTCGACGCCCTTCCGGAAGATGATGGCGCTGTTGACCTGGTCGAGGGCCGCGGCGAGCTCTTCGTGCGAGATCATTCTTGACACAACCGCCGAGACCTTGCGCTCTGGGAGGTCGAACATGGATGCTAGCGTGGACACGGCGAGGGTATCGTAGAAGGGGGCGTAGGTGAAGAGGTAGGTTCGCAGACCTTCTTCTTGGATCTGGGCTGATAGCATCTCCTTGATCTTCTCACTGTCGGCCATGAGCTCCCAGATCTTGATGCTGTTGATGTATTGCGCGGCCTTCTGCCACTCGCCTGCAGAAAGTGCCTTGGAGGCCTGCATAACATGGTCGCGGGTGTTCTCGGGCGGACCAGTGAAGATCTGGCGCTCGTGGTACTCTAAGAGGCGGCGGTATGTTTTGCTGATGACGCGCTTCCGGATGTCTGGGGATGAGCCAATTTGTGCAAGGAGAGGGATCTCGAGAAGCATAGAGCAAGTGAGGTAAACACACTCTAGCAACTCAAGATTGATGTGCATGTGGAAAGGTAGTTGCCGTTGGCGCTCGAGACGCTCCTGTTCGGGAGAGATCTGAGTGAAGCGCTGCATCTGCAGGCCTTGTGCAAGCAGCTCCTTCTGCCTGTTGCTGCCGCAAATCTCCTGCAGCGATGTCTGTGCCTCGTAAACTAAGCCGGCGCGGAATGCACACAGGCCTATCTGAACCAATGCACGGTTAAACAGAATCTGGGTGCTGACGTCGAAGTTGCTGATGGTGTCTTGGAGATGGGACATGAGCATCAAATCACGAGCCTTGTAGTATTGGTCATGCAGAGCCAAAAAGTAGACTTGGCACAGCATAGCCCTGGCGCGGATGATGCCCTCAGAGTGTCTGAAGAGGTATGTGCAGAGGGTCTGGACCAGAGAAGCGGTGTCGTCGGCGGTGGAACGAGGGGTGACCTCGGAGTCAACGCTCGATGGGAGAGCTTTCCAGGTGTTGTTCTCGAGGATCGTGACGACTTGAGAGGGCTGTGCACATTAGTATCGACAAAGGTCATCATAGGAAAGTGTCGTACCTTGAAGTAGACATGCTCCAGCCGTCGCATGATGACGCGGTTCACCGACTCTTGGGGCACGTTCAAAGTCTCCTTCTTCCTCAGGTTCTCCACGTACACCAGTGCGCGGACTAGCGAAGCATACAGAGAGCCCTCATCAGTCAAGCGCTCAATGTATTCGGAAGTGTGGGGATCGATGTGCTGGAGCGACCTGGTGAGCTCGTCGTCTAGCCGCTCCACGAATGACACAACACTGCCTGGAATCTTGAAGATCTCGCCCTCGGTGATGGCGGGCTGCTTCTCATCGTCTTCCCACTCTTCAGCACCCTCCACAACGACGATCTCCTTGGAATTTTCGAGCGTCTCCAGGAGCTTGTTGAACTCTTGTTGTGCACTGGAACATGTTAGCTATTGTCCAAGCCTTGAATGCTGCTCAAACTTACAGTTTCCACTGCTCTTGCGCCATTTGGTTGCCGGTACCGGAAGTCAAGTCGAACCGCGTAGAGATAAGCGTCAGGAGAATGCGAACTCTCTGATAATCGTTCACAGCAACATCGAAGAGCTTTTCCAGAGTGCGGATGTGCTCCATGCGGTCTGTGTTCTTGCGACCTCTCTGCTCCACAATCGACCGGAGGTGCTTGAGAATGCTCTCTGGGGTGTACTGCACCGCCTTTCCACGCGCATCGACCATGGTGAAGCCATCGTCATCCGCATCGGCGACAGCCTGGGCAGACAGCTGAGCAGCAGGAGCCTTCTTCTTCTTGTCCTTAGGCTTCTCCTCGATAATTTCCTCCCGCATGAAGGCATCTTTGTCCGCCCTGTAGGCATCGATGTCCTTGGAGTAGTCCTTGTTGTTCTTCCTGATCTTCTGGCGAACAGCGTTGAGACCACGCGTGTTGATGGCGTTCATCTTCTTAGGTGTGACCTTCTGCTTCTCGAGTGTCTCATTCATGGTGCTTTCGAGATCGGCGATGGCCTGGATATACATCTTGGGCACGCGGCCATCGTTCTGTCGGATGAGCGCGGGGATCTGACGGTTCAGCTTGTCGAACTCTGTGCCCATATTAGCATCGTCTCCCACTAAGGCTGGGTTGCGCCCGCGTTATACTCACGCTCCTGGATGACAGCCCAGTCATTGATCTTCTCCGCGTTCTCTATGCTCCTCACTGTGCCCTCTAGCTCCTCGAACCGCTTGTCCTTTGCGCTTTTGAGCACCTTCGCCCCCTCGTCCTCGTCGCTGTCCTCGTCGCTAACGCCGCCCTTCAAGAAACGTTGGGCACCCTGGCCTTCATCGTCTGACGAGGAATCGTCCGAGTCTTCATCCTCGTCGGACTCCTCCTCAGATGCTTCCTCCTGTGACTTCTCCTCCTCGGAGTAGAGCTCCTCCTCCTCCGAGCTGGAGCTTTCGCTGTCGCTATCTCCGCGCGAGAAGAAGCGTGACGACATATTGGCGGTGTTCTCGAAGTGGTGTGGTCGTCGGTGGGTTCGAGAAAATTGTCGCGCAGGCGGGGATCCGGTTGTTGGCGAGCTGCGCGGGCCTCGTAGGTTTTCCGTCGTAGTGTTCTTTGAGTCAAAATTCAAAGTGGGAGGCGCGCCTGCCTGCAATTGGCCCGTGCGCATGCCTACGTGCGGGGCAGCATTTGCAGTTGATGATCACTCCTAATTATCTCGAGATACTCTTTTATGGAATCAAAACCACTGAAAATACAGCAAGAGTATATAGGAATGCACATGTAGTTCTTGTGTAGTCTCTTGAAGATCGCCTAGGCTCACATCCCCCCTTCAAGACGGCTTGAGATTCTTGCTTTACACATTCAGTCCTTAGTGCCAGCAGGCTGTTTATTCATGATTTGAGTCAAAATGACAATATTACAAAAGGAGGACTCAGGAATTCAGCCGGCCGTCTGCACACGCACAAAAGCCATCAGAAAATCCATATGAATGCTAGTAAAAGTACAAGGTGCCACCTTCCACCGGGCAGCCTGCCGAATCCACCCCCTATCAAGTATCAACTACGTGGAAAAATCGAGAAAAGACGTGCTCCACCATCCATTCTGCCATGAAGAGTCATATGTGCCAACAATTTGCGGCTAGGCCAAGGAAGAAGCCTGACTTGACTCTTGTATTCCAACCGCCCACCCCGCCTGATCTTGCCCAGGTCGATTGTAGCCCATGTGCTGACTACTGGTCGTTCTGAAATATACTGAAGGACTGGCTCATCTCTCCGTACGGCAGCTGCGTATGGAACGACTATGGAAAGTGATGCAATTTAGATGCTGCGCAGGCTGAGCGTCCGCCTTCTCTCACCCACGACCCGTATCTGTAGGCCTCTCGTGCGGTATGATGGTGCTCTCAATGAAGGTGAACATTTGAGAAGGTACATATGTCTGGGTATCGGGTGTCGAAGTCGAATATAGGTCAAGCTATGCCAATGCAACTACGCATCAACAACAAAATAAGGTGTACAAACTAGAGTTTCCCGCGTCATTGCCATCCGTGTTGACTCATGAAACCTTCTTCAAGAGTGCGATCTTCTAGGGTACGAACGAAATTCCGTTGGCTTTGCCCTGCCGCTCGGGAACCTCTCCTCCTCTGACCATTACCTGCTGCGTCCGGTGCACCTTCGGGCGGAGGAGGATAGTATGCAGGCGATGGTTGTAATCGAATCGGTGCGTTTGGATCCAAATGACTAATGACTCTCTGCAGCGCAGGCGGAATACCAGACTGTACTTGCTGGTCCATGGTAGACGCGCGCTGCCTACCCGCGCGAGTTGTAGCCTGTGCATACAAGTTTTGGGGCTGGTTGTATTGGCGCTGTTGCTGCTGCGGCTGCATCATGCCCATTTGCTGATTGTATCCAGGCTGAGCGGGATAGGGCGGTGGAGCGCCTTGATGATTCGGCGAGTACATGTTGTTGTACATATTAGGCGCTTGTGCGTGCGGAGTCTGGCCTTGGTACTGGTTCATCTGCATGTTGGCGTACGCGGCGTTTTGTGCAGCCTGTTGGGCTTGTTGTTGTGCCTGCTGTTGCGCTACAGCAGCTTGTTGCGCCTGGGCACGCTGTTTGCTCATGCCTTCGTACCGCTGTTGCTCTTGGACACCGGGAGCAGGTGATCTGTTAGATCCCGAACGCATAGCCATTGGTGGCACAAAAGGCCCTGTAAACTTCTGTTGTGTGATAAACGGGTGCTGTTTCGCTTGGTTGGGCGTCCATCGCTCCAATGGATTAAGATTCAGCAATCCCGTAGCGAAGTCGATAAATGCATAACGATTTTGCATCTCTGCGCACGGTCAGTAAGCCGACTTAGCTTAAGGCCGGACTCATCGCTCACCTCGCTCAATCTCATTGGGCTTCATGTTCTTTCGTGGCATTGGGTAGTTCTTCACGATCTCTGGCAAAGTCGTGGCGGAGAAGTACTTCTTACTCGGCTGTTCTTTTGTACCGTGCTCTCTCGAGTATTGCTCCATCGACTTCAACCTGTATGTTCTTCGTCCGTACTCATCGTGAGCCTTCTCGAAGAATTCCCCGGATTGCTTGCCCATTTCGAGCATCCACGTCGGTGGCAGTCCGAGCATCTCAGTTATCCTCGCCACTTGGTTGTACTCGGACGAACCTGGGAAGAGCGGGAGTCCAAGGAACAGCTCAACCACAATGCAGCCTAAAGACCACATGTCAATTGCTGCGGAATATCTACAACATTTTAGCTCAGAGGTATAATCGACTGTCTGATAGACCTACGGCAGGCCCAGTAAAACTTCGGGTGACCGATAGAATCGCGATTGGATATACGTGTATACCGTCTGCCGTTCGTCGCATGCCGAACCGAAGTCGATGATCTTGATGATCGGGCTCTCGAGGCTAGTCGCACGTCAGATAAGCCCCTCAAAAGACGTGCAAGTAACCCACTTCTTGAGTAATATGTTCTCGGGCTTTAGATCGCAATGTATCAACTTGGCCTTCCCTAGCAGAGCCAACCCATTGAGCAATTGTTGTGCGAACACGCGGACCAAGGTTGTTGACAGCCCTCGGAACTGGTTTTGCTTGATCAATTCGTACAAGTTGACGCTTAGTAGCTCGAAAACCAAGCACAGATGTTGTCTGTGGATGAACGTGTCTTTCAGTCGCAGCAAGTGGTGGTCATCGTTCTTGTCCATCTGCTTGTTCAACTAAACCAGGATTAGCTTGCGCAGACAGGGAGTCTACAACACTGACCAAATCCAGCACAGAGACCTCCATCATACTCTGGTTGAAGTACGCAGTTCTGTTCTTGATAACCTTGACAGCAACTACTTCTTGCGTTTTGAGATTCTGACATTTCACGACTTGTCCAAAGGTTCCCTGGCCAAGTACATCCAAGATCAGGTAGCGATTCTTGTGTCCTGCGTCTTCTGATCCCAAGATATCATTGACATACAGAATGTAGTCACTGTCTTCGTTGTCGTACCCATCGTTCTTGACGCCTTTGCTCGGTTTCGTGAGAACGCGGCGCGGATTGCGGGTCGATTCGTACTTGAAGCCGGGATTGCACACGCGATATGTCGCTGGCAAGTGAGATGTTAACGCTTGTAGGGGCTAGTGAGCACTCGCGTCAGTATATTTCTCCCAAAAGCAACAAGCAACACCTACACTGATGAAACCTCCCTCAGGATGTGCGCGGCGGAACGGAGGCTGGTGAGTGATCTTCGGCTGCAGATCGCCCGTATTCGCACACTTTTCGAATTTGGGGACGGGGCCCCGCCCAATCGGGGGAAGTTGTGGGGGTTGGGGTTCGTGGTTCGTGGCGACCGCGCCTCACGGTTATATACTGCATTCAATTGTGCGGTCGCAGACTGCGGATAGAAGCTCTCGGGGCTCATGTTCGACTGTATAGGAGGTAGTTGCGGTGCGTGAGGGCGAGAAGCTGGGAGCAGGTTAATCATTATCTCGGCGCTTAACTCATGCAGGCGATGCCAAAGATAGACGTACCAGGTGGGGAGTAATAACTATTCGGCGTATTCATGTACGGATTGCCTCTCGTAGGACTCTGTCTGTTGCTGTTCTGCGCCTGTGGAGAGAAGCTCGTGTAGTTTTGCCCGCCTTGTTGTGGGTTCCCGCTGTACGGTGACGTCGGCGACATGTTCATAGGCGAGTATCTTCGGGCAGCAGCACTATCTTCCTGCTGGAGGAATGATTGCGAGTGCCGGTGCTGGTGGTTCGGGCGCGAGGCAGTGTACTTGGGTTTGTACGGGTCCGCATCCTCCATGGCTACATCGCCGTCTCGGTCGCCATACTCTGCACTTCGACTGAGAGTGAGCGAGCTACCGGGCGACGGCAGCGTCGCCATTGAATTTGTTCTCGAGGGTGCGGTGGGCGACGCGAACTGTTCCTGCTTAATCTGCTGAGGTAGGTTTGGGTCCCGTTGGACCTGCTGAGGGGTTGTCATGGTGTGGGGATCGTACCGCGCCTGGCGGTTCGCGTTCGATTCTGAATATGCGGTCCACTGCTGGTCCATAGCGGGTATAGGACAGCTTGTGGGGGGGAGTCGGGGCGTAGGCGAGGTTAAGACAGCCGGCTCAGCTGCGAGCAGAGCATTCCGAGTTGCGCGGCTGGGCGAGTATAGAGGCTACGTCAGAGGGCGGTGACGGCGAAGAGCCTAGAGGAAGGTAAATGTAAGGCGTAAATGAGCGGGCGAGCGAGCGCGCAAAACGTGCTTGCGTGGGACTCGACGTGCTGGCGACAGGTCGTGGACGGTCGGCGGGGTTCGCGCTGTGAGGTGCCGCAGCCTTGACAAGCCGCCGTAGCGCCCGCAGACAGTCTGAAGAGGGCACACAATGGCACACGCGGCAGAGATCGTGTGTAGGGGTGAAGACGCGGCAGGAGTGGAGAAATGCAACTTTAGGATGTCGGGCGTCGATGGTGCACCAAATGATGCCGTAGTCCAGCTCAGCCTGCCAAGGATCTGGAATCACCAGCCCGCCCACATTGAGCGCGACCGCAGGTGCTTGCACACGAACAACGCAGGCCTGATTTCGATATTACATGCACACTCTTCACTCCATTGTCCTGCACCTAAGCCTCGGGCACGACTCAAGCTCAACAACGACTGAAGCCAACGTACGCCATTGTTGACGCAGCTCAGCCACAGTCGTCAAACGTCCAGGTGCCCAAAGCGGGACGTGCAGACGGACCTCAAGCCTTGCAAGGCGAAGGATGTCGTGCCTAGATATCCTGAAATGGCTAGCATACAAACGAGAACTTGGTTTTGTCTTGGTCTGCCCAAGTTGACACGAATGCTACAAACAATGGATCTTGAGACAGCTGTTTGTTCGTAGAGGGCTTCATCTACGATCGGCAATGCATCTCTACCATTGATCATTCCATTGCATTTACAGCTACATAACTCACAAATCAATAGGGTAAACTGTACCTAATGTCATCTCACGGTGCCGGATCCCATCGTCTTTGTGATGACCAGTGTGCTCACTATCGCAGGCATCAGTATCACACATCGGATATCAAAATGGATGGCAGGGAAACCATCAACCACGTGTTTCATACCCCAATTACTCTCGCGAATACCACAACGGTTTCATACCCCAATTCCTCTTGCGAATACCACGATGGGGAAACAAACATCCCCCAAATTCTTTGGAAATCTTAAGAAGCCCTAAATCTTACTTACCCAACGCTCAAACGGAAAGTCACTGTATGCCCACCACCCACCACTACGCACGCACCTCCCACCCCGCCCTCTCCTCACATCCGCTGTTCCCCTTGTGCGCAAATATCGAATTCACGATGTCTCCACCACGATTCGCCAGAATCGAAAGCAACGTGTCGCTCAACTGCCTCTCATTAGTACATGCTCGGAGATGAGCACTTTCGGACTTCACATCCACAAGAGAGGAAAGGAGAACTTACACCATGCGTCTGCTCATTGCACCCCTGCAGCCACACGCCCGCATCAGCATCGATTGCTTTGTCCGCGAAATTGATACGATAATCACGCTGCACGCTCCACCTCGCGTCTTTCAAATCCCCTCCAGGCATGAGATGCCGCGACTCGACGAGCAGCGTCTCGTGCAAATCGCGCTTGTACCCCGTAGCCACGAACACTGCATCCACGTCCAACGTCTCCGACTTCTCGCTCGCGTTCGGCGTATCCGAGAGGTAAAGCGGACTCCGGTCGTGGATAGTTAGGCGCAGGCCGGAGGGGATGACGGGTGATTCTTGGAGGGCGGTTACGAGGCGGTAGGGCAGGATGGCGTGGGGCCAGGTCTTTTCGGCTTCGGCGGTGTTACCGTGGGAGATGCGCTGAAGGTAGAGGGTCTCGTAGATGTGTTCGAGGAGGGGGAGGCGCACGACGCCGTAGTTCGTAGCTTTGTCGTCGGCGATAGCGGTTGTACGCAATTTTGCTTCGCGGTTGAAGGTGCTGTCTACGCGGGCGGGGTTGAAAATCTCGTTGACGCTGGGAAGGCATTAGTCTGAATCTGACTTTGCTTGGGCAGAGAGGGCTACGCACAACGGGGAGTCGTCGCTGGGACGGAGAGCGCCTTGCTTAATTAGCAGCCTTGTCCGCGCATTGGGGTAGTGCGTGTGGAGGAAGTCGAAGATTTCTGCTGCGCTCTGTCCGTTTCCGACGACGGCAACTGAGTAAGGTCTCTGGTAGTCGGTCAAGATCTTGCTTGAGATATAGTGGAACTTAGACGAGTGGATGACTCTCGGATGATTGCTTGGGAACGGCGCAGGAAGGTTTGGTCGGCCTCCAGCCGCTATCACCACATGCTTTGTTCTCCTCGACTCGATCTGGCCGGTCTGCAAGTTGCGTGACGTGACGACAAAAGTCTTGATCTCACCGTCTCCGCTCGACTTCTCCGGCATGACCTTAACCACTTCCTGGTCGTATTGAACCACCTCTTCAAACCAGCTGGCGCACCATCTCATGTAGTCCTCATATTCCACTCGCTGCGGAAGGAAAGTGTTCAGGTTGGTGAACTCGATCAGGCGATCCTTCTGGTGAAGGTAGTTGATGAAGGTAAACTCGCTTCGCGGGTTCCTCAGTGTGGCCATATCCTTCATGAAAGTAATCTGCATCCTGGCGCCAGGAAGAAGCATGCCAGCGTGCCATGCAAAGCCGGATTGCTTCTCCAGAAACGCGACCTTCGGCGGTTGGCGCTGCAGATTTGGCAGGTCCAGCGATGGATCTGTGCCGTCCAAAGCATCGTGTAGAGCCGTTGCGATGGCCAGCGATGCGGGACCGAATCCCACACATACCAAATCGTGTAGTTCCTCTTCTGGGGTATATCGAAGGTGCGACCGGTTTTCGAACGCGGGGAAGTGGCTCTCGTCCAGCGCGTTAGCCGCGAAGCCAGTGAAGGCTTCTTGGACTGCTGGCGCGCGCTCTTCTGAGTCGTTCATGGGCACGGCGTGAGGGCTCATAGCTTCAGGAAGCCTGTGGAAGCTACCCCGAAGGGATCTATAAGTGTTGGCACGATTGCTTGTCGGAAAACCATCTAGAGCGTTGTTTGCTCACCTTGTGTTTTGATAGGTCGGCTGGGACCTCTCGACAACACTGAACTGTAACGGCGACAACTGTCAAGTGTCTCAACAGTAGTTTTCCCACGACAAATATTGTAGTCTGAAGCAAGGAGTTAGTAGCCACACAGTATACATCTCGTCGATGACGTGCTAGAAGGGACCAAATCGACTAGGGCAGCTGAACAACACCACGACCTGACATACCGTTCACAGTTGCGTAATGAGGTTAATGGTGCAGAGATACCAGGTAACGATAACACGCGGATAGTTGATTTCTCACTTCCAAAGCAGAGGAAGCGTAAGGTGAGAAAGAACTGGAGCTTCACTACTCTTGTAACAGCACCGGAGGACCGAACCGGCCCACCCAGCATAACCGTCGTTTCTTAGCCATTTCGCTCCGCAGGGTTCTATGCACGATGGTACGACACGGCCTTGAGACGGCCCAGCCTGGCTCGCTCCGAGGTCGCGTATGTCAGGGGACGCTCGCCATGCAGGACGACGTAGGGAAACTTCGGCTGACCGACCAGCAGATGGTGCGAGGCACCGGATCAGATAAGATAAAATTCTTCGCGACGCCCCGCAGCGCCTTTCCGAGACGGTGCCTTGTTGCGTGGGATGGTGTTGATCGAAACCTTAGCCGGCGGGGCAGCGGAGGACTATTGGTGGGCGAGCGCACCAGCAAATTTTCATCTGATAATTTCGATCTGATAATCTCGAGGCCGAGCTGTCGCCGAGGTACTTATGCACGACGAGGTCACAACGCGCGTGCAGGGCCCCCCGTCTCGGCCCTATTGCCGTGCGTGGGCTAGTGCTTTAGATGCTGAAGGTGTGCACACGAGGTGTGTGGTGTGACGCAGGCGGCTGTTTGAAGCGCTCGTGTGAAGGAAGGTCGGAGCGAATGCGACTGACGTCAAAGAGGTATATTTATATGTACAGGATGTACAATTTATTGTACACTTCTCCAGAGAACGATTCCTGTGTAGGACATCAACCCTCCCATGTATCTTACAGTAACATAAGCTGTGAAAAAGGATAACAGCCTTTTGGTGCTTGAAGGAAAGACGTATTGTATACAGTAAGCTCAATCCAACTCCTGAGCAGCAACCATACCCGCGTAGATGCCACCCAATGAGACGAGTTCATCATGTCGTCCCTGTTCAACGATTTTTCCAGCTTCGAAGACAAAAATACAATCAGCGTGTTGAACACTTGCTAAACGATGGGCAATCATGATAGTGGTCCTTCCCTTCGAAGCTGCTGCGATAGCTTTACGGATTTCGCGCTCGGTGTTCGCATCCAATTGAGAGGTCGCTTCGTCCAGCAGAAGGATTTCAGGATCTCTGATCACTGCTCGAGCAATGGCGAGGCGCTGTCTTTGACCACCTGACAACTTCGACCCATGGGCACCAACCTCGGTATTGTATCCTTCCGGAAGGCTCATGATGAATTCGTGCAGCTCGCATTTCTTCGCCACTTCGATGATAGCTTCCTCAGTAGGCTCAGGTCCGACTTTGCCTAGCCCAATGTTGAACTTGACAGAACCCGGGAATAGATCAGGCTCCTGCTCGACTAATCCAAGTCGTGCTCTGTGGAGCTGTACGTCGCCGTTTCGGATGTCTTCGCCATCGACGTGGACGCTGCCAGCTGTAGGATCGAAGAACCGCTCGATCAAATGCACAGTACTGGATTTTCCTGCACCAGAACGTCCCACGAATGCGACGTACTCGCCCGGGCGGATCGAGAATGATACATCATTCAGAGCGGCCACATCAGGCCGCGTTGCGTAGTGTAGACTAACTCCACGAAATTCAACTTCACCCCGGACGTTGTGGCTGCTTCCGTTTGCAATAGCAGGCACTGAGTAAGCTTCACGCTGGTAGGACCCAGAAACTTTTCCAGGTTGGATAATTGTGGGCTTTTCGTCATGCAGTGCAAAGACACTCTGCGCAGCACTCCTGGCTCTAGTGATTTCAGGCGCAAGACTGAAAAGCTGTCCGGCAGCCTGCGCTGAGAATAGCAGCGCAGGAAGGACAATGAAGAAGTCCCTCTGACCATAATTGCCGGCGCGCACCTGTTTGGAGCCCCACCAGTATGCTAGAGCATACACAAAGTATGTTACCGACAGTGAGAATGCCAGAATCATACTGCCAAGTACGTTAAATCGCAGGCTCTCCTCGTATGGTTTCTGAATGGCGGCCCTGTATCTGTTGAGGAAGTCGCGTTCTCGCCCTAATGCGGCTACTGTCTGGATTGCAGAGCATGCCTCGGATGCCTAGATCGGTGCAAGTCAGTGAATAGTTACAGGAACAAGAGTGGACTCAGTAATTACAAAACAGACCGAGACCCGCACTCAGTCTCTTGGAAATACATACCAGGGCAGCAGCTGAATTATAAGCAGTTTCATGTCTTTCTTGAGCTTTGGCAAGAATGCGCAAACGGAAGTATCCCGCAAGTAACATGACAGGCACAGCTGCCAACAGAACGATGGCGATTCTCCAGGCAACAATATGCGCTAAAATCATGCCGCCGATGACTGATGTTGCAATGGAGAAGAATGTGCCAAGTATAACACCCGACAAGCCACTAATGTGACCACTGTCCATGTTCAGCTTCGCCATCAGCGCGTGATGGGAGTGACCAGGCTGGGAGAACCACGCAATGTCCTGCATCTATAGGCGGAGAGCTACAGTCAGCGAGTTATGAAACAGATTGGACGCTGTATTGTCTAGCCTGGGATAACTCGAACAATAATACGTTTGCTTTCGGGGTCCACGTACCAGTACCGTGCGAAAAGACACATCGCGTACTCGAAGCACCAGGTTCTCTGAAACAAAGCCAAAGGCGCTGCCGCCGGTGGCGCGAGCGAGTAGAGAGACAACAGCCAGTCCAAAGAATAGAAGACAGAATCTGGAGATAAGGGCTGATACATCTGATGTGCTGTTGAGCAATTCCACGAGATTACCGAAGATAAAAGCCTCGCCAATTGACATTGCGCCGCTCAAAACCGACGCGCTGAGTCCAATAGCTATCGCCGGCATCTCATTCCGGCTCAACGCGAAAGACCTCTGGATAAGCTGCAGAACGGACTTTTCTTTCTCTGTATCGGGTGCTGAAGGACTCCGAGATACGCTATTGTCCCGCGACGCCTTCGGAGCCGGTGTGACCTCCTTTCTGCGGCCCAAGTCAGAGATGAAAGATGAGGCGGATGACAAGGTGGGTTTCTTGTCGAACTTTTGAGCGTGGATGAGCTCAGCGTAGAGACCATTTGCGATAGTGAGAACTAAACGTGGAGGCAGAGGTCAGTCATGTTCGCTTGCGAGAGAAAGTTGAGCGCTGCATCGCGGAGCTTGTGGTTACACAACCGATGTTCTGCGAATGGAAGAACTGTTTACCACGCAACCTCAAAAATCACAGATATCGGTGCAACGCATGGCGTACTGGGGGTTTGCTTACTGTCGTGACGGCCCTCTTCGACTACACCACCGTCTTTCATGACCACGATACGGTCAGCATCTTTGACGGTCGCAAGCCGATGCGCAATGATGACTGTAGTTCGGCCAGATGTGGCGGAACTGCGTCGCAGATTCTCAAGCACCATAGCCTCGCTCGTGGCATCCATTGCGCTTGTGTACTCATCCAAAAGGAGCAGAGCTGGGTTACCGACCAGTGCACGGGCAAGCGCAATACGTTGTTTCTGCCCTCCCGAGAGTTGCGAATGATGCCCAGATCCAATTTGCGTGTCCAAGCCGTCGGGTAGGTGGTCGAGGAAGTCACAATAAGCTTCGTCGGCGGCGGCACGGCACCTCGCAATTACTTCATCTTCAGGAATGTCCTCGTCTTCTGGCAAACCGAGTTTAATGTTATCGAGGATTGTGCCGGTGAACAGCGTAGGGCTTTGGGTAACCAGAGCGATTTGCGAACGAAGACTCTTAATGTTAATGTCTCGGAGGTCGTCATCTCCCAACAACACAGAGCCTGCAGAAGGATCGTATAGCCGAAGAAGGAGAGCAGCGACTGTCGATTTTCCGGAACCTGAAGGGCCGACCAATCCCGTGACCTTTCCGGGAGCGATCTGGAGATTAACATTTTGAAGGACTCGTTCGGTAGGGCGTGCAGGATACACAAATGAAACATCCCGTAGAGTGATGGTCTTTAAGAAATCGGCTTTGTCAACAGTTTTACCTTTAGTAGAGTACACATCGATGTCCGTGACTGGGTAGTCGAGGACATCGAATACAGCCTGGCCTGCCGCCGCTGCTAAAGCGAAAGTCTGGATGAATGGGCCGACCGCTCCTACGACGAAAGATGCATCCAGGATCAGGAAAACAACGGCATAAATTGTACCCGCTTCGGCACTACCGTTGCGAAGCTTGTCCCCGTACCAGAAAGCCAGTGCATTAGCTGCGTATGCGATGAAATACACACTTCCGAGCATGGCAGCACCGATGATGCTCTTGCGAAGGCCGGCTCGGAGGGCTTTGCGGAGGAAGTTGACATGATCTTCCGCCAAGCGCTCAGTGACTCCGAAGGCTTGAACAATCTGGACGCCTCTGAATGCGCTCTCGGCGACTGAAGTGGCCCTATCGGTGAAAGAGCTCGCCTGCTTCGAGAATTTTGACACGAAATGGGTGCCGCAGACAACCACGATGGTCATTGCCGGTATGACAGTTACAAACCTGTTTTACGTAAGTAAGAAGCAGAACAGAAAATGCTGTTGATGCAATGTTGAGTAGCCCGAGTAATCCCAGGCTGAGCAATGTAGAGATCGACGGCACGCATCTACGTACAAGAATGTCTGTTCAGTGGGTATAAAATTGTGAAACTTACATTACGGCAGTGAGTCTGGCATTAAGAGTGAACCCCACTGTGAACGCAGCGATAAAGTAGCTGATGGATGACAAAAACACGCCGACTTTCTCGGAGGTTCCTAGCTGGATAGTCTGCGTCTTTTCGGTGAGAGTGTTCGTGATGTCGGGTGATACAGTGTCGTAGTAGGTTAGATCCATCCCCAAGCTTCTTTCTACGAGTTGCTCTCGTGTTTTTCTTGATACCCGTTCGCCTACCAGAGCCCAGCAGACTGTCGATCCCCATGCCACAACGAAGTAGATTACAGCCATGCCCATGAGCTGCACCAGTCGCAACTTGAGTTCATCCTCGCGTGGGGGGAAATTATTGATGATCTTTCCTAGGATGACGCCAATGAGGGGTATAGGTACGCCGCACGCCACAGAGAGCAGGCATCCAATGAACAGAATTGATCTAGACTGGAAATCTGTCAACGGTTTATAGAGAGAAAAGTACGAGGTCCTGAATGGATTCAGGCCAAGTATCTGTCGAATGAATTTCTGGCGGACCAAGCCAATGCCGCGGGCTTCTGGGTGGCCTTGGACTGTGTGGAGGGAGGCGATGTCGACGTGTCCTCCCCATTGCGAATTGCGTGATAGAGAGCTGTTGTCGTCATCTATAGAAGCAAGCAATGACTGGCTTTCCGAATCAGTATTGGCGAGGGTATCTCCAAGGAGAGGTGTCGCATGAGGGTTGCCAGGCAACGCCTGGATCGGTTCCATGACGTCGTGTCAAAATAGCAAGATGGAGACGGCGCAAGCATAGGAGGATGTATGTCAGCTCGCAAACGCCATGTCGAGGGATTCTGTGCCCTTGAAGAAGTAGTATTCGACGCGCAAACCACGCGAAACCGGTGCTTACTCGACGACAGAGCAAACGCGATGGACTGAGCCTCAAGCTGGGAAAGATGCGAAAGCACGTTCTCTCCGCTAAAACTTGGCAGGGACCAGGAAGCGGACTAGAAGGATTCGTCTAAAGCAGCACTCGGATCGCGACCGCGGCGACCACGAAGGTACTTGAGTCCATCCAGGCTGATGTGTCGGGTGTTGACAGTGTCGAGAATGGACGGTCAGCTTGGCGGGTTGTACCTGCTTCCACGCTTACGGTTCAGATGGGACCGACATGCCACCGCAGCCAAGTGAGTTTGCATGCGGAACCTTGCCCCAAACGATCTGTCACCCGAACGGTTCGCTGCAGGGCGTGACGCACCGAATCTTATCAGATGATCCCGTCGCTTGGCTCGCATGCTCGGGGTTTTCGCGGTGTCATCGACGAGCCACCACGACGGCAAGCAACAGGCGCCCGAGGTCGGCAGTGCGACTCTGTTGGGCGCGTGAAGCAGCCACTAGCCCCGGTGGCGCCAACAGGGTAGGTAATGAAAAGTTGCGAGGCCTGGCATCTCGAAGCGGGCCGGACCCTCTCCCACGACGACCGCATAGCGCGGCGGGAGAGAGCCATGGACAGTAGTCCTTCTGGTGGTCAGACGCCGTCCGTATGCGACTGTGAGTAGACGCTGCTTTCGTTGCGCATCCTTGGTCGCCTTCCATGCAGACTTCCATCTTGCAAGCCATGCCTCTCCGATCAGATAAGATTTTGCCGCTCGTTCCTTCCATTACGTCTTGACTTTGGACATTCCAGGCAGCTCTGAACAAGAGGCGTTGCGACGCTCGGCTTTGCCAGACCCACTCTGCCATCGCGAGACGCGCTCCATCTGTCGTCGAATCCCAACGCTGTGTCCTGATGTCTTCATTCTCCGAGCTGTCTGTCTTTCTCGTGCGCCCGCACTCCCAACGCTGGCGGCTTGTAGGCGACCCCCTGTCGGCGGTAGACTCTTCGGACAGACGCCAACGCGACGACACCAGCTGGCTCAGGTAATTTTGCTGGCGGTTAGCTGCTCGTGTGTTCCAGTCGACGTGTGTTAGTCTTTCGTCCTAGAGAGTAACCTACCTTGCTGTCGTTTCTCTACGACCAATCACCGCATCTCGAATTGCGGCGTGTCAGCAGCAACAAAACGGCAGGAGCTCACCACCCCCTTCACCTTCGTACGGGGATAAGAACATCTTGATCGTCTCCTCACTCTCCGGGAGGCCGCATTCACGCTCGTGAGGCAGTCTTCGCGTGTTACGAGAAAGGGCGTCTGAGATACCATACCCTGATGGGGACCCGCGAAATGCTTCAAAACCCCAACTTGTCTGTCCTGAACAGACACCCCGATGTTCTCACAGGGCCGGAATACTTACACCACCTGGTACCCCGGTCATCCGCCACGGATCAGCCCGCCATCGACTTCCTGGAAAACGGAGTCAAGAGGCGCAAGCTTACCTATGGAGAATTGCACACGGCCAGCGATGGACTTGCGGACAGAATCGGGGCACTTTTGGCGAGGCTGAAAAATGCTTCCAATGTGGTCCCAGTCCTACTACCACAGTCTCCAGAGTTATACATCGCCTTGCTGGCCATATTGAAGAGTGGACGAGCCTTCTGTCCGATAGGTCTCGACTTGCCACCAGAAAGAGTGGCCTTCATCCTCAAGGACATCTCAGCTGACATCTTGGTTACGAATACGACACTCAAGGAAAATCTTCCATCCTCTTCCAACACGCGAGCGTTGCTCGTTGATAGCGATGATCATGAGTACTCTAATGGTACCGTAAGCTCAGAGACACAACACCAGCGGCAATCGCGGTTGGCATACGTGCTCTACACATCAGGATCAACAGGACTTCCTAAGGCTGTCAGTGTGTCCCATCGAGCTGTCACTCAGAGCCTTCTGGCCCATGATCGGCACCTCCCTCCCTTCACTCGATTCCTGCAGTTCGCGGCACCTACATTCGACGTGTCGATATTCGAGATATTCTTTCCTTTCTATCGAGGAGTCACAATTGTTGGGTGCACACGGACACATATGCTCAATGATTTGCCTGCCACCATTTCCTCGTTGCGCGCAGATGCCGCCGAGCTCACGCCAACAGTAGTCAGCAACTTACTTCGAGGCCGACAGAGTGTGCCGGGCCTTAAGTTGTTGCTCACGATCGGCGAAATGTTGACCAGAGATATCGTCAATGAATATGGTGGAACCGAAAAGCGACCCAGTATCCTCTGGGGCATGTACGGACCGACCGAAGCTGCGATTCACTGCACTTTGCAACCTAGCTTCTCCTGTGATTCGCCTTTGGGGAATATTGGATTCCCACTCGACACTGTCACAGCTATCATTGCGGCTCCCGCTCCCCTGGGTGAACCGATACAAGGCGTCAAGATCATGCCAAGGGGCGAGGTTGGCGAATTGGTCATCGGAGGGCCTCAAGTTGCCGATGAATACCTTAATAGACCAGAACTAACGTCAGCTTCGTTTATACAAGATGCAGAACTCGGCTGTCTCTACCGTACAGGAGACAAGGCGCGATTGTGCTTTGATGGTACGCTCGAGTGCTTAGGACGCATAACTTCTGGACAGGTGAAACTAAGGGGACAAAGAGTGGAACTCAGCGAGATTGAGCAGACCATCATCAAAGTAGACAATTGCTATAGTGCAGTTGTGATGGTAATCGCCGATACGTTAGTTGCGTTCTGTGCCACGGACTCATCTAAGTTGTCAAGCGCCATCATCCAAGAAACCTGCAGACAGTGGCTGCCAGGCTATATGGTACCCTTTGACATTATCCTCGTCGACCGCATGCCTCAGCTTCCTTCGGGAAAAGTCGATAGGAAAGCCCTGGAGGCCACCTACTTAGGAAATGAGTCTAGTTCAAGCTCTTCGGTCCTACAGTGTAACAGTGTGTCATCTGATCCTCTTACTTCGGTTTTCGAAAGAGTGCTTGGACGAGCGATTGCAGACGATGAGGACCTTGGCAACGTCGGACTAGACTCACTGCGATCGATCCGCATTTCGTCTGCGCTACGCAGACAGGGGCTCGACGTTGGATCTGTAGACATACTCACCACAAGAAATCTCCACGAGCTCAAACGACTCTGCAAAGGAAGAAAGATGCGGAACTGCAGTCCTCCGGAACATGTCACTGTCGACCCAAGTCGCTTGTCAAATATTGCGGAGCTGCAACATTACAGAAATGACATAAACGACGTATTACCATGCACACCTTTGCAGGAAGCAATGCTGACGGAGACCACTATCGAACCCAGTGCGTACTGTAACTGGATAGAGGTCGAATTGTCGGAGCATCTCTCATTCTCACGAATACGTGAGCTGCTTGAAACCCTTGTGCAACACAACGAGATCCTTCGCACTGGATTCTGCATGACCAGTACGACATCTACATCCTTCGTACAGCTTGTGTGGAAGAAGTTGCTGCCATCTACGCTGGCCAATGTCTCAACTTTCTCAAGATCGTACTCTCTAGGGTCGGTCCAATCTCTTTTACATCCATTCACTGTTCAAATAATCACGGCAACAGAGAGGCCGCGCCTTCTGTTCCAAATACATCACGCACTGTACGATGGCTGGTCTTTCGATCTTCTCCTACGCGACTTGAACGAACTGCTGGCAGGACGTTCGAGCATTACTCGACCGCAGTTCCGTGAGGTGGTCCAATACTATTCACAATTGTCTAGCTCAGGTGGTCTGGACAAAAGTGTGGACTATTGGGCAAGTGTTCTTCGCGAATACCGTCCAACACCGCTACCGAATTTTAATGGCAGAACGCTTCCCTCTACAGGGCTTTTATCTCTGCATGGAGAGTATGCCGTCGATATGAAGTATCTCTCCACCGCGGCGAAAGAGCACACAATCCACCCTCAGGTTTTTTATCAAGCCGCCATCAGTCTTGTCTTGAGCCAGTATTTGGGAACCTCTGACATCGTTCTTGGCATTGTCACATCCGGCAGGACTATTCCTGTCACCCAAGTTGAGGAGATAATGGGCCCTTGCATTGCCACTCTCCCTTTCCGCGCGGACCTGTCCTGCCCTGAAGTTTGCGTTTTGCTACAAAGGACGCAACAAGCCAATCGGGAGATGTTAGAACACTGCACTCTACCTATGCGCGAGATTATCAAACTGTGCCAGCTTCGTTCGGGAGAGCGTTTGTTCGACGTCCTCTTCGTATGGCAAGAGTCCCTTGTCTCAGCCGAGGATCAAAAGCTTGCTCTGCGCACAGTGAATAGCAAGGACAACCTGGAGTTCAAGATCACGTTCGAAATCGAACCTCGCGATGAGAATGTCGCCTATCGAATAACCTACAATCCTTCGACAGTCCCAAAGAAACAGGTTGAACATTTCGCAAGACAGGTCGAGCAGACTGTTCAGTACTTCCTTTCTAGTCGTGGCACCCAGTTAGAAGGCGCAAACAGACTCCTAGATGAGGACGCATTGTCAATTGCAAATCCCAAACCGGAGTTAGAGCCCATTCGACACGGTCCAGCCCACTGTGTGGAGGAGCGGGCCGTCAAGACACCATGTAAAGACGCGGTAATTCTTGGATCTATCGTCGATGGCAGCATGGAAATCAAAGAAAGGCTATCGTACGCTTCGCTGAACGCACGTGCAAATCAGCTTGCGCACGCTCTGATGGCACTCGGCGCTGGAAAGGACCAATTGGTATGCGTTATGCTGGAAAAGTCTATCGATCTTTACGTTTCCATCCTGGCCATCCTCAAAACTGGATGCGGTTTCCTGCCGATCGTGCCAGACACTCCAGCAGAGCGAGTCAATCGCATAATAGCCGACGCAGGGGTTACGATTTGCATAAGCAGACTCCAATTCACAAAGCACATTCAGCGGGATGATCTTGTGGTGTTAGATACTGCTGAGCCGGATCTTGCAAAATATTCGGATCACAATCTCACCACTTCGTACAATGGCGCACATCTGGCTTACGCAGTATTTACTTCAGGAAGTACCGGCAAGCCCAAGGGCGTCCTTGTAACCCAGGACAACCTCATGCACAATCTGGACTATCTCGCCACTATCTACCCATACACCGAGAACTCAAGACTGCTACAATCTTGCTCCCAAGCTTTCGATGTCTCGGTTTTCGAAATCTTCTTTTCTTGGTATATTGGCATATGTTTGTGCACAGCCACCAAAGACGATCTCTTCTACGATCTCGAAGCTGCTATCGACAGCTTGGATATCACTCATTTGAGCCTGACACCCACGGTAGCGGCCTTGGTCGACCCGGACAAGGTCCCCAAAGTGAAATTCTTGGTGACAGCTGGCGAGGCGGTCACAGAGGGTGTCAAGCGCAAATGGGCTGGCAAAGGGCTATACCAAGGTATTCATAACAAATTACTTACCAGTGCTCGTATGCTTATCAGAATACAGGGTATGGACCTTCGGAAACAACCAACATCTGCACTGTAAAACCTCGTGTAACCGAGACCGATCTGATCAACAATATTGGGCCAGTGTTCCCGAACACCTCCCTTGTGATACTGGAGCCCGGCAGCAACCATATAGTTCCCCGAGGTGCAATCGGTGAACTGTGCTTTGGGGGAGCCCAAGTCTTTCGTGGTTATCTCAACAGACCGGATCTAGACGCCGAAAAGATCCTAGAGCATCCGACATATGGACGAATCTATAGATCTGGCGATATGGGCCGGCTGCTACCGGATGGTTCGATTTTGTCCACTGGGCGCCTGGATGACCAGGTGAAGATTCGCGGGCAAAGGGTCGAACTTGGGGAGATTACTTCCCTCGTGCTTGATCAATCTTTCGTCCAGGACTGCACGACTGTCTTGGTTGAAAAAGGCACTGCACAACCAAATGGTCATCACGAAGGGAAATCAAGTCAAAAGCTCGTCGTTTTCTGGGTGCCAGAAGGTAGGACGCCTGCAGAATTCTGTTCTCTTGCTCCGCAGAGATACCGCACACAAACATTGGAAACATTTGAGTCACTGTCTCTGCAACTTCCAGCGTACATGATGCCGACGCACATTGTACCTATCAGCCGCATTCCTGTGACGCCTCAAGCAAAGATCGACAAGAGGTTGTTGCACAGTACTTTCCAGGTGCTTCGAAACGAACATCTGGAATCTACATCGTTAGGCTCTAGATCAGAACGAGACAGCCAGACGCTTACTGTAGCCGAGATGACCATAGCAGAGGCACTGTCACAGACCTTGACCCTACCACCAGCTGTCATTAAGCGAACTTCATCATTTTTCAACCTCGGCCTGGATTCGGTATCTGCAATCCGCTTGGCTAAAAAGCTTCGAGATGCGGGCTTCGAACATCTTCCTGTATCGGTCATTCTCAAAAATCCAACCATGGAGCGACTGTCTACGATGCTTTCGGAGAATTCTACACTAGAATCCGTTAGTCAAGTCACAACATTGGGACAAAATTGTAAGCTGCTTGCACTCCCGATGATGATCAGTACAGAGGGAGAGTGTGCTCAGAAGTTCACTGCTAATATCCTTTGCAGTGACCAATGTCTTCAACTCCACCCAACTATCTCGTATACGCGCTGAACTTGCTACGAACGGCGAAGTCATAGATAGAATCTTGCCTTGCACACCACTACAGGAGGCCATGTTATCGATCGGATCATCGAACGGCCATGGGGATGGAGATGCCTCCTACTACAATGTGATGGTTTTTGCTATCAATGACTCTCTTGAGCGCTTGAAGAAGTGCTGGGAGCGTATGATTCATCGGCACGACATCCTACGGACCACATTCGTGTCAACCGACAATGTGCAACATGCGTTTGCCCAGGTCATTATGAAGGATGATACCGTAATCTGGGACGAGATAGACCAGAGTAGAGATGTGAGAGTGTATGCAAGAAACGTGCTCCCTGACTTACTTCGTTCACACAAGCCTCCTGTGCGTCTGGCGATCCAGGGCCATGGGACTTCGGCGAAGATCGTCTTCTGCTGTCATCATGCGTTGTACGACGGTGTGGCTATGACGACCCTTCTTGAAGAAGTACAGAGTGTGTACTTGGAAAGGGAACTGTCAGCTCCTATACGCTACGAATCTTACTTGCGACACATGGTAGCCTCCGACCTCGGAAAGGTTCATCGATTTTGGACAGAAGCACTGGCGAACTTCGAGCCGACGTACTTTCCGAACCTCTCTGGTAGGGTATTACAAACTTCACGGACGACAGGCACGGTCCGTAAGCACATACAGATGCCACTCAGCGAATTTTCGCAACACTGTCGAAAGACCTCCACTTCGCTTTTGTCTCTAGTACAGGCGGCATGGGTGAAGCTTTTACATTTCGTTCTGGCAGATACGGACCTGTGCTTCGGGAATGTGGTCAGCGGTCGCACCCTGCCGGAAGATGGGCTCGACCGCCTGGTTGCACCATGCTTCAACACGCTCCCTATACGCTTGAATTTCGACTTCAACCAATCAAATACTGAACTCTGCAAGAAGCTACATGCCTTCAGCGTGGAGGCGCTACCTTTTCAGTTGACCCCTCTACGATGGATCCAGTCCAAAATACGACAAAAAGAAGGACGCTTGTTTGATACGCTCGTTATCCTCCAACAGCCGAGCAAGCCACTCGACAGCTCGATTTGGAGCCTAGAACTGGAAGATGGAGATATGGGCCTGCCGATTGTTTGCGAAGTGTCTCAAGACAGTAGTACGGACACGTTGACACTCAATCTGCACTACCAATTCGACCTGTGTCGACGAGACGATGCGGAAACACTTGCGGCGATCTTCAGCCATGGACTCCAGTCTCTTGTTCACTATCCAGATGTTGCAGCGGAAGATACAATCGGACTTCCGGGCCGTTTGTTGAGTCAGTCCAATATCAACTTTCGACCATTTGAAACATCAAATGGTGGACTCTTACACTCTGCATTTGAGCGGAATGCCGTAGAGAGACCTGATGCGATCGCCCTTGACTTCCACGACCCCAGCGGAGCAGCAATGACTCTCACCTTTCGTGCTCTTAATGAAAAGGCGAATCAGATTGCGCATGCTTTGGTCGACCTCGGCATAAAGCCCGAGGATGTCGTGCCTATACATATGCCAAAGAGTCCAGACTTTTACATCAGCATACTCGGAGTCCTCAAAGCCGGCGCAGCATTTTCACCAATTCACCCAGATTTACCGGAAGAGAGGAAGCAGTTCATGGTTCTCGAACTAGCACCGAAAGTCATACTGTCGCGTGAGAGTGCTATTTACTGGCTTCGAAGCAGTAACACTGTCGTGGTCGACATGAGGAGGAATGGAAATTTTCCCATTGAAAATCTCTATGTTGAAGATCTTCGCCCTACGAACATTGCGTATTGCCTCTATACTTCGGGCTCTACGGGTCTACCAAAAGCTGTCAGCATGGAGCACAGCTCACCCATTCAGACAATTGAAAGTTCCCGATCATTAATACCTTGGAGCCACAGTTCAAGGCTTCTACAATACGCTGCCGTCACGTTCGACATGTGCTACTATGACTGCTTCCTTGCATGGACTTTCGGCTTCAGTCTATGTGCTGCCGACCAAGACACCATGCTCAACAATCTTGCAGGTTCAATCAATGACCTGAGCGTAGACTTGCTTGACCTTACGCCTTCTGTGGCGACTTCGCTCAGACGAACAGAAGTCCCTAACGTCAAATGGCTCTACTGTATCGGCGAAGCGATGACACCTGAAGTGGCCAACGAATGGGGCAGAGCGTGTGTCAACTCCTACGGGCCTACAGAAGCTGCGTTCTGCACTACAATCTTTACCACCACACCCGAAAGAAAAACTTCAGTCATTGGACGTCCATTCCCAACCACTTCTTTTGCATTGTTTACGCCTCGAGGAGACCGACCATTGCCTATATTTGGCATTGGCGAATTGTACATTGGCGGCGCCCAACTCGCACGAGGCTACCATGGCCAATCGCAACTTACCGAGGAGAAATTCGTTTACAAGTGCGGACGGAGATTCTATAAAAGCGGAGATATGGTGCGAATGCTTGGCGACGGCAACTTCGAGTTCCTTGGACGCACTGATGACCAGGTCAAGATCAGGGGGCTGCGGGTTGAGCTTGGTGAGATCAATAAGACCCTCAAGGACAGTGACGAGGCGATAGCAGCGGTCACGGCGCAAATATTAAAGAAAGAGGATAGATCAAAGGACCAGCTTGTTGCGTTCTTTGTGCCTCAGCGAACAGTCGACGAGAGCGAGCAATCGAGGTTACGCCTTGCCGCGAAACAAAAGGCGATAGATACTCTACCATCCTATATGGTACCGCAATTCTTTCTCTTTATCGAGAAGATACCGAAATCTATGGCAGGCAAGATCGACAAGAAGGCTTTGACGAGTATCTTCCGGGAATCGATCGAATTAGATGCAGAACCGGATGAAGCTGAGCAGATTGCTTCAAGCTACAGATGGAACGAGCGGCAAGAATGTATCCGCGACATCTTCTCGAAGCTTTCTGGTACTCCGCATGAAGACATCAGACCATGGACATCTATCTACCAACTTGGTCTCGACAGCATCAGTGCTGTCCAGATCGCAGCTGCACTGCGCAACCAAGGCTTGCAGGCGAATGCGACAGATGTTCTAAAGTACATGAACTGCAAGGATCTCGCTACACATCTTGAGCGCTCGTCAAAGCTTGAACCCGCGAAATTGGTGCAGTTTGACTTTGACGCTTTTGAGCGGAAGCATAGGAAAGAGATCGCGAGAACGTGCTGCATTGCGGACGAGCAGATCGAAGCCATACGACCATGCACGCCTATGCAGAACGGCATGCTTTCACAGTTTGTTGCCAAAGAGGGCGAGATCTATTTCAATTACCTTCGCCTAAAATTGGACGACAACATAGACTTGCAGCAGTTGAGCGATGCATGGTTGATGACTGTTGAGAAGCACCGTATGCTACGTACAGGTTTTGCACACGTCAAAGATAGAATTGCATCGTTCGCCATGATCCACTACGTACCTGATCCCGCGTCGTTTCGAGGTTTTACTCGCGCGGAGGCTCCTCGAACAGCTGAACAGTGGCTGCATGAATCTGAACAAGAAGCGGTCAAAAGCCTTCATCATCCACCTTGGCGCGTGCGGGTAAACAACGTGGACGGTGTCAATTACCTGGATCTGGCCCTTTTGCATGCTATATTCGATGCTCAAAGCTTGCAGCTCGTTTTCGGCGATGTCGTAGCTGCGTATCACAACAAGGTAGTCACTGCAGCATCATTCGAGCCAGTCATCGAGAACATCTTGCATCTGAGCGGTAGCGAGAACTCTTCGTCCAATGAGTTCTGGAAGCAGCTCGGAAAAGTCGCGACTCCGACGCGATTTCCTAACCTGTCCCCGCTACGGCACGATCCAGGCCCACCCGTCGTGCTCGTCAAGAAATCCAAACGAACGCTGGAAGAGCTAGAGAGGGGATGCAAGGCATCCAACATCACCCTGCAAGCTGCGGGTCTCGCTAGCTGGGCAATGCTGTTGTCCGCCTACGTTGGCGAGCCCTCCGTCACCTTCGGTGTCATTTTATCTGGTCGAACTACCGAAGGTGCAGAAGCCGCCGTCTTTCCTTGCATCACCACTATACCTTTCGCCTGTCAAGTCCCTGATGACCACGCGAAGATGCTAAAAAGCGTTTTGTCGTTGAGTGCTGAGATCCAACGACATCAATTCACACCACTCAACAAGATCCAGAAGTTGATGGGCTATCCGAACGAACCGCTCTTTGACTCTATCTTCGCGTTTCAGAAACTTGCCAGCGGCAGTACCCCATCCGAATTGTGGGTTGTCGTGGAAGAGAAAGCATTAATCGAGTACCCGTTGTCGATCGAGCTTGAGCCTAGGAACGGGCAATTAGAGATTCGGCTGACGTTCCTTCCTCACGTTGTTCCGAAGGAACAAGGCTCTATTATTCTAGATCAACTAGATTACCTCATTGAGAGGAACGTCTTTCCTGGAGCGGAATCTCAAACGCCCAACTTCCATCCGAACATCTTTTCAATCACACCTGCGGACACCCCAACTATCCCATCCGAAGCCAGCCTGCTCCATGATTTCGTGGAGCTGACCGCAGCCAAGTTTCCAACCCGCGTTGCTTTCGAATTCGCAACATCGTTGCGCCAGGGCGCTTATGAGAGCCGAAAATGGACCTATGCACAACTCGATGGCGAGGGTAACCGGATCGCCAACGTTCTTGTCTCACATGGAGTACGACCTGGTGAACTAGTCGGTGTGTGTTTCGAAAAATGTCCTGAGGCGTCGATCGCCCTCTTGGGAATTTTGAAAGCTGGCTGTGCATTCCTCGCACTTGATCCCGGAGCGCCTACTGCTCGTAAAACGTTCATTCTCAAGGACTCTGGGGCACCTATGGTACTTTCATTGAACGCTCAATCGGCTAGTTTCAAGGAGTATATCGAAGCAACGATCCTCAACCTCGATGAGATCGATTGGCGTTCCGCATCGGTAAAGAAGCCAGGCCTCGAGCGGACTATCGACCCACAAGACCGCAGCTACTGCCTGTATACTTCCGGTACGACTGGTACACCAAAAGGATGTGAACTTACTCATGAGAATGCTGTGCAGGCGATGCTTGCATTTCGACGGCTATTCCGCGGCCATTGGGACGACGACTCTCGTTGGCTCCAGTTCGCTTCCTTTCACTTTGACGTGTCCGTACTCGAGCAGTACTGGAGCTGGTCGGTCGGTATGTGTGTTGTCTCTGCCCCAAGGGATCTTATATTCGAAGACCTTGCTGCATCTATTAGGGCCCTTCAGGTCACACATATCGATCTCACACCCAGCCTCGCGCGGATCCTACACCCTGATGATGTACCAACGCTGTGCAAGGGTGTGTTCATCACAGGAGGCGAAAGCCTCAAACAAGAGATCCTCGATGTCTGGGGCCCGAAGAGCGTCGTCTACAACGGCTACGGGCCGACCGAGGCTACCATCGGTGTTACTATGTATCCTCGCGTTCCTGCCAATGGTAAACCGTCCAACATTGGTCCCCAATTCGACAACGTGGGATCTTACGTATTGCGTCCGGACTCCGATTTACCTGTTTTAAGAGGCGGAGTCGGCGAGTTGTGCGTGTCGGGCAAGTTGGTCGGAAAGGGCTACTTAAATCGACCAGACCTGAGTGGAGAACGATTTGCCCACCTCAAGCGTTTCGATGAGAGAGTGTATCGCACCGGTGATCTAGTCAGGATTCTGCACGATGGCACATTCGACTTCATAGGACGCGCAGACAGCCAGGTCAAGCTGCGTGGCCAGCGGCTCGAAATTGACGAAATCAACTCCGTCATCAAGCAATGCGGTATTACGGTCGCAGACGTGGCCACCCTTGTCTTGAAGCATCCGAAACAACAAAAGGAGCAGCTAGTGGCCTTCGCTGTGATGGGCTTTGGGACGCGCGGCGACACGAAGGTTTTACTGGAGGCGACTGGCGATCTATGGAGAGCGAAAGAAGCATGCCAGGAGAAGTTGCCGCCGTATATGGTGCCCACACATTTCGTCCCTCTTACCACTATGCCATTGTCCGCCAACAACAAGGTTGAAGCGGGGAAGCTCAAGGAAATGTATGAGACATTGTCTATTAGTGACTTACAGCTTCTCTCGTCAGGTATACAAACGAGGGATGGGGAGTGGACGCCGCAGGAAGAGAGGGTCCGAGCTCTGCTTCAGGAAGCATTGAACATCACCGATACCGATATTAGCAAAGATGTAAGTTTCTTTGAGCTGGGTATGGATTCAATCTCCGTGATAGGTGTATCAAGATCGTTGAAGCAGGCTGGATTCGCGAAAGCCACAGCATCTATCATCTTGAAAAATGCAACCATTCGACAGCTGACAAAGACATTGTCGGAAACGTCACTTAAAGCGGACCATCGAGGATCTGTCACTGCTGCACAGCAAGCGATTACAGCAGTGCAGCACCGATACAGACGAACTGTGGCCGAGACCTTGTTCATGGACACCAGGAATATCGAGGCACTAGCTCCTTGCACGCCGTTGCAGCAGGGTATGATTGCGAGGTCCTTGGAGAGCGGGAATGCTGTCTACTTCAATAGCTTCCGATTCGCATTGAGCGATGATGTCGACGTGAAAAGGCTGCGGGATGCCTGGGACCATGTTTTTGCATCAACAGAGATCCTACGTACCGCCTTTGTGAACACTGACCATGGGTTCTTGCAGGCAGTACTTCGAGATACCGAGCTTCCTTTCTTTGAGGATACTCTACACCAAGATGATGTACTTGAGGATCACCTTGCGAAGAAGAAGGAGGAATGGGTCCGCCGCCTAAGGGGGAGGGAATTCAAGAGGCTAATGGAGGTGCTTGTGGTGGGCGCTTCGACCGACAGACTCTTGGTAGTGCATATATTCCATGCACTCTACGATGGCAACAGTATCGGGCTCGTCTTCCAAGCCGTATGGGATGCCTACAACGGCCGCAAGATCCAAATCGGCCCAGCATTCCACTCTACTCTCGCCTACGGCCCGTTGCAACCCACAGTAGATGCCAAACACTTCTGGAAGAAGCAACTTCAAGATCGAAGCTTCCAACCGCTCCCGACCTCCAACGACAAATCTGGCGACGGGCCGGTTGTAGTGACCCGAAAAGTCCAAAATTTGCCAAACCTTGAGGTTACGAGACGAAAGCTCAATGTCACTGCGCAAGCCATTGCACAAGCTTGTTGGGTTAACGCTCTCCACCAACATCTGAAGGCTACAGTGAACATAGGTATAGTAATTTCTGGCCGCAATATCGACTTCGAAGGCGCAGATAAAGTCATCGGGCCTCTTTTCAACACCATACCATATCAGTACCGCGCACAACAGCGCGAGACTTGGGCTTCACTGGTGACGCAATCCCACGAATTCAATATCGTCGCGCAAACACATCAGCATACACCTTTGAGAGACATCATGAAGTGGCTGGAGCGAGGGTCAAATCAGCCGCTGTTCGAGACGTTGTTTGTTTACCAGGTCGCTGAAGAGGATGAACGGTGGACCAAGAACGAGTTATGGCAACTGCAAGATAGTGGAGCTGAAGCAGACTACCCTCTTGCTTTCGAGGTTGAGCAGAGCCCAGGTGGAGTTCTGATGTTAACTTTAGTCGCTCAAAGCCATGTGGCGGACTTGGCTGCAGCGAACGAACTGCTTGAGGAATACGAGGAAGCTCTGCGGAAGGCTGTTGATGACCCAGACGCAGTGCTGGAGACATTCGTTTCAAAAGGTGAAGACCGCGCAAACGGTGTGCTTGTCAGCTCTACGGTCGAGACATTTGATGGCACAAAAACCTTTAGATGGAGTACCCATGCCAGTATGATTCGTCATGAAGTCGCCAATCTATCCGGGGTCGAAGCCGAAGAAGTCAATGCGAACACCTCCATATTTGAACTTGGCCTTGATAGCATCGACGCTATCAAATTGTCTGCCAGGCTCAAGAAACACGGCATCGAACTCCCTGTCAGCGGCATCATGCGCAGTCTCAACATCGCCAATATGACACAGCGCATGACCGTAGGCACAGAGAAGGATAATACACGACCCTCAGATATGATCTATCAAGCGAACAAGAAGCGTTTGGAGAGTTACCTTCGGCGTCGTGGATTGACTGAAGGCGTGGAGCAAGTCTTGCCGCCCACACCATTGCAAGGGGCCATGGTGATCGAGATGGTCGCCTCCGAGTACACGAGGTATTACAATCATGACGTGCTGAAATTGAGACCAACCATCGATCTGGAGAAATTGAAGGAAGCATGGGCAGAAGTCGCTGCCGCATCCCCCATCTTACGCACTTCGTTTGTCCCAGTGGACGACCCGAGCATCGACTTCTCTCATGCACAAGTCATTCACTATCATCTGCACGACTTTTGGGGGTCTACAGATATTGACCACGAACCCGACTTCCCAGCCCTTTTTAGCAAGATCCGAGAGAAGGCAGTGACCGAACTTTCATCTCAACCCCTCTTCCACGTCTCCCTTATTAGATCACCGCGACAAGCTTACTTGGTTCTCTCAATCGCTCATGCCTTATACGATGGATGGTCGCTAAGCCTACTTCATTCCGACGTACACGACGCGTATGCCGATAAACTCCACCCCCGACCAACGTACGAGCCTACATTGCACGAGATTCTAACAGCAACGGGAGCAGACGCTGTTGCGTTTTGGCGTGACTACCTTTCGAACGCCAAGACAGCCACTTTCCCTTACCATACTGGCTCGTCTCTCCAGACGGTTCATCGGAAACAGCAGGGTAGCTGCCTTCCGCTCGAAGTTGTCACTTCTTTCGCCAAGCAACACAACATCACACTACAGACACTTGGTCAAGTGGTACATGGAGTGATTGTTGCATCATACACCAAATCTCTCGATGTCACCTTTGGTTCGGTACTGTCTGGTCGTGATGACGAGTCGAAAGTCAAAGTCCTCTTCCCCACAATGAATACTGTGGCCATACGGACCATATTTCACGGCACTTGGCTGACCATGCTTCAGTACGTGCAAGATAATTTCTTAAGCATCAAGCAGTGGCAGCACTTCCCGCTTCGCAAAGCTCTTTCTCTCGCTGGCGTGCACGGAGCTTTGCTGCAGAGCCTTTTCATCTATCAGAAGAGTATGAGCGAAAAGACGGGAGAGTCAGAGAAGCTGTACAAGAGCATCCAGGGTCGGAGTGATGTCGAGTACCCCGTCTGTGTGGAGATGGAAGTCGTTGATAAAGGACTGGTCTGGCGATGTGCGGTCAAAGATGAAGTGTTCGATAAGGCGGGCGCACAAGAACTGCTAGACAGACTTGATGGTGTACTTCAAACCATCATTGCAACGCCGGACGCTCCGGTCATCGAGTTCACCGCAAACGGAGCATCACTTTGCGGTCTGCCAGCATTTACGAACGAGCAAGCGGATGATAGCGCACGGTCTCATCCTGTGGCGAAACAGCAAGGAGCTAAACACCCAGCATCGCCTACCACCAATATCATTCGAGACGTGTTGGCTTTCGTATCTCAAACACATGTTGAAGAGATCACTGCAGGCATGACTATCTTCCATATGGGTCTCGACTCAATCAGCGCTATCAAAGTATCCTCATTGCTGCGCAAGCGTGGAATCACACTTAGCGTAGGCGAGATGTTGAGAGCTGGTACTGTGGAAGAAATGGTGCGCATCATGGACAAGAGAGTACCGACGGTCGGATATGAAAACGGAAACATCGATATCATTCTGGAAGACATACTTCCTGAGATCGAGCGAGCAAGTCTTCTCGCAAGAGCAGGCATCGAACAAGAAGATGTTGAGCGCGTTTTACCTGCAACGGCTGGTCAAATCTACATGCTCTCTACATGGGTCAATTCAAACGGCGCGATATTTTATCCAGAGTTCAGTTACCGCATCCATGGTGAGATGTCTTTCGGGGACATACAAACAGCGTGGAAGAAGATGGTCGCGCAAAATGCGATTCTGCGCACATTCTTTATTACGACCAAGGACAGGCGGACGCTATACACCCAAGCTATGATGCGCAACGCGGAGGCCAGCGTGCAGGACGTCAGCAATACCACCCCTAATGAGCTATCGGATCGGAAAGCGAAGGCGGCCTCGAAACAACCATACGCGCATCTGTTCGTGTCCAGGGCAGCACCATCAAGCCCGTGGGACGTTCAGCTAAAGATTCATCATGCGCTCTACGACGGTGTCAGCCTGCCACTTATTGTCCAGCAACTTCAAGACCTCTGCAATACTGTCGACAGTACGACTCCCACCGATATACTCCCTATGATCATAGCGAAGACGTCAGATGCCTCTTCGATCGAACAGCGCATGACTTTCTGGACGAATTACCTCAAGGACGTCTCTCAGCACCATCTGTGCCAGCCCAGCGCTCCACCCACCTCACGAATCGAGATCTTCAAACCCAACCTTCTCCCAAGCGTGACCGACCTCGAGTCGCAAGCTCACAAGCACGGCCTTACAACACAATCGCTATTCCTCGCCACATACGCAAAGCTCTACGCCCGTGTGACATCAACACCTGCATCCGCCGATGTTGTAGTAGGCCTCTACCTCGCCAACCGCTCTCTTCCCATCGCCAATTTGCACGAAGCACCTAGCCCCACAATGAATCTTGTCCCGCTGCGCGTCTCAGCACCTTTAGGGGCAGATGTTTTCGACGTCGCGGCGCAGATACAGTACGATATCCAGGAGATCAGTGCACCAGCGAACGCGTCTGCGGGTCTGTGGGAGATAGCAGAGTGGACGGGCGTAAAGGTGGATACTTTCGTGAACTTTTTGAAGCTGCCTGGTGGTGGGGAGGATGCTGAGGAGGCAGCCATCAAGGTTACGCCTGCGGAACAGTGGACTGAAGGGTCGAGTAGGGTTGTGGAAATTGGTGGTGGGGTTGTGGTGCCGCCGGAAGAGTTGGTGGATAGGTGTATGCAAGGGGCGTATCTTGTGAGTTTAGTTTAAGACGAGACAGGAGACTGGGCTAATGAGGGTACAGCATGCGGTCGACATTGAAGCTACGATCAGGAATGGAGCGCTGGACGTGGGTGTATTCGCTCCAGAGAAGATGATGAATTTAAAGGCGGGTGAGAGACTGTTTGAGGATATCAGGATCGAGCTGGAAGGCGCCGGCCAGATGGGGATTCAAGGTGTTCTTAACTGATCATGGGATCATAGAGGGAAACTCAAAGGCGTTCAAGGGGTTTCATGGCGTCATGGAGAGTCTTGATTGCGTACGGGATATTCAGGACTTGGTTTCACATTGGAGTCACGGTTCATGTTCGCTACACTGTTCCACATCTGATCAGTCCATCTTCAATTACTTGCATGCTTCCGAACCAGTCAAGTCATTTTACGCATAACATTCTACTTCCGCACGTGATAGTCTATATAGCCGTAACAAACTTCCGTACACACATCTCCTCACCCTCTACAGCCCTCGGATCCGTCCAAAGACGCCCAGCACCGTAGCTAGCCGATTAACATGCAAGAACGCGCTGGCGCCGATGTTGCCCCACATCATATCATTATACTGGTTGAAATTCCAAAATACTTCCGGACCCATAACCTTGTAGCTACTAAAGATATGTCCTAGATCGCCCGCGGCCACGAAAAGCAAGTAGTACTTCGCGACGCGCGCGTCGCGCGTTATAGCTGTGCAGAGGACGGCGAGCAGCGCGAGGAGGATGAAGATGTTGCCGGTGGTGTAGGAGAGGACGAGCGCGGCGTCGGGGACAGGTACGAGGGTCGGTGTGGGGAGTTGCTTTGTGATGAAGTCGGAGGGGCTGTTCCAGGCGGCGTTCCAGCCGAGGATGCTGGATGGTGCTCAGTCAGGGTACCATGAATAAGTCTACGGGCGAATGCACCCGATAGAGGAGGGGGGTTTGAGTGAGGGGTGCTGCGACGTACAGTGAGATAGGCTCGAGGTAGGTGAACAGCAGGGCGGGCCAGAATGGGAGGACGGTTCCGAGAGCCATTGTATCGGTGGGATGCGTGCAATCGTGTGTTCGGATAAGTAGATCAGTAGAGGCTCGTGAATTTAAGAACAATGAGGGAACATCGGCTTTGAGATTGGCCTCTATGTTCCGGCGACGCGGCCGTCAGCCTTTGGGAGGTTGGTACTCCACATGCGGCGTGGTCGTCGGGGTTCGGAATCGTTCCGATGCTGGTTGCCTGATCTTCCGTCCTCCGCACGAAATCTAGCTGAACACAATGAAAGCGACTCTCAAGTGAACACAAGATGGTGAAACGATTCAAGTTATTACGAGCAACTAGTCGAAGTGCAATACGAGGTTCGAGTTCCGGCGAAGAGGCGACGCGTGACGCCTACCCCCGAAACCTGAGCACACTCGAGAATTATTAAAGAAGTAATGAGACCGTGACCACGGTTTTGAAATCAAGCAGGATTACATCGGTTGAGGCAGACCTCAGGACAATGAGGATAGCATCTACAAGATCAACCGGAGCGGGTCGATTAAAACAACAACACAACGAAGTAGCAAATAATTGAAAACGGCCTGTGTCGCCATGAACGTGTGGTCGAGAAAGCAGATCCCTCACCAGTTCTGCAAAGTTCATTCGTGACCCCATCATCACGATACAAATCCAGCTCAATCCAGTAACATCCATCTCTTCCCGCGCCTTTCGCCGTACTGATTTCTACAATCCGAGAACCCGCCATCGATATCAGTGTTGTCATAGCATTGCAGCTTAGTCCAAGATTTGGCCGATAAAATCAACCAAAATTTCACTTAAGTGCGGCGTTAATATAGCACGGCCGCAAACCCAAAACGGGAGACATTTAATTTGCTAATATTCGAAGCTTTCGGATCAACGCCCAAGCCAGATGACTTTGTGCTTCTTGAGAGTGAGATCAACCTAGTCAAAGCGAAGATATGGAGTATGGTCAAATCCTATGACACCTCTTAATTCCAGAAAGGCATACAACTGGGCGGTAGAAGGGGCAATTATATCAACAGTTGGTAGAGCTGGCACAATCTATCACCTTGCTGTTCTTCAGGACTTGGTCTAGTGTGGACGGGGAAGCGAGTACTGCAACAACGATTGCAGCAAAAAACAGCTTCTTTGAATCCACCTTTGATGAACCAGACTTTACGCTTCGGGAGAGAATGGCGTGAAAGGACAGTGTCGAAAATCCGGACCGAGAGAATGTACAGCTCATGGCTTTTGATGGGATGCTCGAGATTTTAGACATCAGGCAATCCCTGCAAATGCGAAGTGTAGAAATTGTGACTGTCAGACCGTCCGGACGACAGCAGAGCGAGTACACATGTCACCAGCATTCGACCCAACGTCTTCACGCCATGCTCGAATGTGGCGATCTTGCCCCGGACAGCCAGGTTTGATGCGCTGCTGACGATCAGCACTGAGTACTTGTCGAAGTTGGGGTCCAGATACCAGGTTCAACGGTCTCAAAGAGTAAGACAAATGTTTGCCCCATTCCAATTGTCTCGCGGTCTCGCAGGCTGGGACCTCCAAGCGTGACGTGCCCCTCATCCTCCTCAAGCGTCCGCTAGCAGCATAGACGCTCAATGAGAAAAGGCACGTCTCGGATGGAGGAGAGATCTCGATCGAAGTAGGATATTGGAAACGCCATTAGCCGCAGAGCAGCCTCATGAAACGACCCAGAAATCTTCTAATTTCCTAGACCCCTATACACATCAGTAACAGATGTTAAAGTAAGCAATCAGTACGACGAAATAGAAGACGAAGATAAAAGCAATAGAGAAGTTTGGCTGAAGCCGAAGGAAGGAAAGACCAAAGTCTACTCTCATGGTATTTAGTGTATAAATTTAGGCATGATTGGGCGTGATAATCGGTCGCGATCGTTCCGTTCGGTCCCGCGGCTTGTTTCTTCTGGCGTAGTACAACATCGAGGATAACGTTCGCGTCCATATTGTAAATCCATTAGAGTAGGGACAACAACGTGAGTAGGATGCTCGGTACAACTCGATGTCGAAGTGGAAGGGGGCCGGAAACCGTGAAAGAACGGACCGTTCGACGCCGTATACTACGACCAAGTTGCCGCTATTTTCGAGGTAATCGCTGGTATCAACAGCAAATAAAATCTGATGTCGGCCCTAAAGCTGCGCACGGTAAGCTCACTCTTGCCGAAGCAGTTATTGAGCTGCACAAACAAACAAACGAGCAATCCCTCCTGCGCCGTTAAAGGGTATACCATTGATCATGATCATGATCATGAGACCCTCCCAACATGTCCTGTTTCGAGCGCCTTGTAGACGCCTGACTCAATCATCAATGACGATAGGAGATGAGCCGGTTCCCGACATATTTGTGTCGGTTCCTGCAACAGCAGGATCCTGCCTGTACCATACGATTAGCACGACGCGACAGGAGACAGTTCAGCCCATTGCATAGTGAAGCGATGTCCCTCGTTCCTGTTTGATCTCCACATGCTCTGGACTTACTGTATCCGTACATTCCGCATGCGCTCCCGTTGCTGCTGGTAGGTAGAGTAATCACCACCGAGTACGGCCTCGAGAATGCTAAGATCACGGACGGTACTCATGTGAATCGTATCCATGCGTTCGACGAGAATCCTATGTGCCCAGGAAAACAGCTCCATGCATTTGTCGGCTTTGTAAGAACCACCAGAGATGTTGTTTTCCGCATCATTGGGGTCCTGAATGGACAAGCGATCCTCTCGCTCCGGTCGGCCATCGACACCGAATTTACCCTTTCAGCCAGTCAGCATCTTAACATCATCGAAAGTGCTGTTATTTACCTTGCGAACAATACGCGGGGGGTCGACTTCAATCCTGTCTCGACCGTAATTAAACTTGTTGCCGAAGAAATCTAGAAACTGGAGGAAGGTTTGACCAAGGTTCTCTGGCAACTTGTGAAGTTTCAGGAAGCTCGCAACAAGACAGCAAATGCTCAGGCCACCCAAGCCACCAGTGCTGTTGTCGTTGAGATTGTACATTTCCAGAAGTTGCTTCACGAGGGCAATCAAGCAGGTGAAATGATCTCCATGTTCCTTCTTCCATTTGCTCAGGGTCGATTGGGCAATCACTCCGCTCATGTTTTCGAATGAGATATCGACTGGGAGACCGGTCGCAATATCCTTAAATTTGATGATAGGAACCCTGGCCTTCGGGATGACGAAAGTATCGAAGGCAACCTGGTTGAACCTCAGCTTCTTTGCAAGGGTGTACATCGCGCTCTTTCCTGCTACGAGCTTCGGAGAACCGCCGTCGTAGTGTGAATCCGAGACAAAGACAAGATCCATGTCAGCTGTTGGCAGATAAAGACCGATAGGGAACGAGCCGAAGCAACGGATACTACCCCGATGCGACTGGAATTCACCACCGATTACCGATTGCACCCTGCGGATCAGGTCTATGCGAACCTCATTGTCGTGATCTGAAGGGGCTACAAAGTCGTAGAAGTCTGCTATCTCATTGTGAAGCAGCTTTTCGGGTTGGTCTCGGAGACGTTCATAGTCCTCGCGGAAAGCCCAAGGCGCAGGGTCGAGACGGTCCTTGGGTTGCCAAACATCTTTCATTCCAGCATAATCGTCAGTGTGCTTACGCTTCCTTGAGCTACTCGTGGAACTGCTTGTGAATGTAGGCCTTGGTGGAAGGCCGGTAGGCGGAGGTCTAGCAGGCAGGCTCGAAATTTCAGCTGGGCGCTTGCCGTGACGGTCTGCATGTGCAAGTGATCCGCCACCTGTAACATCATTGAGAGAGCCTTGCAGAGGCTGCATTCTAGGTGCGGGTCCGCTAGGGGCCACGGAGGGCTCGAAAGCGTCATCGTCGTCGTTTTCGTCGCCGAACGATATGAAGTCATCGTTGGCGGCAACGGCATTGGCACCGTTTTCCTGTTCAGCGACTTCGTTCTTAGCCTTACGGATGAGCTTGACAAAGTCGATCCTCTTGCCTGTCGTCTCTTCCGGAGGTGGCAAGACGGTATAAGGGTCAGGATTGGACCACTTGGGCACAGAGTCACCGTCTGCCCGACTGCTCGATTGCGTACGGATAGCCTTTGTCTTGTTTGGGGATGCGTCGACTTCACCGTCTGATTTGTCGGTGTCGTCAGTACCCACGTCCATATCAGCTTCCTCATCATCTGACAAGTCTTCTAGATTACGGAACTTGTTTGACTTCGCATCTACACCGAGGAAGCGCTCAGTGGCGTCATCGCGGGTCTGGAGAAGGGCGCGTTCATGTGCAGCCTGAGGACGGAATCCTCCCCTGTTGTTGCGTCTGCCTCCGCGATACTGAGACTGCGCAGCGTCACCGCTTCGCGTGGCAGGGCGCGTGCCGTTCATGCCGGATGGGCCGCCACGGCCACGCCCGCGATTGCGACGCGCTGGACGCTCGGGAGGCGCGGGAGAGAAGCGAGGTCCTTGTGTGTCGCTGGTGAAAGTAAAATCGTGCCTGCTAGGAGCGCTGGCAATCTGCTGTTGTCCAGGTCTGTACGAGTCGCCTCCACCGCGATCGCGACGACCTCCAGGGCCACCCGTCATGCGGTCGCGCAGGTCACGGCCCCGCCGCTTGTGCGGCGGGGGCGCACGCTGGCGACGTGTCTCTGCCATTCCAAATCCGCCTATGTATTGGGTATCCTTGGCGACACAAGCGTGAGTCGTTTGTTGTTGCAGTGTTGATCGTTTGCGCGCGCGATTGCGGTGGGAATGTGGAGTTGACAAAGGCTTTAAGTCGTGACATTATTGTGCCAAGGCCGACAGCGCCACTTCGGCTAGTGACGCGACTCCCGGGGAAAGAGCGCCTGGCCTTTTCGGCAGCGCTCTGTTCAAGTACCATGATAGCAATGATCAGGCGTATCGGGGAAATACTGTTGATGGTAATCGGTTGCAGTAAGTGACTTGGGAGTGACGAACTATCAAATATTTCTCGATTATGTGAGTATATGCTGCCTCGAAAACTTCCAGCCGAAGAAATCTGCACAACAGGAGGCTCTCGGTCTTTAAATCTCGATAATACAGTAGATAATACAGAGCCTGTAAAAATGTATAATATACACAGCGAGGAGTAGAGAAGGATCCTGGTCATTGCATGTCTCTCTTGCGGCCACGCTCAGCGTCGTGGCCGAAACTTTCAACCAGCGCCGTGCCCAACGCTATGCCGCTATATCAACGCCATCTAATGCCTGTACAAAAGAGAATGTTCCTATCCGCCGTGAAAGATCCTAGGTTCTCGTGCTGAGTGGCTCGCTCAAAATTGAAGATGTGTATACGGTCGGTCGCGTTTCAACTACCCTTCTCATTTCGAGTCTTTCGTCCACTTTGGCTTGAAGCCTTCCGACAACTCCTGCTCCCTCTCTGCCATTTGCTTGAAACCTTGTACCTCGCGCTCGATGCGCTCTCTCGCCCTTAGGATTTTGCTCTGTAGGTAGAAACTGCCGCCCTTCTTGGGATCGTTGAGGTCGAATAACCGCTTGAACCGTTCCGTGACGAATGCTTCGTCTATCTGTCCCATCTTCGAGGGTCCGACATTCAGGATCTGGCAGGCTTCGTCCATTGTGATGTTTGATGAAGAGAAGCCGCCACCCGCTTTCTGGCCTGCGGCGGCATATTTCTGAGACGCGGCGGCCTGGCGGTACGATTCGGAGACGGCGCGTCCTATTATACGAGCCCCGGTAAAGACGACTTGTGTTATTACGCGGTGCGCCTGAGACAGTCAGTCGCTTGGAGCAGACACAGGATGCCAGCTACTTACCATTATGAAAGGGTGTCCCGACTCAAGAGTAAAAGGCAAAGGGAGACGTGTCGGCAGCAATTGCTATGAGGTTCTTGATGAATGCTGCTATCAGAGTACAAGCGGCGGCGGAAGGGAGATTCCTAGAATTTCTGAAGATTTGGCGCGATTCCGGGCCAGAATGGATCCCGTGATCTTCAGGGCCGACAGCCAATCACATTGCGATCGCAAAGGCGGATACCCAAGGGTAGAGCAACCAGAGCAGAGAACCTCAAGGTATCCGTTCATGAATCCGTAGAAGGGTAAATCGCTATCGTAGAAGGGTTGTGAAGCCATACTCTGAGTATAGCGCGATCCGACCTCTTTCATGTGAGCTCACTTCGTATTGCTATAACAGCTTGAGTGCCGTCGGCTTGGGCATTCACATGCGCTATAAGCTCCCCGCCGCGATTCCCGGTGCGAAATCCTCGCCACAAGCTTTTACGTCGCCTTCTCTAACATACGCTTGAGTGCTCTTAGAAATATTCTTGGGAACCTAAAGGCAGCTTTAATATCGTGGTTGATCTGGAAACGCGCACTCAACACTACTGGCGCAAACGAGCCACGGCTGGCTATGACGCAGCTTCTCTCCATGCATGGCAGCATTTGGCAAGTTCACTCCCGGGCACTCAACCACCAGACACCCCGCCATGCTAATACACCTCAAGATACCCCGTGGCTAGAACATATGTCCACTCCATCGCGATCCGGGAACGATGCGTCTCCGCAACCTACCGCCGACCCGAACCCGCCTACCTACGCTGCCTTTTCTCCATCCACCCTAGCCCAAGCTACACCGCAGACGAAGCTACGCTCTGCAATATTAGTTCACCAGAAGAGCCCTCTGCTCGCCGCGACACCGCCGCAGGTCACGCGCGTTTTGGCATACTCGCATCCGTTCATACTACCGCTGAACAAGTTTGTCGGTTTGTTGACATGGACGACTGGGGATCCGTGGGAAAGCTTTGTTCTAGTGGCTGGGTTTTGGGCTTTGGTGCTATACGGTGATGCCGTCACAAGATATGCAGGACCTATAGTACTGGTAGTTGGTTTAATAGCGGGGATGTACTCGCGGAGATACTCCCCGCTTTCGTCCACTTCGTTCACGGGCGAGAAGGGTCAGAAGGGACACAGCAGGGCCGAGTCAGAAAGCAACATCAAACATCATAAGAGCTTGGAAGAGATCGTGGACAGTCTCAAGCTATTCACATCACGGTGTAGCATCCTGCTAGATCCGTTTCTGCGGTTGACGGACTTTCTCTCCACTCAAAGGACCGCGACTTCAGCAACGACAAGACCTGCGCTTACCTTGCTTTTTGTTCGGATACTGTTTGTCCTGCCCATGTGGATTATTCTGACTCTGCCACCATTCTACATAATCACGACAAAGCGAGTCGTGTTGGCCGTTGGAACCGTAGTGCTTAGCTGGCACTCCCGACCTGCTCGCGTTTCGCGGGCAATTCTTTGGCGGTCACGGACGATACGCAAAACATGTGTCTTCCTTACGGGATTGAATTTCGGAGACATAGAGCCTGTAGCCAAAGACAAGAACGGTGCGCCAGCGCTGCCGCCACGGAGAAAGAGCGCCCAAGAAGTTGCGGCCTCTCTTGCCGCAAAACGACGACCAGATTCGCCAGGAGTGCGATTCACTTTCAGCATCTACGAGAACCAGAGAAGATGGCTCGGCATAGGGTGGACATCCTCTATGTTAGCTTATGAACGAGCGGCATGGACCGACGAACACCTCAACCCTGTGCCGCCGAAAGACCAATTTGAGCTTCCTGATGTTGAAGGAGGACAGGCGAGGTGGAGATGGCTACAAAGCAGCGATTGGAAGGTCGAAGGTGCGGAGAAGGATGCGACAGGTCTCAAAAGCCCCTCTCTCGATGAAGCCGGGTGGATATATTACGACAATAAGGTAATTACTCTAACACCCACATTCTCGAGACGATATTAATTTGAGATAGTGGCGAGACGGTCGCAGAGGACAGGACGGATGGGGCCGCTACACCCGCCGGCGAAAATGGTACCGTGATGCTGAACTCGTCGAGGTAACTCCGTCGACCGACATAACGCCCATTCCCACTCCTCGCCTCGACCCCATCGCCGACGCTGCAGAGCCCTCCACACCCACACCCTCATCGAAACGAGCTACCCACTCACGCTCTACCTCTACCGCGTCCAACATGCTAACCAAAGTCAACTCCAACCCCAGCACTATCGCGAGTCTAGCCGCCAGCGCAATGGCCAGCACCGACACCACCCTCGCAGAAAGCATCAACCCTGACCATTATACGTCGGATGCTGATGCTGCCAGCAACAAGGCCAAGCGTGGGTGGTTCAAAAGGAAGGGAAGGAGTCGCAGCAGGGGTGGTAGTGACACCACTGCGGTGACGATTGCGACGAGCACAAGTAGTAATTTGAGTCGAAGGAGCGACGAAGATGATGTGCATACGCCGCTGGAGAGGACGGCGAGGGATGACGAGTGGAGGCTGGGCGATGATATGCGTATGCAGTTGGATATTTGATTTTTGATGGGGGCTCTGGGCAGGTGGTCTTGGTGGCGCTTTCGGGTATGCATTCTGGGTAGGCCATGTGTGAAGCGACAAGCGGCGTAAGGTTCCGAAATCCTGGCTCACGACGACAATGTTCAAATGTTCTCATGCCCAGTGCTCGCCAAGTCAACAATTGCACAGTAACACGCGGCGGTTCTGCGGCGTACCTAGTGCTCGAACGAACGAACGAACGGTAGACGGGGCCCGTTGAGCAGGCGTATGACGTATTCGTCCGTGGCTCATCCCCCCTCTCTTCAGAACGTCCTCTTTGAACTTCCTGAAGAATGTGTCCTCGTGTGCATCCCTTGCCCTATCGAGCAGCGATGCCGTGCATAGCGCCACGCCGCCAATAGGTTGGCACGAAAATCAATACACTACGACATGCGGCTGCCAGCGTCGCAACGTACGTCGCCGTCGCGTGAGGGCATGTTGGACTTGTCGCGAAGCTGCAGCATCGGTGTCCATGTGCAGCGGCGTGGGTAGGGCGTGGTCAGAGTCCGAACAGCGACCCGGTGTCCTGTCAGCCCTGAAGGCACCGGTACGTAGCCGCGGTGCCGACGTGGCGGAAGAGGGATGCTGGATCCCTGGGACGGAAGAAAGGCACGCCTCGTCAGCTGCGAGGCGGGCCGTTTCAAGACGCTGTGGCCAATCGACCGCCGCGCATAAGAATAATCTCCTGGCCAGTTGTTTCGAGAGTCGCCAGGCTGCGTCTGTCCGCTGTTGTCTCACAGTGCGGCCCACGACGGGCAGAGCACGCGGCAAGCCCATCAAGATAGCCACGCGCGGGATTCTGGTGTAGTCGCGAGCTGTAGGTGGTAGTATAGACAGAGCACACGCGCATGCAGGGTAGCATTTGGCGCGGCCATGGGTCGAGGCCGCGACCACGGCCCAAAAATAATTGCTCGCGAAGGAGACAACGGCGCCTTGTAGCCGCGCCGCCAGCGAATGGGCGGCTCCGCGTGCCCTGGGCGCGACAGGCATGCGACAGGGATGCGCCGTCATCGTGTCAACGGGGTGCACGAAACCACCGACTGAAGTCCTTGTTCACTCTTTATCCCACGCTCGCTGTGCTCTGAACACCTGTTTGACCCTTTGTCTGCTCGACGCCTTGTTTCTCTTTTCCCTCGCCGCACCCTAACCTTTGTAATTATTCCACGCACGCTGCTGGCTATTGACTAGACAGCAAGGGCACATGCTCTGAAAGCTATCATCCCTCGCGCCTTCTCCCTCGGTACACGGCATATCGCACCTTCCCGACCGATCCACACTCGCTCTTTGCTCCCATCACATCGCAAAATACACACCACCTTCACAATGGCTTCGAGCTCGCGGGGCGCCATGTTCCCGCGAGATGGAGAGCCGAGCTTGGGGGACAGGCTCTTCGACCTCATGAAAGATCCCTTCAGCGCCGAAGTAGGCGGAACACCGGGCAACCACAAGCACGCGCTGACAGAAACAGGTCGCTTCGGGTTCCATCATTGCTGCCATAGCCACGTCGTTGAGCATCACCACCGCCATCTTCCTCGCCTTCTGTATCTTACGGCCATGGAATGAAGTCGTCTACGCACCCCGCCTCCGTCACGCCGACGAAAAGCATAAACCTCCCCCTATGGATAAAAGCCTGTTCGCCTGGGTCCGCCCCGTCTTCAAGACCAATGAGCACGAGTACATGCACATGATCGGCATGGATGCCACCATATTCCTACGCATTGCTCGCATGTGCCGCAACATGTTCGTTTGCCTCGCCATAGTCGGCTGCGGCATCATACTACCGGTCAATATCATGAAGGCTGCTGATGTCGGCGACAACAACAAGGGCATTAGCAACATCGTCTTCCTGATGACACCCATGTATCTGTTTGGCCAGCCATTCTGGGCCTTTGTGGTCTGCGCCTACGCCTTTGATATCATCGTTTGTGGGTTCCTGTGGTGGACTTATCGCGCCATTCACCAGCTGAGAAGAAAGTTCATGGAGAGTGCCGACTACCAGAACAGCCTTCATTCACGAACTTTGATGATTACGGATGTCGCCAGGAACTTGCGCAGCGACCAGGGCATCGTCGAGATCACTGATAGTATTAGAGCGACGCCTGACATTCCGCGTGCTTCAGTCGGCAGGAACGTCAAGGACATACCTGAGCTCATAGAGGACCACGAACAGACTGTCATTGAGTTGGAACAAGTCCTGGCAAAGTATCTGAAGAATCCGAGCAGCCTACCAGCGACACGCCCGCTCTGTAAGCCCTCGAAGAAAGACCCTGAATTTGGAGGCAGACAGGAGAAGGTGGATGCCATTGACTATTTGACGGCAAGGATCTTACGCCTGGAGGCTGAGATCAAGAACGCCCGGGAAACCGTGGATAAGCGCGACGCAATGCCGTACGGCTTTGCCAGCTATGAGACGATCGAATCCGCACATACCGTGGCATATGCCGCGCGAAGCAAGAAGCCCAAGGGTGCAATCGTTCAGCTCGCCCCGAGACCCAAGGATATTATATGGAAGAATCTCTCCCTAGACTCAAAAACTCGACGATGGAGGAAGTTCGTCAATGGTCTATGGATTACGCTGCTTACTGTTCTGTACTTCATTCCCAACGCCCTGATTGCCGTGTTTCTTGCCCAGCTTGGCAACATCGCTTCTTTCTGGCCCCAATTCGCCGAAGAGATGGCGAGAAATCCCAAGTCATGGTCGATCGTGCAAGGTCAGTATCGGATCGTTAGCTGTAGCGTATCAATCATGCTTACCTGTTCTTCTAGGTATTGCTGCACCGGCCTTGACCTCGCTTATCTACTATTTCCTACCCATCATCTTCCGTCGCCTTTCCATCAAAGCGGGTGATCTTTCAAAAACATCCCGTGAACGACATGTCATCTCCAAACTCTACTCCTTTTTCGTCTTCAACAATTTGATCATCTTTTCGCTTTTCGGTGCTGTGTTCAGCATGATCGCGACAACCGTTGATCTCGCAAAAACGAACCACTTGCAGTGGTACGACATTATACGCGAGGTTCACCCGCTTGCGAACACCATGATTGCTCTCTGCAAAATATCCCCTTTCTGGGTGACGTGGCTCGTTCAGCGTAACCTGGGAGCCGCGATCGACTTATCTCAAGCTGTCAACCTTGGATGGGGATCTTTCTCTCGGAAATTCTTGAATCCAACGCCGCGTGAACTCATTCAGCGGACTGCCCCGCCGCCATTCGATTATTCGGGCTACTACAATTACTTCCTTTTCTACTCAACTGTTGCCCTTTGTTTTGGATCTCTCCAACCCATCACCTTGGTCGTTACTGCATTTTACTTCGCCGTTGACTCTTCGATGAAGAAGTATCTTTTGCTGTAAGTGGCCTTTCTCGTGGTCCACTTACGCCGGCTAACATATCTAGCTACGTCTTTGCCACCAAAAACGAGTCTGGTGGGCTCTACTGGCGCACAGTCTTCAACCGCCTCCTTGCCGGTACTTTCCTGTCCAACTGCATCATTGCCCTTATGGTTGCCGCCCGTGGTTATGACAGCACAAACATGATGCTCGGTGCAATGGCCCCTATCCCGTTCTTGCTGCTCGGATTTAAATTCTACTGCAAGAGCAGCTTCGACAGCGCCATCAAGTACTACACCAAAGGCGAAACACCAAAGGGTGTCGAGGCCCTTCCCCCAATCGACAAGGAATCACGCCGCCGCGATCGCGTCGCCGTCCGCTTCGGTCACCCCGCCCTCTATCAAAAGCTCACCGTTCCAATGGTGCACGAGAAGAGCAAGCACCTCCTGGCCGAAGTGTACCGCGGCCGTCTGGACGGCGATCTCGGCGCAACAGCAGGCTACAGCGATGTCTACAGCATGAAGCGCATGTCAAAAGAGAACCCGGGCAAGGCTGCCGCGGGCACTGGCCCCTTCGAATTTGTTTCAGAGTCTAATATGGATTTCGAGAACTTCAAAAACCGGCCTGAGTTCGCTGATGAAGCGGGCGGGGACTCGGGCTCCATCTACGGTCCGTCGACTATCAGTCGCCCCGGCACGCCCTCATCTGTCATGGGCGGTAGCGAGCGCGGCCGCTCTGCTTCGAGAGGTAGCGATCGCGACGAGCCAGGCGTCACTTATCCCACGGGATACCACTCCACGCCGAGCAACCTCCGGGAGTACAGTCCTTCTCCAGACAACCGGGAATTCGGCAGGACAGTCAGCAACACGAGCCATTCGAGGGATGATGCGATGTTGCTGTCGGGTGCGCAGCCGATGGGTGGTCATACGCCCTTGAGTAGCGCGTATACGCCGTACAGTCCTGATCAGACGGGACACGGGAGGACCGACTATTTTGGTGGAAGGTAGAGGGGGTTAAACGACTTTAACGATCTCTTTCTTTTGTCAGAGTCCTGCGGGACGGGATTTGGATTCGGCATCTAGAGGGCGTTTATCTGGGGGCATCCCACATTTACAATATGAAGCGAGAAGATTACTCGGTGCCATAGCATTGTACTGAGAGGAGTTGAATCCAGCGGCCTAAAGTGGCCTTTTTTGTTCCGAACCCTGTCTTGGTCATTGCTCTCCGTTTGTGCGTGCATGTGCGTTTCAGAGGAGCTGATGATCATCACCATCACACCCTCATCCCGTCACCCTTTCAATAAAGGATATCTATACAGACCCTTCTTCCCCCTACTTTTCTAACTCTGCGTATTGTCTCCTTTGTTTGAAGGGCTCTAAAAGAGCTATTCTGAATGACATATCGGGCCAGAGCTTAGAGGCCGACGCAGTGAAAGGGCAGCCTCAGTCCGCGGAAGAGTCTACACTTGTAGGACGGCACATGCGTACACAGAAGGACTCCGAAGCCCTTCATTAGCACTGTGTCCGGGCGTCTTGGAACAGAACATGTGGTGGTAATGAAATATGCGGTTGTAGACTTGTGCTAAAATCGATGCTTTGAGACGTCATGAGACCTACATTGGAGTCGTAACGACAAACGAGATATCAGCAGGTGCTTATTGACTGTAGTGGCCTGGTGGGACTATAGGGGCACACTCCAGATCTCTCTATCTTGCTCATCACCCTTACGCTGATGGTCTAACAGGCCTTTAGAAAACGATTGTTCTTCGCGAATCTGGAGTTAGCGCCTGAGCCTTGACTCACTGAACCAAATCAGTAGGACGTTACTTATAGTACACTCAATGGCTGAACATGTTTGGGGAAGGGCACCCACAGGCATGAGAAGGTGGGAGAGTATGTAAAGCACCGATATGTGATCTGCAACTTGTGACCTTCGGTCGAAAGAACTCGAACACCACTTACATGTGCGGGTTCGGGGTTATGGTTTACAAGGAGGAATAATGTGCGTGCGTCCTGGTGGTCTTGAACCGGAGCCAGAGTTCTTTTAACTTTGCTCTTCATCCTCTACTGGTCTTCGAGATGACTGGTCTTCGAGATGACTGGTGGAATTTGTAAGCCCCATGAGTCTGCATGGAAGAGGTCAGTGAGACGCCGACTGAAGGTTCTGGTACTTTAAATATGCATCACAGTAGCTGCTGACACAAGTCATGACTGTTCGTTACGCATGCGCTATCGGTATCCTCGGTCGGAAGCGATGAGCGCTACATTGAGGATGAGCTGAGCGCCACTTAGGAATTGAAGGAAATACTGGAAGATGAGGGCCTAGAATCAAATGACGTCGATTCCTAGAACGCCTTCGCGCTGCAGAGGCAACTCCTTAGGCAGTAGGGAGACATCCGCAAGCACATTCAGGTCCCTGTTCCAGTCGCATTGTTCCAGGAGCTTGACAGAAACACACCCTCCTAGGTATCCTGCTTCGTAGATTTTCGAAGAGCACCAAGAGCGCTATCTGCATGCTGACCGTGTTGAGGTATAACAGGGCAGCTCGGAAGGGTGGATTGAGCTCGTCACTGGTTGCTATTCAGCAAAATGGCAATCGAAGGCTTTGATACATGTCATACACCTTTGAAGCGGACAAGCAAGGGACGTAGCTAACAGGGTGATGGGCGCGATCAGTATATCAGATTTGGATTTTATGTCTATTGACATGGCTTCCGGCTTTTACGGGGATGCCGCTGAGAGCCTCGATGCTTAGATGCCGTATTCCATGTGCAAGTGATAATTGGCAGGCATAAGGGTGTCAAGTTTGACAATTGGACGATCTCGACGAACCTGCTGTGATGTCTCAAAGGTTTCTGAGTATCTTTCTACCTACTCTGCCTGACTCTATGTTCCTTGATCGTACTAGCTATAAATCGGGATGGTGAGGTCTTTTGCGTTCACTCTCACAGTCACCAATCGCGCATCCTTTAGTAGCCAACGTCCCTCACTTGGAACAGGAAGCCACGCCTCACACACACGCGCACCTTCCCTACCCCACATATATCCCAAGACACACGTGTCTCTCTTCAAGCAGCGCGAGGGCGAGCGCATAGCTTGCTAGCATGGCTTCAGACGCGATGATCAATACATTTCACGATATTCGTCAGGCGCAAAAGGTATGTACTACACGATCCGCTAAGGTGGCACCTTGACAGACCAAGCACGGTCGCCCTTCGTCGCTTTCTCCCTCTGCACGACCAGGACCTCCCTTTCATCGTAACGCTGACAAGCACATAGGAAGAGAACGAATTACTGAATGACGGCATTACAATGTTTGAACAGATGAAGATATTGAATAGCGCTCGAGGCGCGAGCATGGAGACTCTGGCAGACGCACACCGTGGAAATGTAGAAAAGCTGAAGCAAGAGCATGGGGCTGAGCTGAAGTCGCAACTTGCAGAGATTGAGAATTTGAAGCAAGAACAGAGGGCTGAGCTAAAGCGATATCGTGCAGAGATTGAGAAGTGGAAGCGAAAGCATGCGTCTGAGCTAAAGTCGGTGAACGAGCAGCACCAAGCGGAGATTAGGAAGATGAAACGAGAGCGTACGGTGAGTGGACTTTGATTTCAGCGTCAAGAGCGCAAGGGTGTATTGAGGAACAAGGCTAATCAGGTTTGTAGACCGAGAATGGAGTGGGAGCTTCCAATGCGGCTATGGTTCCTTTGTTCAAAAAAGAGATCGCGAAGATGAAAGAGACATTCGATGAAGACCAGAAACAGAAGGGAGGCATGTATCGCGAGATACAAGGTTACGCAACCCGGGAGCAACAACTACTTCGAGAGGTAGAATCTCGGGCAAACGGACAGAAGGTTGCACTGCTTACTCTCCTCGACTACCACTCCAGTAAACTGGATGATGCCCATATCAAACAGATTGAGGAGTCTCCGGAACTCATCGAAGCTTGCGCCAAAGACCAAGACTTGGCACGTAAGTACATGTTGGAGAGCGAGAAACGAGCTGAAGAGATGGAGAGGAAATGGGCTACATTGAAGAATTACGACAATGTGACTTATCGTGAACGTATTCGGAAAATGCTCGAAGTTGCTGCCGCAAGCGGAGTTCAGTTGGGCTTGACCAGAGAAGAATTGTTCGCGGACGAGGATAAGGTGTCGTTGTAATCATCGCGCAACGTGCTTCGCTTCGCATGTAATGCACCGCATTGCAAGATATTGAGATATGAAGGGCTCATCAGAAACCTGAGAGGTTTTAAAGATCAATTATCGCCAGCGGATTGGCAAGCTCTTTGATCAGCCTGCTTCACCCGGGGTCAGGCTGAAGATAAACTGGAAGTCGAGTTGAGGGACTAAAGGCTAGGGGTTAGTGAGTCACGGAGAGCGGACTGTCTTTATGAGCTTGGCTGTTGTCGTCTCGCAGCACACCCATTCGCGATGTCGGCTATGTACCAGCCATCTTCTTTTCGAGGGACTGCAGATTCATTGGACACCACGGCGTCTGGACTTTGAATGAGGATATCTTTCGCAAGTTTTGGTTCCACTAGACGACAAGGAGCCATATATGCCCTCAATTTCAAGTTCACAGATGACAATAGCTGGCGTTGCCGTGTACCACGTCTGCCATGTGAGCGTGCTGGAGCCATTCAGGAGATCCTGTGTGGGCTATGCTTACGAAACAGTCTTGTCGCCCTCCGTACTTCGTCTCATGCTGATACGCGAGCTTAAATGTATGGCCACCGGGAGCTCATTCGCCCTGTTGTATCACCTTCGGCTAAGGCAACTCTTCTTGTCCAGTGTATCGAACGGACAAGGGTTTTAAGTATAAATGTGAGCCTCGAAGCAGCATCTGAAGAACAATAGAGCCACAACTTTCATTGATTTCTTTCGAATTGCCATGGCGTACCCAACACAACGCGTGCACAGGCGCAAGCGGGCTGCACTGCACGGGCGTGCTCGGCGCCAGGCCAGCGCCCAACGTCAGCCTTCTATATCACGATTGGCGCAGGTCTTGGGGATACCAGCAGGTATGAAGTGCAGATAACGCTAGTTTGGGGATCTCGAGCGCTGACTCGGAGTAGACAACAACGGACTGTGCGATGTTGTCATCGCTAGACGCTTCAAAGCTGCCCGCGAACTCTCTAGACTTAGCAGAGTGCACCTTGCGAAGCACGGTGATGAAGCGAGAGCAAAATTTCCGCGCCAATATGCAATGAGGAAGAAGATGATAGAGATCCTGGAACTGGACGTAGATCTTACAGATCTACCGAGCCAATTTGCTGTGTTGATGGCCTATCGCTCCTTGCGAGCGTACATCGAATGGGATGCTGGTAAGTTACAACAGTCGAAGTGCTGGCAAAAGCCTATCCTCTCCGTATGGCCAAGTACTGAATCGTAATGGCGTAGAAAGAATCAACAAGGAGGTGTAGGGCACGATTGCGAGAAGGACGATCGGATTCAAATTTGTTGTTGCTTCTGATTTAGCCCACGCTGGATGTGTCCGACCATGTACAATTTTCTGTCTTCCTTTTAGCAAACGGGAATTTATATTGAAACCCGGTGTTCCTTCACTTGGGGTTGACTACTGTTTCGTCCAACGCTACCAGATGTTGCGTACTATGTCCACCAGCGTGCCCAACATTTCCAGAAAAACATTTTGACGACCCATAAACTCCTGTGGTAGGCAGGAAGGCCATTTTTCTTTTGCATTCATAAAAGGTTTACCTGCCTCCCCGCCCCCAATCATATTCCAGTAATACCGAAGGTAAATTTACTCGCATAACCACAACTAGGACCTAACGTCCAAAATGTATTTCACAGTCAACGTCACCTTGGCCGCTGCGGCAATCCCACACCCTTGGAACCACGACGACGCCCGTAAATACCGCCATCTCACAAGGCGCGATCCCTTCCCAAGCGGAGTCATGGCTGCCACAAAGTATCTAGAATCTACCCCGACTGAAACCAAAAGGACGCTGAACTTCTTCGGCCGAGGTGCCAACCTGACAGAAATGACAGAAAGCACAGAGGAACAGAAGCATGATCTGCATTCTCACGAAGACCATTTCCACCTGTATAGTCTGCATGGACACGACAAGTACCTTCCTAGTCCTTACCCTCGCTCACAAGAAGACATCGACGATGTCGCTGATGATATTTTCCCCTGGCGAGAAGATGCCGAGCTTGAGCCCACTGACACCAAAAGGCTGCGCCTCTTCTCCCTTCGTGGCGCAGGCTCCCCCGAAGTCACCGAGGAGAAGAAGCACCACCTACCTTCCCAACAGGACTACCTCCCCGAGGTCGACCGCGCGTACAGACATAACCATGATGAGTACCTCGAAGACTCGGACTCGTGCTCAGAGGCCGAAACATACCTTGTATCCTCTGCGGCTAGCATCAATAAAGGACTGCAGCGCCGGTGCGTGCGGAGGAAGAATTGCAAGGAGATTTGTGCGCAGAGTGGTCTTGAGGGCACCACCGGGTGTACGTGGAATTATGGGGGGTGATTCGAATACGCCGACGTGTCCGGAATCTGGAGATGTTGGAGTGTAGATGGCTGGGGGATCCCTTTAGACTTTTGGGACAAAAGCCAAGAATCTGGTACAGTCTCAAGACCCACCATTCGGAACCCCGTGGCTATCTTCACGTAGAGTCAGCATCAGCGGTGGTGCAGGAGCTTTGCAAATAGATTATACCGAAAATCAAATCCATGAAGCATATGCCGTAGTCATTATGATCGTAATCCAGTATGGAAAATACCAGTGTTCACCTTCAATTATCCGTAGCACCAATGAGCTCACTCAGAACCTCCTCCTGATGATTGAACGCAATGCTTGCATGTCCTTCCCCTTTCAGCATATTCAGTTTTGCGCCAGGCAAAAGCTGCTTCGCCTTCAACGTCATGGTGGCTGGGCAGTTGATGTCCTCGGTTCCATGCCACAGCGTCAGAGGAACTCCACCCTCACCAACCTTCAACTCGGCAAGCTCAAACCCCCAGGAGCTTCCATTAAGCTTGTTCTCCACGCCCGTGCCTTGGCCGCCTTGTCGGAGCCCTTCTCTTGTGCCCTCGCAAAAGCCCGGCCAATTCTTCTCATCCATCATGGCCCGCTTGTCGATCTCAGGCCTGCCGTCAATTGCTTTTGTAAGGGTCTCCTCGTAGACTTTTGGGTCTGGGTTGCGCGCTGCATTTCCAATTACTATGTCGGTCACTGTGCTTATGATGCCACTCGTCCACGGTCCAGCCCACATCATTAGACGCAAGCCCAGCATCATTCCTGCGGTTCCCAGAGAGAAGTCGGATAGAGGCCAGAAATAACAGCTGCGCCGGCCAATCGATTTCTGGGTAAGCTCTTCACGCAGGCAAGCGTGTATGGACCACCGCCGCTCCAGCCCATGACGTAGAAAGTCTGGATTTTGAGGTGATCCGCAAGGGCGATAACATCTTTGGGCCAGTCCAGGAACGTGCGGCTAGGTTGGAAGCTTGAATTGCCGAGACCCGGGCGGTCAGGAGCAACCAGACGCACACCAAGCTTCGCTGCGGCTGTATGCCAGATCTTCGCCTCTTTGCGAGATGAAGCAAAGGAGTGGAAGTAGAAAACGCTGGTGTGCGGCACAGGCGAGCCATAGATCGCATACGACAGGACGCGGCCACCGTCGAGCGTCAGACTGTCGGACTCCCTCATCCTGGCAGGTTGACAGCGCGTAAATGCGCTGGAGCGCAAGAGACGAGGTGGTGAGTGATCATGCTGGAGGTGCGCAGAAATACTAAAGAGGGGTCGCGGTGCGAGCGTTTGTTGACACAGCCCGGTCAGGAAGGAACGATGTGCAGCGCTAAGATGCGCTAAGGCGTGCTTAGCCGTGAATGACCAAGCGTGATAGATGGGCGATGCGTCAATTTCGACCTCGCTGAGTCTGCTGTGCAACTGACCTCCTACATCCAGCGAATAATGCATTGTTTGTTGCCTTGCGTGCGGGGGCGGGAGGATCCGATCTGCACTGCTATGCGCTGGCGGCTGTTCATTCTGCAAGAGTCGCCACCTGTTACACCGCATCTGACACCTTACTTGAATATCGTTGTCACACACAGTATACCGTCAACTCTTCTCCTACCCGGTCATTCGGATCTACATACCGAGCACTTTGATGCAAACAGATTTGACATTTGGTTCGACTGAACGTCTTGACAACTTCCATTTGCTATGAACGCGGTCAGCCTCCAAAGACAACCGTAACCTCCATGCGCATGCTAAAGAAGTCGTGACATAACTTTTGATCAGGTCGTGATCTCTCAGTACCGGAGTAAAGCATCCCGCTCAACTATTCAGTGACCTAAAGCTAGGCAAGTTGCAAGCATCTATCCCTACCGACCATTTCCGTGCCTTCGCCCGATGTCTCCACTTCATGGCTCTTGTCCTTCTGCGCCTTTGTTTTAACGTTCTCTTGACGCAGCAAGTCTACCTCCGCCGTATACGTCTCGATCTGCGCCTTGAAGAACTCGACCTCTATAGGCTTGATCAGCGCATACCGAACAAAGTGGATCTCAAGGCAGGTGGTAAGCTCGAGCAATGAGTGGCGGTTGCTGTATGCTTTCGCTCAAATAGACAAGAGATTTGCAGCTATGATGCTCCGTCTAAAAATGACCCGTTCTCCCCAGAATGTGAGCTTCTCGGATCTACATGTACGCAGGACGATAGATACCCACCAATTGTACCAGGGGCCTCAACCATCCGATCTCTTTTCATCCATTTTCCAGGTCAAATACCTGTTCCCTCATCGAGTCCTTCTTCAAGATAGTTCGCATTCAGTCAAATGTAGTTCATCCAGTCTTCAAAAGCTTCGTCCTTGCCTTCATCCTCGAAACTCTGCCAATTTGCTCTGACACAAGTGTTTCTTATCCAACATCTCCTGCCGCAACGTCTGTGCATGCGGGCTGAGCGCTTCCATCACCTCCAGCAAGGTCAATGTTGTGTCAATCGTGTCAAGGTGGGAGACGAGTATCTCTTGCGAGGTGAAGACGAGGTCGCAGTGGGCGGAGAGCAGCTGTTCGTGGTTGCGTAGAACTTGGTCTTTGTGGACGGCGTCGGCCTATCAAGCGTTATTCTGACTATCCTTTGTATCTTTTGTGAAAGGGTGTTGCACTAACCTTCTCTATTTCGCGCCGAACCTCAGAAGAAGACATTTGCGCTGCGTCTTTCGGTACAGTGTGAAGCCACTCCGCGACGCTCTCGCGCGATGTTTTGGCGGCTTCAGAAACAGCAAATAGACTGGAAGCGCTCTCGTTGGAGATATCATCTTTCTTGACCATGGGTTTGTCCTGAGCAGGAAAGCCGTTGGTACTCGTGGGAGGTGTTGACAGGGCCGGAGCAGCGTCCTCGTACATGGACCGCAAGCTGGTTGAGCTTGCACAGCGAGGCTTTTGACGTGCTTTCTCTGTGCCGAACGACTTGAGATCGGCGACAGACTTACGCAGGAAGTTGTTGCGGAACGCCTTCTTGAGGAGATCTTTGCGCGCCATCGATTTTGATGGTGGTGGATGGAATGTCAGTAATGAATTGAAGATCGGGGTGGGCACGCCGGTCGGCGGGTGGGCGCAATCTGAGGTCACTACTTGTTTGCCTTGTCTTGCTGGGCAACAAACGCTCAATCAACGAACTGGTAAACTGGGTGACGACTATAGACTAGGGACGACCGAAGACTTCAACTTTGCAAGTTTCCGGCAACCTGCACTTCTTCCCACTTGCACAAACGTGCTCCCCGTCGATCGCAAACTTTCCTCGCTGCCGTAATTCACAGGCAAGATAGCCAGCCTAATTGATTCGATGGCCGACCCAAAGGACATCGACACAAAAGACAACATCAACACGGTCGATCTCGACGCCACGGGAGCCCATCATGTAGAGCTGTTTCAGCATAGCCTCCGCACCACAACATCAGATGTCTTTAGACAGATGCTCGCCGTTGAGGCTGCCACGACTATGCTGATTACGCGATGCTTTACGATACCGCGAGCCCCCAACGCACGATGGCCCTCGTGGGTAGAGAGCGAGCCAACGGCGTCCGCCATCGTGTGGGAAGGTACGCAAGACTATGCGTGTCGTACTCGTAGAGTCGTCAGAAAGAAAGCTGGAGAGCGGAGTCGTGAGGTGAAGGAAGGAGCGATCAAATTAGCGCAATGCTAAGCTATGAATAGTTAGCCTGAGATAATTAGCATTCATCACACTTACGCCAGCCTCTACCTGTCTGACTGAAGATAATGATTAGTACGAGAAGCAAGCACACGTTGTTCCACAAATAAAAGTAGAGAAGGGACACCAATGGAGGAGAGGACCGAAAGGTGTCATGTCACATTGGAGAGATGAACGAGAGACGAACAAAAAAGAAATGAGCGGAATAGAGCAGCCGGGGATTGAACTCAGATTGGTGGCGACCCGAACACATCTTAGCGATTCCTTTAGATCATGGGGTAACTTTCCTTTTTTCTTTTCTGGTTTTGGCTTACGTAGCATAAGCTACTCATCCTGAGATGTTCATGCTTGATGAATATGTCTTTGAAGCAATAATGTTAGAGACGTTTGAGAGGCTAGTGGTAGCCTACAAGTAAAGGACAACTTGCGGCTATAGACAGTGGGGACGGATCGCAAGGTTGCTCTTGGATCATTCACTCGAAATGGGAGCGCTTCAGCGTTGTGACGATGCGCTGCCCGCATTCGTTGGGTGACAGCTCACCGACAATGAAGCGAACAGCGACTCTAAGAATCCGGTAAGATCAACTTCGTATGGGGCAGTTGTGCCCTTTTCTGGACAAATAGAACGTTGCAAAATCTGTAGAGGTAGAGACTCAAGAAACATAAATGTACTTTCTGCGAGGTGACGATCAGATCGATCGCCATTTGTCGTTGGGCGCAGGACGCCAGTCATTACATGAGACACGCAGACGGATTATGAGGATGAAAATAGCAGTGTGCACGTCTGACTGTGATTGTGAAGTTCAGCTGAGCTTGCCACCCGAAACGTCAATGTATGGTCAGTATACCTCACAGCGACTCAATATCGCTTTCCCATGTGAGAGCGTTGAAGATCATGGAAGCATGAGTATACATATTATCTTGTATTGTTAACCGTAACTATGACGACCCTGTTGGACTTTGATAAAGCCACAGCTATCGCCAAACTAATTGCAGTAGAATTGCTGGTTGCACCAGAGATGCACGAGGCGAGAGAATACCTAGGTGTATTGTTGAGCCCGAATGCATGCACTGAACCAGGTCCACCAGACCATATCTTATTCAAGATATTCGCCAAAGCTATTGCTACGTGTGCAACGTTTTGCGAGAAAACCCCATATCATGCCATAAACTAGAGAGTCAATGTAGGTGCCTGCGGCACGAAAATCCTCGAAGGCCTTGCTCTCTGCTTTGCAACCCATAGACAAATCCCGACCCTGTCGCGTGGAATCGGCCACCTGATCCAAGCCACCTTAGATGTAATCGCCCTCCAAATCATGATACTCGGAAGCCTGACTGTCCTCTGCGCTGGACCTCTCGCCATCAGCCACATCTGCATCTTTCTGGCGGCGAAGGACCGCAGCAACCCCTTCGGAGGCCTGGGCAGAGGCTGTACGGTTCGATCTGCCGCGGCCCACGTTCGTGTCTAGAGGTCCATGAGCATCACCGGCGGCGGCGGCTTGCATGCCGTTGGTGAAGGCTTGCATGGTACCTATGGTATTGGCGAAGCCATGGCTCGGATGGTTCGAGGCGGTGAAGGGATCATCGAGCGCCATGCCAGGGCTCGTGAAGCCGTTATTGAAGGTGGCACCATTGCTCATACCGAACCCGTTCAGGAGACTGTGGCCGGTGGAAGGACCGAAGCCTTGGAAGCCGCCATTCATCCCGCCGCTCATTCCACTGTTCATACCACCGTTAGCAAAGCCCGCGAAAGGGTTCTGCTGCGATGTGTGGCGGATCTCGGCGGCGTCGGCGGCGTCACGTTCGAAGGTGTCACCTGCATCGAGTGGATCGATCGGAAGCTCTGGCAGCGGGTACTCTGTGAAAAGGTCAGCTTACGGAAATCCGAGACCTGAGAAGGACAGCAAATCTTGTAAAGAGATTACACATACCGGATTTGACACGGACGGCAGGGGAGCTAGCATTGTGCCTGCCACCACGTCCACCTCGCCCTCCGCGCGCGCTGCCACGACCACGACTGCCGCCGTTGCGCTGGACCGACTGCTTCTTGGTCGGGCTCTCGTTCTCGGTAAGGTGCTCGTCACCATCCGACTCTTCGCTGCTGTACGCCTTGTTCTTGCGCTTTTGTGGAGTGGTATACTTAGAGACGCGAGCACGGCCTCTACCGGGCGTGCGGCTGGACGTGACTGAGACCTTGATGCCCGCTAACTGGCGGAGTTTCACGAAGCGCTCGGTGATCGCGCGAGCACTAGGCTTTGGGCCATCGTCCGCTATACTTTCTTAGCTGCGTTCTTCCCGGAGCACATGTGACCCCATGGCAGTACATGAGGCAATGCACAGAGTGGAGGAGGTCGTAGCTTACGCCATGCAGCCACGATCTTGTTTGAATCGACGGAGATGCCATGAGTCTCGATCAGCTTCAATAGCAGGAGGCGGTCGTTCTCGGGGGTCCCTCGATGCGATGTCAGCAGTCATCCCAATGCCCTATGTCGACGCGGGGACCAGCTGCTTTCGAAGCTTCTGTTCTCAGCTAAAGCAGATTCAGAGTTATTTTACTGACATGACATAGGCATCTTGGCGAATGCTGAAGAGAGTTCGAACGTCTGCTGTTGAGAAGGCGACGTGCGTCTGGTGTAGACGTTGTCGTTGTGTGGGAGTAGAAGGGGAGGGGGAGGCAGGTAATTCAAGGAAAATAGCGTGAGAGAAATGAATATAAAGTGAAGTGAGCGTGAGGTGAAGGTGAGATAGGAGTTGGCGCGGTAACGCAAAATTCGCAGGCAGACGAGGTGAAGCGGCGAGGTGAGAAGCGCCACACACTTCCGAAACGAGAAATGTAAATTGAAAGCGGCAGTTCGCGCATTGTCGTACAGATTGAGTATTCCGAGGGCTTTGCGAACTCGTCGGGTTTGCATACTGCAGACTCGTACTCGAGCCTTTCGTGCTGGGCGACACTGGAGCTTACCCAGTTTCTCCAACTCCCACTCCCTCTCTTTGCCTCTTCGCACTCAGTTGACCATGTCACTACCTCGAAAGTCCTCTCGCTAGCTCATAATGTCTGAAAGTATGTCGGGGTCAGGCCTCTCTTCATAGGTTGTGGTAGGGACCAATGACGTCGCGTGACCCCACGCTCTTTCCGCTTCCCAACGACAGCTCACTTCTTCAACATTCTCGACACCTGGGACCTTGGAAATTGACTGGGCTTTTGCGGGACGAGATGAATTGTGGGACGGCCTCGTGTACATCAGGATGGGATGCCGCCACGCGCTGGACGGAATTGATGGTTGCACTACGTCCATCGCGATGACTCTTCGACTCAAATTGGCAAGCCAACCTTGAAGAAGATGACTGCCTGTTGTACAGGACAACGGCTTCGTTAAGAGGCGATCTGATTGATCCAGGAGTAATGCGCGAGTGCCGGGTGCAGAGTGTCCCAGACACTCTGGGAACGGAGTTGAGTGGTTCCTGGCGTGCATAACCCCTGTATCCATGGATGGATCCATGGGTGTCTGTCGGTCACGTGATGAATTTTCGCCGCAAACCATTGCGCCGATCTTCCTCTTTGACAGCTTGGTCATCTGTAGACTGCCTGACCACATCCTCGACATTTGCGTCCTTGATGTGGAAGAGCAATCTAAAGTCGATGTCTTCAGCTATGCTAAACAGACAGATAGTGATACGATTCATGATCGGGACTCTATGTCTAAGCTTACCCTTGTGCTGATCAACGAATAGGCGACTCCGGTACCATTTTGGCTGCTAAGCAGAACCCTCCCTTTGAGTAAGTCTGACAAGCACTCAACTTCTTTGAGGATGTCCTTGCATTGTCTAATCACAGTTTCCTGCACCAAGTCTCGCGGTTCTCGTCGGCGATGCAATGCCTGGAGTCGTACTGAGGCTCGGGAGCAGGTACGCTAGTCTTGCTCTGGTGCGATTGGTAATCATCGCGCACTGAATTGATGCGACGTCGGACCAATGAGAGTAAGCGGGAAGAAATACTGTAATAATCTTGAATGATGACGACCAAGATCACCACGCAACGTAGTACCCAATCTGATGGCTTTCGATATTATGGCTATCAAAGAACAGGACAATCTCACGATAGCTATGAACAAGAAGAGCCAGTCCCGAAAGGGAGATCATTAAGCATAGACAGCTTTGCAAGAAACGGTGGCATTACTGAGCGAGGCGTTCTGCTTAGCTGGTAGTCATGTTCCGTCCGGACTGGGAAGCAGTTGTCGCCGTTTCAGACCCGCGCGGTGACTCTGCCCGATCTAAAAACCATAATCAGCGAACACAACATCATTCTACGCCCAGGAGATGCCTTATTCATCAGGGTGGGTCTTAGCGCCAAATATAAGACGCTTTCTGCTCAGCAAAAGCAAGACTTTCCTAATCGCGAGCCTGGCAGTCTCCTCGGACCTGAAGCTAATCGATACACCCTTCACTGGCCCTAGGAAATCCCTATCGCATCGGACGCTGCAAGCTATGAGCACCAGCAACAAACCATGTAACAAACCGGATGTCAGCATAAGTCAGTGGGATTTAGTGGGGCAGGAAATGCCTATAGGCGCATTGTTTGATTCAAAAGAGTTTGCTGAAACGTATCGGGAAAGAAACAGCTTCAGCCTCTACAGAGCACACTTCTTGAGATTCCTAGACGTGTGACTAGCCCAGCAACTGCCATGGCATTTCCGCATGATCTAGTATAGCCCAGAACAAGAATGATAGCGACGTCAAACACACCAGGGGCAAATATCATGCAGAGAAACTATCATGCAGAGAAACTATCATGCAGAGAAACTATCAACCCTTTTTGCCTTGCCGCACAGACTTCGCCACATATCTACAAGGAGACCCTCGCTTCGTGCTGCAATTCCTGGTCGTGCATCCCTTTCAGAAACCTGTTCTCGACTTCTAACGCACGCAGACGGTTCTTGAGTTCCTCCATCTCGCTCTGCTTTACGACAGTATACGAATCTCGGTTTCGTGCTTTAGTTGATGATACTTCAAGGGCCCGCGCATCTTCCTGCGCATGCTGTGTGGATTGATTGTAGGTCTGGACTGCGCTACCGGACGCTTTCTTGAGCATGTTCGTATATGAGTGCCGCGCAGTCACAGGCAGAGAGGCTCCAAATTTGAGGAGAGACAGGAGAGCATCTTGATACTGCAGGTGTCTGTCTATGTCAACTTGAGGCAGGGAAGCACTCTTGGTAGTATTGCGCGTATTGTCAGGCAGATCACGATGCATAGGCGCCTTGGTGGTAGGCTCCGAGATGCCAGGCTGGAGAAGAGAGAGCAGAGCGTCACAATGGTGCGGATCCTTTCTCGAATGGCCTACAGGCAGCCCAGTCTCTTCCATGAGTTGAAGATAGAAGACAACTTCTTGTGCAGAGTTGTGGCGGATGAAGTTGGACCGTACATCTTTCTTCGTGAAATTGGCAAACCGAGAAGCTGTAGATTGGAGATGATCGAGGTTTCGAATCATCCTATTACGTCCAAGCGCATCATGCAGGTTATCGTACGGTGCTTGAGATCCGAGCTGGTTTTCTTCCTGGAGTGAATCGGGATGAGGGGCATCGACCTGTTTGTCCTGCCCGAACGATTCTACAAATCGAGATGCGATCTCTTCGAGCTGGCCCAAGTTACGTGGAACACTGGTCATCTCGATCGCTTCGTAGATATAGGAGCTTTGAACTCCATAGGCTTTCTGGGCCTCCTGCGCTTCATGAGCTTCCTGAGCTTCCTGAGCTTCCTGAGCTTCCTGAGCTTCCTGAGCTTCCTGGGCTTGCTGACGAAGTTTTACGCGAGTCCTTTTGTCTGGTTTCTTCTCCTTTTTTGTTACTTCTTCATCTCTCACGTCTTCTTCACTTCCATCGATTAGATCTTCAGCATTCGTTGCTGCCTCTTTGGTTGCGCTCTCTGCTGCCGTCCTCTCTTTTGCCAGTCGTCTCTTCGTTCCGAGCCCGCGCTTCTTCCTCTTCTTGCGGCCGTCCTTCACCGTCGCGGGTCCGTGTAGCGCTTGCAACGATTGCTCGGGTGCAACATCTAGCTGGAGTAGATCTGTTGCCTCGAATTCGGAGTCTTGTTGCTCTTGCGCTTCCTCTACCATTGCTAGCTTTTGCAAGCTCTGTTCCGCTTCTTCTGGTACAACACCCTGTGGAGTGTGTTCTGTTTCTCCGGGTGCTATGTCTTGCAGATTGTTCGCTCCATCTTCGGACGAGAGATTCGGATGAAAGGGTTTTGGCTCTTTCGTCCCCTCATTCTTCGCCAGCTGTGGTGCTTCCTTCGTCGCGAGTTCTTGCTCCGAACGCGGATCCTCATCCAGTAGAGGGCATTGCTGATCTTGTGCCGCTTCTTCTAACTGCTGACCCTGCTTAAGCTGTGACGCATCCTGCTGTACAAGGTCTCCCTGGATCTGTGGTACATCTGGGGCTGCACGACGATGAACTTCACCCTGTTCGTGTTGGATATGATTCTCCCGTTCAGCGATGGGCGGCGCAAGTTCTTCTGCTTGACCAGCGCTGTTATGTTCCTCGTTGTACAGCTTTGCGTTGTCCTTTGCTGCCAGCTGGGCTTTCCAGGCCCCATCTCGCTTCATCTCTACCCTCACACCTGACCGGTGCTTGCTTTGCTGCCAGCTCTTTCTCGCCAGCCCTGAATCGAGTTTTGGCTTCTTTGATGGCTCTCGCTCGGATTCCGAAGGTGAATGCAGGGATGTTCTCTTAAGTCTATCCGAGGCCTCAGCATCGACTTTCATCGGCGCGATACTAGGTTGTTCCTTGAGAGGGGTATATGCTGCGTAAAGTCAGAAAATTGATAGCCTACATGTTTGAATTATACTCACCCGATTGCAATATTGCTGTCTGTTTTTGACTGCTCCAGTAGGGAGATGTAGTTGTAGATCTAAGGCCTTTTATCAAAGCTGACTCATGCAATGGCAGAATAGAGTTCGTAAGCGTCTCTGTTCTTTGGAGCGCCACCTCCTGCGCATTTTGACGCGGGAAGGTTGCGACACTATCTTCCGGTGGAAACGACTGTCTTTTCCTCTGTACCGAAGCATGCGGTACCTCGATGTGCTGATTTATTTCACCCGAATGCACACGCGGCAGGAAGGTCAGGGTTGAGGTGGCACTGGCTCTGGTCGTAGAACACTGCGGTTTTGCGGTGGACATGAGTTGCGCATCATTTGCTGTAGTTTCATTAGGTTGCTCGGTGAAGGCATCCTTGTCGCGGGTAGTAGCCCGCTTCATGGCTGAGTCGGACCAATGGCCTTCAGCAGTTGCTTGGTTGGCTGCGCGAATTGCGCGGACACTGTCGGCAGGCGTCCAGGTCCCTGCTGTGTCAGGCATCGATACAGCGGGCCGAGTAAGCTTGAGTCGGATCGGCGGCGGAACATGATGATGTACTATGGGAGACCGGCCTGCTATGTTCAGTGTCAGAATCAATCCAGGCAATCTGGGTCTTGTTTCCACTGTCCATGCCGGAGGACGCAGCCTACTTGGGTTGTGCAGGTCACGAGTATTTTCTGCGGCCCGACCGAGGGGTACTTTCATACCGATATCGTCGGGGTCTTCGTCATGCGCTGGGTTTGTGGTCGACATCTCGTGTCGAAGTTGACGAGCAATGGGCGAGGCACTGCTGTAGCAGCTGTCGAGGGCTCGGTTGGGACTTATATAGGCACAAAGTCTTACTTAGCAAGTGCAGTGGCTGCTTCGGGTACTCTCTCAGAATCAACTTTCACAGCTTGAGACCCGAGCGAAACAAGCAGCGTGGCGGGCGGCGTACGACCTGTCGCTACTAGTCAGATCGTTCTGCAAGATGCCGGCCGCTTGTAGACAACTCAACATTGGAGGAATCATCACGGCTTTCGCCTATCGACTCTACGTGCGGGTGTGCGTATGATCGTAGCGCGATTCCAAGTTCTGTTCGGGGCCCAGCGGCTGCTCGAGGTAAGATCGCTTGCCTGATACCATAGGTACCATACCTAGGTAGGCTGTCAGACACGCAATATCCTGTTGCTTTAGGGGACCACCAACCTTGAGCTTGGTACTTCTAGAGGCCCCTCGTCTTCTGCTCCTCAGTATTTACTTCGATGTGAATTGGAGGGGGCAGACCAACCTAAACCCGAGGCCATGACGAGCTGCGGCATGCTACATGCGGCATACGCCAAGGATACCCCGCCGGTGTGGCACAAGGCTGTAAAAGATGAGCAGTCCCCTTTTTCTAAATAGGTGGCTCCTTCTGGACGTACCCCACCTTTTATTGGCCAGACTGAAAGCGGTGAATGTGACACGCACGTGGGGGCAGCGCTTTCCCTTAACGGGCTGTTTGGTGCTACGGGCCTTGGTCGCGCCTGCCGCCATCCGTTGATTATCGACACAAGCGCTTCGTTTCCCCTCCCTTTCCAGTTCTGTCGAGCAAACGTGATATTCGTCACTTCGCAAGCAGCGAACCATGGGGGGCTTCTCTGTTGATAATCCTGACCCGCGTCTGCGCGAGCGTGCAAAGATGCAATTGCAGCAGGACACCGGTTCAGACATCGAACGATCAGGGTTGAGCATCGAGACGCCGGCGAAAGCCATGACCAGAGTCGAATCTGGCGAGACAGCTGGTCTCTCGGCTGTTCCTGCATTGGTTGATGACGAGAAAGCGTAAGTATATATCGGTACCAGGCTGTCAACTTCTGTTGGGCATCGTCTCATCTGAAACCCCATCTGTTGCCGAGCACTCTGGCTTTCCTGTCGCCGCCTGTCGCGCCTCGCAAACTGCGTGAACATAGGAAGTTGTGTGAAGAGACTTGAAACATCAGTCGGAACGGCATATCAACGTAGTTGGGCTGCGTGAGAAGCCTTCCATGTTATGGAGAACAAACGTTCACTCTAGTCTTGACATCGCTAACGACAACCAGTTCAGCAGGCACGAAGAACGAATGCACGTCCAAGTACGACCGCGAAGACAGTCGGTTTCGGAAGTTCATTGCGACACTGAACTCAGAGAACGCGCAGCTTGCCAAGGAGAAAGCAGATGCCCTCCAACAGTGTGCTGATATCCAAAAAGAGCACCTGATCACCACAGCGGAATATGTAAAAATACACAAAAGATGGACCGAGAACAACCAATTACGCATCAACTTGGATCATTCTGTGGCCAAGCGTATGCAGGAGAAGCACGCGGCGCTCGCAATGAATGAGAAATCAAGGATAGAAAACGCCAGGTTGTTGCAGGTTCACGCCGACCTGGGCCAAGAAAATGCCGGCTTGAAGGGCGAGAACGCAAACCTAGTAGCGGCGGTTCAGCCACTCGAAGCTAGAATTATGGAACTCCAGGCTGAGGTCGCTTCGTTAAGAGAGTCGCAGAAGCTTGGCGACTCGGAGCGGGAGCAGTATCGCGCGTTCAAGGCAGAGAGGGAGGAGAGGAATGCCCTGTCAAAGAACGTTGAAGGCCATAATGAGATCCAGCGGGAGGATATTGATTACAGGAGGGGTCGCTCCAGGGCTCGATCGAGGAGCCCACGGAGAACACCTGGCAGAGACTCTTGGCCACCTTCTTATCAAGAGAACGACCGCGGTCCGCGATACAGAGAGCGCAGCAGGGAACGATCTCGCCATCGTGGACCTGACTATCACACAAGGGGCTCCTACCAAACATACGATCAGTATCGACCCGAAGTTGATGGTCCACCTACAAGCCCTCGCCACAGAGCACCCAGTCGCCCAGCACGTCGAGGACCGAATCTTCCAGTCGCACGAGAGCCCAGCCGACTACTTACCCCTCGCGAGACGCCGGAGACGCATTCCACCACGAACAGCAAACCTCCGCATGACTCTCCAAACATGGGCAAAGGCATAGACGCATCTGATGACTTAAGACCATCCAGCATACCAACAGGCCCGAAGGCTGAAAGTCTCTTCTCAATGGGACAAGCCAAGAACAAGTTGTCGAAGCGTGCGAATAAGAACAATCGCTCCCGGAGATCCGGCTGATTTGTGAACAACGGAAGCACGCGAAATCCGGCGCAGCTAGTTGAGATAACGGGTGGCATGCTATAGTGACATGGCACGAAACATCTGGATGCGGGGTACGGTTTTCCCACTTGTGTGCGTCTAGTGTGGGAGTAGACCGGCTGAGACCTGGTGCATTTACTTGTTTTACGAGATGTGTGTGTTTTGGTTTGGCTGGGAATGATCTTGAGTGGTAATTTGCATCCAGTCTGCTCATCCATGGCATCCAGTTGGGCTTCCGAGATTATCTGTTGGCCTCTGACAGTTCGGGAAGTTTTAGTCTAGAAGAACCTTGAGTTGCAACTTGCATCTTCCTGGCTCACGCAAGGCGAAATATCGCGCATTCGACCTTAGACCGGTTTAAACTTCCGACTTTCTTAACGGCGTGATTGGTAGTTCCCGGGGGGCCTTCTCAGCTACGGCCATTCCCATACCCCTCCACTAAATAGTATGATAACCCTCTTCCTATGATTGTATACCACTCATCCGTGGTAATTCCCAATCCATTTTCGTTGCATCCAATCTTACTGTGTATCCAAAACCTCGATCGCTCGTCTCTCGCTTAATGGCCCATCATTATGTATAACGCTGCGAGCATGCCGAAGCATCCGAGCAGCATGGGGGCTAGGATCCATATGGCGATGTTGTTGGCCAAAGTCGTGAAGAGGCCTGGTCTTCGTTGAGTCTGTGTGAGCGGCGTTCGTGTGGACGCCCACCTCTTGAATCCAAACATAGCTGCGGTAAGGGTGATGGTGGCGGTCTGTCCTAGTCGAGATTTACGTCTCGGAGCGCGAACGATTACGCCCCGCTTCGGCACCCGGGGGTTCAAGAGAGAAACGCATAACCCAAATTCGATGACAAGCTGTCCTGACTGCGGCTTGAAAGATCCGCACATCAATACGTTCGTGCCGCATCCATTTGTGCTGCACATACGTAGGCGACAGCACACACATCTGCAAGAGGAGGATTCCGAGTTAAGGAGTCTCTGATTGGACCAAAAGTTGTAAGCCCAGCTAGGTGACCTCCCGGTGTACTGCAGTTACATATCATCTTGGTTGTGATGCTTCATAGGATTGGTAGCATGGTGCGAAGTCAGTAGATCTGTCCGTATCAGGAAAATTCCGAAGACGGGCTAGTAAGTTTCGGTCATGAGATATGCTAGTCACCGTAAGCAACTGCCTGAAGAGCGCATAGTATATACAGAGAGATGTTTCTCGGAAGTTTTTAATGAAGTCACAGGGGAGGGAGACAGACGATAGAAGGGAGGTGGATGGTTCAATGCTAGGATGGTGCCTAGTGGATCGCGGCCTGCCAAACCGGTCTCTTCTCAACCAAACACTTGCTGACTTCGATAGTCGGGCTACGGTATCGCCAACGAAGCACCAGTCGGACATTTATGGTGTAGCGGTTCCTCAGGGCCGGACTGGACGCATACATGCGCTCGCGCAGAAACCCATCGTGCCGCAAGCACTGTTTACAATTCTGCGTTGGGCCTGCATCAGGCTGTTTGAAGATTAGCCTGAATAGCGACACGTTACGCAGCTGCAGGTACCGCGTCTCCTTTCACCCTGATTCGTGGAACAGAAGCTCTAAAGAGGGATATAGCCCTGAAAGTTTTTTGTATATAGATAATGGATTGTTATACGTATTTCAATTGAATCGGCTCGCCGCATAGCCGCATGCGACGGACAGAGGCGCATATGGTCCCAGGTCATATGCGTGTTGAACGGTACCGTAACCAGGCCCTTGCCGTTCCTCGCAGTGGTTTAAATTACATAGAAGTTGGGATGATATGGAAAGTCGTGAGGCCCGGGATGTGCAAGGAAATCGTGTGAAGTAGGTTGCATCAACGAAACATTTCCAGCGTTAGTTAGTGAGATGTTGTTGATGGTACTGAGCCGAGATCAGCCATGGAGGTGATATGCCGAGAGCTCCGATGATAGAGAATGATTGGCGTGAAGGCTTAAGCCTGATTCTTGGGGTTCTCTGAGCTCTTCTTCCACTGGGCGACCGTGTTAGAAATTTGGTACCAGATCCAAGGATGAAAGCAGCAAAAAGGCGTGAGAGTGGTAAAGAACGACCATCGCGAGACTGGTGACCCAGATCCGGCCTCGGACCGGTTTGATAAGGGGAACAAGAAGTGGTGATTGAGGATTGCAAACTTACGTCCTCCCCGAGCTTCTTCTGCTGATCCTTGAAGTCGAGGCTCTTGTACTTGGAACGATTCTCCTTGACTATAAATCCGAGTTAGCGCGAGATTCACCTGCTTTATAACAATTCGTCCTAAAACCGAGCGCCGTGTATCTCGAGAAAGGCAATGAAGAAGCCGAAGGAGACGGAGCTTTTGGCAAAGCAATGTAATTACTGTTGCGCAAGAAAACGCGTTCTCAACGCGCTCCTATCGCGTCGTCTGCGGTGCGGTGGAAGAAAGCGCAATCACTTACAGTAAGCTTGCATCTTAGCCATTGCTGTCCTGGCTTTGCCCTTGCGTCCCGCCGGTCGTCCTGCCTTCTTGACTCCAGCTCCGGTAGCTTTGCCCTTGGGAGTGGCCGTCTTGGTGGTAGCAGGAGCCATAGTGAAGCTTTGCGATTCGAATTATACGGAGTTGTTGGAGTTGGATGGAAATGGAGATATGGGAAGAAGCGTTGGCGAAGATCAAAAGTTGTGTTGTGGCAGATGGGACAAGAGGGAGGGTGAGAGAAGACGCGTTTCACACTCGAGTGATAACAACATCCGGAAGGCGCGCTAGGCGATATCGAGCGAAGCAGAACCACGAATGCGAGCATGTCTTACATATGCAACGTGTTTACCGGAAACACGCAGAAGAGTGAGTGGTTGGCGCACTATTGAGGCTGAAACTCATATTGAGATGTATATCGATGGGGGCCTTGCTCTGAGGCCGAATTTGAGACGCGTATTGGGAAGAATTTGGACCATTTCGAATGGAGAAGTAAAGTGAAGGTAAAGGTGAATAGAATTGGCGATAAGCCAATGATAGCCGGTCCTCCAAACTTATCACGTGCCATTGTACTTGGGCGGGAATCTGGGCCGAAGCGAACGTGTCGGCCTCTCCGTCAAAGTCGCGTCGCCTTTGAGACCGTCTACATAGATTTGTCTTCGTGACGGGGTTCCTGCTGCTGCTCCACATCGTATGTCCAACGCGATTGTCGATGTCATGCCATTTTACACCAAATGTAGCTGGGTAGTCCCCTTGAACTACAGCAAACTGTCCCAGAATCATGGTCTACTGCTGCATTGTGGCGGCTTGAGCTTCTTCGCTTCCTACCGGAACAAGCTTGCCGACGACTAGGTATTTCTCCGAGAAGCGCTCCTCCCAGCCACGGAGAGCCTCCCAGTGCTCTTCGTTCAGATCCTTCAGGTCGTCGAGCGGACCGTCCAAGTCCTTGGTCAGCATGTCCTCATCGAAGCTACCGTGTGCCAGACCACGACTCGCGTCACGTCCAGCAAAGTTCGCATAGGGGCCACCGGGACCGTAGAAGTTCCTTCCCGACGTCACGTCAAAGACACGTCCGCGAACTGAGAGGTAGACTGGCATGCCATTCAGGCCATTGTATGGATAAAGGTCGGGCGGAGTGAAGGTGCGAAAGACGGTGGGGGGCGGAGCGCGCGGAAGGACCTGCGGCTTTGCAGGCTTGAGGCGGAGGTAGACGAGGAAGACGAAGAGCGACAGAAGGATGATGTTGATGGGTGTGACGGGCGATGCCCTGAAGAATGTTGTTAGTCGGACAGCGTTGAAAGTAGAGCGCTCGGATGCTTACGCATAGGCGGCGGGTGGCGGAGACGACGCTGCAGCCTTGTTAGCTTTATTCGGTCGAAAAGATGGATGTTGATTACCGTCAGCCATCTTGGACTCTACGCCGTATTGTGTACTGCGAAGACGGATTTTGTGGTGAGTTGGAGGAAGCCGGAAAGTGTATGGTGGGGTGCAACGACAGCACCAAGCTCCTGTAGCGAACCATCATGCCGACTTACACAAGGCCGAACTATTCGCTAGCCTTCGGGAATGGTCTGCTGCACGTGTTAGTCAGCCCGCATTGCTCTGCATTTACACGGCTTGCGCTTGGACAGGGCGAAAGGAGCTGGACATGGACAGCCAATGCGCCTAGACAAAGCGGTTGACGGCACACGCGCATACCTCACTCATCGCAAAAATAGGCTGCCCAGCTTCGTCGCGTGTGCGCGCGCGACTAGGAGACGTGTGCTCATTGCGAATCACTCGAGGGAGCCAGCATCTGAAACCGCGACGTCGGCCCTGAAACACAGCAAACATTTCATTTCGGCCGCCTGGAAGCCCTCTCATTCGCCGACGTGGGCAGCGCGGAAGAAACACATCTTTATCAACCTTGGGCGAACCGCTGTTCGCTTTGTGTGGGCTCTGTGATCCAGCGCGAGCTCTGCTACGCGGTCGTCGAGGTCACTCGCGCACGAGAGCTGCTGTTGCTGCGCCTCAAGCCAACTTATTGACCTCCGCTCCTTCAGCTCTTCTCTGCACCTGCCGCGGCTGGTGCGTCCCTTCCTTTGACCAGACTTGCGGTTTCCCCAGCTTTCTTGCCCACACGCATCCATGAGCTTGTCGCACCTTCCCGGCTGATTCTATCATCGGTACGTATGGTTTCGCTGTTACTGTTTCCACCTTGCTTTCTCTCCACATGTCATCTCCTCCACCACTACTCTTTCGCTACCTTATCCTTGGCTCTCTTCTCCTACGGAACTACGACTTTTCTATCCTTCCCACCCCACGACGGAACCTGAGGACCCAAAAAGTCCCCTCTGCCTAACCTGCTTTTCCTCTTTCAACAATTATGGAGCAGATGAGATACGACCCTAAGACGGGTATCGTGGAGATCAAATCTCTATCAGTGGCGCTGCCAAAACATCGCAAGCGGGACCTTCCATGGCTTCTGATCCTCGCATTGTTCGTACCGCCACTTGCTGTGTACTTGGATGGTGCTTCTGCGAGCACCTGCAACGCCATTTTGTGCCTTTGGATGGTTTCGTTGATATTTTGGATTCTGCTTCCTTTCGCTATCGGCTGGGCCCTTATCTACCTCTTCCGATCGTCAGAGAGACGTCGAATGTCATGCCCAGCACGACACCGGCTTTGGGTGCATAGTCCGGAGGGCCAAAACAAATTCGAGAAAGCATCTTCGCATACAGAGCCTGGAGCCGACACTGCTACTTCTTGACTAGCAGGAACCGCTTTTCGGCAAAGTCTGTCGGGCCCTTCGCCGTGGTGTAATGGGCGCAGGTGGTACGGGTGGTGCGGCTGACGGAGGTGGAGGTGCTGAGGGTGGAGGTGGCTGTGGGACAATTTTGACATTTGCACCAAGAGCTCCGCTAACTCGTTAACTTTAGGTTAACCATGTGGAAACGACTACAGGGACATATCCGTGATGGACAGTTCCGCGACAAGGACAGGCAGATTGGAAGTCCCGTCCTCGTTGAAACGACTTACGACGAGGATCAGCTCAGGCACATTCCTAACATCATCCAAGCGCAAAATGCCAGTAACCAATTTTATGCACCACCCCCGCAACCCTAGTAAGTAACCCGTCGTGTTACATATTCATTAACTTACATGAGCAGCGCGGATCTTCCCCCACCGCAGTACGGTCACCAGTACAGAACATCAGAAGTACCCACGGTTTCTTCCGTTTACTCGCAGCCTTCTCCTGAGTTGAGATACGACCGCCGCATCCCTGCAGGCGAGGCGCGTTTTGACGTATCTCCACCAAGCTCACCGGAACCCGACGAGGACCAGCAACAAAATCCAGGCCAACCTCGAAGGTTCCGATCAATGCGTGACGTTTCTCCTGTCGATGAAAACCGAGGAAGAGGAGGACCTTCACCACGGGGCGGCAGCAACATTCCTGTCATGCGCAAAGCTCCTCCAGGCCTTCGAAATCCGGAAACTGCGAATACGCAGAAGTTCTGGGGAGGTAAAGTTGCGCCCAATAGCAAAGTTCTCTGGGATGAGTATTCTGGCGAACCGACATCCAGTAATGCTGGCAAAGCTGCGCGGGTCACTCCGGGTTCCTATCAAAAAGGTACATCCCCACCTTCAGCACGTCTGCGCGAGACTGGATACGATGTGAGCGCGACTGGAAACTCGCGAAGAAACCAGTCTCTCGCAGAACGAGCCAATCGTTACGGCGCAAAGCCCGCACCGGTTGATACCAGGCCCCGGGAGCCATGGAGCCGCGCAAGTGGGCGCACGGAGATCGTGAGACCATTCAAAGACCAACCCTCCGACAAGCCTTTAGATGTACGGAAAACGAGAACCGCGCGCGCAGAAGAGTTTGAGAAGGATGCGTCAAACTCGCTTATGACAAACGCAGCACGTGTTCCTGAGCGAGCTGATACCGCGCCCGTCGCAGACTACCCAGCCGCACATGATACGCATGAGGAACCCATCAAGCCCGTAGTTCCACTAAAAGTTGCCAGAACGTCCCCTCCCCGGGAACTCGCATCTCCCACCTCTCCGCATAATCCAGGGTCCTCCAACCCTTACGCTTACAGCCCGATCACGCCCACAAACAAACAATTCTCAACAGGAGCGACAAACGGGGAGACCCAGGCGAAGGCCGAACCAGTACAACCTGAACCGACGACACCGACTGCTAAGGGTCCGAAAAAATCATTCGACGGCACACCAGGATCGACAGGAAGCAAAGATAGAGGACCGGATAGTCGCTTCTCGTGGACAACGTACAACAGCAGCACAACGTACCAGCATTCGCCTCCACCCTCTCCGCCTCCCCCAATACCGACATCTCGCGTCCCCAGTGAGCCGGCTTCTGCTGCATCGGCAATCCTCAATCGCAAACGGCCTTCTACTGTTGCTCGCAAACCTGTCGCCTCTGTCGCATCTACTGCTACTATAGAGTCAGCACGCAACACCATGATCTCAAACGGACCACCATCCCCACGGGCAGAGTCCACCTTCTCCACCAGCACGCACAAGGCTCTGCCCCGGCCACCCACAGAACTTGCAGCCGCCGATCACATCGAGATTCTGGAGTCGCAAATGGAAGATCTGAAGGTTCGACGAAACAACGTCTATCGGCTTTTGAATGACCTTAATAACATGGCCCCACCTAACCCGATGGTCACGGACTTCAAAAGGATGCGGTTGGTCGAGCAGCGAAAGAAGGACTTCGCGGATGAATTGGCGGAGATTAAGCGGGAGGAACATGATGTCGGCTTGAAGCTGCATCGAGCGTGGCGGAAGAGGGAGATGGCTGATCCCGGTAGCGAAAGTGCGCTGTGGATTCGCAGGGTCACGTCGTGAGCAGTTGTTTGTCAATGTGGCAAGTGTCTCATTAATCATGGGTTGGTTTGGTGTGCATATGCGTGCGATAATGACGCTCCTCGATGAAACAGGTTCCTGGTGGTGTCGGTGGCTGCTTTTACAGACCGGGGCGGCAAAGCTGAGCAGCTGGTTCTTTTCTTCATGTGTTTTTCTTCTTCTTCTTCTTCTTCCCTCATCTTTCTACACTGTCCCAGACGTCATCAGCTCTTTGCATTAAGATACCTTGTTCCTTGCGCTATTCGAGAATACCATTCCAGCTCTGTTCAATTCATTATTTTGGCCCCTGTGATTGTGCGCCATGTGGAGAATGGATGCTCGGTGTTGCAGAGCGCGAAGAGCCGAGGGTAGAATCGTTATGAGTAACATGACGGCGGCGAACTGGACGGCTATGATTGGAAATTTGCATAAGACATCGGCTAGATGGAGGATAGACTGATTGATGATGAATGTATAATCTGCTATAGAGAGCGCGTCACAGGGAGGGAGCGAGCAAGGGATTGCTTGGTCGATGGGCCGTCTGGGAAGTGGGTGATTGTTCATATAGAGGTGTTAAGATGCGAGACATATAGGAGATAACTATCAAGCAAAGAGAGGTTAAGGAAGGAGGGGTATGTTCGGCGGAAGGCGTGGTTCGAATCAATGTAAGACTACGAGGGCCCTGTTCGGGCTCTGCTGTCTCGACAAGTCTTACCTGCACACCCTCTTGTGCGAGCTCTAGATGCAAGAAGCGGGGGAAGAGAGGGCTGAGCTGAGTGTATGTTGGGATTTATGGAAGCGTTTGAGTAGGTTGGGATTGGATGGCGTACATTCCATATAGCGTTGAAGCTATGTTGCGTCCAACTTGGCGAGAAATGGTTCTTCAGGTGATCGAGGGGTTGAGGATGATGAGCGTTGTGGATACGCTGCTGTAGGAATGGTAGGTACAATGAAGAGGTTGCAGCTGCAACGCTCTATGGCTGGCATTCATAGAAAGCCATTTCTTGCGCTGTAAATGCATAAGCGTCTAAAATATTTGAGTGCATATACAACGTTCAACTAGTACAACGTAGCATCCTTTCGTCAGAGTTTCAGAGAACCTTTCAGATCGTCGAAATTGTTTTTGCCTTATGCGTGTTTTATAAGCCACATGATTGTTAAGTAATCATTCAAATTTACAAGATTGCATAAGACTAGATATGATGGAGACTTTTGTGTATCGGAATCCTCGGTGTTGAGGTCTACGGAGCTTCAGTACATGGTCGGTATGGTGCGCTATGGACTCAAGGCTAGCGCTGGATGCTCCTGCACATTTACACCTCAAAGGAAAATGAAACAAAGTGATCAGCTTGGCGCAGATTACAACGAGAGACCTCTTCAACTTTACTTCTCAGCGAAAAGGATGTCAGCGATCGGGCCAATGGCACGCCACTGCCGTAGAACAAAATGCTCTGCGAAAAGTACCCCTACGTCGCTTCCGCCCCAAAGGCTAGCAACCCTCGTCAACGTCAGTATGCTAGTGCTTCAGCAGATGCTGCCTCATATGCCACCGACGGCTCTGATCTATAATATGTGCATTCCGAAAACCCAGAGTCACTGCAGCGAACAGCCGCAAGCGGTTGCACGTTGCATCGTAATACAGCACTGTCTTTTTGAGCTACCGGAGAAGATAGAAAAAAGAAGTGGAAGACATGAAGTCCGAAAAAATTGTGCTGAATCTGTGGGACGGTACAGATTTCGATGATGAAGAAGAATATGTGAAGCAAGCGCTGAGCGGAAACAACATTATGGCTGCTGATCAGAGCAAAAACGTGCGAGCTTAATTGATATCCCTCCCAATTCCACTACTATGAGTTGCTCATCGTGCTCTACTACGATAGAGCCCGACCAGTCGATGATAGTAGCTCTAAAGCCACTACGAGTAAGCCTACCATTAAACACTATGATGCGAAGGCCAAGAGTACTCCGAAAAAAGCACACAAGAAAGTTCCTCGACAGGTTGACATTTTGTAAAGGGGCCACCGAGCAACCAGCTCCGCTACAGGAACCCTTGCCCGAATTGTGTAGCTAGTTGCAAAGCACAACACAACAGGATTCAAAGATAGACGGACCCGATATACCATCGCTGCTCATTGTCGAGTATTGCAGCATCAGAATACCAATGGCACCTATGCACATTAGTTAGAGGGATTGTTAAAACACACTCGACCTAAGAAAGCAGCTCATAGACTCCTTGACCCTTATCCTATACTAACCCTAATCTTAGTAACTCCAACTCTGTTAATCCCAACCCCATCTTAAGTCGAGTGTGATTTAACGCTTCGCATCGATTATCCGTATTAGATTGCTGCCTATATTGACAAGGATGTTTCAGGTACTAGGCCTCAATCAACCAGCCCTTACGTAACGTACATGTGCTAATGTGTTGATGCATAGGCGGCGTAGTTCGAACATCCGTATCTTACGTCGCCAGATTGAGAACGAAAAGGGAGGAAGAGCCGCAATCGTGTGCGAGCCAAGCTGTTGGAAGCTTCGGTCGTACTAGGCATCCCCAACGACTAACAGGACTGTGGTTCGTTCAGTGGCTTGTTCAAGTCCCTGAGAAGCGTGCAGACCCACCATAACACTACTTACGTGGGTCAGTCAAACACGGTACCCTTATATGGACCTACATTTGGTCGGCATCTTAAATGAAGGTGCGCTCGATGGTATGAACGTGGCGCAAACGTGGCGAAGATAGACTGCATGTGAGTTGACTTACCAACATCCAATGAAGAAATGAATTGGACATCTTAGGGGTCAAGAATCCTGACTGAGGATCATATCACTGTCGGCTAACTCACAGAGATGGTTAGGGTTCCAGCATCCAAAGGGTACTCGCGAAGTCACCCTCTCAAGTTTGGGCTTTGATTTTGGGCATCAGCGTCAGCGAGACAGACCGGCCGTCTGAAATTCAAGCTGCGCCAGGAATTATTGCATTGTCGGATTAACTAACACCAAACACGGTGATGCTTTTGAGCGAAAGGGAAAGCAAGTTTAAACGCACGAGTGTCGGACAAGGCAGATCCCGGTTAGGCTCCGCAGTGGAGCTGCGCATGCTACTGGACCTTCTGCTGTCCTAAGCTGTAGGATCGTATATGATGATCATGCTCGCCTTTCCTCCTCGGAAGTCGGCATTGAGATTTGTTGAATGGCAGAATTACGCGCTCTTCTGTCGCAATGTTTACAAGGACAAATCTAGATTCTTGCCCTTGTAAGGCCTAGAATCGTGTATCACAACCATCATCATCACAGCCCCCACAGAGGCACAACAGATGAGGCACAGACAGTGCACTGATTCTCCATGTATTTGCGAGTGAAATCGATGCAAATTTTCAAAGGAGTGAATTTTTGAGTGCCATCAGGTGTTCACGTACGTTACGCTTAGAGTTCCGGATTGCGCCAATCCCTTTCCTTTAGCTTCGAACATTTCCTGCGCGTTCGCTTCAACTTAAGAGGCATATCAATTCCAGAGTAGCGGTGGGCTGATGCTGAATATCGAGTGACCTGAGGCGAAAAATAACACAGGCTGTACGAGATTGCCTTTGGCCAACATCGTGTGCCTTCTTGGTAGTTGCATTTATCTGGATCCCTGATCTTATTTCCGGGGACAGGTGAGGTCTAGATGCATAGCCACAGCTTTGTGTGGGCCAGTCCAGACGTTGTTCATCCGACCCATCTCTCGGAACACTTGCTTCTTCCGTGAACCATCCCCCACAAATCCTCCTTCGAAACGCCGACTGCGGATCAGGTGTCGTCCGGCCTTCTAAGATCTCTTCAGGGATGCCACATCTAGTTGTGTAATACCAACGAACCCGATGGCTACGCCAACGGTTTGCGTGACAACTGTCTGATCCCTCATGCATGCAGCTAGTACCATGGGGGTCGAGCCAATACCAGCTCTAGAAACTACCGGATCTCGGAACTCTAGAGGCGATCATCATTATGCACGCAATTTAGGAGCTTCTAGCGGGATCGAGGTGAGGTCGGTGGACGGCTTCGTAGGACGCTGAGTGGGTGTAGCAGCGCCGCAAGGGGGCGGAAGTGTACTCCCGTGGACTTTCTAAAGGTCTTGGCATGTTTAGGGCTCCACTCGCCGGTTATCTCCGCGACCGGCCATAAAACCACGCCATTTGCACGTCCATGTATATATTCAAGAGCGGGACTCTGATACGTGGCTGGTGAATCAACGAGGCTGCGTGTGTTTGCCAGGTATTCTTTTGTTCCTTAAGCCCTCTCTCCATTCAGCTTTCAACTCTGCTCTCGCTATGATCTCGCTATTATACAGCCAAACATGTCGAAAGGAACGATGCGCACAAGGAACCACCGTGCTGGCTAATGCAACAGGTAACCGCCGCCCATATACGCCGAAATATCCCATAACAAGCCCTCTGAGAATGTACAAAGAAGGGTCCAAGGAGCGACCAAGCCGACCGTACTAAAAATCGATAGTCACCGAACGTAAAGAAGTATTCTGTGGTGATTGATTCACCTCGAAACTGGTACCAGGCTCTCAATCTGAGGCATTTGCTCGAGAGCCTTGGCATCCAGAGTCCAGCTGTCAAGATCATTGATATGCGACTCGAATAGTGGAGTGAGCCGCGTGCATGCCGATTCAATCTCCCAATAGTGGCACGCATCGTCCGCGTACGGCCAATTAATCCCGACTAGGCCAAGGAAGGCGCCCAAATGGAACTCCCCAGGATGTTGATATAAATACTGGCGGAGTTGCGGCCTTGGGAAGAGTTAGTCATAGGGCATCGAGCAGACATAAATGGAGACACGCACCAGGGAATGAGATCGACTAGTAAATCGTACCCAGAACAGTCCTGCCTCGCCAGAGGCATCAACCAATCCGGCATAGCATTCATGTTTTCGATACTTGGCCAGATGAGCCACTGGCTCCATTAGCAAATGTCGCTCTGGACTTCTGACTATCCAGGGTCACCTACCCGCATCATCTTGGTCAGCAGACTGGCGGACGCCAACCGTATTGGCAACGTTTGCGCCGGGAGCATTCTGTTGATCATCTTGCTCGCCCAAGTCGGAACTGGTAGGCTATCCTGAGGATCTGCAAAGCCCAAGAGGAGAGTATCCACATCTATCTCATTTCGCCCAAATATTTGCGCCTCATCCCAGCCGTTTGCGAGCATCTCACGTTTTGTCCTACGATACACGGCACATTCGAAACTGAATTTGTTGGCGTCGTTTGTTTCGTTATATGGAAATGGTCCTACGCCGTCCACAGCGTGGTCGGGCGTCTGAAAGGCTATCGCGGGCTGGCTCTGCTCCCGACTTCTCCGCATATCAGTCGCGTTCTCTGGTTGGACTGGATGAGATCGTTGCTTTACCTTTCGTCTCTCGAGGATCCTTCATATGAAGACTCAGCAACACTGTGTGATGGACGCCGGAATCGTTCGCTCACAGGCGTGTCAAAACCATCGTGCTCAGGAAGCTGTCTCGGCTGGCTTCCAGGCTCCTGCAGAGCCGTCAGTGGTGGATCGGGAAGGCTAGGGTTTGGTGAGCTCACCTGAAGAGCTCTTTTGATTTCTTCCGCTGAGTGGTGGGCAAAGCCGTTCTTTTCCAGTTCACTAGCCCATGTCGCAGCGGAATTTCGATCTGTTGCCAGCGCGAGTAAAGACACAATTGATTTCATATCATCAAGCTCTTTTGCCAATCTTCTGACGTGAGCTCGCAGTTGTGTGGTCGTTTTCCCATCTTCAGCAACGTCGTACACGCAGGAAAGATTCTTCGTCTGGCATGTGTTGCATTTCGGCCTCACACCATCGCACTGTAAAAGATCAACGGACAGACCAGAATTGTTGCATGACAGAGCATACCTTGGACTTGCGTTTTCTGCAGCTCTCGCAAGCTATCGAGGTGATTTTCCCACGCGGTGTGCGCAGAGCGTAGGTTCCTGAAATGGGTGACTGGTGCTGATTCCTTGCGCTGCCCAGTGCACCTGCGAGGCCTTGTTTGGGTGCAAGAGGTGCCTTGTGATTCGCGGAGGGAGCTACAGACTGTGCTCGGAGCACCGCAGCGGTGTCGAGATGGAGCGGGGTTATACCGTCCCAAGGCACTGTCTCCTGGCTATACCATTGTCAGCCGAGAGCAAAGAATGGCGCCAGGCAATGATCGTTGTGACAAGAAGCTGCTTCGTCGCCGGCGGGTTGGTGTGGAGCGCGCTGCTCTGGGTTCGCAAGGATCATGACCACGCAGTGAAGCTCGCGTTTCGACAGAAGGTTGTCGTTGGCGTCGAGGGACAGGCCACAGCGCCAGAGGTTGGAAAGGGCTCGTGGACATGGGCGGCTCGGTGTTTGGGAACGTTCATTGGTGTTCAGTTGCATCTCAGGTGTCCTCAAGTCGCTGCGCCCGTAACTGGATGGCTCATTCCGCGGAGGCTGACAGCCACGTTTGCAAGGGTGCGATGCCGGCTTCCCGTTGCAAAGTTTCCAAGGTATTGCGGGACCGTTTACGTATAAGACAGGCTCCCTCGAGGTTCTTCGGCTTCCCGAGATTACAGGTTGGCTGCGACTTCCGTGTGCAGCCAGCGAAACAGCAACAACGAAGAAACGACGAGCAAGCGAAAGGTCAACGAAATGCAGCCTCACCTGTGAAAAGCGGCCGAAGGTATGACGGCTTCTGAAGCTCGCCGCAGCATCCGCGGATTTGAAGGGTCGGCGTCGAGGCTGTTGGAGAGGCCGTTTGGCAGACTGCCGCCATACCAGTAGTTCGCGCCTGTCTTGTCAGTGAAGTCCGGCTCACGCCCACGGCCCTCTGGCGAAGGCTCACCTGGCGATGAATTGGCCGATTCGGGAGGCATCAGCGAGATCATATCGGTGCCGATGAAATTCGACTGAAGATCTATATTAATGACGATCCTGGGCAGCGAAATCTAAGCAGAAACCATGCACCGCTGCCGTGCGACAGGCCCACCCTGCATTTCGGGGATTTCCCTTCTATACCTGTTCGGCTGTTGGGACGTTGCATATGGGAACCATCAGGCCGGCCAACCCTCGCGTTTACGCTGCTGACAAGCGCCCTGAGCTGGAACGGGGTTTCAAATGCGCAGCTCACCTAACACCGCGAGGAGGCGGACGCAGATGGAGGCTAGTGCCTAGCGGCCCAAAGAAAGAGCTCGCGGGGAAGTCGGAAGAGCAGACGGTCACCACCCAGGCCGGCGCTCTCCGCAGACGTCGTTCGAACGGCCACCGCCCACCAGACCACCAAGCCCCACGGCCCTGGGTCACGACGACTCCGGTCTCGCCCTCCCTGCGCCCTCCTTGCCGCTCCCTTCGTTGCTTGTGTACATGGCCGTCGTCGACTGAGCCTCCCACGATGACGCCAGCTCTCGACCGAGGCGTCGACCCCAAAGGTGAAGTGACGAGCGCTTGGCTCCTTGCGCCGCATACTCCCCAGCGATCTAGGCCGTCCGGCAGGGCTGTCGTCGAGCACAGTCTCCCACTAAGCCCATGTTTATGGTCAGAGCCGGTATGTGCAGTCGGTCCGATCGGCGGCTCAGCTCGCCCCTCTCATGTTACGATTGACCATCGGTTTTGCCGTTCCGAGCCTTCAGAGTTTCGATGCAACCCATGACGATCTCCATCTACATAGCAGCAGTCTTCTGGGGCGCGCGGATCGTGGACGTGGACATGTTGTCGGGCGCCACGCCATGGGGAGCTCCATGCCTCTTTTCACATGCCTCGAAGAGGAAAGACATATCATGGTATCGTCTGGGAGGGGCTCGCTACCGACGCGTGGCTATACAGCCTGCGGCATATGGGCGAGCGATTGGACGGGCTGGTGCTCCGGTGCATTCTTCAGTGCCACCACAAAACCACATTTCGAGATCAAGAGCCTCCACACCCTTGTCCCTTGTCAGACAGCGAGAGCTAGCCCGCGGCCACCTTCAGCTGTGCCGGGTGCAGCAAGTCTTTTGGGAATCGTAGAGAACTCACTGCCGCTTACTAGTGCGTCATCGCTCGCGCAGAACCGGTGCCCATCAGTGGCCATCAGAACCCACTACATGCAACTGGACCCTGGAACAGGGCCTCGAAACGCGCCCGTCACTTGCCTGCAAACGGCAGGCGCACCCTTTGTCATGTCGCCTGCCCTTGTCCATTGGCTCTGCGATTCGCAACGAACTATATAGCGGAACGTCTCCAACTACACCCTGGTGCTTCGGTAGATCAAGCAAACGTTAAAGCTTCTATTGTGTACGTAAACTTTGGTTAATTTGTATTCTCCCGATCATCTGTCCGATGGTTCGTCACGGTGGATACATGATCGGTTGAAAAGTTTAGACCATCTACGACAAGACCCGCCGTGTACTTTGCGAGCAATAGAAAAGGGGACATCGACTTGGCCTTGGCCATGTCCGGAGAAAGAGACTTCGAAGGACGTTGACCTCTGAGAGCGCTAGGAGATGTCTCCTGCATTTCTGATTGGCCATGCTCGACACAGCCTCATTTCCCACACGAACTCACGACACTGCGAAATGTGTCACATCATAGCTTTCTCATCGATTGTGGTTCATTGTGCTATGAAGACAGGGCACAAATGTATTCCCTTGCGACTCAGGCCATGTCCATATCATCTGTTTCGATCATGTTGCTGCTCTTCTGGTATCAGGTCAAGTGTCATGGGAATAATCAAAGCCCGCAAGGACTTGTGTGACACTTCGTGCCCATACGTACGCAGCCTCTCCGATACACAAACCATTATCAACGGGTCTCGTCGACTTGCTGAGCTGTCGATAGAGCACAGCATTGTTATATTCGCGTGCTCGAACTACTGCAGCTGCCCTGATACATATCTCAGACGGTCCGGTTCGATATGTGGATTATTTCTTGAACGCTCTGCGCTTTACAACGGTCGTACGAGAATGCACGAACAGTGAAGTGTCTACACACCATTTTCGCCATGTTCTGGTTTATTGGCAACTGCTATACAGAAACCATACATTGGGCAGGCATCGATCCTCTCCATCCCTATCAGCCAACGAAGACGGCTCGTCTAATTTCCGGCACTCACGATTCGTTCAAGAGATTGTTAGCTAGGTTAGGATACCGTTGCTATCCGACGACCGACAAGACCTCACTAGCTCTGACGCTTCGGCTATCTGCGTGGAATCTAGGGTCACATATGCACGTTAACGCACAGTAACACACTTTTCCCGTTGGCTGCAGATCCTGAGATAGATATTCCACTTGGAGTACCGGTCGACATTTGGCCCGTACTATTGTTGCCACTTACAGCAACAACATCCCAGAAACTTGCATGAATCCACTTCTTCCGTACTTCGCGTACAGAAATTGGAGCATTGCCGAAGTAGCCTCGGCAACTATCTCTTGTCGCCTCAAGATTTGGATGCGACACGATCATACCGTATTCGGAACGATCTTTAACAGCTTCAACAACGTTGGGCGCCGTTGGGCAATATTTATCGTCACTGCGCCAATATCTGTCTCAATTCGAAACCGAGCATCTGTGTTGCCGCTGTCGACGCGTTCGACTCTACCGCGGCACGATCCGCTGCACGATTCGGGTGTGGCAGGGCTTGTGCTTCCTCACCTCTCACACACCGACAATATTCGGAAACGCTGGGCAAGGCTAACTCGAGACTTGGCCTTGCTACCTATCAGATGTTCAAATTCGAAGCCCAATATAATACTGTGTCCGTACGCTTCCGCACTGCCCGAACATGCTTTCCCCTGATATCAGGGTACAACGTCTTACTGCAGTCAGCAAAGATTTCCACTTCATGATTCGCAAACCCTTGAATGACAAGCATCGAGTCTGTATTCACGAGTCGTAACGGCTGCTCGGGCATTAGCGTACGACGTACATCCGTGCAGTCGGAATACCCAAGAAAGTTTTAAGTTTGACGATCACCCGGCCTAGACCATCGATCTTTAGCCTTCCAAGGAATTGTAAGTTTGACGGCATCGTCCGGGGATCGCGCAGAGATAATTGATCAAACGGCTATTTACGTGAAACCTACAGAGGTGTTGTAGTGCGCGTTGCTGGTATGGGTAGGCTACGCTTAACTCTGTTCTTTGTTGATGATCGTCCAAAATTGGCGTACGAGGTCACTGCCAGTGCACATCTCCACTCTTATCGGATGTAACAGAACAAAATTGAAATATTGTTCTCCACTTCCCGAGAATTGGGCCATTGCTGGGTCGGTCAGAAGTGTACCACCTCATCCTAGGTACCTACGGTATGAGCGGTGTTCCACTGTACCCCCTCGCTACGCATTGACGATCTGCCCACAAGAACCTTATCACCGACCCCCGTGTCAACAAGAGGCTCGCATCTACTCTAAAAAAAAATGCATGTTAATGACCAGATCGAGGTCCATCTCGTCCATCTGACTTTAGAGTATTGTAGGCATCTGAACGCTTGAACCATTGGCCACGGCCAACAGTGCGTTCAACCACCGGAGCTCGACACATTCTTCATCTTTGCACATCTGCTATGTTATACACAGTAAACTCGAGATGTACCCTTTGTGTGTTTCGCCTGGTGGTAGTGGTGAATGTGACCACACGTGACAGAACCGCGGCCCCGGAGCCTTGGCCGCCTAACGCTAGTCTCAAAACCTTCACGTCATCTTCAGAACTTCGCGACTGCGACTTCCCCACCACGATCGCGACCTCCACACGCGCCCTCTTACTACCCTTAACACTGTCCATTTTTCCGTACAGAGAGCCAGGTCGCCACTCGCTCTTGTCTCTTCTCTGCGTGTTCCTCCGACACCCGCACAACGGGCAGGTTGGGTGAATACACCAGCTCGGGGCACACAGTCAGTGACAAAGGCACTCAATTGTTCTCACAGAAGAAAGCAAGCTGACGCACAAAACCCAAATTACTCGTCTGTAGGAGTTCGGCAGTAGCAGACGGCGCCATGGCCTCCCGTGCGAGCTCGTCGTCGGAAGGCGAAGTCATCGAACACCAGCAGAAGGCAAACAGCATCAGCCAGTCCAGCGAACGTACGATTAACGGCTCTAGCAGGGCATTTGGAGGAGACGGAGCTTCGGATGACCACGGTGCGTACTTTGTATATCGCAAGTCTGGAACGTGGATGCTGACCAGCAAAGGCTATAACCATCGTCGAGGACCAAGTCGATCGCCGTCCCCATACCGCAGGAGGCGTGATCGATCACCTTCGCCATACCGAGCCAAGCGCGACACGCGCCAGATTTCCAGATCACCCTCACCCTTTCGCTTTGCGAAAAGCAGCGGAGGCCGAAGCTACGACCCTCGATCGCACAACAAACGCAAGGCCTCGCCGTCACGCGGAGGACGTCCAGACAAGCGTCACCACACTGATCGTAATAGACCCAACGACCATAGGCCCGATTCACGCTACAATGACCCTCGAACCGCACTACACCAGGGTGGTCCTTACAATGACCGGAAGCCTTCAAAGCCCCTCTCTTACGCCGATACTGACCATCCGCCTACCGTTCCCGATTTTCGCGAGCACTTGCGCCCGTTGGAGAAGCCACGGTCGAACGGCAGTAGTCACACCAAGCGCGACCAGGGTCCTTTACGTGAAGAGAGCAGAAATGGACAGGTCTCCAGCAAGAGTTTTGGAAACTCGAATAAGTCGCAAGCTGCTTCTGCGCCTCAGGCCGGCGCAGATGGTGATGTTCAAATGTCAGTCATTGCGCCCTCAAGTGGACATTATTCGCTAATCGGCCCACGCAGGACGCAAGCAGCGGAAGGACCTGACATGTCCTTTGAGCCGGCTGTACAGGAGCAAGCGTTAGCGCAAGAGACTCGCGAGGAGAAGCGCCGCAGGTGGGCCGCCATACGAGCAGCTGCCGAGAAGGATAAGGCAAAGGACAACCTACTTCATCAAGCGCTTCTTGCTAATGCTTCCGAAAGTACGACTCCCAATGTTGCATCACCTATAGCGTCAATCGGGAGCCCAGTATCACCTGTAGGATCTCCTCCACTTGGCGATCTAAATTCTGTTCCTCCGTCACCTGATGTCATGATCATCGACAAACAAGGAGCTACCGGCGAGAGGAACAGCCCATCAGCAGAGAGCCCGTCCGCCGCAGATTACGATCCGATCAAGGACATGCTCGATGATCGCGATCGTGCAGCCCGAAAGGCCCGCCAAACAGAACTTCCCTCGGACGCTTACAGCGAGACTGACCCGAAAGTTCTCTCCACCTTGCCCGCTGAGAAAGTAGGCCCCATCAAGAAGCAAAAGAAGGACTTCGACATGTTCGATTTCGATGAAGACGAAGATGGAGCTGAGGCTGAAGCGGATGTTGTGGAAGAGGCGGCGAACACTGCAAAGGGCACTGTTTTGGACGAGAAGCTCCTCGACAACTGGGACGATGCCGAAGGCTATTACAAATTGATTGCGAACGAACTCGTGAACGGAGGTCGCTACCGAATGATCAAAAACCTTGGTCGAGGTGTTTTTGCCAACGTTGCGCAAGCCGAAGACATCTCAATACAAGATGACAACAGCAACCACAAACTAGTCGCAATCAAGATGATTCGTAGAAACGACCTCATGAGAAAGGCGAGCCAGAAAGAGATGGATTTCGTTCGCAAGGTGAATGATGCAGATCCGCAAGACAAGCGGCATGTCATTCGGTTGCTGAGCTCTTTCGACCACAAAGGCCATCTGTGCGCTGTGTTTGAGCATATGTCGAAGAACTTGCGAGATCTCCTCAAAGAGAATACTAATGGTCACGGACTCTCATTGCAGGCTGTTCGGTCGTATTCGCGCCAGATGTTCATCGGTCTCCAGCATCTTCAGAATTGTCAGGTCGTCCATTGCGATTTGAAGCCTGACAATATCCTGGTCTCACCGGATATGAAGACGATCAAGCTCTGTGATTTTGGCACAGCAGTTGACAAGAGGGATGTCATGGAACGTACAGAGTATCTTGTTAGTCGCTTTTACCGTGCTCCAGAGATCATTCTCGGGTTAGACATTGGGTACGGTATTGATATGTGGGCCATTGGTTGCACGATCTACGAACTATGGACAGGCAAGATCTTGTTCACGGGTCGCACAAATAATCAGATGATCAAGGCTTTCATGGACTGTCTCGGTTGGCCAACGGAAAAGCTCCTCAAGAAGGGGCTGTTGCAGAACGTTCTGGAACACTTCGAGGCTGGTCCACCGCTCAAGTTCATCAGCCAGGAAGTGGATCAGCAAGGCAAGGTATGTGAAGATCCTCAAGTTGTGAAACACATTGCTAATTTAGACCAGGTCACTGTACGCAAGATAGAGCAGCAGAAGAAAATTCCTCGCGACTTGAAGAGCCGTATCAACGATGCTACACGCGGCATGTCTCAAGACAACTTACCACCTGAGAGAGAGTTGAACGACTTTGTCGATCTGCTGGGCGCATGTTTGAACTTCAATCCGGAGAAGCGTATGCAGCCCAAGGAAGCGCTTCAGCACAAATTCTTCCCTCAGCCGAAGCTGGCCCCGAGAACGGCAGTTGTCAAACCTCCAATGGTCAAGCGACCTATGAGCGCTTTCCGACGTTGAGGCGCGCTTGTAAACTCTTTTTATCCATCTATTTCTGAGGCCTACACTGCCTGCACACCACGAACGCAAAGTCAAGGTACGTTGGCTTGTGCTTGCGTCTCTCCTACCCACATTCTGGCTCATTGTATTTTTGCTTGTTTTCAATTGGTCGATATGTGGTCACTGGATTGTCCTACGTCTCGACTCAGCAAATTCCGGCAAATTGGGCGTACATAGGCTTTTTATCTCGATGGGAAGAGACAAAGATGTTTTAGGGCTGAAGATTCACGGGCTCTCCGGGCTCCATGTTTATACCACCCATGCATGGTTACCGGACATGCGAATCAGCCAGATTTACTACTTCTTAAGCTATTGCATAATGTTGTGCCGTAAGACACGACTAAGACGTGTCTTTCCTGTCCTATGAAGCCATACACCGCATACCGCAGGCAAGTACGTGTGAACCTTTGTGCTCAAACGTTACCATCTGTCAGGCCACCCGTCAAATCTAGACTATGACCCCACAACCAAGAATGCCATAGTGTCCGAAATAGGCCCCAGGGTTCCATCCCGCATTACGCCCGTTGTGTTCACTTGACCGGCCCGGATCTCCACTCTCCGCCCCGATTCCGAACCACGTCGTGCTACAGCTGTACCACGACCACGCCTCTTATTAGACTACCATGAAACTTATCCATGTTCCAACACTAACTATCTGGCCTCTGTAGCCATGGGAGGTCCCCCGCTTTCGGAATCGCATTCAGAGGCTGCGCTTGTGACGCGCATTGCGTGCTTCAAGTTTCGGCATGAGGTGTCGGCGGAGAAGAAGGGGGATCGTACGCGCGCGTGTAGGGAACCCACCTGCTAATACTTGCACCTTGCCGAATCTTTACCGATTGGCTGATCGACTGGCGCAGTCCTCAAGCTCTACGAACAATATGAGCATTTACTAGCAGAGAAACCACGCGGTGGACGCCCACTGAATACACCGCTTAATCTTACAAACGTGAAGAGGGAAGCACAGTGGGATACGGGGTTTGTGGTGAAGTTCAAGGTCTGCTTATATTCCTTCCTTTTTCTTCCCTGAGATGGAAATTAGGGAAGTGCATAAGGGTGGGCTGATGTGTACAGAGTGAAGCTGCGAGGCAAGTCTTCGACAAGGCTGAGGGACATGATCGGCTGAAGGAGGAGACAGATCCGTTGTTGGAGAGAGTGTTTGTGTATGATTTTGTGGATGAGGAGGGGCTGGGGTGGTGAGTGGGTTTGATAAGACGTCCCGTGTGCTCCATCCGAACTATGACTTCTCTCTCGGGACTCGTCATAGACGGTTGAGAGTCGAATCTACATTATACACATACGTACTTGGGGTATCGTAGCCTAGTCTACCATCTAATCAAAGGCATAGCACTGTACAGCTCCTCAAACTCCCTCCCTATCCACCCGCCCGTTTCCCCCCCTCGGCCTACTATTCCAAGACTTCCTGCTAGCCAGAGTCCCGTCAGGGCTATCGAGATTCCATTGATGGTGTACCACCGTCTCTTCTTTGTGAGATGTCTTCTTGACTCGGTCGGCGAAGCTTGCGCCGGAGAAAAGCCTAGCCACTTGGCCCACCCCCATACGAAGTGAAATGTTCCTGCGGATACTAAGGCGATGAAGCCCCCGAATGAGACTATCGGGTGGAGAGCGAACCCGTGGCTGATGTACGATAGAGATATCATCGAATTATCCCCGTGCAAGTACGTCGGCAATATCCTCGTGGTCCACACATGCCACCCCGCTAGTGGGACCAACGCATACCCCAGCGCGCTCGTTCCGCTCAGCGCAGGCCACGGTATCGTTTTCCGATCGGTTTGTGTCTCCGCGCCGTAACGCTTCAGCGACAGGTGCCGTCTGTAGAAGCGCAGTGCAATGCCGGAAGTTATGTGTGCGGCGAGAGGGAGTGCGACGAGTATGGGTTCGGCGAGAGAGGACTGGTAGTACGGCCGGGTAAGGAGGAGGTAGCGATTACTTTCGGGGACAGAGCGCGTGAGGAGCGGGACGAGGGAGGTGTTGGTTATGTGGAAGGAGGCGAAGACGGTGAAGGCGTAGGAGGAGTATTTTTGGATGCGTGTGACTGCACATTGATTAGAATTCGATATTGACATAAGAGGATGGGAAACGCACGGTAATATGCAGGTCCATGGTTCCCCAAGCCCAGCGTCGTTGCTCTCGAGGCTTGCTCGGGCGGAAAATAGCCTTCTTTGAACTCGATGGGTGTCTCTTCGACAGGCGAGGGCTCCACTTGCGTCAGTCCCATTACGCCGCTCTCATCGTCGCCTAAAGGCGGCAGCTCTGGGTCGTTGTTCGCCATACTTGTCGTCGCGTGTACGTGGAACAATGCTGACTGCGAAAGTGGCAGGAACTAAATGACGTTGATTCGATGGAGCGCGGCGGTGGGTCTGTGCAGTGTGCAATGGACAAGGGTCTTGTGCCGCGGCTTGGATGCCTCGTGCCTTCTCCATAGCTGCGCGCAAGATAGGCCACACCTTGAAAAGACACAATTGTTTCCCACAATATCAGGATAGGTTGTAAAGACCCACGGACACCAAGAAAACCCTCGCGATTCTCCGTCAAAACCATTCCACGACCCACGTCCACCCACAATGCCACCACGCAATGCACCCCTCCCCAACGCGGTCAACCTCTTCAATTGTAATATTTGCGACAAAGGCTACCCGCGCCAAACCGACTATGAGAACCATCTGCGCTCCTACGACCACAATCACCGCCAACGCCTCGCAGAGATGAAGAAGTTGACCGACGCGAACGCGAGCGATGCCCCGCGCTTGAACAAAGGCCCGTTGGATATGCGAAATATACCGCAGGGTGACGCGGCGAAGAAGGGAGCTGGTCTGGGACCGCGGTTCAAGAAGGTTGGTGGCGCTTCGGGTGCTGGCGCAGGGGCGGCGAGTACGGGAGGAAGTAGGTTTAGGAAGATTGGGGAGGCGAAAGAAGAAAAGGTCGAGGAGAGGAAGGAGGAAAGTCCAAAGGTTAACCTAGCGGCGACTCAGGAAGAATCGGTACCGTCTGCTGAAGTAGAGGTTAAGACGCAGGTCGAAACAGAAAAAGACGAGGACGTAGTCATGGGTGACGATGACGACGAGGTGGTGACTTGGGAAGAATACGATGTCACGAAGCCGTCTGAGTGCGATCATGCGAATTGCCTTGGTTGTCAGATGCCTAAGAATCCAGTGTATGAGAATGGATGGCTGGTAATGGGGTCTGCTTGAGCTCGTCGATCGAGAGGATCGGCATTAGTTTTCCTGCATAGCCATGGCGTAAGGTTTTATTGAGGATATGGACAGCAACATAGATACCCGCATAGCATCTCGAATCATAAGTGCCAAAAATTGGGGGAACCGGCCTGGTATCCCTCAACACCTAGAAAGTTTTCAAACCGACCTCTATATTGAGCGTCCTGGGATAACACAACAAAGACAACGCAGCTACGAATTCTCCAACGCTTGTACGCTTCCTGTTCCCATTCGGCATTTTATACACCCAATAAGGTTTTGTCTAATAATTGGTATAAATCCGCCCCTCGTACGGCTGCAGCCTGTCTTGAGTCGACTCCGGATATGAGCTTAAGAGCAGTCGCAACCCATCAATCCTTGGGGCTGGCTGGGGCTCCGCGGTGAAATTGACTGCCACCAACGCTGTCTTACCGTGGTACTGCTTCTTGTACACGAAAGTACTCAGATTTTCCGTATCCAGCAGCTCGAACGTACCGTATACGAATACATCCTTGTGCTCTTTGCGCAGCCGCAGGAGCAATTTCCAGAAAGCGAGTACGCTATTCTCATCCTCCTCTTGAGCTTTGGCGTTAATGTCTCCATAAGACTCATGAGCCCGCATCCACGGCTGCCCATCTGAGAAGCCACCGTTGGCACTATCGTCCCATTGAAACGTCAATCGGGCATGATCTCTCGCCATCAGCTGCAGACCACGCATTATACGCTCTTTGCGCGTAGGATCCGTCCCATTTTCGGCCAAGCGCACTGCCTCCTTCCAGTAATTCTGACTCTCAACGTCCTGGTACTCCTCAATACCCCATTTCCTCGGTGCATTTACCATCCCAATCTCCTGGCCCTGATAAAGGAACAATGTCCCAGTCTGCGCTGCAAAGCACACCGCCAACATTTTCGCGCTCTTTTCCCGCCACTGCGGCGCATCATTACCGAATCTAGAAACACTTCTCCCGTTGTCGTGGTTCTCGCAGAAGACGGTTGACCAGCCGTCTGTGCCGTCAATAAAAGTCTGCCACTTCGCCACGATGCGCTTCATCTGGGGAAGATTCCAGGGAGTGAAGTCATACTTGTTGTCTGAACCTGGCGGCCCTTGACCCAGATGCGTAATGTCGAATTGGAAGATCATGTCCAGCTCCTTCTTCTCCGCACTAACATAGTTGAGTACACCCTCGGGGTCTGGCGTCATTGACAACTCGCCAACTGTGACAACCGGAAACCCATCATACGTCCTATACTTTGACAGAACCTGCGAATTCATCTCCTGAATGAATTTGTGAATGCGAGGACCGTTGCACCAGAACTGCGAAGCCGGTTGGACAACACTGCCGGGGTCTGTAATCGGCGCGTCTAGGAAGTCTATGTGCTTGGAGTATTTGTTGACTGTGTCGACGCGGAACCCGTCGATGCCTTTGTCAAGCCAGAAACGCATTGCGGAATCGTATATCATACATCTGCACTCCTTGTTTTCCCAGTTCAAATCAGGCTGGCTCTTATCGTAGAGGTGGAGGTAGTATTCTTGCGTGAGATCATCCCAGGTCCACGTTGAGCCTGCGAAGTAGCTGCGCCAGTTGGTGGGAGGCATGCCTGGGGTGAGAGCACAAAGTCAGTTGAAGAAAGAGTCGTGGGGTCAGATACTTCATGCATGCCTTCGTCAAGCGAAGAACAAGTTTTTCTTCTGCCAGAAAGACACATCCACTTTGTATCGAGCGGCTGGCTTACGATTTCCATCCGCGTCATACCGCGCGGGCCGCCAGAAGTACCAGTCTCTCTTCGGATTGTCCTTCGAGGATCGAGACTCTTGGAACCATGCGTGTTGGTCGCTAGTATGATTGACCACCAAATCAAGAATAAGCTTCATGTTATTCTCATGACAAGCTCCAATCAACTTTTCCACATCCTCGACCGTCCCATAGGGTGCGTAAACAGCTTCATAGTTACTTATATCATATCCCATGTCAACCTGGGGTGAATCGAACATCGGAGATAGCCATACTGCGTCCACACCTGGAGCTCGTTCAGAGGATGGGGGTTAGGGGAGAGGTGAGCACGTACCTAGCGAAGCGATATATCCAATTCTTTCGAGAATACCGGGGATGTCACCCCAGCCATCTCCGTTGCTGTCTTTGAAGGATGCAGGATAGATTTGATAGAAGGTTGCTTCTTTCCACCAGACGCGTTGGTGGTCTGCCTTGAAAGTCATAGCAGAACCGACTGAGAACAAGCATTAGCAAACGCGTCTATGATGTTGATTTGATTCAGAATGTACGACTAGATAGCTGGTTTTACAAAATTTTGTGCATTTGGGTGCTTTCGTGTTCCCGCCCCATCTGCGGATGGTGGTGTACCCCATCGGACCGATGTTCAGCCAATCAATACCCGTCATCATATACTGTGGCTACTTAGCCTACGATCATACTTGGCAATTGCCGTCTCAAATCTGCTTTTCTGCCTCCCGGACTCTACTATCCAGTCTGAAATATGTGTCATTCCAATCGAGCTATTAAGTTGGCCTGATCAATACCAAGAGCATCTGTATGGAGAAAAGCGCAAGTCTGCCTCTCAAACGGAACAAAGCTCAAGACCGACAAGCATGTAACCTGGCACTTTAAGGGTTGCATGCATCTCGGCAGAGTAAGCTGCACTCCGGCTGTCATTCGCCCGACATGACCAAGCGAGCAAGTCAGCTAGCTGTGGGGAAGGCGGTCACCAAGGATGTATATACGCATCGTGATCCCCACAATGCGCTCTTCACTTTTTATTTCTCCACCCTCCATACCCTTCTTACTTCCCTGCCCATACCATTGCCATCATGGCAGGAGGAGACGATGTAGATGCCGCTGAAAGACACAACATCGTGGCAGACCTTTATGCGCCCAACAAATCCGCCCAACAGGCCGCCCACGACGAAAAGTCCATGACCTTGATCCAGGCAATCAAACTCTACCCCAAAGCAGTAGGCTGGTCCATCGTCCTATCCAGCGCACTCATTATGGAAGGGTACGATCTCGCGCTTTTGGGAAGCTTGTACGGAAGTCCACAATTTAACATGAAGTATGGGAAGCTGAATGCGAAGACGGGGAAGTGGAGTGTGCCTGCGAATTGGCAGAGTGCTTTGTGAGTAATTTTGCCTTCATTTTCCTTCATACCACGCACGAGGATGTGCGTTGAGACACCGCAATACACCGCTTGACGCATCAATACACCTCTTTGCTCCAGAAATGCTACAGACGGACTTCAGGAATTATGCTGATGTCGAATATGTAGATCCAACGGCGCCCGCGCCGGCGAAGTCCTCGGTCTCCTCCTCAACGGCTTCATCAGCGAACGCTACGGATATAGAAAGACCATGCTCGTCGCACTAGTCTCTATGACCGCCTTCATCTTCTTGCTCTTCTTCGCGCCAAACATTCAAATTCTCGTCATCGGAGAAGTCTTATGCGGCATACCCTGGGGCATGTTCCAGACGCTAACAACGCAGTATGCGAGTGAGGTAAGCCCCGTGCAGTTGAGACCGATACTAACGACGTTTGTCAATATGTAAGACCATGAGAAGAGGGAGGAGGGGAAAGTATAAAGCTGACGTGGGATAGGTGCTGGGTCATGGGCCAATTTATCGCCGCAGGCGTGAACCGTGGCTGCGTTACACGGTCCGATCAGTGGGCGTACCGCATCCCTTTCGCTATCCAGTGGATATGGCCCGTTCCCATAATGATAGGTGTTACCCTCGCACCCGAATCGCCCTGGTGGCACGTTCGCAGAGGAGACCGCGAGGGTGCGCGTACTGCTCTGCTTCGACTCACATCTCCTGAGAGAGACTCGGATTTCAATCCAGACGACACGATTGCCATGATTGAGTATACGAATGAGATGGAGAAGGAGATGTCGGCTGGGACACGGTGGGTCGATTTGTTCAAGGGGGTGGATCTGAGGAGGACGGAGATTGTGTGCTTCACTTGGATTGCGCAAACGATTTGTGGGCAGAACATTATGGGCTATTTGTGGGTACACACCTCCCTTGCATTCTATTTCACCGCGCCGATGCAACGGCCTCGACATAGTGTGTTACCCCGAGATCCAGAGAACATCCCATCCCGACTCACTTCAAGTTCCCCAAGTGTCCGAACTAACCACCCCTAGCGCATACTTCATGCAAAAGGCCGGCCTCCCCACCATCCAATCTTTCAACATGTCCCTTATTTCCCTCGCCCTCGGTCTCATCGGCACTACCCTCTCATGGGTCCTGATGCAGCGTCTCGGCCGCCGCACAATCCATCTCCTCGGCTCCTGTACACTCTTCGCCCTCCTCATCATCGTGGGCGGGTGTTCCTTCGCCCACACAAAAGCCAGCAACTGGGCCATTGGCGGCCTGCTGATCACTTTCGTTTTCATCTACGACCTTACGATAGGACCGGTCACGTATGCGCTGATCTCGGAACTGAGTTCCACGAGGTTAAAAGCGAAGACGATAGTGTTCGCTAGAGCATTATATAACATAAGCAATATTGTGGTCAACATTCTAACGAACTATCAGCTTGGAGAACAAAATTGGAACTGGGGCGCCAGGACGGCGTTCTTCTGGGCGGGGACTTGTGGCTGTGTAGTGCTGTGGGCGTGGTTCAGACTGCCTGAGCCAAAAGGAAGGACCTATGCAGAGTTAGATGTGCTGTTTGAGAAGGGAGTCAGTGCGGGGAGTTCAAGGGGCGGTGGTGGATCCGTTTGTGGGCGGGATGGAGGGGAAAGAGAAAGTGGGGGCGAAAGAGTAGCTAAGCATTGTTTGGGTGTAAACAGATATCGACAGTGTGTGAGTTACGAGGGTTTACGTCTAGGTACCCTGCGTTACTCTTGGGTCGGCAATACTAAGGTTGTTTGTCGCGTGCGTCTCCTATGTGAGCTCGTATCCCGAGTCGACTCAAGACAAGCTACAACTGTATGAGAAGCGAATCTGCATCAATTACCAGAGCGAGTGTTACGAATGTTAACAGTATGGCATGTTGGAAACTACAAGTTTGTCACAGTCCGGTTAAACGTGACTATTTCACTTCATGGATCGACACCTACAATTCAACAGTGACGAATTTTATGAGGTGCGAATAAGCTCATACACAGGCAGTATTGCCTAACAGCAATAGAGCTTAGCGGTCAGCCGGTGAACTCAGTAATGGGGCGAAATCAAGTGCATCCAATGCGCAATCTGGGGCGACCTTGGCGAAATATGAAGCCTGACAGTGCCCCTCATTCAGGCCACCAGCGTGTCACTCAGCTTGAGACTGATTGTAGTAACACAGAGCGAGGAGGGGTAGTCTCCAGAGATGACGTGGCGGAGGTAGTGATGGTGCGATTTTGAGTGCGTCTGGCATTGCCACAGGGTTCATGATGACCTTTCACACTTTCTGTCTCGCCTGGCAACCAAAGGCTCTCGCCAGTTTTTAGTCAATGCCAAAGAGATGAACAATTGCATGGGTGCTTCGTCTTGTAGTACCAATGGTAGCCTCGATGCTTACCAGCTCAACATTCTTCGCTGTGACTGCTGAAGTGCGGGTTGTGCTTGTGATCTGTCAGAGGTTGTGTTGGTTCTAACCCAAAACGGACGAGTGATGTGTTCAAGATATGGCCAACATTGACGTCGATAGAGGGAGATACAGGCGGAAAATGCGAAAAGAAGGCTCAAGGAGGGACGTCCAGCTCGCGTACCGTCATGAAAAATAGGCCGTTACTGTGTCCAAATATGTAGAATCCACCATGAAAGTCGTACAGGGCGTTATAGGCAAGGAAAAGGTCTGAAAGAGAGACATTTCCCGAGCCTTCGGAAGGGAGAGGACAGCGATACTGAGCAGTATCGTGTACACAACCTTCCCGTGCTACGTTGGACAGGCTCCTTGTTGAAGAGGCCTCCCAACTTGCAACGAACAATATATACCAGATTCCGAGGCGTCCGGCCCCAGAGCAACATACAAGAAAGTATCGATAGCCGCGGCGCGGGGGAGCCTCAGAAGTCTCGTACGGGGTCGTAGGGACGTGAAGGGGGCACCTGGTGGTAGGCAGAGCCCGCGGCCACGGCGGCCGTCGAGTTGCGCTTCGGCATACAGGTCTTGTTGACTGTTTAAGACGTCAGTATGAACATATGGAGGCTGACGAGAGAGCTGATCTACCTGCCCACTGCTTCACATCCCGGATACAGATCGACATGCGCCATCGTATGATGTCCTCGCCTAGGGGAGAGATGCCCTCACGCCTCAGCTGGCCGTTGATGCTCTCCCGCACTCTCGTCTTCTCGTATGCAGGCACATTCGTCCAGTTCCACTCGGGGTGCTCCGAAGCCAATCGCCTAGCCTCTTCTTTGGCGAACGCCTGCGAATATCCCGGCGGGTCAGTGCAATGTCATTTTGTAGACGATCAGGGCTAACGGGGACCGAACAAGCGGCGGTGAGGCTCTGTGGCCGGGGAAAATGGCGGGTCAGCTGGACTAAAGGAAGGGACGTACGTAGAACTTTGCCCACTCGCTCCAGTTGAGGCCGCTTTTCGCGCGGGCTTCTTCTGCGGTTGCAGTGGTCAGTAACCACGACATGGCTACCTCGGTGCACGGCGCAAGGGTTGTTCGGTGCCAGAGTTTAGGCGCCGGTATTAGCGCGCTTGAATCGGTGGTACTAGCTGTAACGGGCCGCTTGTGGCGCATGCTGCGAGGGTCATCCCTCTAATGGCCGTGCAGTCTCCCACAGGTACTCTTTTCTTGTCCAGGGTATCCTTTATCCCGGTATACATGTTGTTCTGGCGGTGTCCTGTCTCGGTGTATTGACAAGGTAAACGGGAGCTTGCCACTCTCAATTGACTGGAGACAGCTCGCACAGCCTTCTGAGAGGGCTGCTTAATTCCAAGGTGCTTCGGCCCAGCAATTGACGGAGGCTTGAAGTAGTCAAGAGAAGCAAGAGGTCGTGTGATGGTTGTCGATCACACTCCTCGGGGTCTCCGAGATGCCGTGCAAACGAAGCCGCTAGGTATGCGACATCGGATGTACACCTCAATTGGAGCCTTGCTGTGGATGCGTGTCCAATGCGTCGGTAGCACTTAGGCGCGTTCGATTGTGCCTGCCAAGGACCATCAAACATGTGTCAATGTCCTCGTGATGTGCCAGAGCGTTTGCTGGAGCATGGCATCGCAGCCGACGAGATCCTGGTGCAAGTAAAAGTCTTCCATTTTGACCAGGTAGTCACCGTGCCGTTACTTAGTGATGTAAGCCGGGAACAAAGCACAAGCTACTAATGTAAGAGCTGCACGATGGTACACATGGACTGCGCGACGATATCAATGAATGAAAACATAGTAGCATCCTACCCCATAGAGAATTGAGGCAAACAGCAACGCGTCGACCGACTGATGCTCAGATGCACATGAAAACTGAAGTGGGTAATGGTAATTGGATAAACCAGCAGATGATCTAAAAGACGCGGAGACGATTTTCGCTTCAGGCCGTCAAACGCCCAATCAAGACATCAATTGTGGACGACGAGACCAGAACCGAAGAATGTGTCGCCCAAGGCAACCTGTACATTTTTCATTGACAGTTTTCAAACCTACAAGGAACTATGTGACCGCGTAGGTAGAAAAACGGCGTTGACTGTAGAGCTGTGGTACGGAACCTGCAACTTTTATAGCTCTACCCATAGCTACAATGTCTCAAACCCCCCTGCTGCATTCAACTCTTTTGCTGCTTCCTCCGTATCGCATAAAAGCTCGAACGTAATAGGTTTGAAGCTGCGGGAGACGCCTAGTTTCGAGTGCACATGTGCAGCTGTCCCTGGGCCTATCTTGAGGCCAACTACATCCGTTAGTGGGAATGCGTAGCAGGTCCTGGAACTGAGGCTGAGGCTGAGGTTCAATCAGTTCGGCTTCGAGTCTGGGGTGCTGTCACGGGTAGCTGCTTCCTGTGAAAATCAGGACGGATTGAATCAAAGCATGAGACGGTGTTTTGATAGACCGGTGCTTGCAACACTAAGGTTGTAGATGCGGAAAGACCACGACTCTATGATTGGCAGAATTATTGGTGCAATATATTTGGTAGTTTTCTTTTGTATGGGCCTAAAATGTTGCAATATTCTCGCTTTATCGATATTCAGGACTAGAGCAATGACCTCATGAAGAATTGACGGCAATACACGAATCCTTCGCCGATATTCTTGAACAGCTAATTAACGTTCCTCCCGCCCACTCATCCATCTAGAGATAAGTAGCTGATTACATCGCAATAACTTCAATGCCAATACTATATTATCAACGTCTAAATACTGACACAATGTGCCAGTATCTTGATATCGCGATCGCGGTCGCCCGTCAGGCTTTGATGGGTTGCACTCACGCCAGATTGTGAGACTATAAAGAACGAGAATGATCCATCAGAACAGTGAGAAAAGATAAAACATGGGATTTAGAGTTATTATATAACATACTCCACATGGCACGTTGTAACTTCAACATTGGAAGATAGTGAATAGTATATACATGCTTCATTACGACTCATTACAGCATTCCTCCCTTTCATCTACACCTCCGGCTTAGCCTGCTTGGTAGAGACCAAGCGCAACCACGTGAGGGTTGATCATCGACAAGTTGAATGGCGTGAGGAAAAGATCCGAGTCCGTAATCGCAATGAATGCCGTCCCGTTCATAGCGGGATCACCCTCGTACACTTCGCTCGCGGGTTGATATGTGTATCCACTGTTTTCACCAGTGATGGTCAAAGGCGTGTATGTCAAGTTCAGCTGTGCGACCCACGCGACGAATTGCGGCTGGCCGGCAGAAGTGGCGGTTACATACGAGTTGTTAGGCCCGACAGCCTGCCCTGGCGCGTCCCAGGTGAGGTTGACTTGTTTACCAGGAAACGAGAGAGGCTCGGATCGATTGTGTGCGATAGCAGGGCCGCAAGCGTAGCCGGTTGTGTTGAGGTTAACGCAGGACTCATCGGCGGGGATATCAGAGCGGGCGGGATCCGCGGTACGGTTACCGACAACTTCGTAGTCTGCTGTATCATTGGGCGAAAAGCGGTTCGGGTTCGCCTGGTTCACAACGTGCAATGCGGGGAAGTTCTGCCATGCGAGACGCGTGGTGTTCTCCGGGCAGGAGCTGATGTAAGGTGCAAGGTAGGACCACGCCCACGATTGCGGAATGCCAGTCTCGAACCACACCGGCATGGGGTGTAGGCCAAGCATCTGGCGGAAGGACATCTGCTGACGGGCTTCGGTGGCAATGGACTGCGAGAGGAGCTGGCCGACCTCGCGGCTGTCAAGGTGGTTGATGAAACCCCAGACGCCAGACTCGCCCCAACGAGTGAGCTTTTGGTTGAAGTCGATGAACTCGCGGACGGTGCGGTAGGGGTAGTTGTATGTGCACTGTGGAGGAGCAGCCTCGCCGAGCATGTTACTGAGTAGAGTAGCATGGCCGGTCTCTTGGATCGCCATGAAAGCGATGTATGAGCGATCTTCGGCGGTTAGGCCAGCTTCAAGGAAGTCCTCCTCTGAGAAGACGGCGAGACCGTTGTTGAAGAGATCGAGCTCGATCCATTCTTGGTACAAGCCAAGTGCGATTGACTCAAAGTCGAAGTCGCTGTTCACCATATAGCGCGGTTCAGTGCCGTTGGTTCCGAGACCGCCTACAGTTTTGTTAGTCCGCAAGCAAAGTGAAAGCAGCAAGAATTGGACCGACCATTAGGCGTGTACGGAATTGGTGCAGGGTTCTGGAGCTTGCCATCGGCATTGTAGTACGTGGCCGTCGGATTCGGTGGTAGAGGCGCAATGGCCGTTCCGATAGTCGTGGGTGCCTTCTCGGCTCCGGTGGTTGTAGGAGTGCCGGAGAATGGACCATGGCTAGTGGCACCGGTTACATCGGAACTCCTTCGCGGGGGCGCTGATGCAGGTGTGGTGACAACAGCATTGATCTGGGAGTCCGGACCAAAGCTTGATGCTGGTGCACCAGTCGGCGCGCTGACGGTGACGGGGAAGTCAGCATCAGAGTATCCAGGCACCTGAGGCGCGGGAGCAGCGACAGCGAGCGCTGACAGCAGCGTCGAAGCGTAAACAGCCTTGGTGAGCATCTTCGCAGTTGGTCAAGGTCGGATGATGTCGCATAGCATCGGGGACGGCGGCGCTGTTATATACGGCCACGAGAGGTTTCGTCGTCAACGCGTAATGGCAGTCCAAAGCCCTGCTCGACCAATTCTCAATAAAAATGACTTCATGACATGCTCGAGGCGGAATAACCGGCAGCACATTTTGGGAGACTTGAGATGCGCCATGGCAAGAGCCCTGCAGGACGGAAAGACCAGTGCTACGCGTGGAGGTGGGTCGCGGCAACAAACGACGGACAAATGAGCATGGATAGGCATCGGTTTAAGGTTGGGCGATTTGGAGCCGCTGTGGGGACGCGTGGGCACCGCGGTCAGTGTTTGGGCCGTGATGTAGGCATGACAGCACGACTATCCAGACCCTGGTCCATATCAATTCACAGCTGTGCCAGAGCTTCTTGACAAATGAGATGCGGGCGACAGTGACATCGCCACGGTCCTCTTTGTAAGAACAAACGCCCAGACCTCCGATGTGGCTCAATCCCCTGGTAGAAGGCCCCGCGGAGTCACATTGGTGGGAGCGAGGTCGGCAGGTGCACGGAGCCTGGTTCCTGGACCGCACGACTGCCGAAAAAAAGTACCAGCATCTGAACAATTGCATGCTGCTGGACATGCAGATCGCAGAGTTCGCTAATCGGCGTTTCGCGGTCTGGTGCAGTCAGCATCGACTCGAGATGGGTGACGTTCGGAACTTTTACAAACTACGCTAAGCTTAGACCATCGATGACGAAAGAGCGCGGTGTTCAAACATGCACAATTTTCGGGATACACGACACAAAAAAACGGGTGGGTGCGGGGTAGTCGAAAATGCTTGCATGTACAGCCTTCGAGTCTCCGTTGTTGCTCGACATATGTCGGCATTGGTCCAACTGCGCATACGGGACCAGCGCAGACTTCTTCCAGCTTGCATCATACACGCGTCCACGGCGCGTACGTGCCTACTTCGCGCGCGACATGGGACCCCAGTTCTCGCGTGGAGCGACCTGGTAGCGCACATATTTCCCTCTGTCCTGGTCCTTGCCGAGCCGCTCATCGAACTTGACTTCGAAATTGACACCCAAATAGGAAGGGCGATCACTTGAGCCGCCTTTCGTTCCCGTCAGCTCGCCGTTTCCTTCCGAGCCCTGCTGTTCAGCATCTCCGGTGCCCGCGATTGCACCATTGAGAGTTCTTTCTGGAATCCCATCACCAGTGGTTTGCAACTCTGCTGCCGAAATCTCTGCCGCCGCTGCAACGTCTGTAATCTCTTTTGGCCGCTGTCCCGCCGATGCCTTCTGATGAGCGCTTCCTTTTGACATGATGGCGTGACCTGCGCTGGTCTGTTTGAGCGCGTTCTTCAGTGGTGCTCTTTGGCGAACCCACTCAAGCATAATATGCCACATGTCCCTCCACGATGCATCCGTCTTGATGGAGCCGGGTCGGCAGTGGCTCATGGTCACCCGAAACCCAGCGTGGCGAAGGGCACCTCGTACAGCTGCAGTAGGCGGAGCTGAGCAGTGAACTACTCTGGACAACGAACTGGTGGTTGTGAAGAAGGGGTGATGATCCAAGACTGCTGGGTCTGCCTTTGGAATCAATGCATCTAGGCGCTCTGGCTCCTTACTCTTGCTGGCACTCTCTTCGGCGCCAAAGGTTGTTTCTTCCAGCGCGGTGTGAAGCATGCCTTCGATGCGATCCATCGTAGGGTATGTTGTTCGATCCGCAACTTTCAGCTGCGCGAGAACCCGCTTGATGAACTCTGGATTGTGCAAAGGTCCCCCAAACATCGGACCGGACACCTGCACACATTAGCAGGCGAAATTTGAAACTCTATAGGTGCGCTTACATGTGTTTTGAATCCGCAATGCTCGCAGTGTTCATTTGCAGAGGGGCCATGGGCGAACCCATGCTTATAAAAAGTGCTGTTGTTCTTCGCCTTTTGTTCCCTATGCCGAGCCAAGGGTTGCGTCTTCCACGCTCCGCATCCTGCGTCACAATGGTATACGAGCATAGTCTTCCCGGCAAGGAACTTCACGTCATTGGGTGACTTTCGCACCCTTACAAAGACTCGGATATAGTAGTCGATAGAAAGGGAGAGCAGAGGTTCTATAGCCATGCCATATCGCCCTGCAGATTGCGCGATAGCATGTAGTACCAGCCGGAGACCACCTTCATGGCAGGAATCACCGGTTAGCGGTAAACCGCCGTATAGGGAGAAGGTCTTCTCTAAATAGCCATGGGAAGCGAAGATGGCAGAGTCGGTGCAGGTGACGCACAATAGGCCGTCGTCGTTGATAGCTTGTATGGCCGAATCTATAAAAGGAGAGGCGGTGCCGTAGGGATCCAGATCGATCACATCATATCCTTTCTTGTCACAGAAGCTGTACATATAAGCAATCGCATTGCCAGTATGAGCTTGGATCTTGTTCTCGAGTCTGTTGTGCTTCACATTGAGCGCAATAGATTGTGTCGCCTTTTCCGACATGTCATTAGCTGTGATAGAGGTCGCAAACGGTATTTCGTTTGCGTATCGTAGCGCACGAAGGCCAGTCGCAGATAGAGCATCTAGTATGCTAAAAGGTGGTCTCCACGGCGATTGTTCTGTGGGCCTCTCTGTTTCGGACGCGGCGGCATTTACATCTTCGGTGCCAGACATGGCAGCGTCGGTGTTATCCTGAACGCTCTTCCTTCGCTTGGCTGCAGACTCTTCCGTACTCACGGCTGCCTCGCCGTCGTCCAGCTTCCTTTTGTTTGCAGCAGCACCGACGAGCTGGACCGTAGATGTCTCTGGAGCTGACTCATTACTGGCGACATCATTCTTCACCCTCTTCTTGTTCTTCCTGTCTGCCTTCTTCTTCTGCTGATCATGCCTTTCCTGCTTCCGTGTGATCGAATCCTCGCCAAACGTCTTAATGGCCAAGACGCTCAGATCACGATTGAACTGCTGGATTGGATTGTAAAAGACCTGTTGCTTCTGCGTATCCTCTTTGGACATATTCGGGTCCAGAGAGGTGGGCGTGTCGTAAGGCACAAGGATATGTGCGAGCCCTTCGTTGATTGTAGTATATTCCTTCCCTTCATGCTGGACGCTCTGCCCTGCTCGAGGTAGAGCTTCAATCGATACGGGCTGTGGCTCGACCATATTCGTAAGTATGCTAGCATACGATCGTACGCTCACGGGTGGGGTATTGTATACGGCGCGTCGAAGAGGGCTATCGATGACCCATCTGCAGAGAATACGGCGGGCTGGTAGCGCACATAAAGTGGAAAGCCTAATCAGATGCGCGGCCAGCTTTGGCTAGCTTGTGTGTAAGGCGAGGTCGGTTGGCGCGTAGGAAAGAAAGTGGTAGTAAACCGCAAGACCAATGTTTGGTGCTGATCGCAAAGCTCCAAAACTTTTTGGCTCACAATTAAGCTTACAGTTAGCGCCTTGGCCCAAAGGGTCGCTCAATGCCCCGCAACCTCTCCAGGGCTGAACAAGTGCTTGTGCGATCTGCATTGGCGGTTTGTGGGAATGCTGGTTGATTCGTTGTCAATTCATAGTAGGTTCAATGATCGGAATTCAGGGAGTGTTGAAGAGATGGGTAGAGCTTGGCCCACTTTTCCTAGCGACCTCTGGGATGTACTCCGCTCCGGCAATACGACGGTTGCCTGAAATAGCCCCCGAAACAGAAATCGTGTGACCCTTAGTGGGAACACATAAAGGCTGTCGAATACCCTTCACTGGCGGACATGTTACTGTTCGCTATAGTCTTAACTTCAATCTATCGTCGTCTTTGTCCAGGGACTATCGTGAGCCATGGGTAAACCTCAGCCAACGCCTACGCCTTATCGCGATGATCCAGATGCCGTATCGTTACACACAACACCTGACGATTACAACTACAATGATGCGCCCGACGTCGAAGATTTACCCCCATCATATGCCGATAACCACACTGCACCTGTGATACATCACATTACGCCTACCCCCTCTGGACGGACCAATCATTCGGAATGGTTTCAGCTTAAGAACGGAAAGCCTCAAGTGCCAGAGACTCAGACTCAAAGCAATCCGAGGTACGATACGGATCCAGTGGTGCTTGAGGAGGCAGTGCGCTCGCTGGCCAACCAGGCTCCTTACCCACTGGTCTATATCATGGGGACGCACCGAGAAACGGTCAAGCGGGGCGATAAGAAGGAGACGAAAGATATCACAGACTTCAGGATCGTCATCGACCTCCAGCACCATCTGCGACAGGCAGAGATGACTCTCAGGACGGTTGAGAATAGTGAAAAGACGTATCGAGGGAGCATCACGAAATGCCGCGCACCTGGACACAAGCAGGGAATCGAGGTCGGCGATGCGAGCCCTACACTCAAGGAATGGTGTCACCGTTACTGCGCTTCACCCAGGTTGCTGAGAATCTTCCGTCTACGCCGCGTTGTACGTAACTCGAAGCGGTCGTGCTTTGCCGTACTGACTTGAGTAATCGTGTATAGGTCACAGGTTTCGAAGAAGAATACCTAAAGAAACGCCTCGAAGGCTTGATCCGCAGCACCAACTATCGAGGTCACATCAGTGTGACTTTCCCAGTAGAGAACAGGAACGTCGATCTGTACACGACGAACCGTATCAATCAATGGCGTCTAACAACGTGGATCCGCTGGGTATTCTACCTGACGTTCCTCTGGATCTTTACTTGGCCTGCACTATTCTTTGCTACGAAGCGCTACGCAGTCCTCAAAGCAGAATGGCCATGGTCAACGACTGATAGTCAAGGCATCAAGCAATATACTACAATTAGTGAGGAGCAATGGTTCGCGAAATGGCACGTAGGCATCAGACGCCTTGTCTTGGACCGCTACCAGTGTGAGGCGAGCGAAGAAGTCCTACGTGGCGTCATTGCCCGAGACGAAGATCCACCTATGCCGGGGACTCTTCGGACGGGCCACCAAGGTGTGGACTCGACCGTTAGTTTGCTCACACAGGGTTTCCAAGTCGCTCGTGCTCTTTCCCATGGCGACAACCTTGGACGCGGAGTCCAAGGTGGCTGGGGATATGATACATAGGCGCCCGCGGGTCGTGCGCCGTTTTTTGCGCGTTCCTTCGATGGCTTCTAGCGATTGCCTCTTCTAGAGGACCAGGATGAGTAGAAGCAATGGCTTCCGATGCAGCTATGAACATCTACTCAGACTACCGCTAGCTGATGCTAGATAGCCCTTCCCATTTTGGTATCTCACCGTGCTTTTCTGATACGAATTCGGAACGCCATTTCTGTATAACCCATATTGTCGAGGAATTGGCTGCTCATGCAGCACGCACAAACTGCTGATCGATACTCAATATATTGCCCTCGATACTTGAACCCCGCAAGAGTCCACACGTGCCTGCAGGATTTACGTATTGGTATCTCAGTCAGCAGAAGCGAGTCGACAGATCCATATGCGTCTCAAAATAGTGCGTCAGCTCGGTCAACAGCGTGTTAGTTTAGGGGTGATGTTATTGCTACTCCCCATTTTCGTCGCCAACTCGCCTGTTTTCTTGATGTTTGTGATGGCCCCTGGGGTCTTCATACAAAGCCTTACGCGTGTGGAGCCGGCTAAAATTACCTCGCCCCACGACACCTCAGATGCACGAAGGCGCAGCAACCGTACAACATCACCACGACAATCGCTAGGGAAATACTTGTGCGAGGGTCGCCCTAACAAGAAACTTTACCGTCGTGATCCGATTGGTACCACGCGATTCTCAGCCTCAGTTGGACGATCATCTCAAACACACCTGCTCCCATAGCAGGCCCGTGTCATTGCTCGATTCATCCTACAAAGCTGCATGCGGTGCAGTATCCCCACACAACATGAACAGCGCTACATGCATCACGTTTATCAAAGCCCCGATTCAGGAGATTCGCGAGAAAGACGCCTGCTCAATGCTACAAGAGGTTGCATTCCAGGCCTCCCATGACCTACATAGGACCGCTCAATGGTTAGAGCATACGGCAGTATTATTAGCCTCGCATGCCGGATTATAGTGGGTACACCAGTGGATCACGATACCACACATCCCGACCTCTGAGCTACCTCGAACAGTCACTCTACCCGCTGTTCCTTCACAGATCACATGATGCAGCTCTATATATCATCCAGATGTATCCGTTACCGAGTATATCATCGCAACACTCCACGAACTTTACTTTCATCAGCAACCACAATACATACTCAGAGTAATTTAACCAACAAGCCTTGAACACCAGCATCACCATGCAGCTCATCGCCACCACCTTCCTCGCCGTCCTCGGCGCTGCCTCCGCCGCCCCAGCGCGCAACATCCAAGCCCGCAGCGGCATTACCATAACCCTCTATCCGGAGGCCAACTTCGGCGGCGAATCCTTCGTCATCTCTGACGTCGTTAGCAACGAGTGCGAACAAGTTTCTGAGGGAGTTAAAGTTGGCAGTGTAAAGGTTGCTCCTGGAGCTCTCTGCAGACTGACTTAGTAAGTCGACGACTTAGTTGACGGGTGTGAAAGAAGAAAAGGGAATACTGATTGGAACAGCTCCGCACCCACCTGCACACTCCACGGTGATCTTTTTGTCTACCCGGATACGCCGGCGGAGGATTTGACGGGCGAGATTGTAACGAGCTATCTTTGTCAGACTTGCACGGGATGCTAAGGAAGGGTTGGTTCTAGTGAAGGGGGAAGAGATGAGTTAAGCGATACATTTGACGGAGTCGATCCTTTGCGCATTGCATGGCGAGATTTTTGACGACACTCCTTTTTAGGATATAGTCCACGACGCTCTTTGTAAGAGTAATGATAATACAAGGTGACTGGTGACCAGCAAACCAGGAAATTGTTCATAACTTATCTGGCTGTTTTGATACAGAGATGAGCTCGGTGAATACTGTGCTAAGTATGTTCGCCTGGCGTTCGTTTCAGGCTTTGATATCCGAAATGAATTGATCCGATCCAATCTGCTCCTACTTCCCTTGTCTCGGAACAACTGTATCTTTGTTGTTCTCCAAGAACTGCCTGAACGTTGTCAGCGGAACCCCATGACTCTTGATCTCGTCCATGTCGGCTAACCCGACCAGTTGCTCCATAAGTCTTTGCCCAACCACAAAAGGATTCCCCGCTTCCTTTGCATTCTCCTCTGGCGTGCGGTAATGAACGTCAAGCTTTCTGCCTGATGCTCTTTCGATCTCAGACAGTATATCTGCAACCGTAATATTCTCGCTCACGACGTTGATCGGCCTACCGGCGTACTTCTCAATATTGTTGAACACGAGAGCAGTGAAAGCGCCGATGTCGTCAGGGTCGACTGTAGAAATGAGCAAATCTGGCCTATAACTACTGACAAACTTGCCCTCCGAGAGGCCGGGGTACATCATGTCGACAACTGGGAGAGTGATGTTGGTGTTGAACCATCCTCCGCGAATTGCCGTCCAGGGGATACCGGACTCTCGGACGAGCTTTTCGACTGCGATTTTTCCGGTGACTGCAGGAGCGATCATAGGATTGCTAAAGACTTGCTCGACGTTGGGGTCGCTTAGACCGAGCTGGGTGGACACGGCTATGTGTTGCACTCCTGCGCTTTTGGCGGCATCGAGCAAGATGCGTGCCTCGCGGCTTTCGGAATCATCCATCCAAGAGGGCATCTGAGTCAGAAACACAGCGTTGCAGCCTCTGATAGCTGAGCTAACTCTGAGCGAGTTCAGTAGATATAATGCTGGGAGACGAGATATCGTAACTTACGATGCGGTATCGCCGAGGTTCCCTTTGTGAAGGAACACTCCATCGCCGAACTTCTTGAGCGCAACAGCGCGTTCAGCGGAAGGGTCTGAGACGAAAGCATGCACATTCCATCCAGATCTCGACAGGTGCTTGACGACGGCTTTCCCCTGGGAGCCAGTGGCCCGGATGACAAGGGCTGTTTTCGACATGTAGAGTATGAAAAAAGTAAGGAAGTTGCGAATAAGAGTTTAGCGAAGTGGTCTCGAATGTACCGATGTTGTTGTCAGCGCCGTCTAACCTTTGCTTTTATAGCTCTCTGCGTGGAGTACCGCTCCGCTGCCTCGCGAGGAATTCCGCACCCCATATAGACGGAGACCCTCACTTCCGCATCTGGGTCTGAAAGCTCGGCGGAAGCCCGCACACACCACAAGTCATATTCTTGAATGCTGGGAAGTCTACTGTGAATGACATTGGATGCAACAGTATGAAAGAACCAGCAGCGACGAACAGAGGAATTTCGAAGCAGGAGCTCCTGAGAGCTGATTGGCCGAAAGTGACAACAGCCTAAGATTTGTAAGCATTTCCCCTGTCTCATAGCTCCGAGTCAACTTAGAACCACTCCATTCCGCCTCACACGATGCCTCCGAACCGCTTTCGGACTCCCAATGCTCAAGGACGCCAGAAATCATGTTCCGAGTGCGCGAAAGCGAAGCGGAGATGCGATCTACAGCAACCCAATTGTCTACGATGCGCGAGGCAGAGGCTTACTTGTACATACCCGCCGCAACCTCGCATATCACCTGCTGTCTCAGAGCTCCATGAGCCTGCTCCTAACGAAAGTTCTTTGATCGAGGAACTGTTTAATCCAGTGCTGGAGCTGCCTTTCGATCTAGAGATCACAGATGTAGCTGTTGCACCAGAACTGGAAATACTGGACCCCGTCGCAGATCTTTCCGAGACTATGGAGAATCTGGAGCATACTAACAATACGCTTGGAAACTTTGCAGGCAAGGAAATACCTGATGCATCTTCCAGGTTTGGAAGATATCGCTCGGCAAAGTCAATTTCTAACCTTCTCGCATCCGAACTCTTCGAGTCGCGGGTAGGCTACTCCATGGAACAATGGAAACTAGCCCCTCGGATGATGGCGAAGAAGAACTGTACTCCGTGGAGTCATCCTAATCTGTACGAAGAGCTGATGCCCAGAGCTATGCAAGGTGCGACCACCTGATTTATGAGTCGCGGACTCCGATAATTGACCAACAGCACAGATGCATTCGCCGCTTCGTCGTTATACATTTCTCGTACGGAGACCAATGCAAAGTTCGTTCTACGCCACATCACCGAAAGAGCACACGAGCTAGTCGAACAGCCGATGCCTACCTTGCCAGCCGAAGTGATTGCGCAAGCGCAAGCAGTACTCTTGTATCAGATCATGCTGATTTGCAGTGACGATGTGAGTTCTGGCACGAAATCCACGCAATCTCTTTGGTTTCCAAACCTGTCGAAAAGCAGTAGCTGACAGAGTCACAGTTTCGATATTATCGCCAAACCCAAACCCTCCTTCCACATCTGAAAGATCTTAGCGGCTCTCTTCATCTACTTGTGACCGAGGATCAGACCAAGCATGAAGATCGCACCGCGACCCTGCCACTCTATCCTAGCCATGTCGCTCGCTCGGCGTGGCTGTCCTTCATCTTTCGAGAGTCCTGCCGACGTACGCTTCTTGCTGTTTGTCACGCTGTGTCTATATGTACTCTTCTCCAAGGTGATCTAGTACCTTGCAACGACGCTATGTCCATCGGTAACCGCGTGACCATATCGTCTGCGTTGTGGGAAGCCAAGTCACCGCTTGAATTTGCTATCGCTTGGAACGAAAAGAGTCACTACTTGGTCGAAGAGTTGGACTTCAGTGAAGTTTTGAGATCAGCAGACGCTAATGATGTGGACGTGTTTGGGAGAATGATCATGATAGGGCTCATGGCAAGTCTCCCGGGTACAAACTGGATGCTTGATTTCTGCCAGGCGAAAGAAAGACCATCTTTATCTGCTTACGAAATGAGAAAAATCTTTCCTTCACTTAGCCGGGACACGAGGCAATGTACTACCCCCACTGTGATGAGACATACGCTGACTTTGCACCTTCGGGTTTGGCAGGGAGTTGATGACGTGAGAGGATGGCTTCATTCGAAAGGGGGAAACCTATGATCCAAGCTGCTCTAAAGCTTCGATGCTGCCCGCTTTTCTCAACCGAGCCCTCGGGTGACTCAGGGTGTATGGATATTGCTGGTACCACGCATGACTGTCACCCCTTGTTACTCTCGCGCTCTATCACCTTCGGCTCTTCCTCCGCAATCAGCTCATCGATCTGCGCTCCAATTGTCGGCACAAATTTGCCTTTCTCCGTGTCACTACTGTTACTATTTTTGCCCCTCTTGATGTGGAGCGAAGTTGCTCGTTCTCCTGTCTTAGCTTCGCCATCACCTCGGAAAGCTGACATTGCCACCGAGCCCAAACCCTTGGGGAGGTTCTTGTTGAGATCGATTGTGCACGCAATTTCGGTTCGGCTTCCTTTAGTTGGCGTTCGAGATCCTCGTTCTAGCAGCGCACGGTTTCGTTGGCGACATCCCGGAGCAAGATCGGCGTGATGATGCTGGTTGCGACGGGTGGAGAAGGCCGTGCTAGAAGCATCGGCTGCTCCCTTTGTCCAATGAGCCTGACATCGAATGCGCTGTCCGTACGTGCAGACTTTGCTGCAGCGAGAGTGGACTTTAAGGGCAGATTGTCTGAAGCTTCTAGTAGATTCAAGTCAGTGGTTTGATTCTCCTCAGTAGTGTCTGCGCGGTCCATTGTGAGGGAGGCTGGTGGTGCGATGCTGTGGATGGTGGTAAGTGAAGTGGAGAAGAATTGGCAGCGGTACTTTGGGCCGCTTAATTCAGGGACGGCTATCGAAGAGAATGGAAATCCTTGATTCTGTGAAGCTGAAAGCGAATGGAAACACAAGTTCGGTAGTGTGAGTCTTTCCTGGGTACACTGTCCGAGAGCGGGACGTCGCCTATGAACCAAATCGAGGCATGTCGCGCAACGTCTGCGCAGTATTGTGTCCGGAGGACTGGATGATGCACTACTAAGGCCGTAAATGGTCCCGGTGAAGAGGAGGGTCCTTTTTGAGATACCAAGCTGATGTAGTCCTTGAGTTGCTCAGTGATGGCAGGGGCGATGGACTGAGATAGCGATTTCCACATTTGGACCCGTTGCCCGCCGTAACTTCTGTTTATCGATCGCACGTGGATGCCCTCGCCCCGCCACCGTCGTCACCTTTCAAATCCTAGCAAACGCCCCCCATCTGCGCAGTTGCAACTGCGCTCACCGCAACACCGCAGCAATGGCGAGCATCTACCTTGTCAACGCACTCTACAACAAGCCCAGCGTCCCAGCTGCACCCATTATGCAGCCTACGACCGAGGTCAAGCATGAGGCGACCGAGTCCGACCAGCCTGCTGCTACGGTGGAGGAGACTGTGACTATGACTGGCATTACCGAGCCTGCAACTGAAGCCTACCATCGCGAGACGCAGCTTCAGGAGCACATTGAGGCCGTACAACGTGCGGCGGTACTCCAAGCACAGACTGGACAGCGTAGCGAGAACGGAGACGTCATGCATCCGTCCCGCCAGCAGATGGTTAGCTTTCTAGGTTCGTTGTTATGGCTTATGGTCAGCATGATTTGGACTGATCACATCTGAACAGGTCCACTCGAAGAGCGACCTGAACCTGTGGCCTACAAGGTTTCTGGGGCCAACACGCAGCCCTTGGGTCAGATCGCTCCTCCTGCCCCGTGCAAGCGTGGTAAGAACGCGGTGAAGAAGCAAAAGCCCACCGCGTCCGAGCCGCCCGCCTCAGAGAGCATCCAAGCGGCCCGGGAGCGCTCTTTTCATGCTGTAGCTCCATCTGCTACAGCTGCGGCGCGCTTGGGCCAGCATCTCCACACCGTGGGTGGTACTCGAGTCATCGCGGGTCGCGATCCTCGTCGTCGCACGCAGGCTGGGGAGGGCCAGGAAGCATCGAGCTCTCCGGCATCTGCCAATGCCACGCACTTCAGAGGCATCCCTAGTATGTTGACTATCCGAAATTCCTCTCGCAGTGTTCTGACTGTATGTAGTCAAGCAAGAAGGGGCGGCTTGGGAGCCCTTCCCAGAGCAGCCCCGACCCAAGCTACCCGCGTCGCCTCCCCAGCGCGCTGAGTCCGCACCCTATCACGCTATGGTAGGACGGGAGTATCTGAATATGCCAGCGGGCTCCGTGGGTGTCTTCCAAGATGTCCTAGCTGCCAGGCCCAAGCACTCTGACTCGGATCCACCTTCCGAAGCAGAGGCCCGCATCAAAGAGCTTGAGGATGAGAACCTCAGTCTACGCAAGGAAGGCTTCTGCAAAGATCGAGAGATCAGAAAGCTCAGGGCTGAGCTGCTTTCGAGGGGCATTTGTACTAGCACGACCAAGGACGCAGCTTTCGGCGCTGGTGTGAAGCGCGCGCGTCACGAGGAAGACGTCGGCGGCCCTGTCAGGGAGCCGTAGGCTTGTTGCTTCTCTCCCTCTCAAGTGCTCTTCTTCTCTGAACATTTTGTCTCATTGATGGAGGCGGGGTATCGACGGCGCAGCCAGGGCTGGTGACAAAGGGTGGATGACGGATTGTGGTCTAACGCAGGCGACGATGTGGCAGCGAGCATGCATATACGATAGGATACGACCCAGCACCGGCTTTGCTTGGGTCAGCTGGTTACGATGGTAGCATAGCTGATAACATGGATATTCGAAGAATTGCCGTGGACGTGGAGTGATGTTCCGATGTACAAAGCCGACATGGGCACATTGGCCGAGGCAGCCCTCACCTTGTTACGCTATTGGATACGAACTACTTCAATGTCGCGGACAGCGTCCAGTCAAGGTACGCCTTTCGGTAAGACAAGATATCCTCGAAGAAAAGTGTCGGGCAGTACGGAGTCCACGCGAAGTGGCACGGCGATTTTCTCCGGCTGGCGCAGACAAGGCTGTCTTTGTAGACTTCGCGTCGCCCGAGCTTACTCAGAGGTCTAAGCTCCTCGGATGCAACCCGTAGTCTTCCCCGCATTTCTTGGGCATGCCGGAGTCTAACGGCTTCTAGCAGGGGCATGCACAACACACAGCATCGGACTGGCGAAGGTCCGGTGCACAAGCCTCGTTTCATGTACTACGCCCCACTTTTTCCATCGCGCGCAACATTGAATAGAGCCGTTCGTCTTGGAAAACGAATACATATACGACGAGCAAGACCCATGAGTCGCATCCTCACAATACTGCAGAGCAGACCTTCTTTCCTTACTACTCAGCCTAGAGCGAGCATACACTCATTTCCTTCCAACATCCCCATCACCCGCCCGTCTCCGCTTTCTCCAACACCATCTTCTCCAGCACCAACCGCAACCATGAGCTCCATCCCATACGATCTCCTCCCGAGCTGCGACCAAGACTTCGCCCACCTAAAACTCAAGCAAAAGCAGTCCTTCGTCAACCGCTTCTTCGGCATCCGTGTATGCGACGACAAGAAGGAGACCAATAGCAACGCCGTCTACTCAAGTAATGCTGCTCGAGCTTTCTCCTCCGCCACTACCTCCCCCGCAACATCAACAAACAGCTCTTACGTCTTCCTCAACTCAAAAGCATCGTCGAGCAGCATGTGCCTCCCCATGGCTACGCCCCGTAGACAACGCTCCAACACGGCGAACTCGTCAACATCGGTTGCGTCGTTTGTGTCGCAGAGCTCCGTGCACAGCAATGATTCCTACCAGAGACTTCGCAACCGCTCGCCAAGCCGCGAGAGGAAAGCGTTGCTAGATGATGGATGGGCGCCTGTGGAACAATACTTCTAGGCGCTATGACCGTGTGCGACATTTCACTTCGACCTTTTCCGACTCTACACCCACGCCATTCATTTTTGTATATTCTTTTGGCCTTGACAGGTGCTTACACTTCGTTTCCGTCTTTCTACCAACTTCAGACCTTGTTCACACTTTACCAACTTACGACGCTGAATGCATACTTCGAGTGCTACCTCCGTGTACATGCTTTCATTTCATCACAGTCACTACCGTCAGCACCTTCGAGATAAAACTCTCTTTTCCTTCACTCGTTCAAACCCTCACTTTCCACCATCTTTACATTCCTGTACATTCTTCTAATTTTTCGGTTATTCCCTCACCTTTGCGGTGTTTCCCTTTCTTGTTCACTCTTTCATTCTTTTCAGGTCACTCATACTCAACACTTTCCCTACCCAAATATTTTGATACCGCTGTTGATCAGCACCTCTATTCCAGTCACTCTTTTCAAGCATCCACTTCCACTGTACATACATTCTAGACATTTTATTTTGATGTAAATGGGATACGCTCTCATGAAGCACTATTTTTGATTTGTTTGTGCATCTACATGAACATACAAAGACCCAAGATGTTGAAACGTCCAAATTTGCGTCACATAGATCACCCTCTGACATTTACAAGAACAAAACAAACCTATCCCTCAATGCGACCTACTTGTAAGGGGACTATGATGTTACGGAAGCTTACAAGTACAACCGAGATTGCCAGAGTTTCCGGACAGCCCGTATTTTCAATAGCGTCGAATATCTTGGGCGCTCTCCCTTGGAAGGAACTAGTGAGTGCCAGTGGCAGAGTGAAGAAAATTTATGAGACCGTACATGGTGATGGAAAATACCGAGTCAGTGGTGGGAGTATGCGTAACGACAATGCACACGATACCTTCTCTAAAAGCTCTGGAAAAGGTCTATCATGTATATAGATAGCATGAGCCAAAATTAGTGTTTCAAACTAGCACGAGATAATGGAACAATTTCGAACTGACAAGGAATTTGACAAAGCCCCCATCTAAAAGCACGATAAGGTCGCTATAGCCTTTGTCGGTTGCGTCGCGCAAGTTGTGACACACGAAGAAATGGGACTTGCCACAAGAAATGACTAACGGCTGCTGAAAGATGTGGTCACTCACATAAAATACGAAATTTGGGAGCTGTATACCATCTACATTTGTCCATATGCATTTGTGTGCTTCTAAGACCTACAAATGAGCTTTTAAACAGTATCAATTAACTTTTGGAGTCTCGACGTATTAAACTCTTCGGGAATTACGCGGCAGAATAGACTAAGTCCGCAACCACATTGGTTCGACATTGACAAACGATCAAACAATAACGCAGCAAAAAACTGCAATATAAGAGCTCACGTGTGTATGCTGAGCTGACATCAACAGTCTACCATACAACAGGAAATTCGAAATGTCTCATCCGCTAGAGCTCCCACTCTCTGCATGTCAAATTCCATCTCGAACAATCTCGAGGTAGGCGAGCAAATTGGATTGAAGTGTGTCAAAGTTTGTGAGGTGTTGGATGCAAAGCGAGGAGGCAAGTGTAACGTCTCTCAACTCAAGCGATGCAGTGCGAGCCGGTGATTGACACGTTTTCCAGACCGAAACTCCAGACTTTGATATTTTCTCCCTCGACGTAAGCAGACATCAATGTGTACGTTTTCGCGGTGCCTTCAGACCTTGAACATAGGCGAGCGACGGGTTGATGCAGTGACGTATGTCTGATTCAGAACTGAACCGACGGAGAGAGTCCTCTCATGGTTTCAATATTAGATGTCGGCAGTTATCGGTCGATACGCCGAGTGGGATGGCGTGCAGTACGAAGATGCGTGGCTCTCGACCAAGTAACTCGAGATCAACGAGAGACTAGGTCGCAATCTTACGCTCAAGATTTGTTGAGAGAGTGGTGTTATGTTGTTGTAGTCCCCTATTGCTCGCTGGTTGTAAACGGTACATCGAATGGGGAGAGATCGGATGATAACGTCGGTCCGAAGGCTACACTTTCCGTGAGAGTGGCTTCGATTAGATTTACGGATGAGTCAAGCGCGTAGCCTTAGCCAGCTTCGCTTGATTGATTTTAATCTTTACCATCAACCGCGGCCTCGAGCCCTCTTTCTTGGTCACCGTGACCAGTCGACGGGGCGGAGATGCGGGCTTGGAAGATAGCTCAGCAGCAGGAGCCATGTTCAAGTTTGGCTCGTGGGCGGGTGCAACGGATTGTGGAGCATTGGGCGCAAGGGTTTCTTCACGTTCGGAGGAAATGTCTTTATTCAGTCGTGTCGACCGACGGGAGGGTTGGACGTCGACCTTTTCCTTCCGCTTGCTGCGTTGGCTTGCAGGGCGAGCATCCTGTTCATCTTTCGCCGGTTGTTTGTTTCGGCGCTTGGCGGGGCGAGTTTCTTCATCAGGTTCTTGTGCTGCCTTTCGCTTCGATGGGCGCTTACCGGCGAAAACGTACGGTTCTTTCCTAGGCTTCGTGACTTTAGCTAATAGTTGCCTTGAGGGATGGAGATTGATGTTCTTAGAGAGTCTTAAATTCTCTATCTCCGGAGGGGGTTGCCACGGTGTCAATGTACTCACCTGCTTTAGCGCTGAGCTTGCATCTTCTTGTTCAGAAGCCTGAGAAGATACAGGTACTTCATTGTTAGGTTCCCTTGGGGACTTTGGAGGCGCAGGAACTGCATGCAGGGTGGCGTCCTGCTTAGAGAGCTGTAGAAGACTTTCCTCAGCTTCTGGCGTCTCGTCAACATATTCGGCGTGAGATGTAGTATTGTCTGCAACCACTGTATCGTTGAGTGCCTGCGCAGCTGAGGTACTAGCCTCGGTCGCCACCGATGGCGGAGATTTCTTATCGATCGTATGTACAGAAGGATTAGCATCAAGCGTGCCAATAGCTGTCTTGGATGGCTTCAGCGGGAATTTACTGGGTACCTCAGTATCGCCCTTTGGATCAATGACCCGTACCGTATCAAAAGTTTCAGTAAAGGATGCATCCTTCGCTTTCTTCTGAGGCGGCTGCGAGTCCCCATCATCAGGTTCGTCGACGCTGTCGAACTGCTTTCGCTTCAGGCCTCCGGTATGTTCTTTGAGCGCGGTTTCCAAGAGAATCGGGCCTCTAACGCGTTCCTCACGTTCCTCACGCTCGCGACGCTTCTTTTCCACTTCCTTGATAGCCTTCTGTACAGCCGGCCAGTTGGGATGGCCTCCGTCCACGATGATTGCTTGATCGAGAGGGAGTAGCTCATACTCTCGAACTTTCGGTCTCTTAGGAACATACTCTTCGATCCATTCATCGTATTCGAGTTCGCTGTCAGAGTCCTCGTCTGGTTTGCCCACCGAGCCCGGGGCTTCGTCCTGGGTCATTACCTCCGTTATCTGGGTCAATATCGCTGGCTGGGGCTGAGGTGTAGTAGGTGGGTCCGTACTAGGGGTCAAGCTCGGCAACACTGGTACTTGTGAACGAGGTGCTGTTATTGGGACATGGTCTGAAGCAGGTGTCACGCTCGGAACTGAGGCTGTCGAAAGCGCAGAAGGTCGAGTTGCCACATATAGACCCCTGAAGTTGGTGTCATAGACGAATTCGAGCAGTCTTTCACGAGCGTCGTCTCGTCGGAGAAGTCGGACAAAGTAGTCGAAAGAAATTTCAGTCGCAGCACCGTTGGCGCGTTGCTGTTGAAGGTCCTCTGCATTAGCGGATAGCTCGTCGGCCATCTCAGCCATTCCTCCGGGTTTAATGTCTCGTGCAAGTGACTTTTCTCAACAATGTTAAACTAAGCGGGTATAGATATGCCTTCTAAAGCAGAGGGTAGAACGGACGGGTATTCTGGAGAACTTAAGTACCGAGTCGTTGGTTTATGAAGGCGTTAGAAAAGGTGGGGGTGGACTCGAAGGTCCGTGGTCCCGGTTTGCTCGAGGGGAGTGCGTAAGGGTTGAGGGTTGAATCGGTCGCTTTGTAGAGCCGCCGCGTGAATATTTAGATGGGCGTTCCTAATTCATTGATTATATAGAATGTTTGATGAAGCTGTAGCCCTTTACAGCGACCGCTAACAATGTTGATCTCTCAAGTGGAGCACGGACGCAGGGTGAAAGCATTTTAGGCAGGACGCAACGGCCGGTGCATCACGTCCGAGCAGGCCTATGCATCCGCTATTTCGATGTGCTTGCATTCGTATCATCTTGCTATTGGCAATGTGGAGATGTGCTTTCGCGACTTTTCAAACTTATGACTTATATCTGCTTCTTCCTAGATGCTTTGAGATTTCAAGATTGGCCCTTTGCGGTCCATCAAATTAGATTTGCCGGTAAGTTTGCGATAAATCACAATCTCTATGATTCTATGAAATCGGGAGACAAGTCGCTTGATGGGGTTCACATGTAACGTCTCGTCCCAAGGTTTGCTTGCTAGCTCCCAGCATCTCGTACTCGAGCGGCCTCATGACACCCACGAAATCGAGTGCGAGTATTCATTGCTATGACTGAATCATGTCCCCTTATATACTCCACAGAAACTTCTAAAGGAGTCCCTCCGATAATGCGCCCCTTAGCTGTCACATAAGTAGTGAAAGTTTAACTATGGTACTACTGCGCCACAACACCGTTTCACAGCTCAGGGGTGAAGTGACAGAATGCCAAGATCTCATGTTACCCTTCTGGAAGCTCGTGCGCCTCTTCTCCCATTCATAAACATCCATGAGTTTTCCTGTGCTGCTCACTCCCCTGCACATCGGCACTATCAACTTCGCTGACGGAGCGACGTTCCTCAAGCCTTGACAACTTGCGGCAAATCATCCTTCACCTAAACTTTGGAGAATTCCTCATGACTATAACTTCGTCGGAGCGTATTGCTCCAAACACCTTCGTGGACGAGGATGACAACAATCCTCACGATGAGCGTCTGGACCAAGCGACGGTGACCACTGGCGAATCTATTGGAGATGTCCAGGAATTGAACCGTCCTCTTATCGAGCAAGAATATATGGATCGCAGTTTTGCACCGGAGAAAGCCACGACGCCTGAAGCTAAAGTGGACCTAGCTCCTGGTGACATCGAGGACAGGGATGCGGGAACCTCAGTAGTCAACGATCTTTCCGCTATCTCTCCGGCCCCTGCTCCGGTGCCTTCCACCCTTTATCCTGGATCACCCAACGACGACTTGGTTGAGAAGCGTGCAACCACGACAACCGACCTTCCAGAGCAACCCGACAAGCACGATACTTCTGACCCCGTCGTGGATACCTTAGACACTCGGGGTTCTAATATAGGTTCGTTAGTCCAGAGGGGGATCAATAACATCAACTCGGCCGTTCCTGTTGATGACAACACTTCCCCCACGACCGACACATTGACTTCTACCTCAACAGCTTCGATTAAAGACAGCCTCAATCTCTTCTACTCGGCCAAGGTCCCTGTCAAGAACTCATCTGATAAGAAGCCTGCCGCCATGGCTAAAGTCGACTGGCTGAAGAAGCTGGATGGTGTCGCGGCTCCCGACTACGACGGCGAGTGGGAGGATTCACCGTCTCGAGGCGCAACTGTTCTGCACGAGCAGCTTCTCGAGGACGATGTAGTAGCGGAGCCGCTCACCACACCCACACACAACCGAGAGCATCTAGTTGCTCCAGAGGTTGCTTCTAAGCATCGTTATGTACCACAAACTTTCCCAAATCTAGGAGAGAATCTGGTGGACGAGTTGGAGGATATCAATCTGGATTCTCCAGCTAAGAAGCCTCCTAAGCAGGACTACATTGCCGAACTGCTTGACGAAGACGCAGATACCATAGAGTATCAACCTTCCAAAGCCAAGGCTTCGCATCGATCCGCCTTGATTTCCGTCGCCACAATTGCGAACAAGCAAATCGAAACTGACGGTTTTTTCGAGGCCACCTTTGGACAGCATCATCCCGAGATTTTGCGTCCAGCTCTTGCACCTGAGACACCCGTTGTCCACGGCGTGGGTCATAGAAATACTCCCAAGTTGCGGACTCCGGTCGGTCCCTCTCCAATGCCATCGTTCTCCGAGTTACGGGATCGAGCCGGCCACAATTTGAAGCATGGCAGTGGTCCACAGCGCGATTTCCCGCGAACGGCAGCTCCGAAGGACAATCCGATAAACGACGTGTCCAGCCGTACTAATGTTCCTACTGCGAGTACGGAAAATGTTGTTGATAAGGAGTATGCGGATGTATCCATGGATATGCTAGATTACGAGATGGGTAACTGTGGGTCCAAAGATTACCCAACGTACTATTTCCCTGGTACCTACGAAGCGGTCAAGCACGACACCTACGAGGCAGCTATGAATGTTTCCTCTGCTGCAAAGTCCTTCCGCAACGCTGTTGGAATGTCTGGCGTCGGTAAAGCGCTGTGGTCTGTCGGCGCATTCACTGCAAAAGGTACGCGTCGTGCTGCAACGGTCCTCGGCACGCAGGCCACGATGAGTGCTATCAATCTTGGCTATAAGGAGTCTTTGCCGCCGCACGTCGCACAGTGGGCCACGTCGAAAAATCAAGAGGAGGAGCGGAAGGCTGAGAGGAAAAAGCCGAACTACAAGCTTGTGGATGAACCTCGCTACAAGAAGGCTGACCCAGCGAAGTACGTTCTCGAGAAGAAGCTGTCCACCGCGCAGAAAGATCTGATAGATCTTGACGATGACTTGGAGGAGGAGGACTGGACCATGGTGAACGTCAAGGAGACTACCGACCAGACATTGCAGCCAGCTTCAACCTGCCGTGTCCATGGTGAAGAACCGCCCACCGGTTACCAGGATGGACTGCCTAACACACCTTACGAGACCATCATGACGACTGTCGAGAGCACGGCAGGCTTTGTTGCTCAAGTCGGTCGTACAGTACGCGGCCAGGCCATCGCGCTCGCCGACCGGCAGCGGCAGCGACAGCTTCGAAAGCAACGCGCTGAAGAGTGGCCAAAGGACGCACGTGAACTGGTGCAGAGCAATAGGTACGAGCGGTTGCAGACGATTGGCCGTCTCACGAGCCCTCACTATACCAAGATCCATAACACGCACGGTGACCTTGCGTACCCTGACAGACCGGCTGCATATGAGACCGACGATGTTTCTGACAATTACGACGACATGGTTCTCTCCGATGAAGAGCTCAAGGGTTAGCAAGGGTGTCACCAATACTTGCACTACATTGTTATGCATTCTCAGTTCGGCATGGCGACATCATGCGATTCAGCAGCTTGCATTGTGTCTACACTTTTGGTCAGCAGATGTCAGTTTTCATGGTTAAAGTCCAGGAAGCCATTGGCGAGCTTTCCCTCTGGTTTTGGTCTCTTTGATTGTAATACGTGTTCATGGATGCGGTCTTGCTGGAGTTGAGCGGGAAAACTTTTAAAACGCTCCCTGTCGTATGGACAGTGATGCTCTCCGAGGTTGACAGCACCTCTCCGCATGGATTTTGCGAATGTATGTACGATGAAATGAATAAAGATTGTAGAATGAAATCGAACGTCTGCTGTAATTTGGTGAATAACAACGCTCTGTACTTATGCGTGTGCTTGGCCAAGTAGATTGTACGCATCTCACGGTCTTTACAACTGTGCAGCAGGAGCAGCGTTCATCCTGAGCTCCGCCTTCTCCTGCTCCACGTCTTGCGCATCTAGCAGCGCCCGCCACTCTTTGATCGGCCTATGCAACGCCTGGAAGTCTTCCCCATTCTTCTCATAAGACTCTAGCCAACTAGGGTATCTGTCTTCGTAATATTCCCCCAATTGCGCCTTCGTCTGCAGCACCTCTCCTAACGCCAGCGCATCTTGAATCGCCGCATTCGCCGCGGTTCCAGCATGGTTACTCCAGTCATGTACCGCATCGCCTATGAAGACAACTTTATCGGACTGCAGCTTAGAGAGGAGGTCTTCCTTAGGAACGAGCAAACTAACCAGCTGATGGTGTATAGTTCTGTCGCCACGCTTTCTCATACCTTCAAAAATCGTTCGAAATGGTTCCACCAGATCCCTCGGAGGCAGCGCCGCAATCTCGTCCCAGAAAGCATCCGGCGCCTTTGCCTTATCGAACCCCCGTTCCGCGTACCTGACGAAAAGCGGATCGTCGCCCTGCTTCCTCCTCCTCGAGTAGCCCCAGGACACATTCACATATCCGGAGTAAGGGTCCCAATCGGCGTCGTAAATCGTGATCGCGAGAACTTTTTGATCACCGAACCCAGGATACACGGCTGCATCACCAATATGCGGTCCTATCTTGGCATTCCATTCTGTTATCGGAAAGCGACATGTACCATTTAACATGACGCCGTCCCAGTCTTGCGGGACGCAGTGCGGGAGGAGTCGTGAGCGGATGAAAGAGTGCACGCCGTCTGCGGCGACGAGCACGGAACCTTCCACATCGACTCCATTCTCGAAGACCACGCGCACTCCAGAAGTCGTCAACATGAACGACACCAACTTGCATCCGTACTCCACACTCCCGGCTACATCGCCCATGATCACACCCCGCAGCCTCTCCCTATTCGTCCTGAAGTCCCTCGTGCTCGCGCCCTCTTTGAAACTTGCCGCCGCAAATCTCTCCCCCGTCACTACATTTACCAAGAAGGCGTTCGTCTTACCAGTTTTACGATCCACAGCCACGGCGGGACCAAGTTCCTGCTCTTTCAAGCTTAATAAAGGAAGTAGTTTACTGATCGTATCACCGCGTAACGTCAAACCAAACCCTTGGTTTTTGAACTCCGCTTGCTGGTCGAAGACGCGAAATGGTATGTTTCTGCTGGAGAGGTAGCGGGCTAGCGTTACGCCGGCCATGCCAGCGCCGATGATGAGGATCATGGTTGAAGAGCGTCGAGGATGGTATCATGAGAGAAAGGTTGGAACGAACGGAAACATCGATGTGGGACAAGGAAATGCAGAAAGTCCAAGGATGCATGTCACTTGTAGGGCGCGCAGGGGCGTAAGCCCTGTTACGCTGCCCAGGACACTGCAAGCACAGCTTCCTCTTGCATCTTAGGTCTTAGTCAGCTGTGATTAGCTACCGGTATGATATAACACCACGTGTGATGGCGGATGGATTAATGCAGATTATGGGGCGTGGCGTGAATTCCAAGTTGGCCAAGTCATCTGCGCTACTGCTTACGACCGATCCGATGCAGAGGAAGATCTCTCTGCATATGCGACTGAAATCGTCTCGGATCATGCTGGTGAAGAGCGTTCCCGCTCCGACAGGAAACTCTTGTATGTGCTTCAGGTGATGTTTGATATTGTTGAACACTGAAGATGTCGCTGGACCATGAATGTTAGCAGTGATGCTGCTGCTGCTTAATGACTTAGAGAGAATACTTAGACCATGCCAGGCCTATTGTGAACCTTATATCCCTTACTACTTGCCCTTCGCCTTGCTCTTGCTCCTTGTCGTCCTCTCCCCCACAGCAGGTGCCTCGTCAACCGACTCCTCCGCAACATCCACGCCAGAGCCCTCGTCTTCGCCCACAGCTTCCTCCATCTCTTTCTTCTCGGTTTTGTCGGCACCATCAGTCGCAAACTCCCTCGCCTTACGCTCCTCCTCCCACTCCTGCACAAGCCTCTCCACACCAACCTCCTCCACCTTCTCTTTTCCATTCCACGCGTGACACCCTCCGCACCGCCAGCGTCCCACATCGTCCAGCGTACGCGCACCAGGTGGCGCCTGCCCATTCACAAGACGACATTCAGAGCAGATTAGTGCGAGGCGGTTCTTCGGCTGCGTCTCGTCTTCGCCGAGGAGCGCGTCCAGGATACGGTCGTACCAGTGGGATTGTGTGAAGGAGGCTGTGGATGCGGTGTATTGTCGAGTGAGCTCGGGTGCGGAGAAGGCGTTAGGCGCGAATTCGGCTGTTAGGCTTTCGGGCGGGGGAAGAGCTGGTGCGGGTGATGAACCCCGACCCTGTGGAGGTGCTGCTGCTGCAGGTTGTTGTGGTGTTGCTGGACGCTGGTCGGATGGCCGTTGAATATTTGCCGTCGGCGGTGGTGCAATGCCTGTGCGTGGTCCTGGCGCTGAAGTGGGTTTCTGTGGTCCGTCTTTCTTCTTGTCAGATGAGGCGTTGGGGTTCTTCTGCTTGGTTTGGCCGCCGTACTTCTCGAGGAGTTGCTGTGTGGAGTTCCATTTCGTAGATTCTTTCAGGCGCTCGATCGTTACTTCGCGTTCTTTGGTGAGGGTCTTGATGTAGGCTTCTGTGCTGGAGATGCGCCAGTCGTAGTAGCGGGTCGTTGTGGTGCGGACGATGTAGATCCTGTATGCGGTCAACCTACAAGAAACGCAAGCTTGGAGATGGTGGATCTTCGTACAGTACTGGTCCCCCAACGACCGCGGTGTACTCTGTACGTCCCCAATTCTGGTATCCCACGACCAGCGACCAAAACAGAGCAGCAAAGATGTAGGCAAACCCAGCCCAGAGTGTCCACATCACGCGAATGCGCCTAGACCTCTGCCTCGCAGCGTCATTTCGAGAAGCAGCCCTTATAATCTTCCCCGAGAGCGTGGAAAGCGTCTTCTCGAAGTACGCCTGGTCCTCGCTGGACTGTTGCCTCGTGAGCCCACAAACATGCAAGCTTCAGCGGATGTGCATACCTTGAACGGCCAGAAAGAGACCATTTTATTGAATTAGCAGCGCACCCAGGGCGCCAAAGTCAACTCAAGGGCGCGTTAACATCGTCGCGTGGGCGGGGTGAAGAAAGGTAAAGTAGTGGTCTTGCGACGTCACAAACGAGCTATAGGCAGCTGACTGATCGCTGCAGGGACCCCATCCCTGTCCATGAACATGGGCCTCCGCGACTTTTCTTGCCCTCGCCTTTCACACCTCACACATTCCAGGACGGCCTCTGATGTCGCACGAGATGGCCATCGCAGCATACAGGAATCTCTTGCGATCGGCGCGCATCGCGTTCCGAGGTGCGTGATTGCTTTGCATACCTTGGAGCGAATTAATAGCTCACGTCTGCACCAGGCGACACGCGCATGCTCTCCGCCGCCCGCCTCGAAGCGCGAAAGAACTTCGAGAATAACCGCGGCCTCGCCACCGAAAGCGAAGAATACACAAGATCTATCGCACACGCAGAGGAGGTCGCAAAGTTTCTGAGGGAGAACGTGGTACAAGGCCAGGCGACAGAGACAGAAGGCAGTTACAGTATGTTCGGGAGTGCATGCGGCTTTGCAGATGTTGCAATTGCTAATACTGTCTATCAGAGCTGAATATACACGAGCACACCGAGCGTGGAAACAATGAGGATATCAAAAAAGCAGGAAAGGGGAATACATTAGCAGGTTCCAAATGCTGCTCGGCCTGAAGTTTTCTTCCGTCCAATATGAATCGTGATACCCTTCCTTTACAAATCCTGAACGCCGTCCGATGCTGCAAATGTAATACATGCTTAGTTACCAGCCAAGCTGGCGTAATTGACTTCATCGTCTGCTCCCGGGGGTGGAGCAATGGCCGCCAAACTGTCAAAGCTGGCCTCTGGAGCCGCTTCAACGGCAGCTTGCGCGCGTCTAGCATTCCCGCTTGCTTGCCTGCCTTCTTTCGCGTACATCATCCGGACGTTCTGATCGAGGCTGTCCAGCTGCTTCGGCTTGCCCCAGGATACCTTCATCGGGCAGCCTTTGATGACTACCTTGCCTTTGAGCGTCTCTGCCGCGGTCTCTGCATCCTTCCTCTTTACGTAATTGACGTATGCACAATGCGCGCGATGTGAACATACAACCGATCGAAGCTGTCCGTACTGGGCGAAATGTGTGCGAATCTCGTGCTCAGGCAGGTCATCTTCGACTCCAGTAACAAATAGCGACGCAACATTGGGGTCCTTCGGAGGTAACCAGTCCTCAGGGCTTGGTGCTGCTGGCCCTCCCCCCATCCATCCGCCACGCCCAGGTCGCATCCCACCGCGGCCGCTTAACGGACCCCTCGTATCCCTCGTCCTTATAGGTCCAGGTACGTGCCCGCCTGCAGAGTCGGACTCTCCTGCAGGCGCTGGAAGCGCTTTCTGTGCTCCTTCGCCCTCCGCCTCGAGCCTTCGTTGTTTCTTGTAATATGGCTCACTTTGCGCCAACCGCTTTAAGAGATCGCGTGCCTTTTCATCGGTCTTGTCATAAGCCTCAACTGCTCCCCGGCCCTCCTCTATCTCTCTTTCGTGCTCTTGCGCATAGTACTGCCTGTTGATGTCGCTCTGGGGACCCGGCGCCACCATCTTCAGGGCCGCATCACGAACCACGATGGGCAATCCAAACGACAGATCCAGCATGCAGCACTGGCAGCAGTTTTTTAGACGCGCGCATGTCAGACAGATGTTGGTACGTTTCTGGCGGGCAGTACGATCTGCTTTCCATCGGAAGATCGTAAAGGGACGGGTGCATATCTTGCATTCCTGCACAGGTTTTGTTAAGGTGAGTCTACCAGGAAAGGAAGATGGGACTTACAGCTCCATAGTCTTCCTTGAGCATCTGAACATACGGGTTGTCCGGCAGACATCGCTCGCACACTGACGGAAAGTCTGTCGTCTCCCAGCCCGACCGGTTCAGGTCCTGCTTGATTTGCGGAGGCATGTCCTGGTGCGGGAGGCGGTCGCGCGCTGGTGCAAGATATCGTACGTTGTCTGCAGGGGGATGCGATCGCTTCTCATGCTATGTGAGCGATTCGTCGTCGGTGTGGGGCGCAGCAGGGCTTCTGAGTGCGCGTGAAGGCGTTCAACTGATGAAGTGACGAAGCGGAGCTTGGCCTCACATGCTGGTGGCGGTTGCTGTAATTTCACACTAGCGTATGCAGCGTATCCCGAGCAAGGAACCAATCACGCGCCGTTCTGTACCGACAGCATATTTCCTGCACCGCTCTTTCTCCTGGTGGTCTTCTCCTTAAGAGGGCTGCTCTCTGCTCGGTATTCGACCACTTCACAGGCAATTGTTCTTTACCTTCCTTACCAAGTCGATACTACCTTATTTCCGTCTCCCAACTGTCTCGGTTCAACACCACCACCTACACTTTTAAAATGTCTCCCGTTGCGCTCGAAAAAGAGGACCATTCGCGCGATGCGGACTTCAACAAGGCCATGCATGGCAAGTCCTCCCAGGCGAAGGGTGGCATGAGTGCCATGCTGGGAAAGGATAGGGCCGCCCAGCAAGCTGCCGTGGACGAGTACTTCAAGCACTGGGACAACAAGGCCGCTGCAGAAGAGACGGAGGAGACCCGCAAGGTACGCCAATTGCACCAGCAGTCGCGCTCAAATTAGCTAACATTTCCAGGCCCGCCGCGACGAGTATGCCACCCTCACCCGCCACTACTACAACCTTGCGACCGACTTGTACGAGTATGGCTGGGGTCAGAGTTTCCACTTCTGCCGCTTTGCCCACGGGGAGCCTTTCTACCAGGCCATTGCCCGCCACGAGCACTACCTGGCGCACAAGATGGGACTGAACGACAACATGCGGGTTCTTGATGTCGGCTGCGGTGTCGGAGGACCCGCTAGGGAGATGGTCAAGTTCGCCAACGTAAACGTGGTTGGCTTGAACAACAACGACTACCAGATCGAGCGCGCGACCCGGTATGCTGAGAAGGAGGGTCTCTCACACAAGCTCAAGTACACGAAGGGCGATTTCATGGTACGTGTAGAAATGATACTGAGATACTGTACATGCATTGACCCCTGAACAGCAAATGTCCTTCCCTGACAACTCGTTCGATGCTGTCTACGCCATCGAGGCTACTGTACACGCCCCGTCTCTCGAGGGTATCTATAGCGAGATTTTCCGTGTCCTCAAGCCCGGCGGCGTGTTCGGTGTCTACGAGTGGCTCATGACCGACAAGTACGACAACGATAACCCTGAGCACCGCGAGATCCGTCTTGGTATCGAGATTGGCGACGGTATCTCCAACATGGAGAAGATCGAGGTGGCTCTCAAGGCCATGAAGGCTGCTGGCTTCGTGCTAGAGCACCACGAGGATTTGGCAGACCGTGATGAAGACCCCGCTCCGTGGTACTGGCCCCTCTCTGGTCAGATGAAGTACATCCAAACCCTCGGCGACATTCCCACGATTATGCGAATGACCAAGATTGGCCGTGGTCTCGTTCACAGATTCGTCGGCGCCCTCGAGACGATTGGTGTCGCGCCCAGGGGAACTCAGAAGACTGCCGACTCTCTTGCGCTCGCTGCCGACTGCCTCGTTGCTGGTGGCAAGCAGAAGCTTTTCACGCCCATGTACCTGATGGTCGGCCGTAAGCCTGCGGACGCATAAGCCGCGTTCCCTTTTGTTCTTTTCTAGTCTGCGGGTTTTCGGATTGGTGCATCTCAAAAAGAGAATTTTGAGCGCTTGCAACTATATATTGTTGTAATATTGGGCTTATCGAGTAGGAGCGACCTGCAGTAATGTCAACGCAGTGATGGTCAGCATAGATATGCATATAGAGCTAATAATTGATGCTCTTGAGCAGAGCAAAGTGAACTTGAAGTCCCTAATTCACATGTGCACTGTCGTGTAATCCACCAGATCCATACCCTGCGCCTCAATCGACTCCGTGTACGATACGTCTGTGTTTAGGCTGTTGTTGAGATAGGCGTACGGCTCAACGCGGCCAACAATCGGGGTGTTTTAGAGCTTGGACCCACCTTCGCGAGTATCGTCCCCGATCCCCGACCTAAGAGGAACAAAACTTTACCCAACAGTCAACAACACCAGCACACCTCCCAAACCGGCCATCTCTCGCCCGCGGCCTTCCCTCTCCTCGTCCTCACTCTCCCATACCGCCGCTCCAATGGCTGCCTCCAGGCTCCTCCGACCAGCAGCCCGCCTGCTGTCAGCTTCCCGCCCAGCAGCTCCTGCTTTCCGACCCGCGTTCCGCCCTGCCGCTGCTTCGCCGTCAATCGTCGCCAGGAGATACGCCTCCGATGGTGGTAGCAAGGAGATGACGGTGCGAGACGCGCTCAATGAGGCCATGGCCGAGGAGATGGAGGCAAACGACAAGGTCTTCGTGCTGGGTGAGGAGGTTGCGCAGTACAACGGAGCGTACGTACACCAAGTTGGGCACCGGCAAATTAGAGGAGCACGTTTGAGGGCTTTGTGAAGCTGTTCATGCATCCGCTGTTTTTGCGCGATGCGTTGATGTATCATCGGCGAATTTCGCGCTGACGAGCTCGCAGGTACAAGGTCACAAAGGGTCTGCTCGACCGCTTCGGTGAGAGGAGGGTAATCGACAGCCCCATCACCGAATCTGGTTTCGCCGGTCTCTGTGTGGGCGCTGCATTGGCGGGCCTGCACCCCGTTGTGAGCACCTCTATCCATGCTAAGGAATCTTTTGGTCCCCGGAGGCTAACAGGGTACAGTGCGAGTTCATGACCTTCAACTTCGCCATGCAGGCTATTGACCAGATCATCAACTCCGGCGCAAAGACGCATTACATGTCTGGCGGTATTCAGCCCTGCAACGTCACCTTCCGCGGTCCTAACGGCTTCGCTTCCGGTGTCGCCGCTCAGCACTCTCAGGATTACACTGCGTGGTACGGAAGCATTCCGGGATTGAAGGTCGTCGCACCGTACAGCTCCGAGGATGCAAAGGGTCTGTTGAAAGCGGCCATCCGGGATCCTAACCCGGTTGTCGTCCTGGAGAACGAGTATGAGCCCAAAAAGTAATTACCTACACACAAGCTAACATACTCACAGACTCCTATACGGTCTCTCCTTCCCCATGAGCGAAGCCGCCCAAAAAGACGACTTCGTGATTCCCGTACTTAACCCCCTCTCCCTTTTGCATGTCCTCCGCTAACAATTTCCAGCTCGGAAAAGCCAAGATTGAGCGCCCCGGAAAGGACCTCACCATGGTCACCCTCTCCCGCTGCGTCGGCCAATCCCTCGTCGCTGCCGAGCAGCTCAAGTCCCAATACGGCGTCGAGGCCGAAGTCATCAACCTGCGCTCCATCAAGCCCCTGGACGTCGAAGCCATTATCAAGTCCATCAAGAAGACGGGCCACCTCCTCGTCGTCGAGTCCGGATACCCGTCTTTCGGTGTTGCGTCCGAGATCATGGCGCTTGCCTGCGAGTATGGCTTCGACTACCTCAAGGCGCCGCCGGCCCGTGTCACTGGTGCCGAAGTCCCCACTCCGTACGCGCAAAAGCTAGAGGAGATGAGCTTCCCTACCGATCAGCTGATTACAAGCTATGCAGCGAAGTTATTGCGCGTATAAGCGAACTCTCCTACGCGGTGAAGGGGATGGTGGCTTGGAGAAAGTAGACCTTCTGGAATTCATGGCAGTGGAGTGAGGTATTGGTGGATGAAGCGGCGGTGCACGGGTCCTGCACTGTCATTTCGGGTAGCAGACATGTACCAAAAGATGACGGGCCCTCGATTTGAGTTAGAAGCTAGCGTGGAGCATTGTTGTGCTGCCATTGCAGTGTACAAGTATGTCTGAACATGCTTCTCTTTTTCTTGGATAGGGATGCTTGTGTGTGGGATTAGAGATCGATAATCATATGTTTATGTGTACTATCTTTTCTCTAGGGCCATAAGATTTGCCTTAGCCCTGCGAGAAATTCGTCGGCAGAATATTGCTGTTGGCCGGCACGTCTTTTCGGTGGATGATCATCCTGAGGTGAGGAGCGTCATGTTGTGTAACCTACCAGAAGCTCCATTAGATACTGGGAAGGAGGGCATCGTACGATGTCTGGCAGACCGCATGCTCTCTCGGCACATGACCCTAAGCGAATCACTCGGGGTCTCCCCGGCGGCTGCGCTTAGAACTTGGTGCATCTCCCAGTGGTGGGAAAGAAGTCCGTTCGTGGCGTTTGTAGGCCACGAATCTTAGCCCCTTGATGGAAAAAGATGCGCCAGCTGCGTATGGATTTCAAGGCATCGCATTCGTGGCGGTGATGATGGTGGTACTAAAGGTCATCTATGGTTAGTGAAGTCTGTCTGTGATTGTTGTCCGTGAAGTCTTTCTGTGGGTGGCGGTGATGAAGTTCTGTCTATGGCGTCTGCACCACGTCGGCCGTCGGCAGAAGTTGACCAAAGCCCATTCCTGGTGGAAGTCGCAGCGGCTGCGCTTGAGCTTTGAAAAGCTCGTGGCAGTAGTAGCGTAGGCTGTTTTTGGATGGTCAAAGTGAAGCCTATCTGTCGCGTTTGCACTACATCTGTGTGTGGCCGACGCGCATCAAGTCTTAGTCGAGCGCGGCAGTTGCGTGTCGGCTCAAGCGCGTCTCGTTCGTGAGGGCGGTGACAAAGCCCGTGAGTAGTGTAGACAAAGTCTGCCGGTGGATAGGGGTTATGGTGTCCGTCTGCGGATGGTGGTAATGAGGTCTCTTGTCTGTGGCGTTCGTACTACGTCGGCTGAGATGAGGTCTCAATCTCAGGTCTATGGATCCGTGGCAATAAAGAGGTTGGGTGGGATGTAGCTAGCGTGCGGCTTTGTACGGGCGGGCTACCACGTGGAAGCTGTAATGTGCGTGCAGGGGTGTTGTGTAGACGAAGTCGTGGCACGTTAGACGACGAGGACAGGCTTGGATGCCCCGGCCGGGGGTTTGCGGCTGGAGTGTATTCCATGTGGTGGCTTGCATGCTGCATTTGAGTTGTTCTAGAACAATGCAGGTATAGACGAGGGGTGTATACCCGACGATGGCAGGCTTTTCAAGTCTGTGCGGAAGCCATGTGGTGGCTACCGTAAGGGCGCAGAGCGCATTTGATAGTAGGTAGTGGAGGGCAGGTATAGGCGAGATATGTTTGTGGCGGCGTTGTTTGATCAGGCTTCCACGTGTGAAGGTTGCGGTAAATATCGACGAACGACACTTTAATTTGACAGCTAAGAACAAAGCAGAGATCGAATTAGCGAAACACAAACTTCACTCTCCAACGCTTTTCGTTGTTTCGGTCTGACCTAATTATACGCTCTAGGAGAAGTTGGATCTGTAAGATGGGTAGGACACGCCCTTCAGATCCGGTTTGACGCTCTCATCTGTAACTTCAGAGGGCCGTTGAAATCATGTGCGTGGCTGAGTCCGACCGTGTTCAAATTGTGATAGCGTACAATAAACTCCAAAATACTTAAGACTGAGGTAGTTTGAGTTGCACAAAGCTGCATAGTTTCGATCTTGAGAAATTGCCACGACGTGAACAGTTCCCGTACACACGCATTAAGGTGGTAGCGGGCGTGAGGCACACAGCAATGTTTGAACTACGTTAGGGAATGCGGAAACGAAGACGTGAGCAACTAGCAGTTGTTTCCAGAAGAATATAACGTCAAACTAGCTGTTAAGGAAAATGAAATTTGGACCGTTCGACCAAAGGTGGCGCCCACGAGGTCGGCGAATTACCCACGTGAGCCAACAACGTGGATGGTGCATGCTGTTCAAGCAGTCACAACCAGACTAGAGCATACGTCTGTGGCTGCAGGGCCTTCTTCCTGGCGCAACTGAACTGGCTCTATGCTTCTGGCTCGACAAGAGCCACAACATGGGCGGCAGGGAACCGCCCACGTACGAAAGGTGGAACGAGCTAGAATTGGCCAGTTGCAAGTACGTTTGCGGCTTTCGGTCCACGAAGCCTCTTTCAAAAGGAGCTTTCCCACCGTTTTATGCAAAACAGCCAGTCAGCCATATAGGCAAAGTTCGCTACATGCGAAATCTTCGTAAAGTATTTTCGCGATGACCGAGGGAACCCGGCCATCAGGATCGACCAACTGATACCACTTCTATGCTCGTTAAACATGCCATCTTTTGCCGCTAGAAAAGACTCCTGATACAGGCGTGAAAGGTGGCGTGTTCCATCACGCTTCCAGACTCGGCTGGAATCCGGTGGAGGCGTTACAGCCTTGTACTCCCACGTGCTGTGGAAGTATTCTAGAAAGTCCCCAACGATGATAATAAGAAATGATGCCGTCTGCATAACACGTTGTTTGGGAGTAGCGCAGGTAGGTGAAGGACGAGTCGTAATCCATCCTTCCGCAAAGAAGCTGCGAGGGACATGAGACCACCTGGATGAATGACACTGCCTCGCACGAAACCGTAGAGACGCGCAAGGACGAGAAATCTAGCGTGCCACAATCGGTCGTTGCCCGTCGAGTCGTCTTAGGCTGATTGAGACTCGCTCACTGGGCATGTCGGTCCACGTTTTTAGGGCTCCGTTGCGTCTTCGGATCGATGGATTGAATGAGCCTTCAGCGGGCCGGTTGAAGGTACAGGAAATCCTCATGGGCGTCAGCCATGGGTCATATCGGCCGGATGTTTTCTGGTTGAAGTGGAAATTGAGCGAGAAGGCTTGATGGCTTGCTCGCCGAGGAATAGAGCGGCTGCTAAATTCCAGTCATACTGAACTCAAGTCGGGGTCGAGCGGTCCCGATCGGCTGGCCGGCAGCTGGTCAGCCAGATGGTTGTGTGGCGGATCGCGTGTTTTCGTAGCTCGTGGCTTCGGCAGTCTAAGAGCCAGTCACTCACCAGCAGAGCAAGGGTAGCCGACATGCTTCCACGGAACCGCGAGGCTGTCTACCAGTGGAGGTGGTGTCTGCCGTCGTGAGAGATGTCGCTTGGGCAGTCTTGGGAAAGAGCTGCACAGTGCATGTATTCAAGCATGCGCCCGCCATCCTAACGCGTACAGAAAGCGTTGATCGTGCCTTCAAGGAGAGAGGTGTAGATAACGATGCTTGGAGACATGTTGGGCCCACCGCAGCGAGGGTTTAGATATGGGGAAGGGACGACAGAGCAGGTTTAGTGTGCACGCTAAAGCGCACGGTCAAGGCAATTGCAACCCATCACACTGCTTCTGCCATGACCATGGTCGCGACCGAAACACGTCCCACAGACCCTCCTCGCCAGGGGATTGACCTCGTGCGAAGCCCTAGTCTGCCGTGTACGTTGAAGTCACGCATCGTACGATGCTCACACGACGTCTAGAATCGCGGCAGGATATCAACTGCCCGTGGACGGTTACTCCCAAGGCCCCACCAACGGGCGGTATGGGAGCGTGCAGTTCCGAATGCGATCTACCAAGCGGCGCCACCGTGCGCTTCTTGTTCCTCCACGCGGCATGGGAAGAGCGACGATGGCAGCGGAATCCCAACTGATGTCCAGATCGAGCTCTGCATCAGGAAGCGATGAGCGATGAGTTTCCGATTTGGGCACCTCGTCATTGCCTGTTCGGGACATGGTTCAACGCGCTGCCTGGCAAAGGTCCCAATATCGTTGATCGACAGTACGGCAGCAACTGACTCGTATTGAACGCCGCCGATCCAGCGGAACCTAGTCGCAACGTCTTCCACTCCCAATTCGATGCCTCAAAAACGCTCTTTCGCTTCCTGATGTATACATCGAATCGGGCTATGCAAGAGGATCTGTCCAAGGGGAGCAGCAAAAGCAATTATTATTAGACCCTATCGACGAGGCCGGGCAGTTCTCCGGTAGTTCTACAATGGTTCGATTCTCGTACCACGTCCGTTCGCAAGGTCTCACGGAGAAGAACATCGTGGCTGCAGAACTACAGATTGTCTTGTCTGAGCCTAAACACAGTACCTTGCCCAACGCTCCAACCCAAGCGCTCCGCGCCGTCAGACTCGGGCTCGCGTATCTAAATTACATCACCGGCGCCGAATCACCATGGTTGATTGGCCGGTTTTTTGTGTTGAAATTCCTGGTTTATGTCTTGGATGGTGAGCTACCGCAATTCGGGCTCTAATCCTTGCTTACTTTTCACTTCACAATTAATGCATGTACCCCATGACGAACGCTCGTGTGCCTGGGGCTCCCTCTTTGCGGACTGACAAACGCCACAACTTCGGTTGCCAATGGCCTTCGCGATCGTTGTCAACGCGTGCCTATCATTCTCAATACAGTGTTTAGGGCTGTAATATGAACGAAACTTTGGAATGAACCATTTTTCTAGGTTTCCATTTAGCGAAAAGCACGACCCACTATCTACCGCTTCTAAGGCTCAGCTCGTCCGAAAGGCAGTTCGCAAAGAGCGGCTCGTCTTTAAATGAACCATGCTGACCCTGTACCTCGATACTTCGAAGATCAAACCCGGGTCTATCATATATCTTCTTCCAGGTTGGTTTTTCCTCCTGATCCGGAATACTTCCTCTTCACATTGACCGAGGCAAACAAGCGGTTGAGGTTTAGAGAGGTGCAGCAAGCAACAAGGAGCAGTTCAGTGAGGGCTGTTCGATACCTGACCAGCAAAACTAATACGAACCTGTTGATCCAGTACGTTAAAGGGCTAGCAGCGAACCTACCTGAAGACTGGAAGACTGACTCACTCTAACCTAGCTGCCACGCGCAGTCGTCGACAGCATGAGTAACAAAGACACTCCTTTGTTTGCTTTGCCCTTGGAGTTGCGAGAGCTCATTTATCAAGACGTACTTTTGGATCCCTCACAGGGGCCACAGATTCTCCAAACATGTCAGGACATACATTCAGAATCACGCAAGTTCCTGTACCAAAGGCCTATTGTCTTCCGAAGTCAGACCGCTTTAAGCCACTGGTTGGTACAAAGGACTCAGGACGTACTTCGAGATGTTCATGAGATCTTCCTCGAGCTTCAAGATGTCGATCTCGCGCCGGTGTTAGTCTCCACCTCACGGTCCGACAATCCCGAACGATCAAGAAGCCTTCGGACATGGGAGTTGTACGAGGAAGAGCTCGGTGCACTCGATCAAGCTTTTAAAAAGATACCGAACGTAAAAACACTAACCATCCGGGCAATTAGTGGACGACAAACACACTTGTACGAAGACTTCCTGGCAAAGATGCTGCAGACGCTTGCATTTCACTGGCCTGCGCTGCAAGACTTGAGCTTGGAAGGCAACATGCACAACCAGAGCCTTGATGCTTTGCAAGATCTAAAGGCGTTGACTGCATTCTCCTTTGATGGATTTTGTGGTACGGAACCCGCCGAGACTGCCGCAATATTGTCTAAACTGAATTTGACGCGTATGTCGATCGTATCCCAACCTGGTCTCCTGACACCAACACACAGGCAACACAGCAACTTCACATCGAAATTCCAGTCATTCGACGGCTCGGTTCTGCGCACAATTGACCAATTGGCATATTTTTCTATTAGCGAACGCGTTCTATTGGCTACGTCATCGGCGCTATTCTTTACATCGGAGATCCTCGGCTCCCTTCACAGCCACAAAGGTTTATTGACACTTTCCCTCCGTTTGTCGCACACACCCAAGGAAGACACACTAGATGAATTGAACGAATTCCTAAAGAACAGCAGCTCGGTCGAAAGACTGGACCTAGACTGGCCGCATTTAGATCCAGCTGTCTTGTACATTCTTACTAATCGCCTGAGAATCTTGTGGATCAGAGCAACAAGCCTGACTACGGCGTTGGATATCCTGGGCACCATACTCGAGAGTAAAGAAGACGGAGGGGTCCAGAAGCTCAGGAGAGTAGTACTTATACGGAGCGACTGGGCTAGGGGACACAGTGTGGAAGAGACGGACAGTGACGACGACGATGAACACGAGGATATTGAGACACGGCATGACGACGTGAGTGTGATGCTTCTGCTGCACAACAACAACTGAAGATATGCTAATATAATTATCAACAGGACGAAGATGATGAAATCGGTTTTATTGACCTTGACTTTGCGGCTTTGAAGACGTCGCTGAATGAGCTAGGGGTAGAGGTGGCATGGTATACTGAGACGTGGTAGCACGAATGGTGCGTGTCTCAGCCCTATACTGGTGGTAGTTTCGTACATGTCTATTAGATCACTAGTCAATATACAACATCCCCCCCCCTTCACCCACAGCCTCCCGAAATGCAAAAGTGTCAAACACGGTCACACTCCACCTCTCCATCGAAGGCACGAACAAAATACACTGTCTCGTACCCCACTCAGCTTTATCATATCCGAGACCACTTCACCTTTAATGAGACACCATCTATTGACAATGAATCAAGATACTCCAACCGCTCCGACCACCTCCATCTAACCCCACCCCGTCACCCACGATCGGAACACCACATCTTCGTTACGTCACTTTGCACTTGTTGCTCGCTCAAACATCTACCGCGCGGCACTCCTAGCGATTCCCTTCTACAATTCTCCGTCTCCTACACGTGATGTCTTCTGTCAAGGTCCCGCTAGACTTCTGCGTTGCGCAACTAGCACCTTGCACGCGTCTCTTGCTAAGTGCCTCGCATCTTGACCTTGTACCACACAGTAGTCAAGCTCCACCACGCAGTGCACAGCGTTTTCTTAGACCTGTTGTCCTTTCTCACTCTGCCCACCCTCTTCGTCCATTCTTATCATCAATCTACCCCTACATCCGCGACGATCAACGAGGGTATTCAGATAAGCCTTTTGAAACATACTCAGACCCGAGAAACGCAGGCTTGCCGGATGAATCTGCGTAGTAAGGGGAAGAAGGGAACTGTTCGCTGTACAATACCTCGGCGTGACTCGACCAAACCTACCCAGCACATATGGCGCCCTACATCCTCCCGAGGTCCGTCCTCAAGACCGGCAACAGACCACTCATTCCAGCATACCATACCATACATCAACGCAAAACATACAAATCGCTCCAAGATTACAAATTCGTAATATTCGTACATCATCACGCACAGCTAGCTACAAGGGGTATATGCAACTCTACTATACAAGAAGCCAAATCTCAGTCCGCCTAAAACTCGAACGAAGACAATGCATGCAACCAGAAGAATCCCAACATCCACCTCATGTGTCCTTGAGACATCCATGTCCATGCTTGATGTACTTTTCCCTTTCCTTTCCTCCCATGCATGACAGAAGAAAACAAGAGGGCAACTCCGTGCAAATGTATCGAAAACAAGGAAATAAACTCCTGCGCAATGCCGCTTTTTATTCCAAATAAGTCTTCTCTCGCTTCCTCAGAAACCTCATCGAAGCTCTTCTGCGGAGCCCACCGAGTCCTTTCTTCCCTTCGTCATCTCCAACGGCGGTGTCCGGTCGCACGGGTTGTGGCGGGGCTCTCTTCCTCTGACTCGCCGAACGCTCGTTCTGGTCGCGCCAGAACTGCCTCTTCTGATCGATAACATTCTGCGTCAGGCTGCCAAACCCCTTCTTGACGAAAGCGATGTCATGCAGAGTGTTTGGATCGAGACAGCGCCGGGGAAGGTTCTGCACAGCCATGAAGAGCTCACCGTCGCCGGGTCGGTATTTCCGGATCTCTCCTTCGCCGAGCTTGAAGATGGCGAGAGCGTAGCGGTAGAGTGCGCGTGGGCCTTCGTACAGGAAAGCGTCCCAGACGCGGAGAACTGTTTCGATGGGGAGGACGCCGATGAAGACGCTCATGAACCACGACGTGCAGGAGAGCGCCACGGTTGGCTGGCGCTGGAACTTTGATTCAGGGTGGGCTTTGGATCCTGGACCGCTATTCACAAGGTCTGTGTCGTTGATCGAAGCCCATACTTTGGGAAGGTAGTCGCGGATCAGCATCATCAAGACGTTGACTTCGGTGTTGGCGAGGTTCCTAGCGTGGGCTCCTGGAAGGTGGTTTTGGGTGATGATGGTCAACAGGATAAACGCTCGCTCAGTATCCTGCTTCAAGAAGAGAAGCAATAGTCCTGCAATGAAATTCAATGATTGACAATACCCAATACCAGGGTTGTGTAAGGCGAAAGCAGATAAAACCTCGCGGAGGTCGCGAACCATCGATGGCTCGTCGTCACCTCCGTCACTAAATCGTGCCGACTTCAGGTCGGGCCGGAAATGAATATTATCAGGAAATGTTCTGTCAAGATCTCTTTCGATGGCTTCGCGGTCGTCCTTGTTGAGTTCGCCGTTTTCGACCCGAGCGACCAGCGAGCGATAGAGACCCGACATCTGGCGCGATTTGAACTGCGCACCGGAGTAGAACCACCACATTTCTCCGCGCCAGTCCGGAGGATAGCCTTTCCGTGCGTAGCGTTTGACTTTATCGCAGGCTTCCGGGAACTCAGTAGGTTTTGTAACTGACAGCCCTGACTTCCTCATCAGAGTGATCCACTTGTTCGACCTGCGCGTGACGTATTCCTCATACTTTGGGTGCCATGTGTTGTACTCCTGCACGCTGATCTTGTCTGAGGCCTTCTTAAAACCATAGCGGTCACGTTCGACACCTACGGCCGCCGACTTCTTCAATCCTGCAGAGGGCCTGGCGTGGGGCTTATTGCTGCCGAAATTGGTCGTCATAGCCTTGCTAGGTGGGGAAGGTTCAAAGCTGCTGAGGTCGAACAAGGTGCTCTTGCGATCGAAAATGCTGGTAGACGCACGCCGAGGAAATGCGTCGTCTTCATCCACCTCGGGCAACGGCGAAGATCGTTTGGGTGGGGAAGTGGTCGATGCCTCAGTAAGCGCACGAAGTGCAGCGCTTGGTCCTTTAGAATGCCGCTTCGCGTAGCCTTCGAACTCTGCCCAGTCGTGTCGCGACAATCGCGATTTACTGCGAGGAATCTGCGGCAGACCAGTGAGCTCTTTGTGGATCTCCTGCATCTTGTGGCTATCACTGCTCAACTTGGTAGACAGGCGGGGCCGAACCAAGATCCTGCTCCTACGTTCTGCAGCCATCGTAGACGTCCGTCGGGGCAGCTCCTCGCTTGATCGTTGCAACGCCATATCGATAGTCTGCAATTGTTGGTCCCCTCCGGCATTCGTTGTGTGGTCCAGTCGAAGTGGACCATGGGTGGTGAGCTGCTCTTTCTGGGCGCGTTGATTCTCTTGTGGGCTGGTGGTGGTTGAGGCTTGAAGCGAGCCGAGATCCAAGTGTGCAGGTTGAGGCATCGATAGGCGATTTGGGGAGCTTCCAAAAGAGTCCCGCTCGCTAACTCTTGACAGCTCCCTATTATGTGTGTTAGCAGCTTGTCCGAGCTGCTCATGAGCGGGGATGTACGATGATGTTGGGCGACTGATATCCTGTGAGTAGCTCGACGAGCGGTCGTTATGCCCAGCATCTGAATCTAGCGCAGATGAGCCACGATAACGAACAGTATCTCCAGGAAGGGGCTCAGATTCTTGGTCTTCCGGTTCGTCGAAGTATGCATCGATCACATCCTCGACCGAGCTCATAATGTCTTCCTCGTCGGGCGAGATACTGGTTGGAAGTGTATCGGTTGATAGATCGCGCTCCTCTGACTGGTCCCTTGAATAGGTGCTCGCCCTGTTGTCACTGCTCACAATGGAGCTCCTGCCTGTAGCAACGCTGCTTCGTTCGGTGCCACTCTGTTCCATAAGACTAGATGCATTCGTCAATCCTGACCGGACACTGGCTCGTGACTCCTCACCCCGCAACAGGCGCGGAGGAAAGTGTTCGTTGTGCGACCAGTTCAGCCCGCCGCGGTCAGGCTTGTAGGCCCCAGATGGATTGGAACGGTTACTAGCTCTGATGGGCCCATAGTCGGGTATGGACGTTGCAGATCGCAGCGGTGGGTAGCCTTGGAAGCTCGCTTGTGTCGAGGTCGTCATTCCACGATGCCTCTGTTGCTGTGCTTGCGGCCAAGGCACTTCGTCTGCAAAGGGATCTGAGCCATTGGGGTTGACGGGATTGCTGGCGAGCGGGTTAAACAAGGATCGAGGATCGCTCGTCACGCTCTGGTGGTTGATCTGCCGCATCACTGGAGGGAACGTGGGTGATTGTGGCTGTTCTGCCCGTGGGAATCCGTTGTTGAGAGGCGACGACAATGCGGCATGACGGAGGAGGGACGGCGTTCGTGAGCGTGTACTGAATTTGGGGGAGGTCAATGGCAGCAGTGGTGGGCTCGCGGTGGGAGAGGGACTGTATACGGCGCGTTCGTATGCAGGAGCAACAGCTACGTCCATCTGTAGCTGTGCCGGTTGTCGGGATCGTCCAGATCCGAAGCCTTTCCTAGGCGCCGCTTGTGCATGTGGGTTGTTGGACGGCTGAGGTGAGGTAGGCGGAGTGTACTCGGCGTGATGAGGGCGGTAGGGAAGGTAGTGCTGCCTCGAGACAGGCGTTTCAGACCTGGTCCCTGAGTCGGCGGCGATGGGTGCCCAGGCGCGAGGGCTAGTGGGCGGTGGAGGCTCACTCATTTCGAGTGGCTGGCCTAGAGGATACAACAGCAGAAGCGGAGAATTGCCTCATTCGGCCGGGCGAAAGATTGTCTCGGGAGTGCCGTATGTGTGCATCGACATGTCGGGGATGTACTATGGTGGTGCAGGCGAGGCTGAAGGTTGCAGATCTCGCGTGTGAAAGCTGTGGAGCACGGCGCCAGCGAAGCGCGAATGTGAGGAATTAGGTAGGTGGGTTGGTCCGTAGGCACGGAGGCAGGTGTACAGTGCAAGGCGCGGCAGGGCTACGAATTGAAAGGTGAAGGAATGGATGCGACGGCGTCTGGCGCAACGAGAGAGCGTGCAAAGGGGCGCCGTGGCCTGGCTGGCACAGTAATGGTCGGGATGGAAAGGATGTTTGTGAGAAGCCAAGCGGTCCCACCAGTGGTGATTAACTTTTGGGGGCTCGAGCGGAAGGCTTCCAACGGGGCCGTCGAGTGACCACAGGAGCGGTGCTGGACCGAGGCGACGGCCAATGACGAGGGATGGAGATGCAGTGAGCCGCTCTCTCGCATCTCGTCCGGTCGTCTCTCTCGACAGGCGCCGGGCCGCCCGACGATGGCGCCTTGCCCGACGCGGCCGTGCCGTAAACAACACCCACGCGCCAGGACAGGACGCGCTCGACTAGCGGCACATGACATTCCCACCGTCCACACGTCCCCGGCGGCTCCAAAAGCAAACGGCGGCGCAGGGCGAGGCGTCGCAAGCTTCGCCTTTGGCCGCGCTGCGCTGCGCTGCACCTCGCCGTGGTCGTGTTGCTCACTGCATTGCGGGCGTTTCAGGGGCACGTCCGACCGCGTCTCGCTCCACGGCACGCTCTGCTCCTGCTCACCAAGCACGTCCAAAAACCCACCGTTTGAAGCTGACTCGGCAAATGAAAGCCAGCTGTGTCGACCCGCCGCCGGCCCAAGTACTCGCCTCTTGCCAGCCCTACTGGCAAGCCTGGCTCTCGTGAAATTGCATGCCGCCAGAGCTCGCCTTCGGCACGTTTCCCCGCGAGCTGTGCTCTGCTTCGTTAACGCGATGCGGGAAGGGCAACGACAGGTCACGACTCAGCTCTGCTCCCTCCCGTTGCATTCTTGCGAATCGCTCGATCGTTCGCGCTTCATTGCAGACATGACGACATGCCCGGCTTCTCCGTGTGTCGTGTGCTTCTTTGTTAACTCCGAGGTAGCCCTCGGTCGGTATATTGCTCCGCCTAGATACATCAGCTACAGCTGTCATGAAGAAGCCTGCTCCCGTGCTAAGGCTCCCATCCGTGCCTCGTCGCTTCCTTTCGCAAACTGTGACCCATCAAATGCAAATTTCGCCAGACGCCTGGGATGCGCAGAGGCCAAGCTGACGCGCCTCACAAAGAAAGCCCAACTCGCCGCTGTCGTGTCTCCTTCCTACTTTGCATACCGCTTTACCCAATCCTTGGCGTTCTTCTCGAACTCTTTGCGGTTCTCCTTGTACTCGTTCGCAATAGAAGGCTCAATGGCATCGTCAATGTTCGGCTCGACCATCAGCGACTGGATCAGGCGCAGCACCGCGACAACCTTGTTCGGCGGCTTCCACTCGTCGGGCCGCAGTAGGCCCAAGCACATGGAGCCTTTGTCGTCGTTGCTGACATTGGGATGGTAGATCTTGGTCCTGAAGCTGACCACCGGGGGCTTGAACGGGTACTCGTTGGGGAAGATGATCTCGAGCTTGAAATGGCCGCCCTGCAACACGATTAGCAGAGGATTGCGATACGTTTGCAAAGTTGGGACTGACAGCATACACAGAACCATCTGGTCCATCCATCAGAACCTCCCACTTGGTCATGTTCTGTTCATCAAAGTTGATCTTCATGCCCGCAGGCGTCTCCGCCATGCACTCGCCATACTCCTGCAAACCCGTTAGCCTCTGCATGTGAAGGCCAAACTTAGCTGTTGTTATGCCGTACCTTCATGATCCTCTTCTTCGCGCCGGCGCTCATTGTGGCGGTTGATCACGAAGTGGCGGTTGCGTATTTCGGACTTGGGTGCGTTTGCGGCAGTGGACTCAGTCGAGCGCGCCTTAAGACGTCAAGCTGCAGCTACTAGGGACGCAATGTGACCTTTCACCGTTGATTTTCGGAGACGAGGTAAAGTACGTGTAAAGAGGTCGTAAGGGTAGCGCAATGCGTCGGGTAGTTGTTGAAGTTACTGCGGGAGTGACCGTGAGGTGGGTTGGTGGGGGCAGATGACGGAGTCAAAGCTGCCGTAAACGTCCAGACTCAGCACTGTCGCCTTGCGCTTGACTTCTCTTGTCCACCGCGTTTGCGCTGATGGAGTGGAGCCTGACACCCTGCAGACAGCGTGGGCATGTTGAACTCGTCGCATCGAATGATTTCTTCGCAAGCATCATATGCGAGACGTCACAAACAGCAGATGACTGCCCTGAGCTGCGCTCAACCAATCAGCTGCTTGCGGACTACCAAAGCTGCTGAGCTTACCCCGGCGCTCTTTCATCCAAGTTCAGACTTCAAAGCTGTTTAAAAACATCCAACTGTATGTTCAAAAGCATAAAACCTCCTGCGCTACTGTAGTCTACCCTCTTTCTCTTGAGCGCCATGGTCACCTTTGCAGTTCCACAGCAGAGCGTGCCTTCCGCCCTTGGCTCCTTCCCTCTAGACCACCTGCCAGCGCATTGTTCTTCATTTCACCTCCATGTGCTTAGCAACACACTTCCCCAATTTCTCTTACAAAATCCAGACTCTTCGTATTTATCAATCAGAGCGGTGTGACCGAGGTCTCTACGACGTGGCAGTACCGGGAAATACGAAAACGACCACCTTCGAAATGCCGAAACGCATCACGATCGAGAGACATTAGCAGGCTCGCTATGATGCCGTAGGACGAGTGCCACCCGCCCGTACTCCGATGCGCTTTAGCTCCGTCGCTCTCTCTGTGAGTCACGAGGCTGGATACCGGCAGAGGCCGCCCATGCGTACCGGTCACTCTTCCGCTGGCTGGTCACACGGTGCGTAGTTTGACGCGTGTAGCACTCTCGTACCATCTATCTTGGAGCATTATCAACAACAACAAGTTTGAGGCCTGGAATATCAGCGCTCTCTCTGGAAGCTTTCAGGGAAGGCCCGACGACGTCAGCCTTCGTCTGCGTTGTCGCCTACGCAGATCTGCAGGGATACCGCGTCTTACCCAGAAACAACATTCCAACTCTTCCCACCTTGTCTACGCCGTCGAATGAAGAGCCGCGGCAAATCGACCTGTGTTCCTCTGCCATCCACTTAGAGGGCACTTGTAGAGCCATTGACGAATCGCAGCATGCAACATGCAGGCACTGCCCGCCGCTTATCAACAGGCTGCAGGGGAGTGTGACTTGGCGCCGTATATAATAAGGCTGGCCTCTCCCCCACCGCCTGTCCGTACGCCTCTCGACAAGACCCATAGAGCCCGACAACCAACGTGTGCTTATCGTCACCAAGGGTGACGACAACACACAGAGTCGCTTCGGATTTCTCAGCACTTTCTCCCGCAAAGTCGCGTTAAATCTGAAGGGCTTCCGGAGCTCTCACTCACAAAGCTGCGTCACACTAACCTGTCCACTCTTTACCAGTCCCTTCGTCGCTCGCTCCGTCACTCGTTCAAACGATACCACTCTTCGCCCAACATGTTCGGAAAACGCTCTTCAAAGGATCGTTCGGGCAAGATTACCAAACAGCCGAAGAGGTCGTTTCGCGACGACTCCCGACAGAAACAGCGCATCGTCGACAAGATGGAGTCCGTCCGTATGGACAGTCCGATGATGGAGCAGGTGTCGCCTAGCCTCACCTCTGCCATTGTCACGATTGTCATCGGTCCGGACCAGCGCCTTTTTGCTGCACACGAAGACGTCCTTTGCCATTCCCCGTACTTCGCAGAAGCGTTGCGGGGCCAGTTCTTCGAGAGCACAAACCGGCGCATCGACCTGCCAACGGAGGAACCCGAAGTCTTTTCCTGCATCCTCGAGTATCTTTACAAGGGAGACTACTACCCGCGCTTGGTCCACGACAAGCGCCGCCAGACCTGGATGCTCGAAGGTGCAGTGTCAAGCCCGGACCCAAACAAAGGCGACCGCGTGGCCGCCGTCGAGCCAACCTTCTACCACGCCGGCGTAGGCGACATCATTCTCCGTGACACAGCCGTGTACTGCGCTGCTGATCGGTATGGCCTCGAAGAGCTCAAGAAGCTCTCCCCTGCGCAAGCAGGGCCTGCAGAGCGGGATCGAGGTCGGCACCATCCTGCGTAGTGCGCGCTATGCCTACGAGAACACGCCGGATAGTGATTCGAGGCTGCGCGCTCATTACCTAGCGCTCATCATCCGTAGCCGGAAAACTTTCAAGCGTAGTGGTACCATGCAGATGGAAATGGAGATGGGGGGAAAACTGTTCTTTGACTTGTTCGTTGCGATGTGTAACCATGTCGATGATATCGTGGATGCGAGGTACGCCCCTCCTTTGCCTCTCCCGCTCCCTAGGTGATGCTAAAATGCTAACGCGGGATCTGACAGCAACGCTCGCAGTCCCAAGACCATCTAAAAGTTACGCTCATGACAGATTCGTAATCGAGCACGCACACACCACGGCCCACACACATCCCTACTCACGCGCGCACCCAGTTTGACATAGCGACGCCATGCTCTCTAGCACACGTCTGCTCGCGCATCTATCCACAGACAAGAAAACCCTAAAAAACATCTCGGATTGGAAAGGATTGACTCCCCTCCCCTGGCGTTTATAGCCGCCCAAGACTGGATCATCACGGCTGGATATCTCTCGATTCATCTCGCAACTCCTCATCTTTTCCGTGGCGTTTGCTCACCCCCTGCGTCTCTTCCGTGCGCCGTCCTTGCATCAGCGTTTTACAAGCACCCCCTCCTACGGGAGAGTACAGTCCGACGACACGAAACTGCGTTTCTTTTGTTGCACTTGGTGCTGTTGTTGTAGTTGTAGGACGGACAGCGGGATATGGGACACTCTGTTTTTGGTGTATGGTTCTGCGATGGTTGTAGGTCCACTTTGACTAGTAGGAGCCTTGAGGGTTTTGAAAGGAAAGAGGAAGTTTGCTGCAGCTGAGACCGCTTGAGAGAGAATGGCAGGATGCTGGGAAGCTGAAGCTGGAGCTTACCTTTAGCGCGCGATGTAATGTGATACAAGGTCGCCGCTATGGCTATGTGCTTTGCTGTGAGATGCCGTGAATCCCGTTTTCGTCCCTCATCATGAAAGACACTGCTTCTGTACTGTCTGCTCACGCATCTCCAACCTGTGGAATGAGTGTGGTCGCAGTATCAGAGCGGCCGTTCCCAACGGTATTATTTAGTCTCTTGGACCAAGCTGCCATTGATCCCTGCGAGATATAGTTGTTCACTTTGTACACAATTCATGCTTTTAACTTACCCCTAGCTCGCCGCCAACCTCCGTACAATTATGCGAGCTTACGCCACCCCTACAGCCAAATCTCGCCGCTTGTACCCATGATGACCACTGGGCATATCCCAATAGATACAGTACGCACGAATCGCGTTCAGCTTGCGAGCTTCCGGGTTGAGCAGCACTCCGCTCGCATTCCTCGGAACGAAGACCAAGGTCGAGCAGCCGGGATGCTGATTCGGACTCAAATCGAATCGGGCCGCTGGCGATCCTTCGGAACTACCCTTGTGAGACACTGCAGGGTGTGACGAAAAGTAGCGAGTAAGTGCCGAAGAAATCCCGTGAACAAGGCAATCGGAGTGAAAGGAGGCAAATGGTTGAGCATCTAGATTTGACTCGAGTAAGGGTAGTAAGAGTAGTCGTCTCTGCGGTAATGGGAAACCGAGGGAAGAGTTTCTCGCTGCGCAGATCATATTGATCCAGACACGTTACGTAGCGAATTGTAAGGCTTTGAAAGGGAAGGGAAATGCTAGTAATCTGTGCATTGGTGGGAGCAGCGAATTACGTGGTGTATTTACGAAGGGATGCGAGGCGTGTGTGAGTAACATTAGAAAGGAGAAGCTTTTCGCGACTCCATTTATTGGTATGAGCTACGTAGGCGGACACGCGTGTTGCGATGCGGATGTGCAAAGCGAGTGTCCGAACAGAAACAAAAGAAGATCAGAAGTCAACCGCGCAAGCGAGCGCGTACGCTGCTTGAGACCCGGTTTGATTACGTAAATCGGAGAGAAATGGGAGTAGATGCGGGATAGACATCAACAGTTCGTTAGGCAAATCGCAAGCAAAGATACGAAAGGAAAAGGGTATGTGTCCCGAGGATCGGGCTGTTACAAGAGGAGTTTCGATCCGGAAAAGGCATCTGCGACAAGGCGGTATGTCTCCGCGAGCATGTAACAGCTTTTGAGAGTAACGAGAAGAAGCGTACGCAAACATGTGATATCGGGAGAATAGATCAAAGTAGCAGGTCCAACAGGACCCGCGAAATATAAGTATCGAAAACGTAGCGGGGCGTCGTCAGGGCCGAGGCCGTCTTTGGTATGTGCTGTGTATTGTTACATGATGGATATGTTGTTAACTCATTGCATTCGCTTTCGCTTCCGTGCTTCATCGGGGTCGTCTTCGTCCGCCCGCTCTTGGGTATCTGCAGGGTTGAGGAGAGAATGTACATTCGACGCCATGCTCGAGCGACGTGTAGGTGGGCCGGGGGTGTCTAGACCTTTGAAAGGATACCGGGCTCCGGGAAGAGACCAGCTACTGTCCGCGCTTAATGTCGACGGCGTGGTATCACTCGTCAGAGGTGGAGTGTTCTGACGAGAAGACTGTTGGCGTGGACCGCGGGGTAGCTGATAGGATTCCAAAGCGTTACGGAGCTGTTGGTCCTCGCCTCCGATAGGCGGCCGATGAGGGGAGGAGGGCCATTGGGTTGAATTCTGTCCAGATGCGTATGGTGATTGTGAGGGCGGTTGTGGTTGCCAACCGTGCGTACGTATATCTGCCGAGGTATGCCGCCTATAGAGATTGTAAGGCGGGGACGAGCTAGTCCCCAGATTACTCCCCAGTGTATTGCCAGGATGCTGGATGGACGGTGGAGGCGGTGGGGGTGGCTGGTGAGTCACTGGGGTCCTGGCTGATGACGGAGAGTAATTACCCGTACCAATTGAGCCGTAACGGCGCGGAGAAATCGCAAGATGTGCCGGGACCGGAGGTTTGAATGGTGGAGCTTGGCGAGAAGGTAAACCTGCCAAAGAGCCTCGTCGCGATTCGGGCCCATTATCCTGCGGCATTTGTCGTGGGGAAAGAGGGGCTTGGTTATTATCTAGGTGGATGAAAAACGGTTGTCGGGCAGAGAGAGGCTCCTCGGGAACCTCCAACACGCGCAACATTTCGGACTGGCGGGAAATCTCTCGTTGCATCGAATAGGCTAGTCATGGTCAGTTGACGTCAAAATAGAGTATAGGCAGAAGTACGTACCGTCCTTGTATACTTGGTTCTCCGGGTCTGGTATTAAGGCCATGATATAATTTGTTAGATCGTGATTCCACTGTTCCGGGTGTTAGCTGGAGCGAATCGGAGTAAGCCAAGAGACTAACCTGTTGGCACTTGATCATGTTGTCCATGAGAATAGTGTTCTTCTGGCTGAGGTAGGCGCAACTGTCCTCTGAGCGTTGCATACGCGCGTGCATGTCGTACAAGCCATGCTCCAACGCTGCGAGTCGTGATTCAATCGGATCAGGCATGGACTCGGTCGGTGGGCCAGCCGGCGGACCAGATGGGACTTTAGGCGTGGAGAAGGAATCGCGGTGGATGAGCGCGTGCCTCGAGGCACGGCGCTTGATCTCCCGCAGGCCTACAAGATCGCCTCGTTTGAAATTGCCGTTGCCGTGCTTGAACTCCCACAGCGGCGAGTCGGGCGAGCCAGTGTGGAAGACATCGCTCACTGCGTATTGTCAGCCATGGTCGATAGTAGCAATATTGGGCGGTGCTTGCCTTTATGAAACCCATACATGTTCAATTGGCGGACGAATGAGGAAATATTAGTGTGCTTGAAGTACGATCTACAAGCCCGGTTAGATATATTAAAAAGCGGTCATAGCTCCTGATGCACGTACGACAGAACTTTGGAGAAGTCGCTTGAAGGAGACATGACAAAACTTTCGTTTGTGCTTGACCATGAAATCAGGTGCTGGATGCTCTGGTCTTCGAGCATGCTGCGGTCGCATTAGCTTTGGGGTGCAGAGGAGCGGGTAATGCCTGAAGAGGCTCACTTGTATAGCTTGTGGATGAAGGCAGTCTGTACGACCTTGGGTTGCTGCGCAGCCGCTGCAGCTCCCACAGGCGCAGGATTGCCATTGCCGTTCGCCATCTTGCCCTCCGAGTCTCCGTTCGAATGCTGGTCTTGATTCGCGTTGTTGCGGTCGCCAACGGGGCCGTTCAGCATGGGCGGGCCCATGGTGGGGAGGGTGGAGGGGTGATGTCCATGGGGTCCCGTGGCGGGGTGAGATGGGTCGAGCTGGTTGAGGACGGCAGTATGGGTATGGACTTGTGCAGAGCTTGGTGGTGCGGGTCGGCGGAGAAGGGACTTCGGCGGGCTTCTGCGACAGAAGCCATGGTTGCGCTCGGCAGCGCGCGAGTGGAAGTGAAGGTGGTGGAAATGTTGGGCTACCCAGGGGACGCAGCGCGTGGAGGGTGCTTGCGCGGATCGCACCAGGGCAGTAATCTATGTGTATCGAGCAGCCGCACAGATCAGGCAGAGAATTGCGGGCAGTAGCGTAGGATGCAGAGAAGGTAGACGTTCACTATGGCAGAGCGGACGCCTCAGTTCGGGCGGGCATACCACAAGGCGCTGGGCGGAGGTGCGGCGGGAGTGTCGGAGGGCAGGCACTCGACGGCAGCAACTCGCAAGCTTCACGGCGGGAGCGGAACGGTTCTGGCTGGCGGGCCGTGAGCTGGGAGGACGATGGATCTTTTAGGGGGTCGCGCGGGCGTTCCAGAGTCAAAGCAGGGCCCCAGCTGCTTGTGGTCGGATCGGACGCACACTGCACCAAGACCAGGAGGACCCAGGAAAAGGGCGATCCTGCAGGCAATGTCGGCTGCGAGCACGTCAGAGCGTAGATTGGGAGCGGCGCTCGCCAGACGCACCTGCAGAGGCCGAGGATGCGAAGATGCGATGCGCCGTGCAGCTCGAGACGAGAGGAGGACGGCCGGTTTGGGAAGACCACGGCGCGCCGCGGCAGTGGGAGTGTCGCAAGACTCCTTGATGGCGCAGGCACAGACCACGGGGGAGCGCACCGGCACCGGAAGAGCGTGGAGCTTGCGCAATGGTGCTCGTGGCCTGGGAGCTCTGGCCGGGGAAGATGGAGGGAGGCAGGACGCGGCGGGCACTTGGGCGGGCGCACGAGCTGGGAGGTGGAGGTGGCCAGAAGAGGGCATCAGATGGACCAAGAGTCCGCTGTTGGGTGCCGCCGTCGCATGTCCACGCACGCTTTCTCTTGGAACGGCCTGACTGCCGTTGCGGTCCCGCCTCGAGTCTCCACCTGGTTCACGCAGCGGAAGGCTGCTGGCCTCCTCCCCAGCCGTCCGCCTGGGGACCGTCTGCCGACCATCAGCCCCGGCCCCCTGCACCTCGCTGGCCGCTGAAACCGCGGCCAGGCTCCATAGCACGGCGCTGCTCGTTGCGCTACCGCTCTGCGTGTCTCTAATGCACCCTCGCCTTCTCGAACCTGATGCTCGTGGCAAGCTGCCCCGAGACCGTTTCGCGCCAGGCTGAGACTCGCCTTGGCGCGCGCCCTCCAGCTGCTTACGTCCGCTTCCGCCGCTTGCTTCGACCTCGACGATCACCACCGCCTCGGCGCGAGTCTGGTCGACCCAACCATGGCCACGCCGGCCTTTATCGATGCTTTTAGATCCCTACCTTCGCACGCGCGCCAAGCGGCAATCGCTGCGCTTACCGACCACTTCTCGCCCTACGAGTGGCGCCAGATCAAGGCATTGGTCGACTCCAAATCCTTTCAATTCGACATCGTTGGGAGTCTGCCAGCCGAGCTCGTATTTCACATCTTCTCCTTTCTGGATCTCTCGACGCCATTTCGCCTTCAAACTGTAAGTCATGTAGGGCAATGCATCCCACAAACGTAGTACGTGCGGCGCTGCATCTGGTACCTGCATATGTTTCTTGACATCAGCCGGTCCGAAACGGTTCCCTATCCAGCTTCAAATATATGCTATCGACTAGCACCGCCGCTGAGAGTAGCTGGCTCCTGCAATGCAGCTGACACGACCAAACCCAGGTCTCCCGGCGCTGGTGTGGTCTGTTGCGATGTACGAATATCCTGAAGCCCAAGTTGAAAAGCTGGTACGATGGAACAGTCGCTCTTGACGATGCCAACTATGAAGACTGCCTTCGAAGAGCCCGGTGCATCCACAGGTTCCGCACCGGAAATTTTATCGAGGTCGCCGCCTCCGCGACCCTTGCTGGACCGGTCCCAAGTCTTGATAGTAATATTTTGGTCGAAGACTTTCTAGTTGATAATCCTGAACCCCACCGTCAGGTGCGATTGACGAACCTTGTCTCTGGCGAAGAAACGAGAGCTTGCACGGAAGGTCGAGAGGAGATACTCTTTATCGCTGCTTCCACCCAACTAATTGCATGTTGGACGGGGACCCAAACTTGCCATGTATTCGACTTTTCCGGTATACTAAAGGCGAGATTTCGATTGCCGCCGTTTATGGGTAGGTTCAAAGCGTGTCGGGACCGCACTATCATTTGCGGTGGTATCTCGGAGCAACACATCGAACTGTATCTCTGGGATCTCGACTCACAGAAAGGCAAGACGCTGCGTTTGGATCAGCCACCCTTCGAGTCTGGTATAGCTAAGTATGTGCTTCATTCACTTGTAAATGCCACTCTATGGACAGGTGCAGATAATCACAAAGCATGCATCTCCGCTCACCATATGTCTCATGACCCCGTTCACTCATGCAAATTGCACGAATAACATTATTCGATGACCCGCGAGAGGCCATGCACATTCGATCGGTCCCTCGCTAACGACACTGCAGCGATCGATGCTTGGACGTCAGGGTTCTCCCAAATCCGCGTGCACAAACTTTCACGCTCTTCTCGACACGGACTTGCGAAGCTAGATGGTGCGGTCACCACGTCGAGGATATGTCGATACATCATTATGTTATAACGTTTGACGGTCAAGTTATCCAAATGAACAAATTCATGATCCCACTGCCTGCTGGAGCCAGACACTTGGCGGGGGCTTCGATCACAAGCATTCATCCTGTCGATCGAAATGGCGGCTTCCGCGTCAAGGTGTTCTGCCGTTATAATCACAACGGCTTCTCCAGCAGCTTCCACTTCGATGAGAACCTTCAGGTATTCGGTGAGCCAGAGCGTCCGGCATTGTGCTCGGAAGACGTCAAGTCCGCTTGGTGGAAAGATGCCTTCTACCAAGTAGGTTTCGGTTGGGAAGGGGAATCTGATTCAAGATTCCGGATCTACTTCAAGCACCTAGGCACGAGGTATGTTCGCACTCACGAACGTCGCGAAATGGTGGGACGTAGCCTGCAATAACACTGCCAAAGTTTATCGACGACTTGGCCATGCATGAAAGTGCTACGTCCTACCTACCATGTCTTCTGCCTTGTTTACCATTTCGCATCTGATAGGAATACGTCTAACATGATATAGTAGTGGTCAGGACAGCCACCAGGCTCAGCCATGTGTTGTACTGGAGAGATACGGACTCGACGCGCTAGTCGGTGGAATGCATTTATGGCTTCTACTTAATGATAAATTCGCAGTGGTTGGCGCGCTGGACAGAATCTACGTGTTCTCCTTCATAGCGAAGGCAAAAACGACGGACTCGGCGATGGCACCTGTCGAGAGAGAAAATGAAGGGAAGCTTCTGCTCCGGAGGTGGACGCCAGAACATCTTGCTATTTGATGCTGCGATACTACATGACTTCTTCGGACTGGCAGTCAACACGTCTTTTCCCAGGTTCCCAAGCATTAGCACATGCCCGTTTCTGCCTGACATGTGATTGGCTTTACAGAAATCACCCCGCGCTAACCTCTTCAGGCCTGCGGGGTGCGTCGGCAGCCTCCGAATCGTTTCCCGTTGACTGTCCAAGTCCGCCTGTCAAGAATTTTTCGGGAGCTTTCACAACCCCATCCACGCCTCTTCGACCGCCCTTCGCCGCTCCCACATCATGGTCGAGAAGATTTACGTCACGTACAACCAGGTACGTGCAGCATTTCCGTCTCCGGTTCTGCAATCCTGAAACAGCAAGAGCATGGCGCATGTAGCTGCGAGTACTGCTGCAGTACCTATACGCGAGTCTCCCAGTGAGCGGATGACTTTCATGCTGTGCGAGTGCATTATAGTTACAGCCTATCCTATCCTGAGGACGCGTCATCTGCAGCTTTGCGGCACCTTGTTCTTCTGTTTCCACTTCACACTTCTTCCCATTTATCCGATCCCTGGTCGCCTTACTGTTCGCCTATTATCGTGATATGTAGACTAATAATATTCTCGTTATTAGGTGCACAAGCTGTGCCAGAGTTCGGCCCAGCGCATCCTGAATGATTTCAAGCCGCAGCTCATGGTCGCCATCGGCGGTGGAGGCTACGTTCCCGCGCGCATTCTGCGGTACGCCCACCTCTTCACCCCGCCTTCAAAACCTTTTCCTAATCTTACGACAGATCCTTCCTAAAGAAGCCCGGCTCCCCTAACATTCCCATCCAAGCTATTGGCCTCTCCCTCTATGAAACTCTCGGCACCGACCCCGTCGAGCAGCCCGGCACAAAAGTAACTCGCACGCAATGGCTGGACCTCTCCTCGCTCGAGATGGCCAACCTGATCGGCAAGAACATCCTCATCGTCGATGAAGTTGACGATACCCGGACGACGCTCGAGTACGCCGTTAAGGAGCTCGAGAAGGATGTCATCGAGGCGCAGAAGAAGCTCGGTCGTGAGAGCGAGAAGACGAACTTCAGCATCTTCGTGCTGCACAACAAGGATAAGACGAAGAAGGGTGCACTGCCCGAGGATGTTGTGCAGGGACGGTATCACGCGGCTGTGACGGTTGGGGATGAGTGGATTTGCTATCCGTGGGAGGCGATGGATATTGATGAGCATGATCGTCTGTCCAAGGCGCAGGAGTCGAAGAAGTAGATGGGTTGGAAAAAGTTTATGGGTTTGGGTTTGGGTGTTGATCATGGGTTGAGCATATGGCATTTGGGTGGATTTACGGAGTTCAAGAGTGATGGTTGCATATAGTGGCCGGAGGGCATACATTCCGCACTCATAGACATGAATAAACTACGCCTCGGGCGTCTATCACATTCCATTCATAACATCCCATCTAATCGGCCTCTAAACACCAACCTCAAACCGTCCCTCGATCAACGACCAGAACTCCTCGACCAACGCCTTCTGCCCCTCGCCGCCCCTTACCGCCAAATACCTTCTCTCATCCACTCTCGGCTCCCAGTTTCCAGGGTTCGCGTCAACCTAAGTCACATCAGGACAACGGACACACTCTGTACCGGAACCTAACTTACCATAATACCCCCCGCCTCACTCAAAATGACCCAACCCGCGCAAACGTCCCAAGCCCAACATCCCGCCTCCCAATACACATCGATATCCCCCGCCGCCACAGCGCACAGATTCAGCGCTGCGCTGCCCAAACTTCTCAGCCCATGGACCTACGCGTTGGAATGCAAAGTCAGCTGAGCTATATCTGCTCCGATTCCGGATGCCACATACCATGCCTCCACCCCTCTCCTTCGCCTCAGCTAGCTTTGCAAATGTCTTCGATTTTACGGCGAAGTCGTTACCAGAGCGGTCAGAGCCCCATTCTACGGCTACGAGGCAGGTGTTTAGTGTTTCGAGGGGGGTGGCGGGGTAGAGCGGGAGTTTCTGCTTTTGGTTCTGTGGCGTGAGGAGGAACTGGGTTAGGTAGGAGCCGTGGCCTTTGATGCCGGAGTAGACTGCGAGGGTGGTTAGGATGAATTATTTCGGTTGGGCAGGTTGGGTTGTGTCGGATGGTTGGGTCCGGACTTGTAACTAACAGTCGATGTGAGACGAGGGTAAGAGAGGAGAATGAACATACGGGTTTGCGTGAAGGGGTTGTAGACGATGCCGATTGTGGGGAGTTGGTTGATTGCGAGGCCGAGAGAGATGGCGACGTAGGGGTGGCGATGGACGAAGTTTGTTGTGCCGTCTATGGGGTCGAGAATGACTTTCCCATCTCACTGTTAGCATCTTGTTCGGAGGGCGCCGCGACTGGGCGACCAGAGTCTCTCCCTAATCTTGTGTCGAATAGAACGTACATGTTGGCGCGTCGGTGAGCTTGTCGCCGGGCTTGTAGGTCTCTTCTCCCATAAAGGAGAAGTTGGGGTACTTCTCGTGGAGAGAAGTAGAGATTATCTTTTCGACTGCTTGATCGGTTTCGGTGACGAGATCGACGGCTGGAAGCATGTTCAGCTTGGTTCCAGTAGACATTGATCAGGTTGCATAGTATCCGATCGGTGAAGACTTTGGGATTATTATAGCCTGTTCATGGAACTTACAGTTCTTTTTCGAGCCCGCTGCTCCTGTTGATGGCGTCGCGGACGTAATGCGCTCTCCCACCTTGCGCGCGACTTCGATCATGAAGTCGTGGACTTCTTGGAGGTCGATGTCGGACATGGTGTCTACGGTAATGCAAGACGAATCCCAAAGGCTGAATTTCAGAAGTAGTGGACGAAGGTTCCGCAATAAGCTGACTGCAAAAGACTGTATTCATTGCGTAGGAAACACCCCACGGCGGGGCACTGCTATCGATAACAGCTGCAGGTACGCGCCCAATCAGCCTTCCTTCCCTGACTCGTGCCATCCTCGCGCATCACCTCGGCTGCAACGTCTTCGTGCTGCCTCGTAACGAACGCTTCTATCAAAATCATGGACAACGACGGGGTCTCGGGCCCCAACACCATCGATCGACTCTCCACCATCCCCTGGTGCCGCGCTCTTCTCGATTCGCCCGAATGGACGCGAACGCGGACGTCATCACGCGTTGCGAAGGCGTCCACCGAGGATGCATACTTTGCCGAGACGCTGGGGACGCAGCGCACTATTCGCTCGTGTACGGCGCTGAGGCCAAGGGAGGAGAGTAACAGCGGTGTGGAGGAGCTGTATCTCGAAGAGCTCAAGATTATCTACGAGATTGGAGAGGGGACGAGCGGGTGGCCTAGTAAGTGCTTAGATCCGAAACGTACCAAAGTGTCTAGACTTTCGGTCTATTGATCTTCTGGTTCATGAAAGTTCGCTTTCATCGAAACTTCGAATACCGAACTTTCGGTCTACCAGATGTGTCTATTGAAGTTGCCGGTCAGTTAACTTCGCTGACTTGATCTCCGAACGCTAGGGATCGCGCACGGAGGGTTTGTGGTGACTCTCTTGGATGAGTCCATGGGGATGCTGCTGCAGCTCAACACCGATGTCAGGATCCAGAATAATGTTCGACCGCACGAGGGCATGAATGGTTTCACTGCATGTAAGTCGCGGCGGCCGCCTTACCCGCGGTATATGCGGTGAATTCCAGAACTTCCTCAGCACGGCTGATTCAGGACAGACCTGAACACGACTTATAAGAAGCCTGTCCCTGCGCCGGCGACAGTCTTGTGCAATGTCAAACTGCTTCGACGTGAGAGAAATAAGATGTATCTGCGTGCTACGGTTGAAGACGGCCATGGAACTGTCTTCACGATTGGCGATGCTATGTTCGTAGAAGTGAAGAGTAAGCTGTGAAGAACAATGCTAAGACTAGTACACCGACTCTGTGACGAAGGCCATGTGATGCCTTGTGAGCCTTGCTGCAACAGGCAGGTATGTATAACGATTATCACATGTGAGCTTCGCTGACCGGCACTGGGTAGATTTCTTCCGCTTCTTCAACCGCTCAAGTTTACTTTTGGAAAATGCTGTTTCGTCGAAGCAACGTTTCTTGAGCCGCTCCAGTAGCACTATGTGACATCCGAAAGTTGCGTGAAAGGGCTGCTATCCCAAAGAGCAGTCTTACGACCGAGCCTGGCGTTGGTCTTATGTAGTCAAGTGTAACATCATGTAGGACTGCCGTGGAGCACGTACATTGCCGCCCATCCCTTTGGCCTTTCCGCCCCATACCTTGGATCGTTGGTGCAAGCGCCTGACGGAGTATGCACTCGAAGCGGAATTCAATCACATGGTTTCGGACATGTTGTTTTTCCAAGATCGTCGCGTCTCAAGCAAACTCAGGAGTCAAGCTGTCGCCTCGCCATACTGGTATCAGCTGCCGTAGAAGCTAGAGCGTACGTGCCCCGGAACATTTGCAAATAGGCAGACATTCTCAAGTTCAACGTCCTGCATGCGTCGGCCTCGGCGGCGGGGTGGCTGTTCATCTAGGACGCGAATCCTATTGGCTAATGACCATAAAAAGAAGGTGATATCACGACCTGTCACTGGCTGCGGTCGACGGCACTGTAATCTCCCCACGTTTCGCAGTCCCATCCGCCATGGTAGATTCTTTCGTGGTCAGGAGTTTGTGGGACGCGTGCCCCGGATTGTGATGTGCGACAGGCATTTGCTTCCTCCATTCATGATCGACGAAGCACTGCAACATCGCAAAGCGCCCAAGTGCACGTCTCCACGGGAGTTCGATCCTCCTCGGCACTCAAGTAACATTTGAAGGGCCATGTACCTGCGTGTCTGCGACAAAAGCGCCTCCGTCCAGAGGAAGCGGGTTGGACAAGGCAGAATCAAGTCTCTGGAATGGAACCGCCATAACCGCTTACGGCAACTCCCAAGACGGACAAGATGCCCTTACATGGCGACTGCTAGCCCGGTGGAACACTCACCAGACCTGCGGCAGCTTGCGACGAAGCTGCAGAGAAGCCGTACTGCAGCCCGGATGTAACTTTCGAGCAGTTCTGAGCACGCGCGCAAGCGGACTCGAGCGCACCGGGTCATAGGGCCGTAAGAGAGATGCTGTGTGACAGCCTTGAACTCGGATGTACCCCGCAAAATCCGTGCGCCACGAGGCTTGTGCGACTCCGAATGGATCGCGCCAGGGACCAGAAGCAAAGGCCACCGTTTTTCCAGGACGTGGGCGACTGGGCATTCTGTCTGAAGAATAGTGCCCCCTTCACATGCCCCTAGCATAACGCGGGCAGCGGTTGGACGAACTTGCTCAGACGTCGAGCCGGCCCGGTGACTATTCCCGAAGCTGGCTAAATGAGGCTACGTGCAGCCGTCTTCTCAAGTATGTTTGGTCGTCCGACATGCTCATTTCGGACAACAACCTCTCCTTCTCCATACTTCTCCATCCCTGCATTAGACTTCACGTAGACACCCTGTCTGACCAGCATCCATGCCCAGTTCACCGAGGCCCCTAGCCGCCACTGTAGGTCGTCTGGCTGGGCACACGTTGACTGTGGAGTCACGGTTCATATGACCGCTGTTATGATTGATCCAGTGGACAAAATGGCTAGTCACCAGGCTGTTTCTGACTTCTCCTTGAGGCATGACCGCGGCGTGTCTAACCTGCGATTCGTCGCTTCCGTTCATCCCCCGTCACTGCCCCAGATCTCAACTGTCCTTGAGGGTCATATAAGTGCCACTGCGGCACCTTCTCCTTGCCCTCCACACGCTCCTTTCCACTGCTTTTGGGAACTCAGGTTTTGCATAACTGCAGCAGCTTAGCGAACATTGTCAACTATATCTGTCATCATGCGTATGCTTTCCTTCCTTTCCTGCCTACTGGCAGCGGGAGGCCCTCTGGCCGCCCTGGCCCTGCGTATGTGTTCCCTTCACCTTCATTTATAGCAATCCAGACTGATATAGCCTCACCACAGCCTCCCCAATCGGTCACGGCGCCTCAAGCGCCGCCGAGACTCACCTCGAGGAACGCCAGGCAAGCTCATACTGGCTAGAAACTATCCAGAAGCAGGGACGTGCGGCCTTCAATGCGAATCCGGCTGCATACAAGGTCTTCCGAAATGTTAAGGACTACGGGGCAAAAGGTACGTGTCGAACTCGAGAGGGTCATATCCTTGGCTAACTGTACGCAGGCGATGGTGTTACTGACGACTCGGCTGCTATCAATGCTGCAATCACCGACGGCAATCGTTGCGCTCCGTGGGTATGCGAGTCCTCAACGGACACTCCTGCTATCGTCTACTTCCCCAGCGGTACATACGTAATCGGAAAGCCGATTATCATGTACTACATGACACAACTTCATGGAAACCCCAACAGCCGGCCAGTGCTCAAGGCCTCACCAAGTCTACAAGCTCTGGCGTTGATCGATGCTAGTCCCTATCAGGATGGCACGGGAAAGCCAGGGTGGACATCGACCAATGTGTTTGCTCGACAAATTCGCAACTTTGTCATCGACTTGACTCCGATTCCTGCCACCAGCGGCGCTCAGGGTATCCATTGGCCAGCATCTCAGGCGACCAGCATCCAGAACGTTAAGATTCAGATGAACGTTGCAACGAACTCGGTGCATGCTGGTATCTTCATCGAGAATGGTAAGCCACCTCAGACCTCGTGTGAATACACGTACTAAACAGGATAGGTTCCGGAGGACATCTCACAGACATCGAAACCGTGGGTGGTTTGTACGGACTAAATGTGGGCAACCAACAATTTACCATGAAGAACATCAAGATTTCGAATGCCGTTATCGGTATCAGCCAAATCTGGAACTGGGGATGGCTGTGGAAGGGTCTTACAATCAGCGACTGCAGCACTGCCGCGTTTTCGATGAAGGGTCTGAAGGACAACAGTCCTGATCAAAACGTAGCATCAGTGATCATTATTGACAGCACCATCACCAACTGTCCGATATTTGTGGACTCGGTCAGTGCCCTCTCACCCGCATGCAGATCTTGACTGACACAAGTTAGGCTTGGACTAAGACTTCTACCGCGTCTGGCGCTGGTCAACTCATTCTGGAGAACATCGCTCTGAGCAACGTTCCTGTCGCTGTCAAGGGTCCAAGCGGAACTGTCCTTGCAGGCGGTACCACCACTATTACAGGCTGGGGCCAAGGTAACCAGTATACCCCTGATGGGCCGACCAAGTTCCAAGGTGCGATCACTCCGAAGCGCCCCGCCGGCCTTCTGGATGGCAAGAACTTTTACGCCAAGTCTAAGCCTCAATACGAAACTATCGCGGTCGGCAACTTTGTAAGCGCACGCACTTCTGGAGCTAAGGGTGACGGAAGTACGGATGATACTACTGCGCTCCAGAATGCAATCAACTCTGTTGCTTCTTCCGGCAAGATACTCTTCCTCGATCACGGCCATTACAAGATCACGAAGACCCTTTACATTCCTGCCGGTACTAAGATCGTGGGTGAGACGTACCCTATCATCTTGGCTAGTGGCAGCACTTGGAGCAGCAAGACAAACGCCGTGCCGGTCGTCCAGATTGGCAAGGCTGGCGAAAGCGGCAGCGTTGAACTATCTGATTTCCTGATCGGTACTCAGGGACCAACTCCTGGCGCTAAGCTGATCGAGTACAACATGGCGACGACTAAAGGCTCTGGCCTCTGGGATGTTCATACCCGTATCGGTGGCGCGAAAGGGACTCAACTCCAAGTCGCCCAATGCCCCGTTGGTAGTGTTAACGATGCTTGCATGGCTGCCCATACCAATGTCCACATCACGAAGAGCGCGAGCAACGTTTACATGGAGAACAATTGGTTCTGGACAGCTGACCACGACCTTGATGACGCTGCTTCTACTCAAATCTCCATCTTTGTGGGCCGAGGTCTTCTCGTAGAAGGCTCCAATATCTGGCTCTATGGCAACGGAGTGGAGCATCAGTCTTTGTACCAGTACCAGTTCGCAAACGCCAAGGACGTCTTCGCCGGCTTCATCCAGAGCGAGACACCATATTACATGCCGACACCAGATGCGAAGGCTCAGCCGTACCCTGTTGACAGCACACTCAATGACCCCAACTACAATACGATCTGCCCTGCCGACCAACGTTGCGACGCGCTTGGTCTCCGCGTCCTGAACTCATCGAACATTCTACTTTATGGAGCAGGTTTCTATTCCTTCTTCATCTCCAACAACAATGCATGCAGTAAGGACACCAACTCGGTCCGCGACTGCCAGAACCGCATTGTCAGCATCGAGGGCTCCTCTACCGTTCTGGCGTACTCTCTGAATGAGGTCGGCGCACTCCAGATGGTCACCATCGATGGCGTCGACAAGGCGGCTTGGACGCCCAATCTTTCTGGCTATGCTAATACCATTGGCTATTTCTCATACAAGATCTAGGATTGGTTTATGTGGCTGGCTCATTATTATGGCTAGGCGAGTATCTTCTGCTGTATATATTTGCGGCTTCAGGACCTGGGCAATGGTCGTTGTATATATCCCATATTCTTCGTTTTGCATGTCGGGACATTTACGGGCTCAAATGAAATTGCATCAAATGACGAATGGCATTTGCCTTGAGTGGATTGGTTCAACTAGGATCTGTGATAGTCCTGCGTGCTATGAGATACACTGCACGCACTGCCTTCGCATGTATCCTGTTCGTTTAAAGGTTCTCAAAGTAGGGAATCCGTAGGCGGAACTCCCGAGGTCAGCTCGTGGGCCGCTTGATCACCTGCTCCTTCTCTTTTGGCGGCCTTGGCGGCACTACATCCACAATCCTACTCCCATCCATCACAATGGCAATGCCATTAGTACCAGCCTCTAGCTCCTTTACCTACTCCACGCACTTCAGTACGCTCCGCGGCCGCCCGGACATTATCAGCCCGCAAGAATCTCTTTTCGTCGCGGATGCTCTCCAGCAACGCCTCCAACTCCGGCTAATGCTCGGGCTTCTATGCTAAGGCGCGGATGTCGAGATCGGTCTCAAAGAAAACCTAGCACTGTTGGTACAGGAACTCGGTCTCGACGTTGAGCAGCATGGTATTTTCGATTTCTGCGCTCAAGAGGCAGCATGGCGAACTGCGATGTAACTATCGTCATAACAGCACGCACACCTAGAGCCAAATAGGCTAGGGAAGGAACTTTTGCAAAGCACAATATGCTTGTGATTACGTCAAATTCTTGCGCACACCGCCTTCAACCAGTTGATCCGCAAAGTGCACCTTTCTATTCTTCTTCAAAGAGGAGAGTGGGCTGCAGTACAGCAATTCCTCTTCCTCACCGTTGTGGGGTACATCTGATACAGGGTACTTGTAATGTCGATGGAACCTCTCGAGAGCCGCTTGAGCACCATGCACAGTAGTGACACGCCCGTTATCATGAGTAGCAGGTGGAATATAAGAGTCCAAGCGATTCTCAATAACCGCCTGGGACTCAAGCTTGTTTACCAGGTTCAGTAATTCAAGACGAGCCGCACGCCACGCCAATTTCAGACAGCCATAGTCTGGATGAGCTGTCCTCGGCTCAGGGTCTTTTCGAAATGGGCCGCCGAACTTTCCCCATGCTTGAGTGATTGCGCCCAGAAACTCGATGGAGTGGTCCACTTGGCACACTGGGCAAAAGTCCTCTACGGTCGCGCTGGGATGGATTGCATGGTCACACTCAGGCTTCTTCGGATCTGGCGTACGCCAAAAGAGACTGGTGATACTGCTCATACTTAAAATGTTCCTGGAGGCTGGACGGTTCACGTACCGATGGTACTCTTCGGCGCTGGAGACGTAACTGACATTGGGCGAAAGACTCTTATGTTGCTTCTTCTGCCATGCATTGAACTGGACATGGCTGGTGGGCCAGAGGACCTTCGCATGAACAATCTTTTTGGAGCCAGCCATTGGGGAGAGGGGTTGAATCGTCTTTGGAGGGTTTATCTGTTCCTACGGTTGTATATGATATGGGGAACGATATGCCCACGGTTCTCCTTGCCTTATTGGCCGCGTAGGGCGTTGTCGTTCTTTCACAAGAAGCTTCAACGCCGCACCTTGCGACATCCACACATCATGTGGCCCTGCCAGCATTACAAGGACCAGCTCGAGAAAGTCCCGTGGTCACACCGAACTTATGGTGGCAATAATGCAGACGGTGAAAGTGTGCGCAATGGAGGGAAGATCCTGTCGTGTCTCGAGATGTCAATTTTATTGATTGAAGTCATTGTGTACGTACGAAGTCAGTTTAGGTCGTGAGATGGGACCTTTGCAGTATTCGTTTGGTATGCGCAATTTGCTGCTTAGGAGTGAATGTGTAAATTACATATCAAAATTACTCTTCTAGAGAGCACAAACCAGATTTAAGCCTAGATATGTCTCGAGGTCTTGTGCTCTAATTGTTCTGCCCAGTAAGACATGCCTAGGTTAGCAAATGCATTATGGAAACGGTAAGGTCCACAAACAAACGGCCGCGTTTGAAACATATAGATGAACACGCCGCTTCGTGGACACGCAATATCGGTCGATTGTTAGAACAGCACCATCCATAATCCTAGCGAGACCATCCGATAGACAAAATGTGTATAAGGGTTATTTGTACTCTACACAAGAAAGTGACTAAGGGTATCCGCCGAAAGCGCTAGATAATGTACGCCGAGAGGCCCTAGAAGGCGACCCCCTACGACCTGTTTGAAAAATATTGAGTCAAAGGGATAGATCTGAACTTGCACCACGAAATGCGCGCATCACATTCCCCCACCTCTTCCTCACCTAGCATAAAACCCCATAACCTTCGAATCTCCACCCTTCATTCCCTCCGCCGGCAACTCCTGCGCATTCACAGCCTGCATCTCAAAAGCCCCATGCCCGTCGTTCAGCTGACTCGGTCTCCACTCCGACGCATGTGTCTCGGCGGAAAGTGACTTCTCCTGCGGATATGCGCTCACCTCGTGGCTATTATACTGGGTCTGGCCTTCCGAGCGGTAGTATGTTTTTGGGCCGCCCAGGTCATCGGCCATCTGGTGGGCGTCTTTGGGTATGACGTTCTTGCGGCGCCGCGCAAGGAGGAACCAGACGAGGCCAACGAGGAGAGCGAGGGCGGCGCAGCCACCGATCGTGGCACCTACGATGGCGCCAGTGGAAACGCCGCTGTCAGAAGACGCTGTCGCGGTGGAAGAGGCGTTGGATACATCGGCGCCGGCACCAGCTTGGGATGAACTACGAATCGATGCCGAAGATCGTGTACTGGAGTGAACTGCTGCGCCGTCCGAGTCGGCGTCCGATGTTAGGGATGCTGACGAGGTTGGGCAGCCGATGATTGTGGGCGAAGTGAGAGCCCAGCCGTCGATGGGATGTGCGAAGGCTTGTCCGCCGCTGACACTCTGGCTGAAGGCCTTGCTTGCTGTGTCGCCTTCTTCATCGTATGCGATTACTGGGACGTTTGTCTTGGCGGGAAGGTCGCTGTAGCATGTACCGCCATAGGCAGGTCGATCTGGATCAACCGTCGTGTCTGGAGGATGAAATTGATAGGATCTCCGTACTGTTAGCGCTCATCCTGCTTAATAGTGTTTGTGGGTGGACGTACGAGGGACAACATGCAATGTAATTCCGTGCCTCTGCGAACATTGTGCAGTAGTTCTTCGGACATACGAAGGGGCTCATTGCTGGGACAATGGATGACATTATCGTAGATCCGAGTGAGTTGGTAACGTCGACAGACGTGTAAGACTCCAAGAATTCGGACGGGTAGCAGGCTGCAACAGTGTTGTTTGCAAGAGGAACAGGTTCGTTATGCCATATAAAGCTGGCCGGTGGTAGCATGGTGAGGAGATTCTCGAAACATGATGATGGCGGCGTAAAAGTTGCCGTTAATGCGATCACAGCCGTTGGTACTGGGAATTCTGGTTTCTTCGTTGCTCGAATGTCCAGATGCGGCGCTGCCACCCTGCGAGCTCTTCGTATCTCTTGAGGGCCCGACATGGTCTGATCTCAACGTCGACAACGTAGATCACAGGGAAGCGATTGTCGTAGTTGTAGCCGAGATGTTACGGAGGGTGCACTGAGTATCGGCCTCGGTCGCTCATGCGGGTTCGTCAACACGAGTGAACGTCGACTCGCAATGAGTGGAGCAACGACAATTGGAGTGAGAAGATTCGAAGGGCAGGGACCGGCGTGCGGGGGTGGAGTGGGAGACACCGAAACGTAGGCCTGCGGAGGTTAGGAGTGTTCTACACCAGGGGAAGCCCATTTGATATGTAGCCAGTGGCTCCAAGACCGCTTTTGGTAGACTAAGATGCATAAATTAATCCTACCGGCGACCCAACCACGCGTTGACAGGCATTAGCCTGGAACTCCGCTCACCGTCCAAGCCATCACTAACTGGGGTGAGACCTTTTCCCTAAAATTGCTAGTTGTAACATTTGTAGCTTGAAGTCTCTACCACGCGATAACGATACCGTCTTGCCTTCGTTGAGCGACTCTCGTTCATGACAGGAACATCGAAGTTGGGGTCACTGATCAGTCCAGCATCCCGAATCTGAACACCGAGCGGCTGGGGCCAATGTCTTTTGCTGCGGTGGAGTTGAATAATGATCAGCGGCCAGGATACAAGCATCGCTGTCCCGGATTCAGGGCTAGTCAACGCTTAGCGTGGATGGAGTCCGAAAGTTGAAACTTGGGCTGCAGTACAAGTAGCGATGAGATTACCCTCCTCCAGAACGTGGTGAAGCGGAGTGTGTGATGACAAAGTACATGATTCTCCATCGCAGCAGAAGCATGGAGGAAAGCCGGGTCATTCGAAGGGGAAGGCGCAGGCGTGACGTCTCGGTCGTCGTTGCCTCTTCTGGGTCCAGGCTATCGGCTCACTCGGAGGTCAAGAGCAAAACGGTTGCTGCCGTGTAATCGCTTTGGAAGAACGGGTAAAGGGGCCCGGGATTGTACATTGTATGTGGCGCCATGAAGCGTGACTGGGGGCAGCCGCAGAGAGAACGGAAAGAGGTGGTGGAGCCCTAAGATTGGCGGTTGTGAGCGCCAAAACAGACTTGACTCGGCCCCTGCATAGATACGTGCCTAGGTCTTCGGGGCTGAGATAGATATTGCGGCCCCTGCATTATCGCATGTTGAAACTCTTTGCGCGCTTGATTTTCGTCCTGGCTTGTTCCCGTCGGATCCGGGTCAAGTCGTAGGTTTGCCAGGAGCTTGCTACCATAGACAAAGTTTGTACATGCGTGCACAACTTACATCCATAGATACGGGAACGTCTGCCCCGAGCTGACTTGGGCTTGAACAGTCTCTGAGATTCTACTTCACTAATTTATCGTGGAAGTTCACGCGGAGAGGGATTCTGTCCATGTGTGTATTATCTTTGTCTTATCACGTGATCATTCGCATGCAGGTGCAGGTGGATCCATGAAGCCGTGAAATCGTAAACGTCGTCCTGCAGAGAAGCAATATAATCATTGTCAGCACACCATTCTTTCGGACATATTCCTGGCAGTATACAAGAACCTTCTTAGCACCCTGGCGCATTGCGCTGGTAGTCCGTTGTCGGCCCGCATGCAGCCCTGAAGGTGTTCGCAGGCTGTCTCGATCGTGACGTCACGCACATACATCCAGAAACGGCTGACACCAGCTGACGATCGTTTGTTGACAGCCTTAACAATCCTTAAGGCATCATCTTGTGCCCTGGTTCTCTCCCTCAAGGCAAGTATCATTGCCTTGCGATACGAAAGGCGACAAAGCCCAACCTTTGAGGCCCCACGCAAACAGGCACCAATATAGCCGAGGCCGCTCCGAGCGCAGAGTGACTCCCCGCCAACACTAGAGGTCACCAACCCCACACACGCGGAAACCTCTTCCATTCACCGAATCATTACAACTTGGAGAAGTCAGCTTCTTCTTCACGCAGGCTCGCACAACGAACAGCGAGACCCAACGCACCCGACAGCGTGAATAATCACGCCCTCGATCGCCCATTGATACGCCGCCACACAGCAAACGCGTCAGCATCAGCCTGACAGCCCGCTTGACCCTAAGTCCGCAGTTCGACCACGCGACCCTCCTTGATCTCTGTTCAGCAGAGAGGAGACACCTTGAGTGAAAACGTACAGGACTACTATGGCTTTCACCATTTCGCGCGGGCACGGTTCACTTTCACTCTCCCTGCGCAAGCCGCACGACTTTCACCAAGAAGGCCCAGTCCAAGGCTTTATTTCCCCCCCTCGCAGCTGGCAGGTGCTCTACCCTCGAGAGAAGTCCAACTCCCTCAACGGCTTGTGTACCGCGGATTGAGCGCGCCCGTGACGAGTGCAAACACAACCTCGCCAACAAATCAACCCTTTACCTGTCCGCGAAACAGAGAAAGTTTACCGCGCACGCAATAGCGCAACCTACCACCGCTAAGACTTATACTCGAAACAACGGCAAACATGATTGCGCGACCCCGCACCGCGACCTCGACGCTCCCTGCGAGCCTCATCCTCACCTCACGCGCACAGAAACAGTACCGCCGCTATCAGTCGCAGAACTCGGTCCTCCCACCCAAGAGCCACGATCGCCTTCCCACCGCGACCGAGTACGCCGATTTCCAGTCCTGGCTCGCCAAGCGCGACTCGGGCTACCTGTCTGACACCCCGCTCGCCGACATTGCATACTATGCGGAGCGCGCATCTGGGAAAAGAGAAGAGAAGGGCAGGGCTAGTGTATGTGAACATACTCTGCATCCCACACACAAGGACAATGCGGAGAGATGTCCCGTTTGTATAGTGGAGGTACACATTACCTACATGAAAGCTCTAACTGTCGCGCTTGAAGCTACAGGGGGGGCTGGTGAAGCAACGTTGGGAAGCCACCGACCAAGACTGTCCCGCGCTTCAGGCTTGGTACGCTGGTAGCCTTGATCAAGGAGCTTGGTCGGCTGGAGAACCTAGCACAGGACGAGCGCGACTACGACCGGAAACATCAGCACAAGGGTAACTCTAGCCAAGCCACGAGCGAGATAAAGACTGCGACCCAGGCCCTAGAGATATACTGGGACAGCATGGAGGCCAAGCCGACCATGATGCAGTCGCCGTGCAGTGAAAGGACCCGCACAGTTGTCTTCTGCCCCAAGACCAACTTTGAGCGAGGCCGAGATCAGCTCTACTTCTGGCGTAAGTCGCCGCGGTATGAGGCTGGTGGGAAGTACGCATCTTCTAGTGATGATGAGGATGATGAGGGCGAAGAAGAGGAGTGCGGCGAGAATATCATTTCGACTTGTGGAGAGAGTTGTACAGCCAGCAGTGGTACCACGGCAATCATTGTTCTAGGACACGACTTGAAGGACGAAGAGGAGGGATCCGACGAGGACGCCAGCGACTTGGACGACGACGACGATTCTGATGAAGAAGCAGAGGAAGACGAGGAAGACGAGGAAGACGAGGAAGACGAGAATGATGACGAAGCTGACGCCAGCTTCGTCGTCTTCGAGTACGAAGAAGTCGTCGTTCAAGGCGCCGAGTTTGTCGTTTTCGAGGACTGAACAGCCCTATCGATATTCTTTTCCCTTCGCGTCCACGCGCGGTGCACTTGGAAGATTATCAAACACTAGAGCATCACCAGTCCACTCGCATCACGACCACAGCGTGCGTTATATTGACATCCAGACCAAGGGAATGTTCCATGCGATTTGGACACCGGCGTCATGTCTCGTGTCAGTGTTATGTCGATGGATTCTTCCTGGTTTTTGTTGCTTATTAAAAGACTGCAACTCATCACGACCGTTGCCGAAGGCGCGGAAATTACCACGAAGAAGGCGGATCTGGTTGGGCTCCTATCGTATCGACCTACGGTGTTGGTCTGGAGTTTGGGAGCGGCATGAACACGGCATCGCCTCATAGCGAGATACCCACGAGGCTCCTACATGACTTCTAGCAAACGAACCATATATCCTCTCAATTCGAAACATGCGAAGTGACCGATATGATATTGATGTCTTCTCGTATGCAACGTGAGGTACCATTATCTAGCACTTAACCAACCATAAAAGGGTATGAAGTATCGAACCACGTGCCCTGCGATCCCACCGTAACGCCCAACAGAAAAGCACTATGCTCTTGAACATGCATATTCACATAACAACACAGCATGAGTTCTGCTTCTTCGCCTGCGTATAAAACATCTTGCTGCTCGCACTCAAATCATTGCTCTTAGCCACCAATTGATCCATCTTCTCGCCGCGCTCCAGCATGCTCTCCATGGTTTGGTGCAGCACCTGTTTCGTGGTATCGAGCTCGTGCTGGATCTTAAGGATCTTGTCTGCCTCCTGCGGGTTCTGGTACTGCGCGATATAATCTTTGAGCTCGGGATAGGGGAGGGAGTTGGCGGAGGCGCTGTTGATGGCGGATGCGGCGTGCTTGGTGGAGAACTCGTCGCAGAGCTTTTTGAGGACGCCCGTGATGACGAAGTCAGGATATTCCTTGTTGGCGACGACGATGCCGCAGAGGCCGCGCGAGTTGTTGTATGTGTGGATGAGGTAGTCTGGAAGAATCAGTCGTGGGACTCGCTGTGGAGGTGACCAGAAGCCGCACCTGGGATCTTATCTTCCTCTATTGCGACTCGCTTGCCAGGTGGTGTCTTCTTGGCAGCTGTTGCTACGAAGAGGTTCAACTGTGTGCTTGTTAGGGCGTGGTTCCCGCTGCGGGTTGGCCGGTGGGCAGAGAAGGAGGACCGGACGTACGAATTCTTGGATGCTTCCGCGGGTGAATCGGTTGAAGCTGCTAAGCTCGCGCTGGTGAGCCAGCTCGACAGGCTCTCCGCCGTCATTTGGGCGCCAAACCTAGAGCTAGTGATCAGTCGCGGACATGCCGGGGCGGTGAAGGGGCTCTTACACCCATGTACAGGACTTTCATGCTCATGATGGCGGTTGCGTGGGTTCACAAAGTTGAGAAGTGAACGCTAGTAGTGCGGGCGTAATGTGTAGCGGGCGGAATATGTACAGAAATCTGGGTGCCTGGGCGGCGTTGGAGGGACCGCGGGCATGACGCTTGTGCTGGACGGTTTCATGTGCGACGCGGCTGATGTAACCAGCGCCACGCGGGGGCGGGGGAAGGCGCAACAGTCAAACCCTTGCACCTATTTCCCAAAAATATATACGTGCAATACGCCGCAAGGTGTATAAAGACACCGCATCACAGAGAACGAAAAGAGATATTGAGACATATCAGCATTCCCGCTACCACAATGTCGCCTTCCGTCGAGAGCGCGCAGGCACAATGGTTGGAACAACTGGAGGCGATGCGCAAGGCAATCGCAGAACTCAAATTACCATCTGATGATAAAGCGGCCCCCGCGTACGGCGACGATATCGACATTGATGACGATGATTTCTCCGGGACTGCGAGCGGCGATGATGTCTGGGATGTACTTAGCGACGAGAATAGAGATGCCTACAGCAGCGACCAGCTTGACCAATTCACAAGTGCTCGGCCAACAAGTCAACTCTACGACCAGCTATGGCTACAGGAGAAGTGCAATGGCGTCGCTCGAAGCAGCTCCGGCCTAGATGCAACCGCACTAAAAGAGCAGTTGATCGCCATCTTGGCGAGTGATAGCAACGACGACGAGCTGCAGATGATGCTCGCGGATATCGTGGGCTACGAGCAACTGGATCTGGTCGCCGACCTCATATCCCATAGGCGGGAAATTACGCAGTCTTTGCATGAAGCACCGCGGAACAACGGCATCGTTGGTCGTTTGCACACTCGAGCAGAACGTGAAGAAGCCCTTAGAGAGCAGGATTGGGAGCACAAGAACCGAGCACTGGCCGCTGCTGTTGACCGTACAGGTCCCCAGTATCCCCACGTATACCGTTCCCATGAGGGGGCTGGAAATAAACTCTCTAGTTTTGGCAAGAAGTACGCATTGCCAACAGGCAGCACCCATGTCGACGAGAAGACCTATGAGGAGCATACTATTCCTGCCGCTCGCGTTGGCACTCTCGGCGCTGGTCGCAAGCTGGTCGATATCGAAGACATGGACGGCATGTGTCAGCGCACGTTCAAGGGTTACAAGTCGTTGAACCGCATGCAGAGCTTGGTATATCCTGTGGCTTACAACACGAGCGAAAACATGCTCATCTGCGCCCCGACAGGTGCTGGCAAAACAGATGCCGCAATGCTTACGATTCTGAATACTGTAGCTAAGAACGTCGTACCGAATCCGGTCGAAAATCCCGACGCTACTGATTTCACCGTTCTGGCTGAAGATTTCAAGATCATCTACGTCGCCCCAATGAAAGCACTTGCCGCTGAAGTCACGGAGAAGCTGGGTAAGCGTCTAGCTTGGCTCGGCATCAAAGCTCGCGAGTTGACTGGAGATATGCACCTCACCAAAGCAGAGATCTTAGATACACAGATCATCGTTACCACCCCTGAGAAGTGGGATGTCGTAACAAGAAAGAGCACTGGCGACACGGAACTAGTGCAGAAGGTCCGTCTGCTCATTATCGATGAGGTGCACATGTTGCACGATGAGCGCGGTGCAGTTCTGGAGAGTTTGGTTGCAAGGACGCAGAGACAGGTAGAGGCGACTCAGTCTCTGATTCGCATCGTCGGTCTTTCTGCTACGCTACCCAACTATGTTGATGTAGCCGACTTCCTCAGGGTGAACAAGATGGCCGGCATGTTCTACTTCGATGCATCGTTCCGTCCAGTGCCTCTGGAGCAGCACTTCATTGGTGCAAAAGGCAAATCTGGCACCGTCAAATCGAGGGAGAACCTCGAGCAAGTCGCATTTGATAAGGTTGCGGACATGCTCAAGCTCGGCCATCAAGTCATGGTATTCGTGCATAGTCGCAAGGATACTGTGAAGACTGCGAGAACATTCTTCGAGAAAGCAGTAGATGCGCAGTGCTCCGACCTCTTCGATCCGACAATGCACCCGAACTACGAAAATGCGGTGCGCGATATGAAGCAGTCCAAGGGCCGTGAGCTGCGCGAGCTACTCCCGAAAGGTATGGGTACTCACCATGCTGGAATGCCTCGCTCCGACCGAAACCTCATCGAACGTCTTTTCGCAGAGGGTGTGCTGAAAGTGCTTTGTTGTACGGCAACTTTGGCCTGGGGTGTCAACTTGCCAGCCGCTGCGGTTATCATCAAAGGCACTCAAGTCTACAATGCCCAAGAGGGTCGCTTCACTGATCTGGGCATTCTCGATGTTCTTCAAATCTTTGGTCGTGCCGGTCGTCCCCAATTCCAGGATACCGGTATTGGCTTCATTTGCACAACTCAAGATAGGCTCGATCACTATCTCAAGGCCGTTACCGAGCAGCAACCGATTGAATCCAAATTCTCAGCTAAGCTTGTTGATAATCTGAACGCTGAGATCGCTCTAGGCACAGTTACCACGGTGCAGGAAGGCGTGCAGTGGCTTGGATACTCCTATCTATTCGCTCGAATGCAGAAAAGTCCTTTAAGTTACGGCATCGAATGGGCGGAGATCCGAGACGACCCACAACTTGTTATGAGGCGCAGAAAGCTTATCGTTGATGCTGCTCGCGTTCTACAACAGAGTCAAATGATTGTTTTCAACGAGAATACTGGGGACCTACGGTCCAAGGATGTCGGTCGCATTGCCAGCCAATATTACGTCCAACAGTCCAGTATCGAAATCTTCAACACCATGATGAAACCGCATGGATCTGAGGAAGATGCCTTCGCGATGGTTAGCATGAGCGGAGAGTTCGACCAGATAACGTCTCGGGACACCGAGGAAAAGGAGTTGTCCTCCCTTATCGAGCACGAACATGCCTTTCATGAAGTCAAAGGCGGCGTCGGCACGCCTCACGGAAAGACCAATGTGCTGTTGCAGTCATACGTATCTCGAGCAAGGCTGGAGGATTTCACGTTGATTTCAGACACCAACTACATCTCACAGAATGCCGCACGTATCGCTCGGGCGCTGTTCATGATTGCAATGAATCGTCGCTGGGGTTACCAGTGCCAGGTTCTTCTGAGCTTGTGCCAGTCCATCGAGCATCAGGTCCGATCTGACTCGCATCCGCTGCATCAATTTGATCTTCCTCATCCTGTACTTCGCCAACTGGATTGGAAATACACCTCTGTGGAGGCGCTCCGCGACATGGACCCCCGCGAGATAGGAGACCTGGTACACAACACCAAGATGGGTAATGTTATTAATCGATTGCTGGACAACTTCCCAACCTTGAGCATCGAGAGTGAAATCGCTCCACTGAATCGAGATGTTCTTCGCATCCGGCTATGGCTCACGCCAGAGTTCAAGTGGAACGACCGCCATCATGGCACTTCTGAATCATTCTGGATCTGGGTGGAGAATTCCGAGACCTCTGAGATCTTTCATCACGAGTTCTTCATTCTGTCGCGTAAGAAGATGTACGATGACCACGAGCTTAACTTCACCATCCCGCTTTCGGATCCTTTGCCTTCACAGATCTACGTGCGAGCAGTATCTGATAGATGGCTCGGTGCGGAAACAGTACACCCTATATCCTTTCAGCATCTCATTAGACCGGACACCGAGAGCGTGTACACAGACCTGCTAAACCTCCAGCCGCTGCCAATCTCCGTTCTCAAGAATCCGATTCTTGAGGAACTGTACGGGCAACGATTCCAGTTCTTCAACCCAATGCAGACGCAAATCTTTCACTGCTTGTACCACACACCAGCAAATGTTCTGCTAGGATCGCCCACCGGTAGTGGAAAGACAGTGGCTGCGGAGCTCGCAATGTGGTGGGCTTTCCGCGAGAAGCCTGGCTCAAAGGTTGTCTACATTGCTCCAATGAAGGCGCTTGTTCGCGAGCGAGTCCAGGACTGGGGCAAGCGCCTTGCTGGCCCAATGGGTCTAAAACTCGTCGAGCTTACCGGTGACAATACGCCGGACACGCGCACTATCCGGGATGCAGACATCATCATCACCACCCCTGAGAAATGGGACGGTATCAGTCGTAGCTGGCAGACGCGTGGCTACGTGCGACAGGTCAGCCTAGTGATCATCGACGAGATCCATCTGCTTGGCGGAGACCGTGGCCCTATCCTGGAGATCATCGTTTCAAGAATGAACTACATTGCTTCCCAGAGCAAGGGTTCAGTTCGCCTGCTGGGCATGTCAACTGCTTGCGCCAATGCGACAGACCTTGGCAATTGGCTTGGTGTCAAAGAAGGTCTGTTCAACTTCCGCCACTCGGTCCGCCCTGTTCCTTTGGAGATATACATCGATGGCTTCCCTGAGCAGCGTGGCTTTTGCCCGCTCATGCAGTCGATGAACCGCCCTACGTTCCTCGCTATCAAAGCACATTCGCCTGGAAAGCCTGTTATTGTATTCGTCGCCTCACGTAGGCAAACTCGCCTTACTGCTCGAGACCTTATCAACCTCTGCGGTATGGAAGACAATCCCAGACGCTTCCTTCACATGTCCGAGGATGATTTGGCGTTGAATCTTTCCCGCGTCAAGGATGATGCACTACGGGAAGCTTTAAGCTTTGGGATTGGTCTTCATCATGCTGGACTCGTGGAATCGGATCGTCAGCTTTCTGAGGAGCTGTTCGCCAACAACCAAATCCAAATCTTGGTCGCAACCAGTACGCTTGCATGGGGCGTCAATCTGCCCGCCCATCTTGTCGTTGTGAAAGGCACGCAGTTCTTCGATGCTAAGACAGAAGGCTACAAGGACATGGATCTTACCGATGTGCTGCAGATGCTGGGTCGTGCTGGCCGCCCTCAGTTTGACTCGTCCGGGATAGCGCGCATCTTCACTCAGGATTCGAAGAAAGACTTCTACAAGCATTTCCTCCACACCGGCTTCCCAGTGGAGTCATCCCTTCACAAGGTTTTAGACAACCATCTTGGAGCTGAAATATCAGCAGGCACAGTAGCCACCAAGCAAGACGCACTGGACTATTTAACCTGGACATTCTTCTTCCGCCGTCTCCACAAGAACCCCTCTTTCTACGGACTCGAGATATCAGCCGAAGAGCACAACACCATTGCCGCCCAAACAATGGCCAACGATTACATGATCAACCTCGTGGAAACCTCTCTCAACGAACTCGCAGAGTCTTCCTGCATCGTGCTCCACGGCACCGGCGACATTGATTCTACACCCCTTGGCAAGATCATGAGCTACTACTACCTCAGCCACAACACCGTGCGCTACCTCGTCAAGAACGCAAAGCGTGATGCTACCTTCGCCGACGCCCTAGCCTGGATCTCCCACGCAACAGAATACGACGAGCTACCCGTGCGCCACAACGAGGACCTTATCAACGCCGAGCTTTCCCGGGCACTGCCGCTGAAAGCAGAACAGCACTTCAATCTCCCCCTATGGGATCCCCATGTCAAAGCTTTCCTTCTCCTGCAAGCGCACTTCTCGCGCGTAGATCTCCCGATTTCGGATTACGTTGGCGACTTGAACAGCGTGCTAGACCAGAGTATCCGTATCGTGCAGGCTTCCATCGACGTCCTCACCGAGCTGGGGTATCTTTCCTCCTGCTCGATGATGACCACGCTCCTGCAAGCTATCAAATCCGCACGCTGGCCTACCGACGGTCCGCTGTCCCTCTTCCCAGGCGTAGATGTCGAGAAAGAAAAGAAACGTCTCGAGCATCCGAAAGCTAGTCCTAAAACCCTTGTTGAAGCGTCGACCGCAAGTAGCGCTATTCTAGAGAAAGCAGCGCACTTCGCGGGCGTGGCGAATGCGGGCGTGAGCCGCTTTATGGAGCCCATAGCGCGATTGCCGGTGGTGAAGCTGGATCTTAAAGATGTGACAGCGAAGGGTACGACGCTTCAGATGACACGCATCAATCCTGCTAGAAGCGGGCCGGGCGGCGTGCGCATCTATGCACCCCGGTATCCCAAGCCGCAGACGGAAGGCTTCTTCGTCATTGTGTCGTACGCTGGGACCGACGAGATCATCGCCCTGAAGCGCGTGGGGTGGATCGATCCCGGGAAGGGTAACGCAGGGAGGGGTGGCGGAAGAGGTGGAGGTGCTGGCACTGGGAGAAACAATGCTGGTGGAGCGAGGTTAACAAGTTTGGCGAAGATTAGTCTACCTCGGGAGGCACAGGGAAAAAAGGTCGTTGTGGATGTGATTAGCGACGCGTATTTGGGCATGAAGTGGAGGATGGAGGGGGTAGATGTGCCGAGTGCCCCTGAGGTTGAGGACGGCAAGGGGAAGGAGGGAAAGGGAGTTTTGGCTTCTGACGTGGTCGGCTCTTTGGGTGCCATATAACCAGTCACAACCGGTCACAAGAGACCAAAAATAGCACAGAGAGATTTATCAACATAACTCAGTACGCAATACCTCACCCAAGCCTTCTCTGCATATCATCCTGGAATTTCATGTCACTGCTGTGTCCCACACTACAACAAAAGCCTCTTGCATACCCAGGCCACTGTGCTCATTTACGATCCGCGGCAACAAATTGTGCATATCTCCTTCGATTTCGTATCGAAACATACATTTCTGAGCTTGACATTTGCTCCTTCACAAGTGTCCGTTTCGTCCCGCACTGGCAAGCATTCCATGTCAGGCAGCGCGTCTGGCACAGAATGCCCGATGCATTCGGAGAGCACCTATGTCATACCGAAGAAGTTACGGTGCAGTCGTCGCGGATTGAGACATCAGATGCTGACTCTACGTTGGGTGGGCCAAGAAGATGAATGGAAGATGCATCGAGTGGTGATGAGATGGCCACCGTGGCGATGGCGCGGGCGGATCATTCAAGAGATTTTCATGTTTGTGAATTGTGTGACGAGGTTGGCCGGTTTGAATCGTTAACGCTGTACTGAAGGAGCTTATATCATAGGGAGCTGCAGGGTGCTTGAGCAATTCACGGAAGATAAAAAGCTTTATAGTATATTGACGTCTCGTGCTATATGAAGAGCTGGAGTGCAAATGATTACCTTTCTTCGGCAATCTTGATATGTTCCCAAGGATAGCCGCCTCACATGAGATGTGAATCATTTGGAGATGTTCTGCCACCGTCATGCGGCGGAACAACCTCATTTATGTTAATTTACCGATATCATGCTTGTGGTGGCCACAATCCTGCATGACTGTCGAGGTGTATCAGTATGGTCATTGATCGTGAACTTTCGTGGGTAGGGACTTCCTCTACGTGTCGACGATCCTGGCGAAGATCGTCTTGTCTCTCAATATAATACTGAAATGTATATTTTCGACCTCACATATTGTAGAACTGACCGTTATAATCAATCCGGTATAGTCGAGAAAGCATGAATGCAATATACCACTAGCAGCTACGCCAGAACAATGGCATCTGCAGAATGAATAATCGTCAAGAGCACTCCGAAGGAATGCAAACTAAAAGATACTGATCGGCATCGATCTATTAAGATTCAGACTAAGATAAAAGTTAACCCCATTTACATGTCTTAGTCGACTTTCCGCTCGGTGCTAAATGCGACCTGCCGCGTAGCGGTGAGTTCCTCCCGCATTCTCGTACCATCGGAACAGCCCGGCACTTGCAGATTCCGCGACTTGTGCGAAAAGAGTTCCGACTTTGCGCATGCTGTTCCTGATGTTGCATAGTGAGCGAAGGAGTCATAATGTGACTAGCTCATGTTGGGAAGGTCGGAATGTGATAAAGAGCGAGCCTCGGAGATCGGACTTCGTTAATCAGATCATCAGATAAGAGTCCCCGTCGCACCCAATAATCACCTCCTACTTTATTCCATCATGAATGCATCGGGAGCAGGACAGCGCAATAATGCAAGTATTGATGCCATCCATTCACTACCGTCGGCAACAGAATTAGAACTCACCACGATCCGATACGAGACTCAACCTCCAATTCCCGGCAAACTCGATGATCCGTACCTTGTTGCCTTTTCTCCAAACGATGCCTCCAACCCCAAGGATTGGCATTCCCGTCGCAAATGGGCTGTCACTGACGTGCTTTCCGCGACTGGCTTCAATCGCATCATGGTCTCCACCATAATGGCCCCCGCATTGCCTCTTATCGCACAAGAATTAACGATGAACTCCACCGAGACTATGATGTCCTTTTCAAGCTTCGTTCTCGCGACTGCTTTTGGTCCTCTGATCATTGGTCCGCTGTCAGAAGTGTACGGGCGCTCGCCTATTCTGCATGCGAGCAATGTGTGGTTCCTTGTCTGGAACATTGCATGTGGATTTGCAAACAACAAACACACACTTATTGCTGGGAGATTTCTTGCTGGTTTTGGCGCGAGCAGCATATATGCGCTAAGAGGTGGAGTTCTGGGAGATATATGGACGCCTGAACAGCGAGGAAAGTCGCTTGGGATTTACATATTGATTCCACTTCTAGGTAAGTGGTCATGTCTCAGCAGTCTGTGAGACACGTACTTACTCTATGTTTTTACTAGGAGCGGCTGTAGGCCCAATCATTGGAGGGTTTATGGCGGGACGTACAACTTGGAGGTGGATGTTCTGGTCCACATCAGCCTTCCAAGCCGTCATGATCATTGCCTCCTTCACTTCTTTTCGCGAGACGTACGCACCTCTCATTCTCAAGCGTCGCGCAGAACGACTACGGAAGGCGACAGGCGATACTCGCTACTACACGGCGCGTGAACGGATGCAGGAGAAGAAATCAGTAGTGCAAGTGCTGACCAAGGCTTTGTCGCGACCACTCCGATTGATGCTCCATCACCCAGTCATTCAAGTCGCGAGTTTGATCGAGGCGTTTTACTACGGTATCCTTTATCTCTTGCTTGCCAGCTTCGCAGATCTCTGGACGCAACGTTACCACGTTAGTACAGAGATGAGCGGTCTGCACTACATAGCTGTAGCTGGAGGTGAGCTCGTTGGAAGCCAGCTAGGAGGATACGTCCTTGATGCTTTCCGCCGCCGCCTGGTGGCTCGTGAGACGGACTCCTCCCTCAGCCCCGAACATCGCCTACCGCTCATCTTTCCTAGCCAACTGATTGGCTTCGTCGGACTCCTTGTGTACGGCTGGACGGCACAATACCACTTGCACTGGGTTGCTGTCGACATTGGTATGGTTGTCGCATGCGCCGGTCTACAAATGTCGGGCATGGTAATGCACGCGTACGTAATAGATGCGTACGCAGAGCATACCAGTAGCGCGCAGTCTGCAACGCAATTTCTGACGAGCATGACCGCATTTCTGTTTCCGCTGTTTGCGCCAAGTCTGTACAGGGCGCTAGGGTATGGTTGGGGAAACACTCTGTTGGTTGCGATCGGGTTGTTTCCCGGATTTCCGATGGTGTACTCGCTGTGGAAGTGTGGTCTGCGGTGGAGGATGAACAGTCCGTCCACCGAGTGAGAATTGCGCAGGGCTGCTGGGGTTTTTCAGGTGAGGATCTGAGGCGATGGGAAAGAAGAAGCTAGTGCAAAATCTGGTATGCTAATTGGCAAGATCACACGTTACATTGTATACCCTCACTTTGCTTATTGTGAAAGAGGTTTTTTTTTCATGTTTGGAGATTCTTGAGCAGGTGGTGTATTTTGATGCAAAATATCGGTGCTTTGCAGAAAGAATGTGCCACCTCCCAGGGCGCTGGAATCAGAAAATCATGAATTGCAAGCAATGTAGTTACTATAGGGAACAAAATATTAGTTGGATCTTATTAAACTTATCCTTTGGCCCTGGTAGAGCCTAATTTAGGGTGTTAAACTGTTAAAATAAGTGTACCAGAGTAGATAGACCAATACTTAACTCCGTATAGTGACTATTGGTTCGAAAATTTTAAACTCCTTCATTCCAGTGCCGTGGGAAGTGGCAAATTCTTTCTGCGAATGATAATCACATGTACACACAAAACCAAAAGACAACTATGCGGGAGCGAGGTGCATCTAATCAAACCAAGCCTCCCTCGCTTTGCTGCCACTACCTGCGCGCGTGAACTCAAAATGGACAAGCGCGCTGACAGCGCCATTGCTCGCTGGCACTGTGGCTTTCCCACTACCCAACGAAGTAAACGTCGACCCGAATTGGCCGCCAAACAACATTCGATATGGCGCCTCCATTCACATTGGTGGTTCACATTGTTCTTGGATATCTGACTTGAGACCTGCCTTCGCGCTTAGTTCGTAAGTTGTGCCGAGACAGAGAGTTGCGATCTACACAACACCATTTGGCTGGTTTCGTCTGATATTGAAATTAGCGGATGATGCTGCTATTCGAAAAAGGTACGAGCCCTTTGCTGCTCCGGGGATCCTCAAGGACACGACATTCGCATTGGTTATAGGAGCAGCGAATAAAACTCATACTCCAGAGAGATCGATCTCAAAGCCTGGATGGGCTACTGCTGTCGAACTGGGCGTGGCTGTCACCATTATGGGCGGGTGATGAAACCGCGGGAAGGGATACTGCGGTTGCATCTAGAGCTGTAGTTGAGGACTGTGTTATAGTGGATGATGTTGTCTCAGTTGACCGCTCTGTCGTAGTGGGCAAATCGGTCACAAACGATACTTCCACGTTGTTGAGATCTTTGTTGAGACTCAGACTTCTGCTATGGTTGATGGCTCTGCCGCAGCTGAGATTGCAATTCTAGTTTGACCTTTGTTGTGGTTGAGTATTCTGTGATAATTGACAATTCCGTTGTGGTTGAAAGCTCCGTTGCGGTTGCGAGCTTTTTTTTGAATTTGAGCTCTCCTCATGACTTTGAGATCTCGGTTGCAGTCGAGAACTCTGTTGGTGTCAACGTGGCCACGGCTTGCATTATGTTTGCGAACTCTGTGAACATGATTGTTATTGGGATTGAAGTGGTTGTTCATCAGCTATTAACATAAGAAACCGCCGAGTAGGGATCAGCCTGCGATGTACTACCGGAGGTAACATCTGATTCTGTACTTGCGGCGACTCCTCACCGACACCCGACAAGATCATCATTTCATATCATTTCCTACGAGCATTGCGGCATGGAATGCACTACACAATGCCGTTCTAACAACTGTCTATGCGCTTCCGAATGGCTGAGGCTTTCACTCCGTCATGCTAAAGAAGCAGACATACATCTAGGGAAGGAAATGCCGGTGCAACGCCCTCCCAAAGGAGCTAGCCTTTTTAGTCAATACCTTTGCACTTAGAGCTGACCTTTCTAGACCGTCGCAAGCCGCTATTGCCGACGAAACAGGAAACTCAATGATGCCGTTTGTCCTCGAATTTCCGTTCACTTCCGCACAGAACTGCAGTCTAGCCCCTGCATGCAACCTTATTGGCGTCTAATAGTGTAACGGCTTAGGCGTCCCTTTGTGGCTTCTGCGCATTGGGATATAACCCCTACCTGTGGAGTCTCCCATTGATAAAGGTTGATCATGACACCAACCTTTCCATCGCCGCAGTCGAAAGCATAGCATGCCGCCATACATGCTTGTTTGGTATCTTCTCTGCGTTGCTCAACGGCCTTTTTGTTCCTAGACTACGATCGAATACGCATTCTGCTAGGTGAACACCTGTTCTACGATATCGAAAAGGAAAGTGCTTCGCTTGCGGTTCTGCCCACTGATAAGGTTGCAGTGAGCACACACTCGTGTAGATGGACTGCCGTAACGACGTGGAAACTTAGAAGGATTGCGGCTCGTCTCCGTTTCATCATGCGGTGTTGGGTAAGTGTGGTCAGTGTGCGGTTAAATGACTGGTCCGTTGTGATGGTCTCTTGGGAAGCTGTACGATGGCCGGGTTCCTCAGGTTCTCTCCTATCATTGTAGGTAATCACAGCAAGAGCGAGAGTATCGTCCACGGGTATCCAATTCATGTTGTCTCGTCGCTCCTATTCGTTCTGCGGGCTTATTTGCTGCTGCAGCCTGCGTTTTGCGGGGTACTGCTGGGATCTTCACCTATTCTTCTACACCAAGTAAGGAAGACGGTATATACTGGTCGTTGTGACAAGCACTGGGACGAGCCAAGACACACTATGAAGGTGCTTGACATCTGCCCGCCTGCCTGAAGCAGAAGGTGAAAAGCCGCTGGACACAGCAAAACAAGCCCTTCAAGCATTCGCCAATAAACACGCGCATCGGACCACCTCAGGGAATATTACAGGACCTTCGAAAATGTCGCCGCTTTGGGCAGGTGATGTCTTAAGCGACGGTACCTGGCTCCACCCACCAATAAAGAAGGAAATATCCCCGGCGCATCGTACTAGCCAAGGCACTTGTTGCATATGTAAAACCACAACTCATACTATCCCAGATAGCCTATATTAACTATCACATACTTGGCAGTGGTATCGCTTGAGCATACAATGCGCTTTGGAATGGAGCCCGACATGTCAGGGATCGCAGGGTAATCTATCCCTCGACCTGACTATTCGAACCCTGATGCTCCGGTAGATAAGTTTCCAACGTTGTGGAATACAATTTAAGCGGATGTTAAGTACCGTATGCACCAATCACATCCTAGGTGCGCCACAGATACCACCTTCGACACTTCACTATGGTGATTTACCAGCAGGAGAGGATGTACCCTACTTTTCGTATAAGATCTCGATAATTGCACAGGCTTTCCTGTTCATCAAGGTGCTCAACAGCTTCTTTGACAATATCATTTACTACATCAGCGGCCTCACAACTTCCAGTCTTTCACCATGAAGGTCCTTTCTTTCGCTGCCCTCCTCGCTTTAGCCAACGCCTCTGTCGTCACCAAACGTGCCTCGCCTCTTGATGTGAAGCTTGAGCTGACCGGTAGCACGGCTGTCAAGGCTGCCATCACCAACACTGGCTCTGAGGCTATCAAGGTCTTCAAGACTGGCTCCATCTTCGGACAGCATGCCACTGAGAAGGCTCAGGTCTTTCAAGGCAGTAAGTAGACACTCAAAAGATGAATGTAGAATTCATCATATGCCAACATAGTTTCAGGCTCCAAGGTCGCTTTCGCTGGTATCAAGGTTCGTGTGACGACTGAGAACATTCCCGAGGATTCCTTCCAGGTCATTGCCCCGGGTGAGACTGTCGAGACTTCTTTCGATGTCGCTGAGTTGCACGACCTCAGCAACGGCGGTGCTTTCGACATTGCATCGGTCGGTGCCTTTTCTACCGCCGCCATCGACTCCACCGAGATCACTGGTGCTGTGGAGTACACTAGCAATACCCTCACCGCCAACATCGATGGTGCCGAGGCAGAGAAGGTCCGCCGTGAGTTTGTGAAGCGATCTGCTGTTCAGGCCGATTGCACTGGCACCAAGAGGACTTCCACTGTTAACGCTCTTGCCAATTGTCGCACCCTCGCTATCGCTGCTGCTTCTGCTGCTGCCTCCAACACCGCAAAGGTCAACGAGTACTTTAAGTCGACCACATCCAGCACCATCTCAACTCTCCAGACCGTCTTCAACAAGGTCGCCACTGAGTGTGGCTCATCCACCTCCGGTGTCTCCAAGACTTATTGCACTGATGTCTACGGCAACGCCTGCTCTTCCAACGTTTTGGCTTACACCCTCCCGTCGGGAAGCTACATTGTCAACTGCCCTCTTTACTTTAGCGCCCTCCCTGCTCTTACTAAGTCTTGCCACGCTCAGGATCAGGGTAAGACAAATTGCGAAATAATACATATCTCATGGTGTTGACAAACATATAGCAACGACCACTCTCCACGAAACCACCCACCTTAGCCAGATCAAGGGCACTGACGACTTGGGCTACGGCTACGCTGCCGCCACCCGCCTCTCTACCGCCTCTGCACTCAACAATGCTGACAGTTACGCTCTGTTCGCCAACGGTACGCTTCTCCGCCTTTGTGTTTATTTCCAATTGCTTTTGCTAATCACAATACAGCTATCTACGCTGGCTGCTAGGCGCAATGTTGACCAGTGGTCGGTGAGATTGACGGGTTTATGGTTGATGAAGCATTACATCACGATGATAAATGAGTAGATGTTGAAAGATTGTATTTGCTTCGTAGTTGTTAGACGTGCAGTACATCGCATTGATAATGCAAGTATGTTAACATGTTTTGTGCTTTTGTCCATGCCAGCACATACGCTAGGCCCTGCATGCGAATTTTGGAGCTCGTCATCTCAGTGCCACTCCTCAAAGGATATCGTTAGCGTAAGCATTATGATTTGTCGTCGTGTCTACGATGATAATGTGCTCTGTGTTTCAGAGCATGCCCGTAATGAGACTGGTCGTCTCTACAAGGATTTTATCGAGCTCAATAAGGTATCAGGCAGATAGATTTAAGTCACTCAATAAGATGGAATGCGACAGCTCTTTTGGGTGTGTCGAATGGATTTCCATCAACTGTCGGAAGTGCTCTAGATCTTCAACTTCGGGCGGCCCCCACAGTCAACCGTAGTTCATCTCGTGAGGCCTCGCACGTCATTGGCTCATGTAGTTCAGCCCCCGCTGAGATGAGCAGTTGATTGGCTAACCAGCAACAGCACGTGACTCGCGGAACTTCGGCCCCGTTAGATTGCAAGAGCTATGTTCAAGGAAGGTCGCGAGTGTATCTACTCGATTTATTTTTGGCCACGTCATGCAGTGGCACCACGCTTGTATCTTCCAGCTATTAATCTCGGAAGGCCACCGCCATCTCGAGAGCTTTCGACTGTTGATACAGATAACACCGAACACTGCAGTCACTCATGAGTATCTATTTACAATGGCACCCTATGTCAAGCTAGCCGCCTTCTTCGGACTCGCGAAACAACTGATCGTAGCGACCTTCGCACAAGCTACTGCTGGACCTATAGTCGATCTGGACTATATTAAGTACCATGGTCATTACAACGACACCCTCGAAATCAACGAATTCCACGGTCTTCGCTTTGCTGAGGGTCCTCTCGGGCCCTTGCGTTGGAAGGCACCGCAGCCTTACAAGCCGCAGAATATGACCGATGCTATCGTGGATGCTACACAATCCGGCCCGCCTTGCGTGCAAGGATTTCCGCAGTGGACAATATCCGGCCCTGTTCAAATCGTCGGATCAGAAGACTGTTTGTTCCTCGATGTTTACGTTCCTGCAAATGCAACGAAGGGCAGTAACCTCCCAGTCGCATTGAGCATACCGGGCGGTGGTTACGTGATGGGATACGCAAGCCAGAGTTCGCCGTATGCATTAATGCGCCACTCGATGAACTCATTCATTTTCGTTAACATACAATACCGCCTCGGTGCGTACGGCTTCCTAGGATCCACTAGATATACCAAAGCAGGTGGCGCGGCCAATGTTGGCTTATTAGACCAGCGACTTGCGATGGAATGGGTACAACAGAATATCGGAGCTTTCGGAGGCGACCCATCAAGAGTGACAATTTTGGGCGGGAGTGCAGGTGGCGGGAGTGTGACAAGCCATTTGATATGGAAAGGAGGGGTTGACAAGCCACCTTTTCGAGCAACAATGGCGGATTTCCCCTTTTGGCAACAGTATCTTAGGGAAGAGCAGTTGGCAAAGCAATACGATAATCTGTTGGCGTCAGCAAATTGTTCGACACTCGAATGCTTGCACGAACTTCCAGAAGAGATATTGAAGGAGGCTACACAGACCACTTACATCTCGGCATATGCGGACAAAGCGTATGGCTATGGCAACTTCTACTACGGACCTTACGTAGACGGGGATTTAATCCGCGACCTTCCATCTCGGGAATTCCGCGCAGGACATTTTGTACAAGTGCCCACATGGACTAGCAGGGAAGGATACGAGGGTTTTACGTTCAGTAACCAGTCGATGACCACCATCAAGGAAGAGACCGAGGATTTAAGAAACCAGTTCCCACGAGCCAACGAGGAATTTGTGGAAGATGTGTTCGGACTGTATCCTCAGGAGCAGTTCAATTCCACGTTCTGGCAGCGTCTAACCTGGTTTGGGTATGTCTTCGCACTTTCGGACCATTTGATCGGACTAACGCAATGTAGCGACTTCTCTATTAACTGTCCCACGTACTACGTTGCTTCCTCGCTCGCCTTATTCGGTGTTCCCGTATATAAGCAGATATTCAATGTCGGTACGCAACTTCATGGCGCCGTCGGCCCCTATCTAGCTGATCTCGACTATGCGTTCGAGCCCGGCGCCAATGTAACGCTGGCAAGTATTTTGCGGGACTGGTACGTCTCTTTTGTCGTCCACAATGATCCTAACGCGCAAAGTTGGAGCGGTGTTCCAAAGCCAATCTGGCCGGAATACGAGCCAAGTGGAGAAGTAATGACCGTCAACTTTACAGAGCTTGGAGCTGTGGACGATAGGCACTACGATAATACAAAGCGGTGCGGATTCTTTTGGGAGAATGCGGGGACGGTGCAGAACTAATTCAGCCATATATGGAATTCCTATCGTACACTCGTAGCGTCAATGCAAGTATTGAGAGCGCCGAAACTGCTCTCTAGCATCGGAAGTGCTCGATCTTCCCAGCTTGATCGTGACTTAGTGAAGGTGGAAGGCGTCTTGACACCTTCCCGGCCATCTTTTACTTTTAGACTCCCTCACTTGCGTTTGCCCCTCGATATAGCGAACAGCCAAAAACTGTCAGTACCCATATCTAGCTGCTTTCTTCTTCCAACCCGCAACTTTCGTTTAGCCCATCTCCGCAAAACAGCAGGACCCAGTCGCCATGTCACCTAAACGCGAGCGTATCGAGGCCGAGGATCGTGAGACGGGCCAGCAGATACCGATATACGCTTCCGAAGTACCATGGCTCAGCTTTGTTGCAAATTCATCCAAATGCGACGTGGCCTGTGGCGAAATGTCGGACGGAGAAACCAAAGCGGAACTCATAAAGCAAGCTTGCAAGCTCATATACATCCTGTATCACAATATCCAAGAGCAAGCCCTACTTTCTTCGATCCTCCAATTCCTGAACAAGAGCGAAACTGAGACCAACGCCGACCTCACGCGTGCCGCGAAGTCCGCCCAGTCCGCTTGGAAGGCACATATCGTGAACAAATTCTTGCTACCGCACGTCAAAGAAATCATCCGCAAGTGGCGCGTCGCACGTCCCTACGCTGGGTTCCAGTCACTACCGGCGAGCGACCGTGCCAAGGTATGGTTTGAAGCGTACGATGCCGATCCGAAGGGCACGGTTGTGGCTATGTGGAAGCCCGTCATCAAGGTACTCGATCTGGAGAGCACCTTTCGTACAGATCTGATTGCAGAGGATAATGCGAAGATGAAAGCCGTGCGGCAGATGTTGAGGCATAAATACTATTTCGGGTGCGAGTGCGCATACAAGTATAGTGTCGCGGATGAGAAGAAGGTGAGCTTAGTCTGTGCTATCTAGACTTAGGGCTTTGTAGTCATGCTGACGTACGTACTAGAGCAAAATCTTAGAGGACTGGGCAGCGTACGTCAAATTCGGTGACTTTGCTTCCCGCATCGTACCCTTTGCGAATTTGCCGATCTCGTCGGAGGCTCTGGCGCTTGGCTCAGCAGACAGACCACTCAAGAAGATGATAAAGCATGAAGCCATGGGCAAGGAAGACTTCGAATGCCTTTCCGCAGGCTCCACGCTGGATCCTTCAAGTGGCGCAACCACGGCCTCTGTCACCTCGGATCAGACAGCAAGTGACCGTCAAATCCTCGGAGGAAGCTACGATACCCCAAATAGCTGGTCGGCTTCTCGCATTCCGTCCGTAGCCGCTCCATCTGCAGCATCCGAGAGTCACGAATGGGTCACGGAGACCTCTGGATTCTCCCATGACCCGCTCGACCCGTCCTCATATGCTACAATCGCTATGAGCGAAGAGGCAAGAAGCATCAGGGAGTTCTTTGGTATCAAAGACGATGGCTTGTTTGCTTCCGCTGTACACTCTGAAGCCGTTTCGTCTGCAGCAGTACGAAAGCCTGTGGTAGATGAGGAACTGCTGTGAGAGGAGGTCATAGACGACGTGAAGGGTATGATACAAATCCACATGCATCTAACCCGCGATCAGGCAGGACATCGGGGCTCCGCAATTAGGTAGATGTGCGCTACCTTTCGACTGTCACTAGCGTTCTGAAATTATCACTTGCTGGCAATTGCTAGCGAAGAGCTTTCCCAGATAGAAGACATCTGCTAGGGATAACCTCTATCATAATAAGTATACATGCACCTATATGAGACTGAGACCACTCAAAATTTCAGAATCCTTAAAATATTCCACAAATGCACAGCTAGAAGTTTAGAACGATTACTTGATCATGAGTTATCGATTGTAGATGCGCTGTAGGCTAATATGCACAGGTATCTTTGTATACCCAACGCCACTAATGCAGCCCGCTAGCAAATGCAAATAAGTCCTGATACCGCCCCTATGCCTGCGTAGACAAAAACTCCCTGCTGAAAGGGTAGTCAGTGTACCCCTCCGCCTTCATGGGCATATAGAAACTATCGCGGTCGTACTGGGTCAACTCGATACCCTTCTCCAAACGAAACACGAGATCTGGCGTGCTTATGAAGTAGCGGCCGAAGACAACGACAACGTCCTTGTTGGGATACTGCTTGTCGACCAGATCATGCGCAGATTTCGGCTTGAAACCTCCGGCAATGAGAACGGGGTTGCGGAATGTATCTACGAAAGGTTGGAGCTGCTCAGCAGGATTCGGGTCGATATCGGCATTGCCGTCGATGCGGGATTCGACCAGGTGGATGTAAGCCAGGTCATTGAGCGAATCGAGTTTCTTGATGATGTCCTTGAATTGCGGATGAGGGTCGTCCATCTTCATGCCCTGGAAGACGCTGAAGGGAGAAAGACGGATACCAGTCTTCTTAGCACCGATGGAGTCAACAACAGCCTTGACGGCCTCGAAGGCGAAGCGCGAACGGTTCTCTACGGATCCTCCGTAGGAGTCTTTGCGCTGGTTGACCTTGTCCTGGAGAAACTGGTCGATGAGGTAGCCGTTAGCGCCATGGAGCTCCACACCGTCGAAGCCGGCTTCGATTGCGTTCTTAGCAGCTTGTGCGTAGTCGTTGATAGTCTCGTTAATCTCTTCGATGGACATCTCTTTCGGTGTTGCGTAGCCCTCGCCAAGCGGCACGGGGCTGGACGTCTTGATAGTGATGCCTTCTTTCTCAGCCTGCGCGGGACTGGCAACACGGCCGAGCGCCCATAGCTGAAGGTAGATGAAGCTGCCCTTCTTATGCACCGCTTCTGTCACTTTACTCCATGAGTCGATCTGCGCCTGAGTGTAGATTCCCGGCACGTTGGCATATCCACCAGCCTGGTGAGAGATTAAAGTGGCTTCTGTAACGAGAAGGGTTCCAGGAGTCGAAGCACGCTGAGCGTAGTACTCTGCAACCATAGGGAGGGGCACATGGTTCTCATCGGCACGGAACCGAGTTAGCGGGGCCATTGCAACTCGGTTGTTAAGCTGAATATCCCCGAGCTTGAGGGGCTGGAAAAGTCTTGAACTCGACATTGTGGCTGTAAATCAACCTGGGGGCTCCAGAATTGTTGGGGTGTGGATGTGAAAGGTGTGGTTGTCAAGTTCGCTGTTGATGCTGCAATTGTGGACATGATGGGGGAGGCCGAGGACCTAATATACTTGGTACCCAGTCTACTTTGGATTTCCTTGCAAAGTCGTACACTAATGCGGTCGATTTCCGCCTTAGCGCATAGATACGATTTCCAATCGAGTTTCGCCTGTGTCGAAGTGCATGGAGGTTAGTGTTGCACTTGGTGGGTTCGCAACGCAGAAGCCGAGGGATGACGTGATTCGCCGCCATTTGTCAGCGGTGCAAATCAGCGCCGAGGAATTGGCACTGGACAGAGTGTAGAACGTACATTTGTGATCCTTCCATAGCCTATTTGTGATCCTTCCATAGTCAGCTTGAGTAGGATTTTCGTTGCTGAACACTTCACGTGCGAAAGATGCTCTCAGCAGCACCCCATGTTATGTGCGCATGTCGATACCTGCGTGTCGATACAGTGGGCCGCATTCTTTTTTGATTGGTGTGGGATTTCATTCTTATCTGGCTACAGCGGAAGCGAATATTCCAGGTTCCGGCTCAAACAGGGGGGATTGCTGTGGCTGCAAGTAGGCGAAGCCTACCGCTCCCCTCCCGCAGAGGAAGTGCCGGCAATGCCAAGTCGAGAGGTGTTGCTGCAAAGGACACAAGTTCCTGTACTCGTGTCTCGCATATCAGCCGCAGTACTTCCCATGTCACGTGAGCTCAATGTCCGGTGCGGTCACTCCGATATGTTCCACGTTGATGGCTCGGTCCGCTGTTCGCATTTGTGTTTGCGTGTGTGCGGGTACTAACAGTGAGGCGATTTCCACGAATGTTGCCTGATCGCACGTGATAAAAGTGCCAAAAGAGATCAGTGAGGCGTGGTGAAATGCATCCCATGCCGGCTCGAACATGATGGACTGACGGAGCGCGCACATACAAGATTCTGCTGGCAGCTCACGGTGGGTTCGCGCTGCGTGAACAGCTCGTAGCTCGTATGAAGTCGAACACAGCAACTTGATATTTTCAATAACAGGTTCACCGAGCTAGCGACCTGTTGATGGAGTTTGGATCGGGAGGTGAGCGAATGCGTTAACGCTTATTAAGGGTTCGCTAGCACCAGCAAAGTTGCTCAGGGCAATGTATCGTCGCAGTAATGGTCGAGGAGCATGAAGTGACTATACTTAGTAAGTCTCAGATATTGTGCTTCTCAAAATCACGCTTGCACGTCTTGCTATAGAGAAAGCGCGCCTCGAAGTAGGAACTGCTTGCTAAACTTGGGAGGCACATATCTCCGTCTTTCCAGTTCTCTGTTCCCGTCAGCGGCGTCTGCTGGATACTACAAAAGCCTTATGCCATGAGAACTTGGACGTGCAAACTCACAGGTACACAGATGGTCTTCCTCTACGAAAAGTGAGAGCACGACCTGCATAGGATCACTTGTGCGCCTTTCTTCAAGAATCGCACTCCATATTCGACATACGAAACCACTCGACCGATCTTCATTATGCTTTTGCCTGTAATAAAAGGATTGATCGGATTCGGAGTAGGTTTGCGGATGGACCAAACACTTGAAACGAAGCTTGTCGTTTCATTGGCGGAGGAATCGCGATGCCCCACTTCGAGCAATGAAGCACAAACAAGCCTGGCGTATTTCTTGAGCCGCGTATTCGTGGACATGGAACTTCATGGGTTATCCGATAGCATAGAAACCAGCACATCCGCTGTCAAAATCGTTCTGATGTGTTCGACCGCAGGGTAGCGCTTCACACTGGTCCCACTCGTTCTCTAGCATCGCCATGCTTTCTTTCTCGCGCGCTCTGGCTCTGGCAGCCGCTTTCAATGTTCCATTCTCCTCCGCTGCCAACACTTCCGGTGATGGCACAAAGTACATGGTCGTGTTCGGCGATTCATACTCCAGCACCGGTTTCTGGATCACGTCCGGTTATCCCTCGGCGACCAATCCCATGGGTAATGGCGGGTCTACGACCAGCGGCGGACTGAACTGGGCCGGCGTTGTAACCGAACAACTAAATTCTTCATTACTCCTGACCTACGACTTTGCCGTCTACGGTGCCACCGTTGATACATCGCTTGTCCGAGGCAGCACGCCCGATGTTAAGCAACAAGTCGGTTACTTCAACCAGTACCTAGCCAGTAAGCCTGAATACGCGCCATGGACCTCCGAGAACCTCCTCGTCGCAATTTGGATCGGTATCAATGACCTGGGTAACCCGTTCTGGGATAATACCACTCCGCCGACGGATAAGGTACTAGATGAGTACTTCGATCTGGTACAAAATTTGACGGATTCTGGAGTGAGCCAGTTTGCATTCATCACTGTACCGCCGTTCCAGAATGCGCCGAGCTTCCTGCAGGCGGATACCACAACGCTGGTCTCGAGCATCTCGTCTTGGAACTCGGAACTGAAGACTAGAATGGATACATTTACGAGCGCGAACAGCGGGGTAACGGCACAGCTTGTCGAGACGGAGAAGTCTTTCACTGCAGCCTTGGAGAACCCATCGAAGTATGGTGCTACGGATGCGAAGTGTTCGAATGCCGACGGCATTACGTGCTTGGTACGTTGATGTTTTTGTGAGCCTCCTAGAATTGTAGTTGTTTGCTGACTTGGCCACAGTGGTACGATGGATACCACGCCGGACAGGCCATTCACAAGCTTGTTGCCCAAGCCTTCGTAGATGCACTCGCTGGGTCTTTCTTCTAAGACCTAGGAGATACCTGTGGATGATTACCTTCCAAGGCTTGCTCCAGGAAGCTACACTTCGTGTATATACCATTTCATTGTCATTATGATCCTATCTTCTTAGAATGCAAATCTTCTCGCACTTTCTCACGCACAGATGCTCACTGCAGTTATCAGCTCGGGAAGAGCAACGATCCCGACTTTCTTTTCTCGACATGCTCTTTCAGAGTGGGCTGAATCTTACACTTATCACGATAAAAAGATCTGGTCCTCATCTTCTGGCGACATCATGACCATGAGAACAGCAACAACGAATAGTAACGTGGGTGGAAAGACACGGATGATCGACACTAGAATCGCGTGCAAAGTGCCGATAGCCGAATTTGACCGCACTACGACTGTAGCCAGCACACCGTTTCGCCCGCATATCCGTACCTAGCGAATGTTATCATACCCTCATCTCTGAAACCAAGTCTCTCTCATTGGACAATTTTGGGCTGGCTCGCAAGGACTGTCTTCTAACCTGCGAATACGCAAGGCAAGCACGTCCGGCGACGTCATACTCCGCTAGTCTTGCAATCGCATCCTAGTTCTGTCAAAGGGCTGCGTGACTCAGGTAACGCAACCTAGATGCACGTATCTTTCCTATCCTTATATGTCCCTCCTTCCCTGAATCTCCTGTCACCGTTCGCGTGGAGGAAAACTCTACCTCACGGCCCATATCGTGACTTTGCGGGGTCGACATCCCAACGCAATGAGCGCTCCGACCGCAGAACGACCACGACCACAAATTCCATCACGCCGCTCTTCGGTAGAGTCCACATCTAGTGCTGCAGAAAGACTGAGATGGCGCAACCACCCCGAAGTCACGTCGCCGGGTCTTGATCGCAGCAACCCGTTTGAAGACGATCACGTGCTGTCGCACGATTTCTTCCCCTCGAGCTCGGATAATGATGGGTTCGGAGATGGGGATGATGGAAAGAATGGCGATCCTGAGAAGCGCATTCATAGGAAGGCGGGGAAGGCGCAAGCGAGGAAAACTACAAGCGATGCGGGCGACATGGGAGTCTTGCAGGGAGCCGAGAAGGAGTCGGACGAGCGACGAAGACTAAGTTGGAGAGAGAGGATACGACATTTCACGTGGACATGGTTCTGTATGACCATGGCTACTGGTGGTATCGCAAACGTGCTATACACCGGTATGTCGAACCCAGATCGACCTATCAGCACTACACCCGGCTTACAGCGTGACAGTACCCTTCCGCTTCCATGGCATTTACGCCCTGGGCTGCATCTTCTTCATCCTTAACATTGTCCTCTTCCTCTTCAACGTCATCATGATCTCTCTCCGCTTCTACTGGTTCCCCAAAACATTCAAAGCCTCCTTCCTCCACCCCACAGAAAGTCTTTTCATCCCTGCGGCAATCATCAGTTTTGGCACCATCTTGATCAACATCAGCCAATACGGCGTCGACCAAACCGGAGTTTGGCTCGAGAAAACAATGATGATCCTCTTCTGGATAGACTGCGGTCTTGCAATCTCTTTCTCCATTGGCATCTACCTCATCATGTGGTCCACACAGACTTTCACCATCTCCCAGATGACACCCGTGTGGATTTTCCCTGCGTATCCGTTGCTAATTATCGGCCCGCATGCGGGGAATCTCGCTCCCAAGATATCGGACCCTAATCGCGCGCTGCTGGTCATCCTGTCTGGTTATGTCATCCAAGGCATTGGTTTCCTTGTCTCTCTAATGATCTACTCCGCCTTTATATACCGCCTTATGACGCAAAAGCTGCCCAGGGAGTCGCTGCGACCAGGTATGTTCATCAGTGTCGGACCCTCCGGCTTCACCATCTCCGGCATTGTCACCATGGGACAGGCGCTACCCGAAGTCGTGCCCGAGGATTTCATGGGCAAAGGCATGGGCGAGCTAGCGGGAAAGGTCGGCATGATCGTCGCGAACTTCATGGGATTGTGGCTCTGGGGTCTTGCCTTGTGGTTCTTCCTCGTAAGCGTGGGTGCACATTATAGCTGCGTGCGCAGAGGCAAAATGGACTTCGCCATGACGTGGTACTCGTTCATCTTTCCGAATACGGCGCTCACAACGGCAACGTTTGCGATTGCGAAGGCACTGGATGGGAACAGGCCAATTCAGTATGTAGGGTGCGCGATGACGATCCTTGTGATTGTAACGTGGCTCGTGGTATTTAGCATGATGTTCCGTGCTGTAAAGATTCACCAGATCTTGTGGCCGCAGAAGCAAGAAGATCGTACGGAGGGTGGTTGGAAGCAGCAGAGTGCGGAAGAGCAGCGAAGAAGGAGGTATGAAGGCGGGCTGGACGGCTCAGAGGAAGGTAGGAGCCGAGGCTGGAGTATGGTTAGAACCTTGAGCAGGCGCGGGAGGCCAGAGGGTGATGCGAGGAAAAGGGGTTGGAGTTTTAGAACTGACCCAACTTGAAGGACCTAACACATTTGTCCTTAGCCCTCTACACCTCTTGTTTACATGTTCACGAGGTGGACAACAGTGTTGCTTGAGCACCTAGACTGTCTAGCTTGGTGCGACAATCGGTGCAATGAAACGACGCGCAGTCACCTAGAAGTGACTTCCCCGGTCTGTATCTGAGATCCCAGCTTCCCTTGGCAGCGAAAAGCCTATCCCCTGGTTCCCACGCTAGCATATCCCCAACTTTTGGCCAGTTACCGTCTCTATCACACTGTGTCGTGCATGATGACCTTTCTGTGGCGATATTCTGGTAGAAAGGCCCTTGCATAGAAGACTACGGAATCTGATTTGGGAACAGTGTAGCTATCATCCCGGCATATGCACAATCGAGGCTGCACATATATGATTTCGAATTACGGCTATCGTACTTGGTAACCTCAAGTACACATAATCTTCGCGCGAAGTCCCCCAGATAACCCGTTATAGTGCTGTGTCCTCGAGCTCTGAAACCAAAGGCAAAGCCAAAGCCTGTATAGAGAACGTTACCCTGCTGAACAAGGACATCCTCTGATTTGATATCCTTGTGCCGTATAGTCTGTTTGTTTATGAACGCGAGGCCCTACCTGTACTTTTCGCGATCATTATGTAATCTGGATGCAGAAGTACCAAGCTGAGTGGTGACTGAGACGCTTCCGTACGATTGATATGTGTTGAAGTTTGCTGACCTGAGGGATCGGCGTTGGACGGGGCTGCCACCGCTGCGGCCAGCTTGCGATATTCATATCGGCTGTTGCAGTTTCAAAGGAATTGCGTAAACCTGGTGCAGGAGTCGACCGTTGAGCGACCGAATTGGAGGGCTCATTTGCCACTCCTGCCGAGCCGACGCTTGCGCTCCTCGGTGGGGTTCATCTTGTTCCGTTAAGTTTTTTTGGTGTGAGGTAGGCTGTCCAGACACCTTTTAGAGTTGTCAACAGAACAGTTTGGTAAAAACAGCTTGGGTTGTGCTCCGGTGCTTGTTGTCCGAGTTGACGCAGGAATTTGTCTTCACGTCTGATTGCTCTTTGAACACAAACAGCGATGCCTACAGAGCTTATACAAGCGGTACACAGTTCAGTGAAGTGAACAGAATGAAGACACAGACAACGCAAAGGAGAAGGTAGGGCGGGTGAGGCTGAGATCGTGCGGGGATTTGGGCAGGCTGAGGCTGAACGCATGCCCGTCGGCAGCAAAGAAGCCCTGCCTATGCCCTGATTTGATGAGCCGAAATGCAGTAGGACGACAAGGAAAGAGTAGGACAGTAGGAACATACTCAAGTATGTAGTCTATCAACAGAATACTTCAACCACCTAGACAAGCGGATTCCTCTCGATAAGCGGCACCTCACTCCCCGCACTACTCACTCTTCTCCGCCATTCCTCCCTCCGCACTTCTCCTCTCCCCCTTCGCCCTTCTACCTCCACTTCCCTCATCTCCTCCCCATTCAACACAACTCTCACACCACCCACGTCCTTTACTCCTTTCCCCACCGCCACAGCCTCAGCACTCTCCAGCTTTGGGCTTGAGGCAGAACTCGCCGCTACCGACGGTGCAGAAATTGGTCGTGGAGATGAGATGACGATTTCCCGCACCTTGCCTCGAGATCTGGCGCGGAAGAAGGACAGTGCGCCGACAACGAGGAAGAGACCGAGGATGACAGAGGCGGTGATGATGCCGATTTTGGCGCCGATGGTCAAGTCGTCGCCTGCATCCTCTTCATCCACACCATCAGAAGGTTTGGGAGCACTGTCTGAATTCTTCGGTGGTGCAGGTTTTGCCGACGCATCATCCGCCCTCTGCACTTCGGACGTGCATTCGTACTTTGCCTTCAACCCCTGCTTGTCTAGCTCATCGCAGAACTCTTGAATGTTGTCGGTTGATTTGATCGTCAACCCTCCACCAACCTTGTTTAACACAGGCATCGAAACATTTCCATAAGTCCCGCTAAGCAGCACATTCCCCTCCACGCTTTCTAACTTTTCAAACGTCAAACTCTTCAGCGCGTCGTTGCCCTCCAACGTAAAGTCTCCTTTCACGTCCTTGATGGAGAAAACATCCACCTTCTCCAAGGCAGGATTCTCATTAATTTCCACAGCCCCATCTATTACTTCCCATGGCAGGCTAACCGCCCGGAGATTCTCATTACTCGAGATATTCAGCGAGGTTGCGACCGGCCATTTAAGCCATTCTACGCTCTGCAGACTCGTGTTGAACACCTTCACTGCAGTCCGCGGTCCCAGACCGAAGCTGCAATTCTCAAGGGCGGGGAGGTCCTCCAGCTGTAGACTTTCTAGGGTGTTAAGCGCGGAGAAGCTGAGGGATGCGAGATTGGGCAGGCCACTGAGCTTGATGCTATCGATCGACTGGACAGAAGAGGACGATATCGAGCGCAGGGATTTGGCGGATGTGACCTGGAGCATGTTCAAAGATTTTGGGCCGTTGATTTGGATGTCTCGGGGTGCGGAGGGGGAGATGGTGATGCGTCCGGTGACGTTGGTGCATTTGTTTAACTCCGCAACGTCGGAGGGTGAGGAAATTGTGAAACTGCTTGGGTCTTTGCAGTCTGTGAGGTATCAATCATACGCTCATTGTGCTCGTTAATCACGATCGTCGAGATGGTTTGAGAGGAAAGCTGACGTACCAAGAGCACGAGCTCCCAAAACGGATACCTGCAGTACACACCAGACAGACAGGAAACCCGCTAGCCCCATGTCTAAATATGCATAACAAATGAATGACTGTGGTGAGAAGTAAAAGAACGGCTAGCTTGTCAACGTCTACCTAGAAAACATGGATGCGGTGGCAGAACCAGCGTAAATCATCGCACGCAAAACGCGGGGCAAGCGACCTCTTTTGCAGCCCGCCACGCAGTCTTCACGCGTCGCCGAAAACAACGTACATTTGTTTCAAGGTGTCACCAGCCAATGACCGAGACCTTGGGCTGCATGTCCGGTACACTCGACTTCCTATTTGGGCGATAGATGAGGTTACTCCGCCACGCCCGAACTCCGACCGCATATTCCCTGCAATACCACCATCTCATCTTGTACAGATGAACTGATGTCGACTGTGAACTTCGTTGATGGGATAATGAGGCTGTAATTGCGAAATGTTGGCGAGGCGCAATGGAAGAATTCGGGTGCTTCGGCGTGTACCTTCGCAAACCTTCGTCACGTTAGGAATCGCAGACGTCGACGCAATTTAGGTCCTATAAGCCTGCTATAGATTGCTAACCCGTCCAGGTCCCTCCGTTGTTGCCATTGTTAAGCACGAGAAGGCGTACTGCACGTTCTCGTATCCTGTCTTGTGGTTAGCGCTGCTGCACAATTTCATCATGGGGCCGAACTTTGAGGTTACTAGGAGCTGTACATTGCGAAACCCCCCAGCTCTGCCGTCCGAGCCCATGTTTAGTACGGGATGGCGTACATAATCCTTATTGTGTAGGTGGTCAGCAGCGCTCCTCTTGTTTCATCACGATAGCGCGAATCACCGCGTACGAACGAGGCAGACAGCTGCGGGTGTCTCGTATAGCCAGTCTAATATACAACCCTAGAGTGTGGTAGAAAGATCAATTTTTTACAAATACTGAAGGGAAACGCCTCACTGCATGGACTCCAGTGCCTCGCCGATCGATCGTAGAGGCATGATCCAGGCTCCCACTTATGACCAGTGCGCTCGAGGGCGGAAGGACGTACATATCGGGGGCTCATACACACCAGGCTCTCCAGCCACTTTCGTCGTAGTCCGTTCGAATTTACCTCCGTAATCGCACGCACGATCACACTCTCGAGCACAATCACAACCTCCACGTAAGATCCTGCCACAATAATGTCAGCGTACAAAAGTGCTCAACTTGAACATACATTCGCCGTACCTTAGAAAGTCCGTCTAGAATCATTGTATCTTTCGTTCCGCTACTCACTGTCCGAATCAGAAGTGGACTCGTCTTCAGAGGATATTGATATGATCTCCTGTGCGGATTCGTCATCCTCTCCCGTCTCGTACTCGGTAACCTCGCCAAGCTCGCTGTCGTTGAGCTCTTCGCTACCACTCTTCCTGGGGACAAGAGGTGAGGGGGAGGCGAATGAGAAGAGACGCGCACCACTGCGGCCATGTCGCACAGAACTGTTGCCCTCAGATTCAGGCAGATTTTTCGGTTCGCTCTTTGGCTTTGGGTTGCCCTTGGGCTTGGAGCCTTGCTCTTTGGAAGACTCTGACTTCTCTAGCTCCACTTGAGTAGCAGCCAACTTTGCATCGATGTGAGCATCGGTGGCTTTTACAGCAAGCGCGAGGGCCTCTTCATTTGCACCGCCCTCCACGTGCTCGCGACCTTCGTCGATGAGCTCCCAGTACTTCTTTGAGCAGAACTGGTTGTGAGATACAACTTGTCTTGCCTTTTTGCTCTTCTTCGCCAGCCTGTAAGGCGGACGAGGCTTCCATTTGACTAGATCGGGAGCCTCTTGTCGCGCAATTGAGCCAGCGGGAAGATAAAAGTCCATTTCAGGGTGTTTTCCAGGGCCTGATCTGCACGATCCACAGCCGGGGCATGACCTCACGTCACCAGCGAGATAATAGCGTCCAAGTGCATGGTTGATGTCGCAACGCCAAGCAAGTTCATCGCAACGGAATTGCTTCTTCCAGTATGCACCTAACGGGAGCTCTTGACCATGCTCCATTGTCTTTGAGTCGCTGGAGTGGGGGCCCAGGTCGACAGGCTCAGGTGTTGGCTCAGGTGTCAGCACCTTCTTCGCTCTTTTCTCCTCTTTCCCTCGCAAGTACGCTTCCACAGCTATAATTCCCTTCTTCAATGCCTCATCTGTAGTCGCGCCAGTGTTGATAGCATCCCAGTATGCGTCTTTGGCAATGCTGTTGTGCGATAGATGCTTGCTTCGCCTGGGCTTTCCTTGCGGCCTTCCAGGCTTCCAGATGATGCCTGGCGCAGGCTGAAAAAAATGCGAACGTGAAGGCAGATAGAAGTCCATTACTTTTCGTTTCGGGTTCTCACTCAAAGCAGTAAAGCAGCCCGGACAGTTCTTTCTGTCACCTGCATTATAGTAATAACCCATGGGGTGTTTGATGCTACACCGCCATGCATATTGGTCCTGTTCAGAAACCTTCTCGAAATAAGCATCCGGAGGGAGCCGCTGGTGATTTTCAAGCGTTTTGGAAGTACCGTGACAGGCATCTGCATGTGCCGGGTGGCTGCTTGATGAGAAAGTTGTACTAGGATTTCGTTCAAAGGCAGCCTGCGCAGTTTTTGGAAGGTTGGACTTTGCGTATTGCGGGCTCTTCCGTCGTTTGTTTGATCCACTAGCAGAAGTATCGTTATTTGGCCGCTTCGAGCGGGTGGACTTGTTTGTAGATTTCGTCTTCTTCCGTTCTTGATGCAAGACGAGCTCAGCCTGCGGATCATCGTTGTCGCTGCCGAGCCCTTCCGGCGGATCTTCTAGGCGGGCGTTGTGCAGACTAGCCGGAGCTTGTATCAGTTCCGAATCAAGAGTAGGCGGATCGACGAAGTCTGCTATCCTTCGAAGACCAGGCGCAAGACGCCTCAAATCACCTTGCTCAATGGCTCGTTCGATGTAATCGTCGAATTTCAGTGGCGTCTCTCGTTGCTGCTGCGTTCTTGGCCTTTTCTCCGCTAATCGTTGCTTGTGATCCTCAATCAGCGCCATTCTCCACAATGGGTCCACCGTGCCAGCAGCATCGCTTTGGGTAATCTCTGGCAAGGGAGATAGACCTGATTCTTGTAAAAGTACATCAGGCCCATATGCAGCCACGAGACCCTCAAGTCGGTTAGGCGTTTTAGTCTGAGAATGGAAGGAACATACCGAGTTCGTTTCAGTATCATCGCCCACGTGCATATTCCCACCAGCAGTTGTGCATAATTCGTCAACATTGTCAATTGCACCACTCCAACTAGTTTGTGTAGCAGGTGCACCCGAATCGCCCCTAGCAGACAAACCGGAGAGCGGGGATTCTTGAAAATTCCCATGGTCACCTGGGACAGCAGGACTTCCGGTGAGGCCATAATCCCCAAACCCCTGAAGCCAGTTATTGCGAGGCACGCCCGTACCTTTACGCGGCAGGGCGCCGGGCAAGTGGCAAGTTTTCGGCTTCTTCGTGCGGGGAGGGCGGACGTTTTGTTCATGAGCTACATAAGGCGCGCTTCTGACACGAAAGAGCGATGACTGTCCGGTAACATCGTCGAGCTCCTCGAAAGGTGATGCATCAGCACCGAACTGATACTGCGTGGCGCTATACCGCACCATAGAAGGATGACTGAAAGCCCTATGCCAAGACCGGCTCATCAGATCGACAACGGGGAATGTGTTGCCGGGCAGGAAATCAGCAAAAGACCGTTCGTTGAATTGCTCGAAGTCCCAGAACGTTATTGTCTCTCTGTCGTCGTTCGCCAAGAAGCTAATTATCCGCGAATGAGTGTTCTGGATCATCCTAGTAGCTAGCTTGTTCACATTGTCCGAGACGGATCTGAGGTATTGATGGACATTCTGGCCAGTATTGTGGCCCGTAGATAAGCATGCCTCGAGCTGATTGGGGTGGAGAGCGTGAGCCACGAAATTCTCGAGGAAAGTCGCCTCGTAGACTTTCTGGCTACCCTGGTACAAGACGAAGTTGGTGTAATCTTCCCAAGTGGGCTTCCGACGATTGAGATTTATGCCCATCTTGGATACGCGACTGTTGGCAGGCTTGAGCCGCCCATCGCCGTTCATATCTGCAGAGTGTGAGCATGGGGTAAGTTTCCCTGCCATGAGTTAGCTTACAAGGAGGGAAAGATTCTCCGGTAGGGATATTGATGTGCTCCTGATCGACAATGGCAAACGTGTAATCTCCTTGAAACCTGGGCTCAGGCTCCTCGAATGCCATCTGCAATCCATGGTGGTTTGCTGCAAGGAGGGGTGATGATTCGATGGGGCTATCACTCCAATCTACTGCGTCCTCCATATGGAGTATTGACTTGTATAACTTATACAAAGAGATAGGAGTGGATCGATCTGACAACCAAGGATGATGCAGCCAAAGTCGATTGTTAGAACTGAAGTGACAAGTTGAGCGACAGGGTAGAGCATGATCAGAAAGCTCTTATGGTACATTGATGGGGTTCTGCCTAGGTCACAAACGCTTCTTTGGAGCGCCGCACGCTTGACGAACGGACGAGGGCGCGAGTCCCATGGTATGATACATAGCTCCTAATGCAGGTGGGCATGTAGCGTTTGCTTCTGGGCCATTTGAACTAGATCCGCATTCTCGAAGCTTCAATCCCCTCCAAAGCATGAGACGGGGGGTTGGTCTCAAAAAATTCTCTTAGATGATCTTGGAGTCTGCTCAATCGATGAAAAGCTTCTGCCGTCGGCAAGGTACGATGGTAAAGGTCTGCAGGCCGTAGTGGGGTAGCGCGACGAATGGGAAATACAATGCTTTTGCAGGAGCAAACGCTTCGACCGGAGTCGGTGCTTCCAAATGGGCGCGCGGGCAGCATTCACGTCGAACAGGTTGAGGCTCAAAGCGAGATGACTATAGCTCATGGGAAAAGCGGGCTTCCAGGGCGTTTGCAGATGCTTTTCGACGCCGGTCTCTTCGATATGCGGACATGCAGCCCATGTGTGGCCATTGCATGTTATTGGTTCTCATACTTGACGAAAAGCTTATACGACCTGTCGTTCTTGTAGAATCTCAAGACCAATTGAGCCGGTAATAATTTCCTTTCGATCAGTCCGCGATGCTCAGCGGTGTTTCTTCGTGAAGGGGTTGCGCTTGCGTCCATGCGTCTGTGTACTATGCCGTTAGGAGCTGCAACACGTTCGTTTGAAGACACTAGATTGGGAGAGTCAGTATCCTGTTCCCAGAGGCATGTGCCGCTGTTCATGTGCAGTGACATGCTCGTTTGCGAGGTGTTGCGGAGCGCCGCTAAGCTGCAGGTGCCCGTTTGAGCATGCCGCGTATAATCGACCAAGAGCTCCACAGAGGCATCCTCAGCTGTTAGTCAATATTTTGACAGGAGGGTTGCCGTTCTTCTCGGTGCTGTAGGTGATGCAGACAATGGAGGAGTGTACTGACATTAGGTCGAGGTAAAGATAGGCGAAGCCGCCAAGCCCCCGCTTTCCTCTGATTGGTCGGAATTTGAGGTGCCACATTTCACGATGCAACTGTCGCAGCTCACCAGAGCTTCGTTCTTCAGATACTCACACGATGGGGAGACAAGCGCTCTCGTCAATTGCCATCCTCCTTCCTCTCATCACAGCCACCGCAAATGCGGTCTCGGAAGCCCCGCGACCGCGTGGTGTAGGCCCCGACTGTACGTAACACCACCACAGCTTCCCCGAAGCTGCTGGGTAGCAATTGAAGGAAGTGTAGCTCACATGTTATAGTTGCAAAGTACTATAAAGACGCAACATCCTTCACGTGTATCTCCAACCCCGAACTCAAGCTCGATGTCTCCCGCATAAATGACGATTACTGCGACTGCCCCGACGGCAGCGACGAGCCCGGCACCTCCGCGTGCTCATACATCTCTCCTCTCTCACCAAAGCAACCTTCACGCTATGGCGCCACTAAAATCAACGCCTCCCAAGCCCTGCCAGGTTTCTACTGTAAGAACAAGGGCCACATAGCGAGCTACGTGCCCTTTACGAACGTCAACGATGGCGTATGCGACTACGAGCTATGCTGCGACGGTAGCGACGAGTGGGAAGGCGTTGGCGGCATAAAATGCGAGGACCGGTGTGCAAAGATTGGCAAAGAGTGGAAGAAGCAGGATGAGGCGCGGCAAAAAGGTCTGGGCAATGCGAACAGGCGGCGGAAAGAGCTCGTTGCCGAGGCGGAGCGGCTGAGGAAGGAGGTTGAGGACCGGATCCAGACGCTGCAGGCTCAGATCAAGGGCCAGGAGGTGAAGGTGGAGGCGTTGATAAGGACATTGGCTGATGTGGAGAGGTCGGAGAAGGGCAAGGTGGTGAGGGGTGCGGGAAGGGAGGGAAGTTGGGCGTCTTGTCGAGCTTGGCGAAGGACAAGGTGAACGAGCTGACGGATAGTCTGAGGACAGTCAAAGATGAGAGGGATGCGGCGAAGTCGAAGATGGGAGAGCTCGAGGCTATCCTCAAGCGTTTCAAGGAGGAGTACAACCCCAACTTTAACGACGAGGGTGTCAAGCGCGCGGTCAAGGCTTGGGAAGACTACGCAGCTTCACAGCCTGTAGAAGAAGACAACTCTGCCCGCGACCGTGATCTCGAAGATCTCTTGAACCCTTCCTCCGAAAGCGCCATTAAGTGGGACGACTTCGATACCGAGGAAGAGTCCGATGTCGAGCTTCGTAAGTTCCCCATTCTAACGCCAATTTCTTCGACCCACCGGGCAACACTAACACGTGCATCGTAGTCTACAAATTCGAAGAATACCTCCCCACCCCCGTCCGCACCTGGGTCGACGAAAAACTCCGCGCCCTCCGAATAACCCTCATCGAAAACGGTATCCTCGCCGACCCACACACCGACTCCCCGGAAAGCAAACGCGTCACCGACGCCCGCGACCAGCTTTCCTCCGCCCAGCGCGACCTCGACAACGACCGCAACGAGCTGACCAAGCACAACGAGGACCTGACCAAAGAGTACGGCCCGGACTCCATTTTCCGTGCTCTCAAGGGCGTGTGCGTGAACCAGGATAGCGGGGAGTACACGTACGAGCACTGCTTCCTGGACAAGACGACGCAGAAGCCTAAGAAGGGTGGGGGCCATACTGGTATGGGCAATTTCGTGCGCATTGAGAAGATAACGGTGGATGATGATCTGCCTGCCGATGGGAAGGGGCTTGGTAGTGGGGAACGCTATGCGTTGAAGTACGAGAATGGACAGCACTGCTGGAATGGGCCGAATAGGAGTACGTTGGTCGTGCTGGCGTGCGCGGAGAAGGACGAGATTTGGAAGATTGTCGAAGAGGAGAAGTGTGTGTATAGGATGGAGGTGGGTACACCAGCGGTGTGTGGTGTGAAGGAGGGACATCAGACTGTGCTGCCGGCGCACAATGAGCTGTAGGAACATGAATGTCTGTCAGGACGGTGCACGTTTGTGCGATGGGTACTGCGAGTTGTATAGACAGTGTGGAATCGCATTGGTGCGTCGGGCGTTGTTTCGTTGATGCGGGCATTAGCGCTAGGTAAAAGTAGAGCTGGATAGATGGGTAGCATTGTTGATGTCCAAGTTCAGCAGCTTCGATGATATACAGTGTTGTTGTGTTGACGAAGCAATGGTATCATTTGGTATAATCCTTGCGGACGGTACAGTACAGCAAAGTAGCATTACCGTCACCAAGCCGCATGCTGATATTTCTCAAGTTCCTCCCATCATTCCTTATATATCGTACATCGGTCTTGTGCATTGCGACTCCCCGCTCAGATCAACGCCGCAGCGAGGCCGAGCGCCACAGCACCAAAGCACACACCGTTTACTACAGCGCCACCCGTTGACTGTGCCGGTCCACTGCTGGTCGACGAAGCAGCACCCGATTCCGCACTGCTCGCACCTGTCTTCGTCGCGCTCTCTGTGTTGCTAGCCCCAGACGATGCCGCCGAAACAGCGGTCGGCAGGTCAGAAACAGTCACGCCGGCCGCAGCGCACAGCTTGGTCACAGCAGGTGCGATCTCTGCAGTCCACCGTTAGCGCCCACAGTCTACTTGGATCGAAAGCGAAAGGGAAGCCGTACTAGCAATTTCATCCGTCGAGCACTTGCCCGGCACGCAGTCGGTGATGCTCTTCTCAATGGCGCTCTTTCCTGTCGTGCACTGGCAGTTTTGGTCTGTGAGACTGCAGCCCGAACCCGGGACTGCAACGGCGAAGCAGGAGAGTGCGCAGGTGGGAAGGTCGCCGAGGTTTTGTGCCGCCGCGAAGGCAGAGAGCGCGCCGAGAGTGAGGATGGAGAAGCGCATATTGGGTTTGTGTAGGGATCGTGACAAAAAGAGTTAATCAAGGATAAAAGAAAGTAGGGAGAGAAGAATGGAAAGGAACGGAGTGATTGAGAAATGGGGTTTTGGGGACCGGGAGTTTGATGGCTGCGGGACGGGCGTCGCAACGACCTTTGTAGCAGGAGCACGGATAACTTGTTCAGTGTCCAGATGTCTGGCCATGCGGGCTAGGTGACGCTAATGGCTCGCTGTTTCCAACTACAGTGATACGACAGAATGCCCAGGCGCATCAGGGTTGAGGCGCAGTTTGGTACGGTGCAACATGGTTCGGAACGTGATGCGGGTTTATGCAGGAGAGCTCAGCTGCAGAGTATTCCTCATAGTCGCTATGGCATTGTGGACGATCGCACCTGGATTTGAGATTGAGCATGAACGGACATCAGCGCAGGCGATAAAGCGAGCCGTGAAAGACGCGGAGAGCACACTGTTCGCAGCAACAGCAGCGACGCGACAGGGGGGAGGAACGCTTGTTGAAAGTACAGGTTGGTGAGTCAGTGAGAATGGAAAGTCGAGCAGAGAGTTGCAATAACCTTTGTCATCCACAGCATCTACCCGCGCGATGTCCGGGATCATCTCACTAAACATTACGCGACCCGCCCCTTGCATTAGCCTAGCGATCAGGGGCCAGCTTATTTTCGGGCCCCCCTGCATACTTGCGTGCTTGCGTACCAGACCATACAAAGTCTCCCTTCTCGCTACGCTACCTTCCAACCCTATCCCGCGTGTAGCTGTTTGTTGTGTAGACACCATTCTATCTGGGTACATCGATGATGTCGCGGGTACCATCCTGCTTGTTTGCTAAGATGCGGAGGGGGATGCGTCGGGTGTGATGAGTTGAAAAGGAACGCATTTCTTCTTCGAAGCAGGGATGCATATGTTATAGAGGTACATGTGCATTTGCGGCCGCTGTTACAAACGTTTCTGAACAATCAAAAGCCTTTCTCCGTCTAAACATGTTTTCCTCTCGTTGACCCTCACTTGCAAGATACCTCACCAGCGCCGCAAATGTCCTGACCGGCTTTGGGCACGAGGCACAAACAGTTGCATAGCTTCCACGCCAGTCATTAGTCCCTTTCGAGATCTAGGTCGCAAAGAACTAAATAGCAAGCTAGGTGTGTGCCCTTAGTGATCCCGCGAAATCTCGACATGAGAGCGATCACGCAACAGCGAACATGCGACCTTGTATGACTTCGATGACACTTTCATTCCGCTTGCGATGCTTATGCAAGTAACGTACACGACCAGCTATAACCCCTCCGTCAAAAGTACTCTGCTACAAAGTACGATACTAAGAGAAGACACTAGGCCGGCCATATGAGCCCCATAAATGCGCCCCCAGCCAAAGACACCGTATTCATAATCCAGCTATGCACGGTGCCTTGTTCCCAACATTTGTATGGTTTGCCCATTGGAGGTCACAATCTACAAATCCAGATCCCTACGTGTCCCTCACGAGATGAACAAAAGAAGGCAACCAAGTAAAGGAAAACATTTGACCAGAACCGAGACCGACCAAGAGGTATATTGCTGAGTTGAAGACAAGTAAAAAAGGCCGTATTTCGCACATGCCGCAAGTTCGAAAAAAGAAATTATCCATAGTAGAAGTTAAATCGGTACGTGAATGCGATATGTTAGTGCGTTTAGTTTGAGATTGAAAAGAAAAGTTTGCTTTTATAAGTGCCGGTGGCAGGCGATGTGGGGAGACGACCTAGAACATCGCGCCGTCCATATTCCGCTGTGTCACAGGCGCGCCGTTCATGGGGCGAGGTGGTGAGGGTTTCCGGGATGCGAATGGACCGGCGGGCATGGGCGGGCTGCTCATCGGCTGGATCTGCGCATTCCCGTGTAGGCTCCTCCCTTCGCTCATTGTCTTTCTCAATGCTGGCCTGGATGAAGCAGACTGGTCAGACATCTCTTCGTAGGAATTGGTCCTCTGCGAGTTGGCAAATGGAGCATGAGGTGCATCAAGACCAGCATGGATCGCTGGGTCGCGATGCTCCGAGCGCCCAAAACCAAAGCGTCTTCGCGGGTTGATTGGAGGAACTGGTGGCGGCGGGGTCTCCATACCATTCTTGAGCGAAGCTCCGGGCGGCAGATTGACAGTGTCTATGACTGAGGTTGTCGAAACAAACACCGGCTCGCCAATATCGGCCTTCGCAATGGACTTCTTTCGCAGGGTGCCAACCTTTGGCATAGGTGGGGGCCTCGCATCCGGGTTGAAAGCTACCTTGTCCGGGGTTCCGGGGTTCGACACCGGCGGGGTGTTGGCTGCGGAAACCGGCAGAGGTGAGACTTGAGGACGGAAAGCGGGGCTTGGTCCGCCAGGTGAAGGTCGGGGTGATACAGGAAGCCCAGGCGATTGTTGAGGTCGGCTTCCAGACATATGAGCAGCCGGAGCATTAGGCATTCCATTGCCGGTCTGGATGGGCTTCAAATGCTTCGACTCAAAATAGGCGGCTGATTTGCTGTTGCTTCGCGACCTCGACTTGCGGCTCTGATCAGGGGATGGTCGCTCGGCAGGCAACGGCTGAGTGGTGTTGACCGAGTACCCAGGCATTGACGGAGTAGAGTTAGGAGGATAATGACTAGATCTAGAACCAACACCTTCGCCCATAGCCTGTTGGAGGTCGTCCCGATATTGGGGAGGACGGCTGCGAGAGCGGCCAGATGATAATTCCGAGCTGGATCGATCTCTGCCCGAGCCTCTGCTGGACGTGGGAGGTGATCGATTCTGCGGAGGTACACCACGATTACTGTCGCCAGTTGCAGATCGCTGTCGTGGCTCGCCGTGTGGGAGCGCACGCATATGCTTTTGGCGAAAAGAGGCTCCTTCGGGGACACCAGCGAGAGAAGTGCTGCTAGCGTTCACCGAGTTTGCACCAAGACCAATCACCTTCATTGCCTTAAGAGAACCGTCTGGATTTCGGTGGCTGTCGACAGTAGCGAAAGATTCCCGGCTTGATTTCGCACGCAGCATGTTGAGAGCGGTTTTCAGACCTCCAGACCCGCCTGGTGCAGGTGCAGGGCTTGTAGAACGACCTTCAGCACGAGCGCGGAGACTTTCCTGGATGGCACGTTGGCGTTGCGCAAGATCCCGCTGAAAAGCTTCGTGCTCCTCTACACTCCGGCCACGCTGGTGCGTTTTATCCTCATCCTGCGTGAATGAGGGCGTATCAGGAGACAGAGGCGACATTGGAGAGATGGGGTAGGCCTGTGGTTGGGGTTTAGGCGCATCCACAGGGCTCACAGAGCTCATGCTTGCCCTTTCGTTGTAGAATGGATTGCTCTCGAGGTCATCAAGATCCCAAGGATTCGAGTGGTTATAGGTCGAGTTCGAGTGCGTGTCTGTCTCTTTTTGGGGCTGTCGGCGCTGAAGACCTAGTCCAATGTTTTGCGTCTGCAGTGGTGGAGGGTTCATCATACTTTGACGATCGTCATCATAGTTCGACGAGACATTGCTGACATTGCGCAGATGCTGTCGGATGAGGCCGCTAAGCCCACCATTGTTGGGACCCAGCGTGGGAGAGTCGAGATCCAACTTACCAGAAGGCTCTGGATTTGGTGACGAGTGAGGCTCAACCTGAGTTGGCGGAGAGTCACTACGTGAGCGCAACGCGGGGTGATCAGACTTTTGCGGTGGCCGCGAATTGCTTCGCGAGCGAAGAGCAGGATGTTCTAGGATCGAAGGGGCAGGTCCAGTGGCCACAGGGAGGTTTTCTATCCGGCGGCCTCGCTCCGAAGATTTCGGAGCGGGCTGAGGGGCGTCACTCTCGTCCTCGCTGGACCCAGCGGAGGCGAAAAAGGTGGTCCCTTTTTGTGAATCGGGCGACTGCACATTGTGAGGCGACAGAATCGGAGACTGAGAGGCCGTGGCAGGCGCGGCCTTCATTTGGTGTGCAGCTGATTGGAAGACTGAGAATGCCGAGGGTGCTTCCTTGGGCTTCGCCGATGATTCGGACCGCTTTCGTTCCATGGCGGCACCAGCTGTCGTAGCGCCGGCTTCAGCTCGCTTTCGCTTCTCCAGCTCTGCACGCTCTCGCAGAGATGGCTTCTTGGGGTTCTCTACTTCGGTGCGCTCCGACAGAGAAGGTTTCCGAGGCACGGGTGGCTCTACATGGTCCGGGAAGGTGGTCTTGCGAGGACTGTCAAGTTTAGCAATCGATGCTTCGCGTTCCAGTTGCATCTGCCTGAGACGCTCCCGGTACTGCTCTTCGCTGAAGGCATTTTTCGGCTTGTTGAAAGCGCCCATCGCGGTAGCCTTTCCTCTGTCCTGCGGGTGGAGTGCGGTGTTGAGTGTTTGAGCATCTTCGCTGTCGCTGGCCAATGGGCTCAAAGGCGACTGGGGTCGAGAAAGAATTGGGCTTGACGCGTTCGTCGGAGAGTCTTTGCCGTTGGGGAAACCGGGATTGACCTGGAAAGTGGGACTCTCCATACGGAGAGCTCCGCCCTTTGTGAAGCGATCACTCAAGTTTGTCGCAGATCTTGTTTGAGTGAACAGTAGCGGAGGGGTAGCACGACCGGTCTGTGCCCGTGTCCTTTGAATCGAGTTGAGGCGGTTCATGGCTGACGACTGCTGCTCATACATTTGCTGGTCTAGACCTTGGTCGTAGAGCCTCCGTGCTTTGGTCGTAGATCTGGTGATTTCCGTAGGCGATGTAGGCCCAGGAGTCACCGAGTTGGCGCCTTGCGAAGCCACAGAGGTTGCTGCGGTAGAAATGCGCGCATTACTTCCAGAGTTGGTTGAGGATGACGTCTCTCTTCGACGGTTGAATCCTTCTATGGATGGAGAATAGGCATCTTTGGTAGGACTTGACGGTTCACCGACAGCTTCGCCTGCCTCTTCCGCTGCAAGTCGTTCCTTCTCTTCACGTCGCATCTTCTGGAACGTCGACAAGTGTACATCATCGTCGTACAGAAGCCTGCCTCCTGACGTTCCGCTGCCACCAATCTTATAGATCTTTTGCCTGCCTCCAAACAAAACATTACCCTCTCCTGGTCGTGCTCTGCTCATCATGCTTGCGCCTTCCTCGGTGGCCTGGCTGTCGAAGGAGCCCGAGCGCTCCGAGGCGAACGGCGGCCGAATTGGGCCATTTAGGGAATCGCTGAGGGAACCTTTCAACGATGAGACTTCGGCTATGTCTGTGAGGCCTCCAGGGGCGAACCCGAATTCGTGCAGGCGGGACTGTCGCTTGGGGAGGAGCACGCTGTCGTCACTGGCTTTTCCAAGCTTGGAATTGGGGTCGTCCTGCTCCCTGAGCATGCTAAAACGCGTCGATAAGCCAGGCAAGATCAAACTCGTTCGGAAGTCATCGGCGGCTGGCAGTGCCGTTGCGATGTTAAGCTCGGGCTTGGGCTCTGGCTCCCCCTTCTTCTTGTCCTTTCTTTTGAGGAAGCGATTCATGGCGCCCTACATCCTGTCAGAAACATTTCGAGGTGCGAGGCATCGCGGCATGGTGCGATAGCTCGTATGCACTTGGGTGGAATCCATATCGGAAGGGAAACCTACTGATCTCTGGCGCTGCCTTTCTACGGTGTGTGTGGTAAGATTGGGCTGCGCTGTCCGAAGCTCACCGCTCGTTTCCAGGGCAAGACCGACGCGGGCGTCCGTCGGCTACCAGCACGGCAAGAGCGCGTGTGGGAGGTCTGTGGCAGGTGCAATCAGCGGATGTCTCGAATTATTCTCCCATTCCTCGCGTTCCCTCCCCCCCACAACAACGCCAAACGTTCGATGCCGGATGACGTACACGATAGCCACACTTGCTTGTCCTCTGTTTGTGCCAATGGGTCCGATACAAATGTCGTTCAGGAGCTGCGAACGTTAAGAGCAGACGCACGCTCCATGCAGTGACCGAGGTGTAAGTGTGAGAGTCGACAATGAGCGTGGAGAGACACAACGCCTCGCAAGTTTGTTTAGACGCAGGGAATGTGCGTGGTGGATGCTGAGGCACGGATTGAAAAAGAGCTGGATGATCGGCAGAAAGGGCGAAATTTGAGGCGGTCCGGCGGGCACGGAAGGCCGACGACGAAGATAAACGCGATTAAGGCGAGGATCGAAAGGAGCGTGGGGTTGCTAGAGAGCGTGGTCGCCTGCGCGCTGCGAGTGCGTGGTGGTGAGAGTGAAGGAGCGGAATGAGGGAGCACCTCGGGCGGGGACACTTGGGACCGTGTAATGGGCGCTCTCGCAGGAACAGCGTGGGCAAGGCGATGTGCTGGGGAAAAGTGACAGGCCAGGCACAGGCGTCAGAGAGTGCAAGGTATAATTTCCACTAACCCTCAGAGGTCATCTCCGCGCATGGGCGCCAACGACGCTCATGGCAGCACCGCGTCTGCAGGGAAGGCTTCCGTGGGCCAGCATCCGGCTGCCGCGACGCGCTCAAAGCTTGCGACCGGTCTCTGCTGCGGCCTCCTCTCAATCTACGATGGCGCACGCCGGCGTGCGAAGAGAGAGCGTGGTGGAGCGGCGACATCAAAACAGTGCACCGCCGAAACGGGCGCTAGGCGGTCGCAGCCGGCATGCCGCTGTTTCGAAAATGCTCGGGCGCGTGCAGAGGCAAATCGAACTGTCCTCTCCAGAATCACCGCGCAGCTCTCCGCGGCTCAGCAGCGAGAAGTCGCATTGTTCACTGCTGTTGGCCGCCATGTGCAGCCACAGCGAGCGCGCCCAGCATCGTGAATCAGAGCGGATGGACTGATCCATCCATCAGTCGGCTCATGACTGGCCAATTGCACGGTCTCCAATGCCCGCGCTCCAGAAGGAATCCTTCCAGGGACGAGAACCTTATTGCTCTTAACGCTGCACGACCTATAGCTATTGTCGAACGCCTCCATGCCACTCTCAGCCGGTCCCAAGTTCGCCTCTGAAACCACTGCGGGAGCCGCGTCGTGAGACATGCCTCCGCCTTGCTCACGAGCTCGTCGCAGTGCGGAGAGAAGTCAGCGGGCTCGCTTTCGACCACCGTTCGTGGCATCTTCTGAGCGGGCGGCGCCCTGGTACCTTGCAGATGGCCCGCTAAAAGATCCAATCGCGCTGATCCGCGTACCGAAGTCGTGGGCCCCTTTCCATTACCCCTGGACGGACCACCATCACCCGTATTTCGACCCCTCAAACGCGTGGTTCCGCAGCGCCCGGCCGTCGTCCTCTGCTGCGACACCGCACGCACTCAGCTCGACGTTGTGAGATCTCCTGGACTATTTGTACCTCACAACGGGTATTGCTCATGTCCTCGAGCCTCCAACGAAAGCACCAGGTAACACTTAGCGCCCTGCATTAATGTCAAACAAGCATACATCGGCGTGGCTTCCGACCTGCAAGCCTTTCCCTTGCAGCTGCAGCCAGCACCCTCGAGGCATACGCAGCCCGCTCGGCGTGGGTGGTGGTGCATCCATCTCTACACTCTAGCCTCTACACTTGCTGCATTAGGACCGGACGTCAGTCCTCGTGTAGACCACAGCATTAGCCAAGGGAGTATCGCATCGAGCTGCAAACAGCGTATATACCGACGGCTATGCACATTCGCGACTCTTGGAGCGCTGCCACCAGTGCTGGCTTCTATCGTCCGGCCGCCCTCTGTGTGAGGGTATCCCAGTACATCAGCCGTTCCCCGAAATTGAATGGCGGCCCACAGAGAACGGTTCGGTCGACGCTCCACGCACGGCTAACAATACGATGCAAATTTACACTCCCTTCAAAATGTTGAAGTCATCGAAATTGGGTTGTGCTGACGAAAGCCATCGAGACCAGGCTGTGGGTTGGCGTTGCGACTCGGGTTGCCTGACCTTCCCGTACCCGCGCGATGGAAGACGAAATGATGATCTGCCCCGGAGCAGCAATTTGCTCCCGATCCGCACCGCCTCAAACCCACTGGCTGGATACGGCAGCCTGCACGCGTCGCGCCTGTTCGCGTGGTGGTCTGTGGTAAACAAAGCCCACGCGACGCTGACAAGCCCTGCCTTTGTACGGGTGCTGCAGCCACGAGCTTCATGAAGCGAACCCCTTCCGTATCACTTCGTAGATTTACGTCACTATGAAAACGAGAAGGCTGAGGCGAGCCCGCTGCTCGAATCTGCACATGTCGTTTGTTTGTTTGGCAACAGAGATACTAATTTAGACATCAACTATCGATAGCTTAGCTTACCAGCGCAGCAACGCGCACTCTCCAGCAAACCTCATCAGCCTCACCATTCACGACTCTCCGGCTTACGTTTCACGTTGATGTGGGTAAGCTGAACAATCCAACCTGGAAGGATTGTACTCGTATCCATACAGCCTGGTCGAGTGGTGCGATCCATCAACAAAAGAAACATTTTTTTTGCACTCGCCCGACTATGGTTTCCCTGTCGTTGCAGGTTGAGAGCGAAGTGGGCTTTAACAGACTTGGCTTGCACTAGCGGCGCGATAAGTCGCGAGATTGGCGTCGAGGAGGGGCACGCATGCGGCTGTCAGCTGCCAGATGTCTTTTAATGTTGGGTCCACTGTGTTGAATCTTACGTCCCATCAGTTGTGGGTACCCCTGCTTCGAATTTGGTTCATTTCGACTTCAGTGGGCTGTCGGTGGACTACAACTTGATTCGCTCTGCTTCCACGGAATCGTTCATTGCCTACTACCCCGTGGCTTTGCTCTATCTACTGACCTCGTACCCTACTCAGAGATTCGTGAATGCAAACTAGTGACTCCATCATTTGGTCCCAAATGACTATCAAATAGATGTACGTGGTAATACAGTGAAATGACAGTACAACACTCCTGCATCTATCTTGTGTCCCTCTTCCCTCAGCTTGATAGTGACCTTGATCTACTTGACCATATCCTCATTGATATACGTCATTTTGTTCCGTAACTCCTGTAAATATGTAAATCATACACGTAGTATTACGCCGCATTTTGTGGTAATATCGAACACAATTATTTGCAGTAGGTGGGAACGCAATTGACGCAGAAGAATGTAAGTGATACGTCCCGATTCAAGGCTCCTGACTTACCTGGGACAGAAGAAGCAAAAGAATCTGAAGGAGTAAATTCCCAAAGGAAAGCATGGGGAGAAACAATACACCGGTAACATTTCGCCACGAACTTCGACCGCGGTAGTTTGGTTCCCTGAAGATCCCACCGACCTGCCAATTGCCCCGATGCCAGAAAAACTCTTATTCAATGCTCAAGTTTCCTACTTCCTGCTCTTGGTCAAGCTATCGGACGAAAGACGTCTGATTCATAGATGGAGGCTATTCGTCTACGAGTATGCCTGGCTCAAGATATGGATGCCGGACGGTCTCTGGCATTTTGGATATAGAATATGGTTTCTGAATTTCCGACTTCGTTGAACCATCGACTTATCATCAAAGCGCGTTTAGCGCGTCCACCCACTTCGTCGACCATGCCGTAAACTCATCGTCTGTGCCCGTCCAATTCTGCTTTACCAGACCAGCAGCACTCTTCGCCTCCCCAGAACACTTGTCGAGCATGGCCTTTGCTTCGTCTTCGTCGAGATCGTAGAACGCGCTCGCTAGATCATCGACCTGCTCCGGTATTGACCTCAGCAACTTCATGAGCTCTTCCAGCGTGGCCATATGGTCCTTCTGCGCCTCACCATTCGTTGGTCCCGTCGCCGCAGAGCCCGGGTAAATCTTCAGTCTCCTCTTGATCAAGGCTTGGTATAGCACGCCGACCATCTTGAGCTTCTTCACACTTTTATCCAACACCTCCTTCAACTCCTTGTCCCCCTTCCCAAGCTTGTTTGCCGCACCAAAAATCTCGTCCTCACTCTCGAAGCCCCCATCACTACCCTCAGCTTCGTCCTCATCCTCGTCCACATCGTCGCCCCACTCCTTCAACTCCTCCACCGCATCCAGCAGCACACTCCTCCATTCCTCCGCTTTGCGCACCACCAAGCCGGCAATTCCCCCATCACAAAGTTTAATGAGCGCATCGCATGCCTCCCACACAACGCCCGTGGCCGCAAGCACATCCTGCCTCTCACTCTCCGTGGGCCCCTCGTCCTTTGCCTTCCCCTTCGCTGTCTCAAGCGCCTGCCTCCTCTCCGCTAGCCTCTTCACACACCCGACCACCTCCCCCCAAGCCACCAACAACCTCCTCACCTGCGCCCTGACTTCCCCTGCATCATCGCCCCCATCCCTCCCTCCGCAACCGCGGCGCCCACCAGTCCTGTCAACGGGCCCGAAGTCACATCCCCGATTTTCGTTATTATAGCCGAGGGCGTGAGCGGCGGCGTGAGGAGGAGTAGCGAGAGCGTCGTCGTGTGCGATTTGAGCAGCGTGGTGCATGCTTTGAGGGCTTGGAGGGGGTTTGGGGCGGCGGAATGGAGGTGTCAATGGTGGAGGTGGGAGAGAGGGAGGTCTGAAAGTGTGTAAGGAGGGTGAGGGTTGTGGAGGTGAGGTCGAGGAGTGTGCGGAGGGAGGCGGGTTTTGGTGCCATAGCGTCGTGCGACAGAGGTAGGAAAAGACTGATCTTTGCAATATCCTAAAATACTCAAAAGTTGAGGCTGTGATTAGGAGGAAGCTCAAAGGGCGTATATGGTTAGTGGTGTAACAAGCAGTCAAAAATGTTGGCGGGGCTCCGGTTGATCTTATCGATAAGCCGCCTGCCAGCCTACATTGTCACTGATTGTGAAGCAGCGGCCAACCAAAAACTGAATCCGTTCTCGCGCCAACGTGAGACACGGCCATGGAGTATTCGGTCGTATTCTTAATCACGTACTATAGTGTAAGCCCTGGAGTTACCCTACGCTACGTGTATAGCTAGTCTCAATTTTGATAAGAGAAGTCGATTTGGGGAGGGATTGACGCGGGTCGTGTCGGCCACTGTGATAGCAAAAAACTTCTCCCGAAGTGCCTGGCGTGATTGGTCCGCGTTGTTTTGTTTCCAGGTAGTGTTGGCTTTCCAAAACAGGCCACCCGCTAAAAGGAAAGAATAAAGTGTAGTGGTATTGTTCTGGGGGTGCTCCAAGGGTACCAGTGTGGGTAGCCGAGTTGGTTATAGCTAAACCAACTCGGCCATCTCACCGACGATCATGTGACATTTTGGCGTTTAGAAATATATGTACTGCTTTCTATTATACTGTGATTGAGGATGTAGTGTCGTACCGAGCTCGACCAGGTTGTCGCGCTCAGAGTGGGTGGAACATGAGTCACGAATCACAGTGGTCGACATAAAGGCTCAACTTCCTTAGTGCCAGATTGTCAGCTCCCTATATCGAGACGTTGGACAATCGGCTGCAAGCTTAGTAGCTAATAGGATAGCCTAGGGTAGCTCGCTCTATAATGCGTGTTCAAAGTTATAACCTAACATTATATGGCCGTATCTCATGTTGGCGCAAGAGCCGATTCAAATTTTAGTGTCGGCCCTGTGAATGAAAACTCTTCTCAATGATTAGGGTCTGCCGTCTCTGCTGGGTATACTTGCTGTTTGGACACTCTTCACTACGTTAAGACGATTCTGCAAGCACAGTGACCGACACAAAAACCGAACTTCTCAGCCCGATCTCGCCGGATTAAACTCTCCTATTAAAATTGAGGCTAGCTATACGCATATGATAATCATATAGCGTAGGGTGACTCACGCTATAGTACGTATTTGGAGCTGCGACCTGATACTGTATGGCCGTCTCTCATGGCGGGGTGAGAACCTATTCAGTTTTTACTGTCGGCCGTTGTGAAGAAAGACAGTTGGAGAACGACGGGATAGAACAAAGCAAATTCTCGAGTTGAAGAGTCAGACTGTTTAATGTACAGAGGGTGCTCACCTCCGCTCTTGACGACTTTGCATGAGGACGGAGTCTACATGCAGGTGATAGCAACGGCCCTTAAAAAGTCTTTTGATGCAGCGACGTACTTGTACCATCAGGCATGCGGTTCGACGTTTGCCTGCCTATCATAGATTCAGCATACATGGTGCGACCTGCTCCAGCCACGGCTAATGCTCCAATGTTATCCGACACAATCCGGGTTCTTCCCTTCCATCTCTTCAAATTCCTTGGGGTTTTCGAAGTAGATCCGCCTTCGCTATCCGAGCACCAGAGTCTATCACTGTAGGATTGTGGTCTGGATGCTTGAACCAATACAACAGCTGTTCGAGATTTCGTATTCGCTCTAGCAAGTCACTCTATAGGATCTGAAAGAGAGCCCGGAATACTGATCCGTTGCGACAGTAGTTCGGGGGTAGCAATCTGCTCCGCATCTTGACATTTTGGAGTAGTATTCCAGTCCAGTAATTTCTCCTGAGCATAACGCTCGAACTCAGCGTAGTGTTCGACTCTGCGGTCCCAACTGGTATGATTGGTGGAACGCACATACTGTCTGGTGGACCCCGGCCGTTTTACCAGAAGCGAGATCTGGAACAAAGGGCGGATATCTAACCTGCCATAAGGTTCGCCAAATTGCATACTACATGCTCTCACATCGTCTTTTAGGTCAATGCCATTGTTCCCGCGGATCCCAAAGTCGCCATCTTTCTTCAGCGGAACCACTTCCCGTCTTCTGACCGACTGTACTTTTAAGGCGCCCATGTTCCCTGCAAACAGATCCAGCTGACCTGAGACTGGCTCAAGACGAACCCCCGGAGTTGGCCACTGAGACATCCTTGTTGGAAGTCCATATCGGATCGGATTGTGCGCTAATAGAAGGCTATGCACCCACCACCCTTAGAAGATACCAGGAAACATCTTCCACCTCACCTCCCTCTTATATCCCTCCCACTCCTCCGGATACCTCTCCGCGAGGTACTTCTCCTTCGTCGGCGTCGCATTACCTGTCAAATTACTCCAGTAGAACGCCCCCGTGAACAAAGCATACAATGGTCCGCCAGCCGCAAACCCATACGCCGCCCCATACACCACATTAGCCGCATAATTGGGATGCCTCACCAAGCCAAGCAGCCCTCCCCTATACAGTCTTCCCTTGTTCTCCTTCTTACTCTTAAAACTCGCGCGCCCAAGTTCGCTCACAAGCTCCGTCACCGCAGCAAGCAAATGCACCGCAGCGCCTGCATACAAAAACTCTGGACGCCATAAAGGGTTTGACGCTGCGGAGGTAAAGACCAGGGCTGAAAGGGACTCGTATATCGCGGGTACCATGACGCCGAAGAAAGCGAAGGGGACGGTGATGAGCTCGTTGCAATAGCCCCAGATCCAGACGTTTTGCTTGAGGATGAGGGTGGCGGTCATTCCGAGGAAGATGGTGGAGATTTGGGGTTGCGCGCCCATGATTGGTAGGTCAAGTACGCCGTGGGTAGGTGGGCGCGGTATCTGGAACCGCGAGAGGGGATGTGCAGTAATGACCAAGTGTTGGAGCGGTAGGGAAATGATTCTGCCCATTCCCAGGAGCAGCGGGCCAGCGAGGGACCGGTTGTAATTGCCGCGCTGGATGCCCAGGGCAGGAGCCTTTTCTGGTTGCTTTTCGGCCATCGTAGGGGTGTTGAGAACCTTCCTAGGGGTGAGAGGAGGTTCGTATCGTTCAAAGCGGGAAACGAGGGGTGGTTGCATTATATGTTCCGTCGGGCGTATACATAGTGCTTATGCGGCTTGGGGTTTGGCTCGACCAATGGGGGCCGGAAGTGTCCGGGGCCATACCGCATTGAGTAGGGTCTTAGGGGCCACATTGTGCACCATCTTACCACAAGATAGCACGACGTCCTGCCAAAGTCAAACGATGAATCATGTATGAGCTAGATACGAATAATGCGCGAGAATGAAGCTGCAGAGACCGAAGGTATGAGCCAGACTTCTGGCGGTAACTTGCGAGTGAGCACCGACGATACGATATTACATTAGCATTTCAGAGACTCATTGCAGACTGAATTACCCTAAGGTACATCAGCCTAGAGGGCACCTACCAAACAATCGGTGAATAGCTGACTTTACATGTAAGAGAGTGAGAAAGAGTCTGGAACCTTCCTTAAGTCACAGAATCAATTTCGCGTCTTTTGGACACGTCCGGGTATCCATACTCGCTTCTATATCGCTTTCCGCTTTTGAAGTTTAGACGTCAGAAGTATGTCGAAACAAGCCCCATTCTTGGCGTGATATGGGATAGAACGAAAGAAAATTGAGTAAACAGAAGAAGAAAAAACAGATAACGTTTGGTATCATCAACAGTGCCACCCACCCACTAAGCTACGCATCCCTACCTGAGCGCCGGCGCACCAATAGTAAGCTCGCCCATAGAGCTCTTCCTGAGATTGAGCTTCACGTCTTCACGCTTTAAACTCGTTTCCTTAGTACATATCCATGTCGAGGCGTACATATTCACCCTGTGCCAGTTAGCCCTCGACCTCCACACACTCAGAAGGGGTAAACTCACCGATCAATACACGCTCCGGGTACCCTAACCGCCACCCTCTTGCAACTGAATCCACACTCCTCAAATGTCCTCAAATACCACGGCTCCAGTCCCGCACTCCTCAGCATAACCCTCCCCTTCACCTTCAATGCTCGATTCAAAGCGCGGATCTGTTTCACCGCCTGATTGCCCGTCGGCGGGAACCAATCCATGCTGTCCATTACAACGACAATGGTCAGGGTTCCGGGCCGCATGCGCGCAATAACCTCGCTGATCTCATCGGTGTGGATGCGTAGACCATTGAAGGCGGAGGGGCGGGAGAGCTTGACGTGTGATTTTGGGGAGAGGTAGGTGGGGTGCGAAGAGGGGGTGTAGTGGCCGAGCAGGGTGAGGAGGTAGTAGTGGTTTGAGGTAGATAGCAGTGTGGTTGTAACGACTGGCTCGAAGGTGTTCAAGACGTATTCGTAGATAGCATTTCCGCTACTTGTGCGCTCCGCGGTAGCGGTGTCGAACTCGGCGGCGTTCTTCTTGAAGTCTGCTTCGATGACGGCACGTTGCGCTGGTGGAACACCAAGCGCTTTCCAGAGCCACTTCTCGTTGGAGAAGACGGTCCAGCTGAGTAACTTCGAATGGATAAGGCCTTTGAGGCTGCGGTTCCAGATCTCGCGTTGCTCGTTGAGGGTTTGTGCTGCGCAGAGTTTCTGCACGTCGGCGGTAAGGCCGAGGATGCGGAAGAGCCAGCCGCAGAGTGCGATGGCGTTGCCTGAGCCGCCGGAGTGGTAGAGACCTTTGCTGGACTCCTTTTCGAAGACGCTGGGGCCGGCCTTGAGCCAGTACTGGAAGGCGTTGGAGCTCATGTGCGGGCTGAGCTTCTTGATGAGAATGTCCCTGAAGTCGACGTGCTTGCCCTCGCCGAAGAGCTTCCACACATCGGCGTACGGCAGCGCAGTGAAAGCGGCAACCTTGAGCTCAAGCAGATGGTTCTGCGTAGGGTTCAGATCGACGGCGTGGACACGACGAGGGGCATCAAGGCAGAAGGAGAGAATATTGTCACCTGCGGATGTGATTGCGAGAACGACATCGTCGGGAGTTACCTTGAGAAGTCGCGCGTCGGCTCGGTCATCCTCCCAAGTGAAAGCGTAGATGTAGGAATCGTTGAAACGGGTGTGCTTGGGAAGCGTCTCATCGTAGTGGATTCGCCAGTGGTGGTTCTGGTACCTGTACGCTAGTCAGCATCCTTAAGGCGACAAGTCAAATTAAGAAAGGTGTCTTTACCATGTGGCGGGAAGCGGAAGGCTGGACTGTAGGTTTACGATGGCGGATTCGTAGGCTTTTGATCGGACTTCTACATCCGTGGGTACATGCCCAGTTTGTAGATCAAGAGCGGACAGATAAGGTGATTCAGTTGCAGCGGCGTCAATTTCAGCGAGCTTCGTGGTCGAGGAACCGCTGTCCTTTGAGCACCCAACCCAGATGTAATATGGCATTCTGACGCCGAAGAAGTGATTACGGGCATTGATGCTGAGGACAGTACCGAAACGATATTCGATGTAGTCCTACAATCAATCAGCACCAGTCACATCCGTTCAGAAGTTGTACTCACACGACGGGCAGCCTCCAAGTTCACACGGTCAATCTCGAACCACGTCCTCCAGAAGACCCTGGAAATCCACATGCAGTGCCTGTTAATGGCCCCACCAGTGTAATTCCTCCTGTTAAACTCAACCCTGCTCTGGACATAGAAGTCGACGACACCAACAATGCCGTTGGGGCTCAGGAGCGAGGAGATGGAGTCAATGACAGGGTAGAACTCGGGGATCATAGAGAGGGCATAGCTCATGGTCACGAGCTCAGCACCACCGGCGTCAGCGTTCTCGTCGAGATCTCGAACTATCTGACCTTGCGAGATCATCTCCTTGCGCTGGTGTGCTTGCGGTTCGTGCTCGTGGAGACGGAAGGTGCGGGCGTCCTGGCATACGACCTTGACGTTCTTCCATCCGAGGCGGGTGAAGCGCTTGCGGGCCATTTCGCAGAGACTGGGAGAGAGATCGACGACGTCTGCGGAGTGTCAGCAAGACCTGATAGAATGAAGAAGTTTACCGTACAGACTGAGCGGAAGAACTCGGGAACAGAAACGAATTTGCCCATCTGTTCGACACTGCACGACGTCAGTCCGGTCCGAGCTATCCAGTGGCCCTTTTCTGCTCACTTATGGCCGGTTCCTCCCCCAATCTGTGGTGGTTAGTGCTGAAGAAAGCCCGCCAGCGATGTACTCACGTCGACCCAGACTGGTCTCTGTGAGATCAGTCCAGCTTCACAGCGGTGCTTCAACTGCGCTGCTACCAAACCCAGCATGTCCTCGCGTCCTTTGAGAAGGCGTGTGCGCGTAGCATCGTACACGTCGGCTTGCGCCTTGTAGAAGCTTTCCTACGTGTTGTGAGCCACGATTACATGTTGATGATAGAGCCACATACCAAAGCATCCTGTTGGTCTCCGTGCTTGTCCCCAGTGTGTGGCTTCAAGAAGCACGCGTAGGCGAACTTCAAGTACGCCTGGAAGGTACTCGACTCGCCCTTGGGCTTGAAAGCAACGGCAAAGGTGGCGAGCACAAAGATGCTCAGCACGCCAACTGCCAGGACCACCAGGTTGAAGGGGTCCTTGGGGAGAAAGGTTGAAAGGCCGAGCATGGCTGCGGCTCAAAGAAGTTCAGCAAAGAGCCAGAAGAGCGGGCGAAGAACGGACAGACGCGTAGCCAGAAAAGAGACGAAAGCGACACGCGGAAGCATTTGTTATATGGGAAGACGTCGACCAATTCCGAGCAGCGTTCCGACTTCGGTTCGTCATTCTGCCCCCCACCTGATGCTAGGCCTCGCGCATACAGGTAGACGAATGGTGCCCCTCGTCGAGGCCGTGTCTCAGCCAATTGAACGAGGCACATGCGGCGCTGGGCTGGAAGCAGTGCTGTTGGAGGCGAGGACGAGCGTTTCCGGATCGCTTTCAGCGGCTATGCAGGGCCCAAGGGACCGAGAGTTTCGCAAGAATCCATTGCTGCGTAGAGGGCAGACGAGCGCTTGGGCCTATCACGAGGCATTGCTTTTGCCCGTGGTAAGCTGAGGCTGGTGTTGAGGTCCGGGGGATGCGTTCGGGACGAGTTCGTTGTCTGGGCGGCGGCCAATCAGCGGCGGCGTAGCCACGGCGTGCGAGAATGACCCAACGGCAATGCAGGGTCTACATCAGATAAGGAGCGGGTCGTGACCTGCATAGAGCCTTGCAGCCAAACCGTGGGAGCCATGTCGCGCAACCCAGCGTGCTGATCGGCTCGAGCCTTCGACCACCGCAGGCCAACGTCGGCATGGGCAAGGGGGGCGTGTCGTGAGGCTATTGGGCACTGTTGCACCTGAGGGCATCTCCGACAAACCTCCACCAATGATGACATGGTCGTGATTGATTTCTACCTAATAGTACATATCGCGCCCGCACTGGCAACGAGCTGTCCACCCACTCTGCCCCGCTACGCGTAGAAATTGACCGTGTCCTTCTTCTTGGCCTGGAGACGGTTAGCCGTGGTGCCGAGTGCGGGGTGCGAGTGCTTCGGCTTACCTGTACTTCTGCTATGGCGTCGACGTAGTGCTCGTGGCTGATCTTCTGCTGTCCTGATCGGAGCGCAATCATACCTGCCTCGACGCACACGGCCTTGAGCTGCGCACCGCCGAACTCGTCGGTACTGCGGGCCAGCTCCGGCCAGTTGACGCCATCGTCCACCGTCATTTTCCGTGAATGGATGCGCAGGATCTGAGCGCGCGCCTCCTCGTTCGGCAGAGGGAACTCGATCTTCCTGTCCAGACGACCCGATCGGAGCAAGGCAGGATCTAGCACATCGACACGGTTCGTAGCTGCGAGCACCTTGACACGATCGTCGGATGCGAACCCGTCAAGCTGGTTCAGCAACTCCAACATGGTTCGCTGCACTTCACGATCTCCAGATTTCTCCGAATCGAATCGCTTCGTACCCACTGCGTCAAGCTCGTCGATGAAAATGATTGAAGGTGCCTTCTCCTTGGCAAGCGCAAAGCAGTCGCGGACAAGCTTCGCACCATCGCCTATGAACATCTGTACGAGCTGCGGACCGGCGAGCTTGAGGAAAGTGGCATCTGTTTGCGCTGCGCAAGCACGGGCGAGTAGCGTCTTGCCAGTACCGGGAGGTCCGTACATAAGCGCACCTAGAGAGTGTCAACGTTGCGCCCTCTGGTGGTGTAAAAAGATGAAAATACATACCCTTGGGTGCCTTGATGCCAATCTTCTTGAAACGCTCAGCCTCCTTCATGGGCCACACGACAGCCTCAACGAGCTCCTCGATCTGCTTGTCTAGACCGCCGACATCTGTGTACTTCTCCGTAGGCTTCTCGTCGACCTCCATAGCCTTCACTCTGCTGTCGTACTCGGCTGGTAGAGTGTCCAGCACGAGGTACGAATCCTTGTTCACCCCGATCAGATCACCGGGTTTCAACTTCTCGTGATCGACCAGACCGATCAGTGGGAGGAAGATGGTTTGCCGTGTTGACGTCTTGATGACTGCCGACTTGCCCACACGGGTGGCGTCCAAGTCGATATTTGCACCCTCTTCTGCCGCCTCCGCTGTCACATCGAGGTCTAATATCTCGACTACGTTTCCGACAAGGTACGGAAGTTGCCTGGAGACAGTCAGCCATGTCTACTACAGTGGTTTCATGTGCAAGCGGCAAAGCCCTCGCGGAACCAAATGTACCTGTTGTTCTCGATCTTATCCAAGTTGTCCTTGATCTTCTCGTTCATGGAAGCCTTCTCGTGTGACAACCTCTGGAACTCGCTCTTCATTATTCGCATGTCGTTCTCCAGCAACCGCTTCCGCGCGACAATGTCTCGTGTGGCCAGGTTGAGGATCTCATCGTCCAGCACTTCCTCGTCAGGCTCCGTGTCCTTCATGTCTGCATCACCATCGGCCTTCTTTCCATCCTTGCCTTCATCGCCATCCTTCTTCTCGTCTTTCTTCTCTTCCTTCTGCTCACGCTCGAGGTCATCGAGATCCTCTAGTGTTGACATGGTGGCGGTGTGCGGTGGAGATCAGATGCGGGGTGAATGATAGTCGGGATATGGCGACAGCTATGGGGGCTTTGAAGAGAGGACTGCGGGGGTCAGTCGCAGGTGCGGGGTGTGAATGCGGTGTTGATGCTGAGCTCGGAGGCAGCTACTAGATTACGAAGTGAAGCTGCCGGGATTCTTAGTAAACAAGCGGTCTTGGCGGGGTGCGGTTGCCTCCGTTCTCGACAGCCAATCGGCACAGGCCGCCTCCGATGCGACGCACATCAAGTCGCAGTCCTGCTGAAGTGATAAAATGTGCGGTATATTGGGCTGGGACGCGCTTATTGTGAGAGCAGAAATATCGGAAGTTAGACACGCGTGCCGAAGAGAAACAACTATCCGCGATAGGGGGAGCGTGCAATGGTACCGTATCGCCTTATATTTGTTGTGTAGTTGAGCTTCAAGTCTGCCATGGAGAAAGGCACATTTGTGCCGGTGAACATACATGATACAGATCGGGACGGCTCGCGTAGTGCAGATATCTAACACGCTTTTTGCGCTCTTTCATACTGGTATCTATACACCCAAAAATTGAACCTTACATATGCACACTCCTCAGCCCCCGCCTAATCCAAATCCATGTGCTCTTCCTTAATACGGACGCGCTTGGGCAGATGATTGAGTGCAGAGCCACCCTACGACTCCGCACCCTCACCGTCCACAGCCTCGTCCTCATCCACAAACCCCGCCTCATCCTTGATAACCACATTCTCCTCCCTATCGGCATCCTCTTCATCTTCCTTTTCCATGCTTACGTCCCCGTTAGCAGTTGGTAGTTCACCGCCTCCAGCCTTAAGCGCTTCTATCTTCGCCTTCGTCATCTCAAAAACATATTGTCCCAAATGCTCGACCCCCTGCATGACCGCTTCTTGTCCTTCTTCGACCTTATCCTCAACCCCTCTTGAGAAAGAAGGCTCGAACATCTCATTCGTCACCAGGCTTAGCTGGGTAGACCGGGAAAGCAGGATGTCGAACGCGGGCTTGAGCTCGAAGCAGGAGGAGAAAACAGATGCGCGGCCCAGAATGTACAGGCCAAGACGGGCGCGGGAGAGGGCGACGGTGAGGCGCCGGATGTCGCGGAGGTAGCCTATTGAGCGGGTGCGGACGAGGGAGAGTATGACATCTGTTTCCCTTGCGTTAGTTATCCATTCCTATCTGTACTTTCGCCCCGAGGGGTAGGGAAGGGAACACTTACAATCATTTTGCTCACCCTGGTACTTATCCACCGTCGCCACAATCCTCGGCAACCCAAACAGTCTATTTCCCTTACACCTATGACCCAAAACATCCTTAATCAGCGCCCTCTGCCCCCCGTACGTTGTAAGAATCGAGATTTTCTGCGCTGGGTAGCCCAGTAAACGCATATACATGAACAGCGCGACAGCGTACTCTGCTTCGCCTAGGTTCTGGATAAAATGCGGCGTCGGTTCGCTCTCGCCCTTCCCTTTGTAGTCGGGGACATCGATAAATTGGTAGTCGTACCTAAACCCTGGATTCGCGGTCGTGAATTCCGGAGTCGTAAGAACGGAAGGCAAGTTCCCGAGATTCGGGTACCGCCACTTATATAATTCTGCGATCGCTGGTCGCGCGCGGCCCTGCTGGTCGAGCATAATAGTCGGCACGCCCAGCCGCACGAGACGCAGGAACATCGATTGCTCGAGGTTGGCATACTGTCTGAACGCGAGATTCTGAATGATGGGGGAGTTCTGCAAGTGGTCACCGACGAGAACGACGCGCTGAAGGGGAAGCTCGTTATTCTGTGGGTTTTGTAGCGCGAGCGGGATGAAGTTTTCGATCTCGGTGACTTGAGCTGCTTCTTCCATGATGACGTTGTCATAGTGGAAGCCTAGCGATGAGATTTCTTGTCTACGCATTGCGGCATGTGTTGAAGTCATCGCGATGATGCGTGCCTCCTTCACTAAGAGGTAGTTCGCTTTATCTCGCGGGTTGCGTAGGATCTCGAACGGACGTATGTCCTCGAGCTCAGTGAAGATCTTCTCGACATGGCGGTAGCAGCCTTGTGCGATGTCGACGATCTGCTCGCGGTCTGCTCCAGGAGGAAATAGAGGCTGCGGGGCACTGCTGAAGTACTCTTTGAATGGGAACTCAGCAATAATCTGCTCGACACTGCAATCCGGGGATGAAACATGATCCCAGTATTGCGTCCAAGCTGGCTTCACATACACCAGATTGAAGTAATCTGCAGTCTCGCACGAACTACTATGAGCCCCAGGTGCATTGAAGTTCTTCGCCAGGCGATCTACTTCAGCCAGGTAGTATGCTCCTCTCTCGAGGAAAGACTCTACGCGACCATGCTTGCTGTAGCTTGCCTCCGTCTCGAGCTCCTCCTCTCCATGTCCCAGACGGAGGAGGTGACGCTCATCGATGTCGAGCGCCACAATCTTCTGGAAAAGCTGATTGAGTGCTTGATTACTGTGTGCGACGAGCAACGTCCGCTGGCCCGGGAAGTTGTGGTATATATTAGAGATAATTTGGGTGGCCACGTCCGTCTTGCCGGTACCCGGTGGGCCGACCACAACGGTCAGACCTGGCTGTGTGCCCGAAGTGATTGCATCAATTTGAGCAGGGGTGAACCTGACGCTGTTCAGCTTTGGTGCATCTGCAGGGTAAGGGCCCATATTCGGCGGCTTGTATGTCGAGACGTGCAGAGACGCATCTTCCTGCACAGGCTGTGCAACCTCGCTTTGGTCGCGTCGACGCTTCTTCGAAGTCCGCATAGTTGCCGGTTCGGGTTCAGCTGATGCGGGGAACTGGACGATGTATGGAGGCCCAAAGGAGGATTGTGCGCTTTCATGTGGCTCAACTGATTTGCCGGGCCAGGATTCGATCAGGTGCTGCCAGTCGAGGAAGGTATCACGAAAGTCTATCGAATGCAGGCGTGTAGACAAGCGTCTGTAGGATGCAGATGCAGGGTCGCCATAGCCTAGGAAGACTTCTTGAAGCCATGAGGGTGCAGGAATATCCGAGAGCGTAAGGCGGCGAATGGATTCAAGGATAGGGCGGAAGTTGTTCTCTCGTCCGCGGCGACGCGCGACAAGGTTGATCTGCTCATAGATGTTGGGCCTTCCTTGTGCAACGCGGTCCATGTCCTCCTGATACTGTCTTGCGTCGATGTTGACGATCAATCTCCGCGTACGGACTCGGCGGAAGCCATCATCATTGGCGTTCTCGCGTAGAGGACGCCCATTTTCATCTTGTATTTGTACCACCTGAGCGCATCTTAGTTTGTGGATGCCTTGGTGATCCCCGGTCTGCCGATTGTTGCCGTTACGCATTGGCTGATCTTCCGGTCCTTCGGCCGCAAGCAGAAAAACAACGTCGTCTGGTCTCAATGATTCCCACTCTTTACGCACGGGGTGTTGTAGACGGCTGACATCGAGTATGATCTCAGCACGTACGTAAGCAGGATGTTGCTCACCCACTTTTGAAGGTGCTACATCCACGATCCCCGGATTCGAGATGGGTATGGACATCCGAGAGAAGCCGCCAAACTTCGTGGTGACCCCTTTGCCGCGAGGCTGAACCCGCTTGATAATGTCCTCCATATCTTTTCTGATACCGTAGAAAGATTCCGCTCGGTACAATATGAACGATCTCCACAGAAAATCGCCCATTGTGAGATATTGTAGGTTGAGCTTGGGTATAGCCAATGGTCGTGATCCGTCATACGCTTCGTTCCTAAGGAAGGTGGTCTCAAACAACACGTCTTCTGTTGGTAAACTTGACAAGTCGCGCACGACGTCTTTGAATGTAGATCTGTACTCCACAAGAGACAGTAACGTCTCGGTGAAGAACGGTCGATCAAGGACCAGGAAAGTCGATTTGGGATAGTCTGTTCGCAAACCCATCAACGAGCATACCTGCACGAGCTCAGTGTCTTCCAATGTCCGAACGTGACCCTGGAGTTCGTCTCGGTTGCCCAAGCTTCCGTAGTTGGCCAACGTCAGGAGCTGGAGTTTCTCTGGGAAAGTCGCGGTCGCGACTCGCTGCAGTTTCGCAAGCACGTCATAGTGTTCCTGGTCATACTCCAATTTCGATAGCTGTCTTCCCGTCTGGTCCTCAATAGGAAAGTGCGTGAAATGGCACAGCAAGTTGAAAAGGTCCCGGAACAAACCATTGTCCTCATCCGTGTACATGGGCGATAACCGAATTGCCGGAAGCAGATTCAGGTCCCGTAGCAGCGTGTTAACATATCTCCTAGTAGGCAGCTGACTTTGCAGGTCCGTGAGCAGCTCCATGAACCGCTCGCAGTAGGCCAGATTATCCTGAATCTCCTGTCTCGTGGTACTGTTGTATAGGCGATCCAGAAAGTCCAGAATCAATGTATACAGCCATGACCGCTCGAAGCGTAGCCTAGCCTGTAGCGCCTCGTCGGCGGCGTCAAATCGTTTGTGTGCCGCACGCCATGCCTTCCGCAGCATCTGGTGGTGCTCAAACTGGCTTTCCCTCGCTGCATCCGAGTGCAGGTTATGCCATGTCGATATGTTGACCAAAGGCGCGCATTCTTTCCGTACTAACCCGCTGTCTAGCGATTGAAACGCACCAATAACGAACGATATCAACTGTGTCCGGATCTTTATAGGCTGTGAACGATCCACGCTCATGGAAAGTATGCGACGGAAGAACGACGAGTACTCGGCGGGTTTGCCTGTGAAATGTTCTGAACCTTTTGTTAGCACAGCTCTTGTCGCATGATCCGCCAAAGAAGCACACTCACCCCACGACGGCAGATTCTCCCTCCTCTTGACATTGATCATGAGCGCCACCAGTAGGGCGTGGTAATTCGATGCATCATCGCTAAACGCAGGCCAGAGATATCGCTCCAATAGCTGCAGGTTCTCGAGCACAAGAAGTGACGAGTATGCGAAGTCGACCGTTTCCAGCTCGTCCCACAGCTCTTGCTTGATCACTTCGGGGCGCGCTTTCGGCGGCTTCTTCGCGGTGAGCCAGTTCTTCCGAGCGACCTGCGCGAAGTGGTTCTCGCCATGGAGGTCTGCGATGGTAGGCCGGGCGTGCGAATCGAGCGCGGGTGCCGTTGCGGCACCGCTTTCGGCAGCTTCCTTCTTGATATCGGCCATAATACCTCTTTATCTTACTATACTATCGGCCGTCGGGTCGAGAGAGCGCAAGGATTCGCGGGCGCGCGCATTGTTGTCGCATGCGCTCTCGTCGCGCCAAGCAAGAAATAAGTGATGCGCAGAGGTCGCACGGACCAACCCGCCGCCATTGGAACTCATGTCGCTGCAATTGAATGACTGCGAAGCTCTTCCCCACCTCACCACGCCACCATGTCGTCCACAATTGGAGAGACCATCGGCCAGCCCGTAGTCCCGGATAAGATACCCACCGGAGAGTATCCTGTAAGTAATTGGCGCCTCTGACGCCGACAATGGAGGATTATAGCTAACCGTGTGCAGCTCATCGACAATGACCCGTACGCCCCCAATGCCTGCGAAGATAGCTAGAAGTACTAATGGACTGCAAAGACACTTTTCCCGCGTCATAAGATACACCCGCCCGTCCGACTGGCTCGCCGGTGCCGCCGTCGGCGCCCTCTCACCCGGCCTCATGCTCTATTGGGAGCGTGTCTCTCCCTCGTTCGTAGGCAAAGGCGGCTTCGCTCCCGTCATGCGCATGTCGTGCGCGGTCGGTCTCACGGGCGCCTTCCTCTTCGCTTACACCCGCACAACCTCCCGTTTCTACGGCTCCCGCGAGAACCGCCGCGAGGTCGACCTGGATATGCGCGAGATGGTGGACAAGGTCAAGAAGGGCGAGCCGCTGTACGGAAAGAGCGAGCTCACCGAATACATGCAAGGCGTCGCGCACCGGAACTCGCGGTACACGGGTGTCTTCAGCCATGTTATTCCGTGGCCTAACTTTGTGAACCACCCATACCACGGCGTGGATACGGCGAAGTACTACCGACAGGCGGAGATGGAGCTGGAGCAGGAGAAGCAGAGGTCGTAGAAGAAAAGGAAAGGCAAATGATTCCTTTGAAGTTCTCGCAATGGCAGCTGTACATAAAGTAAGGGCCAAGACAGGTGTATCAACATTTCTTTCGTCTCGCGTTTCCTCTTTCCCAAGCTATATACATCCACGCACCCTATGCATACTCACCCCGAAGCCAACTTCCCAAGCACTGTCTGCTTCCCGAAATGCAACATCTTAAACCGACTAACCCAATCATCCCGATTAACATATCCCCCCACAAATCCTCCTCTTCCCCGTAAAACTACTTCTCCCATGCAATACCCTCCAATTATCGAAAACAAGTACCGTCCCCGGCTTCAGCTGCTCCCAATACTCATTCTGTTTTCTTTTGAGAATAGCGTCGAATTTGCGGGCTGCGGCGTACCACGTGCCGACCTCGGACAAGGGGAGTTCGATACTGGAACGGTCCGCCACATTCCAGCGGACGCGGAGGAGGGCTCCGGTTTCGACATCGTGTTCGAGGACGGGAAAGCCCCGATATGGTTGGATGGATATGCCGTCGTTGCCGGAAGCGTGTGCGTGAACATTCACCGTGGCCAGCACATCATAAGCCTCTTTATCTTCCTTCAGCAGATCCTCTGCGGCTTTGAACCCATCTACCAACAGTGACGCGCCGCCCTCGCCGTCGGTGTGGCTCAGGAGGTGGAAGGCCTGCAGGCCTGCTGGGTCGGTGAAATATGTGTTATCCGTGTGTGCGCCCAGCGCGATGTTAGTGTACGCCGTGTCCGCCTTCGCAAGGTCGGCGGTGAAGTCGTAGAAGCCGCCGTAGTGGGTTTCACGAATGAAGGCGATGCGTTTGAGGAGGGCTTCCGTGGCCCTGGGCGTGGGGTGCACGTCGGTGATGTAGCAGAAGCCGAAGCGGGCCTTCTCGACGTGTTAACTTTCTAGGACTTCGAGAAAGGGAGAGCAAAGTTACAATTTTGTGAAGCACGTGCAGTATCATGTCGTCGTCGGTTTTTGGGTGTTCGCCGGCGCGAAAACCTCGTCCAGGCATCCGCCAAGTATTTTGCGGCTTGTTGTCCGCTATTTCGTTACCCCAGAGCTCGATACTGTGTTTGAGTTAGTTTGTGGGAACATGAAACGATAAGATTGGGTGAAAGGGGTCACAGGTAAGGGGATTGGTCGCACCTTGGAGGATGCCCTTGGCGAACGGTTGCTCTTTTCCTACTGTCTGCTCCAGCTTCTCTGAGAAAGTCTTTGTCATAGCGGCTGTGGTGGCCGTCGCTCCCTATAGGTAATTAGCCGTCAGTAAGAGACACCTCAATGCTGGAAGCGTCTTACAAGTGACGTCCGTATATGTCCTGAACTCAGCACATGTTCTAATAGATATATCTTCTGGGATCTATGGTCTACTTAGCGAAAGCAAATATAGGCCGCAATGGAAGCATACCGAAAATGTATCGAGGAGCCTCTGTTTCGTTGCCTCGTGCACGCAACTGCTGCACTGACAATTATCCCTGCCCCCTTCAGTACAAACACGCAAACCTGCGCCAACACGAGTACCCACCTCAGCCATATATTCGGTCTTTGCATGATTAGCTGCCCTGTGTTTCAGGTGAGATTCGGGAAAGGCACTTACACCTTCTGCGATCCCACGCGGAAGTAGTCATTCTCGAGCTTGACCTCATCTATTGGTGGAGGAGGCAAGTTCCAGTGCTTGGTGACTGACCATGGACCGCCCTCTAGCAATAATCGTGTTGACCTTAAGCGTTTTCTCAAGTGTTTAACCTGCGAGTGCAGCGCTTCGAGGTCCTTCGCATCCCGCAAGACCTCATCAGCAAGTTGCCGGAGCCGAAGATAGTACATGTTGGTCAGTTCGGAAGCCGATTGAGAAGTTGGTTCGGTTTGAGGAGGAGAAATTTCGACGTTATCCACAACTGGAGTGCTTTCGGATGACGCATGCTGTGCTGGTGACGAAGAGGCTGAAGAGTTGAACCAGAAGTAACGAGGGAAAGCTCGAAGACCAGATGCTGAAGAGCGTAAGAATGAAGGTAGACAGCGCGGACTGCCTAGGCTAAAACACAGGTTAGTTATCGCGATGAAGTCACAAGTTTCTTGAGCAGTATTCTATCATGTGTTACTTCAAGGTATAGCATACAAATGCAGACACCTTGGCTCATGGCTGCGTTATCTCGGCCAAGGTCTGCGAATGTCCCATGATTTGGAGTGCCACGCAATAGGATACAGAAACTGGGCGTCCAGAAATTTGTAATGCTCCGTTGTCCACCATTCGTTGGCTGAAGGGGCGAGAATATGGGGTATCTCGTGACATACCGTGTATCTGCACGCGTGCAAAGGAGCGCCCCGAAGGAGCTCATGGCGAAAGCTTGCACACGTGATAGTGGCAATGTCAATGGGAAATCGGATGTATAATGTGATACACAACGATGAAGAATATTTCGTAAGCATAGAGCGTCAAATTGTGGATGGTTGGGTGACGGTTCATGTTCCTAAAGGTCGGGACTAGAGCTCGGCTATCGGTATGATCCTTGCACGCCGCGGCTTGTGCGCGACACAAAGGCCAGTGTGGACGACGGTCGTCAAAATGCATGTCAATCCCCAATAAATTGATAAACAACCCTTACAAAATTCGGCGTCGAAATAATATATCAAAAGAATCCTTGAAGTTGTAGATCAAGATGATCAGCTGCCATATTGTTTAGATCTACCCGCTCGCAGAAATCGCAGAAATCGCCAACTTCCGAACAGACGACGGCCCGACCCAAAAAAAATCTATCGATCGGGACGGGACTCGAACCCGCAATCTTTGCCATGCTCCTTTACCGGAAAGCAACGCCTTACCATTAGGCCACCCGACCGCTAAAGTGCGCGGTGCAAAGTAGCTTCGAGATGAAACTGAAACATTTGAGACATATATAAGCCTACGTTTTACATCTAAAGTCATGTCTTACATTCGAAGTCATACCTGTCTTACATCTGAAGTCGTTTCCGCTTAGAAAGCTCGAGGAAAGCGATATGGGGCGGCTTATAAACTCGGGCCTAATTAGGTCGAGGACCTAGCGTAACCCTAAAAGTTAGGCTATAGTAGGCTCTTACTATATCTTAGTACCTACTTTTAATACCCTCTACTAAGTAAATACTATATATAAGCTCTTCTATATAAATCTATAGCTTTATATAATTATAAAGAACTAAAAAAGAATAAAATCTAATAAAAAATAGTTACTATATAAGATATTATATTAGGGCCTATACTTAGATCTAAAGAATTTATTTCTATAAGAGAGTAGATATATTAAATAGAATAAACTCTAGAAGATAACTACTCTTTAGAAGTAAGTATAGTTTAACCTACTACTACTAAAGAAGTAACTATACTTAATAGAATTATAATACTATAGTTAAATATTTAAGCTTTAGTTATAATAAGTTAGTAACCTTAACTACTCTTACTAACTATACTCTAATTTAGACCCTTATTAGATTCTATATAGTAATAGCTATTACTTATCTAATTTAGACCTATATATTAGGATCCAGGATCTAATATAGGAAGAAAGCTACTTATAATAAAAGGCGGCCACGGCCCTACTAAAGAATTAGGTAATATTCTATAGTGTTCTATACGCTGAGCCTTAGAACACTAGGACCACGTAATAGAAAGATTATATAATATACTATAGAATCCTACGGATCCTATACTTAGGATTTTATAAAACTATAGGATATTATAGGATTAGTTATATATATAGGAATAGAAGAATCTTATTAATTCTTATATTTAACCTAAGTTTTAATCTATTATTTAGATTTACTTAGGCCTCCCTTATTAACTTATTACACTTTATAAGATACTTCTATATTAATAAGAACCCCTTTTTCCTTCCCTTAGTAAGTCTTACCTAAGAATTAACCTTAATCTATTTAGGACTAGCTACCCTTTCTAGATTTAATATCTTAAATACCCTTAATATAACTATAAGGACTCCTACTTCTTCTATAGCTTTAAATAATACTATTACTCTAATAGGTAACTCTAAGAGTAAAGCACATAAACCTAATTTATATTATAGTAATAGAAAGTATACTAATATCTAGCTTCTTTAGTTAGACCTCTATTTCTTTAAACTTAATAAATAACCTAAAGATAAATAAAAGGTTATCTTTATAGCTACTTATATATAAGGTAATACTAGAGAATAGATTTAACCCTATATAACTAAGTATCTAGAAATAGACCATAATAATAAAGATAAGAAATATATAGATAACTATATAGACGTGGTTAATATTATTAAAGACTATGCTAACTTTAAGAAATATTTTAAATAGATATTTAGAATTACTAATAAGGTACCTATTATGGTATAAAACATTTAAACTATAATATAATAATAATTAGTAGCTAAGTATATAGTAGAGTTCTATAAGAACGCTATATAACTTAACTAGGATAATAAGTTACTAATAATAATATATAAATAAGGTCTTAAGAAACCTCTATAAGAAGAACTTCTATATAGTAGGGGAATTATTAGAACCCTTAATAAATTATATAATAAATTAATTAGGATTAATAGAGAATAGTTTACACTATAATAGGAATTTTAATATAACCTAAGAAATATTAGTTTTAGATAACTAGTACCTATAGTCTATAGGGTACTACTAAAAGAACTTTAACGCATATTATAAGACTCCTATAAATACTAGCTAATAGAAGATATCTAGTTTAACTACTTAGGTAAAGAAAAAGGAAAAGAACTAGGCTTTTATAAGCCTAATACGTATATCTTAGATAGAACCTAATATTAGGGGACTAAGACTTACATATATTTTATATATAGTAAACTAGGCTATATCGCCAAAAACTATAGATCTAAGAATAAGGTTATTAGGTAGTTAAATATACTTACTATCCTAACTAAGGAAATTAAGGATAAAGAATAAACTATTATAAATACTATTAATAACCTTATACTTAATAATAAATCTAGATTAGAGTTATTAACTAATTCACGACTCTATAAGGACATAGAAGAGGAATAATCTAAAATAGTAGATAAGAAAGTTAAATAGATACTAATACCTTACCTATAGTTTAAAGGTAAAGAAGTAATCTTTACTAATAGAGTAAATGTATAGGAATACTTAGATAAACTACTAATCTAACTATAAAATAGAAATATATTATTATTACCTATAATAATTTTACTATTATTCTCTATACTACTAGAAGCTTATAATAAACGCCGACTAGAAATTATTATAAAAGAAGATAGATAATAGGTAAATTATAGATATATATAATAAGACCCTAGTAAACACTTCTATAATAAAAACCTAGACTATTTATAAAAGTACTACCTAGACTACTAAAACCTATAGTACTTAAATATCTAATAGATTAAATATAGATATAACTAGTGCCTAACCTACTATAGAGCTAAGGAGCTATATAGAGATAAATAACTACTAAATAAATAATAATACTATTAGGAATAGTATAATTACCTAATTAATAAATATAACGAATATTTATAGAATAAGTAAGAAAGATTATACTTTCTAAGTATAAATAATATATAAAATATAGTAACTAGTACACTCTATAATAGAATATATATTTAAGATAGATAGTAAACTTACTTAAATATTAATTATAGTAGACACTAGGATAATAAGTATATCTATAGATTTAGTAAGAACCCTAACTAACTAAGAATAGTTATTAATATTTATATAGAAATAAGTATAGTATAGAAAGGTAAAACTTCTAAAGAGAAACTATAGTAGAAGAATAACTATAGTAAAAAAAAGAAAAGGGTAGGAGTAAAAGAAATAATAAAAAGGGAATATAAACTACCTAGCTCCTAAAAATAGTTCTTTTTTTAGACTAGAACCTAGCCCCTAAGGCCTAAGAAACCCTTAAAGACTTATAGATAGGTAAGGAGATACTATTAGAGAGTTAAATACTATTAATAGTAAGGTATTAATTAAGCTACTAGCTTAGCTTAATAAAATATAGATTAAGGCACTATTAGATTTAGGCGTATTAGAAAACTTTATATTCTAAGAAATAGCACTATAAGTAGGACTCTAGCTAATACTTAAGGATAAAGCTTATCCTATCTATATTATAAATAGAAGTTAAATACTAAATACGCTATATATTACTTATAAAGTTACTACTATACTTTAGATCTATAGATATAGGGAGATAATTATACTTAATATACTAGATAGATCTAGGTATAATATTATATTAGAATTACCCTAGTTAAGAAAGTATAACCTATATATTAATTAGGGTTTAAGAACGCTATCCTTAGAATACTATAAATATGTATTATAAACTAAGCCTACGTAATAATAGAGACTAATAGCGGATAAGAGTATTATTAATAATATAGACTTATAATAGAAAGTTAAAAAATAGAAATTACCCTTAGTAGATACTAGTAGGAACCACTAGGTTATAAAGTATAAGAAGAAGAAAGAAAGTATACCTTTAGAAATACTAAGAGAGTATAAAGTATAGATATATATATTTATAGAAAAGGAAGGAAAAGTAAACCTACTAGAATATTAACCCTAGGATTATATAATTAACCTAGAAGAAGGGAAGACGCCACCCTTTAGACTACTATATAGTAAAATAGAAGAAGAACTTAGGAAAGAATATAAATTTATTAAAATAAACCTAGTAAAAGGATATATTAGACTATTAAAGTTACTAGTAGTAAGCCCTTTTATATTTATTAAAAAGAAGGATAGATTAGATAGACTATATATTAACTACTAAGTAATTAATAATATAATAATTAAAAATAGATACCTATTACCTAATATCTTAGAGCTTAGAAATAGACTCTTATAAGTAAAAGTTTTTATAATAATAGACTTAAGAGATAGATACTACCTAATTAGAATAAAGAAAGGTAAAGAATAGAAGATAGTATTTTAATTATACTATAGACTCTTTAAGTACCTAGTAATACCTTTTAGACTTACTAATACACTAATAACCTTTTAGGCACTTATTAATAATATACTCTATAAATATTTAGATATATTTATTATTATATATATAGACAATATTCTTATCTTCTCTAAGAATAAATCTAACTATACTAAGCATATATAGATAGTACTAAAAGCACTAGATAAGGTATACTTAAGGATTAAACTTAAGAAATACTAATTTAATATTAAATAACTTAAATTCCTTAGACATATTATTACTATAGAAGGAATTAAGATAGCACTAAGTAAAATAGAGAGTATTAGAAATTAGCCTATACTAAAAACTATAAAAACATCTAAGAATTCTTAGAATTCTATAGATTTAATTAATAATTTATTAAAGATTACGTAAAGGTTATAATACTATTAATAAACCTTACTAGAAAGGATATACCTTTTAAATAGATAAATAAGTATAGAATATTATTCTAACTCCTTAAAATAGTATATATTATAGAACTAGTTCTTATTTATTTTAGGAGCGATAAACTACTATAATTTAAAACTAATATAAGTAATCTTACACTAGGAGTATATATAAAATAAGAATAAAATAGTAAATAGCACCTAATAGCCTACTACTTATATAAATTTAATAACACAGAAATATAATATAACGTATATAATAAAAAACTCTACGCTATTATTAAAGCCTTAAAACACTAGAGAATATACACTCTTAGCTATTTAATACTAGAAATCTACACTAATTATAAGAACCTACTAAGGTTTATAATAATAAAAGAACTAACACTATAATAGTAAAGATAGTTATAGACTACTAAATAGTATAAGTTTAAAATTATCTATATAGTAGAAAAAGAAAATAGGT